GAAGCTTTGCAAGTTATATTTAAAAGAAAGAAAAAGATAAAGTATCCTTCTCTTTTATTTACCTTTCTTATCTTCACTCGCTGTCTCCTATATAAGAGACAGCTTTCCTCAGTCTCTTTACTTTTTTCTTCAGCTTAGAACTTTATCTTTTTCTTTCTTTTAAATATAACTTACAAAGCTTCTCTTTGCTCAGCTTTGCTCGTTTCTCACAGTATGCCTATGTGCTTACATTGTAACTGTCTATTCTGCTTGTGAAGGAGCGGGCACTGGTCATTAAGGATGCCTTTGTCTAGGATACTAAGCTTCATCACACTGACCAGTTCAGATACAAGGAGTTCCCAGGACCAACAACAATTGAGATGAGCACCCAAATGTAGACCACATAGACTGAGTATATATACAACTATTAGAAGGAGTGCAATGAATAACAGATCCTTTGGGAATAATTATCATGGATGATGGCCAAGGGGAGGTTCCAGTGGAGGTGACAGCCACAGATAACATATCACAGCAAAGATGCAAGCAAAGTAGTCATGCCCCCTATAGTGCAGCAGTAGGGCAGTCACCTCCTAGACCTTAGACCAGTGGCACTTACTACTGTGGTTCTGGAGGTAAGTACTATCACTAATGGCTGCCTTCAATCTTGCCTATCTCTGGTAGTTTAACATTGATGTTAGGGGCAGGGTGAGCAGATTAGAAAGGAGTAACCACAAGACAACATTGAACCTGCCATTTGCATCACTGGTGTTAAATAATATTCTAACTAATTTGCCCATGTTCACAGGTCCAAAATTAGTCCCCACAAGGGGTGTTGTTTGGTATACACTCAGTGTTTTCTAATTATTCACTTAATATATTGTAATATAGTATTCAATACAACTTGCTTTTGACATTCTCTAGTGGTATTTTCTTAGTTTTAACTCGATTATACTTCTAGACTATTGTCTAACATGACTGCTGTAGCCCCCAGCATTATAGCACAAGTAGTGGTGGTGCTGTATGATTCTTGTTTGTTGTTGAAAAGTCGTTGTAATTTGTTAGTGAGTTTTTGTTTGGAGGGCAGCATCCTGTGTATGTGCTGATCCTGTTTGTTGGCAGGCTGGTGACGTTATAAGCCTGTCACCCCAACAAGGCATCCTGCAATGATCGGAATCATTTAAATTTGTGCTTTCACAGCATCATGGCCTGGGGGTGTGGTTGGGTATTGCTGACTTGTTCTTTTGTGTCCATCTCCTCAAATATGCTGTCATTGTCATTAACCATATCTCCTGTTTCTTCTGTATTATTGAAAACTTGGAAAATAGTGTGTATCCTCTATGTTGATGATATCACTTCTCTGGTTACTAAGAGTCTGCTTTGGTTCACCTGTGGGCATAACTGTTGGAATTCCGTTCTTGGTGGAACTCCGTCTTGCATACTGTAAGATGATTGCAAGACCAGAAGTTTCTAAAGTATCCTTCTCTTTTATTTACCTTTCTCATCTTCACTCACTGTCTCCTATATAAAAGACAACTTTCCCCAGTCTCTTCACTCTCTTTCTTTAGCTTAGAACTTCATTTTTTTCTTTCATTAATTATAACTTGCAGAGCTTCTCTTTGTTCAGCTTTGCTTATATTTCACAGACACAACATGCCTATTGCATGTGGGCCTCCAAGGGGTGCAATCTTGTGTATGCCAAGGCTTGTCATAAGGCTGTAGCTAATGAGCAGGCTACACATAATGCAAATGTATTTAGGGTCTTCACTCCTGCTAATGCCATCAAGGATGGGAAGGCTGCAAGCATCATCATGGATGCAATTTCAGACTCTTTGGCTGTCTGCTTTACTGAGAGCTCAGCCTTTGAGATGTGGGCCACACTTAACACTACATTTGACATTAGGACTATGAATGTTTTTATTAGTGAGTTGCATGAGCTTTTAAACATTGCCATGTCATCTGGTGATAACTCTGTAAAGTATTAGGTTGAGTTATAGACCAAATGAAACCTGTTCCTCCACCCAAACTTTGATATCATAACCATTACTCCCCTTGTGCATCTTGCTGACATCTCTAAGGAGTACAGCTCTGTAAGAGAAGTATTCTAATGTCTCACCTACCAAACTCAAGAATACTAATATTCTCACAGAAATCAAGGATACTTTTACATTGCGCCAAGCTGCTGCCTCTACTCCCACTAAGGCCAGTGACTACACCACCTCATCTTTTTTCTCACTGCTCTGTCAGCTCTGTGATAAGCCTGGTCACATTGCCAAACACTGCCCTTCAGCTGGATATGGCACTACTGACTTGGCATCAGATAACAATAACTCTACCAGGTCTGTTCTCATAGGCGGACTTTCTCACCTGGTTGCTGGCTCAAGCATATCTGCTCAACCTTTGCTCAGCAACCCATCAGCCTGGATGCTGAATTATAGTGCTATGGCCAACACAACACCACATAGGGAGGATTTTGTCAGCTACTCACCCTGCTCAGGTGACATCATGGGCATGTCTGGTGCAGTTACCAAGATCTGTGGTATTGACCAAGCTAGTGTTGGTTGTGAAAAACAAACAAAGCTGAGCAAAGAGAAGCTTTGCAAGTTATATTTAATGAAAGAAAGTGATAAAGTTCTAAGCTAAAGAAAGTGAAGATGAGAAACGTAAATAAAAGAGAAGGATACTTTAGAAACTTCTGGTCTTGCAATCATCTTGCAGTATGCAAGACGGAATTCCAACAGCATGCACTTGGCATAATCACACCATTTGAGAAGCTGGACTATAACAGCAACATTGCCAACATTCATCCATTTGGCTTTATTGGTCTGGAGTGAGTATCCCCCTGAGCTGCATTCTAAATTTGGTGAGAATGCCCAGAAGTGTGTGTACCTAGGCAGTAAGGATGGCAAGGCACTGCTGTATCACATGGACACTGGCCATGTTTTGCACACCTCCTGACCCAAGTTTGTGGATTCTGAATTTCCATTCTATGATGAAAATGTTGGAATTATATCTTGCCTACTGTCAGGTAATTGATATTCTAGAAGGTTGTAAAGTGTCTGTAATAAAACTTATCACTACTAAATATATTTATCTTAGAAATCCATTATAAGCGGAGCTTAAATTCTCTGCTTATCAATTTAAAACAATCAGCAGTATAATAGGAATTGTAATCAAAAACAATTGCAATTGTCGTGTGACATTGTAACAATTGGTGTCATAGTGTCCTTATCAATTATTTAAGTTTCCTATATTCACTTGCTGTCTCCTATATAAGAGACAGCTTTTCTCAGTCTCTTCATTTTTTTTAGCCTAACCAATCTTTCATCTATTATTTAATATAACTCACAAAGCTCTTTTCCACTATGCTTTACTCGTTTTTCACATGCTCCAGCTCTGCTCGATAGCTGACCTCTTTTATTGACAGCTTCTCACAAGGTGGCCATGGTAGTTCATCTGCCACAATGTTGAAGTTTCCCTCCCAGTAAGCGATTGTATAATCGACCTTAGCAATGATTGTTAAGCTTCTAACAAACTGAGTGTTGACATGTGACTGGCTCTTCAAATGCTTCAATGTGCACTGACTTGTTAATACCTCAAACTCAGTACCCAATATAAAGTGGTGCCAGCCTAAAAGTGCGGCAATAATGGCCAGCAGCACTTTGCCATAGATGGTTTAATTGCCTTCTGCTGGTGTCAATCTGCACAACAGGAATGTAACTGGGTGCCAGCCGCCATTGTGTTTCTGGTACAACACAGCACCAATGGCATAGTCTGATATATTTGTCTCCACACATTTAGGAAACTTGGGGTTGAATGTCTGTAGTACAGGTTGTGAACACACTGCTTTCATGAGTGTAGTAAATGATTATTATGCCTTGGCAGTCCATTTAAACTGACCAGTCTTCAAATGATTGGTGATTGGTCATGCAATTTCGGCAAAATCACAGATAAACTGCTGGTAAAAATTGCAGGTATCATGGAAGCAGTTCATATCAGTGACCTCTTCAAGCAGTTTCCATTTGTTAATAATGGCAACCTTTCATGGGTCCATGCAGGCCTTGTGCAACATAACATGTCCTAAAAATTAAAATGTGGGTTTGAATAGTTCACATTTGGTGGCTTTGCAATACAACTGCTCACCTTGCAATATCTTGAGCACAGACTGGATATGCTGAACATGTTCCTCATGCATGGCCAAGAAAATAAGAATGTCACCAAGGTAAGCGACACAGTACTTGTTAGTCTACCCCTTGAGTGCACCCTGGATGACCTGTTGGAATATAGCTGGTACATTGCACAGGCCAAATGGTAGCACATGGTACTGGGAACTTCCAAAACGAGTGTTGAACACAGTCTTTGGTTAATTGCCTTTCCTTACATGCACCTGGTGGTAGGCCATATGCAGGCCCAGCTTTGTGAAGTACCAGACACTATTTATCATGTCAAGGAAATTGTCAATACACACGATCATGAGTGAGTCTTTGACTGTTGTTTTGTTCAGCTGGCAGTTATCGACACACATCTGCATAGTGTCATCCTTTTCATTTACAATAATTAGAAGTAAGCCCCAGGGTGATATGGAGTGTTCAATATAGCCCAGCTCAATCATTTTGCAGAGCTGCTTTTCCAGCTTATTGTTCTTGAAATGCAACGGGCAATATGGTTGCTGTAAGTGTGGACATGCCCCTGGCAGCAAATCAATGGTATGGTCTACTATACACATTAGAATCAGTCATTTTGTTAGCATCCCAAAAACATCGGAAAAGTCCTGTTTAATATCAGCAGCATGTTTCTGGTTTGCACAATTTGTGGGAGTCATGATTCTGGCCATGCCTTCCTCATTCTGCACAACAGCAACAAACACATTGTCAATTTGGGCAACCTCATATATATCCTGTAGTATTGTGAGCAGCTGACTGACCAAGATAGTACTGCAATTTTCCTGCTTCTGTCTGCTGCAGCTCTAATTTATGCACTTCAATCCGGAAATATACAACTGACTGCCATCCTTACCATTGCATTCAAGGCCATGACATCCCAATGAGCAGTTCCTCCCCAATTGGCACAACACAGCAGTTCATTGTGTTTGTATAGCCCTTTTTGCCAACACCCAGCATCAGCTTCATGTACTCGTTGATCTTGTAGAATTCCATGCCATCTGTAAGGTGGAGAACTGTGGTGGTCGCAGTCCTGCTGACTAGCAGCCTGAGGGCTTTGAAGACCTGCAGGGAGATGCAGCATCCTTGTGCCCTCGAGCCAACCAAGGCAGTGAGAATTTTATTATTTTCGAGCTTGCAGGGCGCCAGTACCTGTGAGTGTACAAGATTGTTAGTAGAAGTGGTATTGATTTGAATAGATGTAAAGCCAGTACCACTAACATCAGAGTGAGAAACACTTGCATCATCACCACTCAAAAGGCATTCCCCTGATCAGAATCATTGTCGTTCGACTTGCCAATGTCGACCATGCAGATGTGCAGTGAGTGGCCATCTCCACAGCCACTGTTGTCATTGTTTTGTCTTCTAGCATGGCAACCACACAAAAAATGGTCATCTGAGCCACAATTAACATACTGTCTGTTTTTGATCTACTGCTCAAATTCATGCTGAGTGTATTTGTGTCATCTTGGGTTGTATTTCGGCCCACTGCTGCAGCCCCTTCCCCTGAGCAGCCACAGATACTGATAATGTCGACCTTCATTGCCATGGGGTCATGAGCGGATGTGGCCTTGCCAGTGAACTTTGCCGATGATTTGCCAACCCACTTCTTCCCCACCATCTTGTGAGTACTCCAAGCCTACTGAACTGCGGCCTTAGAAGCATCAAGGCTCTCAATATCCTTGGAGAACAGGTGTGACATCAATTATTACAATGGCACGTGACAATTGTGATTGTTTGAAATTGTGATTGTTTACAACCGCGATTTCTATTTTCACTGTCGATAGTTTTGAATAGATAAGCAGAGCTCTTCAAGCTCCTTTATAGTGGACTTTGAATTATAAATATATTTTAGATAAACTATTCCTATTACAACAGGTACTTATTAAATTCCTTTGGCAGACAAAAATGTTACAAATTGAGGGTGTATGGTAGGGTGTCCATTTTCGTACAGTGCAATAAATAGTCAAAATCCTGGTGGAATGCTAGGAAGGTCAGCATTAGCCACGAATTTTAGCTGATTAAGCTTCTGGAGGCCGTGAAAAATATTTCTATCTCGAATATTATCTCCAAATAAGATGTTAGATCACTAAAGGTGGCAGGATGTAACATCAAAAATGGGGGCCGAGTCACGTGACAGCGCAGACGTGTGAAATGTGTTTATGATATTTCATGCGCACAGCGATTTCCGAATAGTGAGCTCTTCAGCTTTTTTGTAGTCTCATTTATATTAATATATATTATAACCAACACAATTCTCATTACACAGGGCCAGGTGCACCCAAACTCTCAAGGTAATTTCCCCACTCAGCTGCAATTATATAGGAAAGATACATGCACACAAGATCTGCCTTATGCTTTGTATGGGCCACATCTAATTGTGTAAACCGGCGTTCCACACTCTTTATCTATATGGCAATAGGATATTCCTCCACCTTGCCGTGAAAAGGTGGAATGTGCATCATGAGCTTGGAAAATGCAGCATAATCGGATGGCGTGAGCTCATCCAGTACAGTTACAGCATGTGGAACGAGTGTGCAAACAGTAGTGACCGGCATTTTAGAGTCTGTCATGATGCAGAGATGGGATGTAAAATAATAACAAAAATAGAATAAATAAAATAAAAATAATAATGCCAAAGTAGTCTGAGAATACTTGCCAAAGAAAACGCTGCAAGTAAAAGTATAAGAGCAAAAGTATGCACAAAAATGTGTGCGTGTGTATGGAGGTGCTACCAAGTGTTATGATAAAAAGTATTATTTAAGATGAACTAAAAGAAAGCTAAAGAGTAACTGCATTAATCATTTGTATAACTCTACTATTTATATTGCTCGTATGCAATATTCCCGCATGTCTGAGTCTGGTAATTTGTAATGAGGAATTGTGCTGGTTATAATATATGTTAATGGAAATGAGACTATGAGAAGAGCTAAAGAGCCCACTATTCAGAAATCGCTGTGCGCATGAAATATAAACATATTTCATGTCTACTCTGTCACGTGAACCAGCCCTATTTTTGATGTCACAGGAAGTCATTGCAGCTGTAAAACAATCTTGATAATCTTGGTGCTTGAAGATGGGAATAATGGCCCGGAGTGTGGCTTGGGCACCATACCAGGGATTGATCCATTAATCGACTATTAATAGCAAGCTGAACTGTTATTTTGTTACAAGTTGTCACTGAATATCTTTGCCGAATATTGTTTTCCTCTGGTATAAAATGTTAAAATTTTGCTTACAAATAAACAGTATTTGTATTCACAGGTCAGTGCTAGAACCATGGGCTGCTGGGAGTGTTATATTGGACTTCGCATATCAGCATTAGATGTATAGATTGTAAAAAAGCAGGTAAATTAAAATTTTATAAATAGCGTTAATGCTATGTTTACCATCGCATCTTTGGCACTTGAATGAATATGACACAAAGTATGTTTTCAAAATAAGTATATGTTAATCACGCGTGTTATTCCCCTACTGTATTATATCAGACAGACACCATTTTAATGATCACATTATTATTTTCTCAAATTTATTGCAACTGATTGATCACGTTATTGTCTTATATTTAATTAGTTTTTATTACGCAAATTGCAAATGGAAGAGGCCAATCGAATTTCCCGAAAGGGGTCTGAATTTGAGGGCAACCATGAATGGAGCTCGGCGGCACAGGCTTATAGGCGCGCAGCGGAGATTTACAGAAGCATTACATTATTTGACCATGATCCCGTTGCAATGCTGTCCTTAACAACACTTGTTAACAAGCATGTGCGGTGGGCAGAGCATTGCGAGCGTGAACTCGGGAGGCAGGGGTTGCGTGGAATATCTGCCAGCAGGACCGACTTGTCTTTCCAGACGGAGCGCGATGCTGCTGGTGATTCTGCTGCTGCTCTTCCAGCCGGAGAAGGCCTGTATGAGTCCATTTACGCGGCTGCTGATTTTGCAAGACAGAGCCAAAACGAAGAGAGCGAGTTTGAGAGCTTTTGGCAGTATATGCAAAACTGGCTGGCGGATCCAGTGGCATTTACTAGGCCACTTCTCCCCTCAGGCCAGCGCATTCTTGAAACCAGAGTGGGCATGAATAATGACACACATATAAGCTCATCTCCGCCACATGGGATTATGGAGTCGTTCTATTTTGTTGGTTCCAATCCTGAACAGGGCGCCAGTATGTATGCACACACCACGGCTGCTAACACACCCAAGGTTGTAACGCCCCTGCAAGCTGTCGAAGAAGTTGAAGAGCCTGGCGGAGAGCCAACTCTGACAGATAATGTGGCGGCTGTGACAACTGAACTAGTCGGGACAATAACCAGTGCCGAGGAGCTGCGCGACGTAAGTGATACTACCAACACCAATGTTCGTTTGCATGCATTGCTGGAAGAAAACCAGAAGCTCCGGTCCTTGGCAAGGCAGCTTAACGAGCGCATTCGTACACTCGAGTCTGCCGCCCAAGAGAACAACATGCTTAAAAGCAGCATTCTCAATTTTCGCGAGGAGTTCCACCGACATGCAAATGCTGTGTCCCTGCCGCGGAAGTACGAGCCTGCACCAGTCTATCGACGCGCTCAAACACCCCCCACCAGCGGGGCCGCAGCCGCAAACGAATTGGTGATAAGGCAGCTCAAGTCCCAGCTGGATACGTTGTCGCTGGATAATTCAAAGCAGGTAAGGTGTGCTGCCAATTGCTTATGCCACTACAATCAAAGTACAAACGAAAACTGCAGTATGCAGTGTGCAGTTTGTTAGTTGTACTGCGGATAACTATAAAATTATATTAATGTGTACTGCGCATGTTTATGTCTGTTTGCCAGCAAAAATTATAGAAAGCACAGGTGAGCAAGTACCGTGAGCGATGGGAGAAGCTCAAGGAGTCGGCCAAACGCAAACGACAGCTGCAAGAGCAACACACTCAGAGTCCGCAGCAGTAGCTATTTACATTTACATTTGTATTACTAATTAAGCCAAATGCCGAAAAAGATGAGGACTCATCTGTTTGTACATGGGGTCATATATTTTCTTAAAACTTTGGCGCAAAGTGGCTGATATCCTTGACGATTATGTGGCTACATGTCAAATTGAAAATTACTTTTACTGTGCATTGTGTCAATACCATTTGCGCGCTTTATATGGACTGCAGGTGTAAGCATTCACGATTTCTGTGAAACAAAGTTGACAAGTCTGGGTTTTAACGGTAGCACTGAGGCACACATTACTTTTATAATCTGTGTGGAGTTTGCGCTTGTGCTGTACAAATGGAAAATACAGAAAATACACAACTTGCCCTTTACTTGCGCGCAGGCATATATAAACAAACACACAGGGCGTTGGATATAATATTTCCACACACACCAGCACGATATAATTGTTGTTATCGTATGTAAACTTTTTATATAGTATATTTATATATTTATATAGGCATCCTGCTATTTAAAATTTATGAACTTGACTCCGTGCTTGTACGAAAACAATGATGTCTCTTCGGTCGAACAGCCCCCAGATACCACATCATCTCATGCTGCGTGCCACGCACAGTGCTTGTGTCCAAAGCGTAGACCACCCAATGAGCTTCAGCGCAGCGCCCCGAGTCAGCTGAAATTACGGCTTCAAAGTGTTAAATACAATGAAAAGCCGGGCGACCGCATACGAGCAATGTACAAGGCCCGCACAGACAGCAGCTGCTCTAGGGGCAGCGATACAAATAGCACATACCATGATGATGACGATGCCAACAATGACGACAACGGCAATATGCCATACCCGGCGTCAGAAAACGGCACTGAGTGTGCTGCTACGAGTACCTCTTTGTTACAAGACATATCTCTGTCCGCATTTGCTTCAAGCTCTACATTAACTAGTATAATAACCGCTAGCACACAAGAAACATGCAGCATTGACCAGCCGCATGCCAGGATTATTAGCTGTTGCAAGGCAGTATTTAAGAACCTGCATAAATTATCCTCTAATAGCAAAAACAGCGCTGCGCCCTCAAACAAGCAGCCCAAGGCAAGTGCACATTGGCCTTTAGTGGAGAAGCAGCGGCTGGCTGACAACCTGTTATTGTTTGAAAGCAAAAAAATACAGACGCAGCCGCTGCCCACGTTTGTGACGAGTTTGGAGTCCTCACACCAGTTTTATACTAACAACCATCAATACTTGCATACCCTAAAGTCTGCCTATGTTGAGCGTGTTCCACCAGTCCAGCGGGCACAGAGGATGTGGACATCAATTGGGGCCGATGGCTGGGTCAAGGCTCCAGATAGGATTTTGTATAAATAAAGTTGTATATTATAAAGCACACAGCACAAAAATCTAAATGTGGATGATGCGCCGCACATATATTGAGCAAGTTGCTACAAATAGAAAATTCTTGCACTGAAGCATCCGCTCTATCCCTTCCCAACATTGATGGCACGCATCTGCTTGCAAGTGCTTGACTTGGTAAGGGCACGCTTACAAAATCCACTGCTGCACCAGTGCATTGCCAATATCGCGAGCTTGCTGCACGCTGTCCAGATCATTATCTGAGGGAGCGGAAATGTCCTGCGCATGGGTAGCGCCGTCAATCAGATATGTCGGCGACAGAGTTGTGTTCGGAAGGAAGGTTCCTCCCCTGGGGGTAGCAGACGATGCACGCCAAAGGTCCAGCGAGCCAGCAGTGTAGTAAATTTTGGAAACATTTTGAAGAATGCCAAACCATTTGTTATGGAATCCCTCAGAGTCAACACGGTCGGGCATATCGTTGCCAAACTTATTTTTGCAGTTTGGCGTGTAATATTCCAAGTCGACTAGACGGGAGCGGTACATGGGAAGTCCAGTACTGGCAGGTGCAGCCACTTGCCAGTCACCATACCATGCACACGACTGATAGTACCATACGCGGGCTACCTGCCCCAGGGCATAGTTGTCCAGGCCAAGCGTTGTGTCGGCCATCTGAGTCAAGGTTTGTTGACTCAGACCCAGCCAGTCAATAAGGGTGGAAACTGCAAGGGCATATGAGTCGAGATTGGAGCGGCTGTTATCAAAGAAATCGCACACTGTGTACTGCGTGGGTTCGAAATCCGTGGATACTCCCGCCTTTGCATTGATGGTGATTATTGCTGAGATCAATGCTGCAAAGTCGCGCGAAGCAAGCTGGGGCGAGCCAAAGTGGGCTTGCATGTCATCAATTGCTGTCTGATTACCTGAAAGCATAACCTCGTCAAGCTCGTCGACTGCCTGGGCCATCTCAGTGGCGCATCCGAGTGCGGCAAGGTGCTTTCCCCAGCTCTGATCAAGCCAGTAGTTCTCGTATCTATACTGGATAGGTGGCGAGGATGCCCAGGCACCATCCACAATATCGGGATATGTGGCACGCATCCACGCAGAAATAGATGCTGCATAGGAGGCTCCACCGAACACGACCTTTGAGTTGGGGCTGACTGTTACAGGGAAGACATTGTCTGGGTCCGATTTGGCAACACGGATGAATGCAGCAAAGTCCTCCAATGTGTTTTCAATGGTATGATACTTGAGGCTGGGGCCGCTGAGATCGGGCATGGGGTTGGACTGGCCATAGAAGCGGTGCTCAACGGCAACAACCAGGCCATCTGTCTGCTCTGCGAGGTTGGTAAAGTAGGTTTTATCAGTATAGTATGTGCCAATGGCAGCCTCACCAGGTGTGAGTATGTAAATTGGGCCACCAGGCTTGTAGAATGTGGCATTGAACATGTATTGCTGCTGCCAGGTGCCGTTGTTCAAGCCAAGGTGGTCAATGGGCTGGTTAAACCAGTATGCTGTGGACGATGGGGGTACAGTCGTGGATGGCTGGCTGCCGCCATCAATCACAGCGCACTTTGCCATGGCGGTTATGGCAAGGAATGGGATGGTGAGTGCTAAACGCATTGTGAGGGGTGTTTTCAGATGCTAAATATGTTAAGGTGAGTCAAAGACAGGGTTTTGAAGTTGCGAGACGTGGGTATTGGTGAAGTATTGAAGCAAGCTGACCAGGGGATTCTTGTGGTTTAAATAGACAAAATTCCGGCACTTGTACATGTCCCAGTGTGGCTTAACACAGTCTAGGGCCGAATAATAGGAAAATATAAATGCTGTAATACGTAAAGTAATCCATACTTGCCCATGTTGACTGCACGACTGTCAAAAAAAGATATTGGCTGGTGTCGCGGACCAGCATGTAAATGCCATGCAAATGAAAAAGAAAGTGGGCAAAGAGATGTGCGCGTGTGAGTGAGTGGCTCGTATTGCGTTCGCGTTCGCGTTCGCGTTTGCAAACATGATCTTCAGGCAGTGAAGAGCGTTAAAGTGACTTCACTCGGTCTGGGGCGCAAAGGAACAAAGAATCACCCTTTGCAAAATGGATTTGCAAAGGATATGTCTGAAAATACATAGTAACAAATCCTCAACCATTGAGAGGACCTTCGAGATTGTGTTTATACACTTACCTTTACATTTCGTTAAAAGGTAGTGCGCGTTAATGAGGAAAACCTGAAAAAAGATCGAGCGTGATCCCTTTGACAAGTGATATCCACATTGCTTGCACATATAATTCACCTATTTGTATATGCACCGATTGCATAGCGCTAATAAATGCACGTCGCAGCTATTGCGTGTTGCGCCGCATTGCATTAATTATTTATTTAGTAGCAAACAAAAAGAAAGAATAGGTATGCTAGTTAATGTATTGGTTGGGGGCAGGGCTAATATGCGCAGAAATATTTGGAAAGCAATATGAGTGCCTAAAAAAAGCAAGTCCATTTTTTTAGCTGCAGTCACGCGCAAAGTCGCCCCTAATATTTTAAAACTGGTGTTCTCAGTTCCACCGGCCATACCACCTGCGCAGAGCAGCACGGAAGCCAAAAAAACAGTTTTTATTTGTCATCGATTTTATTCAATCCTGTATATAATGGTCGCGTCAATTAATGGTGCCAAGTGGCGCACTCTGTACCGCGAGCTTGCGCGGGCAGCACCCGGAGTTGTGTCGGCGAAGCGCCAACCAACAGTTGCGATACTAGGGAAAATCCGCCAGGGATTTAACGAAAACAAAAGCGCAACACATGCGGCCGACGATCTAAAGTCGCTTTACGAGCGGGGGTACAACACACTGGGCTTTCTCAAGCTGGCGCGAGAGCTAGATTCGGTCGAGCGCAGACTCGCCACGGCCGTACTTGATCTGCACAAACAGCGTCGGATTACTGAGGAGAAGCCACCGGCATACAAGCGTCGATTGCAACCGCTGCAAAAGCGTGTTTATGATGAGACCTATGCCGAATATGATCGGGTTGTCGCTAACATCGAACGCGATCTGAATATCATCCTGCCGCGCGATAAAGTCTCTCAGTCCCTGGAGTGGATTCCCCTGCTCAAATCGCTGCACAGGGGCGATACTGGGATAGATCAGACTGTCGAGATAAATACCAAAACCTCTAATGGCCTGGAGTCGGGATCAGCAACATCTAACAACTATTGAAAGTGAATTAAATATTTATAATTCGATAATAGAACAGGTTTAACAGGTGCCATGCTGAATCGAACATGACAAACTCGAGAAACAAGAGCAAGCTCGATACAAGTTGTTATTTATGGTAATATTTTAAAAAATGCTAGCAGACACTAACACTGGCACTGGCACATACCAAGACCCAGACCTAGACACACGCCCACAGTCTGTTTTACAGCTCGCCGTCGCTGTCGCTGTCGCCAATGGTCAGAGCTTCCATACCAGCAGGGTGAACAGAGTCCATGGCATGCAGCGTGTAGTCGATGATAAACGAGTCGGTCAACAGGCCATCAAAGCGGCTGAAGTGGCGCTCGGAGTACGGCTGCACGGCAGCTATCAGATCCTTTGCCGACGGAAGTGCGAGGATGTCCTTCGATGTGTACTGAGTGAGGATGCAGTAAAGCGCTGCCTGGGCGATGTGGGCGAATTTGCCATTGGTGTTCCAGTTGCGCACATAGCCCAGCAGCCGCTCGAGCTGGTCAGGCGCCAGCGTGCCAATGACCTCGTCAACAGCATGGGCACCCATGATCGCACGCTTGGCGTCCTGAGCGTCAGCATCGGCACTATCTTCGGATGACAGGGCGTGGCGGTGCTCAGCGGCTGTCATCACGTCCCGGAAAATGTTGAGCAAGCGATGGGGTTGGTCGAGAGACAACGTCAACAGGATGGCGTTGCGGTAGTCTTTGGCTGCAAGGAAGTTATCCAGGGCCTGCTGCTGCTCGAGCAGCTTGGCATCTTCCTTATGCAGGCGCTCAATCTCGTCCTGCGTCGTGTCCTTCCAAATGTAGATGGTCGAGTCAGCGCCGCCGGTGGCTACAAATTCCTCCGATTGCTGCTTGGCAAGGGTCCAGATCTTGTTTTCATGCTTGTCCAGCGTTAGCACGCACTCAGCGTCCTTAATGTTCCACAGCTTGATCAGGCCGTCTGAACCGGTGGTCATCAGCTGCGTGCCCTTGGTCAAAAACTCAATGCAGAGCACCGAGTTGGTGTGACCCTCCAGCGTTTTGAGGCAGCCAAAGTCCGACAGAGACCACAGCTTTACTGTGCGGTCGGCTGAGGTCGTCGCAATCACCCGGTCGACAGGCGAAAATGCAACGTTCCACACGCCGCGCCGATGGCCCTGAAGGGTGCCCAAGGGCTTGCCTGTGGCGACGTCCCACACCTTGGCTGTCTTGTCCTGCGAGCCTGTGGCAAAAATAGTATCGCTGGGCGCCACGCAGATGGAGTTGATATCCTTGTCGTGGGCCTGGAATGTGTATAGGGAGCGCAGCTTTATAGGTCCCGACTCGCTAATAGCTGCCACGGCACTCTCAGGGTTGTCAATAATTGCCCGTAGGGGCGACAGGTCCCACATCTTGACAGTACGGTCCTCGCTGCCGGTGATCATAAAGGGACACTCTGCGCCCTGCGCCAGGCAGACCGCGCCCACCGCCTTGGTGTGGCCCAGTGCGGTGGCAACGCACGTCACACGCCGGTTGGCGGGTGCGCTCATGTTAACCACCCAGACCATTGCCATGTTGTCCTTAGAACCTGTCGCCATTATGCTGCACCCACTGTGCACGCTGAGACAAAGAATAATGTCCTTGTGGCCATATGCCAGTTCGCAGTTGAGATCGCTCGTGTTATAGACCCTGAGCTGCTCAGTGTTTGTTGCCACCGCCAAATACTTCTGATCGCGCCCGACGTATGCCATGTCGATGATCTCCTCATTGTAGCCCACAATCTGGCGCTCCCGCTCGAGTCGCTTAGTGACCCCATAGAACAGCAGGTTCTGGTCATTGGTGACCGCCACGAGATTTTGAGCCTGGGGTAGGTACAGCACAGAAACAAAGGCGTGCTTTGCATTGAGCTCTTTGGTCTGTACAAACAGCTCTTCGCCGCTGTCCATGTCCCACAGCCGAAGGGTGCCATTTTCGCCGCCGCTGTAGATTACGCGCGTGTTCTTGTTGCCAAAGCCAATTTCGGTCCCTGCTGCCAAAATACCAGCGGCCTCGATAGTCTCATACACAGGAATCGTACGCACAAGGGACTTGCGCTTCCAGTTCCAGACATTAATGACCTTATCGCGACCAGCGGTAATCATGTGCTGGCCTTCGTCGTCCTGGGTAAAGTCGATTGAGCGCACTACGCTCACATGTGACTCAAGCACCGACTCGCATTTGCCTGTCTTGAGGTTCCACACGCGGATAATGCCGTCGTCGCTGGAAGACACCAGGCACAGCTTGTCCTTGCTCGGGTGAAACTTTACCGAGGTGATAAGGCCGCCATGACCCTTGAAGTTGTGTGTGCAGTACCCGTGGTCGATGTCCCAGACCTTGACTGTGCTGTCAGCCGAGCCTGTGGCCACTAGAGTGGATGTCTGGTCAATGTCCATCGTGATGATTGGCGCGTCGTGTGCCTTGAATGACCGCACTGTTTTGAAAGTTGATAGATCCCAGATGGTGATAAGCTGGCTGCGGCTCGCGGCAACAAGGTGCGTGCCGTCGGGCTTTACTGCAAACGATGTGACAATCTCTGTATCACCCTTCAGTTCTGCCACCTTTGCGCCGGTGCTGAGATCAAGCACCTCAATGTCCTCGTTGCATGTAGTGAAAAGCCGGGACTCGTCCTTGTCGATTGCCACACAGCCTCCAGTGTACACGGATTCGATTGACTTTACACAGTCAAAGCTATTCGGTTTGCAAAATGAGAGTACAAATGAACAGCACGCATTAGTAAGACTGGGTTACACAAAAAGGCATTTGTATTCGGGCGGAAAGCCCAAATAGGCAGGTGGGTCGGGGGCACACTTACCAGCTCTTGAGAACGACTTTATCGCCGTTTCCAGACATGTTTGTCGCTTTATAATGCCTCCAAGCAGGTCGTTCAGTCGTTTGCGAGCGTGGGTAACCGGGCAGGAAATAATATATACGAGTGGAAGGCAAGCGCGCTTGATAAAAAATACGTAAAGCGAAAGGGAATTCCTCTGGGAATGCGTGAAATAAATTTGCGTAACAAATGAACCAAGCGAAGGAAGCAAGGACCAAGTAAAGGGGAAAATTTTGTGCTTGATCTGGTATTGCTCGCACGCACATTTTTTTTGCATTTTTTCTTCTTCGTCGCTGCTGGATCACTGCGGCTAAATCCGCTGATTATAATTTTTATTTCTGCTTGCACCACTTGCCTTGATCGATTTGACTATCAGCGCACGCACCCATCAACCTATACGAGCAAGCACATATTCGCGAACTCAGGCGCTTTCTCCCTTCTATTCACGCATTGGTTTGGAATACTTTTTTAAAAATACTTTTTGAATTTCTGGCGCTGCCATTCACTCGTTCGCGCGGATTTCAACCTCAACCCCCAAACTTGCACCTTTCCTTTATTAATAAATATGAATTGCTTGACACGCACGCTTGTCCAGACTCGGCAGCCCGTCTTGGTCATACAGCGGGGGATGAAGAAGAAGAGCAAGATCCCCGTCACCTTGCTCAAGGATATCCCGCGCGTTGGCTCTGCTGGTTCGGTGATCCAGGTGAACAAGGCGTATATGCGGCATGAGCTGTATCCAAAGCGGATGGCGGAGTACGTGCTTACGCGTGAGGGGCCTCTGGATCGGACCAAGGCTGTGGAAAAGGAGTCTGGAACAGCACCATCCAGGACACACGTTGAAGCGCAGCAGAAGGTGCACTCGATGGCACTGAGCAACCAGGAGACCATAGGCCTGATTATGAAGCTCCAGCCGCTTGTGTTTGAGCGCAAGGTTGTTGTTGCCGCAGATGGTGGCGCCGAGGAGGGCGTGCAGGCAATCTATGGCTCGCTGGCAAAGACGGACGTTATCAAGGCGCTGGCTGAAGAGCATGGGATTGTAATTGACAAGGACGCGCTGAGCATGGATGACAAGATTAAGAGCGTTGGCGAGTACAGATGCGTGGTCAAGCTCATATACGCTGGTCAGGCATCATTCAAAGCGCAGGTGGTTCCGGCCAAGGACGAGTCGCAGCAGCAGCAGTAATGATAAATACAACGCGTTTCCTCCACAGACCCCAACCAATGCTTCAGCCTGAAGAAATAATGAAATATTACAAAGTTACAAAGTGCAGAATTGTCATATATCTTTGATGCAACCGTTTTATAGCTTTTCTCTATTGGTAACCCGCCGTGCCATGGCGCTGCACAGCATCACGTGCTGTAAAACAATGCTTTGCAGCGATGCAACGGCAGTACACCAAGGCAGTCATGCCAGCCAGCCTGCCAGCCAGCCACAAAGAGGGAGGGATGGCGCGGAAGCAAGATATAATCGGCTTTGCACTACAAGCAGCATCGTCGCCCGTTTACCGATTCATTCTTTCTTCCCCCCTTTCTCGCTTCTTTCTTTCCGTCCATTTCAAGCTTTTTCTTTTTCCTACTTTATTATTATTTTATTTTGCAAAAGCGAGTTTGGTCAACGACGACGACAACGCCTGGACAAACACACTTATTTTCCAGCATACGTAGCTCAGCTCGTCCTTTCCTTGCATCTGGCCTAGTATCACCACACGCGAAGTACATAAAGGTAGAACGAATGACAGCACCCAGCGACAAAACGCGCGGGATAAAAGCGTGAGTATTTTGCTGCCAGAATGCAGCCTCGCAATTCCCACTTTAATTGCAGGCTCTGTTTTGCGCTCATCTGTGACTAAAGAGAACCAGAATTGCAAGAGTTTATTTTATTTTCAGATTACATTGCACTACAAGTAAACACTAACCATCGTCATAGACACGAACATGAACATGAATATGTTGACCTGCGTGTAGTAACAACGAGCTTGGTGGCTCGCGTGCAGGCAAGTCCAACAGATGGAGCTCCGGCCCGCCTCAGATGAACCGTGCATCAAAGAGTCCGCAGGAAAGCTCCAGCGCCACCTCCGGCACAGCAAAAAACTCCCAGGCAACAGGCAGCGCGATTTCAATGTCGGCATCAGCTTTGGCATTGGGTCCAGCCAACCGCAGCTTTAGTGCAATCACGGGTGGCAACAGTAACGGCAAGGGAAATGCTGCCACTGGCATCAATGGCGGCAGCGGTGCCGGAACTCTCAGGGGTCGGGCGCAGATACAGGAGGCACCAGCTGGCTCTGCTCTGGCAGAATCGTGCGGATTGATAGAGGGTGAGGAGCCCGGCCAGGTTGAGGCTATGCACCAGCGGTTGCTGTTTATCATGTCATTTTTGGTTGGAAGCCAGGTCAAAGTCGAAACGCGCGGCGGGCAGTCGTACGTCGGGGTCCTCGACTCAATCAATCCGAATGACGCGCAGAGCGTGGTCTTAAGGTATGCATATGTTCAGGACAGCAGCAGGGCGACCCCGCCTGTCGATACGCTGGTAGTAACCGGCAGCGACTGCCTGTCTATCAGCGGCGCGGCTGCTTTTGCAGAGCACAGTGTCAAGGAAAGCTCGCGCACGGGCTTTAAGACTGATGCAGACATCAGCCGTATGGACAGCCAGATTGCTGCGCGCGAGCTTCACCGCTGGGTGCCCGACGAGAGCGTCGAGCTGGGCGGGCTCGAAAGCGGACTGGATCACCCGGCGGCAGGCAGCCAGAGTTGGGATCAGTTTGCGACGAACGAGCAGCTGTTTGGGCTCACGACGGACTTTGACGAGGAGATCTACACGACAAAACTTGACCGCACGCGCGCCGACTACAAGGAGCGTGAGCGCGAGGCCATCCGCATTGCGCAGGAGATCCAGAGCACGCCATTTGCAAACTCGCACGTGGCTGAGGAGCGGCAGGAGGTGGCGGGTGATGAAAGCGGCGTGATGGACGAGGAGGACAGGTACGGCGCAGTGCTCCGGCCATCGGGGGCGCCCGGAAAGTACGTGCCACCCTACTTGCGTGGCAAGGCCGACACGGCGCCCGCAGCCAAGCAGCCTGCGTTAAGCAAGGCCGAGAGCACCGAGAACACCGAGGCGCCCCAGTCTCAGTCTCAGTCTCAGTCCCAGTCTCAGCGTTCGTCTACGTCGCCGGCTGCCAGTGCAGCACAGGCCAACGCGTCCGCGGTGCCAAACAATGCGGTGGCAGCGGCAGCGCTGGCCAAGCTCAACATCGTCATGACTGGCCACTCTTCTTTGCAAAAGCCGAGCGATGCAGCAGCGACAGCCACAACCACAACTACAATCACAGCCACAGTCATAGCGCCTGGCACGCCGGCATCAGCGAGCAGCAATGCCGCGTCGCCCAGCTTGGCTGGCGACCCAGCAATCACCGCTCTGTCCAAGCCATCTAATATTGGCTCAGGCGGCAAACTGGCCAATCTCCGCGGGCTGAAGCACCGCACGGACGCCGCGGCGCTCAACAAGCCAATGGCCGACATCACAGAAAAACTCAATTCGGAGCGCGAGCGCATACAGCAGCACAAAATGGCGCTGCGGCAGACACGCATGTCGGAATTGAAGGAGTTCCAAAAGTCTTTCAAGCTGCACACGCCTATGCCCGAGGACCTGGCTGAGATTATTGGCGTCAAGAAGAAGCAGTCGCTGCAGCGGTCCGATTCTGAGAGCTCGACATCATCCGGCAACACAGCGCCGAGTAGTGAGGGAAGGCGCAAGGGGGGCACGCCAGAGTCGAATTTGAAATTGAATTCGGCACGGATGTCGGAACCAGCACTAGCACCGGCAGCACCAGCAGCAGCGCAACCACAGGCGCCAGAATCTGTTACGGCGGCAAAATTGGCCTCTCCAGCAGCAAAGGCGGTTTCACTATTGGCAGCAGCACCTACAACAGCTACAGCAATGCCCGTACCAGCGCCAGCGCCAAGTAGCCCCCCGAAGAAACCTGACACGCTGCCCAGTGAAAAGCCTAAGCTGACATTAACACCGATGCCCGCGCCCGCGCCCAAACAGCTACAGCCGCAGTCGCAGCAGCCCGATGCCGAGGGCAGCGACAAGAAGGCAACAGCATCATTCAAGTTCAATGCAAAGGCATCCTCGTTCAAGCCCAGCGCAGCCGCCCCTCCTTTTGTGCCGAAGCTTGGTGGCGGGAGTGTCGCATCGCCCGCGGCTGGGACTAGCGAGTTCAATCCGTTCTTTGGTCGGCGAGTTCTTAAAAGGGCGGCAGCTGCGCTGTGGGGCGGGGTGTTCCGCCCCTCTGACGCCAGCGACGACAGAGACAGAGACACCGGGCCGACGTGGCCGTTTGGGCAGCGCACGTACCGCAGCCAGTTTGTCGGCGACGAGCCCGAGGCGATGATGTACCAGCAGGCGTACATGCACCAGTACGGCTTTGGCTACTACAGCCCGTACCAGTACCCACCACATATGCCGATGATGCCACCCGGCGCCGCGCCACGCATGCAGCCGGGCTTCAGCGCTGGTCCATACGCACCATCCGCCATGGTCGGTGACGGGCGCTCGCCCGTGATGGGTCCGCTCCCTCACGTACAGGGTAGCGGCTCGGGAAGCGGCTCAGCGCTTGTGGCCACGACACCCGAGATGGGCCCGGCCATGCTGCCGCACCAGCACCAGCATCAGCACCAGCCCCAGCATATGCGGCCGGGCTCTGGCGCCGGCGCCGATAGCCCCGGCATGATGTACGCCCAGCTGCCGGGCCCGCCGGTGCATATGGGCATGGTGCCGCCTATGGGCTTTGGCGCGTACATAGGCCCTCCGCAGGGCTACGCGCCGCAGCAGATGCCGGTGCCCTTGCCAATGGGTTATCCGCAGTATACGTCCTCGCAGGCCTACGCTGCGTCGCCGCCCGGTATTGTCATGATGCATGGTGCTCCACACCCGCAGCAGCACCCACACCAGCAGCAGCAGCAGCACCAGCTCCAACATCAGCATCAGCATCAGTTCCAGCACCAGCACCAACATCAGCATCAGCATCAGCACCCCGACCAGCCTGGCCCTGGTTCTGCCCCTGGCAACCACCACGCCGGGGGCTACTAGCCAGCTGGGGTTCGGCGCTCGGTTCCTGGCTGTGTGTTGTGGCTGCTGTTGCACAACGGTCAACACAAAAAATTAAATAATCTTTTAAAAAATACAAGAATTTTTGCAGTAAATGAGTGTGTTCACCTTAACTTGCTTCTCACAACGAGTACTCCCTTAAAATTGGCAGGGCATGATTATTAGTTACGGTGCTATGCAGACTCAGCTGCCACGTGCACGCGCCATAGGGCTGCCGCTTGTGGCCCTCGCTTAAGGTCTTGGGACGTTAATTTTTTATCTGCCTTTGAGCCCAATTTAAAAAGAGACTAAAATTGCAGAACTCCCGATCGCTTTTACTCGCTCTCATTTTCTTTTCTTTCCTTTCCTTTGCTGTTTGCCTTTTCAATTATATTCTTTGCTTTTTTCAATTTAGAGACATTGTAGTTATTCTTTTTCTATTTCTATATTCTTCTATCGCCCGTATACACATATTTTTTTGGTTGAACAGCTCGACTAAACCTACCTTATCTTTAGACGCCGCTATATTTTCAAAGATGGCAGACGAAAACAACACCAGCATCAACTACACAGAGCACACCGAGCAGGTAGACTATGACGAGACGCCTGTGGTCGAGGACAGCACCCCTGCCACTGCCAACGAAGACGGAGGACTCGATGGAATTGTTGATCCTGAGCTGGAGGAGCTACAAAAGCGCATGCTTGAGATGGAGAAGGAGGCCCAGCGCCTGCGTGAACTCGAGGAGAACTTGTCCAAGGAGCCCACCGAAAACAGCCAGACAGCCGACGCGGATGACGTTGATTCGCGGTCAATCTACGTTGGCAACGTGGACTACGTGACGACGCCCGAGGAGCTGCAGGACCAATTCAAGGGCAGTGGCTCTATTAACCGGGTTACCATTCTGTGCGACAAGTTTACAGGGCACCCGAAGGGCTTTGCCTACGTCGAGTTTGCGACGACAGATGCTGTGACAAAGTCCCAGCTTTTGGACGGATCCATGCTGCACGGGAGGGCGCTCAAGGTCAACCCCAAGCGCACCAACGTGCCGGGCATGAACCGCGGCAGAGGCCGTGGCCGTGGCCGTGGCCAATACGGCTATCCGACCCGTGGGCGTGGCTTCCGCGGCCGTGGCCGGGGCTCCTACAACTTTGCACCGTATTAATGGTCCAGGAGCTGGGCCACGCGCGCCTTGCGTCTGTTTGCCACACACAATGCCATCAGGGCAGGACCAGCAGGAGCGCCAGCCTCTTTTGCAACAAAACAAAATTTGTTTTAATTTCATTTGTTTACAAAAAATCAAATCAACAAAACACATTTCATTACACACTATTCGTTATTCACGTTGAGCCTTGAGCCTTGAGCATGTCTCGAGACAATAATCGGAGATATTTAGATGGGGATCTGAATATCCATTAATTTTTCTCTTGTTGAGTTGTAATAGCCAGTTATACTGGCCTGAGCCACCGATGGCATCGGTATCACAAATTGTACAATCAGCTGTGGTTGCTGGTGCCTGGCTATGTCTGATGCCTGATCATCTTTCTATACTCGCTGTTTGTGTGCTTGAGTGATCTGCAACTCTATGCTGGCATGGGTCCATGGTTTTTGATGAAATTGACCAAGTGGAAGGTGTAGAAATTTGGATTCTGCACCACAAATGACCCCTCTGTTTTTCAGTAGCTGGTGGCATGGAAGGCGCGGGCTGTGTGGGATGTAGCTAGTCAACTGCGTTGTCTCTCTCTGCTTCAAAATAATTGACGTATGCAACCCAAACGTCGATGGACCGTTTAAAATTTTTACACAGTAGCTTAGTGCGAATATTATTATAATAACTAAGTAAAATAAAAAACTACATAAGTTGTTCACAGTAATTCCCTTGCGTTGGGTGGCAGCGCTGCTGATATAGCCATTGAGGGGACATTGTTGCTGATGTCCGAGTTCGAGGGATTGTGCTGTGCGTGGTAGTTGAGGCAACTGTCCTGGACTAGAGTGTTGCGAAACGTAAGCGTTCCAGTGAGCTTTTTTTTTGCCAGGGTCAAACTGGAACCACCATATCTGGAAAAGCTCAATTTTCCCCACAAATATTCAATTTTATTTTATATTTTACATCTTAAATTAATCAACATTTAACGTTTAAAAGGCGAAAAGCGCCATGAATACTATGAAAAGGAGTGAAAATAATTGTAGCCGTTGCCATTTTGAACAAGAAGTGTGTTTCATATTTCTTACGCCTGCCATCCTCGCTAACCTTTCGGCTTTAGTCTTTGCTTTTGCATAGCGATACAATTTTAAGTTTTCAAGAAACATTGTCAGCCCGACACTATGTGGTCTGGAGTCACGAGCTATTTGAGTGTGCTAGAACCTCTGTTATAAATTGTGTAACCAAGACAGCAAGTAGAAAAAAGGTATCAATCAGTCAATGTATTATATCCCGACCAATTAACGAGTGTCCACCTATTTTTCTGCTATAAAAAGGCGGTCTAAGTGGGCATTACAACCTCCGCTGCTCTTTGTCTTTTTTAATAGTTTTTTCTCTTATTTCCTGTTGAGAGTATTAGTATTTTTTATGCTTGCTTTTATCTACTTTTATGTCTTTGTTGTAGTTTTTGTATTCATAATCGACGTGGTCATCATGGTCATTGTAGTCATCATGCTGTCATGGCCGATGCGTTTGTTGTGTGCCGTCGCCCAGAATTCGTTGTTTGGGCGTGTAAAATTCGGAAAATTACTAACTGTTAGTAAGACAGTCATTAATGCGAGCAAACTTTACAGAAAACAACGAGCCCGCATGGCCAGCACAACGACAACTACAACTACAAAGGCAACAATGAATTGTGATTTACCGTTGTCGCTCGTTTTATAGGTGTCGTCTCGGTCGTATTTTTGTTATTTATGTAGCCGGTTCCTATCGCGCGTCATTGTCCACAGCTGCTGGTGTTGCCGTGCCTGCTAGCTTTGCCTGTCTTTGTTGTCATAATAACAGTTGCTGGCAGTTCTGACAGATTGTAGTGCAGTGCTGGCTGGTGATCGAGGATGATGATGCGATAGGGACTGGAAATAAACAAAAACAAAATTTAACCAAAAAGCAGAATTCCTGGCATTGTTATCTTAGTATATATGCATTAGAGCATTGTGGGATAGTCCCGTGTGCTGACCATTCGCGAATGGCCATTTCTCCGCTTAAAAATTACGAACCCATTGGTTCAATGATTTTCCATTGATTCAGTGATGTGATGAATTTCAAAATCGCATGGTTTATATTTTTTGAAGTGATCCTGTTTATTTTCTGTTGTGGGGAGTGACAAGCTAGTTTTGAGGTGATCAATCCGCTGGCAGTTTAAAAATTACTCACCAATGAACTGCGGCCCCAGGACAAAAATGTTGGGCACGGACTCGTTTTCAGGCAGGCAAAATAATAATCGGATACTTTTTCGTATTTTTTTCAGTTGGATTCTGCGAATGGCCCTTGAAATAAGCCGAAGATACGTTTTTGTATTTTATTTATTCATGCTTTCTCAGTTGTGTCAAGGCTGAGTTGGGTGTTCTGAAAAAACTACATATTTAACGTTATCACTCACACCCAGTCTATAGTTTTCACCTTTGGATCCCTTTCTTCTGTTCCATTTTATTTCTATCGACTTTATTTCTCTCACTCTCACTCTCACTCTCACTTTTTCTTTTTTGCTTAGCCTGCTAGCCAACTGATTTTCCGTTCAACACAAGCCAAAACGTCCACTACTCCAACTGCACTGCTGTATTGCACCTCTTCCGAGTATAAAGCCCAACTGCCTGACTACTTGACTGCCTGCCCGAATTTGCTCGCAGCCTCGTAGTTTTATATATATATATTAACATCTTGCCTGTTAGCGTTCACCGCCGACCTGCTAGAGTGTTTTTCCTCAACCGGAGAAGCACGCTTTCAAAAACAGACTCGAGAATCTCGCCCGTATCGCCTCTATCGTCGCGGTTTTTTGTCGGTGCGCCTCCCTGGGCATCGTCCGCGTTCCCTCTGCCGTTCTGAGAACAAAAGCTACAACAACTCTATTATTCCTCACCCGTATTTTTGATGTACATCTCAACCGAAGTATTTGAGGCAGACCAGCCACTGCTGCTGGATGTGCCGGCCAAGCTCAGCGGCAGCCTGGCGGCCGGAGCGCAGATGTCGCGCGGCAGCGTGGCCTCGACACTATATGCTGCAGCAACAAAGACTGACGCCGAAGACGCATTTTTTGTGGCAGATCTGGGCGAGGTCCAGCGCCAGTTTGTGCAATGGACGCAGCTGCTGCCGCGCGTGCAGCCATTCTTTGCTGTCAAGTGCAATCCTGATCCGTTGGTTGTCAAGCTGATGGCTCGTCTGGGTGCTGGGTTTGACTGTGCTAGCAAGGCTGAGCTGCAGCAGGTGCTGGATGAAGGCATTGGTGCGCACAACATCATCTATGCGCACCCATGCAAGCCAGCATCCCATGTGCGATTTGCAAAGGCTAATGGCGTCGAGATGATGACCTTTGACAATGCTGACGAGCTGGTCAAGATCCAACAGCTGTACCCAGGTGCAAAGGCCGTGCTGCGTATCCTTACCGACGACTCAGGGTCGCTATGCCAACTGGGGCTCAAGTTTGGCGCAGCGCCAGACACGACATTGGCACTTCTGCGCACAGCCCAGCAGCTGGGTGTTAATGTCATTGGTGTCAGCTTCCACGTTGGTAGCGGCTCCCAGAGTGAGTCTGCGTTCAACGACGCTGTACTGCGCGCGCGCCGCGTGTTTGACCAGGCATCAGTGCTGGGAATGCACCTGACGGTGCTGGATGTTGGTGGCGGATTCCCAGGCCGTGGCGACCAGAGCGGATTGGATTTCCCCACTGTTGCCGCTGTGCTCGGCGATGCACTGGAGCAGCACTTTCCGCCCAGCGAGTATGCTCATGTGCGCGTCATTGCCGAGCCTGGTCGCTACTTTGTGGCATCAGCCTTCACGCTGGCCGTCAATGTTGTGGCCCGCCGCTGCATTGATTGCGCCGACACACCTGCATTCATGTACTATGTCAATGATGGTGTCTATGGCAGCTTCAACTGCATCATGTTTGATCATCAGCACCCGACACCACGTGTGCTGACTCGCCATGGCCGCCTTGTCGACAGGCCAGAACTGCCCGAGCCAGCTGTATTTGAGAGCAGCATCTGGGGCCCTACCTGTGACTCGATTGACTGTATTGTCGGTTCGGGCAAACTGCCCGAGCTGCAAGTTGGTGACTGGCTGACATTTGACACGATGGGTGCGTACACCATATGTGCTGCTTCGCGTTTTAATGGCTTCAAGATCAGCGACGTTATCTATGTTGACACTGAGGGGGCACTGTTTTAGGTAATGTTGTGGGCAAGTGCCTTAGTACCCCTCCTTTTAATTCTTGAATGCATCATTTTTTTATACTTTCTAACATTGTGGTGCTAAACGAGTGAAAGTGTTGCACCGGGCAATTTGGACAACCAAGTCAACTTGCGCTGATAAAATATTAAGAGCAAGTAGGGCTTTATTCATGGCCAGCCAAGACATGTCAAATATACGTTCCATTTTTAAAGCCCACGCCATTAGGCGATCTGGTTGGTATATACATATGTATATTCTAAGAAGTTAAAATTTGGAAGTTTGAAGCATTATTTTTCAATGAGAACATATGAAGGCACATTCTATTCCGTCGCTTTATATTTGCTCTTCTCTGTAGCCAAAATATAACAAATAAGCATTGTTTCCTTCGCTGTCAATACTTCAAACAGTCGAGGATTTGACAAAGCCAATGTGTCTTAATCAAACCCTGACTGTAATATGTGTGTATACATAAGCTTATTTGAGTAAAATAATGGTGCTCAAAAAAACATGCCCACAAATTATATAATGTGTATATATACTTTTATGAATGTTCTAGCTAACAATTAAGATGTGTTAATAAGCTTCACCCGATTTACAAATGATTGCTTTTCATCTTTGTCCCCAAATTTCAGTAATGATTATATAGATTTTTGTTCAGTCTTTAGGTCCTCCTATGCCACATTTTTGCTTTTTCAAATAATCCACATTTGCTTATTAATTTAAAATTTTCATTTTTGACCATGCGCAGGAAAAATAATCTATTGGATCCATGATACAAATATTATCAATGCAATAATGGCGGCACTAATTATATACATTCCAACCACATGGTCAACTGAGTCCTCTTGAAATTTTCTTTTTCAACTTGATATGTATGTGTATGTGTATGTGTATTTTATACAAATTCTAAATATGATATCATCTCACCAGCAACTAGCCAACAAGTATAAACTTTAGATACAAAATGTTGAGTATGGCTACCTAATATCATAAATATCAAAAATGTCAATTGCACAGGCTCAATGGAATGGCCTTGTGATATTATAGCATTCGCCTGTTTATCCACAAGACACCTTATTAAAGCCACGGCATAAACTTGCTGCGGCAATAATACTTACAAGTACGCTTTACATTTTGATTAGTGTTAATATTAATATTCAGTAGTTAATATTATCACAAGGCAAATTTTAGCTGACTGGAATCCGCTGCTATATATGTGTATTCGTAATTGACCTAAACTTTCAATACTGAACGGCACTATGGCAGAACTGCTGCTAATGTTGTTTGTTATACTTGCTCGCTCGTTCCCAAATTGTGTGTTTCTCATTTGAAAAACTATATAATGGCTGCTATCAGTTCCCAATATCTAAGAATTTCAAACACAGTGAATTCATCATTTCATCATTAAACATTATCTTTAAAGACTAACTTTATTCGAACAACCACGATTCTGACATTCTCCACTTTTATTCCCAATGAAGATAACAAAGAAACCCGAGACAGATCAACTGCTGCTGATGCCACTGGACATGCCGTTCAAACACATTATCAAGGATATCGTGGGCTCCAAGACATGGATATCGCGTGAGAGTGTGCAATCGACTATCCGCAAAATGTCAACGGATGCTGGCACGAAAAATGCGTTTTTTGTAGGGGACATGTGCGAGGTCCAGCGCCAGTTTGTGCAATGGACGCAGCTGCTGCCGCGCGTGCAGCCATTCTTTACTGTCAAGTGCAATCCTGATCCGTTGGTTGTCAAGCTGATGACTCGTCTGGGTGCTGGGTTTGACTGTGCTAGCAAGGCTGAGCTGCAGCAGGTGCTGGATGAAGGCATTGGTGCGCACAACATCATCTATGCGCACCCATGCAAGCCAGCATCCCATGTGCGATTTGCAAAGGCTAATGGCGTCGAGATGATGACCTTTGACAATGCTGACGAGCTGGTCAAGATCCAACAGCTGTACCCAGGTGCAAAGGCCGTGCTGCGTATCCTTACCGACGACTCAGGGTCGCTATGCCAACTGGGGCTCAAGTTTGGCGCAGCGCCAGACACGACATTGGCACTTCTGCGCACAGCCCAGCAGCTGGGTGTTAATGTCATTGGTGTCAGCTTCCACGCTGGTAGCGGCTCCCAGAGTGAGTCTGCGTTCAACGACGCTGTACTGCGCGCGCGCCGCGTGTTTGACCAGGCATCAGTGCTGGGAATGCACCTGACGGTGCTGGATGTTGGTGGCGGATTCCCAGGCCGTGGCGACCAGAGCGGATTGGATTTCCCCACTGTTGCCGCTGTGCTCGGCGATGCACTGGAGCAGCACTTTCCGCCCAGCGAGTATGCTCATGTGCGCGTCATTGCCGAGCCTGGTCGCTACTTTGTGGCATCAGCCTTCACGCTGGCCGTCAATGTTGTGGCCCGCCGCTGCATTGATTGCGCCGACACACCTGCATTCATGTACTATGTCAATGATGGTGTCTATGGCAGCTTCAACTGCATCATGTTTGATCATCAGCACCCGACACCACGTGTGCTGACTCGCCATGGCCGCCTTGTCGACAGGCCAGAACTGCCCGAGCCAGCTGTATTTGAGAGCAGCATCTGGGGCCTTACCTGTGACTCGATTGACTGTATTGTCGGTTCGGGCAAACTGCCCGAGCTGCAAGTTGGTGACTGGCTGACATTTGACACGATGGGTGCGTACACTATGTGTGCCGCGACTAGCTTTAATGGCTTCAAGATCAGCGACGTTATCTATGTTGACACTGAGGGGCACTTATTTAGGCCATATGATAAGCTGTAATTGAGTACCCATTTTATATTTATTTAAATTCAGCGATGTAACATATTTCGCGCCAATTATCAATAAATATGCGCATTAATTACACATTTGGACTGATATGAGAGCAATCTAATTTACCTCTAAAATACGTATTAACTAAAGGTGTAAAGCTCTATTCATTTGTGCTTTGACCCATGTTTCAATCCACTTATCCAGAAATAGAAGCAGCAGAAAACAACAATTATACTTGCTACGAAAAGGCTTTTTTGCAATCATTTTCCTGCCGAAAAAACAACCAATACAAGTTATAATTTGCTGCCGCTTTGCCAAGCAAAAAGTTGGCGAGCAAATGAGGCTCCAGGGGCGGATCCCGTGGTTTTTTGTAGCTGCCCTTCGCGAATCACCGCGCGAATCGCGTACAATTTAAAAAGGAGAAAAGCGTGATGCAGCAGCAGCAGACGTGCATATGGGCGTGCGGGTGTAGTCTTTTCCAAAGGGGTTTTGCGCGCTTCACACATAATTCCCGTTTCGCCTCGTTTTCTTTCCGTTTTTATTTTTCCTTTATTTTTTATATTTGTGCAATCTTTCAGCATTTAACTTTTTTTTACCAGCATACAATCTTTGTCTTTTCTATATAACTGTTTTTATTTTTGTTTGCTTCAGCAAAGTATATATTTTCTATTTTTATTCTATTCCATTTGAAAGCCCCATCAGCTTCGCACAGTATTGCAATTTCGCATTTTTTGTTCACTACACTGTATTAAGCCCACCCCACAACAGCAGCAACAACTCCTTGTCAACTGAAAATGAGGTCAAAGTTTAAGGACGAGCATCCTCTGGGTAAGTTTTATTGTCTTTATTTTTCTCTTGCTAGTCCACACGCGCTGCAGGAGTCACTTGGTGCTTTGCTTTGTGAAACGTACACTCTTTTTCTTTAAAAAGGTCTTTATACTGACATTAATTGTGCCACCACCACTGTCCGTCATGTAGAGAAGCGCAAGGCCGAGGCCGAGAGAATCCGGCAGAAGTACCCCGACCGCATTCCCGTAAGTACACACCAACTGGCACACGCATTTGCGAACGGCAGACGCAATACGTCGCTGCTCGAAGGGAGGCAGAGCGAGTGCTTTTTGAACCTCGATGTTCACTTGTCTACGTTCGTGCGTGACACAGGTGATACACATGTTCAACTAACACGTGGGCCATCCTCTTTTTATTTCATTGATTATTTCCCCCTCCCTTATATCCTGCAGTCATCCTTCGCTTTAAACGGTGGCTTGCTGGCAAACTGCTTTTTTCCATTTATTCGTTGGCTTTTTCCCATCCTGTTTGTCGAATATTGATTATGCCCCGCCTTGCCTGCAAATTTACAAGAAACCCGACCGGCTTTGACTAACATCCTTGCGTTATTTTGTCCATTTGGTGTTTTGTCTCCTTTTGCTAACATAGGTCATCTGCGAAAAGGTCGAGAAGAGCGACATTGCAACCATCGATAAGAAGAAGTACCTTGTCCCTTCCGACCTCACAGTCGGCCAATTTGTCTATGTCATCCGCAAGCGGATCAAGCTCAGCCCGGAGAAGGCTATCTTTATTTTTGTAAAGGAGATCCTGCCACCCACCGCTGCACTGATGTCGGCCGTCTACGAGGAGCACAAGGATGAGGACGGCTTCCTTTACATAACTTACTCTGGCGAAAACACCTTTGGCGAAGAGCTGTGTCAGTGATGTTGTTCCCACTCAGCAATTGGGCTCGTGCTCGCAGCCAGGCAACCCCTCTGATCCATTTATCCATTCAATCCAATCCAATCCAATCCAATCCCATTCCATCTCACCCAGCCCTAACCTTCTCCCTTGCAGAATGATAGCGTCGCATAGTTGTTGCTCATAGCCCTCTTTTTAACTTTTTAGCGTAGTATTTCAATAGCCTAACAAATAGTTCAACATGTAGCTTTCATTAACACGCCTACTACCATTGCCACTGCATACACACAAATACATACATACACATTCATTCATATATCTTTCAGGCTTGGAAACAGTGGTTCGGGTCGACTGGAGCTCAAGCAATGACGAAACAAACATTATACAATTAAACGCAAAAAAAACAGCCCGATTTGGCGGTCTGGCTCTTGAAATTCCCAAATCCTCACGCGACTTGACTCGCCCGTGATTTAAGCGCGCAGATGTTTTGCCGCGCGTCCAGAAGCCGCACGCCGTCTGCGCTTAGAAGGCATCGAATCATCACTGTCCTCGCCCTCATGTTGATTCTCATCGTGCTTAGAGTTAGCTTCACTCCTTGCTGCTGCTGCTACTACCGCTGCTGGGATGGCGCCGCCTGCAGCTACCGCATCGGTGCCGACCATGCCACTGGTGACTAAGTTGGCACTGGCGCTGGCAGCGGAGCTTCCGCTACCAGCGATGGCACTGCCTTTTGGATTGTTGACAGCAGCCTCTGTCTGCAATAACTGCTCGATGCACGCCTGTGCATCCGGTATCATCTCCATCGCCATCTGATAGACCTCTGTGTCTTCGGCGTTGTACATTAGCGCGTTCATCAGCATGTGCATGATATCGCGGTAAAACTCAACTGTAGTGGTAATCTCCTCGTCACGGATCCGGTTCTTGATCGTTTTTAGGTCTATAGGCTGCCGAATAACATCATAGTAGTTAGGGGCGTCCGCAGACTTTATAGGGCCGATAAACATGCTGCCATAGCGATGTCCAGATATCTCGCGCCAAACGGTGGTAATATTTTTCTTCCAGTTCTTCAGCTGCTGCTCGTCAGCTGCAGATGCGGTAGGCTTGCTGGCAGTGGCACACGCTGGTGGCGAGCGCACCGAAACCTCTTCTTCAGCTGGGGAAATGTCCGGAGACTCGATGTCTTCCATCTTGGCCTCTTCAGTGCTCTCTCTGAATTCTGGATCAGGCGTCGCAACGGGTGATTTACTTGGAGTGGAGGCGGACTTGGTATCTTGGAAATTCGGAAATTCGTCTTCATTGGCATGGGCTCCATCGGATGCGGGATTAGAAAGCATCTCCAGTGTAGCTGGAACATCGCTATGTGCACCATCTTTAGAAGCATCTGGACTCATGGACAGCCGCTCGTTGTCATCGTCGTCAACCGATTCTGCTTGTGCATGGCCAGAGGTCTCCGAGCGAAGGTCATCAAGAGCATCTGCAGCCGCGTGCTCAGAATCCGCAGAGCTATTTGTACATTCTTTTTTATCGTTGCTCCCCTTATTCGCCAAACTTAATTGCTGCAGGCCACTGCTTTCCTCCATATCACCCCCAGCGCCATTTATGACAGGTGGTTGGCGTTCAGAAAAATTGACCTTCTCCTCAGCATCAGCACCAGGGCCATCTTTGTCGTCGTCACTGTTGTCGTTGCCATTGCCAGAGCTACTTACCGATACATCTTCAGGTTCTTCCTTGGGAGTCGAATATACTTCGGTCGGAGACAATGCAGCATTGTGAAATGCACTCTCCTCATCAGCCCCACGTCCCTCACTATTGGTATCCTCATTATTGCCGACCGCAACTGCTCCTGAGATTATGACGGCTATGGAATCAGCAAGGTTTGGGCTAGCTTGTGACCGCTGGGCGCGGGTAATGGCAGAGCCAGATTCAGCTTTGCCGACCTCCTGCTTCTCTAAAATCAGGGTGCTATCGGCAGCACCCACACTGGCCTGTGCAATGGCGCTCTCGATAACACCAAGCGTGTCCCGAATCTCGCACAACCTCTGCCCCTTCGCGCGGTTGAGCGCCTCGCCAAGCACAGCTCGGTCCCCAGCAATCCTTTGTCCGCCAGGCAAGGGGTCACCAATTGCCGTCTGGTATATGCGCTGGCAGTCATCGCGAGTGTATGCTCGGGGTCCCTGAAGCACGCCGAGCGTGCGGTTACGGAGAAGATTCGCTATTTTGTCCCAATCTTTCGTGTCAAGCGCAGATACGAGTGATAGCACAGCCAATTTGTCTAGCGTAGTGTAGTCGCGTGTTTCTGCTGGCGCTAACGGACTGCCCTGAGCCATTATTTTATAGTTGTAGGAATTGAAAATGAAAATGAACCAATAAATAAATAAATAAAGCGCGTTGAATTGTTGAAAAATACAGCAACGGTCCAGGCCAGAATGATGAGCGCTGCTCTGTAGGGCGCTGTCGAAACCGAAGTGGGCAGAATAAAGGCTCATGGGGCGCATTCACGTGCCTAGCGCAATTTGAAATCGCGCTGCTTCTGCTGCTGCCAAAAACTTTTCATGTACTTTGTTGCCACATACAGCAAAGCAGAACAAATTTAAAACATGTATTGAAAGGATGTAAAATATAGCAGAAAAGGCGGCAGAGCCTCAAGAAACAATAATGCCCTGCTGCTCGTAGAACACAATGAGATCAGCCATCGGCGCAATGTCCTTGCGGTCGAGGAGGTCAAATTCCTTGGCAAACGATATGAAATGCGCAAACAAGGAGTTGATGTGGCCCTCAATCCTCAAGTTCAGCAGCTCGACGTAGTGCGACCAGTATACATGCGCCAGGATTCGGAACAAGTGGCGATAGATGACACATAAGGTGGCGCGAATATCCTTTGGGAAATCAGCTCCAATTTTTGTTGGAAACACGCGCTCGTCATCAAGCGTTGTCTGGATCTGGGACAAGACGTAGTCAATATATTGCGGGGCCGCCAGTTTAATGGTCTTACGTTGTGTGTCGGTCCATGTATACTCAGTACTGGGCCCTGCGCTCATTGTCGGGCACTCGTTGATTGTGCAAAAGTCAGTGATCACCCCGTAAAACATGTTGACTAAGTTGAAAAACTCGAATGTGTTTATTGACAGCCATTCATTGAGGTCTGTGTATTTCGGCAGCTGCACCACGCCCTTGAAGCTTCCCTTGACTAGGTGCGACAGCGCATGGTTCTTGCGTAGAAATAGTGGCGGCTGGACTTTTGCTGCAGCTGACGACGGCGTGCTGGATTGCTTCTGCTTTCCAATACCAGTGAGTTTTCTACAAGTAGGGAGCGCCAGAAAGAAAGAAGGGGCAACAAGTGAGTTGGAGATTCCCTCAGTTGGGTTGGAATTACGTTTGGTGGCAAGGCCATTTGCTCATCTCATCAGCTGTGTAAAGCGAGCGCTGTCGCTTGAAATGGCGCTTTGTGCTTACCCAAGTCCAAAGAAGCTCATTTAGTAGTGCGTTTATGTGTACTGTTTGGGTAAATTGGAGAAGGGCAAATGCTATTAAAATGGCAAAAGGCGGAAAATAAAATATGAAATTTTTGTGGGAGAGAAAGATGACAGCAACCACACGTGAGCGTACTGCAGGTTGTTGACCAAAAAACCCCTTTTAGCAATTTTGATCTACGTTATTTGATTTATTTTTCGTGGAAAATTTAAGTGCACGCTTGGGGATCCGTCCACAAGGGCGCAACAAACCCTAACTCTAGGCTTAATCAAACTTGATAGAGTGCGAGGCCATTGTGATTGCGCCTCCGCTGTAGGATCCACGCTTCTTCTTGTTCTTCTCCTTGGTGAACCCCTTGCCTCGGGTGACAATAAGATCCATATGGGCCTTGTAGCCAAAGTCGTTATCTACACCACCCTTGGAAGTATATCTATTGTCCTTCAGTCGCTCATCGACATAGACAACATCCTCAGGCTTGATGCGGCAGAAAGGAACCTTGGGGGCGTTCCGAACCTCACCGCGTTTGGCGCTGTTGTTGGGCGTTGGCGCTACGGGCTTAACAGGGGCTGACTGTGGGGTGGCCTTGGGATTAGCAACGCTGGACTTGGCTGGTGTCTCAACAGTCACCTTTCTCTTTTTGGCAGGCGCCTTGTCTTCATCGCTGCTGCTGCTGCTGCTGCTGCTGCTTGAGCTCGAGTCAGAATCAGAGTCCGACGAAGAGGACGACGACGACGAAGAAGACGACGATGAAGAAGACGATGAAGAAGAAGAAGACGACGACGAAGAAGATGACGACGACGAAGATGACGACGACGAAGAAGATGACGACGAGGAAGAGCTGCTGCTGCTAGAATCGCTTTCCGAGTCGGACTCAGACGAGGATGAGCTTGAAGACGACGAGCTCTCCTTTGCGGGCTTCTTCTTTTCAGCCTTCTTCTCAGTTTTCTTTTCAGCCTCTTTAAGATTCTGCTTGACGTCCTTGGAAATCACAGTCTCCAAAAAGGCCTGCACGGTTTTGTCATCCTTGCCTGTCTGCGCAGCCTCGGCGACAAGTGTGGTGACTGACCATTCGAGGCCAGAGTCGGCCAGAAGCGCATGGGCGTTCACAAGATCAGCAACCTGGGATTTTTTCACCATTTTCAGAAAGCGTCAATATGTGTGTGTATGTGTGTCGAAGCCTTTATATATAATTAAAAGTGTAAGGTGGCGATTGTAAAGAAAACAAACAAACAGGAGTGGAAAAGAGAAGAAACGATCCAGCTGAACGAACTGGTCTGGCCAGTTGGCAACGGTCGCACTTTTTTCTTGGACTACAGCAGGGCTGAACAAAGCAATGCCTAAAAAAAATTTATGCGATCAACAAAAAAAGCGACTCGCATCTCACGGCTCGCAGCTCGCTCTGCTGCGGGTTTTCAAATTCAAAGAGCAAAGTTAAAAAGGGGAAAGAAAGGCACACCAGGTGCTTTTTATTTTACGTGTTGCAATTCCTTTCTAACTCGACCCTTCCCCTCGTCACTTTACGTTCCAAGACACAAAAAACACCCACCCATCCACTCTTTCACTCACATTTTAAATTTACACTTCTTTTCAAATTAAATCAAACACTTGCATTCACGCAAACACACACACACAAACAATATACCTTCTCTCAAAGACATGGACGCAGAAAACGGATTAAAAATGTTTGAGCTTGAGAATGGCATAGTGCCTCTGAGCAAGAGCGACGAAAAGGTGTACTGCTTTGACAAGGATCTCCAGAGACAGCAGCTCGACACACAGCCATGGAAGAAGAACATCTACCACTACCGCAAGGTCGAAATCTCGTCGATTGCGCTGGTCAAGATGGTGATGCATGCGCGTTCAGGCGGCGATATCGAGGTGATGGGGCTCATGTTGGGTAAGGTTGTCGGTAACACGATGATTGTGCTGGACGCGTTTGCGCTTCCTGTCGAGGGCAGTGAGACACGAGTCAGTGCGCACCAGGAGGGCTACGAATACATGGTACAGTATCTGGAGCAGAACCAGGAGGCTGGCCACCAAGAGCCCGTGGTCGGGTGGTACCACTCGCACCCAGGGTACGGCTGCTGGCTTTCAGGAATTGACGTGGAGACGCAAATGGCCAACCAGAAGCACCAGGAGCCGTTTCTCGCGGTAGTCATCGACCCCAAGCGCACGATTTCGGCGGGAAAGGTGGAGTTGGGTGCTTTCCGCACGTTTCCCGAGGACCAGCAACCAAAGGGCGGGGAGGGCACAGATGCCGAAGGGTTCCAGAACATCCCGCTGAGCAAGATCGAGGACTTTGGAGTGCACGCGCAGCAGTACTACCCCCTGGAGGTGAGCTACTTCAAATCGTCGCTGGATGACAAGCTGATGGAGCGCCTGTGGCGTAAGCACTGGATTAATACCCTGTCACAGTCGCCGCTGATCACGAACAGCGAATTCACGACACTAAAGCTGCAGGAGATCACAAACAAGGTCAACATGCTGACCGGCGGCGGCAAGAAAAACGTGTCGTGCGCGCACGTTTTGCGCGAGAGCGACGCGATTGCGGAGGAGATCGCGCAGGGGCACAAGTCCAACGAGATCAAGAAGAAGCTGTTTGGCGGGTTATAAGTGATGGAGTGTATTTTTTAAGTGGCAGCAAAAGACAATAACACACTAACAAATCCACAACCAACGGGGCAACCTCGGAGACTGTGTTTACGCACCTGCCTTTACATTTCGTTGAAAGTTAGTGTGTTAACAGTGAGCTCATGGCAGTTATAGACGTCAGTTGTTTAACACAGGACAGCGCTTCGTCAAAGGAACAGGTGGATCTATGGATCAATTTTCTCTGGGCGAAGTATATACGTTTTTTGTCCTGCGCATCAAATTCTAGTTGCCTGCTTATAAGGTGTCTTTTTTCCTTGTGCTCGTATTTTTGTTACTGTGGAGTTCACATTGCAACATCCAATTAGAGGTGCGATGCTGGACCGCTGCCGAAAAAGAGATAGAAAGTGTAAGAAAGTGAGAAAGCCCTGTAATCATATCAGCTTCCGTAAAGCTTGCGCAGCGACTCATAGCGCCGCATGTCGGCCGCAGATACCGATGGCGATGTGCGCAGCAGCGCGGTGCGGAAGTGCTCGCGGGTCACCTGAAGGCCATGGCCGCTCGTTGCACTGGTGGCAGCAGCGTCACAGTCCTCAGAGAAGAACACGGAGTGCAGGGCGGCGACTGATGCCTCGCGGATGAGCCCAGCAAGATCGGCACCACTGAGGCCCTCGCAGCGCTCATCCGAGGCAATTGCACAGAGGTCAACATCGGCAGCAAGCGGCGTGTTCTTGGACAGCGTGCGCAAAATGTCGGCGCGCTCGCCAGGCGTGGGCAGCTCGACGTACAGCAGCTTGTCAAGACGGCCAGGGCGCAGCATGGCAGGATCGATGATGTCGGGGCGATTGGTTGCGGCAATGATGTACACGCTCTTGCGGCCCTCCATGCCGTCGATCTCAGTCAGCAGCGTGTTGACGACGCGTGCTGATGCCTCGCTCTGGTCGCCGCTGCGGCGACTGCACAGGGCGTCGAGTTCGTCAAAGAAAATAACGCAGGGGCTCGACGCGCGCGCGCGCGAGAATACCTGGCGCACAGCGCGCTCACTGTCACCGACGTACTTGGACATCAGCTCGCCGCCCTTGACGCTGATAAAGTTGGTGTGCGACTCGTTGGCAATGGCCTTGGCCAGCAGCGTCTTGCCGTTTCCTGGCGGGCCCCACAGAAGCACGCCGGCCGGCGCCGTGATGCCAACCTGGGCAAACACCTCGGGGCGACGAATCGGCTCGACAACGGCCATGCGCAGCTCCGAGCGCACGGCGCTCAGAGCGCCAATATCATCCCACGTAACGCCTGGCACCGTCGCGAAGCCCTCGCGCTTAGCCGAGGGCTGCACCTTCTTCAGCGCAAGCAAAAAGTCGGAGTTCGTAATTGCAAGCGGGGCCAGCTCGGCCGGTGTCAGCGGGTCGGGGTGCCGCTCCAAGAACGCAGCGATCGTGCGCAGCCGGTCGGTGGCTGGGCGCGCATCCCACTGCGCAGGCGTGCTTGCAACGGGCGCAGGCCCATCGACAACCATATCCTGCTCGGTGTCTACATCGGCGCCGACATCAGCATCGCCATTGGCATCAGCGTCGGCAATGTAAATGGGTCTGGCATTAGGTTCAGCGCCCTCCATCGCCGCTGTAGCCAGCTGCCTGGCCATTTCCGCAGCCATGTCTTCGCCACACTGCATCTTGTGGAAGATGCGCTTAACAGCGATCATCCCGGCAGCCGTGGTCAGCGCAGTAAGATCGGCGCCGACGTATCCCGGAGTGCGCTTCGCCAGCTCGCGGATGTCAAAGTCGCCGGCCAGCAACAGCTTGGTGCACAGCACGTTTAGGATCTGCTCGCGCGCATCCTCGTCGGGCACGGACATGGCAATCTCACGGTCAAAGCGTCCCGCACGCCGCAGCGCCGGATCCAGCGAGTCGGGGCGGTTGGTCGCGCCAATCAGCATCACCGGCCGGTTATCGGTCTTATCCCACGACAGGTCGTCGATGCACGTGAGCATCTGCGCCACAATACGCCGCTCCATCTCGCGCTGGGCGTTTTCGCGCTTGGGCGTGATCGCATCGATTTCATCGATAAACACAATGCACGGCGCCAGCTCGCGCGCCTCCTCAAACACCTCGCGCAGCTTCTTCTCCGACTCGCCCGACATGCCCGACACAATCGACGGCGCAGAGATCTGCAGGAATGGCACGCCAACCTCGCCGGCAATGGCGTTCGCAAGCAGCGTCTTACCGCAGCCTGGCGGCCCGTGCAGCAGAACGCCGCGCGGCGGCTGCACGCCTGTGTGCAGGTAGATCTCAGGGTGCTTCAGCGGCATTACAATCAGCTCCAGCACCTCCTCAATGCACGCATCAACGCCGCCCAGGTCGCTCAGCCGCGTCTCCGGAGGCGTGTATCGCGTGCGATCTGCCGCCTTCACCCGCTTCTTTTTGCGCGCGTCCTTGTCGCCGGCCTTGGTGCGGTCGCTCTCTTTGCTGCTGGCTGCCTCGGTTACGGCGGGCTTGTCGATCGAAGCCGGGTCAGCCGCGCTGCTCCGATCGGCTCCAGCGAATGGCGTTGCGGGCGCAGAGGATGTCGTTCCGACTGCCGTGGCCGCGCTTTCCGACCGCGCGCCCCATAGTCGCATCAGCGATCCGTTCATCGCATTGTTGTTTTTGACCTCCATCGTCGGCACTGCCTCCAGCCCGTCAAAGCGGAGCGATCCGTCAAAGTCCGGCTCCTCATCGCTGCTGTGCGCCTCGGTGGCACCTGCAGACGGCGTAGCCGCAGCCAGCGCCGAATTTTCCTCCTGCTGCTGCTGCTTTAATCCAGGCAACACCCGCTGGATGCTGCTCTCGATCAGCACAACCTTTTGCCGCTTGAGGCTTATATCCATGTTGAGCACGTAGTTGACCAGAGTGCGCGTACTGGGGAAAGTAAAGGCCTCGCCAGTAGTTAGCTGCTCTTCCAGCATGTGGTTGCGGAGAATCTGGTATATTTTGCGGTCCATATCGGACATCCTGCCCTCTGGGCGCTGTCTCTTGTTACTGCCAGTCATGCCGTATGTGTCGTGGTGTGGTGTGGTGTGGTGTGATGTGATACGTAGTGTGGTGTGATGTGGTGTGCCAAAGTGTGCTGTACTTTTTGACTCCAAGGGTCCGGTGTGCAATTAGCGCAAAAATATATTTTAAGATAAGTATATATAAGCCCAATTGCTGCGAAATAGAGACAGCAGAGGGTAAAAAAAATAGCATTTTTGTTATTTTTCCTCTTATTTTCTTCTAACCAAAAAACATTGATTTTGCGCTTGGTTAAGAAAAATTAGGTGATCAGTGAATTTGAATTTGGCCAGCATATTCCCGCCCTCCAGCTGCCCATTCCACTTCCACTGCCTTTTGATGCTGTTTGTTTTCCTTTTTGTCTTGCGCGCAACCTTTTTGTTCAATCCATCCCGTATTCGGCCTTTATTACAGCACAGACATGGACAAGGGCATGGTCAGAGATATCACCAATGAAGCCACAGCAAAACCGCCCGCAGCGGCAGAGTGCCCGATCATAATTGAGGCTGACTTACCAGAGGCGCTTATGCATGAGCCAGCAGTGCCTGCGACGGCCAGATTCAACTTCCCAATGCGCGGCAGCCCGCAAATGCTGACCGCACCGGGCGGCGCGCAGGGCCGAGCCAAGAAGGTGGCCCTGAAGCCCGGGTTTTCTCCGCTTGACTGGGCGCGCCTGGTAAAGTCCGGCGAGAACCTATCCGGAGTCCCAGTGCCCCGGCCCTACACTATGGACGAGGTCAAGCTGCACAACAAGCGCGACGACTGCTGGATGGTCATCGGCAACAAAATCTACAACGTCACCAGATACATGGACTTCCATCCCGGGGGCAAGTCTCAGCTAATGCGCGCCGCCGGCAAAGACGGCACAAAGCTGTTCTACGAATCACATGCTTGGGTCAACCCAGACAACATCTTAGGCCCATGCCTGGTGGGATTCGTCGCTGGCCCAGGAGGCTTCTAAGCGCGAAACGTTTATATCTATCTATCTATCTATCTATATTTTTGCTGCTATATTTAATACGGAGCAGGGTTGCTCTCTGGTTTTAATGGCAAATATACATGGAAACTAAACTACGTTGGCAGCAGCCTGTGTTTCAACGGTTGGTCCTGGGTGGATACAGGTGTGCGGGTGGCCAGAGGGACTCAGGCGCTCTTTACGTGGTATGTCTTTTTCGCAAGCTTCTCGATTTCCTGCCGGCTGCGGCGCATGTTGAGCTGCGCATAGCTTGCAATCGCAAGATTCAGCACCGGCAGTAGCCACCAAATGAACTCAAAGATTCCGCTTTTGCGGCACGTCACCGCATGCACGCTCCCGGCCGCCATAAATATGCCCAGCACAGCCTTGGCAATCGAATCCCAACGCTCAGTCGACAGCAGGTAAAACGTAAACTGCAGTATGACCACCGAAAGCTCTGTGCCCACGACTGGGTGCTCCGAATAGATGCTGACGCCGACGACTGGCAGTTTTGCGCCATTCATGTGGGCTGACGATCCAAGGCCGCCGGTCGCGTAGTTGTAGATGAACACTAGGTTCATCACCAAAATGGCCACTGTAGGCATCTTGAGAAAGGTCGAAAACGTCTTTATGTCAGCCTCGTTCTCGACCACAAGCTTTTCGAGCAGGCGCTTCTGCTCCTCCTCTGTCAGAATGTCGTATTGCTCCTCCAGCGGGACATTATTGTCCGGGTCGAGCATACGCAGGCTATCTAACTCGCTGCGCGCGGCTTGCTTCTTTTTATTCTGGAGGTGGGACAGTTTCCCCGTAGCCCCGTTACTACTCATAGCGGAGTGTTCAAGCAGGCGGTGCTCGGTATGTATAGAGGAGGGCAAGCGGGTGATGCACAGGATGCTGCTACTAGCAAATGAAAGGCGCTGTATCTAAAAAAACTGTAAAGTAAAAGGTAGAAAATGGAAATTGGCGAGATAGCGAGAGAGAGAAGAAAAAAGAAAAGGAAAAAGGAGAGGAAAATGCGTGTTTGTTTGAGGCTGAGCCAAGCTCTATATCCAGAACAGCTGAAGGCGATGACAGAACGATTAAATCAAATATCTAATCGAACATATCATTTAATCCAGCGCACCTGCGCCTTTTTTCTCTCACTGTTGCAGGATCAAACAGCCTGGTGAGTGCATTTGCAATTTGCATTCTTCCTTTGCTCCTCAAACTTATTTTTTCGCACTTGCTTTGTTAAATACACCCTTTGTCCTGCTTGCTTTAAGTTTAGGCAGTGAACCTTTCCTTGCTTATACACTTTCATCCGTCGTCGGCTGGCTTGCGCACTCAATACAATATTGCACCCGATAATGATGCTGCTTTGCATGGCAGGAAAGGCAGGAGGAAGGTCCATTTGCCCGTCCATTCGGTTTGTTCGGTCTTGCGGTGTCTCCTCGCTGATGTCGTGTCATCGCATTCCAGGATCAAACCCTGCGCTGACCACTGGCTCTGCTTCCCCATTTATTGTCACTAGAGCCAAATTAACCTGGTCCAGAGCTCCGACGCTTCTGCAGAGTACCACGAGAATCAGCAAATACAACAAGCCGCCTATTTCCATAGTCTCTACCATCGGCACTAGACACATTACCAGCAAGCCCGCTGGCCAAAGCGCTGCTCGATCCACAGTCAGCACCGACACGGCCAGCACAGTCTCGCTGGTGCAGTACGGCCCGTTTATCAATAGATTCCCAGAATCAATGCGCCCATATCTGTATCTGACCCGAATGGACAAGCCCATCGGGACCTGGCTCCTATACTGGCCGTGCGTATGGGGCATAGGAATGGGCGCATATGCGACTGGAATTCCCATTGCCAGTATGGCATACCTTATGGCATTGTTTGGAACTGGCGCCGTTGTTATGCGCGGGGCTGGGTGTACCATCAATGACATGTGGGACGTCAAATTCGACAAAATGGCAAGTACACAATAGCACAAACGCGGCACAAACTGCCATTCCTGCATACTGCCACTTCTAGATGGAGAACTTTGACTAAGCACGCTTTATTCTCTCCCCGATCAACTCGTTTGTGCAATTAACCATTTGTAGGTTGAGCGCACCAAGACACGCCCGATTGCGTCGGGCGTTATCAGCCGCCCAAAGGCGTTTGTCTTTCTCAGCGCACAGCTCGCTGCAGGCCTTGCCGTATTGGTGCAGCTAAATCCTTACACGATTGCATTTTGTATGGGGTCCATGCCGCTGGTGATCATGTATCCATTTATGAAGCGCATCACATACTGGCCCCAACTAGTTCTGGGTCTCGCCTTCAACTGGGGCGCACTCGCTGGCTGGTCAGCAGTGGCGGGCGGAATCGATTGGGCCGTTGCTCTACCACTCTACGCAGCCGGCGTGTCGTGGACATTGGTATACGACACGATCTACGGACACCAAGACAAACGGGACGATATTGCTGCAGGCGTCAAATCGACGTCCTTGCTTTTTGCAGAAAACACAAAGGCGATCTTGTCCGGATTCTCTACTAGCACCATAGGTCTCTTGTGTCTGTCGGGTTATATGAATGGGCAGGGAATACCATTCTACGCCACTGTTCTGGGCGCCGGCACTGCTCACTTGGTGTGGCAGCTGCGCAAAGTCAACATCAACGATCCCTCGATGTGCTGGAAAATTTTCAAATCAAACACTTGGTTTGGTGGTATCATTTTCAGTGCCATTTTGGCTGACCTTGTGTACACCCGTTATATGGCAAAAGTTGAAGACGAAGGCCCTTTGTTGGTGAAGGCCAAAGCTTAGCTTGTGTGCTGCTAAAACAGCATGTACAAGGTGTCATTTTATTAGAGATTTTCACATTTTTATTTGGTGCAAAATATAAATGAAATTATTTATTTTTGTTTGCATTAAAGTCAGCTTGATGCTGCGCACAGACCGGGGCGGGCAATTCTTAAAAGTCTCCTCCCAAGATCGTCTGGGTTTTGGCGGCTGTGGCGTCGGACCGCCAAAAACAATATTAAAAAGACGGAAATCACAAGCGGGGGGTAGCTAACTGCACATTTTTGCATTTTTGCGGTGCTTGGATGCTTCTACACGTGACGCATGATTTTGTTTTAATTAGCAGGCGTGATTATTGGCTGTTGTTTGAATGGCTTGCGAAGAGCGCTGCAGCGTACCATCACACGCTTGCAATTTATTTCTTTTTGTTCCCGCGCTTTTGCTGCTTTGCCAGCGCACAGCCAATCGCATCGTTTGCAGCCAGGCAGGGGACGAAAAAAGTAAGCAAAGTGACACACACACACATTCTCATTTCTTTTTTGCAGCGATTTTCCTTGCATTTCGGCCAGCTTCCATCACATAACATATAATTTCCCCCTTCTTTTTTCTCTCTTTTTTCCCCATCGCATTTTTCTTTCAATTTTGAAAATTTCCAGCGCCAAAAAGGAACAGAACGCCAAAACAGCAAAAAACAATAAAAAAAAAGTTCCCAAATTGCCACTGCCAGAGCCACTATCCGCGCTCCTTTTCCATTGCTTTTTTATTGCACTTTATTTATTGTCTTTCATTTCAATCGAGCACGTACTTTTTTTCGGCTCTTTGCTCACTGCCCCCCCTCCCCTCATCTTCCCTCCTGCTCTGCCACTCAGCACCTCGCAAGCACACACGCAGGAGAAAAAAAGGCACCATCCTGCCCTCTGCGCTCTCCCCCTATTAGCCGCTCGCCTGTTCGTCCGACTGTCACACCACTGCCCATCCCATCTGCCTTTTTTTGCTTTATTTTATTTTCTCTGGTAACTTAACTGCCAGAGCCACAAACAGCAACAGCAACATCGGTACCGGATTTCTTGCTGCATAACCTGTCCCTTCTCTCACTTTTCCCAGAGCCATCGCCGCATTGTTTTTTTTGCGTCTCTTCTGACACGAGACGGTCTTTTTTCGTTCACCAACACATACTTTTTTTTTGCTTGTGGGCCAAAGCATAGCAAACGTAAGTGCCAAACATACCCACTCATTTCTTGCTTGACTCTCACAAAATAAAAAATACTCGAGAGATTCGCTGTCGCGAATCAGTAGCAGCTCTCATTAAGCTCAATTTACTCTCAAAACACACATACACACGTATAGGCATTCATTCCGTCCTTTTTTGGTACTAACCGTGCGATATGCAAATACAGCCCTTGCCGGAATCCACACCCACACCCACACCCACACCAATGCCAACAGCAACAGCAACAGCAACAGCAGCAGCAGCAACATCGTCGGCAGCGTCAGCATCGGCGGGGATTGCGCCGGGCACGCCGGGCGCGACTGCTGCTGGCGCCACACATGCCATCCAGGACAATGTATTGACAAAGGACAAGCTGCGCCAGATACTGATGGTGATCCAGGCCTTGCGTAGCAAAGGTGCGACTGAGCAGAACAACGCAGAGTACGCCAAACTGATGCACATAATGCGCGTGGTCAACGCTCAGCAGCAACAGCAGCAAATCCAGCAGCAACAGCGGCAAATCCAGCAGCAACAGCAACAGCAGCCACCCGCAGATACCAGTGCTAATGGGATTGATAATGCCAATGCTAGCACGGAATCACAGCCACAGACGTCTTTATCAGCCAATTCTGAAAACTGCGCCGTTTCTGCGCTAGGCGAAGCCATCCCGGCCGTGTTAGCGTCCAGCAACACTGGCCCAGCAAAGCCAAACTCCGCCTCCTCTGTGTCAATGTCAGCTTCTGGACCATTCCCAGATATCGCGCCAAGACCGATAGTAGCAGCAGCAGCGGCTACATCACCCCAGCCACACACCCAGCAGAGCCAAACTCAAAGTCAGCAGCAGCCACTGGCCCTAAACGCTTTGTCAAAGCCACCCCAGTTCACGCCCGACGATATTGCCCGCCTGCGCAAGCAGATCCAGGCATTCCGCCTGGTGGCAAAGAACATGCCCCTGCCGCCGTTGCTGCGCCAGGAGCTGTGGGCGAGCAGCCTATCAGATGAAGAGAAGCGCCTGCTGGACGCGCCTCCACCCAGCATAAATACAGCAGCCGGAAACACGGTCGAGTCCGTGCACCAAGCCATCCACCAGAACTTTGATTCTAGCGGAGCCTCGACGCCCGTGTCTGCAGCCACAAACGGAACGAGGACGACCTCGGCCAATATTCCGGGCATCGGTCAGGTCAAGGTGCAGCTGGTTCTTCCGCCGCTGCCACAGAGCATTGGCTTTGTGTCGCCGCACCTTCTGCTCAGAGACAAGCTGGCCGCGGCCGGCAATCAGGCGGCGCGGCTGCAGCGCCTGCTGGTGCCGAGTATCACACCCAGTGGCATTGACGTGCGCGCTATGGCCCGCGAGCGCGAGCAGCGGCGCGACGCGCGCATCGAGTACCGCATCAAGGAGCTGGCTGCGCTGCCTGCCACAGTCAGCGACGAGGGCCTGGACGTGGGCCTGGCGCCCGGGTCTGTGTACGAGCGCCCAGGCCTGCTGAGTCGGGCCGAGTCCAGCGCGCGCATCAAGGCGCTTATCGAGCTCAAGGCCCTGGGCCTGCGGCACAAGCAGCGCGCGCTGCGCAACGAAGTTGTGCGCAGTATCACTCGCGCCTCGCAGCTAGGCGTTGCTGGCGACCGGTCGGCGCTGCGGCGCATGAAGAAGCAGTCATTGCGCGAAGCGCGCCTGACCGAGAAAATGGAGCGCCAGCAACGCATGGACCGCGAGCGCCGCGAGCAGGACCAGCACAAGCAGCAGCTAGCAGCCATCACTGAGCACGGCGCCGGGCTTGTTGCGTGGCACAAGGTGCAGCAGCAGCGCATGGCCAAGCTCGGCCGCACCGTGCTGACCTTCCACGGGGCGGCTGAGCGCGAGGAGCAGAAGCGCATCGAGCGCGTGGCGCGCGAGCGCATCCAGGCGCTCAAGGCCGGTGACGAGGAGGCGTACCTGAAGCTGGTCGACAAGGAGAAGGACACGCGCATTTCGCACCTGCTCGGCCAGACCAACCAGTACCTCAACACGCTTATCGAGGCCGTGCACCGCCAGCAGCAGTCGGTCGTCTCACATGATGGCCCGGCCGCTGGAGGCGAGGCCGTACCGTCGTGGCTGTCCGAGAACGCCGAGCTCGACGCCGACGAGGCCAGCGCTGAGCAGTCCCGCGACTACTACTCGGTCGCGCACCGTATCCTCGAGCCGATCAAGGAGCAGCCGAGCATCCTGGTCGGTGGCTCGCTCAAGGACTACCAGCTGCACGGCCTCGAGTGGATGGTGTCGCTGTACAACAACCGGCTTAACGGCATCCTGGCCGATGAGATGGGGCTGGGCAAGACCATCCAGACGATTTCGCTGGTCACGTACCTGATTGAGAAGAAGCTGCAGAACGGGCCGTTTTTGATTATCGTGCCACTGTCGACGATCACCAACTGGATCCTCGAGTTCGAAAAATGGGCGCCGAGCGTGCGTGTGATCGGATACAAGGGCAATCCAACGCAGCGGCGTGTCCTGCTTGAGCGCATCAAGCGGCAGGACTTCCAGGTGCTGCTGACGACCTATGACTACATTATCAAGGACCGCCCCCTCCTGTCCAAGATCAACTGGATCCACATGATCATCGACGAGGGCCATCGCATGAAGAACACAAAGTCCAAGCTGGCGGCCACGCTGACTACGTTCTATAAGACGCGCTACCGCCTGATCCTGACGGGAACGCCGCTGCAAAACAATCTTCCCGAGTTGTGGGCACTGCTCAACTTTGTGCTGCCCACAGTGTTCGCCTCAGCGGACAGCTTTGACGACTGGTTCAACGCGCCGTTTTCCAGCGCCGGTGCGCAGGACCGCATTGCGCTCAACGAGGAGGAGGAGCTGCTGATCATCAAGCGCCTGCACAAGGTGCTGCGCCCATTCCTGCTCCGGCGCCTCAAGAAGGACGTCGAGGTCGACCTGCCCGACAAGATCGAGCATGTCATCAGATGCAGCATGTCAGCTGTGCAGACGCGGCTGTACCACCAGATGCTCCGCTTCGGCACACTCTTCCGCGGCGTCACGGTTGACGACAACGGCGTCTCGCGCGCCAACAAGGCGAGCTTTAGCAACACGCTCATGCAGCTGCGTAAGATTTGCAACCACCCGTACGTTTTTGAGCAGGTTGAGTCGCGCATCAACCCGCTGGGAATCAACAACAGCCTGCTCTACCGCTCGGCCGGAAAGTTTGAGCTGCTGGACCGCGTGCTGTCGAAGCTGCTGGCGACAGGCCACAAGGTGTTGATCTTCTTCCAGATGACCAAAATCATGACGATCATGCAGGACTTTTTGGACTGGCGCGGCATAGCGAGCCTGCGCCTTGACGGATCGACATCCGATGACGACCGCCGCGAGTACATGCACACGTTCAACAAGCCCGACTCGCCGTACAAAGTGTTCATGCTGAGCACGCGCGCTGGTGGCCAGGGCCTCAACTTGCAGACCGCCGACACGGTCGTCATCTTTGACTCGGACTGGAACCCGTCGGCTGACGCGCAGGCGATGGACCGTGCGCATCGCATTGGGCAGAAGAACGAAGTGCGCATCCTGCGTCTGATCTCCCGTGGTACCGTCGAGGAGGATGTCTTGGCGCGCGCAGAGCACAAGCGCGACCTCGACGGCAAGGTCATTCAGGCAGGCAAGTTCGACAACAAGACATCCTCCGAGGAGCGCGAGCGCCTCTTGCGGTCGCTGCTCAGGGCCAAGGAGGCCGAGGCGGAGGAGATGGCTGACGCCGAGGCCGAGACGAACCCGGACGACGAGCTGAACGAGATGATTGCGCGCAGTGACGAGGAGCGCATAATCTTTGCGCGCATGGACATGGAGCGCAGGGAGCGCGAGCTGGCCGAATGGCGCGAAGCTGGCCACGCCACCAGCCCGCCCCCCGAGCGCCTGATCACCGACAGCGAGCTGCCCGAAGAATACCTTCAAGATTATGACCCGGCTGAGGAGAAGCGCAAGGCCGAAGAGGAGGCCACGCGCGACAAGTCGCGCAACACGCGCCGCGTGTACTACGACGACGGGCTGTCCGAGGAGCAGTGGCTCGACGCGCTGGAGGACGACAACGCCGACATTGACGATATTGTCAACCAGAAGCGCGAGCGTGCTGAGCGCAAGCGCAAGCGCATTGAAGAGCGGCTTCTGCAGCAGCACCTGAGCGGCCAGCAGGCCGAGGCCGGTGCCAACGGCAGCGCCGCTGGCGACGGTGGCGGTGACTATGGCGAGGGTGGAAATGATGAGGATAGTGACAGCGATGCAAATGTTGATGCCGATGCGGACGACGACGATGACAGCGACAGAGAGCATGGGAGAGTCCGAAGCAGTGGCAACGCCGCTCGCTCCAAGGACACTCGCGATGCGGCGGCTCTGAGCACGCCGCGCAAGCGAGGCCGGCCCCGTCTCAGCGCCAACGGCGCGGCGCCAACAACCAAGCCACCTAGCAACGACGGCGGCTCTGTTGCTGGTCGGCGCAAGAGGCCACGGTTGGCTGGCGCCGATCTTGACGACGACGATGCGGTGTCGGCAGCGGCATCGGTTGTGGGTGCCATGACGCCCACGAATATCCCTGCTCGCAAGGCACGGCGCAAGACTGGCGCTGCTGACATGCTTTCTTCCGCGGAGCGCACGCGAATGGACGAAATATTCGAAGCCTCGTTTGCAGCGGTCGAGGCGTGTGTCGACGAGTACGGGCGGCGGCGTTGCGACCTGTTCTTGGAGCTGCCCAGCCGGCGCGACTACCCTGACTACTACGTCATCATCCGACAGCCGATCGCGATGAAAAACATCCGCCGCAACGTGAAGGCGCACAAGTATGCGCAGGTGGCGGACTTCCACCGCGACTGGAAGCTGATGTTCGACAACGCACGCACCTACAACGAGGAGGGGTCGATGGTCTATGATGATGCGTGCCAGATGCAGCGGGCGCTGGAGGACAAGCTGAACGAGATGACCGGCGAAAACTACCACAGTCCGGTTGGGACCCAATCGCCCTTGAACCCAACGTTTGCCGCTGCCATTCAGCAGCAGCTAGCGGTAACATCGACATCAGAATCTGCACTTTCTGGCGCTCCGATCTCCACCATTCTGTCGGGTCCCATGCCAGACAATGGGATCGTTGTTCGCCATGCTGCAGCACACTCTACCGCAGAGCCGTCACCAGCAGCCCTCCCGCACCATGATCACCATCATTACCAAACCCAGCACCATGTTCAGCACCAGCAACATTTGCATGGCGCACCTCACCACGAGTCGTTTGCAGCCAACATGAGCCGCCACACAGTGAATGACAGCTACGACGAGGACGTTGACGAGGATCTGTAGTTGGCTGTCATTTTAAATGGCCGCTTCGAGCCTACGTGCCAGACTGCACACACGTTTTGCGTATATGCAAAATTTTGAAAATAATAAATTTTTTTTTGCAAAACGAATATGTACCAGCGCAGCTACACTAACGAAAATAATGAGGCTACAAGTATTCTGCAAATCGACATCCTTCTCCAGATTGACTAGAAACCTGAAAGGTGTTTAGAAACTAGTGGCAATAGGACACTATGGCTGAAGATATTATCCAGCTCGCTACTTCCTTTGAAGAGAAGAAGCAGGGGAAGATGGATTCTTACACACACGCTTAGTATTGGGCTTTGGCTTGAGCGTCGCTAGACTTGGGTTCAGCCACCTCTAATGATGCATTTTTGCGCAAGAAACAGGGAGGAAGATTGCCTTTAAACAGGGCATTGAGAATAATGCGAAAGCTCAGTACCGCAGCCATGTCGCGATTCCACTTCCGTCTTCCTGATGGCACCTTTTCGCCATCCTTGATCTTGGTTCCGTCGGGCCTGAAGGTTTGAAAGCAGTTTTCCATTGTGCACTGGAGCAAGCCGTGACATAAAATTTGGCGAGGTTTTTCTACTGCTGGAATTATATTCATGCATGTTGCGGCTACCTGCTGCTGCTGCTGTTTCTGTTGCTGTCTTTGCTGCTGCTGAACGGCCAACTCGTCGCGCATCCTCTGTCTGATTCTGCGCTCAATCTTGCCCCACGACCGGTCGCTCAGCCTGACAATGCGCTTGAGATTATCGGCGGGCTGGAGATTAACGCAGTGCTTCCGATTCCGCTCAGCCAGCTCATTCCGCAGCTGCTGCTTCACCTTGCAGGAAATTTTTCGCTTAGACGAGTCCTTTTCCTCCCCTATCCGCCGGAGGATATTGGCAGACTGTGGGCAAATAGGCACCCATTGGTTGCGACTCTGCTGTGCATTTCCTGTAAAAGATACGTCGTCGACGGCAGTTTTAGTTGTAACAGAAACGGCTATGGCTGCTGCTGGGACAGACACAATGGCTAAAGTGGTTGCAGCTGCGACGGAATTGGATGAATATAAGTACATCCTTAAGCGTCGCGCTTAACCTATAGCCAAAGCACCATTTAGACGCAAGCATTAAATACTTTCCCGTATCTTCAAAAATTTGAACTTCCTGATTTTTTAGGCTAAAAACTGGGAGGGGGACGGGTTTTGAAAACCCCCTGCTTAGTAATCTGGAGTTTCGCTATAAATATCTATAAATTCTAAAAATCCATTTACACTAGTGTATTGCAGCAGGGGCTAATATGGTGGCGCATACTTCTTAAAGTTGATTCGTGGGAACTGGCATTTCAGCCAGTGTCGCTGTTCATCTGGAAATGTGAACATTGGCAGGCGACATTTGTTGACAGAAGGGAGCTCGGCGAGACATGCTGACAGAACATTTGTGGGGCCGCTGCCAGTCTGCTCACTGTCGGACTCGGAGGTATACGCAGCCGATCGGTTGCAGTCCCTTGTAATGACAGCATGGATTACAAGGTATTGCAGGCGGCACTGCATTACTGGACAACAGTCTGTTCCAATCTGTTCTAGGCTATCGTTGGTCCTAGGCTTGGCGTCAAATGTGAACCACAGTGTATGCAGGTATGGAAGCATTCTCAACAACGCGCTCAGCGCATCTGTCGATAGCGACAAACGAGACACATAAAGGGAGTGTAGCCATTGCGTTTTCCAAATGCACCCGGTAACCAGACGAGACGAGAGGCTGCATCCTTCATACTCGTTGTTAGAGCTGGCAATGTCCAAATGGCGAAGCTGAGGAAGGCACGTGAGCTTAGCGGCCCACAGGTTGTTCTGCTGCTGGTTGATTGAGCTGCCGGCGTAAATAAATTGTAACCTCTCGAGTTTTGAGCAGTTTGTGCCGATAAGCAAACTCAGCTCTGGGCGGGCAACAGGAATAACCAGCCCTGTCAGTAGCGCCCATTTGTGCTGCAAGATGGGTGTCCAAAAGGTATCGGACTCTCGCCATGCGGCCTCCTCGCTGCGCAGTCCAGTGACTGAAAGTGAGTGTAGACTGGCAGCCATCAAAGCACCGGCTGTGCCTTTGGCGTGGCGGTGGCCAAACATGCGCATGCTCAGGGGGTATTGGCCGCTAATCTTTAGGTGTCTGAGCATTGGGGGCAAGTTAATAGACAGTTTGCTGGCGGCGCCGGCGTCGACTTGACGGAGGTCCAGAGTCTGCAGCAGCGGTAGCAAGTCAGAGAGCTGCCCGAGAAGCTGCACTGCAGACTCTACAATGCATGGCACGGTGAGTTGGGTCAGTGACGCGCCGGCCCCATTAGAAAGAAAAAGAAAGCGAACTTGCGACCTCCTGTAATGTTCGTCGGCAGCCGGCGGCAGAAGCGCGCGGCTGTCTTCTGTGATGTGAAGGCCTTGCAAATATGGATGGGCAGTGACTGCACGCTGCATTGTCTCAGCCCAAGCGGCAGCGGCGCCCTCGAGAATAAGCACCCTGAGCTGAGGATTGCATGTAGCGAGCACCTGTTGAACACGGCGGATGTTGTACGGCGGCCAGGCGCCAATAGCTACTCGCCTTACATTTTCCCAACGCATCCCCAGCCATTCGCACAAGATATCTGTTTTAGTTTTCCCGCTTACTGCCTGCGGGGAAGCTGGGGCGGACGAGCTGTGCGAATTCCCACGCCGTCTCTGGCATCTCCGGTATTCCATTGTGTGCACGAGCCGGCCGTATACTGCGTGTACCCTGTCTGCACTGGCCCTGTACTCCCAGTCGCTTATGTCGATGCTTTTCCACAATAAGGGCAAGCTGAGGCGGCGCCACACCCTGCTGACGTGCTGTAGCGAGTTCAGGGTTTGCCGATCGGACATGTGGCAGATGAGATCGAGCACCTCAAACGGCAGCTTGGCGTACGCCGACGGGTCCTTCATCGTTGCTGGCGTGTAGCGAGGTGTCAAGTAGCAATGTGCGGAGGCTTGCTGGTACGCTGCAATGGCACAAGTGAGCGAGTGTGTTGTATAGCGAGCTAACCGCGCTGACAAAATGGTTTGATAGTTTAAATATTGAAATGAAACCGAAGAAAGGACCAAGGCTATGAGCGGAGTTGAAACAAGTACGACATCGGAAAAACATTCATATCGATATCAGTTTCAAATTGCAAGCCGTGAGTTGCAATTCTCAACTCGCAACTCACAGTGTCAGCTGGGCTGCACGCGCGCGCGGCGCCCAGCACGGAGATTGAGATAGGCGGGGGATGTACGCGCAATAGGCGGCAAAGGAGACGGCCGAAACAAAGGCGAACTGGGTAAAATGTCATGTGCATATTGCACTCCGCATTAATAAAACGGCAATATGACAATGTGCCAGTCGCCTGGGCAGCACTGGACATACTGCACACACTGCACACACTGCACACACTGCACACACTGCACACACTGCACACACTGCACACACTGCACACACTGCACATTAAGGCGAGGATGTGCGCAGTGGCGCCATCGCCGCCTAGTACTGCGTAAAGTTCTGCGTAAAGCTCTGCGTGCCAAAGTCCTGCGTAAACTGCGATGCCCCGGCGCTGGTGAATTGCGAGCTGCCAGCCAGGTCATCCATTGCGCCTCCACGGTAGCCGCCAAACATCGACTCTTGCGTCAAGAAGTTCTGCGAGAATGGCTGTGTGTGCAAGAACTCACTTTCGCCATAGGGCTGGTGCTGATGCTGGAGCTTGGCTGCGGCCGCAGCATCCTTTGGCAGCGTCTTGCGAGGGTCCACTGCGGTTGCTGCCGATGCTGGCGGCGCACCAGATGCCATCTGCTCGTTGGAAATCATGACGCGGTCGCTCTTGCTGAACATGATGGACGCGTGCATCCGCGGGTTGAACATGTTACGGCTGTCTCCGGGCGATAGGTCGCTCGGCATGTATCCGTCGCCAAACGCGCCGCCGCGAGGAGAGGATGCTGACGGCACTGGCAAGCCTGGCGTGGCCCTGGGGCCGGCGGCGGGCAGGAGCACTGTGTCTTGCTGCGTGAACTGCTGCGTCTGCATGTCGAAGTCCTGCGAAAAGAACTGGCTCGCCAACGGGTCGGCGTACGACGCCTGGGTGAGCATCGACGATGACGCGCCGGAGCCGCCAAAGAAGTTACTGTACAGCGAGGTGCCTTGTGCGTAGCCGCCTGGCCCCGCGCCCTGCGCGCCCCGGGCCGCGTCCTGCTCGCCGGCAGGCTCGAGGTCGGGCGGGATGTAGCGCATGGTGTTGCGGCCCACAAGCTGCGCCAGCCGGTTGCTGCTGGCGGCTCCAGGCGCAGTGTTGACCTGCATGACCATGCTGCGGCCGCTGAGCGGGTGGCTGCCCCTGGGCATGCGCGGCTTGCTGAGGCGTGCCGCGCTCTGCACGAGGTTGTTGAGCTGGCCCTCGACCAGCACGCCGTGGAGCTTGTAGTACGACAGCAGCTCGTGCCATAGCGGGTTGCGGCTCAGCACCTTGGGGCTGCCAAGCACAATCACGCCGTACTTGGCGCGGGTCAGCGCGACGTTGAGGCGGCGCGGGTCGCTGAGGAAGCCGATGCCCTGGTGCTCGTTGTTTCGCACGCAGCTGAGGATGATGTAGTCCTTCTCGCGGCCCTGGAACGCGTCAACGCTGGCAACCTCGACCTCCTTGTACGACTCGGAGACGAGCGGCCCGGCCTGCGCCATGTGATGGACGATCCAGCTGCGCTGGCCTTCGTAGGGCGTGATCACGCCGATCTGCTCTGGGTTCAGGTTGGCCTTGAGCATGCGCGTAACGATCTTCTCGCAGGCGCTGGCCTCGACGCGGTTGATGTACGACGTGCCGTTGGATGCAATCTCCTCGACGCCGTTGCACGCCAACAGCATCATCGGCTTGTCTGGGTTGGGCCATGGGAAGCCAATGTCGCTGCGCGTGCGCTCCTGGGCCGTGACGCCGTTCTGCAGCGACCCCTCGTAAAAGAAGTTGCTCGGGAATTCCGAGAGGCACGGGTGCATGCGGTACTGCACGACGAGGCGGTGCGGGCGCAGCCCTAAGAACACCAGGCGCTCGAACAGAGACTGGCTGAGCCCGGCGCTCGCAGCCGTTTTGCTGATGATGACCGGCCCCAGCTGCTGGTGGTCGCCGATGAGGACGACTTGGCGCGCGCCCATGACCAGCGGGATCAGGCACTCAGGCTCGGACGCCTGCGTGCTCTCGTCAATGAGCACCGTGCGGAACTGGAACTTTGACAGGCGCTTGTCGCCGGCTCCAGCGCACGTGCACAGGATGACATCGGCGTAGCGCAGCACCTCCATCTCGGACTCGGTGCGCAGCCGGCGGTAGCGGTTCTGGTCGCTGCTGCTGAGCTCACCCATGGCCAGCTTAAGCTTGTGCAGCTTCTGCAGCTCGGGGATCGTGTCGTTCATCAGCGCCTGCGTGTGCAGCTCAAGATGCGAGATGCGCGACTCGAGCTCCTCGCGGCTCTTGGCCGTGATGCGTACCACGCGCAGGCCTGTGCGGTGGATCTTCTCGGTCAGCTGGTCGACGGCTACGTTGCTGGGCGCGCAGACGAGAATCTTGCCGTTGTTGGCTCTGGCGAGGTGGTAGACCAGGGTCGCCGACGTGACGGTCTTTCCCGTGCCGGGTGGGCCCTGTATCAGGCTCAACGGGCTGCGAAGCGCCGACTTGATGGCGTCGATCTGCGACGCGTTGAGCTCGGGCAGCCCGGGCGCGTTGAACTGCCGGGGCATCTTGGTCTCCAGGTCGACCTTCTTGACCTCGTGGCCGAGCAGCTTGTGGTATATATACTCACTGACCGATGCCTCCATTACAGCAAACTTCTTCATTGCGCTCTGCATGCGGTCAAACGTGATCGACTTCCACACAAAGTCGACCGAGAAGTTGTCGCAGATCTCGGTCGGCGAGTCGCCGGTCGACATCTCGATGCAAATATCGTCGCTGGTGCTGTTCGGAAGTTTGATGACGTTGCCGCTGCCCTCCCACGGCTCACGCAGCATGGCGCCCGCGTACGACAGGCGGAGCTCGTCGCCGATGACCAGCCGCAACTCGCCCAGCTCGTACTTTGGCAGCTGGAAGTATGCCAGCTCACGGCGGTTGAGCCCGGTGTCCCAGCGTACCGAGATATTGTCCTGCGTCTGCGACTCCTTCATGCGCCTGTCGTAGTCGGCTTCGATCTTGACCAGCGGCCCGAATATGTTTTGGTACTGGTAGGCGTCCTCGTAGCGCAAGAGCACACGGTTGACCTCGATCTCGGCTTCAATGTGTCCGATGTCGGCCACCGTGGCACCGGAGCTGCGCACCCACATCTCCTCAAGCTCGCGGATCTGCTGCGTGCTGAGTAGCTTGGCGTTCTGCTGCGCCTTCGCAGACGGCACCTGTACCAGCCAATTGATCAGCTGGCGCTCGTGGATCAGCGGCTGCCACTGGGCAGCGTCCCACATCACGTCCTTCGACGACGGAGCCGACGCGCAGGGGCGGCACAGGATGACAACCACTGTGTCGCTCTTGGCCGGAATAAAGCCTAGAGAAAAGGCATTGCGCGCGCCGCAGTTGTAGCACTCAAGCGTTGTCTCGCCGAGCTGACTGCCCGGATGCAGCTGCACCTCCTTGTGGTGCGCCTTGACCAGGTGCCAGATAATGTGTGAGCTTGACGTGTTGCCGCGCGCATTGCAAAACCACCGCTTGCACCCAAGGCACTTTGTCACGCTGTTCTCTTCGTGCACGCCACAGTAGGCGCATGCATGCTCAGGAAGGCTTTTGTCGTCAGCACAACAGGCTTCATTGTCGCTGCCGCCGTCATCGCTGTAGCGCTGGTTGGCCGTGCCGCTGAGCGAAAGCTGCGAAAACCGCAGATCATCGATGCCGTCAGCAGAGGCTGGCTGTGCATTCAAACTTTCCATGGGAAGTTCAAGTTAACAGGCAGTCGTTTTGTCGGGCAGCTGGCGGGTCGCTTGTCTGGTTAAAAATAAATAAATGAAATTGAAAGCAGTTGCAATAAACTGAGGGGTGGGACACAAAAAAAGGAGAGAAACAAGTTGAAATTCTTCTCAGGTATTCTGAAATAGCTGGTGCATTCACGTATATGACAATTGAAATATCTTTTACTTTGTGCAAAAAAACGAAAGGAAAACAAAGTTGAAGAATGATTTCTGATCAAACGATTTTTTGGTGTATTTTACACGCCCCCAACCGAAATCACGACCTTTTTTTTGTCTTGTAAGCTTGAACAGGCCCATCCAATTGCCTCAACTCTGACTTGCATCAGTGTTTATTTTCTAGTCTTTTTTTCCTTTTATTATTTTTCTAACCAACAAGCTTTCTCAATTTCATTATTATTTCTGCGCGCACGCGTGAGCTACATTGCTTTCAACACTAAAACAAAACACACTCTTACCACACCGCGAACCCAAATCAGCCGCCAGTCATGAGCAACATCAACGACATCGCGAAGCAGTTCACTGAATACTATTACCAGGCCTTCGATGCTGACCGCAGGAACCTGGCGCCCCTCTACGTACGTTTGCCAGTTTTAAATTGGTCTTTTCAGATTAGAGGCGCACCTTTGAAATCAAGCCTCTCAGCTCGTTTTCAAATTGTTTAGCGCATGGCTTCAAGCCGCGTAAACATATGGCGGGGTTTAGCAAAACGTAGTCAGCGCAATTTGAGAAATCAGTGCGGTTGCGGCTGCGGCTGCGTGTGCCCACTGTTCTCCAACACCAAGCGCCGCGCGTGCTGTACACGCTCACATGATAGCGTATATCAGATTTGCACCACCCGTTTATACTAAAAGCAGGAACTTTGTTTTGCTACCGCTTGCCAATTCTCTTGTTGCTTCTTGTAGAGAGACATGTCGATGATGACCTGGGAGAGCTCTCAGATCCAAGGCGCGCAGGCCATAGTCGAGAAGCTTGTGGTAAGTACCTGCTGTGCTGTGTCTGCTGTGTCTGCTGTGTTTGTTGGTGTTGGCAGTGTCATCGTGGATCTCTGTTCTTGTACACTGGCCATTCTGGACGGTCCGACTAACCCATTGCTGCCGCCCCCAATTCTGTTTTTTTGTGTTTTTGTATGAACGCGTAGTCGTTGCCCTTCCAGAAGGTCCAGCACAAGATCACCACAGTCGACGCTCAGCAGTCGCTGCCTGGAGTCAACGCCATCCTTATCTTGGTAACCGGTCAGCTTCTTGTCGACGAGGAGACCAACCCCCAGCAGTTCTCACAGACGTTCCAGCTCGTCGAAAACGAGGGCTTTTTCATTTACAACGACGTCTTCCGCCTCAACTACTCCTAAATGCTCAGGACATGCTGTGCCCCTTTTACACAATATCTTTTGTTTTGGACATTAATAAACAATTACTCAAAAAAACATGCTGGCTTTGTCGTGGCATTACTTGCACAAAATAATAAAAGAGGGAGTGTTTAAAGTTGTGTTTTCGATATGAGGGCGCCCAAAGGCGCGCGAGTCAAGATGCGCGGCCAGAGATTAAAGCGCAAATGCGGCCAGTACTGCTACGAGAAGCGCGGTCCAGGCACTGGGGGCGACCGATACTGACCGGGTGGCGGCGTTGGGGTTGTAATTCTTTGCCACGCCGTCGTTCGACTGGGCATAGCGCGAGTTGTACATGGAGAACGGTAGCATGAACTGAAACAGCTTTCCGGAATAAACGCGCGTGCTGTTGTCCCATCCAATGTCGCTGTCGTAGATGAACAGCTTGTATCCGGTGCCCTCTCGGAGTGTGTATCCGGGCGGACTCTCAGTAATGGTGTTCCAGGTATATTCCTTGTTCGGCGTGCTGACATTCTGCGCAATGTACCAGTACAGCGGCTTGCTTGTCCCCGGCTGGAAGTATCCGGGCGGCATCTGCCCGCGAATGGTGATCTGGGATGGGGGCTTTTTCATGTTATTGTCATAGTCCCACTTCAGCTTGACCTCTGAGTTGATTTCAAACAGGGGTGACTGGACGGATTGAGGTGGCGTTTTTATCACGATGCGCCCGGGCTGCCCGTTGGACGAGCCAGAGCTGGTGCCTGAAGTTGACTTTGTGTCGCTGCTGGTCTTGGATGGTGATGACGAATCCTGGCCATCATTATTGCCGTCGTTGTTGAGAGAGATCCCGAATCCGCCGTTGGAGCTGGGACTAGCGCTTGGTTTGGCTGTTGTCACATTGTCGGCAGTGTTTTTCGAGTCCGAGTTCGAGTTGGTGTTTGCCTTTGAGTCCGAGTTTGGAATCGAGACAGGGCCGGCACTAACGATGCTGGTGTTGCCATTTCCGCCAGTGTTGCTGTTTTTAGTGTCGATTTCGCTCACAGCACTGGATTGTATGCTGTCGTTGGTTTCTCCATTGCTAGTGCTGCCGCTCAAAACGTCTATTCAAATGGCAGATAAAAAATAGTGTGTGTATATTAGCACAAGCAATTTCAACGGTGCTCAAAGGAGAGGCAGCGAGTGAAGCCAGTCATTTGCATTTACAAGGCGTAGGAAGGATACCTGCCATCAGCTGCCAATACGCTGCGACTGAGCGCCGATATAATGAAAAGCAGCAGCAGAGTTACCAGTGCCAGCCTGCTTGTTGTGCGCTTGAAACCCAGCATCGTTGCGTTTATACTGTAGGTGTTTCAATATATGCTCCCCCAAATATATGCGCGTGTGCGTATGTGTGTGTGAGTGGGTAGTCGATGTCGGGAAATGAATAATAACAAAACAAAATAAACAAAAGAAGCAAATAACACAAACACAAACGAAGAGTACAGTTAATGAAAAAAAGAGATGTGAGAAGGAAGGAAAGCAAAGTGAAAAGGAAAAGGGGAGGGACGTATCTACTTGTATGCTTGTAGTAAGGAGAAGCGCTTCTCGCCGGGCTTGAGCATCTGCTCCAGCATCTGAATCACTGCGAGAGCTTGTCAGTGGGATCACACAGAAGCGATAGCGGTAGCTGCCGGCAAGAGAAGGGAGAAGTCAGAATGAGAAATAAAGGCAGTAGAGTGTGTGAGCGCTCTCAATATTGCTTGTATTTGTGTTGTTGTTATCGGGCCTTGACAATGCTATATATTTGCTGCTATTTCCTCTCCACAGACACAAGGCACCGCTACTTCTGAGTTAAACAATGGCATTTCAAGCTGCCTCTTCCCCCTTCGTGTTCTGGCACAGGTGCTGGCCGGCCCATGCCATTGAGTGACGCAGATGTGGCGTCTCGTCCCAATTTAGATTGTATTTGGATTTGAATTTGGATAATATAAAAATTAACATATCAGTCCAGAATATGACATGCATACAACTGCGTGTTGTCTGGCTGTACTCTTTTTGATTTCAAGACTCATTCGCCAGATTGTGCATCAAAAACAGAGACATGATCCAGTGTTATTTATAAAAAATATGAGCAACGTGAATATGAAGAGTGAATAAAGTGAGAGATGTATTATATTGAATGAAGAAGGCCCTCTCGCTGACATTGTATTGCATTTATTTTATTTTCGGTCTTTTTTTTACACCAGCATGCCCAGAACTCCCAAGGCAACCGCTCCGAGTACGGTCCACAGATGAACAGCAATGTTCGGCGCCGCACTTGGATCGTAGCCCATAGGGACACCCTGGTTGGTCATATTGTACCGCGAATTGTACATGTTGAACCAAAACATGAGCGGCATGACTCGGCCGGCACCAGGTGTGTTGTCGGACACATCGTGGTCGCTGTCATAAATGTAAAGTTTGTACCCAGTGTCCTCAGAAAATGCAATTCCCTTTGCGCCATCGGTGACCGTGTCCCAAATAAACTTCTTTCCCTCGCCAGAGACGTTGACTGCAATGGTCCAGTCGCAGATTGCCGCCCGGCTAGTGGATTTCCCGCTGTCGCTGGGGAACTTGCCGCAGATGGAAACCTTTGCTGGTGGGCGTAGAGTATCGTTGGTGTAGGTCCAGCCAAGCGTAATCTTTTCGCCAATTACAAACATGGGCGTCGGAACGGAAACGACATCGGGTGTTTTCCACGAAAACGCACCAACTATACCCGTCACGTCGTAGCTCTCGTCAAAACTTTGGGTCGGGTTGTTGTCATCGTCATTGTGATTTGTGGGCTCGGGGTCATCAGATACTTCGTTATCCAGGTCACTCTCTTCGTTTTTGTCGCTGGCTACATCAGAGTCATCCTTGCGTGTAGCCGATGCTTCGGGCGATTCAGTGTTGCTGGTTCTGGTCAGCGATCTTGTCGGCGTTGGTGTCGACGATGTATCTTTGTCTATTGCAAAGTGAAAAACATTCCAGGTAGAAGAAGGGGGCCAGTCAGACGGCGTGTTAGTAACAGACAGCGGTAGTTTGAGGTATATGTTTTTGCTTTAAATAGAACTGCCGGAATATCCAGGGTGCAGGGTAGAAGAGACACGCGATCAATGCGATGAGGATAAAAATAAAGCGCACTTTTTCCATCTGGATGTTTGAATATTCGGCTGCACAAATGCCGCAGGCCAGAACCCCGAACCGTGTTCAAAAAAAGAAGAGGCAGCACTGCGTAAAATGAGCTCGGTACAGCCCCCTCATACACCTTTTTTCTGGCGCAATAGCTAACCGTAGAGTCAAAGGCGAGTTTGCAAGCGGAGCAAGTAAAAAACAATATCCCACCCGGAAAGAAAGGGAGTATCCGAACAAAACAGCAATCAAGAAACCGAGCACAAAACGAATTTTTAAAAAAAGCTTACCATTTTGAGCCGACGAGATGCTGGCAAGGCAGAAAAGCGCCAGCGCCACTGTGACGGAAAGCCTGTGCAATGTGAACCCTCGCATTTGACCCCGCTTTTATGCTATGCCGATGCTGTCTTGTTTACGAAAATGGTGGGCAGTGTAGTGGATACAGTAAGCAAAAAGGACGCAATTAATGGCAGTGGCCAAGTCAACAAATATACTGCTATAATAGTGTAAAAAATAGTAACAGAAAATTGACAAATGAAAAAGGACAAAGTGAAAGCTTTTTCTCTCTCGTCCTAAGCGACATGGCCTTGCAGTTTGCCTGAGAGGGGAAAAATGTTATTTTTACTCTAGTCAACGAGAAAAACAAAGCGCAGATCCTTGCTGTCCTTTTTCGACTCTATTTCGTCGTTTCGTTCCAGCGATGCCAATCCAAAAATAGAAGCGAAATGGCAGGCGGCAAAGACGGTCAAAAAAATTGTTGCAGCAGCCCATTGACCTCCTCAGCGTGCCGTGCCCCTTTTGTATGTGCGCAGCTTTCTTCCCCTCAATGGCACCCAGAATAAATAAATCAATAGAGAAATAAATCAATAAACCCTAAAATTATTCAAGTAATTGCATGTGTCCAAAATATGCGATTGACGCATAAATCATATGCGTGTGAATAGAGTATTGTTTGAAAAGTTTGAAATTACTGTGTGGTATTCTGGCTTCTTGTTCCAAGCAAGGGATCACACTTGCATTGTGGAGAGCCATCAAGCAGTGGGCATACGTCAGGCATTGCTTGCCAGAAACAAAAGAAGACAGCATAAAATGCGGCTCCCCTTTTCTTCTCCTGAAGACTGCATTTGAATATTTTCTCTTTTATTGTACTGAGCTGTATTGCAGTCATATTGTATTCACACCCTGCTCCATTTTGTCTACAAAAAAGCCATGAACAACATTGACTCGCTGCCTCCTGCCTGCTCCAAGCTGCTCCACGAAAAGTCGCGCCGCAAGCTCTCGTAAGCACAGTCATTTCAAAACCAGAACAAAACAAAAGAGTACACGCAAACGACCCTGTTTGCTTAACAAAATGTCATTTCTGCTGGGCTGCTGGCACTTTTGTAACTATAGATTTGCCCAGATTGCGGAGCACCTGTCGCATGACGAGGTGTGGACAGCGGCACTGTTCTACGGGCGTGCAACGCCGACGCTCAAGGACATTCATGCGCTCGCCGACATGCTCAATCTGTCGCCACAGACGCTGGAGGACGACTTTCGAACGGCTGGCCCTCCGTTGCGCGAAGTAAATATATCCAGTGCCACAGACCCGGTGATATACCCATTCCAGGAGGCTATTGCACTGTACGGGCCAGCCATCCGCTCGGTTGTCGTCGAGAAAATGGGCGATGGCGCGGTCAGCGTGCCTGACATGAAGGTACGCGTGGAGAAAGTTCCCAGAGGCAGGGACGACAACGTTAGACTCATTCTCGAGTCCAAGTACACGTTGTACAAGAGCTGGTAGTCAGGGGGGAGGGCACAGGGCCAGTCGTGGGAATACTGTCTGCAACTACTACGCGAATGCTTTTCTGTTTTTAAAATATATAATATATATATTCTAGGACGAGAAAAAGATGAAGCAGAGAGAAAATGAAATTGAAGCATGCCGAAAATATTGTATATTCAAAGAAAAAATCAAAATCAAGGACACTACAGACACAGGGTGTGAGTGGTGTGGTTTTTATTTGTGTTGCTTGGCTCATGGCATAAAGTCGTCGTGGAGCATGCTTCCGCCCAAAGTGACCTTCTCTCCAGGCTTGAACGACGGCATGCCGAGGTATGGGCAAGACGAGCACCGGAAGGCGTCACCCAAGCTGCAGTTTCCGCAGGACGACTTGACATTGACCAGGTCCACGGGCTTTGCAACCTTCTTGACTGCCTGTGTTGGCTTGCAGCCCATGCTCTCATCGACTTCCAGGCCGTCAGCTAGGCCGCAGGTGCAGTTCTTGCATGCCTTGCGCTTGGGCTTTTCTCCATCTGGCCGCGCAAGGGCCGCGGCATCTGGCTTGACGAGATCCTCTTCCTCCAGCAGGTCGTCCTGGTCCTCGATTTCGGCCTCGTCATCCGAATCGACGTTGAGCATCCACACTTTCTTCGGCTTGGGCATCTCTTCGGCGCCACCCAGGGACGCGCCCTTGTTGATGCTCTTCTTGCCAAAGGACAGAAGTGCGCTCGCCGCTCCGACATTGTACGCCGGCTTTTTCGCCGATACTGAGGCTGTCAGAATGTGGCCGGCAGCCTGCGAGACAAACGAGCTGGGGTCGGCGATCTTCCAGGAGTTTGATGCCAGCTCCTGGAGCACGGACTCGGGGACCTCCTCGCGACAGTCGACCTCCGCATCGACAAACCCGGCAAACTTGAGCTGCTGCACAAGCCCATTTTGAGAGCGAGTGACCGGTGACGCATCCAAGTTGGCCGATTCACCCAGGATCAGCTCGCTAAGCTCGAGTTTTCCAGAGGGCTTGAGCGCCAGAAGTAGGTTGCCCAGAACCTTGCTGCTGTGTTCAACGATGTGTGGCGCGACCGGGCCTGCAATGATCCGATCGTACTGGGCACTGGTAAGGTTTGCAGTGCCATCTTCGATGCGATCGACCTGCTCAAAGTCGACCTTTCCGCCACTACCCACCTGCGCCAGCAGGGCATCGCGAAGCTTCTGAAGTGAGTCGAGGTTGTGTGCCTCCGAGCTGGCCCGCGCAACGAGCAGAACGGTCTGCCCAGACTCGGCTGTGTGTATTGTTGACATTGTGAGCTGTTTGCTGTTTGTTATTTTATTTTAGTGCAGTGCAGTGCAGATAATTATTAGAAATGCGTCAAAATAATGAGGGATAAAATTGTAAAGGAAAAAAACAGAAAAAAAATAGTTTGGCATCGAGGCAGCATAAATGGCAAAGAAAAAATAGATCAGTCAAAGAGATGTGCAGATGACAAATACCAACAGGCTTTGGGGAAAGGCATCTTCGGAAATGCTCACAGCCTGATTGGTCGAAAAACCAGCTCTGCCCAGTTCAACTCAGTTTGGTTCAGAACCGTTTGGCGGCTGCTGCGCCTGGATAAAAACCAGTTCAAACGGGCAGACTGCCAATAATGCGCATTCAAATATTCACGTCACGTCAGCAGCACGCATAGCTTGCAATATAATTTTTACCTCTTTAAAGTTGAATTTGAATCGTTTTTTTCGTGCTCATTTCATTCATCTCATTTGCACACTTTCTCCAGCACTCGTGCATCATTGTCGAGCCCGTCGCATATTGACCAATCACACAGCTTTCAAATTCAGAAGTTCGCCAGCGCGATGAACACCAAGCCAAAGTCGCGTGCGCGGTCTGTCGCCTTGCTCTACCTTGCAGCGACCTCTCTGCTCGCGCAAGTGTGTTTGGCAGTCAAGCGCGAAGACTTCAAGACCTGCGAGCAGTCGGCCTTCTGCAACCGCCACCGCGTATTTGCAGACACCATGGTCAAGGAGACCCAAGCACTGGGCAAGAGCAGCTCGGCGCCGGCAAACTCCTCACCATACTCGGTTCTCGAAAACAGCGTGCGCCTGGATGGACACACGCTAACGGCATCGGTGCAGCACGGTACGGACAAGGTTCCATTAAAGTTTGAGCTGTCCTTCTTGGAGAGCGGCATTGTGCGCGTTAGGGCGCAGGAGGAGACCCCAATGAAGCCACGCTTCGATGAAACACAGAAATACGTTCTGCGCGATGAGGGTTCGGCACTGCCGTACGCGTCTCCAGACAGCATCAGGCTGGTATCCGAGGCGGCAAACGGGCTGGCCACACACACTGTCAACTATGTTAACGGGAACTCGTCCTTTAGTGTCCGCATGAACGAAAGACCGTGGTCTCTCGAGTATTTGGTCGATGGAAAGCCTGCGATCCAGCTCAATACAAAGGGGTTCTTCCACTTTGAGCACCTGCGCCAGAAGCCAGCCGACGGCGAGCTCGACGACGTTGCCGGCGGATGGGAGGAGTCATTCAAGAGCTGGACAGACTCCAAGCCCAACGGGCCCGAATCTTTTGGCCTGGACATCAACTTTAACGGGTTTGAGCACGTCTACGGCATCCCCGAGCACTCATCGCCGCTGTCGCTCAAGGACACACGCGGTGGCGGCAAGGACGCTTACGACCAGCCCTACCGCATGTACAATTTGGATGTCTTTGAGTACGAGCTTGACAACCCGATGGCGCTGTATGGGTCCATCCCATTTATGCTCGCACACAGCGCCGAGGCCACAGTCGGCGTCTTCTGGATGAACGCAGCCGAGACGTGGATCGACGTCACGCGCGAGAAGAGCAGCACGTTCGGCAGCCTGTTTGGCCGCAGCGGCGCCGGCCAGCGGCCCACGGTCAACACGCACTGGGTCAGCGAGTCGGGCGTCATGGACGTGTTTATGCTGCCGGGCGCGACTGCAGCCGATGTGTACCGCCAGTATGCAGAGCTCGTCGAGCAAACACCTCTGCCGCGCGACTTTTCGCTGGGCTACCACCAGTGTCGCTGGAACTACATCGACCAGGAGGACGTGCTGGCGGTCAGCGCCAAGCTCCAGGAGCACCAGATCCCGTACGATGTCATCTGGCTCGACATTGAGCACACTGATGGAAAGCGCTACTTCACGTGGGACAGCACAAAGTTCCCCGACCCGGTGGCCATGCAGGAGGAGCTCGCGCGCGGCGGCCACAAGCTGGTGAACGTGGTCGACCCGCACATCAAGCGCGACAGCGAGTATCGCGTCTGGAAGGAGGCCAACGATGGCGGCTACTTTGTCAAGAACAAAGAGGGCACTGAGAACTACCAGGGCTGGTGCTGGCCGGGCGACTCCAATTGGGTCGACTACTTCAACCCTGAGGCGTGCAAGTGGATCAGCGAGCAGTTCCACCTGGACAAGTACAACCAGTCGACCACAGACCTGTTTGTGTGGAACGATATGAACGAGCCGTCGATCTTCAACGGGCCCGAAATCACAATGGAGAAGGACCTCAAGCATTACGGCGGGTGGGAGCACCGCGACGTGCACAACATATTCGGCATGTTGTACCAGAAGGCCACGGCCGACGGGCTGCGCACTCGTGAGTCGCCGGCCACGCGCCCATTCGTTCTCTCGCGCGCTTACTTTGCCGGCTCGCAGCGCTACGGCGCCATTTGGACGGGCGATAACACGGCCGACTGGAGCCACCTGCAGGCGTCAATCCCGATGGTTCTCAGCAACAACGTCGCCGGCATGCACTTTGTCGGAGCCGACGTCGGCGGGTTCTTTGGCAACCCCGACCAGGAGCTGCTGACGCGCTGGTACCAGCTGGGCATCTGGTACCCGTTCTTCCGCGCGCACGCGCACATCGACACCAAGCGACGCGAGCCGTGGCTCCTTGGCGAGCCGTACCTGACGCACATCCGCGACGCGATCCGCGAGCGCTACCGGCTTCTGCCGTTCTGGTACACGCTGTTCCGCGAGGCCAGCCTCACAGGCATGCCGCTGGTGCGGCCGATGTGGATGGAGTTCCCTAAGGATGCAAGCCTGTTCGCCACGCAGGACTCGTTCATGGTGGGGTCGTCGATCATGGTGGTTCCGGCCACCGACGCCAACACTAACCAGGCCATCGACGTGCGCTTCCCCACGCAGGAGAACTGGTATGACATTAAGACACACACGACGTACCTGGGCCCCCTCAAGCGCCAGTTCCACTCCGATCTCTCAACGACACTGGTCTTTGCGCGCGGCGGATCGATCGTCCCCACGCGCGAGCGGCACCGCAGCTCGTCGGCGCTGATGAAGCGCGACCCGTTCACCCTGTACGTCTACGTCAGCCGCACGGGCACCGCGAGCGGGCGGCTGTACGTCGACGACGGCGAGTCGTACGACTACCAGAGCGGCGCGTTCATCGAGCGCGAGCTGGTGTTTGCGGGTGGCAGGCTCACGTCGCGCGCGTCGGCGCTGACCAAGGACACGGCGGCGCACCAGGCCTTTTTGCAGAAGATGGCTGCGGTGCGCGTCGAGCGCGTTGTTGTTGTCGGCATGCGCAACCCGCTGGCCAAGGCCACGGTCACAGAGAATGGCGAGGCGCGCGAGATCGAGCTGAACTACGGCGGGGCGGTCGCCGACTCGGAGTGCATCATTCGCGACCCGGCTGTGCGCATTGGCAGCGACTGGGAGATTGCTCTGAGCTGAGGCGGGCTTTGGCGCGAGTGAATGGCGCAATGCTGGTGTTTGCATGTACTGTGTATTTGGCGCACGCGAAAGTAATAGGAAAAATAAATATATATATAAACGAATATGTGCACATTGGGCGGGGGTGCGGCTGCAGAGCCCTACACGTAGCTCCTCGTGTTCGAGCTCATGTACGCGCTGGCGGCGGTGCCGACGGCGGCCTGGCCAGCGCCGCTCTGGGCGAAGCCCTGGTAGGCCTGCTGCTTGGCTTCGGAGAAGGTGTGGCCGCGCGCAGAGTAGTGCGAGCGCACCTTCTTGTACATGAACAGTGACGCTAGCAGGTGCAGCACCCACAGCGAGAACGAGATGCCGCACAGCGCAGTGGCAGCGATCTTGCCGCTCGACAGGCACTGCAGCATGACAATCATGCCGGCCGACCCGGCGCCCGGCACGCCCACAGCCATGTACGCGTCGAAAAGAATGTGGAAGCCGTTGAAGACAAAAAAGAGGTAGAAGAACATGCTCGAGTCCTTCATGTACGCGTTGTACACCGGCCGGTACCACAGAAAGAAGCTCCCGGCTGTGATCGTGAACAGGTAAATGAAGCTTGAGCCAAAGCTGGCGCCCGCGTTGGACACGTCGGCGCCGCCCGAGATCATGACGATCAGGCACGCCACGCTGTTGAACACCAGCATAGCCTCTAGCGCCAGCCATGAGTAGAACAGCGTGCGCACTGTGCGCCGGTCGCCGATCGGCACTTCGCCGTCGATGTTATGGTACATGATCGGGTAGAGCGGCGGAAAGTTCAGCGCCGGCCGCGTGCCGGACGCCAGCGCCTGCACGTGCGCCTCGCGTTCGCGTAGCTCGCGCTCGCGCGCTTCCAGCGCTGCCTCCCGCCGCCTCAAGTCGGCGTCGCGGCTGTCGAGCGCGCCGCCGTCTGCCTTGAGATAGCTGCCGTCGTCAGCGCCGTACTTGGCGTCAGAGTACGCGCTGCGCTCGCTGTATCCGCCGAGCGTGTCTGCGCCAGCGCCGATGGGCGAGTACGCGCCGTGCCGCCCGCCGCCGCCCGTCGAAAACAGGCCGCCCCTGGTGTCGCTGTCCTGAATCGAGTGGAGCGGGACCGCGTCCTCGTCGTCGTCAGCCATCAGCTGCCTGCCCGCCCCTGCGCTGTGGAAAGCCGAAGCTGTGCCCGAATCGCCAAAGGGGTCGTCGGCAAACGGGTCGCTGCTGCCGTGGTCGTCAAACGGATTGCGCGACATTAGTATGTGAGTGGGTGTGTGGGTGGCTGTGTGTATCGGCCGAAATGCGTCCAATTGCCTTATATTTTTGGCTTGCTTGCTTCAAATGTACGGCCTGAGACCAATGAGAAATAATAAAAATTGGATTTAAACTGATATTAACGATGAGGAGGAGCAAACACAAAATAAAGAGCTTTACGGAGAAGAAGAATGACTTTGGCGCCCTCATCCCACCAGCTGGCTTTATTTGGGGGAAAGCCACTTTTCCTTGGCGGCCTGATTTTGTTCTTTTGCACAAAAAGCCGCATGCCCAAAACCCGAAAGAGTGCGTAGAAACCCCGCATGCACAAAAGCCTGGCATATCGCTGGCCCATCCATTCCTCCAGTATAGTATAACGACATGCCTCGTCAGCGTTGGCTGTATACAAGGGGGGATGTCTCGCTTATGCGGATCCGTCGTGGGCACCCGCATGAGGAGCAGCAGCAGCAGCAGCAGCAGCCTTTTTCGCAGCGACTTCGTCGTCGGTCAGCGGCCTGTATGAGATCGGGGGCTGGCATACTGTCTTCCGGGTGAACTCGTCGTCATCGACCTTCACGGGCTTGCGATCGTTACGGCGGCCCTCTTTCTGCGGCTCGCGCTCCTTCAGGCTGTCGCGCCTGCGGTCTCCGTCGACATCCATAGCCGAGTCCTTGGCGGCGTCGCGGGCCTCGTTGGCGGCGGCGGTCGCAGCAGCAGCGACAATGTTTGCCGTCCTCTCGGCTACCTTGACCTCTCTTTCAGCGCGCGGCTCGGGCGCCGCGTCAGCCTTCTGCTTCTTAGCTGCACCCTTGCCGCGGCCTTTGGCATTGGCATTGACATTCACCAGCGCAACGCCGCAGTTACCACCATCCACAGGAATTACGACCAAATCGTTGCTGAGAACAGTCTCGCTCATGGCCTCCTCATCGCCGATCAGCCCCTGCATGCGCTCTTTGGTGACCAAGCCGCACTCCAGAATCTTGCCGTGCTCGGGAGGGAACCGCGTTCCGTTGATACTCGCAAAAGCCGCCTGAGCCTCCTCGGCCGATGTGAATCTCGCGTACCCGCGGGTCTTGATGGCATTGAGCCAGACATCGTCTACGGACCCGTGCTTACCCAAAAGCTCTTTGATTCTATACACGGTCAGCGGCCGCTCCAAGTTCTTGATGTACATTGAGTCCAGGACGCCGCTGCCAGCCTGTAAGTGCTGCTGCCCAGAAGTGTCCATCTGGTCGTCCGCATCCGCATCCGCACCCGCATCCGCATTCAAATCCGCATGCGCAACTGGAGCATTGGAGCCCCAGTCATTATTCCTTTTCAGCCCATTTTCCTCTGCCTCCCCTGTCTCCATGGCATCGATCGGGCCCTCCAGAACATGCTCGGCTGTTTCCTCGTCCACCTCGTCCTGCTCATCGGCAGGCAGCAGGTCTATTTGGTCGTCCGTGCCAAGTTGTGAACCCGATACTCTCTCTCCCGAAATGCCAAGTGATTCTTCCAGCCGCTGGACCAAGTCCTTTTTCAACCCGTTTGTTGGCAAATTCCTGGCCACCAACTCTTTGCGCAAATCGGTCACTTTGAGCTCGCTGGGAATTAGTTCAGACATTGCCAAATTTCAAAAGTTTATAAAGGCTTTTACGACCAATTATTTATAATTTTATTAAAAACAATGTGAATTGAGATGGGAATTTCGAAGAGACAAAATTTAGAAAACAGAAAAAACGTGAGTATAAGAAGCAACGCGAAAACGGAGAATGTAAAGCTACACTGTGAATTTGACGCGTAGCGCTTTAATTTAACAATTGAAAATTAATTTATGGCTGTAATCGCTTCAGCGGATCAAGAAATATATTTAATTAGCAAAGCATATCTGTTTGTCACATATTTAGCCATTGTCTATTTTTCAACCAAAACCGCAGTCAAGACCGAATCCAAGACGAGAGTGAATGGATGGTTCATCCCTTAACTTTCATGTGTTCTACAAGATCAAGACAAAAGGTCAAACTATCAAGCACATCGTTGTTCTAAACTTTCCTGCGACCTGCATCCAAGGTGATCTTGGAAAGCGACGCTGCAGCGTAGTACCTGTCAATATCCTTCAATACATCGACACACTGCTTGGGAATAATTTTACACCCTTTTTCTTGTTGCCATAGCGGCTTATTGTCCCACTATCGGCACACCAGGTTTGCAGGCAATCATTGCTGGCGCACTTTGACAGACAGCGGCAACATGTGATTACAGGTGGATCTTGCCAAACAAAAAGTTATTATTGTACCTTGCATCAATTGCTGTTAATTTTCATGACAATGCCAATACTTTTTGGCTGGTTGTATGGAAATTGCCAGAAACCGCTTGTAGTGCTCTGCTTAAAGAAGACAGGTCCGAAAAATGTGGCATAAAAGTATATACATTTGATATTATTAGCCACATAGTTATTTAGTTATTAAAACAGGCATTTTTCAGAAAACTGAATGTGCATAGAAGTATAAAAATAGACCAAAGTGCATGCCAATTGACCGCTGATGGCATGTCAAGCTGCAATTATGTCACAAATACAGCCAACTGTGACTACAAACCTTGAAATATGACTAAACCAACTTTACTAAATGCAAAGTAGAATGTCGCAGCGTGCTTGTAAAATTATACGCGCACAATCATTATACACACGCAAACATGCATATTTTTAGCAAATAAAAAAGTACCAGTCCACTTTACTAAACAATATATCTCAATTTTCAAATCAATTCTTGCCAGTCAGCCAAGGTTGCATGGCGATTGTAATTTTGATTACTAAATCATCAGATACAAACACCGATTCAGTATATTCACATATATTATTGCTTGCAAAAACCCAGTGAGCCAGTCATGGCGCAAGGGCTAATGCGCGCGTGCATCTAATGACCATTAAAGCTGCTCAGCGGCAATTATAATTTAAGGGTTTGTCAAAATCTAAAAATATGAAATGGGCAAGCGCATGAGCCGCAAATACAGCTGACCAGCATGGGTGCTTGCTGGCAGTCCCAAGTAAACGGCTGGGCATTATTTATGTTGTCCGTTATGTCTCATACAGGCCAGACCAATGTGAATAATGTGTTTTTTAACCTGACTATTTGTTTGCTACAAATGCAAAAATTCAACACACAAACTGCAAATTTTCTGGCCAGCGGCTTAATCCAGCTGAAAACTGCTCGAAATTGTGTTTTTTTATAGAACCACTCACAAATTGTTGATTGTCACAGGGTTTTGTCTAGTTTTGCATTACAGGCAAAGTGGCTTAGTCCAAAGTATGGCTATTCGTGGTTTCTTACATTGAAGCCTCGAGGCTTTTTTCCAAGGCAAATGGGAGCGTTAGTCATGCCACGATGGTCGGCTTTAATTTTTCCTGATGCCTAGCTATTTTTGGACTGGAAAGTGAAAATGCCATCTCTGTGATTTTATTTTGCTGTGGGTCCGCTTTAGGCCCTGTGCATTGGGTGTCGACAAAAAAGCATTGTATTGACTTTTTTGGATTGGCGCACGTCATTGCACGTCTAAAAAAGCTTAAAAATGATGGCTGGCCATGTTGCTCTCAAACATCGCGAGCGTGCTTTTTTTGTCATCAATGTTTGGTATTTTTTGCGGCTTTGTTGAGTGGGTGAGGGCTGCAGAAGCATGTTTCTGTTTTTCATTACGCCATAGCTTTGTTCATTTTTTGTTTAGATTTGTTTTTGGTCATGTCCGGATGCATAAACACACTTCCGAGCTTCCGCCAGCTTTAATCCAAGGGCGCATCCGTGCATTATTTTTATTGCTTGCCCTAGTTCAGCCGGAGGCATTATAAACGCAATCTCTTGGCACTGTCAAATAAAAACAAAGGACAAGGGGCAATGGACATTGTCGGATCACAGTCGGAAAATTGCCTTTTTCATTGTCCTCCTTATTCGAAAGAAGCATAAAAAGAGAAAAAAGCGCCATCAGTTTTTCTTCCCCGGCATGCGTAAATGAACAATTGCCAAAAAGGCAATGCTTCGCAAGCCTGCAGCGTTTTTCTGTTGCACATGTTGGTTGCTTGTTTGGGCCAGCGCTGTGCCTTGCGCTTAACGGCATAATAACAAACGCAAACGCAGTCATAAAATATTCAGATATATGCGATCGCTTTATTAATTTCGCCAAAAAGACGCCCATCATCGCTCGGCCATTATTTAATATGATATCTGCCAATCATTTTCATATATGCCAAGGGCAATCCATATCGAATTTGGCAATATGACAGCATTTAATGGCGTCTAAATACTTCGACACCTTGCCTGCCCACTGCATGCCGCAATCGAGCTAAGTGAAAAGCCAAGGTAAATCCCAGCCTGCAGGATTTCCAGGCCTCGTAATTTTATACACTTTACAGGGCATGTCGATGCGCAGTTACACCGTGTGTTGGTGTTAGGAATATAAAAGGAAATTAAAACGCACCTGCATCCTCGCTAGAGGTGTTGGGCGTCAAACCACTGCGAGAGGCTGCAGACCATTTGCATTTTGGGAACATGCAATACCATGAATAATCATACGACTTTTGTCTTAGATGCCGCTGACTTTACAAGCCATCGCAGCTCTAACTTTTCTGTTGGCACTCTGGACTGGGTAGAGTGCTGGCGACTTGTATTTTTAGCCTGATGGGGTGGTATACTCGTGCCAGATGGCGCTTTTTTGTTTGTTCGGATGATAGTAATTTATGCGCAAAAAAGCGCCGTACAGAATCTGTTTTACAATCCCTGTTAGAAACCAGAGGGTTTTCTACCACCCCCTCCCCTGATGATGCAATTATCCCCCGTCCTCAAAAATGTTCACGTCACTGCCAACGCACCATGGGGGTGAAGCCCTATTCTGCATATATTTCATTGTTGGATTATTTACTTAACACATCTAAGCAATGCATGCCTCTGCATGCTGGTGTTGGAATGTAGGCTTTTTGGGCTTTGCCTGCATGCGTTTTATGCAGTCTCACTGTCTGCTCCTATACCAGTTACCCGTACTCTGGAAAGCGTAGCGCTGCTTAAAGGATAGCAAAGAGCATTACAACCTTTTTAAAAAAGACTGACTGGCCCAGCTTGCGCTTTTATTACTTTAGAGATGCACTCATATTTTTGTCGGAATATTCATGAAAGGTCGCGCTTTCCTTTTGGCAGCCATTAAACTTTTGTTCGCACAGCGACGCTACAGCTTTGAGCAGCTTATAAATATCCACTGCTGATATCACTTTATTGTGTGGGCCAGTGGATTCTGACTCAAGGGAGAGAATGCCAAATGGGCCATACTTTGGATTGCATATTCGGATACCACTGTGTCGATGCAAAAAAATGTCAGTTTTTCATTTTGATTGCTTTTTTCTGCTTTTTTAGTATGAAAAATACCCAAAAAACATGTGTAAAAAGCACATAGAAGGCCTTTTTGCCCGGAATTTTTACACTATGTGTAGATAAAATGGCAGTCTTTAAAAATTGTATTTAATTTGTAGAAAAAGTGGCAATAAAGAGAATATGGAAATTTTCGGTAATTTGGTAAAAACAAGCCAAAAATCATAATCACGCGCAATAGAACAATGGTCAACTCGGGTTGAATTTGAAAAATGCATAGGTTTGATTACATTTTAAAATATGAAAAGCCGCCAGGAAACAAATGTATGTATCCATATTAAAAATAGAGCCGAAAACAAAAAAGCGGAGAGGATGAATATAACGGCAAAAGCAGCAAGGACAGCGAGAACTAAGCGAATTGAGAACATTTAAAATGCGACAAACTGACGCCTGCTCACGATTCAATTCTTTTTTTCTCTCAACTATCTTTCGTATTATTATAAATTATTCAAAATGCTTACTATTACTTTTCCTCTCCCGCCTCCCCCACCAACGGCATCCACCAAGCTGCCCTCATTTGAGATTTGTAACGTCAACTGGGAGGAGCTGGCTATACCAATTATCCTCATTTCTGTATTTGTGTTTACTTTTATTGTTATTTACCTTTATCGTTTGGCCACAGCACCAAAGGCCAATGCCATTTCCACTATGCCTGGTGGTATTTTTGCCGCCACCGCCGATGATACTGATAATGGCGTCGACGCTAATTCTCCTGATGATGCCGATTATTCTGCCCCCACAGATGATGCCGATTATGCCGCCGCCGCTAATGCAATTCCGACTGCCAGACGCAGCTATAGATCCTATCTCGCGGAAATAGCAGGATTGGACCCATCAGATTGTGAAGGATACAATACTGAGCTCACTGATGAGTCCGATAACGAGCTCGATGCCCTTTTTGCTTTCTATGCTGCTGAAGATGCCAAGCGGGATGCTGAAAATGCCAGCTATTATGCTGAGCAAGCCATGGAACTGGATGATATTATCGCCAGTTTGTAACTCAGCCATTATTGATTCAAGAATAGGTAATGCTACAGTTGACTTTTGAACTCGATGCTGCTACAACCAAGGTTCTTTGCTGTATATTGTTTGCTACAAGTAATGCTGTGCATGTTTTTCTGCCTGTTTCTATATCCCTGTTTATTGTTCAATTCGCCTTTTCTTTGATGTATTTAGAGGCGCTGGCTGCCTCATCATACATACTACTGATAAATGCCGTCTGCTCCACTCGTTCGCTGTCCCTGAAGTGGCCGGTGAGGTGCTCTATCAGAAGAAAGCTTTCCTGATCTTGTCTCCGAACCCGACACCAGTGACAGACTCCATAGCCTGTTGGGAGCGACCGCCATTTAGTAGTCTTGTATGTGTTTGATGGATGAGTCAGCGCCAATGAGACATTTGAGACTAAAGGTGTTTTCTGCTTTAGACAGGGTCATTTGACCAAGCAGAGTTTCGTGTGATAGCACACATCTAGCAGACACATGTAGCTTTGAAAATTGGTTGGAGTGCACTTGTTCAGTTGTTTTTTGCAGCTTAGCTTTTTTGTCAATATTCTCTTAATAAAATTTTATTTCTTACTTTTGAACAATTTTAATTAAATATCGAATTTTGTAATGCTGAAATTATTTTAAACGAAAAGAAAAATGGGTAAAAGCAAAAAATAGAAAAATATACTCTACCTTAAAATGTAAAAAGGACCAATTTTTTATAATTGTTTGTGGGCACACATGTTTGAGAAAGCTTAAACTATTAAAAATATGGCTGTACACAAAGCGTTTGAACTGGTGTGCTTCCAGCGGCGGTGAAAATCTGATGTGCCAATGAATTAGGTTGATGTGCGCGCATGCTTGGCTAAATGGTCTGCTTTTCCGTTACCTGGGACACAGCTATGGCCTATCACCCAAAATATCAGCATGGTCACACATAGGTGGATAGGTGCACTATGTCAGACTTGTTGTTTTTGTGTTGTACGTCTTGCTGGTCCAAGAGCTCCTGTACCAGCCTTATCTCTGCGTGCAAACTAATAAAAATATGACATTATTGTCCCAGGGCACTATGGAAACTGTTGTATTAAGTGTTAGAGGCTCTGCAGTAATCAACAAGAGTGGTTTTTTGGTGATTCTTGCGGCTTGTCCCCGGTGATTGATTAATAAATCAATAACCAGTTAATTCCCTACTTGGATATGCGGGAATTCATATGCACATATAAATACCAATGAATATAAACAGTGGAGGTTGTTTATCCCTTAGCTTTCTTTTAGTTTATCTTAAATGCTTTTTATTCTAACACATTGTAACAACATCATAGAAAATATAGATTGGCACAGCAGGATTGTCGCAGCACATTTCCAACAAGTTTGGACAGCAACAATCAGAATGTCGGACAGCAAAATATTTGCCACTGGTCAATTTGACGCACTTTAGTAAAAGACTGCAAAAAACAACAAATTGAAAGTCCATTGTAGTAGGCCGTTGGAATACAAACACATGCTACAGTGCCTGCAAATGACAGACTACCATCACCATGACGGCACAATTGACACATCCCAACTAAATCACAGGCAGGGCAAAGGCGCTAGCAATTAGGCAGCAAAAGTAGCAAGAGTCATTTTAGTTGGAAAAGCATAATAATACGTGCCATACGTTAGACATTAGAATGGACTTGAGCAGTTTGTACATCGATATTTTTGAGTAGCGGCCAATGTTCTTTGCGGTTATTGTCTTCTTTACCACGAGTAATAAAAAACAAACAAAGGTTGTGTTATGATAAAAAGTATTCGTTAAGAATTAACTAAAAGAAGGTTAAAGGATGAACGCCCTCTACTGTTCATATTCATTAGTATTTATATGTGCATATGAATTCCCGCATATCCAAGTAGGGAATTAACTGGTTATTGATTTATTAATCAATCACCGGGGACAAGCCGCATCTTCTTGTATCACACAATGACTAAGCTCAAATGGGTTGGCGAGATGTGTCAACGGGGGTCTAAAATGCTTTGCAAATAACTATTTTATGATCCTTTATCTGGCTGTTTGGCAAAACGTCGAGGTTCTGTAGCTGTCCGTGTGGATAAATAATTAAAATAATATATTCACTGCATGGCGATAAAGAATGCTGACAGTAAGGTGTCCAAACATGCCTCATGCCCATCTTAATCGAAAGTAACCCAATTGAGATGTTAAAAAGTATATATACTGTCAAAAGATTATTTGTAATAAACAATAGGTAATTAAAATAGAACATACAGTGGGCCCCAGAATGTTTACATAAATTTATATTAGCTTTTCTGTCTTGAGGACAAACATTTATTGTCGAATAGTGCAAGTAGTTTAGACAAAATCTTCTACCTATGCACCATCCATCAAGTTTTAAACACCATCTCTGCACTGCGCCTAACACACTGCCGCCAAAAATGCTGAGGTATAAAAAGTCAAAATAGAAATAGAGGGCGAGCCTGTGTGTGCTTTGGTAACTGCTCTATGCGCCGGTGTGCGTCCGTCTGGCGATATGCGCTGCTATATAATATAAATATATTTGTCTGAATAAAATAGAAAAGTTGTGAAACAAAAAAGTAGGCTGGCTTGCAAGTGCAAGTGCAAGTGCGAGTGCAAGTGTTTTTTCATTCACAATCTTTTATTTTCTGGGTGTGGACAAACAAAACAATCCAAGTTTATTTTCGCACTTTTATGCCTGCCGAAGTGGCCGTAGATAAACAGCAATGAGGACAGCAGGTATGCACACTAGCTATCTGGCCACAATTGCCGCTCTAGCTGGCAGATCGAGTGCTCGAGTTTAATTTACTAACGCCCCTTGTGGACACTTCCGCCGCCGGCAAATTAGACCCAAGTCTGGAGAAATCCCAACCATGCCGCTCCTAGAATAACTTTAGTTATAGTGTCATGTAACCAGATATGCAATAGAGTCGATGACGGGCAAGGCGATACGGTAGACAATCAGCCCCATTCATCAACTTTAGTTTTTGTTTCTTAATTGTTTTACATCTCAACAAATATATTTTCTCTCTACCCCATAGTTACTTTGCATAATGCAATAAACGAGAATCGGTGAGCCAATTACTATACATACCGAGCAAATTTGACGGAACTAGCTTATTCAAGCAAAGCAAACAATACAAAACAAAACAAAACAAAACAAAAGACCAGAATATAATTATCACTCCTTCTATTGAGCATTATTTTTATTTTATTTTTCCTATTTAATTTTTATATTCGCTTTTTATGAACCAACCAAAAAATTGTGCTCTACTTTACCGGAACAGCAGACTCGCCGGCAGCGCTTTCATAGGCAGCATCTTCTGTCCTAAGAACGTGGCATCGCGAATGAACTTGCCCTGGCCTTTGAAAACTTGCAGCCCACCCTGGCATTGCTGGTGCTGGTTAATGGCAAAGTTAGCAGTATGAATCGGGTGCTTTTGGAGTCTTCTGTTGATGGACTTGTCTTGGGCGCTTTGCATATCACAAAGGCTTGAGCACTGGTGCACATGGTTATGGTGTCTGACCACGAGTCGTGTGTACTGGAGCCCAGGCCAAATGACGTTGCTGTGGCCCTGGCCAAGGTCCCTGAAAGTGACCCTGCAATGCGTGGGGCTGTTGTCAAGGTCCTGGCCATGCTCTATGCAATGGCCAGCTGCAAGGACCAGGGCCTCATGCATGCTGCTATCTTGTGCTCTGCCCAGACTCTGCCCACTGAGTCGTTGTTGTTGGCATCCATTGCTGCTCTATCGAGTGCAACTGCTGCACAGTCAGCGCCAGCAAATGTTATTGCAGACATTGTCAAGCCAACTACTTGGAATGACATTGCGCAGATGGTAGATATTTCAGGCAGTTTGGGGACAGACCACACTGCATGCAAGCAGTTATATTTGCATGTGCGCGGCGCAGTGGTCAGCAATAACTTTCTGTGGATGCTGCTGTTCACAAGACTCAACTTGTCGCTCAATGGCTGCACACGCTCGGCCAACAATGCCCCGCTGCAGCCCCTGATCACCAATCTCATGCAGCAGTGATACCACAGCCTGGGCAGCCACTTGTTTGATGGTTTTCTGTACTTGCCGTCTCTGTGCATGTGGCAGCCCATTGCCACCAAGCTCATGTAGAATCAGGCCAAGCAGTTTGACTGTGCTCTAGCCGACCATGAGTGTGCGTGCCATGGGTGAGGGCTGCGAATTGTTGCATGCCCTGGCCACATACTGCCCCCCACACGGTCATTGGCCGATGAGCTTGCCTTGCTGGTTGCCCACATTATGCAGGCTGCCCACACCATGTCAGCATCAAATGCCAATGTCTCTGATCTTGTGTGCTGCTTGCAGCAGCTGATTAAGCTGATAGCCCACCTGACTGTATTTTCACAGTTTCACCAGCAGGCCGCATCACTGGACTCACTGGAGGAGTTTGCCCTGCAGATTGTCAGCAGCACCAACTACTTCCAGGGGATCGAGACGCCCAAGCATCTGATCAAGCGCCAGGTCAAGGTAGCACCACCACCTGCCTTCGTCATGCCCACTGCCGCACCATTCAAGAAGCTCACCATCAAGTCCAAGAAGCAGAAGGCAGTCAAGGAGGAGAAGGCCGAGGAGTACATCGAGGACAACGAGGAGTGCCAGCAGTGCATCAAGCAACTTTTGGGTGAGCAGTGCAACCTCCACCACATGCACCTCAAGGAGGTCCTCAAGAGTCTGCAGGAAATCGGTCTCAAGTGCCAATACCGCCCAGTCGCCACCAAGGATGAGGGGACAGTCGCTGATGGAAAGACCTCGCCTCTGAAGGGCATTTTTGCTGTGCTTCACCAAGATACCCTGGACGTTGCTAGTTGGCGCAATGCAGCTGCCCAAAACAGAGTCTGTTTTGTTTCAGAACCACAGCGAAACCATATTTGACAACAATAAGCCTAGTTAAAAAGAAATATTTGGTTGTAATGCCAAAGATTAATATATTGCCTTTTGTTATCATCCACTTGATGTCGGATTCAGCTTTATTTGCCCCACCTGTGTCGATGGTCTGATACGTGCTCAGATATGTAATGTTTTTGCTGGAAACTGAGTAATCAGCTGCTGATTTTTAATGAGCGTGTTTTATATTGTGTTTTATCCCATTGATCAATCCTGCTGAGAATTCAAGCACACATGTTTTTTCTGTGACATCAGCATGTGTCTGAATGTAGTTTCGATGTACAAGCTGAATAGGCGTTGAACAGTGTGTAAGTTAATAATTATTTATGAATTTTGTACAAGCTTTAAATTGCTACATTTCAAACTGCTATGTGCAAAATTGCATTCAGCCGCCAAAAAAGTATATATATAATACGGCTGTGCGTCTCCCACCTATTACAGTTGAACACCTGTGCTACTTAAGCAATATATATTATCCTACACAGTACTCTCACCCTCTTTCAATACTTTTTATATTTACTAGTTGCACTACAATTTGTTCATGCAAAAAATTATTATACTTTTTGCCCTGGTAGCAGCCACTGCTTTTGGCCTGCCCAACGCAAGCGCCGACCCAACTGCAAATGCAAACGCTGAACCGGAGGCTGCCGCTGATCCCGAAGCCAGACGGCACGGCGGATGGGGCGGTGGTGGATGGCGCGGTGGCGGATGGCGCGGTGGCGGATGGCGCGGTGGTGGATGGCGCGGAGGTGGTGGTGGATGGCGCGGTGGCGGATGGCATGGCGGTGGCGGATGGCATGGCGGTGGCGGATGGGGCGGTGGCGGTGGCGGGTGGGGCGGTGGCAGATGGTAGTGACAGCTCGCACCGCGACTTCAGCCTCGTTTGACCGAACGCAGCCTTTGCAACCGAATTAATTGAAAGCCATTTTCATTTCTGAATTGCCAATTCTATTTCTATTTCTAATATTTTTTTGAATATTTGAAGCTTATGAAAAATATTAATAGTCGCCGCTAATCACACGCATGATATTTGCGCCAAGGCAGAACACAAGCACAAACGCACCATACACGGCTAATAACACGGCAATGATCTTCATGCGAGTCCACCCGCAATGCTGGTGCATCTTGTAGTAGAAAACGCCCGGCAAAATAAACGAAATGCACGTGGACCCGGTCGACCCGACAAAGGACAAAACAAGATCGAGGCTAGTAACCACCATTGAGACAATGTACGAAAAAAACATGAGCCCCGCTGTAATGCTTATGTGCTTTGCGGGTGACATGATGTGGACAACTGGCGAATACGACGCCGCTTCATTGACAAACATGTCGGCGTCAACATCATCGCCAATGTCCGTGATGGCCTCAAAGTCCGGCTCTTTGCTCCATACGTGACAGATGCCAGTGATGACTTTATCCAGGCAGTTGCGCGCCGGATGGCACTGCAGTGGGTACGAAAACAAGACTAGAATGGCGATGGACAGACGGCAGAACGTGACTGTCGTGCCATTGTCGTACATTGTCAGCAAGTTGGGTGCCACTTTGCTTCCAAAGGTGAGGTATCCCAGAATTGCTATCCACTGGTAAACTGCGCAGGCGCTGCCGATGCTAAGTGCAATAACGCCGTTGACCTGCTTAGAGCTGTTGTCATGCATCTCATTGTAGACGCTGAATATGTTCTGATGGCAGGTGAACGCAAACACAAAGACGGGAAGGTGCGTGAAAAAGTCTTTTGACCATCGGAATAGTACAACATCACCTGCGGGCAGCGGCTTGCGAATGGGCGAAAAGTAAAATATGACCACAACCAAAATCAAGTAGGCAACTGCCAGCAGGGCTGTGAAGCTGGTGTACTTGAGCGCGTCCAGCCGACGTTGGAAGGCCAGTGGAGCCAGAGCAACAATTGCAAAGGTTATCCAGAACCCACGTGCCAGCAGAAAATGGGCCTCAAAGCCAAAGGCTTTTATGATCTCCGGCATCAAGTCTCCAAAGATGATCAAATACGAAATCGACACGCCAAAGCACTTTACAGCAATGGCCGCATCAAAGAAGAGTGCAGCACTGGGGTATGTGAGCTTTGCAACATTAAAGAATGATGAGTCGCGCCCGGGGGTCCGACGCGCGCAGCGAGACAGCAGGTACAGGCCCATCCCCGACGTCATTGCCGAAAACGCGATGACCAGCGAGCCGAAGGCCAGCCCCAGCGCGGCCATCGCATTGGGCATACTGAGCATGCCCGAGCCCAGTATTGTGTTGGCCAGGTTGATTGAAGAAGACGAGATGGTTCCTGTGGGCTCTTCGGCACTATCTTCAAAAAACCGCTCGCTGGCGATACTTTCGCGAAACGACCGTGCCCGTGGGCGCGGCGTGGCTGCTGTGTCTGCGGCTGGATGCCTAAACTCGGCGTCTCCGTGAGCGGACATTGTGCGTATTGCTGCAACTTTGTGAATTTAGGGATTGGAATTGGAAAGTTTAATTGGAAAATGGAAATGAGATGAGACAAAGGGGCAATTGGTGCCAGCTTTGAATTATTTTTTCAAGCTGTTTTAAAAATCACTGCTGGCCCGCATGTCACGCGCCTTCGAAAGAAGGCACAGCCCAAATCTGGAACAAAATTGTAATGGGGAAATCTTTCGGAATCCCCGTGCATAAGTAAAGAGCGATAATTTTAGTAAAAAGTAAAAAATGTTAATCGGCCTCCTGGAGATTAGGATCAGCAGAGCTTGAGCTTGAATAGATAATTTTGTTTAGGCTGTGTCGCAGAAATAGCTGTTGCTGGGGTCTTGAGTATGAGCTTTGTTTTTTTGACTCTGCACTCATCAATTTTTGTTAAATAGGAGCTTTGATGGACTTGGAAGGTGTCGCTGCGGCGTAGTACACGTCAGTATTCTCTAATTCGTCGATGCACTCCTTGGCTGTGAAACTGCTCAACCTTTCCTCGTTGCTGTCGCGGTCAATTGGCATACCATCGGCATACCAGGTCTGCAGGCATTTCTCATTGGTTCACTCTAGCAGGCCATGGCAAAGGATTTCTCTCGGTGATTTTGTCGACAATCTCGATTGACTCGCACCCGGGACTGAAAGTTGCTGTTATCATTGCTGTCTGTCCAACGCGTCGTGTTTCTCTTGCTGTCAGATCTTGCACTGTATCTTGCCCTTTGACCATCCACACTTGGCGCCGTAGGTCCAAATAACGTTGGCCGACAGGGAACCAACAGTCCGCAGCGCATCAGTTGCAGTGTCACGTCCATATTCTTGGGTTTGGGCTTGCAGTTGGCTTTGCCGACTTTGCATAGATTGGGCACCCGGTGATGTTTTTCCAGCTCAGAATGGCATGCCATGCAGAACTTGTATGTCCAGAACTCGTCAACTAGGAACGCTTTGAACTTGTATTGCAGCAGCATCTCGCGCCTGCCAAGATCAATGAAAACAGCACAAACGATTTAGCTGAGATTTTCGTTACATATTAGGTTGTCGATGTAAGGGAACTAATTGTCCTGCTTCTTCCACCTTCGTTTTTTGGCACTCTTCTCGACATCAGCAACTGCCCTGGCGTCAGCAGCCTTCTAGATCTGCTTGCGTGTTTGGGGGGCGCTTGCTTTAACAGCAGTCTGAGTAGCGACTCAGTATTTTTTAGTGTTTCTAATGTTTTATTTTATGCAAATAAATTAAAATCCCAATAAAAAGTCCGGTAAAACGAATGCGACAAAAAGGGCTCGACCTATATTAAAAAGCGAGACCACCCACAGAGCCTTGGTCTAGTTAAATTTGTTGATATAATACCAATATCTCCTGTTTTCCGTCGAAAAAGTACGCTAAATACTCGATATTTTCCCTTCATAGTTTCCTTCACGGTTGTGATGGGAGTCAGTTTTTTCATACTTTTCCAACCTTTCCAACTTTATAAGTTGAACATTTTTCTGACACGGCGCCAAATTAAATTATCTAATGTGATCAAATATTATTTTTTAATTTTCCTAGTGCCTATCGAGTCCCATTGGACATGCCCACCCATCAGTGTTCGCCTCATGGTCGTCCGAGTTTTCCAATTCTACATTACAGCTGTAATCTGCCAATTTGGTTGAGCTCCGGTCCGGGCAACTGATTTGAGAAATTTGCCTGCGGAGCTGCTTTTCTACTTGTAAAGTTATCGGTAAGTCCGCCAAAGTTGAAGGAGAAAAGGCGAGCGATGGAACCTGTTGACAAATTTCGATATCCGGATACAAACTGCTGCTGAAACGTGCCCTTGCATGCACACGCCTCGCATGATGGCTAGTTGGACAGTCAGAACGCAGTTCCAAACTAGATACGTGGGATTGGGGGGGGGGGGGAGTGGCGTGTTGGATTGATTGGCACCAGATGGCGGGTTTTTGCTATCTGATCCTCGAAGTGCTTGGCCCTGCCGACTGTTCGAAAGAATAACAGAACAATACAATACAATAGAACAATAGCACACCAGATGCACATGTATTACCCATTCATTTATGTTCCTGTATTCGCCTGCAACAATTCCAATTGATATTGTTGTAACAGGTCAAACACCACACATTTTTTGCTGGAAGAAATGTATTGTTTTATCCCTGCCCAGAACAAGCGGAACGCCAAAAAATAAAAAATTACAAAACGGAAAAAGAACTACAAATTACTTGCGTATAAAAGGAAAGGCCTGGCAATTCGTCCAGACTTTGCCTCACTCATCGCTTCTTTTCCACATCAGCGCTTTCGGTCATCACCATAGTTTTTGTCTTTGCTACACATACACGCGCAGCCGTATTTTTTCAACAAGCCGAATCCATCCAATTTTTAAATATGAGTCCCCAAGCACTAGTACAGACGTTCTCGCGGCAGCCTTCTGAGAAGCAACAGCTGAAGCTTCTTCAACAGGCAAAGTCCCTTCAGTCGCACCTGTCCTCATGCCCGCACGACCCCTTTATGGCGCCTACTACTCACGCAGGTTACTCCAAGCGCGCTATCTTCTCAGCTACTTCTCGTCTTCTCACTTGCCTGGTCAATGAGGATATTGTCAACGCCTACTACGTCGAGTACAACCACACAATGGAAAGTAGCTATATCGTGTTTGTTCCCTGCGGATCCGAGACTCTCGAATTGCTTGGCCGCTCCATCGTGTCGCAGGTTCGACACAGACCAATTCTCTCCGGCACACCGATAGATGCGTCTATCACCGCATGCCAAGTGCGTATGCTGGATCCCGAGGACTTGGGTCTTGGACAATGGATTTGGCGGTCCGAGACTATCAGCTTTGAGCAAGTCGCCGACCCGAGTCATATAATGCTAGAGGTCGCCAAGTGGAACAGCTACGATGGTTCCAAGGTGCAAGCCATTTGTGACGAGCTGACTAGCTCAGTCAGTAACCAGTTATACGCATATGAGCACCGCAAACCGGATCCAGCCATCCTCACGTCGGCCGCAATCGAGTGGGAGCAGAGCATCGTTGAAGGCCATGCTACCCACCCGATGCACCGCGCAAGGTATTCTTTGCCTCCGCTGAAACCGATTGTCCCTGAAACCGAAATGTTCCATATAAACCTCGAGTTTGTAGCTGTTCCGCGCAGCGAGCTGCGGATTGAGGGGTTCCTTGAGGAGCTGCTAAACCCGCTTTACAGTGCTGCTGACTTTAGCTCAACCACTCCCTCAAACGGAGGAAGCAGCAATGACAACATTACCACTGCATCTTCCACTTCCACATCTACTCCCAACAGTCAATACATCCTTGACTTTGTTGACCGCTCGAACGAAGCCGTGCTCCCAGTACATCCACTGCACATGCCAGCTGTGCTCGAAATGTTCAAGTTTGCGCGCAAGCTGCCATTCTCAGTCCCCGCTGAGGCTCAGGCGTCGCTGCGCACTGTATGTCCTCAGGCATTTGTGTCTCTCGGCTACGACATCAAGCTACCTCTGGGCATTAAAGTGTCGTCGGCGCTACGCACTATCAGTCCGTGGTCTACCTTTGTAGGACCCCAGATTACCAAAGTAATCCCCGAAATTTTGCGTGGTGCGCCCGTCCAAGACGCCCTTCTTATTTCCGGCGAGCCCGCAAGCGCTGTGTCGACGAATCAAAACTTTGACATTGCCAAGTATCTCTCGTGCATCATCCGCAACGACCCCGAGCACATCTGCCGTCCGCGCGGCGAAAGAGTCATTCTGGCGGCTGCATTGACCGGATACAGTGACGATGGCACAAGCATGGTTGTTAGGCAATGGGGACTTGACAATGCTGACAAGCGTTGTCGCTTCCTGCAAAGCTACACAGACAGGCTTTTTGACGCCTTTTTGCCGCCGATCATGAATCACGGATTTGCATTCGAGTCTCATCCACAGAACAGCCTGCTGCGCATCGATGCCGAAACCGGCGAAATCAAGGGGTTTATTGTTCGCGATTTTGGCGGCGTCAAGGTTCACCTCGAGACATTCACCCACTCGACGGGTGCCACCATCGACATGCTTCCAGACTCGTGCACCAATGCCGCGATCATGTACGAGGTCTACGACCTGGCATATCATACGCTGGTTCAATGCCAGCTGCACCGCCTTGTTCGCGCCTTGGACCTTCATTATTGTGGCAGTGGATGGAAGATTGTGCGCGAGTCCTTTGAGCACCGTGTGCCAGAGTCGCATCCGCTGCGCAGCACATGGTACCAAGAGACATTCGACCTCAAGTGCTTTATCACCATGAAGCTTGACGGCCTTTACCGCGACTACATTTACAAGAAGGTACCTAACGTGATGCTTTACTGCGGCGAGTCGGAAGGTGTTGTGTTTCCGCCAGAACTGTCATTTTGAAACATCCATTTTTAATTTTTAATTGATTTATTTTTAAATAGGAACATATTTATATTGTGTGCATGTCTCGAGGACTACAGCGCTACATTTGTGAACACGAAATGCACGCCATAAGTGGTGTCGAAAGAGATGGCAACCATAAAGTTATTACATACAATCCCGGCGCACAACTAATTTCGTTTCAATTTTTTTAGAAAAGCGTGGGAAAACACACATCACACCAACTTGCCATATATCCAATAGCTTATTACACCTATCTTCTTCTCTCCAGTTTCATTGTACCCAGATTATAACACAACATGATCGCCATGCAACAATGGAAACTACGGGGTTGCGCACTGGCTATTGCACTTATACTGCATCTATTCATAAATACAGCGGTTGGAAGGGACGGCGTCCATGTCGGCTACAAGCAGCACGGCACAGGCAATGGGGCGAGGCAGTCGCAGATTCGCCGACAGCAGATACTAGTCCAGAGCGAGCCCCAGGAAGCACCAGTAACGATAACTCAGGTAATTGTTGTTAGCAAGCCCTACGAGACAGACCTGTCGCAGTCAGAGATGTGCCGCGCGGAAGATAACGCGTTTCACAGGTCCCTGATATCAGATACAAAAGACGTTGGGCTGGAGCAAAGCGTTTACCGTTGGTGGTTATTGCTGCTTATCAAGCCACTTTATTTGGCCAAGGTTGCCGTGGTCTTTTTGTTTTTGTATATTCTGAGGCCCGCGTGCTTGGCTGGACTATGGACTTTGCGTGTGCTGCTGTTTAAACCAGCTGTGTTTATCTACTTGCTATTCTTGGAACGGCCATTCAAGACTGTGCTCTCGGTGTTTCTGTGGATACTGCCCATACTGGCGTTTATACTCGTTGTCACTATTGTTGCCATCCTAATAGGCGGCATATTTGGGTGGCTCAGTGCGGTGGCTCTTGGGCTTCTTAATTTGCCTGTGGCAAATGAACCCGTCGCAACACCAACGGAAACCAAAAAGCCGTTTACCAAGATAAATTCGCCGCGAACCGTGCAGCTGGTGCTTCCTGGGAGCAACCCAGATGGCGATAACCAACATATGCTTTCAAAATTGAGCGAAAGCCAGCGACAGCAACAGAAGCAGCAGCAGCAAAATGCGGATGTGTGGACTAGAAGGAAATATAATGCGCCTCCGCCATCCACAGCCTACGCATCCTCCAAGTCAAAGTGACTGGGCATGTTTACATACATTCAAATACCCAATCAATATTGCATATCATGTTTTTTTGGTAGACCTAATAGCGTGTTAAAGATTTAAATAAAATAAATTTTAATTTAGAATAAAAAACAACGCGGTCTCTCGAAGGCGTGTTTTATTTGGTGGCAAGCTCACATTTCCAGAATACTACAAAAGTGTTAGCTGGGGGTGGTCACGCTTGGACTTCGCAACACTGCTTTCAAAGAATCAAGCCTCAGCTTTACCAGCCCCATCCGCCACGCCAGCCGCCCCATCCACCACGCCAGCCACCACCGGGCCAGAACCCGCCGCGCCAGCCCCAGCCGCCGCCAGGCCAAAAGCCTCCGCGCCAGCCCCATCCTCCGCCCCAAGCGCCCGGGAAGTTCCTGGTTGCCAGCCTGTTATTACTAGCGTGACCAACAGGAGCATCGTAGTCGTAAAGATCGTTGGCGAATTCGGGCTGTGCGTTGGTGGTGTCAACTGCAGCGCCGTGAACGGTAGCGATTGCTGCTGTTCCAACAATGGCAATAGTTGCGACAGAAAGCTTCATATTGAGAGTGCTAGTAAAGAATGAGTTTGTTTGTTTGTAAAAATAAGGCAGTGTTTGTTAGCTAAGCACGACTTGCTTGTAGAAAATTGTTAGTATTTGCGGCAGTCAGTATCTCTTTTATACCTTTCGACAGAGAACCCAAATATCCTGAATGGAATATGCTGTGTGAAAAAAATGAATGAATGAGGGAAAGCGAGTTTCGGTAGCTGATTTAACACAAACCATATCAATCGATATATCCTGTGTTTGTGCGAATGCTAATATGAATGTGTATGTGCACACACACATTCACATATAAATGGCACTTGTGGCATATGTTATTTGTTGATATTTTGATTTGCTCACATAGATATAAAATTTATTTTTATATTTATTTTTAGAAATTGTCACTGAACACTGCCATCCACTGCTGATGGACCACACTTAGCGCGAAGCAAGGATGTCGTCAATCTTCATCAGCATCCGCACAGTCTCGGTGGACAGCTCGATGGCGCTGGTTGAAACGAGCAACGGCTGGACGACGTTCTCTTTGAGCATGTCGGAGATCGTGCCCTTGCGCACATTGATTCCGACAGACTTCTCGCCGTTGGCATGGCGGTTGCGCAGCTCGGTGACAATGGAGATGGGGCTCAGGCCCGAGTTCTCGGCAAGCGTGATGGGGATGACCTCGACGGCCTCAGCAAACGCCTGGAAGCAGATCGACTGGAAGCCGGTCTGGACCTTAGCTAGCTGCGACAGACGCTGCGAGATCTCGATCTCGGGAGCTCCTCCTCCAACAACGAGGGCGCGTTTCTTGACTAGGCAGCGGATGACGCAAAGTGCGTCGTGGATGGAGCGGTCGGCCTCATCCAGCACGTACTGGTTGGCACCGCGCATGATAATGGAGGCGGTCTTTCCTGCGTTCTTGATGCCGCTGATCTGGACAATGCGCGAGCCGTTGGACTCGGCCTCCTCAACGAGATCAGCGTAGCCCAGCTTGTCCTCGGTAAACGAGTCAATGTCGGCAATGGGCTTGCAGCCGGTGGCCTTGCAGATAAACTCAATCTCCTCGCGCTCGACCTCCTTGATGGCCATGATCTTAAGCTTCGCCAAGAAGTGCAGCGACAGGCTGTTGACGGCGTCGCGCAGAATGGACTTTTGGATCAGCAGGACGTTGCACCCGGCCTTCTTGATCTTCTTGACCAGGTTGAGCAGGTAGTTACGCTCCTCCTTCAGGATGCGGTCCATCTGACGGTAGTCGTTGACCACAACCTGGTTGTCCATATCGGGCTTGGGCGGGGAAAGCTGGAACTGAATCAGACCGATCTTGGCCTTTTCAATTCGAGTGGGTCCGCCAGCGCTCGAAATGGCGTTCTGGTTGAGAACAAGGCCTGGCACGAGCTCGGTATCGTCGATGGTGCCTCCGACCTTCTTGACAATGCGAATGTCGTTGAGGTCAACGTTTGTATCAACAGCGGGGTTGACAATGCGAAGCACCGCGTCTACGACAATGGGTGCCAGGACATTCGAGTACTGTGATACAACTTTAGAGCTGAGCGAGGTGGTGGCGCTCTTCAGGAGGAACTCGCGGTCGTCAAGGTTGATGGGGATCGAGATCTCCTCGAGGATCTTAACAGCCTCGATAGCGGCGTACTGGAAGCCCTCAGCAATCTGTGTGGGGTGGATGCCCTTCTTCAGCAGCTTTTCAGCGGCTGAGAGAAGGCTGCCCGCAAGCACAACGACCGAGGTGGTTCCATCTCCAGCCTCAATGTCCTGTGCGGCAGACAGATCAACCAGCATACGGGCCGCCGGGTGGAGCACAGACATGTGCTTGAGAATAGTCGCACCGTCGTTGGAAATCACAACCTCCTTTTTCCCAGTCTCAATCATCTTGTCCATACCGCGCGGACCCAGGCTCGTGCGGATAGCATCGGCGACGGCTAAAGTTGCAGAACAAAAAATAAGCGTGTGCGCAAAGCAGAAAGTCGAAAGTTCGAATTAGAACGCGAAATGTTAAGATGCAATTGCCATCAGAAAAAAATGAACACGGATTTTAGGCAGCGCCTACACAGTCGGTCCGTTGTTGGCGCTCGGGCAGCACCCATGGCAAAACATTAAAGCTATATCCTTACCCTTTGCGGCCGTTATGTTGCTCAGACGCACTTGTGTGGGCTTGTCCTTCTGGTTGAACGTGTCGTTCTTCTTCCGGGGCGCGGAAGGTCCGCTCATTTGAGGAGCACGGGTAGCGGCAGCAGCCATTCTGTGAAATTAAGTTTGATGTGTGTGGAAGGTGGATTCGAACAAAAATGAACGTTGTAATGAAGAGACAACAAAAAACGAGGAGTGGTGGCGGATATACTTGCTGGTTTCGAATTGCCGCCTTTGTTTGGCCTGTACAAAACCAGTCAAAAAACAACAAATAACAAAATTTTGGCTCGCTTTTCAACCTTCTGTTCCCTTCCTTTTCGCACTTTTTTTGCAAAAGGCTCTCTAAATGCGAGCCGGCTCGATCTAATATATAGACGAGCCGATCTGATCTTGTCGGCTAACTTTTGTCAATAAATTTTATTCAATTTTTTAGAGTCGAGTACGTATCAAAAGGACATGCGCAATCCTCAATCCGAGGCCGGGATCAGCGGATCTTGACCGCCAACCTTGGCAATAACTTCCCGGGGCTGCGCGGCGCTCTGGCCCGGAATGTACGTTGGGAACGGCACGGCGGCACCCTCGGGGAACAGGCGGTGCTTGATAAGCTTGGTCGAATCGCGCACCTTGATGAACTGCTCATCATGGCCCGGCACCGAGCCCTTGACCCAGATGCAGTTGAGTGCCGTATCGACCTTCATCACAGGAAGACGCATCACAGTGACGTTCTTGCCACCCATGCGGCCAGGCATCTTCTTTCCGGGGTACACGCGGCCGGGGTTGATGTTACCGGTCGATCCCGGCGTACGATGCGCCAGCGACGTACCATGAGACGCCGGGCCACCAGCAAAGCCCCAGCGCTTCATAACACCCTGGAATCCCTTTCCCAGGCTGGTCGCAGTCACATCGACCAGCTGGCCTGGGACAAAGTGTGCGGCGGTGATCTCGGTGCCAACCGGCAACGCAGCGTCCGGCGTGATGGGAAACTCAAACAGCTTCGCCTTAGGGTCCACGCCGTGCGCCTTGTAGTGGCCCATCATCGGTTTGGAGATGTTCTTCTCCTTGCGTGTGCCACAGCCGATCTGCAACCGCGCAAAATCGGGACAGCTTGTTTTGAGTATGCTGACTACCTGCACCTTCTCCAGCTGCAGCACCGTCACCGGCACACGCACTCCCCACTCGTTCCACATTCCCGTCATGCCCTTCTTGCGTGCAATGACGCCCGTCCGTTGCGACTCTGGCTTGTATGTGCCGAGCTTGAGCTCCGAGACCTCGGGCATGTAGCGCACTTTTTCATGCGGCAGCTTAGCCCTCAAGGCTGCCATGCTGGTGGTAAACTGGCTCTGCTGTGTCAAATTGTGCGCTGCGCGGCCAACGGCCCCGGCCGGCCTAGTGGCAATGAGTGAACGAGAAAACATTTGACAAAGTCAATCGGCTGCTGAATAAAGTGTAATTATGTCGCTGCGAGTCCCTTGCTTCCGATTTAGCCTTTCGAAATTCGGCGCTTAATAAGCAAATATAATAAAAAGAGTGTACAAGTACTACCGGCCAAGGAGGGGGGAATCACAAAAGTTTTGAATTCAGTTGCAAAGAGGTGAAAAGACTGCGAGCAGGCTCGCTCGAATTTGCTTTGCATCAAATTGCGCATTTCACACTTTCCCGCTCACATGCCAAGCTGCCAAAAATCGTTATCAAATTTGGATTAAATTTTCTTTTTGGAAATGAGCGGTTTTTAATTTTCGAATTCTCAGATCAAGGTGGTTGCGCACACTATTGGGGTGGCAATCATGCGATTATTTTTTCTCTCTTGACAAATTTGCGTTCGTCCCCTAACTCGAGGTGTTGTATTGAAATCTTTGGCCAAAAATTACCATCTCCGCGAGCTGAGACGCCAAGACGCACAACTTGCATCTTTTATTGGTCTAAATACTGTAATACTTTTTTAAATAAAAAATTCAAGCTCGCATCGACACTCGTCATATAATCAAATAAGCATCCATGGAAAACATTACAACAGCCGCGCCCGAGTTTGAGTCTGCTCAGCCAAGCGCTCCCGCTACCACCTCCATTATTACCGTCCGAGTCATCAAGAACTTTGAATATCGCACCAGCAGAAACCTCATTCTCCATGTTGATATTTCCCTGACAACTGTTGGAAAACTGAAGGAAATGTGCCGCGAAAGTAAGTATACACACCTTTTATTTGATGCAAAAGCGTTTGTTTGAAACTCGCTTATTCGGGATGAAGCTGAACATGTTATGTATGCCACCACCATCTCACCTAACCGCCACAACACAAATTGCTAATCATATAGTGGTCAAAACCAATCCTGGCTTTAAGGCATACTCCACCTGCGGGCTGGACACGCTCAAAATATATACGCAAGCATTTGGAAACAAGACCCAGAATCTCATCATCAACCTCGAGGATGAGGGATTCCTCAACGACGACAGTGCCATGCTCGACTTTGTGGGCATTAGAAATGAAACCGAACTGTCGATTTTCAACAGGGAGGCGTACGAGGCATACAAGGCGAACCCCGAGATGAAGTGGTAGTGCTGAACCATTCTGTGTGGGCTGAATTTGCCTGAGGTTCCCTTGATAACTGATTTCTTCAAAATGAGCGAGCAAACTACCTATTACAACAGTAAATCACATTAAAATTTTAAAGTTGCAATAGTTTTTAATAGACACGCTTCATCATTGAGGTTATGATATAATAATAAAGTTTTGCTATTAAAACTTGGCTCAGGAGCCGTGATAAATAATATACTGCTAACTTTGTTGCCTTAAATATATGGAGCCGTGCTTCTCATCCTTCAAACCCGCATGTATGCTTTCTGGCCCTTCTTTGATGTGCGTCTCTAGCTCCGAATTTCCGCCCCCATAAAGCTTGAAATTACTACTTTCAGTTGTCAATAGAATAAATTAAAATATTATTTTTTAGAAAGATAACTTGATTAACTTTTTATTTTACCTTTTAGCAACTCCGAGTTTTATAGCCAGTTTTACCTAACCTGACAACGATGCAAGATATTTGATGCTCTCCTGGAATCCCGTCGTAAATACGAGATTTGGCCCCTCACCAAGACGGATTATTATATCAAACAACCCGGAGCAAAGCAGACGTTAAGCTACAGCGTTGATCTTTAACAGAAGACGTGCACTTATCACACGTTTAAAGAGTATGCATTTCTCTGTGAGCACGCAGCTCACAGCATCATTCACTACTACAAGGACAGCTCCACCTCACAGGCGCAGGATAACAACGGTAAGCTGTGGCATCCAGAAGTCAGGCGGCAGCTTGTGACCCAGTTTGTGACCCAGTTTGTGACCCAGTTCGTGCACCCCTCTTACCTTTTGTTGTCGCTAATCAGCGGGTATGGCAAGAAAATATCTCCGCCAGCGTGGGGCAATGATATAGTTGATGATGGTCTCCTCCCAAACGTGGTCAAACGTCAGCCAGGCCGCCCGAAACCCGTACGTATACCAATCAAAGGAGAGTGCTTTTTAATGCGGCAAAGCGAGGACTCAAGCGCGCCCATGAGAATGCTTCCAAAGCTTCCAAGAAAGACCGCACCAGTGTAGCCGTCAAAGCGCCGAATTTGCAGGGCCGGTGTGCCACTCGTAAGCCTCCAATTCCTGCTGCCACAACTAGCGGCAAGAGAAAGCGCAAGGTCAAGTGCTCCGCCTGTGGTGGGCCGCATTACAAGAAGACAGGCTGCGCCGCTTCCGCCGCCAAGTCCCGCCCTCAGCCAGGCGCCGACAAGTAGGTAGCACGGGCCACACGTTTACGGCGACTGTACATTGATCGCCTGGTTTTTTGTTTATTTATTTAATGAATTTATCTGCCGGCTCGCCAAACAGCCGGCTGGATTTTGCTTCCCCTCACATATTTTCTTGTAAATGTGTGCTGGAATTATGAAGCAAACCTTGCTGGCTTTGGTGACAAACCTAGTGAACTAAAATATAAAGACGAGCAAACAAGAAATGAGACTAAGACGAGACAAAGAGAAATAGAAAGGACTCGACGACCAACACAAAAATGAGCTTGTGGTATATGTGCTGGCAGGCTACGAAAAAATCAGTGTGTACGATTTTCTCCGTTCATATGCATGCCAAAGAAGGGCCAGAAAGCATACATCCACATCCGGGTTTGAAGGATGAGAAGCATGGCTCCGGTTGGACAGAAAGTAAAAATTTCAAATTGATGGTGATGGAAAAAGTGCATAGATATTTCCCCCTTTTTCATAACTCAACTGCAATTATTTTATATTGAGCAAATCCGAATGGAAACATACCGTTATTCTGTTTAGAACACCTATCTGATGCGCAAAATAGTATGGAAAATTTGTTTGCCATTAGATAAAGCCAACAAATGAAAAATGCATATCTGATTGCAGCCTTCCCCACATTTTCCACATTTTCCTCCTATCCCACACCCACCTATTGTTGCTTGAGCGATTTTGGTGATTCATTATTGTTGTGGTGTGAACGTAGAAGAGAATAAAAATCCGTTTTTTTCTACGTTTAATTAATGTGCGTAGGGGCATATTCCCAGCGTCGCGTGATTGCTTAGGATGTCTAAACGATCTAGTTTAAAGCTGTGCGCGTCCTGTTCCGGATCGCTATTTTATTTCTACTCACTCGCTCTCATATTACTCGACATAACATTAATATAAAAATAATTAAACTCAGAATTATACAGTCATGTCAACGGGCTTTGATAGTTCACTGATGGTCGCCGGTCTGACATCTGCATGGGTACGTTTTGATAATGTGCAAGGGTATTTTACGCGAAACAAATATTTGATTTACTGTCAATTTAGCACGCTCTCGCTTATGTAAACAAACTAAAAATATCTCAAAAAGTTTAACTTTCTCTCGAGTAGCCGGCTGCCGTATCAATTGCCTTTCATGCGGCTGCGTCGCTCATCTGCACAACTCGGTCGCATCAATTACACCGCCAAACATCGCCTCCACGCTTACAAATGCGCAGATGGCGAGCAGTATCAGCAAAGCTGACTGCAGCTAGTACGGCAATCCTGTGCTCCACAATACTGGCGGTCCAGCAATGCCAATCCGAGCAATATCCAAGCCCCGAATCGCTGCCGATGTCGCTTCTAGGAATGCTGGCCGGTGTTCTGCAGCTGATCTCGTCGCTGAGCGCTCTATTGCTCCATTGCATTCACAGCGGACGCAGCTCAGTGTCTTCGGATGTGCTGCTTGTGTACTGGCCCGTGTCGCTGGCCCTCTCGCTGCTAGTACTCAGAAGCAAGACTAAGCTCGACAGTTTTGGCAACTTGCATGGCACCGCGCTATTGCCGCATGTGGTATTTGTGTTTGCCGCAGCGTTCGCATTCTGGGCCGAACTGGATACTGGCCAGCCGACCCGGCGGCACCAGCCCATTTATATACCGCAGGATGACCGAGAGAATGACAGCGGCGACCACCGTGACAACAACAATACCAGATGCGGGCGCAGAGAGCGTCAGCATGCCAATATATTCTCGCGATGGACGTTTGCGTGGATGACGCCGCTAATCGACGAGTCGTACGAACGCGCATGCAACGGACGCAATGGCGGCGAGGCAGAAATGCTGGGATTGCCCAAAAAGCTGGCCGGCAATGCAGCGTGCGACGGGTTTTTCGCTGCCTGGGACTTTGAATGCCGGGCAGGCACGCAACAGCCACGGCTGCTGTGGCTCTTGGTCAACGGCATTTCGCACGATTTACTTGTCTCGGGCTTGTACCTGGCATTTTCAACTATGGCACAACTGTTGCAGCCGCTGCTGCTGAAGCGCGTCATTGTGTTTTTCCACCAGTATCGCTCGGTCGAAAATGTCACACTGGACGACGGTCTGGTCCTGGCACTGGGAATGGGCATTTTGGGACTGGTGCGTACCGTCACCTACCAGATGTACTGGCACAAGCTGATGCAGCCGTACTTGTGGCTGGTGCGCGTGCTATCGGGGCTAGTATATCGGAAGATTCTGCGCCAGTCAAACGAATCCAGGTTGCGGCATACGACGGGCGAGATTGTCTCGTACTTGAGTGTGGACGCAGAAAAATTAGCGACGGCAGTCAACTACGTACATTGTATTTGGGAGTACCCCTTGCGCGTGGCCATTGTGATGTGTGCGTTGTACCGCACATTGGGGTACAGCGCGTTTGGTGGCGTGGCACTGCTGGTCGCCAATACTCACCTGAGCGTTCTGCTCGCGGGTTTGCTCGGCAAGCAGATCAAGACGCTGGCCGACAGTCGCGATCAACGAATGCGCGCTGTCAACGAGACATTGGCCAACATCAAGGGCATCAAGCTTTACTCATGGCAGGCAGCGTTTGCTGCCAAGATCAGCCGTGTACGTGACACCTTGGAGCTGGCAGCCTTACACGACGTCGGCTTGTGGAAGAGCGTCATGTCGCTCACCTCTTCGCTGGCAACAGTGCTGATTAGCCTGGCCACGTTTGCCACGTACGAGTGCTTTGACGGCGTCTCGCGTGGCCCGCTGACTTCGCAGCTCATATTCGTCTCAATGATGTTGTTCTTGTTACTCCAGGAGCCTGTTACAGAGAGCCCAACGGTTATTGCCATATTGGTTAGCGCGGCTCGGTCGTTTGGCCGCTTGCAGGATCTGGCACTAAGCACTGAGGTTGTGCCTGTGAGCGGCACCAATAACGCGAGAACCGCAGGCAGCGGCTGCAAAGGTACAGGTGCCTACTCGGAAGCTTATTGTAGGCGTGCAACCGCCGAATTGCGAGACGTGGATGTTGCGGTCCGGATGAGCGGCGCCACGTTCAAGTGGATAGACGGCGACTGTGTTCCTGTGCTCAGCAATGTCGACATTGAATGCAAGCGCAGCGAGCTTGTAGCGGTGATTGGCAGAGTCGGCTCGGGCAAGTCATCGCTGGCGTCGGCGATTCTCGGTGAAATGGTCAAAAGCGCCGGCAGCGTGGCCATCAGCGGTAGCGTTGCATACGTGCCACAGCAGCCTTGGATCATGAACGCGACCCTGCGCGACAACATTTTGTTTGGCAGCCGATTTGAGCAAGAGTTTTACGACAGGGTCATCGACGCCTGCGCGCTGGGCCCCGATCTCGAGATGATGTCGGGTGGCGACATGACTGAGATTGGCGAAAAGGGCATCAACCTGTCGGGCGGCCAGAAGGCGCGAGTATCGCTGGCGCGTGCTGTGTACTCGCGAGCTGATATCTACATTCTGGACGACCCGCTGGCTGCCATCGACGCGCATGTGGGCAAGCACATATTCACTCATGTGCTGGGCCCGCAGAGCCTGCTTAATACGCGCGCGCGCATCCTGGTCACCAACGCAACTGCACACATATTGGACTGTGCAGACCGGGTGTATTCTTTGCTTGATGGGCGTGTTTTTATGGAGGAGTCAGCTACGCGCGACCCGGCTGCCAGCCAGTACTTTAGTCGCAGTGCCTCCGACAGCAGCCTATCTGTTGATGAAACGCTGGCGTTGCAGCAAACGCCAGCTGTAGATGCAGACGAGGTTGGCACCGCAATTCTGGAGCCCAACCCAAGCTATGGTATCATCAAGCGTGAGAACCGGCATGTGGGCAGTGTTAGTTGTGTAACAATATGGTTCTACTTGGACTGCTGTGGCCGCGCAAATCTGGGCGCCCTTGTCGCAACTGTGCTGTTGACACTAGTGCTCAGCGCGAGCAGCAATATCTGGTTAACTCGCTGGGCCGACATTAACGACGATAATACTCGCGACAGCAGGGGTGTTTTGCAAAGGCGCAGTGCAAACCCCATATACCATTTGGCAATATACGGCTTGCTCGGTACTGCTGGTGCCTTGTCGATGGCTGCCTCAGCATTGATTCTTTGGCTGCGCTGCTCATTGGCAGCATCTAGGACCACACACAAGCGCATGCTGCACAGCGTGCTAAGATCGCCAATGTCGTTTTTTGATTCCACGCCGTTAGGCCGCATCCTTGGCTTGTTTGGCAGCGACCAGACGCTGACGGACGATAATGTCCCGGCTGCAGCGGAGGCAGGCATTAAGGCAATGGTGCAGGTGTTGGTCGCGCTATTCCTAGTCGTGATATCAGCGCCAATGATGCTGATATTTTTTGTGCCCCTGTCGCTCGTGTACATTAATTTGCAGAGTAGGTTTATGCCAATAACGCGCGTCGCTCGATACAGTGTCAATGAGATGAGAAATTCTGGCATAACTGCCGCCGAGGAGGCCGTTGGTGGCGCCACATCAATCAGGGCGTACAGCTGCCAGACAAGGTTTGAGTGCAAATTTTCTAGGCGCATGGAGACTTATTCAATCGCGTGGTGGACGTTTTTGTGCGCCAATCGTTGGCTCGCCGTCAGACTCGACATTATCAGTGCAGCAATCGCGTTTTTGACAATGGTGATGTTGGTATTGGCACAATGTGCTTTTGGGAACGTCAGGGGCAGTAGTGCTGGCTTGTCTTTAACATATGTGTTCTCCATGGTTGGAGTTCTAAACACATGTGTGCGTTCTACAACCATGCTAGAATTCTCGCTTATATCAGTTGAGCGTATACGCAAATACTCACAACTGCCAGCAGAGGCACCAGAGTTCGTCCAGAATTGCAGTCTGAGCCGGTCCTGGCCCGAGCAAGGCATGGTTGAGTTTAAAAACTATTCGACCAGGTACCGCGAAGGACTTGACCTGGTGCTCCGTAACTTGTCGTTCCGCGTACTTCCCAAGCAGAAGGTCGGCATTGTGGGCCGCACAGGCGCTGGCAAATCTTCGCTGACTCTGGCACTGTTCCGGGTCATCGAAGCCGCAGGCGGCCAGATTTTGATCGATGGTGAGGATATTTCCCAGTACGGTCTGTACGACGTGCGCAGCAAACTGTCGATCATTCCGCAGGACCCTGTGCTGTTTGCCGGCACGGTTCGCGAGAACCTTGATCCCTTCAACAGCCACTCGGATCAGGAGATCTGGTGCGCACTCGAGCACGCGCACCTGGCTGACGTTGTGCGTGCCAAGGACGAAGCACTCGAATTTATGGTCGCGCATGGCGGTGATAACTTTAGCGTTGGTCAGCGCCAGCTCGTCTGCCTTGCGCGTGCACTGCTCAAGCGCGCCAAAGTGCTTGTGCTTGACGAAGCCACAGCTTCGATTGACAACTCGACCGATTCGATCATCCAGGAGTCCATTCGCAAGGAATTTAAGGACTGCACCGTGCTGACTATTGCACACAGGCTCAACACAATTGTCGACAGCGACATGATTTTGGTCATTGATGGTGGTAAGGTCGCCGAGTATGACACACCGGGAAACCTGCTGGCAGACAAGACTAGCTTGTTTGCCCACCTCGTCGAGAAAGCCTACACCATAAACTCGGTGAATTCATAGCTCTTCAATAATAGGCAACATTAGGCAAAATATTTTTAGCATATTTAGGTGTAATTGGTTGATGTTTGAAATGTCGATCTAATTGCAAACAAACTGCTGATGAAAGTTGAATATTATTGCGGATCGAATTAAGTAAAAAATAAGAATATATATTCAGTTGCTCTGCTCATCGTCTTGTTAGACTAAAATATACACAAACTCTTTTTTAAAAGCTCGTTCATCTCATTATGATAGCTAAAAAGAACATTGGACAGAACTTGAGCCGCCGCAAACTCATAAGAATAATCGGATGCTGGCGTATGTGTAAAGCTAAATAGTTATAAAATAGGGGGTTCTAAGCTAGTCGCAAAGGCAAATTTGTATTCTTTTATAGATATTTAATGGCCAAGTCTCTGACCACGATGCTTGGTGTGGCATGCCAACGCCAATGGTTGAAGAAGCACACAAATGCTAAAACAAAACTATTTTTAGTTTCAGCACCTTTTTAATCAATATTGTATGGAAAGCGTATTGACATTGAAATAATATGATTCAAACAAAACCAGCATAAAATATTGCGGGGTTTAAAAACATAAATTTGGCATTTTGACATGCCGAGTTTTTTTTAAAAAAATGAAGTCAGCGAGCATCTGGTATCTACATTCCAGAATGCATTATAGACACCCTTTCGCAGCTTGCGCAGCTTCCCCACCATGGGTGCCGTGCCCAAAGCGCCATTCTTGTTTGGCTGGCGCTTGCGCTTAGACAATCCATTGACAATGTACTTGTTAGCCACAATATTGATATTTAAAGCCGGTGGTGGTAGTCGCTCGGAAGAATGCGTTGGCGAAGATTCACAAGACGGGGTTGGGTCGGCAGCTGTTCCATCAGAGATTCACTCGTCGAATCTGCAGTGGCTGCTGGGGTTTCGCAAGCGGCGGGCTTTGTGGTGCCTGTTGTTGTAGTTGCAGACTGAGCTGTTGGTTTGACAACGGACGCAACAGTGAGCTTTGAACTGGCACAATCATCATTATTGTTGTGCCCATCATTATCGTCCTCATCACCGCCATTGTCCCCGTCACAATTTGCTTTGTCGCCATCGTCTCCGTCGTCATCAATATCGTCCACATTGTCGTTGTTCTTGTCCTCATTGTCCGCAGCGCCATAAAGAGACAATATTTGATTGTCGCTAATGGTACGTACATCCTCGTAGCGGCTCAAAAACTTCCCACCAATAAAAAAACCATCATTGTAAAATAGGAGCTTGCAAAGTGGATTCAACAGATTAAGGACAGTGTTAAAGCAGGAATCATTGACGCCAAGGTACCCAGGGTAGCTATTGTCGATAGACACCATTCCGACTTTTGCCAATGCTGATAGTCCTGCAAAGATTCCCTGGTATATCGGCGCCCGCATGTTGATTCTTTTTGGACCGATGTATAAAAAGCCAGTTAGCATGATGTAGAGCAGAGACTCAATGTCGTCTAAAGTTCTGCGCTTAACATGCCCATCTAGCACCCGAACGCTTTTGAAGCATTCCGTGCCCGTACCCTGATTGCATTTGCTTTCAGTATACAACAGCTCGTCAATGACAATGTCCCACGACTCGCCAACACGCTTCAACACAGCCTCCGGTATGTCGGGCAGAATCCTTGCGCATCCCCAGCCTATGACAAATGTGTCCTTTTCGCGCCAAGTAATGTTTTCCGGGGAAATGTTGCAATGGAGCACGCCTGCCCTCTTGGCCTGGACTAAGCATGCACAAATATGTCGAATAGCAATAGTCCAGTCACTACGCAAAGAGTTTAACGTGCTAAACGGAAAAGAATGGTTAACCTTTTCCCCTTGATATTCAAAATGTGATCTGCTCGACTCACCGCAGTCCTCCATGATTAGGTACTCGAGCCAGTATCTCAAAATGTCGCTGCACAGTATGCCGCTGCTATAGACTGTCGGCACTCCCCAACGTTGCCCGCTTCTAGCACCTCATACACACCACCCTCAGGGTGGCGATCGACGTGTGTCCACGACAGCTTGAGCACAGCTTCATTTTCGCCGAATTTAGTTCTGACCACGTATGAGGCGCGGCCTTGGAGGCCCACCTCTTTTTTGATTATGTCGCCGATGCTGACCGCAGTGGGTGTGAGGCCATCTGCTCGTTCGACCGTAGCAGCCTGCTTGCTGCCACTAAACTCAAGTTACCGGGGTGTTTTGACGGCGTCGACAAAGTGGTCGAATTTGCTCAAGGACTGTTTCATGACAAACCACAGCTTGTGAAAGCATTCAATGTGATTACCTCTGTGTAAAGCACGCAGGTTACTATCCCCAAAAATGCGCCATGTCTCATGTAGTAAATACTGCCGCGCGCAAAGATGAGCATATCAAGCCATGTTTCACGCAATAAGATAACGGGGATAAAAGCCGTGTCGGCTGAGCATTCCACATTTTGGTAATGTTCTCAGCCATCTGCCCCAGCACCTCCAGGGGAAGGTTGCCACGAAATGATCCCACAGTCGCCTCTACCAGAATATGGACGGTGCTGTAATCTATCTCGTTTTGCGAATAGTATGTACACGCCTTGAGGATTAAAAATGTTTTGGTTGTTTTCCACACACTTGTGACTCACAAAAAACGGCTTATTATTGGGCTTTTCCAACGGTAAGTCGCTAAAATCCGTGCTACTCATCATCTTGAGCACTTCGGAAAACCGCTTAACCATTCCCAGCTTGCTGGCCACCTCAGAGCTGCCGTCGTCGTGTATCAGCTTGTCCCGAATAAGATTAAGTGTTTGGCGCTGGATGTTGAAATGGCTGGTGGTTTTCTTCATATACTCGTTATAGTCGTCCAACTGCCCCAGAATAGCCTCCAATTATTCCATATTCATATTTTTTATGAGGCCGTTCAGCTGGTTGCTAAGCTCTTCGTATCTCACCCGTCTCTTCCACTCTTTTTTTATAATATGGCCAACCATGCTCCCAGCTGTAGAGAAATCAGGCGCGTCACTATCGTTATCTGATGAGTGGGACTACATGCAGCAATTGCAAAAGTATTTGAATTAGTCGCGATGCATTTTCGTATTTGTTTTCTATCAATAATAAAACCAAATTCAGTGTTGGACACCATGCTTACCTCGAGAACTGTTGACCGGCTATTGTACGACTGTGAGCTGCTGTATCCCGAACTCATGGCTGACATGCCTAACGAGCACATTGCAAAAAAATGAGAGGGGGCAATTGAATTGGCAATATATAAATGTTAATTAGGTTGGTTGAATTTAGTGAAAGAGTGAAAAATTAGTGTAAATGAATTAAAGAAAGCTGGAACGTAAACGGAGCAACACAAAAAAATGCAGTTGTTCTGATGCTATTTTTATTTTCTGTTTTCTGTTTTTTTGTTTACGTTAGCCAAAAGAGTAAGAATTTTGGTAATCAATGATTGTCAATCCCAATTAACTGTGGGTAAATATTGCATATGGATTTTCGTTGTCCATATTTTCTTTGGGCTTTTTATCGCACGACGTTTTTGTTTATTTTTTAGAGCGTTGTGTTAAATGACTAAAAAATATAAATATTGATAAGTGAAAAGAAAAAGTTAAAATTTAGAAATATTAGACTGATTCAACCGCAGCGATCTAATTCAGATCATTGGATTTGGCAGGCTTGCTGGTCTTGCTTGGTGTGATGGCGTGGGAATGGCTGAAATTGCAAGTGATAAGCCAATGCAATCTCCTGTCTTGCGATCGACTGCTTCCAGAATATTGGCATACGTTAGCTCGCAGATGTGCTCAATACTCAGCAATAGATTGGGGCCAATGAGAATGTTATCCTTGTAAAAAAAGCCGGTAAAGTGGCTCCGCCAAAGTTAGCATGTTTGCCAAATATTGTGCTTTGACCCGAATAAGATGAGTGTATCTTCACTGCCCAAAATACCAACTTTTGTGTATGCTAAAAGCTTGTCAGGTGTATGGACAGCCCATGGATACCCTAAATTTAATCTACCAATTCCGACACACATAAAATAGTAACAACAGTATAAAACAAAGACTCGAGATCATCGAATACAGATCTAGATGGCATTCTATCTGTCGTGCTCTATAAAAACGTGGGTCTAAATTAATATATTCAAGTCTTAAAAATTACTTTTGGAACTGAAAAAGGGGGCAGTGCTGTAAACATAATGGTGTTAAGTAATTTTTGATACTTGAATATATTAATTTAGACCCACATTTTTATAGAGCACAACACTATCCAGCTAACCAAAGTTTCTAATGTCTTTGCCCAGTTCAACAAAGTGACTAGCTACTGACTCGCCACAGTCCTCCATAATCAGGAACTCGTCTATATCCATAAATGTCGCTGTGCAAGATACCGCTGCAATAGGCTGTCAGCACTCTGCTGACGTTTCCTGCCTCCAGCACGTCATATATGGCACCCTCTGGCTGTTGAGCAACGGGCGTCCAAGAAAGCTTAGGCACTGCCTTCTTTCCGCCATATTTAGCTCTGAAAACATACGATGCGCGACGAAAAGCATCCATTGTTTGTTCAATTTTATCATTGACGCAGATGCTGACCACAGTGAATTTGTGCGAGGAAACCACAGCAACCCGTCCATTCTTCTTGGATCCGCTGAATTCGAGATACACTGGATTGTTTTTCACATCGACGATATGTCCAAAACTGTTCAAAGGCTGCTTAACAACAAACCACAGATTGTATAAAACCTTGGCTTGCTTCTCGATTGCTGTCTGATTGGGTGTCTCAGTGGCATGAAAGAACAAACCCATGTTGACACAAAAATATCCACTACACGTGAAGAGAAGAAGGTACATATGTCCACCGTGCAAAAACAAGAGCCGAAAATAAAGGCACGTGGGCTGGGTATCCCAAACCTGTAGAGTATAATCAACCATCTGGCCAAGTATCTTCAAGAGAATTACGTTCTTGGTCCAAGCGAGTTTTGCCTTAATAACCATGTGGACATTCTCAAACTCCCTCGTCATGTGAGCGGAGTAAAGAAGAACACCATCCGGCTTTGATCACAATCCCTCGACGAACTTGTTCTCATGGCTGATGAACTCATATTCCTCATAGGGAAGAGCCGACTTAAACATGCGAAAGTCCATCGCATACATCATCCCGAATACTGTTTCAACCCATTTGACATGATCGTGTTCACAGGCAATTATTCCAACTTTTCTTGCCAGCCAAACAGGACGCCATTGACAAAGCTGGGGATTGAATGTGCTATTTCCTCAAACAGGCCACCTGTGTCATCAATTATTACGATGTTACGTGACAATCGCGATTTCTATTTTCACTGTCGATGGCTTTGAATAGATAAGCGGAGCTCTTTAAGCTCCCTTATTCGTACTAGATATATATATATATATATATCATAAAACCCATTATAAGTTTTATTACACCACCGGTCCCCTCTATGAACTGTTTGTATTCGCCAAGCAAGGGCAGAGCATACAACATAGCCTTAAAGTACAAGTGCCGTTCATAATTTCCAAGCCGACGATCATATGCTCTGTAGCTTTCATCAGCTAATTCATCATTTTTTGCTTCCTTCTCCTCCTCTGCCCGTTGGTCCGCCTCAAGCTGCTCCTTAGTGCGCGAGGATTTTTGGTGGGTATCTTTGATATGATTTGGCTATGTGCAACAAACTACATTAACTGATGTTTAAAAGATAAATATGTCTATAATTATTTATTTATTTGCTGCTTTATACGCGGAGAATATTGTATATAACCTTACTGTGCCCTTGGGTGCCTTGCTTTGCGGGGTATGCAGCTGTGCGCTTTCAGATAATGCGCGCTTGCGAGTGGCATCGCTAGTTGCTGAATTTGTTGTCATCGTTTAAATGGGTGAAAATAGTAGAATAAAACATCAGATCAGTTAGACTGGTAAAATGCTGTTAACACTGCCGTAGTCCTTGCAGCTCTTGTGCTAATTGAAATGACAAATGCTTCTCCGAAGCTTCCAAGAGACTGAGGCAATAGTGTTGATAAAAGACAATGACTTTGCAAATATCAACACAACCAAATGTTTGTTCCCATTGTCTTGTTAGAAATTAATTTTAATAATCAACTTAATTATGTTGGATTTTTCCTTCCGCTTAATATTGAACGAGTACATTATCAGGACCACATTAAAATATGTTGAACAATATATAATCATATTTGTGCAACAATAATAATGCAATGTCTACTTGCATTTATATGCTCAAGACAAATACCAATAGCAATATCAGACCAGTAATTTGAGATCGATATGGATCGCTCTCAAATTACTATTAAAGCTTGCCAGTTGATTTGCTTCAAACGGAGGAAGTTTTAATAGCAATGCATTAATGTAGTCTGACTGAATAATCTGACCAACTAGTGAATGGCGACAGTCTCGTCATAATTTTTTATCTAAAATGCACACTATTCTAGCAAAAACAATTCAATAGCTTATACTCGACATTTAAAAATAAATTTTATAAAGCAATGTTGAAAGAGCAAACAAAAACAAAGTGATAAAAATTCATTTCTCTAAACAGCGATCGAGTCGGTCAGGAGCTTCTCAAGCTTGGCCAGTCTGCTCGAGACCGACATATCAATGGTGTAATCGCCAAACTCGACGACCATGCCTCCAAGAAGGCTGGGGTTGACCTTGTTAATGACATTGACCTCCTTGAAGTCCTTGATAAGACCGCCTTTGGTCAGACTGTCCTTGACTTGCTTCAGCTCCTTGTTGCCAAGCTGGGTGGCCGAAGTGACAATGACGGAAACAATACCGCGCTGGGCGTCCATCAGGGACTTGAAAGCGGTGATAATGTTATTGGTCTCACTCAGGCGGTTGTTCTCAATGAGGGTCTTGAAGAAGTTGGTGGTGAGCTCGGACTTCTTGCCCAGCGAGTTGATCAGCTCCTCCTTGGCCGAACGGTTCAGCAGGGGGCTGGAAAGAACCTCGCCAATGCGCGCGTTCTGAGCGAGCTTCTCACTGATGTTGTTCAGATCGGCCTCAACGGTCGTGAGGGCGTTCTTTGAGGCAGCGGCCTGGAACAGGGCAGTCGCGTACTTGCCGTCAATACCGAAAAGGGCGATGGGTGCCTAATGTAAATAAAAAAGTCAATAGTGTTAGGTCTGTGCGAATGTACTACCGAGATAACAGCTGCTGATTGCTTTTTGTGTCTGCGCGTATTTCCCTTAGTGAATTGAATACGAGCCATTTCAAAAACGTACCTTGGTGGAGGGGGCGGAGGTGGCGTAGCCACGGGCGACCTACAACAATTCAAATAATTTTTTTCGCAGTGTCAATGTAAGGTGCTGTCATTAGTATTATAAATGTCGTTGTGTTGCCAACTGGCAATGGTCCGATGAGCAAAGAGGGTTCGGGCCGTGAGACGTGGGAAGGGGGTGTGGATTTGCGTGACAAACAAACGATTCGAGTAGTGCTCTTTTTCTTCGCTATGGCCGCTAGCTGCTGTGACTGTGAGTTCCATACCTGAGTCTTTCCAGCGTTAAGAACCTGACGGAACATGATTATATTTGGTATCGAATGAGGAAATTGAACAAAGAGTAGAAAAATAAATTCGAATCTAACGAAAGAGAAAAAAACGAAAAAAGAGTAGGAAGACTGTTTTCGTGTGAATTGAAGTGAAATTGGCGCCTGTTGCCAGATACCTCTTCTATCCAACAAGCAGGCAATGATCATTTCTCAGTGCTTATTTTTCTGCTTTTGAATATGGACGCTTTACGTGAATAAATCCAGTACAGATATTCTTATCGCTCGCAAAAGGATAAATTTCGCCTTGGGCGAGATAGTTGATCAATTGATCAGCAGTCACGCTACAGGTTAATTCGGCCCATACTGCAGCTGTGCACAAGTGTCAGTAACAACTTTGTCAGCAGGGTGGAATTTCTTTGAAAGGGCGCGTCAATCTCCATTTATTTTTGGACATTTTATCGTCACCCAAGCAACCACTATTTGCAAACACACACAACATGTCGGAGCCATTAGAGTCGGACGCTAGTTTGCTTGTTGTTGTACTGGATATAAACACTAGTGCATGGTCTACATCGCCGCTACCACTTGACAAGGCGCTCCAGCAAATAATAATATTTATAAATGGCTACCTGGCGCTCAAGCCAGAAAACAAACTGGTCGTTCTTGCATCAAACAAGCGCGAGTGTCGATGCCTTTACCCTGTAGACCACACAAGTGCCACCCCAGATCAAGACATCCAAGTGTACGAGCAGTTCCGCGTGGTGGACGCGAGCATCCTGGCAGGCGTCAAAAACATGATTATCAACACCGAGCCGCCCAACGCTAACCAGGGCATAGAGGAGGCGCAAAGCCTTATAGCCCGGGCCCTGTCTAAAGCCCTCTGCCACATCCACCGAGTGACTGAGTCCACGCTGAGCAAAATATGGCCGCGCATCCTGATCCTTTCCGCAGCCGAGGATTCGCCCCGCGAGTACATTGCGCTTATGAACAGCATATTCGCGGCCCAAAAGATGAGCGTTCTTATAGACATTTGCAAGATCATTGGCCGTGATTCTGTATTTTTGCAGCAAGCGGCGGAGATTAGTGGAGGCAATTATCTCAAGGTAGACACGGCCAGAGGCGAGTCGCTTTTGCAGACGCTCTTGTTTACTTGCTTGGCCGACCATTACACCAGGGAGATTTTGTACTTTCCCGGCAACGAGCAGATTGACTTCCGGGCAACATGCTTTTGCCATAAGAAGGTGGTGGACATTGGGTTTGTGTGCTCGGTTTGCTTGTCTATCTTCTGCCGGCCTGCCCCTGTGTGCTCGACATGCCAGACGAAATTCTCGATCAAGCTGGTCAAGACGGAGAGCGCGTTGTCCTCGTCGGCCTTGACAAGCAATGGGAAGCAAATATTGGCGGCCTCCGAGATGTCTGCGCTTTCGTTGGAGGACGAGAAAACAGCAACAGCAGCAAAATAATAGCTGAAGTGGTCTAAATATAATTAAATTTTAGATCCAAATCACGTGTATTAAATATATCAATTTTTTGGTTAGGCATTCAAATATAAAGAAAAGCACATTTGATTTGACTTACGTTTAAACACGAAATGCGTGCAATTTGATTTATTTTTATTTGTTGTTTCTTGTTTTGTTCCTTCGTTTGCAATCAATCGATGCCAATTTGCTCAATTTCTATTTTCTTTTCTCTAAAATTCATTCTCAACACAAAAGCACTCGTGTCAAATGATATTCGTGTTTCTCATTGACACAAGCGTGTCAATGGAGCAAGTGCTCAGCACATCGCTGCCCAGCTCGGCGCCCAAAAGACGAGATGAGCCAGCACCCATCATGGAAAGCATATTTGGAGAAGCCAAGGGGCGGGTGAATCGCCGGTGGCAACGCAAAGATGTTGGGACCACAGCGGCAAGCAGCAGTCCGCACGACTACACACGGTTGGACTGCGCCAAAAGCATAGTCGAGCAGGTGGTCGGCAACAGGCAGAGCTTCGAGCAGGACAAATACATGCTAGTGACGTACAGTGACGGGCCCAACGGCTGCATTCGGTCAAATTTGAAAGACTCTAGGGCAACATTGCTAACTGAGCTCCGCAAAATCGAGGCCAAGGACAAATTCCATGGCGGTGTGGCCCTAACATCCCTGTTCAACCAGCTATCGTTGATGCGCAGTTCCTACGACATGGACACGTACGGGTATGGAAGGTATCCCGTGCTCAACGAGCCCGTTCACATTGTCTGGCTGACGGACGGCGCCAGTGTGGTGACGGCTACAGGCATCCAGAATAAACTTAACCTTCCGGTGAACAACACGCCCTGGGTTGAGGCATACGTGGAGCCATTCCGGTGGGACCAGAGACTAATACTGGTGCTCCTACACGAGCAGGGGGACGGTCAATTGTGTACGGGCAAGCCCAACAGCAGCGAAAACACGCTTCTGCCCATGTGCACGGTGATGGGGGGCTCGGTGCACCATGTGGGGACGATGCTCCAGTGCCAGCGGTTTGTCGAGTCGTTTGCGCCATCCAAGGCCATCCCCAACTCGGTGCGCTCGCAGGGGCTGGCAGCGGCGCTTCCCGGCGTGTTGGTCAATTTTGAGCGCATCGACGACAACCCGGCCAACCATGGAAACTCCGATTTGCGTGTTTTGCTCCATGCGCCGCCCAACTCCACCAGCTCCATGGTCTTGCCTCCGCCAACCGAGGCGGCAGGTGGTGTAGTGCCAGCCAACAACACAAATGCCAGGGGGCCGGGTGCTGGCATCAGTAGCAACAGCAGTTACGGAAACAGCGCAGGTGTCACAGCCCTGATCAATGGACACCTAGGCTACTTTCCCATTCCTGAGTCGTTCTGGCCCGAGACAATCAGCCCACCGCGAGCGCCCGGCCAAGCCGCTGGCGGCAGTCACAGCGCACCGCCAGCTGCTGGAAACAACAGCAACTGGCAGATCCAACGGCGCAGCGCGCACCCGACTTTGGGATACAGCCAAGTCAGCACTGAGTGGACAGTGCCGCCGCAGTTCCCGTTTGACAAGTACCAGATCGACACGCACTGCAACGTAGCTCAGAAGCTTCTCGCAGCCACACAGGCAGCGCAAAACGCGCACGAGTCGCAGGGCGGCAAGGGACCGGCAAAGCCCGTCTGCTGGCCGGTCTTTGTCAACGGGTCGTACACGACACCCAAGAACTCAGGCTTCCCCTTTGGAATCCTGCGATCCAACACGGCGCGCACAGCGGTCAACCTCTACGTGCTGCCGTACAACTACACGGCGCTGTGGAAGATCCTGGGCAAGCTGGATGCGCAGGTGCAGGGCCAGAACTCCTCTCGCGCTGCTGTGGCCATGTCGGCGGGCTGGCGGCGCGAGTTTGAAGAGTACCTGCAGCACACGCCCGGATACTACGCCATCCCGCTGAAGCGCGCTTTTAATCTGTTTGGCATCCCGCACGGTGTTTTCCCAAAGACTTTTGGGCAGAGTCCCGGCATGCGCAACATCACTGCCTACTCGCTCAGAATACACAATGTCGCGCGCAAGGACTGGGACCGCCTGCATCCAGGAAGTGGAATCGAGGGCGGTCAATCCGGCGCCCAGGCGCTGAGCGAGCAGGCGGCCAACCTGCAGCAAGCGCTTCTGAGCTTCAGCCCAGCGTCGGATGCCAGCCACCTGGTGGCCAACGCCTTTGACGTCGACCGCGCGCACTGCCTTGCGACGCTCAGCGCCATGCGCCGTGTTTTTGTACGCGAATGCATGGCCGGACAGGGTGCCTACTTCCGAGCCAACGCTATTGTCCCTCCTTCCTCGGGTTCCTTGGAGACGCCGGATGCCTGGGCTATGGATATTGACGGCGACGGGCACAGCGTAGCTTCGCTGTACTTGCCGCCAGTGGCCAGCATGGAGTACGCGCTTTACGGCGGGATGGACATGGCAAAGCCGTCGCCGCTCGGTGGCCCCGTTGACGTGGCCAGCGAGGACGACCGCGATTCGCGCCATTCCGTTCCAATTCGCATCATGGGCGAGTTTGGGGCCGCCATGCATCTGCTGAAGGCCCACGAGGCGCGCGACCCGCTGTTGGACGAGCGCATCGCCATGCAGCAGCGCCGCAATATGTTCGGAAATCCCTATCGCCGGCCACCGCGCGAGCCGCGTGGCCCTACGAATAACATTTTGGCGCGCAACCCTCAGCTCTCGGCTATGTTTGGCGCATCGCGCTCACAGCCCAAGTCGCCAGTTACGCTGCAGGCCGGTGGCGGCCCTGGTGGCGGACAGAGAGCTGATTTGGACGACGAGGCAGCTGCCTCTGCCGGGCTGGAGCTGGAGAACGAGGCCGAGGTTAATGAGCTAGCCATGGACAAGATGGTTGAGGACTTGCCTCTTGATGTCGACGAAACGAACGCTGGCATGTCTGGCAGCTGCAATACTGGCGGGCAGTTCTGGTGGCTCAAGCGCAGGGAAGTTCCGCGGCGCAGGTCCATCAACAAGCCATGGCGCAAGAATGACGACTCGTGGAATGTTAATCCGTGGGACATGCAGCCAGAAGACACCAACGGCATTGGGATAGAACCCGGGTCGCTGACGTACACTGCAGACTCGTTTATCATTAACAAGTGGGCGCCGCAAAGCGCTACTCCTGTCAGCAGTGCTGCTGCTAGTTTGACTCAGTCGCTGGTGGCTGCGTCGCCTGATATGGACGCTGCTGAGGGCCATAGTTCTTTCAAAGCGGAATTACTGGAATTGGACGCTGTACAACAATCGCCGACATCAAGCGATATGGTTGGTGTGCCCAAAAACAGCGATCAAAATCCTTCTTTTTCGCCCCAGCAGTCAGCTGATGACACGGAATCGTTGATGGTCATGGACCCTCCCGCTAGCGACCCCGATCCAGCAGCACCAAAATCATTAGCTTTTAATACAGAGGTCTCGAGACCAGTTGCGGCTAATCCCCAAGAGCCACAACTGCATGTGCTTCTACCTATGCCATTGCCAGAGTCAACACAAGAGCCAGCAAAAGAGCCGATACCAAACCTAGCACCAGAGCCAGCACCAGAACCGGTGTCCGTGTCTGTGCCTGCGTCTGTGCCAGCTCCCGTGCGCAAAATCAACGTGCCTGAGGAGAAGGCCTGGTTCCTGAAACACATCAAGGCCGACCCGGCGCACTACGATGAAGATGCTATTTTGGAGCGGTTTACGGAGCTCCAGGCCAACACAACATTGGGAAAGCCACAGCTCAAAATAATTGTCACTGCCGCAATTAACACTGCCAAAGCAATGCGCCGCAAACAATTAGTCTTGCGACTGGAAGAAAACATTGGCAAATCGTGATTTTTATATATAATTGCACTTGATAAACATCAATATTTGACATGCGTGAGAAATAACATATTGGTGGTAAGCTATGACGTAATAGGGCAATACTATTGATCACAATTATCCCCTCAATTATATTTTTGTAAGTTTATTGTTGGGTTAATATATTATTTGATGGCCTGCGATTACACGCTATCTAAACTCATCTGCGTCCCTGACCATTGGCTGAAATGTGCGAAAACATGAAAAAGTATTTGCTCGAATGATACATGCTTTACTGCACTCGTGAGACAAAATAAAGCGTGGTCAAAATATTTTATATTTATTGATTTTGTATTATGCATAACACAAAAGCCTTGCAGGTTCGGGTGGTCAATTTAATGGCTGGTGATAAGAATTTTAACCGGGAAAACATATTGGGGAGTGGAGAAGTGGAGAGAGGGATAATGTTGGAGACATATGTTCTTTTTTTCTCAAAATGTAAACACGGACCTATGTCGAAAAGTATTCACAAGGCAAATGACCTTCCAGCGTTGATTTTTCTCTTCCACGCGACCATTACTTGTTTTATACACTTTATTACAAATTAAAAACACAAACATTATTACTTTATTTTTCTCTTATAGTAGTGATTGTTGTTGCTGTTGTTTGGCAATATAAAAGAAGTTTGTGTCACTATAAACCTATTTTTGCGACAATAAGTAAGCAACTACTGTTACTTTTACCACCACATCCTTATCTAGTTTTTTATTTGGACTCGCATATTTTATATTTTGAAAATAGTTATTCACACACGCACTAATTGTAGGTGACAACATATCTAATCCAACATGTATGATACCACTGCATTGTACTGTTATACGCAGCGTTATTTACAACAAACAATACACTTTGCGCACATGATATATGTGTGTAGTGCCCAGTTCCTTTTTTCTTTGTAGCCTCCCCCCAATGGTATATTTGCGTGCGCCTTGACCAATTACAAGGCTTAATTAAAATACCGATAAGATTTTGCAAATTGTTTTTTGGACTATTTTATTATCTCGGCAAATAAAAAAGAAAATCCCTTATTTTAATTAAAATACGCCTTACTTTTGTTTCAGACATCCATTTTGAAAATACCACCCCTATCCCGTTTATACGCAGTGCTCTTTGTGTTTTTCAAGGATCTGGACTAACGAGCAAGCAAACAAAAAGCAAATTCCTTTAAAAAAGTTTTGTGCGCAAATACGTAAACAAAACAATTTTGCATTATATTTTATTTTTACAGTTGGTGCAATTTAATAGGGTGATGTCATTTTGAGCTATTTTCAAGTTTCTATTTTTGGAATGATCTTGCGGTATCCCACTTCCACTTTTTTTTCTAGTACTCTAAGTGATTTTTTCTGCTGTTATACCAGATGAGATCGACATCTAAACTTTTTTACAATCACTGCAGCTCAATTATGTTGTTCAAAGCCTCCAAAAAAGTACCCTATCTTTTTGCTCTCCACACAAACGCACTAACAAAAAAGTATTTGTGTATTTGTGTGTCAGAATTGCGTGGCAGCAAACATAAACTTGAACAAAAATACACCTAATCACTCCAACCTTTAATATTTTTATGTAGTTTTTTTTTTTTAAAAAAAAGCAGGCTTGAGCGTAAATAAAACCAGTTTTGTTATGTGGTTGGTGAATTTAGATGGAGGCGTATTGTTTATGCGTGGTGACTGTTTATTGTTCAATAGCACAAGAAAAAAGAAACAAAAAAGAGAGGGCAAGATTGTCTTTTTGTTACAGCCACCCACCACAACCACCACTAAATAATTTCAATTTACACTTTTTTCTTTTCTTTTCAAGCAAAGTAAGACAAACTTTTTCTATATTAATAGCTTGCTAATACTAAAAAGAGATTTCATTCCATCCGCTCACCCATCCTTCCCTCCCTCCCACCTTTTCACTTCTTTGAATTTTTGCGATTAAAGTTATTTTATTTTTATTTTTGTCCCTTCTTTTTTTACCATTACTATTATTTTTGTATTTCATTCATATTTTTCCACATTGTTGTTGCTCTTATAGCTGAGTAGCTCAACGAACCTGCACACGTCAACAACGACTAAAAAAGCAGTATTTTCAATATAAAACAACACAACACGACACGCACTCACATTATTCTCTTCTTTTTCTCCCTTAATTTTATTTTATTATTTACACTACACTACACAAAAAAACCAACACACATGGCTTCAGCACAGCTAGTACCAGACAACATGGCAGTACTCAACGACATCACAATAGCACCAGCCTCTTGTAGCAGACACAGACGCAACTCTGATGCGTTTTTAGAAAAGGCCAGTAAACACGCCTGTCTCGACGAACAAGGCAACACCGATATTGACAACGCAAGCAGCTGCGACGAAGACAGCATTCTCAGCAGCAACAGTCGGAGCAGCAGTTCAGAAAGGCTTGTCACACCCAGCTCCCACCGTCGCTCCCACCACTACCCCACATTATCTCAGTCAAGCGATATCCTGATGCACCGGACTTTTGCCAACCTCGAGTTCACACTGGATCCACAATACCAATCATCAGTACTTTGTCGTATGAAGTCCATGCACAATAACAGCACCACAGCGGCAGCTGGCAGGGCATTGCGGGAGACTATTCGTGGGAATACCCACGAAGAGCCAATGTCTTCTGTCAAAGCACTTGGGCTGTTTAACACTGTGTTCCAGACCGCACACCAGTACCAAGGGTTCGAAAGCGAATCTATTAAGATTTCGGAGGAAGGGGAAGACCATGATCCGTCGTGTAAGCTGTGTGTCTCGGAGGCCATGGTTGTCGCGCACATGGCGGTGGCCGAGGGGATGGGGCACGGCATAGGACGCGGCGGGTTGAGGATGAATTTGGGGGCTGGACGTAATGCTGTTTACGTGGCGCCGTGCGAGAGACACTTCGAGTGCCCGCTGGACAGGAAGGGCAAGTACTTGATACACACGAACAGGCCCAAGATAATGGTAAGTATTTATGCCTATGCCTATGCCTTTGTTTGCCCAATGGCGAATATTTGCGCCGAGGCGTGTGCGCAGAAAAAGGTTAAAATACTATTTTTTCGGGAGGGAACACATGGCTCACAGGCCATGTGTGCACATGCCCTTCTGCAAAAATGGACACCTTTCCTTTCTCTTCTCCGATGCCTTTCCAGAAACACATGCACGCACATGAGTGCAGGGCTCACAAATAACAGGAATGCTTTATCGATGGAAAAATGTGCCACGTTAAAACAAAGCCATGCAATCTCGCATAATCAATGGAACTCTGAGATACAGTCGCTAATCAAATCCTTTCTTTCTTGTGATTTTTGTAGACGGATTTGTCTAAGATTGAGTTTGGTATTTGTGTTGACGGATGGCAGCGCGTGGCATTTAAGACAGTCAACGACGTGGCACTGGCGCAGCGCGAGCTCTCACTCCACGAGCGCTTGAAAAATGGCAGCAGTGGGGGACATTTGGTGCGGATGCTGGACGCGTTCACAGACAACTCAGGCAAGCACGTCATGGTGTTTCCACGTATGTGCGCGGCGCAGCTCTTTGGGCGCAGTCTGGGCGAGACAGCCATGCTGGCGCGCCAGGTGTTTGCGGCCCTGGAGGAGCTGCACGCCCTGGGTATTGCGCACATGGACGTAACGCCAACGAACCTGATGTCAGATTCCAAGGACACCACGCACATTGAGGTCATCGACCTCGGCTTGGCCTGCGACCTGATGGCTGAGGGTTCGCTGCCGAGCCGCGGCACTTGCGGGTTTGTTGCGCCCGAGGTGCTGGTGGGCGGGGCTATGGATTTGCGCGCTGATGTGTATAGCGCCGGCGTGGTGCTCGGAATGATGCTGCAGCGCTTGTTGCCCACTGTCGCGCTGAGATTGCTGGGCGGTCCCCTGGTGCGCTCGGACACGACGGACTCGCTGGTTGTGCAGCTTGATGAACTGCTCGACGCCTATGGGTACGTGCCGCCGCCTGCAGATTACATTGAATGCAATACGCCCTGCGTACGCACCCGGCAACAGCAGCACCGGTCGCAGTCGCGTTCAGGAAGGCAGAACCGATGCTCGCGTGGGTACTCCGACGACGAGGCTGCGGCGTTTGCAGCGGCGTTTGCTGGTCCCACAGCGTACAGCGGCTACGGATATGGCAGCAGCGACGATAATGAGGATGACAGCGCATCCGGCGGTGGCAGCTGCGGCTCAGCGCACCAATTACCTGGGTTGCCGGGTATTAGCAGTCGGTCAACCGAGCGGTACGCCGAACATGCCCCAGACCACTGCGTGAGACGCCCCGGCCGTGTGCCTGTTTCCGTGCTGCATGCCGCCGACCTTTTGCGTTGGACTCTACAGCCTGAGGCCCACTGTCGACCTACTGCGGCGCAGGCACTCGGCCATCCATTTTTGGCTGCCGTCTGTGCGCCGCGTACTTTCTTGTCTTCGTCTTCACGGTCACGCCGGAACACTGTTCTACCTGTGCATGTTGACTCGGGGTATCTTTCTGGGCTCACGCGCGAACAGTCGCCATCTCGGCAGGTGCGCGGCTACAGTGTTGCAGCGGCGGCGAGGATGCGGTCGTCCTACTTGGGAGGCTCAGTTCCGCCTGTAGCTAGCCCCATTGTTGCTATGTCGCCGTCGAGGTCGCCGTCGCGGTCACCGCAGCAGCTTGAACCGATGAATTCATCTTTGGAGCCGATATGCTTGGATCTTGAGTCTATTGCTGCCCTGCCATTTTTCAAGGACACGGCGCTGGGCGACGTGGCTGCATGGGAGAGCGAAATGTACGCGCGCTTGGCACCTGCCACGCACTGCGACTCGCGTCGCATGAATGTCGATCCAACGCCTGGGGCGCGCAGCGGTGGGTACGGGCCCTATGTGTTCGCCGATGCCGCGCACAATTCCGCCGGTGGAGGATGCAGCGACGACGACGACAACGATTATTTGGCCAGCTTTTATGCGCCGTCCAGTTACAGCGACCTATCAAGTTACTACTATTAATGAATGCATTAAAATTTTGTAATTTCTTCCTTTTTCCCCTTTTGTATTTGGTGCGTGCACATATCACGTGATTAATCTGTGCTTTTTTAAATTTTTTTTGGGTGATTGAAAATTTTTCATTTTGTATTATCCACTTCAGCCTTGCTGCAAATTCAAAGCTCAGCAGCGACAGTAAAATTCCGAATCAGAGGGAGGAAAAAAGTAAGATGCACTTTAGAACTATTTCCTTTTGAAAGCTTTTGTTTTTCTACTTTGATTCGTCTTTATATATTTTTCTTTCCTTTCTTTTCTTCGCATCTCATATTTTAATTTTAAATCTTTTCTTCCAAAAGAATCAGCGAGTGAGATAAACAAAAAAAGCAGAATCTCAATAATGGCCTTTTATAACGCCACCAATCTGCCCGCATCCGAGGCGGAGATCGACTTTAGCGATCTGGAGAAAAAGTTTGTCGTCCCCGAGCAGGAGGAGACACTGGAGAACGTCGTTGTCGTCGACAACATCCCCGTAGTTGATGAGTCCAAGGAGGCCAAGCTCGTGCAGGTGCTGAAGAAGATCTTCAAGAAGGCCGGCACAGTCAAGGCCAACGGCTTCCACATGCCCAAGGACACGTCGAGCGGCAAGAGTCTGTCGAAGGGCTACGCCTTTGTTGAGTTTGAGACCGCGCAGGAGGCCCAGGCGGCTATCCAGACCCTCAATGGGTTCAAGCTGGACAAGACCCACAGCCTGATGGTCAACTCCTTCATGGATGTTGAGCGTTACACTGAGGTCGACGACACCTACCAGGCTCCTCCAGAGGAGCCCTATGTTGAGCGCGAGCACCTGCGCTCATGGCTCACTGATGAGTATGGCCGTGATCAGTTCGCCATGTACGCGCACAATGAGCTGGGCGTGTACTGGAATGAGTCTGTGCAGGCACCCGAGAGCATCCTGTCGAGGTCCAACTGGACTGAGCGTTTCGTCAAGTGGTCGCCCCTGGGCTCCTTCATGTGCACCATCCATTACCAGGGCCTGGTCCTATGGGGTGGCCCGTCGTGGAAGAAGCTTGCACGCTTCGTGCATCTTAACATCAAGATGGCTGACTTCAGCCCCAGCGAGCGCTACCTCGTGACTTGGTCCACCGACCCCATCTCGGTCGACGCCGTCAACCAGCGGTTGGGTGCCGGTAACGAGCACCAGAACCCCTTCACGAGCGACGACGAGGGCCACACTGTGTGCATCTGGGATACGCACACCGGCAGCCTTCTGCGCTCCTTCCCCCCGGTCAAGACCGAGGACGGCAAGGCTGCAAATGTCGGCTGGCCGCAGTTCAAGTGGTCGCCCAGCGAGGAATACTTTGCTCGCATCGTGCCCAACGCCTCCCTGGCCATCTACGAGGCCTCCACCATGTCGCTTTTGGACAAGAAGAGCATGAAGATCCCGGGCATCCAGGACTTTGCCTGGTCTCCCCGCGTCATCTACGACCCGCGCACCGGTGCGGCTCGCCCCGAGATGCTTGCCTACTGGACTCCTGAGGAGGGCAACCTGCCTGCCCGTGTGTCCCTGATTTCGGTGCCCACCAAGACACTGATCCGCACGAAGAACCTGTTCAACGTCTTCACCGCCTTCCTGCACTGGCATCCCGAGGGCCAGGCTCTGTGTGTACGCGTCCAGCGGTTCACTAAGTCCAAGAAGTCGCGGTACACCAACTTGGAGATCTTCCGTGCGTACGAGAAGGATGTCCCCGTGGATGTCATTGAGCTTAAGGACTGCGCTGTGGCCTTTGACTGGGAGCCCGTTGCGGATAGCTGGCGCTTCGCCATCGTGCACACCGACGACCTCACCCCTCCCATTCGCAACCCCTCTGGTATGGCGTCCACCGCTGCAAACACGAGTGTGAGCTTCTACGCCTTTGAGCGCAAGGGCAGGCTGGTCAAGAAGGAGGGCTTCCAGCTGCTCAAGACGTTCGATCGCAAGAAGGTCACTGCTCTCAAGTGGTCGCCGCGCGGTCGCCATATTGTTCTGGCCACGATTCGCACGACCTCGACGTACGACCTGGACTTTGTTGACATTGAGTTTGACCACGCCGCGGCGACCAAGTCTGGCAATGCTGGCGACGCCGTGACCATTGTGGCCTCGGGCGACCACTACGGTATCACAGACTTTGACTGGGACCCCACCGGTCGCTTTATCACTACCACCTCCTCCTCGTGGTACCACTCGGCCGAGCACGGCTACATTCTGTGGGACTTCAAGGGCGAGCAGATCCACAAGGGCATCGTCGAAGGGTTCAAGCAGCTCATTTGGCGCCCCCGCCCGCGCTCTCTCCTGACGGAGGAGATGAAGCGCCAGGTGCGCAAGGACCTCAAGACCTACGCGAAGGAGTTCGAGGATATCGACGAGCGCAAGCTGCATGCTGCGGATGCCGAGCTTATGTCGCAGCGCCGTCGTCTTATTTCCGAGTGGCAGACTTGGCGCGAGCAGGTCGATGCTCAGCTGGCTGAAGAGACTGATGAGGCTTTGCAGAATGGTTATATTCTGCCGGCTGCTGCTGATAACCAGATGTTTGTGGTTGAGGAGATTGTCGACGATATCATCGAGGAGAAGGAGGAGATCATTAACTAAATATGGATTACTGAATGCATTATTTTTGTTCAATATTTTATAGTATTTTTGATATTAAAAAATGCAAATTAAACATTAATTTGTTTGTGATATTTATACATTTGCAAATATATAACTGATATGAAGACATCAGAAAAACACATGTCGAAATATTTATTTTATAAAACAAGGTTTCTTTCATCATTTTTTATATGTAATCCAAAAAAACAAAGAAAGGGAAAAATGCTTTTACAATACTTTTCTCTTAACGGGAGTTGGCCTGGACCTTGACGAAAGCGCGACGGGCAAGGTGGTTGTTAGCCTTCTGGGCACCAACGGGGTTGTTGGCACGGATAGCCTTTCTCTTGGCAGCCTCCTCCTTGCGAGCCTCCTTAGCCTTGGTGACAGCCTCGGTACGAGCAGCCGAACGGATCTCGGTCTTCTCAGTACGACGAGCGTTGATGGCCTCCCAGGAAGCACCGACGACGGCACGGTTGTACTTGACAGCACGGCGGGTGCGCTTCTTGGAAACCTCCTCGCTGATACCCTTGCGGTGCATCTTGCGGAAGACAACAGTCCAGTCGAACTTGCGGGGGTTCTTGCGCTGGTGGAAGAGAGACTCGGTCTTGGAGTTCAGGAAGTGGAAAGTCCGACCATCACTGCGGATGAAAGTGCGACCGCGGCTGGGGTAGATCTTGTACCCGGAGAAGGAGCAAATCTCGAGCCTATCCGTTATTAAGCAGGGAAAACCGATCAAAAAAAGAAGCAATTGTTAGTGAAACGGTTCTGTTCTTTTGTGCTTGATTTTTATAACCAATTTGGGTGATATACAACGCAGTTTTTCCAATACTGCTTGCATTGCAGCAGAGAAACACACAAACTCACAGACGACGCGCCGAGAATACAACATCGCGAAAAAAAGTCGAAGACGTGCGTGGAGAGTTGCTGTGAATCTGAGAAGAAAAATATCGCCAAGCGCTGAATTGGAAGAGATTCAACGGGCTCTCGGGCTCACTTCCAGTTTCCAAATTGCAGCAACTCAGCCAACTTCAAGGTGAGTTTTTGCTCCATATAACTAAAGCTCGTTTTGCCAGCAATAGCCCAACTAGAAAAAGCAAAGCCTCTGCGCATTGCAGTCAATCACGGTCGCGGATCTGCTGTTCTCGTTGAATCGAGGCCGTGGCCAGTCTCTCTGTGCAGGTAAAGGAAGTTTGGGGGAGCGCGTAAACGCTCTCTCAATATTCAGTGTCCTTATTTCTGCCACACAAAACCACCATAGTAGCCGCCTGGCTAGTTTTGCGTGTGGTCAGAAATAAAACAGGACACACTAGCACCCAAGATTCAGCCTAAAAAGCTAGCCTCCCAACTATGCAATCTGCCGCCCACAATCCAAGAGAATAACAAAAGCACCCACGCCGCTGCAGCTATACTCGCAGGCTCTAAAAAAGAACCCAAAGCAAAAAAGGGCACAAGCAAATTCCACAAAAAAGCAAAGACAAAGAAAGAAATTCTGAATTCCAGCCATCAGGTTACATGAAATTCAAAATTTTCTCTCTGCGCCCTTAGTCCTCTGATTGTCAGAATAACTACGCTGGTGCCCTCTATCGCTCAGCAAAAAATAGTGCATCCATCGTTGTCCCTTATAATCCGTGTATCCATCAGGTCGTCTGCACATCCTCTTCGTTCCATCATTATCTCCAGTGCCTAGTTACGTGCGTGTGTGTTCTCTGATGTCTGCTACTGTCTCTGCGCATAATGGATGCGATAATGACACTCACTTCATGGCTAAAATAAAAAATTTAGATTCAATGTGCCGTGTGGATTTGAAAGAGAAGTTGTCCCTCTAGGCCCAGCGTATAATGCTCTCTCAATAATTGCCCGCCGAGAATTACACTGAATCCAACGAATACGTCTAATTGCTTGCCTGGCTCAGCAATAGAGTATGAGAATTCCCAGCAGCAAATGGCGCCAGTGTTGGAAATGCACGTGTTTGTTTGGTGTTAATCAGATTATCTTGATTGGAGATCAAGTCCATTTGTCACGCACGTGCTCCCTTTATTTTTATCTCTTCACATGCTCCAAATCTCGCAGGCAAGCAAGGCAAGCTCGGATACCTTTGTTTTCCCACGAGGAACATCTTCTCTATCGTTCGTTCGCTCGCTCCCTTATCCACGATGATGTAACTCAAGACAAACACAGACCTCGCTATCTTGCCTGTCTTATATATTTTTGCTCTTAACTTTTGTCTTCCTTTGAATTTCTATTGATATAACCGATATATTACTTTTTTTAAATATGTTCCGCTCGCTCGTTGTCAAACCATTCTCCCGCTCGGCTGCGACTGTCTCCGCCACTCTTGGTGTCAAGAGTGCTGCCGCCCGCCATCAGCTCAACTCCATCCGCTTTGGTAAGTACCCAGTGCAAAATAATGTATATCTCTTTATGAGGAATAAATAATGACAACCATGTGTGGCAGAGCAGAAATAGTATAGGTTTGCACCATTCCATGTGCGCGATAGCAGGCGGGGTTTAAATATACGACGCTGAACAATATCAACACAAATGCGTGTTTTTCTTGATTAATTTGGCTCTATATACTAAAAACGCGAATTATCTTGTTTGTTTCCATATGGCCAACGGATTACACTCGTAGTGTCTACCGAGGCCCCAGCTTACGGCATGATTAAGACAGAGACCCAGGGCCGCGTGGCCATCATTACTCTCAACCGGCCCAAGGCACTTAATGCCCTGTGCAGCGAGCTTTTCCACGAAATCAACGATGCGCTTGCCCGGTTTGACAACGACGCCAACATTGGTGCCGTCGTTCTCACGGGCAGCGAGCGCGCGTTCGCTGCGGGTGCCGACATCAAGGAGATGAAGGACGCTGAGTTCATCAACAACTACAAGTCCAACTTTTTGGGTCACTGGGCCGAGCAGATAAGCAAGATGCGCAAGCCCATTGTTGCTGCGGTCAATGGCTTTGCCCTGGGCGGCGGCTGCGAGCTGGCCATGATGTGCGATATCATCTATGCTGGCGAAAAGGCTGTATTTGGACAGCCCGAGATTAATCTTGGCACGATTCCCGGAGCTGGCGGTACGCAGCGCCTGACACACGCTGTGGGAAAGTCCAAGGCCATGGAGATGATCCTCACCGGCAGCGTCAACCTGAACGCCGAGGAGGCCAAGGCATACGGCCTGGTCAGTGCCGTTTTCCCTCCCGAGAAGCTCCTCGAAGAAACCATCAAGACCGCAACCAGGATTGCATCCAAGGGCGCTGTCTCTGTGCAGATGGCCAAGGAGGCTGTCAACCAGGCCTACGAGCTGAGCCTGAGCTCTGGCTTACACTTTGAGCGCAGGCTCTTCCAGGCCACGTTTGCTACCAAGGACCAGAAGGAAGGCATGTCTGCGTTTGCCGAGAAGCGCAAGCCCGCTTTTGTGCACGAGTAAATATTAATTTTTTTGTCAAAGTCCAAGAAATAAGCAGTTTACTGCATTTAACAACTTATATGTATATGTTGCAAACATATTATCACATCATAATTAACAGTGGTTACTATGTGTTAGAAAAAGTTACCCCAGCGGCCAAGCCGCCGCTTGATGCTGCCATTTGTCGACAGCGCCTGTATTTGTATTTCGTTACGAATGTCACCATCCATTGAAAACGAGCGCGTCACAACACCGCCCATCTGCTCGTCCAGCTTGGAATTGCCAAAGGAATCACGAGCTGTAACTTTTTTGTCCGCTGTAGTCCGGGCCCTACCAAACAGGTAGCGGCTGCCCTTTGACACACTTGTAGCGGCGGCGTCGACAGAGCCGGTTAAAGCGTAGCTGCACGCGAGGTCGGTGCCGTCTACTATATTGCGGGTCGAATATCTGTCGTCCGAATAGCAAGGCGGATTTGCCACGGGCTCTGATTTTGAGCGAGCGATACTAGACAAAGGAATATCGTCGGTATCGATTTCAATGCCTCTGCCGCTGCTGTCGCTGTGGGCAGTGGTCTCAGGGACCGATTTACACAATTTCTCAACGGTTGGTTTCTCTGGAGTCGCTTCGAAGCTAGCCATCGCAATGTTCTGCATGATATTGCGAAGTTCAGGCTTTAAGCTGCTCTCCAGACCAGCTTTCTGCTTTGGAGGCGATTTCTGGACTTGCGCAGGATGTGAGGCACTGGGCGCTCCGGCAGCTTTGCCTGTGCTCCGGTCGATCTGAGCATTGTTGACAGGCGATTCGCGCGACTTTGGAGATGATGCGGTCTTCTGCTTCTGCCTTGGCTCTGGAATTAGTGTTGACATTTGGTAGGCGTGTGATGGCGGCTGAGCTACCTTGACACTTGAAGGCCGGGGAATTGAAGAGCTGGAACTTTTGCTGCGCGGGATGTTGTTCCCAATAGGCATTGAGGGGTTTGGCACGTTGTAATGCCCCATCAGTGCGCGGCGCGCTTCGGCCACCAGATCGACAGACGGCAATACATTGGTGTCGGTGCCGGCCGGCATACGCTTGGTTCTAGAAGAGGGGGTCTGCTGTGGGATTTTGTAAATCAAGTGGGGCCGCTGGCCTGGAGCCTGCTTGGCCATTGCACCCGCCATGCGCTGCTGATGCTGCTGCTCGCGCTCAGCCTCACGGTCGCGCAGAGGATGAGTTTCGATCCGATGCTTAAGCCTCCGTCTGCAACCCCTTGCGGCATTGGGCAAAACGTTCTGACTAGATCCATTGCTGGACTCTTTGCTGTTCGCAGCTGCTACCAACTCATCATTGCACCACTGCATGTCAGCGCTGGGGCACAGGACAAGCGTGGTTGGCAATTGGTACCGCAAGTGGTCGAATCCATTGCCATCATCAAACGCATCGTCCTGAGAGTAAGCGCTGGTACCCGAGCCCAAAGTGGCAGGCTTGGCCGATACTTTGTTTGCGCTGTTTGACAAACTGGACCTGAGCATAATCGAGGCGGTGGTGTTGCTACTGCTTTCCGAGTCATACGCATCGTGGTGGAGGCCCTCTTCAGAAATAGAGTTTCTGATGTTAATAACCACGGATACAGTCTCGCGGAACCGAACACGCCGCTTGGATGAGGGGAGACTTCCAGCAGACGTGTCGCTCAAGTCATCATTGCCTACAGCTTGCGCACTTGCGTTGCTAGCATGCTTCGGCAACGGCTGTGGACCACTATGATATATCTGGGCCCTTCCATCCGTGCTTTTTGTCATTAGAACCGCGGTTGGCAGCACAGTAGACTCTGTAGGTTGGAATGTGGCAACAAGCCGGGCGGATGCTGGATCGTAGGAAATGTCCGAGCTGCAGATGCTCAAAGCTTCATCGCTATCATGCTGGCTAGTCGTGTCGCTCGCGCCATCGCCATTGTCCTCGTCACTGGAGTCGCTGAGATATGGATTCCGGTTGCTCTTGGGAATGTTGGCAAGTTTTACGGGATGTGCTGACATGGCGGGCTGCTGTTGTTGTTGTTGCTGCTGTTGTTGTTGCGTTGGCAATTGAGTCTGCGCCTGCGCCTGCACAAAAATACTCTGCGCTGGCAAAGACTGATAGTTTCCTCTGGATATTTGGCTGGGATGCAGTAGCGAGTTATAGCCAGGGTATGGATAACCATGTGCACCCACAGCCCAAGAAGCAGCGCCAGTCGGGTCAACATGCAGTGGGAGCTGCTGCTGTGCATGGTGCAGGGCAGACCTTTGGGTGGGCGGGAATTGCGTGGGAACATTGCCACCGGCAATCTGCGCCTCTGTAGAGTATCCAACATTTGGCATGGATACGTTGGACTGAAGATTAAGATAGACCGCATTGGGCACGCTGCCGCCATGCGCCCCCATATGCCCCTTATTAATCGTCTGTGTCTGGGTCGCCCCACCCTGAGTATGGCTATAGCTGTTGGCGGCAGCACCAGAATAAAGTGAATTTTGGCTGAACGTGTGCGCCGGAATTCCAACAGAGCTTGGTATATCCTTCTGCAGCCGGACGGCGTTATTGGGAGCAGCAGGCATCTGGCCGGGAAACTGTCGACGATGACGCTCCTTCATGCGCTCAAAGGCAACCTGCTGCTTCATCTGCTCGCGGCGGCGGTTGCGCTGATCAGCGGCTTTGCGCTCTTCCTCCTTGCGGCGATTCTCCTCCAGCTCACGTTGGGCCACAGTATCGCTGGCTGTGCTGTCAGCGTCACTGGAGGTGCTGTTCCTATTATCACTATCCTCGGCACCAACCTCTTCTTCGCTCGATGACTTGCTGGCAGTGTCAGTATTAACAGGACTGGGCAACCCGCCCTTTGTCCCTGTTCCGTGGCTTTGGCTATAAGCATGAGGATCGATATCTGGAGCCGCATGGGCGCGAGGTCCAGTACCAGACACAGTCACTTCTGGAGCCAAATTCATTGAATCAAGCGTAGACGCGCCAAAGAAAAAGCTGTAGGTTGCGTTAAAATCGTCCATAAAGTTCAGCGAACCACTGTTGGGGGTTGCCATAGAGACCGGCGTGGCGGCGTCCCCTGTGGCTGAGTTATGGTGATTGCTGCTGATGTTGCTGTTGTCGATGTCAACAAGCGCTTCGCCAATCGCGTCATAGTCATCAAAAATGGTGGTGGCCAGTGTGAGAGGCGGGATGTATACGGGATCTTCAAATTTTGCCAGAGTGCGAGATAGTGGGCTGTTGTCCTCTATGAATGGGCAAATGCCATTGTTTAAGGGGGGAGCATTGTCAGTATAAATTGTATTGTGCACATTTAGCAGACTTGTTAGGGTAGAGTAGGTGCATTAAGGGCTTGTTTTCGAACATTCAAAACAGTCGAAATAATTACGTCAATGTTTGAATCCAGAAGCGCATCATTTGTTATGAACGCAAGCAGTTATTCTTGATCCATGTCTCGGGCCCATTTTTTTACCACTGGTGGCTTGGGGTTTTTACTGGTAACAAAAAATAAAAACAAACCGAATGTCAATGTATGCGAGTCTTGATAATTTGAAATACACAGCATACTGCATCGAGTGGCTCATTATACGACATATGCAAATATGAAAAGCATATCATGGCATTGTGGGCAATCTGGTTTGCTTCCGAACCGCTGCGGATAAGAACAGTGGCGCTGCAAAACAATACCAAATTAAACGAGGGGAGTATCATGGAAATGAGGAGTGCAATAATATACTTACTTGCCATGTCGACCACATTGAGCAGAGGCGTTGTGTTGCCAGAAGGAGGCGTGATAAGGCGATACGGTTCAAACATGCTACTGTCGGCCTGTGTTTTTTGCGCGTCTGCAGCCAAAGCTGTACGGGGAGGGACCCTAGGCTCGCCAAGAGCGACTTTGGGAAGCTCAGCCTTTTTTCTGCTGCGAGTATGATAAGTGGTTCGACTCTCATCCACGCTCTCGTCTGGCGTCAGCGGATTGTCTATACCTAAAGACAAATTTGGGCTTGCTGGTTGAGGGCGCCTTTTGCCAGTCTTGTGCGTGCGGGTCCCAGTGGTAGTGGCAGTGGCAGTGGCATGTGTTTTGCTGTTTCCAGAGCGCGCAACAGATGGCAAAGCCGAGCCCATGGCCTGGTGGCTCTCCCTCTCCTCGGATGCTGTCAGACGCCTTTTAATGTGGTGTGGTCGCTCACCCGCACTGACCACATCGCCCGTATCGGCGTGGGGTGTTGCATTTGTGGTAAGCGAGGTTGCCTTGGAGCGCTTGAACATCAATGATATGCCCATATTGACCGCTAGCTAATATGTATGATTAGAGAAAGTTACGATTATATTGCAATTAGTGTGTGTGTGTGTTTGTGTTTATAAAATATCAAAATGGAGAACGCAAGGCGGATTGGTGACTGCACTAAATAGAAAAAGTGAATAGTATTATCGATAAATGAATAAATAAAGTTTGCAAAAATAAAAAGAGAATCTAAACCAGCGTCGAAAAAAGATAATTTGTATCTCTTCATGAAAAATGAAGGCGCAGAGTCTATTTATTATAGTTAACCAAGTACAAAGCGAGGCGGGGTCCACATTGTTAGAAAATAAAAACAGCTGCATCACAGCTTCTGTTTTCTCGAGTGTAAACAGAAAGCATCATTCAAGAGGGTGGGTTAAAATATGACAAAAAAATATATTGCACCGCCTGGCCGCAAAAAAATACATAAGCCTATTCAAGCGGGGGACATGAAAACAACGGGTGGGAAGGCGTGAATGGGAGGAAATCAAAGAAGGCGGGAGGGCCTTGGGCAGATGTGAATGCGTGGATACAGCATCGCGACCAGAGATAATGCTGGGAGGACGAATGATTAAGGCCTTTTGTATAAATCGGTGTTGGTTTTTGGTGGCAGAGTAAGAAACATCATGTGCATCTTTATATTGTTGTTTGCAAATTTGCTTGTCATTATGCAGTGACAAAAAACCCAGCTCTTGTTTTGCTAGCATAGCTCAATCAATGAGCCAACCAATTCAAGCACACAATACAACCAGCGTTCACAAGAAAATACACATTACAGAATAACTCAACCACGGCAATTGTTGGGAAGAAGTGAGTGATCAAATTATACCGCACAAACTGTATATTTGGCGAATGAATGTGCCTTGTAAAATTATGTTATATTTAAAGGGCCGTTGTGTCTTTTGACGAACACGATGTGTTTTTCGACAATTGGTGGGCTATTTTTCAAACAAGTGACAAATCTGCTTAATCAATACATACCTGAAGACAACTATAACAAATGAGCTCTCTATAGTCGTATGCACTACGCTCAAACTCAACTGAATACGTCAACCGTGCGGAGCTAGCAGTAAAAAGCTACGTTGACGATTGCCGCCTTAAAAACCAGTCTCAAAAAATAACAAGCGCGCACTTACACACACAAACACACTATTTGGGAGCAAACAAATGTGCAGAAGGGGACAATGGAAGGCCAGAATGCAGCCAGCTGCCGACCGTACTTGTGTAAAAAAAATTACCAAAGACAACCTTAGACGCTGCAACTGGCGAATGAACAAAATGGATAACAATGGAAATGCGGCGTGCGATAATCTTGATTTTCGAATAAATATATATTTGTATGCTGTTGTGCTATAAAGCAGCAAGTGTGAGCACAATACTGACAATGTCAGACGCAGACACAGTGTTCCAGACAAATATTCGATGATGTCGATGACAATGACGATGGAAGTCAGTTGTTGGATGGTGTATGCCAGCCGTGAGATTCGTAGCAATTTTTAAAAATGACGCCAGCGAATAAAGAATATTATAATTATAAACAATAATTTGTACAGGATGCAAGAGATGAAGTGAAAAAGACGTGTGAAGGTAGGGTCGTTTGCTTCGTAGCAGACAAGTAAAATAAAAAGTTGGGGAATTTGTGATTTTGTGCGGCTGGAAAAGACAGATGTAGATGTGTAGACGCCAAAATTTATATTCCCAGACAGCCCTGTGTTTAATATATTGTATATAAATAAAATGTCTAGTAAAGGGAATGCATTAATGGGGGATGGTAGGGAGCTACTATCGAGGGAACTCGATATATCCACTTTCGGACAGTACAATACAGTATAACACTACGCTGTAGCTGAACGAATATAACTTCGTCGTTCTACTGTTTTATTATATTTTTTAATTTGGCATGGCGATAAGTACCTGTCTAGTAAGGTACAAAGATGATAGTGTTTAAAATGTAAATATAAAATGTAAAGGGTATCGATATATAAACATCAACTTTTCAAAAGCAATGGGTAATAAAGAAAATAAACAGACAAATAAAAAGCTACGAATAACAAAATATGGTATAACTTGAAAATAGTCATTCAGTGCGGCAACTCACAGAGTTGCGGCGGGGCCTGCTGCTGGTGGGTCTGTAGCTGGGAGTGGGCCTGCAGCTGGGCAAGCGTTTGTTGATGCTGGGCGTCAACGGAACTGCTGGCACTGCTGCTGTTGCTGCTGCTGGGGCTATCATCCGCAATTGCAACGTCGCAATTGCCGTTGCCGTTGGCGCTGGCATTGCCGTTGGCGTTGGCAATCATGGAACCCAAGTCGCCAGTGTTGGTGCCATTGCCCAATACGTGTGCCGATCCGAGTCCTGGCGCGTGTCCCATAGGATGCATACCACCCAAACTTGATGCCGCTGCCGCGGCCACTGCAGCAGCGCTTGCGATTGGCACCGATGATCCAAGCTCGCTACTCCGGTTGTTGCAGTTGGCTGCATCCTGGTTGACCAGATACCTGACAAACTCTTCCATCAACTGATCCTGTGTCTGCATGTTCTTTTTGAGCCCGTTAAGCTCGTCAAACATGATCTGTTGCTGCTTGCCAAGCTGGTGCATGTACATGGTGACCTCTGCGTGGGCGTGGGTGAGCAAATGAATTTGACTCTGCAAGTCTTCTGCAACCACGCGGAACTCGCCGTCAGCATGTCTGCCGTTAGAGATACCGCCAAGCGACTTTGCCTTTGGTGGTATCTTTCGCTTGATCTTCTCTAGGAGGTCGGGCCGATTGTGCTGGAACCGCGGGTGCTTGAACTCCCAGGCCTAAAACGTGTTTAAAGCAAAAATGTGTATTGGTATTTAGTGTTTATAAACATTTCTTTGCGTTTTGTATCTTAAGGATTACAGGCAGAAAGTAATCCAATGTTGAAAAATGTATTTTGCTTACCTCGTCGCCGTACCGCCGGCTCTCTTCGGTGACCTTGACCTTGTGAAAGTCGTACTTGTTTAGCTGGCGAACAAAGCTTGCAAAGTTATTGTGCTTGAAGTGCTGCGGAAGCACATATTTGGAAAACTCATTGGGGTCTTTGACCACGAAGCTGTCGCCATCAAGCCCCCAACAGACAATATCCCGGTGTGCCTCATCCTCGAGCATTCTACGCATAACAAACAATTAAGGAAAACACGATGCAAATCAGTGAGAAGAAAAAGGGAAGTGTGTGTGGGGCAAAATAAAATACAATAACAGTAACTATCAAGCCACGAACAATATAATAGCAGTCACTGTGATTGCAGTAACCGCACTTGATCATAGCCACGCGCACATATTACACGCGGTCCATCCCAGGCATCAGGCCGATCAGCAGCATGTGCGTTTACAAATTGCAGATTGCAAATTGCAGATTGCACGTGTAATGTTTTTTTTGTAGATGGAACGAGATGGAAGCGCTAGCACTTGGGCAGAGCATATACGTTATTTGGTCTTACCTGAAAAGCTTTTTGACAAAGTCGGGCACCCCTGTCGACATTGAAAACATATCAAACTTGTCGTCCGCCGTCGCTTGCATGACGCCATCGAGGGGTTGGTCGATTATGTTATCCATGGGAGACCAGTTGCAGAAGTGTTGGGCACCCGGCGAATGTTCTGTGTAACAAAATCGGTACAATTGTTCTAATAAAAAAGGCACGCCGCAATCTGTAAAGGACAAATACGTGGGCAGCAGAGGAGAGGCAGAGTGTGGGCTTCGGTGCGCTATTGAACAAATCCTATACGAGCAAAAAATGAAGAAAAGGAGAATCTCACACAGGGTTTGTGGCAAATCGCTGACTACTTGTATGTTTTGTGACAAAGTTGTTTGTCAAGCTTTAAAAGTTGCTGACATCACTCGAAAAGGCGGGGGTGAGAAGATCAGCACAGCTGTTTGCGATAAAGTATTAGAGTCTAGATTCTGTTGTCTAAAAATACAATAAACTATCAAGCGCAGTTTTGCATTCAATTGTCACGCACACAATTTTTTGATTGACCTCCGCAACATCAATTTAGCTGCCAATAAAAAATGGGTGTATTGTAATTGGCATGTTGCTTGTTGAATGCATAAGACTGCTAGGTAGAGAAATTCACCCAAAAATAAAATATCGGCCAAGTCGACAAGACAGGCAGGCAGGCGGGTGGATAAGCAGGTAAGCGGGGAACAGGTGGGAAATTTCACAATAGCAAAATTTTTTTGAGCATGCTTGAGAATTTCAGCCAATCGCCATGTCATACACATGTGTCAAATATTGCATGCTGAATATAACGTTTTATTTGTATTTTATTAATTTAGCCAAGCAAAAAAGTGAGCGCATGCACATGAATAGCACTAAGATTTTTTAAATAACTTTGGAATTTTACTTTTTCAATTTTCAATCACTCAGTGCATGCACATATTTATTCAGTATTGATATTTCGATCTAGAAGCTTCGTGGGGGGAGGAGTAGTTCCAAAATTTTTGCTTGTGAATTGTGGAAAATTAAGATAAAATTCGGAATCGCAGTTGCGATTGCAAGTGCGATACAGAGTTCTAGATCCTTTGTTGTGCTGAATGCATTCTAGAGGCCAGGCACCGATATGTAAATTTTAATGTCAGAACGCACATATCGGTGTATACTTAAAATACTAATTTGTAAAAAATACGAATGATTGGCGCACCTCGAGTACACGCTTAATATATGACAAGTGCATTTTGTAGTTCTATTGCACTGACACGCTGGTTGTATAAAAAACTAAGGAAAATTATTTTACGCGAAGTACTGCCCGCGTGTTGATCAAGAATTCGAACAACGGCTGCCTCAGCGCAGTGCTGTCGATAGTGTCTGGAATTGGCCCAGACAAGCGCAAGAATGCGCCGATTGCCTCGCACGTCTCCAGCTCGCTGTTGAACCGGGCAAATGTTGCTGAAAGTCTGTCGGCAAACAACGCCGAGTTACCTTGGGCCAGGAGTTCTCCAAAACACGACTGCAAATGATCGGGGTTAATCAGGCCGAGCGTGACCAGCGCAGTGCCCGCAGACTCGACGAGCTCGGCGTCAAATGGCGAATACAGCAGAGCCAAAAACAATTTGCTCATAAGCTGCTTAACTCCTTGGTAGAGAAGCTGCTGGACCTCTGGCACAGTGTTTTCCAAACCAACAATTTTGATATATGCGCCCAGCTTGCCAATGGCTTCGTATGCGCGCCGGCCAACGTCGTAGATGTCGTTGTCAATGCCCATAAGCAGCATGTTCAGGACTGCCTGCCAGGTTTCAACTGGCAGCCAGCGGATAAGCGAGGGCGTTCTGAACTGAATCAGTTCCGAAAGAAGCTGCATGTAGACGCGCATGGCATTGGGAGAGTTGATCTGCGACGGACTTGTCGTTGTGTGGATGCAATAAAGGCCGTACACCTCGGTCTCGCCAAAGGCATCGGATACCTCCCTGGATGTCGACCGACTAGCTTCGTTGGGAGCAAATCCCATCTCGTTGTGAACCAGATAGGATATCGCCAGTGTCAGGGTCGTGATTACGTTTAGCGCCTCTATGTCAGAGCTGTGTTGAGTGTGATACTGGCCCTGATGGGAGCGCTGGTACTGCTGCAGCACCAACCGGATGTTGTGCGAGAAATTGAGCATGTGCTCATTATCGGAAAGTGAGGATATGTCGAGATAGCGGGCGGCGGACTCAACAACCTGAATGACCTTACGAGGGATCTCCTGGTCGCAGCTGTACGTGGAGAGCATCTGCATAAACGCCGGTTGCATTTCAAAAATCAGAACAAAGAGCATGTCCATATTCCTGTCGTTGGCAGCGGCAAGTATGCCGTCCAGCATGTCCAGTCCGTCTAGCAAGCGACTGACAACGCGCGCATCTTGGCTGCGTGCGGCAAAGTTGCGATCTTGCACGATTTGGGCAACATTGAGCTGAATCAGCGTCTTCAGCTCTGCAAAACCGCGCTCGTGCTCGCCCAATGACGAGTGGCTGCACAGGACGGCAAGCGCCTCGATCATCGAGCTATGCGTGGACTCGGGGAACCGATGCATGTTGCTGGTAAGGTACAGCATGAGTGGTGTGAATTTTGGTGACTGCGTGATCTCCTGAGCAATGCTGGAGCGCTGGGCGAACGCTAGAAGCATGTCTACGCACATTTGAAGCACATCTTCTTCGGATGTCCACAAGGCAAATGCGCGTCTGACAAGGTCGAGGATCCCGCTTATCAGTGCGGCGCCGTTGCCGCCGTCGGATGCCTTGCCAAAGGCAGAGACGATGTGATGATTAAGCTGGCGATAGTCAGAGACATCCAGTAGGAAGTACACGGGCACGATCCGGCGCAGAGTCCAGAATAGCGTCTCAACCAGCAGGGGGCTGCCGTAGGCGGCAAGAATAGATGATGGACTCATGAGCTCAAACTGGATTGTCTTCAGTATTGTCATGATGCTCTGCACGATAAAGTCGTGCTCGATATCGTGGCTGGCAACTGACGGCTCAGAGATTGCCGTCGGGATGCGCACCCGCTCCGATATTCCCGAGTCAGCGAGTATATAACCCATCATCAGAACAATCCAGTGAATTTGCTCGTGCAGAATGTCGATCGACTTTTGGTTGCCGCCGTCGCTGGCCTCGATGAACGCTCCAATGTTGATATCGTTGCCAAGACGCTCGAACTTGTTCTGGAGAGCGCTGCACATACTAAACAGGCTCTTGTACAGCCTGTTTATCGAGCTTTGTATGTCCAAGCGAGAAAGCAGCGCGATGAACTGGAGTTGGTCCTCGTACACGGTATAGTCCTTGGCCAGGAGCCCGTGGTCGATTGACTGGGCATCGCTTCGAGAGTCGCTCTCCTTCATGCTGTCCTCGCACGCCAACATGCGCAGCTGGATGTACTCGGAGTGGATCATGTATGCAGTCGTCGTCAGGAATTGCGTGAACGAAGCCAGGACGCTGCGATTATCAATTTGCCCGTCAATTCCGCCAGTTTGGCCGCCGCCCCCGCCACTGCTGTTGCTGTCGTTTGTAAACAGCGTCTGCCTGGTGCTCGAAGATGCCTCGATAAGGTATTTCCACTCCTGAATCTCGTTAATAATGCTGGACCACGCACTGGCCAGCTCGTCGAACGCCTGCATAACAAAATAGTTGTCGACATCGCCGAAATCATCATCGATGCTGTGCGCTGCGTCCGACCTGAGGATTCCCGAAGCTGCACGCAGAAGCAAACATATGAACTTGCTCACTTCGCCAAAATAGGCGAGCGTCTCAGGGACGCCAGCGGTCAAAAGCGCCAGTGGATGCAGGCGCTCGCCTGCCACGATGGATTCCGGCTGCTCGGCCAGCTGCGCCTCGATGAAGCGGCGGATCATCTGTGTAGTGGCGACCACCATGTCTTCCGAGCCCTCCGATGTGAGATCCATAGTGCACACGTGGCGGAGCACACGCAGCTGGTTCTGCATGATGACCTGTGCGTACTGGGCGCGCAAGGAGTCGGTGCTATTCGACTCGGAGGCGCTAAATATGCCCTTTCCGCGCAAACCAGAGACCTGGATCATGCACTGGAGCGCAATATGCGAGCTACCTGGCGAAAAATAGGCGTGCATCTGGTCGGTCAGAGTCGCTTCGTAGACGGAGAAGAACATGGTCAGCACGTCGCTGTTGAGGAGCAGTGGCTGCCATTCACGCGGGAAAATTGGTGTGCGGTTTTGCAGGTCGTTGTCAATAATCGCCTGGCCGGATCCTTCATAGTCATCGCCGTCGTCCAAATCGCCCGTTTTGGAGCGGCGGCTTGATCCGCAGTCGGTGCCCCTGGCCGAGAACCTATCCCGGGGGCGGCCAAACGCAGCATCGATAACCTTGTTGTTGTCTGGAGATGTGAATGACCAGCTGAGAATCCTCTCGACAACGTGCAGGGCCGACCGCCGTTCGTATGCTATAATATGACTGCCGCTTGGTGGCGCATTCTGCGACTCTGTCGATCGCCGGAGCTGGCCATGCATAACCTTCAGCGGTGCTTCAAATAGTGGAATCAAATGCGCGCGTTCAAATGAGGTTTTGCAAGTGTAATGAAACTCCCAGGGCAGGTGGAATTCAGAACACTTGCTCCCGCCAGAGATCTCATCAATCAGATATGTCGCGGTAATGAGGCCGATGCATGGGATATTGTGCCGCGTAATGTCTTCGCAGAGCGCATTCGTGAATACCGCCCTTTGCTCTTCGGAAGACTCGATCCATGCGCGCTTGGTGATCACAGCAATAACCCAGCACAGAGAATCCAGGACAAAAGACTCGAGGCTGCGCCCATTAAGCACGGCCACTTGGAACAGCTCATCGCGCAATGCGAGCGCACTCGTGACCCCCAGAACCGCGTAACTTGCAATAACGGATTCTTTGATTCCGCGCAGAGCAAAGAACTTTGCGGTCGGCAAGCTCGAGTTGGCTACACATATACTTGACCCCCAAAAAAGCTGGCACAAACAATTTAACTCTGTGCTTAGATTTTGAAACAGATAACCAATGCATTGCACCTTTCATTCGCCGAAATCTTACCCAGAGCGTACTTTCCAATGGCAATGGCATCAGGGCGTTTCCCAAACGATTGTAGGTGCTGCTCGGCGGCAAATCGGGTGGCCGGGACCTACATGCAAGAAGAAACATCCAAATGTGGCATTGGGTCAGCGTGCGTCCAGAAAGACAATAGAAAGCTGCTTAAAATAAATACATGTGTGCAATTAACTGGCTGTATTGTTCGCTGCGTTCAGAGATAAAACCATGAGGCTGCTTCTGCGCAAACAGCAACAATGAAGGCGAGTATGGCATACCTGGAAATCGCCGCACGCCTGCTCGAGCTCGACGAGCACTTGGCTGTAGTCCATGTTGCGAAGTTTGCTGAGGGATGTGTATGAATGTAGACAAATACCGGCGGAAGTGGATGCCAGAAAATTAAGAGTATACCGCCAATGACAATTGAAATAGTAAAAAAGTGTAGATTCAAGTCCAGAAAAAAAAGAAACCGGACAAGCGTTTTTGTTTGTGAGTTGGCCACCCGATCAAGACAAAGTGTGGGCGGATCAAAATTTCACTTATTTATTTTTGGACTTTTCGAATTTCGAGCTCAATAATTACTTTTCTATTTTCGCATTCCCATTTTGTAAAAAAAAATATATATATATACCCTCAAAATCGACACAATGTACTCGCTGTACTCGTGGGGATCGCCGTTCGAAGAGCAGGGCCTGTACTCCTTCGACCCGGTCTGCGTCAGCATTCAGGTAAATTGGGCTCGTGGTTGAGCCAGCTGGAGAAGCACACCTTCACCTGTGCGACCTTTGCAAATTCGCTAAATTTGCAGCTTAATGATTCAACGTTTGGCGCCAGACCCGGAACCGGAAATTTGTGATATTGTATCCATATAGGCGTATATGCAGCTGTCCAAGGTCGACTGGAGGCTGCACCAGACCAACAACACGGGAATTTCGACGAATGGCTGCCTGCCCGTGGTCACATTTAACAACGCAGTCGTGGAGTCTGGATTCTGGCGCATAGTGCAATTTATGAAGGCGGAAGGACACGATCTCAACTCAAAGCTAAACGAAGAGCAGCTGTCACAATCCACTGCCTACATATCGCTTGTCCAAGACTGTCTAATTGATTCTCTGCTATTCAGCTGGTATCTGGTTTCAGAAAATTTTGCTGACATGGTCCGCCCACGCCTGGCTAAAATGTTTGGCTTTCCGCTGAGTCTGTTTATTCCGACACAGTTCAAGGACTACGCGGAGGAGAGGCTGCAATTTCGGGGAATTAGTAGCGACCTAGACACTGCGGCTGAAAAGGAGGCAGCCGCGGCAGCCGGTGGCGGCTTGCAGTCGCTCAAAAGCAAGATCCCACGCATATACCTACTGGCCAAGGAAGGATTCAACCGCCACGCCGACAAGTCGGCCCATCCAGTCTATGCCCAAGCCGACAAGTGCCTAGCTGTACTGTCCAATAAGCTTGGCACAGACGAATACTTTTTCGGGGCCAGCCCGACGACACTCGATGCTGTGGTGTATGGCTATCTGTCTCTTGTGCTCTATCCCGAGCTGCCACAAAGCACGCTTAAAACGATTGTTACGTCGAAATATCATAACTTGGTCGAGTTGTGCGACCGTATTCACGCGCAGATGGAGAAACCAGCCATAGTCTCGGAGCAGACATGGTTCTCTGGCATTGCCACGGTTGCAAAGCAGAGCATCGCACAGTACATATTGCCCACTGTGGGCTCGAAGCAGCAACAAGAGGAGCGCGAAGATCCGCAGCGAGCAGAGAAAGCCAGATCGATTGTTGGCGCGCTGTTTGTCTTTATCGGATACGCCATTTACAACGGTGTTCTATCTGCGCCTGCGTCAAATTAGCGACCATCCAGATTGTAAAAATACTCGTACGTCTAAAAGTAAATATTATTTTTTGTTTCAAACAAAATCACACAAACAAACACACAAACATGCTCGGATTTAAGGCTAGAAGCTCAATTTCAGTCAGCATTTGCACCAGCCCTACTCGCAGGTGACGGTTTGACCTGGAGACCATACTCTGAAAGCTGGCCGCTGGTCGCCATTGCCGGCGAGCGCATGAACACATCACGGCCATTGGCAGACTTGGGGAAGGCAATGACATCGCGCAAGCTCGGGGAATCCGTTAATATGGCAACCAATCTGTCAAGACCAAGTGCAATGCCTCCGTGAGGCGGGCAGCCATGGCCAAGTGCCGTCACTAGGTGGTCAAAGCTGGCCTGAACCTCGGGCGAAAGCTTGAGAATGTTCTCGAAAATGTGGTTTTGCATTTTCGGGTCGTGTACGCGGATGGATCCGCCACCGAGCTCGACTCCGTTGAGGACCAGATCATAGTGCTGGCCATGAACCTATGTGTGTAAAATTTTCTCAAAAGTTTTTAATTGCAATATCAAACTGGCACTGTTTGCATTTTGCATTTTTATTCTGGATGCTTGCTTACCTTTGCCGGATCTGTGTACAGCAGCTGGAGGTCCTTTTCGACAGGCGCAGTGAACGGATGATGTGTGGCCGACAGCTGTCCATGCGCGTCGTCGACTTCGCGCGTAAATAGGGGGAAGTCCTCAATCCACAGGAAGCAGTACTGGTCCTTTTGAACGTGCAGGTGACCCTTATCCTGTAAAATCTTGCCTGCCAGTGTGCGGATCCGGCCCAGTGTCGTGTTCGCGGGGGTCACGTACAACGACCGCTCGCTGACAAATACCAGGTCCCCGGGTCTGACTGAGATCGAGTTCATAAGCGACCGAACATGCTGCACGTCTTGACCGTTGGCCGCATTGGCCGACTCAAGCCAGCGGGCAAGCAGCGACGCCTTGCTGAGGCCAGAAAAGCCCTGATTGCTGACCTTGTGAATTGTCGTCAGCTAAAAAAAGATGATATTCGCGTTAGTGGTGCGTTCATTAGACATGGTAAAGTTATTTTTACACAACCCCCAAATGTATGAAAATATGAGAACTTTATGTGGACTTACCCTTGACTCGCTGTTTTTCTGGCTGTTGCTAATCAGGTTGCTAAATGGGGCGAGCTCCTTTGCTGAAAATGCGGCAGCACCGCCAGGGATCACCAGCACCTCAGACACTACATGCTCGTCCTGGCTCAATTTGGGAACCTGAGCAATTTCAAGTCTAAACCGGGTATCAGGCTTATCTGATCCGTACTTGCTGGTGGCTTCCGCAAAGGACATGCGCCCAAATGGCACGGCAACGTCAACACCCTTGATTATCTTCCATACGCGCTTTATTAGCTGCTCCATGACGCGCTGGATGTCTGTCTTTTCGATGAACGACATTTCAACGTCAATCTATAAACATGCTTTGAAATCAAAATAGCAAAAAAAATTGATTCAATTGTGTGTAATATTTTCCTTTAACAGCATGCACATATTCGGTCATTGGAGCAATTAAGCTTCCATCTTTACCTGGGTGAATTCTGGCTGGCGATCGGCGCGCAAATCTTCGTCTCTGAAGCAGCGAGCGACTTGATAGTAGCGGTCGAATCCGGCGGCCATCAGCATCTGCTTAAACTATACCATTTTCGAAAGGAGATCAACAAGAAATGGCATGTCCGCAAATAACAAATTAAATAGAATATTTTTTAGTGATTGATTGTTTTTTGGGAATATTTATTTCATTGTTAGCAATTGCAAATCGTTCATTTGTTTTTCGCGTCCGTTATCTTTAAAAAGGCAGTCAATATGAAATAAAAAGTACAAAACGGATTTGTGAGAATTTCATTTTTTCATCATTAATTTACCTGTTGGGGACTTTGCGGAAGTGCGTAACAGGCCCCATCGTCGATCCTGGTCGGCACAAGGAACTCTCGTGCACCTTCCGGTGTTGATTTGAAAAGCATTGGCGTTTCAATGTCCACAAAACCTACAGCGCATTCAGACAACCAAATTGGCACTTTGATTATGTCAATATTATTGAATTTCAAAAAAAAAACTTTTAATGAGCTGCAACACGCACCAAATGCAGCGCATTTGGTGATTCACAAAGGCACTAGCTGATGAACACACGTTCCGTTTAAAGAATGCAGAGCTCAATATCTCGACATTCGAGTACCACCATTCACCCAAGCAAGTTGCATGCCAAGTGCCTAGATGTAGCAGCTATAGTACATATTGATTATCAACAAAAGACGGAATTCGGCTATTATCTGAGCACGAAACAGTTGGGCACTTTGAAAATCAAAGTCAGGGAGGTAGAATGGAGAATTGACACAAATAACATGTCAATCCGGTATTTCCACGTCAATTAACGACGTAGATGGGGCCAAACAGTAGTTTGTCACAAACCCACATGACAAATTTTTTTGATGAGATGTTCAATTTTTCATAAGGATTTGTAATCAATTGCAGCCAACTTACTGTTGTCATCCATGAACTGGCGAATGGCCATGGTGGCCTTTGAGCGCACGCGGATGTTGTGCTGGAGCTCGGGTCGGCGCAGATCAAGATACCGGTGTGCCAACCTCGTATCTTCGCTAGGCTAAAAAAATCATGAATACAAAAACAAAACAGAACATGATGGTTAGCACTTGGCTTCAGCGTCGACATGACAGTGTATATTTGCTGAATGTCAGCGTCCCATGCATACCATTAGATGCCACAAACGCAATGAATTTAATGATTTGCCTTACCAGCTTGTTTTTGACATGCGGATTGAATGGCAATGGCTCTGCGCTATTCAACACTTGAATCTGATCGACCAGTAGCTCGATTTCGCCCGTCTGCGCGGTGGTCTTGGCCATCCCCTCTGGCCGCCGCACAACTTTTCCGATAACCTTGATCAGAGAATCAGTGTTCAATTGCTCGAGCAAGCGCTTTTGCTCTTCAAACTGGGGGATCTTGCTTTGCTCAGCCAGCAGCTGCATAGTCCCGTAGGCGTCGCGCAGTTGCACAAAGACCAAGGTGTCTGAAAGAACGCGGATATTTTGCACCCAGCCGCATAGCCTCACTTGCTGGTCGATGTTTGTGGCGTCCAGATCACCGCAGGTATGCGTGCGCATGCTTGTGGCCAGGGCAGCCGCCGCGTTTGTTGACGTGCTTTTAGCTGCATGTTGCAGAGGCACTATCGGTCCATAGGAAATAAGTGTGCAGTGACATTTGTAAAAAGTCGATATGGCATAGTTAGCCTGCAATGTTCAACAAATTGCACTAAGTAATAACGGTAGCAACACATTCGAGATCAGTGAATGACACTAATCGGACAACTTGTTAATAATTTAAGACTGCAAACATTTGAACAACAAACAGGACGCAAACAGCTATTCGTGTGTATAAAAAGTGTTTGATTATGTGCGCGCTCGAGTAATTAAAAACAATAATTAAAGGGCGCATGTAAGTTTTCCATGCATTCTAAAGACAAGGTAACAAAGAAAACCCGATGCAAACATTACAAGATGTCAGAGATTGTACATATATTGCACATGCGAGTATGCGTATCTCTCAAGCATGTTGCACTAAAGCTGTCAATCCTACATATAAATATGCACATGTGGCATAAATGAAAGAAGTGTATGCCAAATTTCCCCCCAAAATGTGTGCCTCTACCGAGATAGAAAACATAAATGATAAAAGAAAATATGCAAGACAAGCTTCAACAGAGGAAATCAACATTTGTCGACTGCAGATGACATCAAGGGCTGAAAACATACACCCCCTCGGGCACATTTTAAGAAGCGCAGATGCCAGCTACACACAACGAGTAGCGTGGTGCAAATAGACAAACAGAAACACATTCCCGCAGACATTGACATCTGCTATTGTCTATTGTTTATTGTCGGTAAGTCATTTACAATTCGACAAAACATGCACAGAGGTGGCGGCAACATCATTTGTTACAGCTCGTATTGCCAAAATAGCACACGTTCATGTCTATGACCCTGGTCGTTCGTGTGCCTTACCTGGTCCCAGCGGCGTTAATTGCCTGTTCGTGATTTTTCTGAACAACTGCCGGTTCATTGTGAGTTATAATAATACGTGCAGTCAGGCGTAATACGACAGATGGCCTTCTGAAAGAATTTGAATAATGAGACAGAAGTGTAATACCAAAAACCACAAAGCCAAAGACAGTAAAAATTATCTATTTTTTTGCGCGTTACAGCGCGCAGTTTTCCTTCATTTTTTGGAGCTCGGCAAACACCTACCTGTAAGATAATGGGGCCTAATCCCGCACTTTTAATTTTGCCAATCCATGGCGTGATAAATTTGAAGGCATTTGTTCTTTATCGAAATATTGGATGTTTTTTTTGAGAACGAAAATTGAAAAATAAAGACAAACAAAGCGTAAATATGAAATATGCAGCTTGAGCGTGCAAAACAAAATGTGTCCAGAATGAAGGGACTGCACATATATACACGACGTATTTTGTGGTTGACAACAGTGTCTTCTCCCGGTTGCCCGCTATGCAAAACAATAAGAAGACATTAGTTTCCGCCCGCATAACCTGTGCGCTGCACCAGGCCGCTCGCAGACTGCTGCTGTGGCTGCGTCTGCGCCTGCTGCTGTTGCTGTTGCTGCTGGTGTGGGGATGCGAGGGCACTCTGCGACCAATAATGGTTTGCAGTCATATACGAGGCGGGAATGCTGCCAGGCGCTTGCATTGGGCCGCCAATTCCACCCGCACCCTGCGGCTGGTTGCTGGCAGCTGCCACTGCGGCAGCGACAGCAGATGCCGTCGAAGTCGATTCCAAGGGTGTTCCCGGAGTAGATTCCTGCGACTGGTGCTGCTGTTGCTGCTGGTGTCCATGATACTGATGTTGCTGCTGCTGGTAATTCTGCTGATGTTGCGGGTGGTGGCTGTATGTGTAATGATTCTGCTGGTGGTGCTGCTGAGCCTGCTGGTGGCTGTATCCGTGATGGTAACTGGACAAGCTGTTCATTCCGGGAACTGACGAAGCCGCAGCTGCTACAGCCGCCGAGATGCCATTGTTTCCGCCGGCCGGCTGGGACGTGTGTGTATTGGCGCTGGCGGTTGGCGAGTGGTGCTGTGACTGGCTGGTGCTTCCTGGGTACGACGTGTATCCGGGAACTGCCGCGTAGTGCATGTTGCCGTTAGGGTTCTGTGAGACCATGTTGGATGCATAGGAGTTGGGGGTTCCGCCCGAAGCCACAGCAACAGCCGCGGCAACCTGCGCAACGGCGTTCTGATTGTACTGGTACGGCAAGTATGATGCGGAATTCGGGTTACCTGCGGTAGCTGGCGAGCCGTCGTTCGCCTTGCGATCATCCCCCAGGCTCTGGTGCAGGTCGTGACTGGCGCCCACGTTGCCGCCACCCATTAGGGCCGCTGCATTCGATGCGGCAACTGCAGCCACCGCAGCGGCGGCGGCCGAGTTAGCATACATGCTGGAGTGTGACTGGGACTGGCGAGGCTGTGACATGTACGAGTTTGATTCGGTCGGGATCGGCTGGGAAACGCGCTCTCCAGGCATATCGGGCACGCTGAGGCATGCCTGAATGAGGTTCTTACCCTCTGGCTGCGTGACCATCGGCTGCAGCTTGGGCGTAGTAAACGTGTACACAAGGCCGGTTTCCGACACCACCAGCAACATGATCTGCGTGCCTGTCAGCGTGCTAAGCTCATAGGCCTTCTTCATGATGCCAGCCTTGCGCTTGCTGAATGTAATGTGTCGCCGGCTCTTGTCCTCGATATACTCGATCTTGATCTTGCGTCGGCCGGCACGCTTTTCGACAGCATTCACGGCAGTAGAACGCGAGTTGCTCTCCGAATCTTCGCCGTCCGAGCCATTGTCGTCGCGCGACCGCTTGGCTGCAGGCGTCTGCGTGCGCGATTCGGTGCCCGAAGAAAACCTAGCGGCTGATTGCTGAAGGTGGCTGTGGTGGCCCTGGACGTGACCATGCTGATTGTGGTCGAGCAATGGGTTGCCAGCGTTAGTGGCGTCCAGCGGGACGTAGCCCGACCCAGGTCTCGACGGGTCCTCGGGTATAAATGCAGAGTTCATCTTAAACAAATTCTGTGCTGAGGCGGCTGACGGTGATGGTAGGTGTGCTGGTGCGGGGGGTTCGGTGGAAGAGAGAGTCAAGTTATCGTAATAGCCTAGTACTTTGGGTTCGTATCCGTACATAAACAGGGAACACTTCTATATATATGTGTAGCAAGTGGAGATTAAAAGTCGCAGCAGTTGTGGAAAAAGCAAGACAGGGTTAGTAATATGCTTGTGTACATTGATTTCGTAGCCGATTGCTGCCAGCTTTTGATTGAATAACATTTGTTGGTAGAGAATAAAAGACATGCTGGCGAGAAACAAGCTCAAAGTCATTGTGATTTTATTGCGCCATTAACTACACACAAGTGACCTGGCCCTTGCAACTGGCCAAATAAAGAAAGTAGAAAAGGCATATATCAACAATTCGGGAACACAAGGACGAAAATCCCGACAGGATTAGAAGGCTTGGACGTAAGCAGCATTGCATTGCATCACATGGCATTGCACGGCACAACTCAACACGGAACAAATGTGCTGAATAAAGTAATAAAATAGAGCATGTTGTTATGTCAGGTTCTTGGCATGCATTGATTGATTTCACCCTCCCAGATATGCGTGAGCAATAGTCGAATAGGCACATGCGAGAAACAAAGCTTTCATCGCATTAATGAATGCAATTGGTGTCCTGCTGCAGACATTTGGTACACATTGGGTTTTGGAGAAGGCGAATGATGCTTGCAAAATGGCAAAAATATTTAAAAACAAATACACACGAAAAAAGGCATATGATTCCTCCTTTGCTAAAATAAACTTAATTCAACACGTTACCTTTATGTATATGTATGTTTAGATGCGGTTGCGATAGCGGTTGCGGTTTCTCCTGTGCCAAAAATAGGGAACAGTATCTGTGTTAGCCCTCAAATATGAAAGCAATTTCTCAGCTGGTACTGAATCGAAAATGACTCCTGTAGTGCTACGGGCGTGCTGTGTCAAGACTGCTGCAAAAGATAGAGGATAAAAGGCGCGCACGTGTATGTGTGGATAGGCGTGACTGCGAACGTTCTGGCGGAGAAATGAACGATAAGGTGCAAGAAAGTAAATATGAGAATAAAAGGTTCTGATTAAGGGGCTGCAGGAAAATTAGAAACTCCTTTGTGCAAAAAAATAATGTGTAATAAAACCCGCTAGTTGTTGGCCAGTAGGTCTATTGGCAAGCGAGCGAATAGGCGTATTGAGAACGAAGGACTGGTATGTGTGTCAACTTGTTAAAAAGGTAACAGTGAAAAATATGAAAAATAAATGAATAGAGTAATAAAAGTATGAAGGTAAAAAAGTGCGCTACACAGCAGAAAAAAGAAAGAAAAAAGCTGGTAGGCTGCCAATAATGACTACAGTTAGCAAAGAGGGGAGAGGAGGCGTAAAACTGTTTGGCTGATCCAATTACGGAGTAAATATAAAACCCGATATCCAGTCAGCGTTATGCCGAGTTTGGTATGCAAAGGGCAGTAAAAAAAGTAAAAAGTAAAAAATAAAAATAAAAAGGCGTATGTATCCCTGGACTGTGCAGTGCTGCAGACAGTCAATGGTGTGAGGTGGCCGGTATAAGTTGGGGAGAGAAAAAAGACAAAAAAGAGGCAAACCAGATATGGCAGTGTCGATTTTTTTGGGATTTCACGCGGTAACAGTTAATAAGATTAGAGACGCAAGCAGAATCGACGTGCTTTTTTGAGCAAAGAACCGGCTTGAGCAGCTGCGTTATGAAAGACAGGGCCTATTGTGGCAATGTGATTTAAAAAGTCTATGTTTGCGTACGAAAGTATACTAAAGTTTAAAAGGGTGATATTGCGTGTTGCTCGACTTGCAAAAGAAAGAGAAGAGGAAATAAATCAGGCAGTACTAAAGTGAAAGTGCCTTTTTGAGCATTGCGTCGCAATGCCGCAAATTTATTCGGCTGAGAACCCCCCAGCCCACCTCCAATGGTTGTAAAATTTTTCTTTCATAAAAAAGCAACGGTGGTCACTCCAGTCAGCTTAGCAGTCGCATAATTTTGTATAAAGTACAATAAAAACGCATTTTTTGCCCAGTCATTGACCGCCGTCGCTCCTTGGCAAGTTCCTTTCCCCCTCGGCCTGCCCGCTGTGCATTCGGCCGCGCGCGCTCACAACCACACGCCCCCAACCGACCCCCCCGTGGTATTACAGGGTTACCCGCACCCCCCAAACCAACACTCTCCAATCACAGGCAGCCTAAACTGGTCCTCCTTATCGCTGGGCCGCAAAGCATCTACAAGTTTCGCAGGATTTGATTTCAAAAATGATGTTCTTGCCTGCAACAAATATTCTTGTCTTTATAAATTGGCACATGGTTGTTGCCTGCTCGCGCATAGCTCAAGCATGCACGGATTTCGGCTCTTTTTCCTTGGGAGTCATCCGAACAGGCGAATAATAATGCCATATCCTGGCCTGCTATTTTGGTTGATGAAACCGCACCTTGGGTCTTCGCATATGCATCCTGCGCAAGTAAATGCCGCAAGCAACAAGCCTCTTTAATACCTAGCCAATCCCGACTCTTTCTGGGTGCATGTCTTTGGGTATTGACCTTGTCTTTCACTCACTCTTGCTTTTGCTCTGCTCAAACATTCAAACAAGTGGAAGAGAGTAGTCGCCGTAGCTACCGCTGCTTGTCGCCGCCGTAGTCATACCACAGCCAGCGAAGGTCAGCACCACTCTTGCGGACTTCATCAAGTGACCTTCTTTTCGGCAGAAAAAATATTTCCCACTGATTCTATCCAGCGAATGGAAAAATTAGAGAACACTCAAGCTTGCGTGCGATTGCGGACAGCTTGTGATAGGTTAAGATAGTGCCGGACTGTACGGATAAGAGATTGGCAAAAAAACAATTGGCAAGCCAAGGGGAAGAAACTTATGGCACCACCAGCTCCTGGCCAAAAGGAGATACAAGTAAGGCTGTATTCCCCTCTCGTTGTGAGCAGTATTATTGTTGGAATGGCACACTGGAAGCATTTAAAAAACTTGCTGCAGTTTTGTATTTGAATATAGGATGCTCACAAATTACCTATTGCAGCCAAGGTATTTACCAGCACAAACCTGCATTCGCTCTAATATTAGAGTGGCTTAAAATCCAAAAATGCATGTGTTAGTCTGCACGATACGTATCCCATTTTTTGCCTATGCAAACAATGTCCAGGCATTAGCGCAGGTTTCCAAGATCTTGCTTTGTATATTCTTGTTTGCAGCATTACAGTGCTGGCTTGCTCATGCAATTCTATAAATAAACAGCACTGTGAGTCCAACAGACACGCTTATATGTGTACATATATTTCCGCCCGCCATTGTTTCGCGTATCACGGTCCTGATAGTGACGCCAGTACGGATATTGCTTGCCTGTTTTATTCCATACAAGCTATAATTGTTACTTTGAATTTTTCTGTTTGTGAAATTCCTTAAATTGGGTGATGGGAAGAAAAATTCGAATGAACCTTGCCGATTTGTATTCTGTAAAAAAAAAGTATTTAGGCGGGGTGTCTAATCAATTATAACCTGTTTATCTTTTTTACAAAGGCCAGCACACACCAAAATGGAAACTACATGGAAGCATTCGAGTTACGCTGGCCCAAGAAAAAAATGCTCATGGCTTAGCTATTTTTTATGCACACAGACGGTGAGATCTGCGATTTTGCCTGGTGCCCAAGTAAAGTAAAAATAATTAAAAAAAAAAGTAGATTTAAAACTTGCTTGCAAGCAAACACACTTGTGTCCGTGTATGTGTGAGGTCCACTCCTAACAATTCGCCGCCTTATTTCGGATTAGCAAATTGTAATGTTTTATTTACAAAGGCCATCAATATCAGCTGGTGGGAGAAAACTATTTCACATGCTAGGATTGTACCAACTACAAGCATCGCCCTAACTAAAATTTGTATACGCAAAAAAATAGCGCTTGCTTGTTAATTACAGCTTTTGTGCGCCAGAGAAATTATTGCGCACACTAATTGCCTCTTTAATAGTCACATCCATTTTTGGCCGCGCAGTTGGTGTGAGCATGTTTGCTGCTTGGTAGAGTTTGTTGTGAAATCCAAATTCTTAAAGCGGAAATTGTAATTAACGACACATTATTTTGCTGACGATAAAATAGATACATTATAACAAAGTATAGAAAAAGTACTGCTTCCACAACATATTATTTTGCTCAACCGCCCTGATGACATTCCACAATTGTTTTTTTACAAATGAGCATTAATGTAATTTTGCTTTACAATGTCATTAATTCTTAGTGCAAAAATATATTTTCAAATAATATTATTATGCGTTTGCAAACAATGCAGCCAATGGCACCGACAACAACATAACAAAAATCCCAACTATGTACATTGTCCGGTATAGTCAAAATAGAACACCTTATGTCATTCCCTTTTTGGGAAAAAAAACCAGCAATTTAGAAATCATGGATTGTATTTTGGGTACATCTCGATTATTGGACATTGGTTGTGATTTTCTGGCCCAGGGTGCGTGTTTTCTTGTTTTTTTATTTGGCGACATACATGCTCACACCATAAGGAAAGAATGAGGCTACGAGTATACTATAAACCGACATCCTTCCCCATAGTGGTTAGAAACTAGTGGCAATAGACCACTATGGTTGACGATATTAATTAGTTCGCTGCTTCTTTTAAAGAGAAGAACCAGGGGCAGATGGATTCTTGCGCACACGCTTGGGTTTGGGCTTTGGATTGAGCAAACTCTCAGGTGTCGCTGTAGGCTCGGCTTCAGCCGACTCTGACGATGCATTTTTGCGCAAGAAACGGGGAGGCCGCTCGCCTGTAAGCAGGGCATTAAGGATGATGCGAAAGTTCAACGCCGCAGCCATGTCGCGATTCCATTTCCGTCTGCCTGATGGCACTTTTTCGCTATTCTCAACCCACGTTCTGTCGGCCCTGAAGGTTTGCAGGTAGTTTTCCATTGTGCACTAGAGCAAGCCTTGGTATAAAATTTGGCGAGGTTTTTCTACCGCTGGAATTATATCTATGCCTGTTGCAGCTACCTGCTCCTACTGTTGCTGTTTTTGCTGCTGTTGCGTGGCTAACTCATCGCCCACCCTCTGTCTGATTTTGCGCTTAATTTCCCCTGTAACTAGCCGCTCAGCCTGACAATGTGCTTGAGATTATCGGCGGGCTAGAGATTAATGCAGTGCTTCCGATTCCGCTCAGCCAACTCATCTCGCAGCTGCTGCTTCACCTTGCGGGAAATTTTTCGCTTAGACCAGCTCTTTTTCTCTCCTATCCACCAGATGATATCGGCAGACTGTGGGCGAATAGCCACCCACTGGTTGCGACTCTGTTGCGCACTGTCAATAATAGATGCGGCATCGGCGGCAGTTGTGGTTGCAACAGAAACGGCGGTGGCTGCTGCTGCGACAGACACAGCGGCTGAAGTGGTTGCAGCTGCGACGGAATTAAATGCTGCTGCTGCTGCTATTGCGACGTGGTACTTGTGCTTGGGATTATTCAGACGAGGGTCATCAATTTTGTGAAATTTCTCCATCCTGCTCTCGCACACCGGGCAAAACCTTGAGGTGCAATACTCATCGATCAAGTAAACAGTGAGTCCCTGGCCTATAAGCATTTCCTGCAGCCCCTTTCCATGAATTGGCTCATGGTAACGGGTCATGCCAAGGGTTCAATTACCAAGAATTAGGACTGGATCAGATCCAAAATTTGCGCGCAAAGCTTTTGTGAGTTCGACGTCGACGCGCTTTTTGTTAACAAAGGAAACATAGCAGAGCTTGGGGTGCAAGGGGTCAGTTGAGCTGCTGCTGTCATATTTCCGACTCTTGCCAAGGGTCTAGCGTGTTGTGGTAATATTCTCCCAAAACAAAATCACACTTTCGGCGCTCAAGGAGGTACTCGACATATAACTTAGAATCAAATGTACTGGAGCCAGGGTGGTTGAGCGCACGCTTGGTATCCTCAACATATGTATACTAACCATTCGTTTCCGCCTTGGCGAGCTTTTCTGGTTCAAGCTGGAATACATTTTTTACGTTTTCACGAATCCTACGAAACACACGTTCACGACATTTATTAGTCTCTGAATTCTTGGTATGGCAAAAAATAACTCTCTCACCCTTTTTGTAGTTGCTTTTATATCCCAGACAATATAACATATCCCTGCGACCTGGATCACAAAGAACCAATTTACCAACAATATCATTAATGTCATTTTTGACGAATTATCAATGTATTCGGGAGGAGAAGCCTTCTTACTGCGGGGTACACCAGTGATGTTGCTGTTATTGATGCTGCTGCTGTTGTTGTCAGTGTCGCCAGAACCTTTCCTAGACTGTGAAATCCCCCTGGCCTTGATCATCTTAGCCTGTGTTTGCGGTTAAATCGAGTAATACGACAATCGCAACTCCGCCCGTACGAATAATAATCCCTCCGAATTTGTGCGGGTTTTTTAGAATCCAGCGTAAACGGCCAACAAGATATATTACAAAATAGTGACCAAATCTCCTCTGGCGACTTGACTAAAAATTCACTCATAGGTGGAATCTCAGAGATCTTGATATCCTGGCAAATATTATTCTTGTGGAGCGCTTCGAGTCGGCTCGTTGTGACAGATAGAATACATTGTACAAGAATAGCCTTTTCAAGTGTAGTAAAGCCCGGTACAATAGACATCGCCACCGGGAAGAGAGAAATCGTCTTCACTGCCTTGTTGAGGTTTAAAAACTGGAAAATTCCAACAAAATCCCCAATGTGATTCACTGTATTGGCCACAGAGTCATACTAGAGCCCCTTGTTGCCGAAACTGTAGTCATCAGGGTAGGTGCCAAAAACCCTCTTAATTAGGTGCGCCATCCTGTTGCGAAGCACAGGATTTGCAACTTGTTTGGTGTCGGTCAGCTTGCCGGCTTTGATGGTCTCAGCGTATAGCCGAGCCCATTTTATCTTGCCCACTGGAATCCTGATTTCCTTGCTGATCTGCTGTTGTATTTATTTTTCAGTGTGGCTGCCCTCGTTCTTAAGTGTATCATGTTGTTGCCCAGCCCTTTTCTTTACGCCAAGTGTAACGTCGACCAAATGTTTTATCTGTCGGTTAAAGCGCTGAGATATATGAGATGTATACACCGCCAGAATTGTCGGACCCTCATAATTAGCAACCCCGACCGCATTAATTAGCTGCGGGCACTCAAACTTGGTCTCCTTGACGAACGTGTGCCTGTGCCTGTTGAAGAGTATGCCGTTTGTGTTTTTCAGGTTGTTGCTGCATGGTTCGTTTATAGCGGTGAGGCAAAGGGCGATGAAACACTCCTTAAAGAAACCTTGATTTAGATGGTCAACAATATTAAAGCCCTCGTTATCCAGCTCTTGTAAAAACATATACTGTGCGAGCTCATATGTGGCTGTTGTAATACGGTGAATGGTAACGACATGTTTGCGCATAACTGAAAGGAACTAGGGACAGTGCATTTTGCAGAGGCCAAGGAGCGCCTCTATGCTAATAGGCATAATAAAAATAAAAATAAAAATTGATCGAGTTAGTTTGAAAAGGTGAAAAATTCAAAAATGTAAAACTTCATCTAATACTATGTAATTACAGGTAATGATACTGCATTCTTATATATATGTGTGTATTTTATTTGCAAAACAAATTATTATGTGGATACTTTATTTTTACACATTATTTTAAAAATTACTTTGCTTTTAGTCCTGTTGTGGTTTGGAGAGAGCATTAGTCGTCTAGTATTACAGGTGTTGTGATTTGAGTGGAGCACTAGTCGCCTAATGTTAAAAGTATGTTTGGGGGTTATAGTTTTTATTATCAAGGGAATCAAAAGTAGAACTAGGGCCGGCCTCGTCTTATATATGTATATCGTTGCCTTTGTTGTGCACATTTCCAGTTGTGGACTCTGCTGGCGAGAACTGGTTCTTCTGCGAGCAAACTGGTATCTTGGCAAGTCAATGTTGTGGTTTTCATGTGTGTGCACTCACATGTGCCCATTGCAAAATGGGGAGCATGTCTGGGCATCATTATGATGCTTCCCTAATTTACTCCTGTATGATCCAATTAGTACCCTATCAATCGGCATACAGATGGAAACTTGTCTCACGATCCTTAACCTCGACATCCACTTCCATATCCTCGGGATGTGCAACAGTTTCATTTGTGATAAATTTCACTATACAAAACTCTAAAAAATACACATTTTACTTTTATACTTTTACTCGCTCAATAGACGCAAATAGTAGTGTGTTTTCGAGTGTTTCTCAATACAACACTGCACATTATTATCCACAGGAGCGATATTCGGACGCTAATTATAACAATTTGATTCCAGTTTAATTAATGCTACAAAAGCGTTTAACACATATGACTGGGTTTCTCCGCTGTAGAGCCAAAACTGCTTGGTGCGGCATTTATCCATACATTCCTACTTTGGTCGACATTGTCTATCTAGGCACATTTCTCTCCGCGCGTGCGCAATGTCATTTGACTGGATAGTGCTCACACGTCACGCCAAATTTGATTATTTCTGACAGGCAAAAAAAAGACAAATGACGTCGTCAAAAAATCAATGATGATCAAATCCAAAAATTAATTGTGGTCAAATAGTCATCTCATCTCAACGCAATTTAACTTATCTGTTCACGCTTGGGCGATGGCCAACTATGATTTTCATCAAACGGAATTCCCGGAAATATAATTTATTTTTATCTGTGCATATGAGCATTTGGGGCCCATCGGATATTCTATGACTACGGATGATCTTGAAGCCAGGGGCGTCTATTTAAATTTGAAAATTTTGGTTTTGGCCGGCTGTTCCGGGCGCATAGAATCGATGTGCAATGGATTCCTACATGCTCACAAAACGCGATCGCAGTGTAGTGCAACTTCAGGTGCATTAATTGCGCCAGTTGCCTCGGCAGTACGCAGTAAGGGCAGGGGGAGGGGCCAGCTCGACAGAAGCTTGCGTTTCCATACTGCTGTTACTTTTGAGATGAGGAGGCGAGCAAACAAACTCGCACGCAGTAATCAGGACTTTTAGTAGTAAGAAAGAAGGCTTACTCCTGCTGAAAACAAGCAATGTGGCAAGCAAGGTCTTTTCGGATCCACTTATCTGCCTCTGGCAGCAAGGAGCATGAGCAGTGCGCGGCAGAATTGCGGCTGTGTCACCACGCCTTGATACTTAATCAAAAACTGGCGTCTCCCCCTCTCCCTTTGTCTCCTATTATTGTGACCATCAGACAAGCGGGCAAAGCGGTGGGAAATGCGACCTTTAAATCCTTCTCAAAAGAAACAAAGAATCCTGTGCTTTCAGATGTGCAAATATTGGATTCAAGGCTGCTTGCAGATGGGAATCGCAGGGACCTTCCACTTTTCCATTACTTTTGGTAAGTACTTTCCTTTTCCACACTGCATATTCTACTTTGCTTATTTTTTTACATGCCAGCCTTGGGTTTATTTTTTCAACTGACTTTTCACCTTCAGTCAGCAGCCAGTCACACACAGTCTTCGCCAGTTGACCTTTTTTCTTCGTCCCCCCTTCTCACCTTTTATCACGGGCCTAAAATCCAGAACCCAAAAAGAAACGATTAACATGCCGCCCGAGTCTCGCCGCACGCCGCCATTACCTCCTTCACCACGCCGTTACTCCCTCTCGTCTCCTCCACTTTCTTCTTCTGAAAACTGCAACAACCCTTTACTTTCAACGACCACTGGTTTTAATAGTCACAATAGCGACACTGATATTCATATTTCAACTGTTGGACATATTACTGCCGCCAACGCGCGAAACACACACAGCGGCAGCACCCTTGAGGCTCTGCTATTTGCTTCTAGGCCCTCGTCGCCAACAAATTCAAGAGTGCTCAATAGAAATTCTTTCGAATTCGAACTCACTCCATTGAATCTGCAACAGCGGCAGTCAGTCGATCGCAGCGCTACAACTGGAATCACAAACAACGGTTTACCGAACAATACCCCATTGGACAATAAAATCAACGAAATGAGAGGCGGTCACTACACAAACAGCGTTGCTACCACTGCCGCCAGTGGTAATGGCCGGCGAAATAGCATTTTTCGTCGAAGCGACGGCGATGACAACATCCGTGTCTCGACTCCAGACCAGCCGCTTCTGGATACCAGGGAATCTCGGAGCAGCTCGATGGACGCAGACAGCGACCTGCAGCGGCGGCTGTCGTCGGTGTCTTCATCGGGCGAGATGACCGAGTTTGAGCGCGCCTTAGGTCAGAGCCAGCGCGGATACCAGGTCCTGGCTTTGGTGTGTGCCTTGCTTATTTCAGGTAAGACCTTGGTGTGGTTTTTGTGCTATGCCCTTTGAAAGCATATTTGTCAAGATGACTGCGCAAACGACGTGGGGGTGGTGCCTTTTTTTACAGCGGGAAGGGTCACAACGCAGTGGGTGATATGCAGGGGATTAGTTGCTTTTGTAGCCAAACAAACTACCCAAACGAAGCCAAGGTTGTGTGTGCGGGGGAAATATTAAGCGGATGAGCAATTTCCCCAGGGTTGGCCGCTGTAACGGATAAAGAGCGCCTGTCATTTTGGCAGTCAGCAGCATCCGATTGACACAGGGTTCCCCCGCTGTCCCTGTTTTAATGGACTTTCCGGCCGGTCAGATGCCGCTGCTGCTTCGGCTTCTGGAATTGCCGCTGCGGTTTACTCCTTAATTGCAGCCGGTTTATACAACCTTTTCTCTGTACAAATGTTCGGGTGTTCCGAAGCAGCCATCTCCGATTTCAAATGAGACAATGCATCTCATATCCTTGACTACTAAACCACTACACTGATTTTTTTGTACATCACGGCATTGTCTCTTTTCTTGAACCTGTTGTAGTTGGCAGCCATTACTCGGCACACACGCTCGGTGCCCTAAAATCCACAATTAAAAAGGTAAGATGCATATATGGCATGGCATTAATCATTTTAATTTGAAAATATTTGTGTTGGGATGACCTGTCTCCCACACACATCCTGCAATTTGCCACGCCGCACGTGCACATACACCCTATTTATTAATCAATTTGTATTCACATAATTGCGTATCTAGGAGTTGGACATAACAAACACACAGTACGGGGCGCTGCAGTCGACGGTTTCGGCAGTTAACACCATCCTACCCGTTCTTGGAGGCCTGTTTATCGACTCGTTCGGCACGACATCGGGGTCGCTGATCGCCACGTTCCTGATCATGCTGGGCAATCTGATCATATCAATATCCACGCACTCGCGGTCATTCTCGACCATGGTCGCTGGCCGCATACTCTACGGACTGGGCTCGGGAACAATCACCGTCGTGCAGGAGACCATTTTAGGCAGCTGGTTCAAGGGCAAGGGCCTGGCATTAACCATCGCAATACAGATAACCACGTCGCGCATCGCATCCTTTCTGTCGATGGGCACAGCCATTCCGATTGCCGACCGCTTTGGATTCTACGGCGCGGCCTTTTGGGCTAACTTCCTAGTGTGTGCGCTTTCGTTTGCCATCAATATTGTCTACATGATGGCAATGCGGCGGATTCGGAAGGACACGCCCGATAATATGCTCAACAGACTGCGCACCAAGCACCGGTTCAACCCGCGCTTGATCCTGTTTTTCTTTGGCATCTACTGGATGTTCATAGTCGAGTCTTTCACTCTTGGAGGCGGCTGGAACAGCTTTTTGCACATCAACAGCGAGCTCATTAAGCTGCGCTTTGGGGTCAATGATGCTGTGGCCGCGTGGTCAGCGAGCGTCTCGCAGATCATGCCCATCTTTTTGGTGCCGTTCCTTGGCTGGTTCTTCGACACGTACGGGCTGCGCACAGATATGCTGATGGTATCTTCGGTGCTATTTACAGTATCGATGGTACTGCTGGGCTTCACCATGGTGACGCCGATTATCGGTCTTGTTATATTCTCGATATCGCTGGCACTGGGACCGCTGGCTGAGATCACCGCCATTTCGCTCATTCTTCCCAGCAGCTCACTCGGCACCGGCTTGGGCATATACAAGTCATCCATGAGCATCGGGTCGACAATCGTGGACATTGTCATCGGCGTGCTGCAGGACCGCGGGTCGCGGCTGATTGAGGATTCCAAGCACAGCTACAGCTACGTCATGGCGTTCTTCGTCCTGTGGGGTATTCTGTCGACCTTTGTCGCGTCATCCATCTTTTTCACCGATCGGTTCAAGTGGAACAGCCTGCTTCGCTGTAATGCTGAGGAAAGGGTGGATACCTACCACGCGGTCAAGGAAAAGATCAACCGCCCCATGCTGTATGTTATGTCGCCGAATTGGCGCGAGTACGTATCGAAGTGGAACTACGTGCCATTAGTCGTGCTCTCTGCATTGCTGGTCACCAGCCTAGCCTTGTTTGCCAGCAAGTTGGCTTGAGCCAACCTGCATACACACACACTCAAATGCGCATTTAATATGCCATACCAAGTCTACATGTTCATCAACATTTCATTTTTAACTGCCTTGCATGTATTTTTATCTCATTTCTTATATTTATATGTATATCAATTTAACCACACACATCCATTCTCAATTTTGAGCTTTCTTTTGTTGCTCTACCCGCTTGACAACCGGTGTTTTTCCCGAAGAGAGTACGCCGACTGCGCACGCATTGCCAATACTCATTGAATGGTCGCCATCGGCCCTTGCGGACGCCATGAGCACATCCAGCTTGTCTCCAAAGCTGCCCATTATCGCCTCGACACACATGAAGCGGGACTCAAGATCTGACACGCGAGATATCAGGTCCTCGAGAACGCCCAGTTGATCCGAGCCCACAGCCCGCGAAAAGCTAGGAGGTGGAATATTCGCAGCAGCAGGCATCATTGACGAGCTGTAGTGGCTCTGCTGAGACCCAGAAAGCCCGCCGTAAAGCGGCGGCATGTATGCCCATCCGGGCGCGTACGTTGGCATAGTTCTGCTCGGAGGAGTGGCAGAAAGTTGTGATGCTGTTTGGGAAATGGTGGTGAATGGCGAGTGTGCTTCGGGGTGGTCGTTTATTGCCGCTTGTGCTTGCAGCCATTCATGGAATGCCCGGTCGACGATCGAGTTGTCGTCGCTGCTCGGATAATTGCTTTGGGTCTCGTTATCACTGGTGAAAATATTGATGTCATCTGTATCTGCTGTCTCCTCATTGCTGTCTCTGGCATCTGTCAAGTGGTTGCGCATGGCAATCTCGCTGACTTCGTCAGGATGGCCGCCATCAACTATCTCAGCAAGATTATGCCTGGGCATCAACGGCTCCGGCGACATGGTGCCTGAAAACAGGCGCGCGGTGGTAAACGATTCTGTGCATCCTGGACTTGTGGAGACAGTGCTGATGGGTGGTGGCGAATGTTCGGGAGGAGCGGCCATCTTTGGATCATCGGATTGGCGAAAGGAATTGCAGTTGGTCGGGGTATCAGCGCAGGGACGCAAGGTCAATCTGCTAACGTTGCTTGCGTTGCGGGCTATCGCCACCGAGACAGGGGAAACTCGCTTATTGTCAAAGGCACAAGCTCTGGACTCGCCGGATGGTATATTTTGATCAAGCACGCTGTACATTTGCTCCTGATGCTGCTGCTCGTGCTGTTGCTTGTCGCTATGAGACTTCTGGTCGAATTGTTCGAGTAACTGAGGAGAGCTAGTTGCCGTGTGATCGGGTCCGGGGGTAATTGCCTCTGGTATATTTGCGTGTTCTCTACTCACATTGTTTTGCCGGCAGTGATGGCGATGGCGATGGCGCGATCTAGACCTCTTATGCGACTTGTTTTCGCTGCAGAAGCTCAACATCCGCATAAACCATGATGGGCAAAGGCCCTCCAGCAATGGATCTTTTCCCAGGAGGGGACTCAGAGAGAGTTTTTCCTTGATCGACTTGCGCTGCCACACCTCCGAAGAATCGCGCAAATTGACTGGGGTGGTATTGCGATGGGGATGATCATGGCGACGCCGGTGGTGGTCGCGGTCGTTTAAAGCTACACGCGTTCTCACATGTTTCTGCTCGGTTGTATTCAAGTGAGCTTCCAACAGACTGTCCTGGGAGCTGGTCTTTTTGCGACCGATCATTGTCGATCCGGGGCTAGACTCCCTTCCCTTATTGCGCGCTGTCTTGTTCTTGCCTCGGGAACTTGAGCGGGCGTTGTCGCCTTTTCGAGATGGGTCGCACCGTTTTCGTTGCTTGTCGGGATGATGCACCGTTGCTGCACACTCATCCACGGCATCTGCAAGGTGCTCGACATGCATTTTGGACTAGTGTATTTTCCACACCTTCAGCTTGGTAGCGTGCCGTGCCGAATAAAATAATAGGCTCTAAACAAAAATTTTAGTTTTTTTAAAGTTTTAAAAAAAAGTTGCAATACACACGAAAAATAGTTAAGTGTAAAAAACCCGTCCCAAAAAGCGGAACAAGAACAAAAGTGGACAAAGGCTTGTTTCCTCTAGGAAAGCAAGAGCGATGCGCAGTCTTGAGAAAATTCATACAAAACCTCTAAAAAATTATATTTTGAAATTGACGCAAGAAAATCCAGGCCATTTCGCTCGAGTATGCCGCCGCCAATGAACGCACCCGAATTAGGTACTCTATTTTTTAATTATGTTAAACCCCAAAAAGTTTTGGTTTGAACGGTAAGCATTTATTTATTTTAGCTGTTGCAGTTGCTGTTGCACAAAAACCAGCCCAACAACATCAAAAAAAGTCAACCAGTCAAAACAACCTTCAAATTCTCTTCTTTCCCCGCGCCTTATTCTTTCCCTGTGCCGCCGCTGACTGCTGCTCAGTGCCTGCGCTGGCGGCAGGTTTGGTCTTCTCTTTGGGGGCCTCGGGGAAAACTGGTGCAAGCTCCTTTATGGCTGCCGATCGATTCGATGTGGTCTGTGCGAGTATCCGGTGAAGATGAGCTATCTTCTTGATATCATCGAGCTTCTCCGTGCGCAACTGCACGCACGTCGCATTGTCGGTGACCTTGAGGACAAGGGCAGCGTCGCAGTTGCGGTATTTAATAGTATAGCGGGCAACGTCGGGGGCGCTGGCGTATATGCTTGCTGCTGCCTTCTCGAATGTCTCCCAGTTGTCGCAATATACCATTGTAGTGGTTTGTGTCTCTTGGTTTAGTGTTGAAAAATGAAATTAGAAGAACGAGACAGCAGAAAGCAAGACAAGCGTTGGTAAAAAATACTATGTCTTTGCTCACATAAAAAAAGCAGCCGCGCATATTCTTCAATCTAACTGCTACCATGCACCTAGGAGCACTATGGGGTGATTGGCATGGAGCTGGTGGGTCGGTTACGTAAACAACGTTTGTGTCAACCATGCAAAAAAAGAAGACAAAAAACTGTTTCCCAAAGCTTTGCTCTTTTTCTTCTTTTGCCGTTTTCAAATTAATCATTAGTCGCTGTTTGACTTTCTGTACATTGAAGTCTTTTTTTGAAATGGACCTTGACGAATCGTCGTTTAAAATCGGAAGCACAGTTATCCTCGCGTACCCAGACGTCACGCGGTTAGCCGGGTACCGCGCCGCGCTGGGCCTGTGGGACCAGCTTACCGCCGCAAACACAGCACCAGCAGTCACCAGCACAGTTTGCTTTGAGTCCAAGGTGGAGGAGATATTGCGGGCTCATGACTTCGAGGAAATAGACACGCCAGCATCTGCCGCCACCACCGCCATGGGTGCCAACGATGAGGCAGACGCCGTCAACATTGTCTTTGCCAACGCACAGAGCAACCTAGACCTGACATTCTGCTTTGTCAACGGACTTCCTGAGCAGAAGCGGGTCCCAGAGCTAGTCGACAACCTTATTGGTTTGCTGGAGAAACACAGCGTTAAAACACTGGTGATCCCGGCGGCAGTCAACTTGGCAGGCATCAAGGTTGAGGACAAGCTCTGGGCATACTACCTGTCAGAGCTGCCCATAGGCTGCGTAGAGCTGGAAAAGCGGCTTTCTGGTGTGCAAAAGCTTCCTGGTCAGGGCGCCCAGACCAACGACGTGTTTCTGTCTGTTCTCAGCAACCTAGTGTCGGTTTCGGGAATTTCAGAAGCAGTCGTGCTGGTTCACGGCGACAAGCGGCCCAGCGGCAGCGCATACAGACAGAAGGCGACGTTTGGCAGCGACTATGTTGACGAAGGTGACTCCAGTGTCGTCAAGGTACTGAGCGCTTTGCTTGCTACTGCTGTTGGTGCTGCCGAGCCAACCGGCGAGCATGCGGCGGAGGTCGAGGTAACTCGCATGCGGCTTGACGTCGAGTCAGCGGCCTTGGGACTGCCAGCGTTTGGATAAGGAGAACCAAAATAAGCGTGTTACAAATATAATATTTGCCACCTACCTGCTTACTATCTGTATTTAGCATGGTAAATTTGTTTAATATTCCCGTATCAAATATCAAATACTAAATGTCAAAATAACACGTCACTATCGTATGGTGTAATGATCACAGGCCGTTCTTTAGTTTGGCGTGGGTCGACTTTTTTCTTATAAACGCGTTTTTTTCTTGTTTCGCGGCTACGCAGTGTAAGCATCAATCAGTATGTGCGCTCCTTGCTTTCTTGCTGGAGGGTGCTTGCTTAAAAAGTACGTTTTCCTTTCTTTTTGTAGCTGTCTGAGCGGAGATGTTTTGAAGCCCTATCTTTAACAATATGATATTGTGGCGTGTATCAAGATTTGCATTAACAAAACATAAATAAAATTATAATATTTGGTGTATATTTGGCATTGTCTTCAAATGACTTAATTACTCAAATAAGTGGTCAATTATTTATTTTAATATCAGAAGACATATATCACAGCTGAGGCACACGATAATCGCGTAAACAAACATGTTGCCTTACTGAGATTAATGGACTGTGTGCGTGGCAATCAGACCACCTATGAGATCATTTTTTTATAGTTTATTTATATATCAAGAACATATAGAAGTAGTGGCTGTCAGGCATCCAGGAATTGTTCTCCTTGAAAGAAAGAAATATCCTTCATTGATCATACCCTTTTGTAACAACTTCCTTATATTTTCGAAACGTCACTTGCGTTTTATTTTGTCTTTATTGCACTCATTTTTATTTTTATGAACTCAGAATTTCCTCCTGTTTTTTGCTGCTAAACGCCGGCACTGGCCAGATCAAATACTATGGAACAACGGCCAATCGAAGCCAAGAATATGATACAAAGAATAAGCGCTGAGCTAACTGAACTTAAAAAGTAGCTAGGCCAAAAGAGTAACGACGATAATGCTGCCTAAGTTACCAAGAGACCCACCCAAAGTTCATTTGCTGGAAAATTGAGCGGCCATTATAGTCTGTTGGTTGTTGAATTGGTTATTGATAACAGACCTCCTAAAATGTTAAGGAATGGTGACCTCAAGAAGCGCTAGAATTGGAATTAGATTGATGAGATGTATATTGGTTGTAAAGCAGTAGACACAGTCGCTGATCAGGGCGCTGAGGTGTCATTGATTACTCCGAAGGCACCAGAGCGGCTTGGAGTTCATGTCAGCACAGATTAACGGGTCTGGCTTAAGCCTGCATGGTCAAACGCTGACTATCAAGCATATGGAACAGCGAATGCTCGTGTAGCTATTGCTGACAACCCGAAGAAATGGCTCCATTTAGTCGTCATCAATAAGAACCAGGGCTAGGAGCTGTTGCTCGGCAACCGACAGCCCCAAAGGTTGGAGATCGAGATGACGGCGCCAGCCATGCGCAAGCGCATACAAGCACATGCAATAAAAAATAGTGCTGGTTTACTGCAGGCAATACATAATACTCTAGTTTATTCGGCATTTGGCGGTCGGCAAAATAAAACATTTATACATATGAGACGTTACTGCCTATTGGTGCGTATATGTGTGGCACAAAGATTAAAACATGGTGTATGATGTCACTGCATTTCTACTGTTCCGTAAATCTTTTTCCTTGTCTCGTCTTACAATATTATTGTCCAAAAGTCTCACATTATATTTTCCTCTTTTTCTTTTGCAACCTCAAGCTGTTCCATTATATTGTCTCTATTAAATCTAAATTTACACTAATTCTCATTCCAAACATGAACATTTCGGGAAAGGAAAAGGAGGCAGCCAGTACGCAGCCGCCGCCGCCCGTGGCCAGCGTCAAGGTCGGACCCGACGGGCTGACAAATGAAGAGCGGTTGTACCAGGAGACTGTGCGACTGCTGCAAAAAACGTACGCAAAGAAGATAAAGCCTCTCGAGCAGTCGTACTGCTTTGAGGGATTCCATTCCGCACCGCTGACAGCACAGGACATTGGGTCCAAGCCCATGGTCCTTCTTCTGGGACAGTATTCGACAGGAAAAACAACGTTTGTCGAGTACCTGCTCGGTGAGTCGTACCCGGATGCACACGTTGGAATTGAGCCGACGACAGACCGCTTTGTGGCGATTATGAACGGGCCCGAACCAAAGGTCATTCCAGGCCACGCCGCCGCAGTGTCGGGCGACTTGCCATTCTCGGGGCTCACCAAGTTTGGGACCAAGTACTTGTCGCGGTTTCAGGTTGCGCAGCTGAATAATCCGCTGCTGTCTAACCTGACGATTATTGACACGCCAGGAATTCTGTCCGGGTCCAAGCAGATCCAGCGCGGTTATGACTTTGTGTCGGTCATTAACTGGTTCGCCGAGCGGTCGGATCTCATTCTGCTGCTGTTTGATAGCTACAAGCTTGACATCTCAGACGAGTTCAAAGGTGCGATCCAGTCGTTGCGTGGGCACGAGGATAAGGTGCGCATCGTGCTGAACAAATGCGATCAGGTCAACCAGCAGCAGCTGATGAGGGTGTACGGGGCGCTGATGTGGTCTCTGGGAAAGGTCATCCCGACTCCCGAGGTCAAGCGCGTCTACCTAGGCTCGTTCTGGCCCAAGTACAAGACGCCTGTGGGCACTGTGCACGATGAAAACAGCGAGCTTCTGATCAGCGAGCAGCGCGACCTGCTGCGCGACCTGCGAAGTATTCCGAAGAACGCCGCTTTGCGCCGCGTCAATGAGATTGTCAAGCGCGCACGCCAAGCGCGGGTGCACGCGCACATTATCGGGTACTTGCGCAGCGAGCTGCCTTCGATGTTTGGCAAAGACAAAAAGGCCAAGGCGATGCTTGAAAATTTGCCCGCGGAGTTCCGTAAAATCCAGGTCAAGTACAATCTGCCGCCGGGCGATTTCCCTAACCCCGAGGCATTCAAGAGCGACCTAGAGGCATTCAAGATTGCCGACTTTAACAAATTCAACCAGAAGCTCATTGACAACGCCGACGAGGCGCTTTCGGTGGATTTCCCGCGTTTGATGCAAAAGTTCCCCAGCGACAACAGGCCCTCGGCTGATATCGGGCTTCCCGATTCCGGGGGCGAAGATGAAGGCAGGCTCGCCAGCGGCCGGTCCAGCGAAAAGCCCAGCAGCAAGGCGTTATATTCACCGATTACAGGGCAGTCAGGCCATCAGGTTCCGTACCCGCCGCCGTACTCGGCGTTCTCGGCGGGTGGTTCAGCAAGCAGCCGCAATCCCTTTGGCGATGACACGTCGAGCAACCCCGCCATGCTGCGGTACAGGTTAATTTTCGATGGCGCATGCGACCCCAAGCGCAAAATGATTTCGGCCGAGCATGCCCGGGTGTTGCTGGCCGAGTCTGGGCTCGCACATGACAAACTCAGGGATGTGTGGAACGTCGCCGACTGGGACAGACGGGGCGAGCTGGACCAGGTGCAGTTTGAGGTGGCCATGCGCCTATGCGATCACTTGAAGAGCGGCGCGCCTCTTGAAGCTGCTAAGCAGCAAATTTTCGGAGAGCTTGGCCTTCAAAGTCGTCTTTTTGACTAGCTCAGGTAAATAGACATTCAAAGCGAGTAATAAATATCATTTTAATCGATTATAAGCGCATAATTGTGACAACATGGCTGCATATCTGTTTTATTTTTTATTACAAGTGGTCACATCATTGCACATTGTCACCAATATATGGCAATTTAGTGAATGATGTGGGGGGCGAAAATGACAAGCGTTGATTAATATAGAGTCCACGCTGGCATTGATATAAAATAAATAAAAGACAAAAACTAAAGTTATCCACGCTGGAATTGATATCAAATGTTAGCTGAAAATGCCAAATAATTTAATATTTAAGGCGACCCATTGCGTGCGAGCATTAAAGCAGATGTACCTTACCTTCCAAGTCTATTTTGGTGTGTATTCTCTAACACGTATTTAATCTTTTTTAACTCTTTCAAAATATCATTTGTCTTACTCACCAAGCGATAAGCAATGTCCGACAGTATCAGCTCTATTCTACCTGGAACGCGTCGCCTGGGTCTTGGTCGACGCAGAATCCAGAAAACGGATCTGGTTTACGGCGCCGGCATTTCTGAGAGTTCCGGCGACGTGAGCTTGTTCCCTTCAAACAGCATGCCAGCACGCAATGCGTACCAGCTGATCCACGACTCGCTCAAGTTTGACGGCGACCCGACGCTCAACTGCGCGACCTTCCTAACTACGTGGATGGAGCCCGAGGCGGAAAAGCTGATTATGGAAAACCTGGGCAAGAACCGCGTCGACATTGATGAGTACGAGGCGACGGAGCGCATCCACCGCCGCTGTCTGGCCCACCTGCACGACCTGTGGAATGGCGAGAAGGGGGTCGAGCCCACGGGCACTGTTGTCGTCGGTTCTTCTGAGGGAATCATGCTCGGTGGCCTGGCCCTCAAGTGGAGATGGCGCGCGCGCCGCGAGGCCCAGGGCAAGGACACTTCTAAGCCGAACATTGTGTTTGCTGCAAACGCGCAGGTTGCCCTAGAAAAGACCGCGCGGTACTTTGACATCGAGTCGCGCCTGGTGCCTGTTTCTGAGGAGTCGCATTACTGCCTGGACATCCACAAGGCGCTCGATATGATCGACGAGAATACCATTGGCATGTTCCTGATACTGGGCAGCACATATACAGGCCACTACGAGAAGGTGCTCGAGATGTCCCAGCTGCTTGATAAGCTCAAGGCCGACACCGGGTTTGATGTGCCAATCCATGTCGACGGAGCCAGCGGCGCTTTTGTCGCGCCATTCGCGCAGCCCGACTTGTGCTGGGACTTTAGAGTGCCACGCGTTGTGTCCATCAGCACCAGCGGACACAAGTTTGGGTTGACGTATCCAGGCATTGGCTGGGTCCTCTGGCGCGCGACTGAGTATCTGCCCGACGGACTGACCTTTGAGCTGAGCTACCTCGGTGGCATTGAAAAGACATTCACGCTCAACTTTTCGCACCCTGCGTGCTTCCTCATTGCCCAGTACTACCAGTTTATTAGATTTGGTCGTGAAGGCTACGCGCGCGTGATGAACTCTTGCCTGTATCACGCCCGGCTGCTGTCGGTTGCGCTGGAGGCCACAGGCATGTACGAGTGCATCTCGGACATCCACCGTCCGCGCGGCCAGTTTGGCTACTCTGAGGAGAGCCGCCTGGCGGCCGGTAATTTGTTTCAAGAGTCGGTGTCGTTAGAGCTAAAGTCGTCGGGGTCCAATCCATCGGTCAACCGCCTGTTCAATCACGGCCTGCCTGAGGTCGCCTTCCGCTTTACCGACTGGTTCATCGAAAAGCACCCGACAGCTAACCAGGACATAGTCTCAACCCTGCTGCGCGTCCGCGGGTGGATTATTCCCAACTACCCGCTGCCTCCAAACATGAACAAGCTGCGCGTCCTGCGTGTTGTTATTAAGGAGGCGTCATCCGAGGACTTTGTCAACCGATTGGTGCGGGACATCCTATGGGCAACCAAGACCATGCTGGACACGCAGAACCAGACGCTCGGCGAAGCGCTGAGCAAGCCGCTAGCCAACAGCAAGTCGACGTCCAACCTTGCTCAACAAATCGCTTCGTCCAACAGAACCACGATGGACAACAGCCAGAAGCACTCCCACTGGAAGGGTCTTCTCAAGCGCATCGGTGAGATGCACACAACCGCCGACAACGAGTCCGGCGGGCCCAGCAAGGAGCCTGTGCTCGAAATCACCGATAATGGCAGCAAAAAGACATTATACCAGAAGTCGTGCTGATCCCAGTGACGCAAAAGCCAAAGCAAACTAAGCATTCGTTTTTCACTTTTTTATTGAAGTATTATTGAACCCCAAAAATCACAAAATATTTTACTATAAAACACTGACGATACCAATATCTTCTGCTGGGCATGCAGCGTCGATGCGAAGCACACTGTCGCCGTCCACAGTCAACGAGCTGTTGAGCGACGATATGGAAGCGACAATCTCCCTGCCGAGCGGATTAGCCAGAGCACTCATCTGTTCTTGCCTGCTCGGGAGCTCGAGAAGCTGCTGTGAGGATATGCGCATAATGCGGTATGCTGCCGTTGGCGTGACTTGCGCAGCACAAACATCAGTACCGTCGTCAATAGATACACGCAGGGAGAATACAGATTCGACTTCGTGAGCCGGTAAGTTCTCGAGGCAGCAGCAAGGGCAGTCAAAGGCAAAAAAGTCAGTTGGGTTTTCCAACAATGTAGCCAGGGCTGGTCTGTTTGGGCACACAACGCGCTGCTGGCATACTGTATGGATCAGGCAGGTAGCCGATAAGCGATCCCGCGGGTCGCGCAGGTAATCGCCAGCTGAAGTCACCTCGACCACACATCCCTTGGCGTAGCAATTGCCTGTGCTCGGGATATTGGCCAAGTGCGTGTATTTGCGAAGAGACGAGCTATGCAGGATGCCGTCCAACGTCGATACGTTGATTATAGACGACCCAATGTCTGCGCCGCTGCTGATGATCACGCTGCCATCCTTAGCTCGCTCGTCCTCCGTATCTAGTTTGTCCATGAGGACTAGTTGTCCGGGCAGCAGCCTGGATGCCTGGCGCCCCAACTCGCCCCACAGAGTGACATCGCACCTTCCGGAATCATCCATGATGCGGACCGCATACCTATAAGAGGCCTCGCCATCATCTGCGAGTGGCATGTTGTTGGAAACGGCCACCACTTGAGCCAAAAGCGACAGGCTGATTATCTCGGGACACAGCCGGCCGATCTGGGCGCGATGTGCATAGCGGCTGTAGTCAAAATACCCCAATTCATTGCGCGAGACTCTCGTTTGCGAGAGGTATGTACTCGGCTGGTCGAGTATCTCTTTCATGATAAAAGCGATGGTCTGCGTGCCGCAATCGACATCAGTCGGCAGTTTCGCCTTGCTGCTGGCCCTGACAATTGGGCACAACAGTCCAATGTAGTCGCCTGTATTGTACAGATCCACGGTCGCGACGTCTTCGTCCCAAAAGTTAATATTGATAGCTGCTGCCGCCGCCCCTGCGGACTGCTCTATGTGCTCAAACAAGCAATACATCTCTCGGTGTAAGACTTGCTTGCCATTTCGAACGACTCTCTTTGACGGACAGATCTCGCCGATCTTGCACCACACCTGGTCGGCGTTGAATACCGGGGCTCCGCTTTGAAAGAACCTGCCGTTAGAGTACGCGACGCCGAAGATATCGTGCAAGAGGTGCTCGTCCGTGTGCTGGAGCAACATGCTGGGCAGATTCAAATCGTCCTTTATGCGGATGACAAAGGCCAGCGCCGTGGTCGGAAGCAGTGTATGTACGGGTTGGTCGTCAAACCCATTGCCGCGGTCGGCCAGCACGAGTGTGGTGACCATCAGTGTGCGGTTCCGGCCAAAAAAGCCCGCAAACTCGGCGCCCTCGATCATCGGGTAGTACCGCCGGTGTATAATGGCATCAACCCGAGTGTCCGCTGTATTGCGCTTCTTGAGCCCTTTGAGCCTATTGCCCGAGATCCCAGCATCGAGCGGATCCGGGGCACCTGATAGCTCCCACAGCCATATGTTTGTGTTTTCGATAGTCCGCATGCCGTCTATTTTCAGGCAATAGCACGTGGTGAGCGGCGGGTTGCCGTGGCGACTGAACAGGATCCCCAACGAACGATGGACGCCGGTGTGCATCGCCTCGCTGGACGAGAGCTGGTGCCATTGGGCTTCGAGCTCTGCGAGCAGGACAGCGCGCGACAGCCCAGTGCTGTGTTCGGTCAGCGTGCGGCTGGAAAACGTGGCTATCCAGCTCCACGGGATCTCGCTGCAATCAGATGCTTGCACCGTGTTTGATAGCTCTTCCTGCAGGGAGCTCAGCGTCTGCTCAAAATCCATGGTCCCTTTAAAAGGCAAGTGAAAAAAGGTTGGACTTGTTAAATTTCACAAGACCAAGTCAGTGTCTATTATACCAGCTGACGCGGAGAAAATGCGTTGAGTGAAAACATACAAAAGAAAGACAGGTGCCGCATCTTTCTTTTTCACAAACGAAGAGAGCGAAAATAAGCTGGCTAGTATTGATGTGGTCGTCCGGGCGCACAGGTTTTCTGGAGCGTAAACAAGCCAAAACATATTTCATTGTTGATGATAAATTCATTGGCTCGGTTACTAAACAAAACGCCAACTTCACAGTTTTCGCGTTCATGCACTAAAAAAAGGGGACATATAAAGTGAGTTGATTGATGGGTTTCGGCTCGCCCTTCAAATCCCAAGCGCAAACAATGTTGCTGTACGGGTGAGAGAAAATGTATGCGCATTTTGTGGATATGATTTTCTTTTTGCAAATGGGCGGATTTTAAAGACCCCTCTCCCCCTTTTTCGTTATTTTCACTTTTCCAATATATTTATTTAGTTTGCACTTTATTATTTATCTGCCTTGGTCGTTTGTATATTCCCATTTTATACTGCACGCGCAGCGCCAACCGCTCTCGAATAGTATACGGTGTCATCCCCACTCTCCCTGTCGCAAAAAATACCTTTGTTCCATTCCCACTTTACCTGTCATTATTTCTTTGTCAACTCGATAATTGTTTGACAAGAGGCGATTTCGGGAGTTCTCTTATTTATTTTTATTTTTCTCCAATTTATTCGCCATTTCAAGTTGCAACCTTTACTTTTATTTTGTCTATCCTCTTTGTCTATCCTACCACAAACAAACAACTACCTTGACTATCTTTTCTCTCAGTATCCAGCTTAAACCATGAATGGGCAGCACAATTTGAATGCCATGGGCAGCCAGGACTGGCGCGCGTCTGTGCCGGAGCAAGCGCGCTCCCAGAATCTTGCCCAGATATCGTCTGCCATTCTCCAGGGCTTCAACGAAAGCCAGCGGGCCAGCGTAATCAAGGTGCTGTATCAGTTTGAGAACCTAGCCTTTACAAGCGCGCAGTCCAGCCAAGAGTACGTGTCAATGCTTCACGCGCGCGTGGCAGAGCTTGATCAGAAGCTAAAGATCCTGACCGGCCAAGCTATGGCCAACAACCAGGCGGCGGCGGCGGGGCTTAACCAGCAGTTTGTACAGCAGACCCCCGTGATGTCGATGATGTCGCCACCGCAACAGCCGCAGCCGCAGCCGCAGCTTGTACCACCAGTTGCAGCGCCTTCGGTTGTCGCGGCGGCGCCGGCGGCTACGCCGGTTCAGGCGCCTGGGAATACCCACATGTCCATGCAGCAGATGCGCGATGTCATTAACTTTCCGCAGAATCATACCACGCAGGACATTACCATGGCATTGCATATTATCCAGGCGCAAATGGGCCAGTCTGAAGATAAGCAGAGGCTAACCGAGGTGGTGCAGAAGATGTATGTCGAGGTGCAGAAGAGGCAGCAGCAGGCCCAGCAGCAACAGACTCAGCAACAGCAGGCCCAGCAACCGCAGCAGATGCAGCAACCGCGGCAGATGCAGCAGCCACAGCAACAGGCGCAACAGCAACAGACGCAACAGCAACAGCAACAGCAACAACAGCAACAACAGCAACAACAGCAACAACAGCAACAACAGCAACAACAGCAACAACAGCAACAACAGCAACAACAGCAACAACAGCAACAACAACAGCAGCAACAACAACAACAGGTGCAGCAGCAACAGGCTCAGCAACACCAAGCCCAACAGCAAGCCCAGCAGGCTCAGCAACAGGCTCAACAGCAGCAAGCCCAACAACAACAGCAGGTTCAACAGATCCAGCAGCAGCAACAGGTTCAACAACAGCAGCAGCAGCAGGCTCGGCAACAGATGCACGCTGTTCTACTTCAGCAACAGGCTCAACAACAGCAACAGCAACAGGCTCAGCAGCAGCAACAAATGGCGACTATGGCAGCCAACGCACAATCGATTCTTTCCATGAACAGTGCCGGCGGGTTTTCCCAAACACCACAACTCCAGCAGCTTCAGCTCCAGCAATTGCAGATGAGGCTCCAGCAACAGCAGCAGATGACACCACAAATGCAGGCCCAACTACAGCAGGCTCTTCAGCAGCAAGGCCAGAACCAGTTGGCTGCCGCCGTTGCCGCGGGTAACTATGGAGGCTCGCCACACATCCGCGCAGCCGCCGCGCCTGCACCCATGCCTATGCAGGTCCCCGTACCCATGTCCACCATTTCCATCTCAACCGGAACCGGGGCGGTTTCCCCTGAGCTGATGCAGAGATGGAGAACAGCGTTCGCAAACACAACGCGGCCCTTTTTCCACAACGGAGGCAACATACCGATCAACCTCCTGCGTGCACATGCAGTGCTTAATTTCTTTAAGGGCGGCAACGACCCGGTCAAAGAGCAGGCGGTGACCAAGATCATACAGGAAATCATGCAGTCGTGCAAGGACGAGGTTGGCCAGCCGCTGACCAAGGAGATTATTCAGACGATTCTGCAGGAGGGCGCCAGCGGCCTGACAGTACCCGATCAGCAGCAGCAGCATTCTATGGTGGGTTTGGGAGCCAGTATGACGCCGACGATGAATAATGCCGCCCGGCCGCAGGCCATTGCACAGCAGGCAGGCATGCAGGGCATTATCTCGTCGCCGGCCATGTCTATGGGCACGGTGAACATCAACCAGAGCCAGAATCAGAGCCAGCAACAGCAACAGCAACAACAGCAGTCTGCAGGATTGAGTGCCAATATACCGATGAACGTGGCAGCCACTGCCCTGCTGACAACTTCGGCCTCCGTAGCCATGGCCGCCACTGCCGCCGCCGGCTCGGGTGCATCGCCAACCTCTGCCGCTGCACTTATCTCTGCCGCTGCATCTGTTACATCTTCCGGCTTGTCCGTAGGGAAGAAGCAGACTGCAGGAAAGACCACAGCATCAGTAGCCGGTGCCAAGTTGAAAAAGAAGTCACAGTCACCACGGACTAACGCCAAGTCGCGCAAGGCAGCATCTCCAAAAGTTGTAGCTGCTGTTGCTATCGCTGGCACACAGCCCGTGGCTGCGAATCCGGCCACTATCGCATTAGCAACGATGCCGGCCATCAAAGAGACTATTTCAGAAGACGCCACCACGTCTGCGCCTGGCCTCCAACGTGCAGACTCGATTTCCACAGAGGTCGCGACCAAGATCGTCGAAAACATCATTACCGCGATAGATGCCGATGCAATAAGAGGGCGGCCGCGCCTTGATCTCAGCGAGGCCGACAAGCAGATCGTTCGCAACCACCTCCCCCTAGTCAGCCAGCTCCTTGAGGCCAACATGAAGCTGCTGCCTGCGATATTCATACGCACAAAGAGCCAAGATTCCGTGCAGAAGATTTACTCTATCAACGTCATGGTCACTGAGCAGCGGCGACTGGTCGCCGAGAACCAGTATATTGTTGCGCCCAACCATATGGTTAACTTTTCCGAGGTGCTGCGCAAGTTCTTAACTGTTGCCAAGGAGTGGGGCAACATGCATCAGCATGAGTTGGCGGAGCAGAATGCTGCTAGTGCACAGCAGCAGTATCAGCAGAATCGGTTCCAACAACAACAGCAGCAGCAGCAGCAGCAGGCGGCGGGTGCTCGGCTGTTGGCTTCCACTGGCGAGGTCGCGGCCAAGATTGAGCAGGAGACTCTGATGACGAACATGCATCCAGGCGCATTGACTGCCGATCCGTCGTTCGATAACTTCCAAAAGGCTGTCAAGCATCCGATGGAGCTGGGCAGTCTCAAACTGCCGGCAGCCAAAAAGCGTGCAATGGGCAAGCTCGGCAGCTTTGACAACGCGCAGGCAGCAGCGGCAGCTCAAGCGGTGTTGCCACAATCAGCGTCCTATATGGGCGGGAACATCCAGCAGTCAACTGTTCCGTTTGTTCCAGCACCAATGATGCTGCCACCTGATATGAACCGTGCTGATTTTGACAAGCTACCGTTGGAGACGCAAACGCAGATCCTGAAAGAGCAGCAATCGTCGATTATTAGACAAAACTCGTTCGGAATGGGCGCGCCGTATACACAGCAGCAGCAGCAGCAGCAGCAGCAGCAGCAAACGTTGTTGTCATCTTCGGGGTTCACTCAAGGGACTAACCCGTTGCTGGTGGCGGCTGCGCAGAGCGCTTACACGTCAGAGGCTATTTTGCAGACTGCGGATGAACAACGGCTGCTGGCTTTGGAGAAGGACAAGTGGAATCAGCCGTTGGAGTACCTGATGTGCGTGTTGGACAAGGTCACACAGGGCGCGGAGAAGGCTGGGATTGAACCATCGCCTATGCTGCAACAGGCGTTTTGGCCGTTGGCTCGCAAAACGGTGTCGGGTAGATTTGGAGTAGTTGCTTCTGACGCGGTTCTTTGAGGAGAAAAATATATATATGGAAGCAATGTCATTTATTCATTTATAATTAATTCTAATTAAGATTACTTAAGCCTCGAATCTTTAATGCCAAGGCTTTTGCCAAGAACTGCTGCTGGGCAAGTTTGCGTACCTGTCGCATATACACGCTCAGCGATACCCTTCCATCATTCAAACCCTTTCCGAGCAAGTACAGTGTATCATCAATAGCAGCAATTTCCGCGGCCAAATCAAACAACTGCTCCATCACGCCAACGCCTCTAAACACCCCGGCGACATCCACAACTTTGGAATCCTCCGGAAACTCTCTCTTTTTCGCACCCAACTCAGCCAACTTGCTCTCCAAAACAGAAATATTCGCGGTCAGTTGTTTTTGAGATCCCATCAGTTGTTTACGTTCCTCGGAGATGACGCCAGCGCCGGAGTTTAGGTTGGCGGATTGGTCGAGGAGTTCGCGGTTAACGCGGGTATGGATTTCGCGCGATTTGTTAATTGCCGAAGATACCCGGTCGTAGATAGCTAGTTGGTAGCCTACGAGGCGTTTCACGGGGTCGTCCACAGGGGAGGAGTCTAGGAGAGAAGAAACTGGTGGTGGCAGTGGCAATTGTTTCCTTTGCTTCTGATATTGCTGCAAAGTGTCAGGTGATATTGTTGAGTCCATGGTCGTTGCTGCTGCTGTAGCTGCTGTAGCTGCAGGCGGGTCATTGAGTTCCAGGTTGGCATCATCCGAGTGGTCCGAGTCTGCATCTGACCAGCGGTTCGACTGTCCGCTCGACGACTCATTATCGGACACTGGCAGCTGCATCCTAGCAGCAATCACAGCAGCAGCTAGCGCAGCCACACTACCGGCATGGTCTGGGCCCAGGTATGCTGCCGATACCGGCGCGGACGCCATGGATGTCGGGGACGCGGCCGTGGGATTGCTGGCATCAAAAGTGGTCTTTCCAGGCGTGTTGGGTGCTGATTTCGGGTTCGTAGTGGGGACGGGAGGACGTCCGGCAACTGGGTTAAACGAATACGTTTGTCCTGAAATTGGTGATGACAACCCCGCCGGGAAATTGCCGGCCAGTGTTTGCTGCGGTACTGCTGCTGGTGGTGGCGGTGTTAATGTTGGTGGTTTTGGCGAGGCAGACAAATTTACTGGGGCATGGGTTTGTAAAATCGATGAGTTCATGGGAACCGTAACAGACGCCAACTCAGTTTCCAAAGCACTCATAGGACGCTTATTACTCAGCATCTGCTGCTGCATTATCTGCTGCTTAGCGTACATCCCAACATTCTGCGGCAACACAGGCATAGACACAGCACCAGCGTGTTGCTGTTGCTGTTGCTGCTGTTGCTGTTGCTGTTGCTGCTGTTGCTGTTGCTGCTGTTGCTGTTGCTGCTGTTGCTGTTGCTGCTGTTGCTGTTGCTGCTGTTGCTGTTGCTGCTGTTGCTGTTGCTGCTGTTGCTGTTGCTGCTGTTGCTGTTGCTGCTGTTGCTGTTGCTGCTGTTGCTGTTGCTGTGGTTGCTGACCCGTTGCTGCGCCAACCCTCTGACCAACAAATCCAGGATTAATAGCAGCGGCTAAATACCCAGGCGGGCGACTATAAACCGGCGGTTCAACGGAAAACACAGAAATAAGGCTGGCGAAAAGCTCGAGCAAAGTCGAGCCTTCCTCTGTCGACCATGCGGCCAAATACGGATGATAAATGCGACCGCGTTCATCCACGTGTTTGCTGACCTTCACAACCATCGTGTGCGTTGGCGTGACGTACGCCATGGGTGGTTGGGAGGGGAATTGGCGCGGAAACCAGAATACCATTGGAATGTTGAAAGTCGCTCCATTGAATACCATCGGAAGGGTGCCGTGGAGACAGAGGAGCGCTTGGATGGTTTTGTCCGCGGACATGTGCTCGGCTATCTTGGGCTTCAATGACCGGTATTGGCTTATTGCTTCATCGACGAGAGCGTATACTTTGTCCGAATCGTCAAACTATTTCAAAGAATAATTGCAAAAGAACCAATTGCAAGAAATAAAAGGGTGTATTTTTTTGTTTAGTTAGGAAGAGGGTTTGGAGATAATAGGGGGGGGGTTTGCATTGGTTATAGAAAAAAGGTCAAAGTTTATTTGCAAGCCTTTCTTACCCTGCGGGCCGTGTTGTCCCGGAGCCACTGCCGTGTAACGTCCAAACTCATTTGTCAAAATGGGTATAAAAATATATCTGTGAGGGTGTTATTTTGTAATTCGATGAGACAAAAGAAAAAAGGTTAATTGGAATTGGAATTGGAATTGGAATTGGAATTGGAATTGAAAATAATAAGAGAAAAAGAAAAGGGGGGCTTTCTATATGATTCTATTTTCTTTTTCTTCTTTTTTCCACAACCCACCAACAGTCAGGAATTTTGCTTAGCCAACAGTAAAATAAAAAATGAAAAATAAAAATAAAATAAAATAAAATAAAAATCAAGGCAGGTGACGTTTTTTTTTATTGGGTTTTTTTATTCTTTTTGGGGATTCCTGCTTGGATTGTTGGCCATCAGCTAGATAAAATCCAAAAAATCCAAAAAAAAACATTCATTTTGCGATCGCGTTTGTTATATTTTTTGTTTAATTTTTTTTCCCACCCTTCTTATTTCCTTTATTTTAACTTTAATTTTTATTTACACATATAAGCTTTACCAAACAATCAACTAAGAAAGAAAAAGAATGAGTAGCTATGAAGAAGAACGCGAAAAACAAATCCGCGAAAACGCCGAGTTTCTTGCCAGTCTCGGTATCCAACCACCAGTCGCTCACCAGCCATCAGCTCCTAAACGCCTAAACAGAAAGCTCAGCACAGAAGAGGGCGACTACCTCCCCCACCGTGAACCCAGCCAACGCGTGCGCAAACAACCATTATCCTACAACGACGACTACCCATCATACCTTCTGCCAAGCAAAAAAACCAAGGGCAAAAGTAACAACACTGCAGCTTTGCGCAGGGCCAATCCCGGAAGACGCGTAATACACGGGCGGGTCTACGATCCTACGCTCGGAGTTACCTGCCATCAATGCAGGCAAAAAACAACAGATCCAAAGATCCGCTGCGGCAACCAAGGATGCACCATGGCGTTGGACCATAGGTGCCTATTGGTCAGATATAATGAGGACGCTGTGGAGATTCTAAACACCGGGGAGATGTGGGAGTGTCCGAGATGCCGCGGTGTTTGTAATTGCTCGTTTTGTATGCGCAAGCGTAATCGGTTGCCGACCGGCCAGCTGGCGACGTTTATTAAGGTCAATGGCGAGGAAGAGGCGAAAAAAATAGTCGGCGGCGAGCTTTCTCCGCTGGTGGTGTTCCCGGAACCCCGCAAAGGGAGAAAAAACAAAAGGTGGCAGGCTGATGAATCCGACGACGACCAGGAGCAGGAGGGTGGGTTGATGGCTGGGACCAAAGTGCAGCGGAGGACGGGTGTTAAAAGGTATGCGACGAGGCAGAGTGGCGGCGATGCTCGCAGGAGGATTGCTGAAATGGCGGGGTTTGATTCAGACAGCAGCACTGCCGCCCAGGACACGGATGAGGACGAGGATGAGGACGAGGACGAGGACGTCGGTGGCCGTTACCATGGCCGCGAGTGGGCCGGCTGGGAGGCTATCCCGGCCGAAATCAACTGCATTGTTCTTATCTAACAAATAGACACACGCATACATGCATATAATCAACAAACAAGCAAATAAATAAAAACCTAGTACTCCGGCAACTTTAGGCTCTGGTGCAGCTGTGGAGAAGGCAACAGTTGCAGCAACAGCGGAGACTGCGTTTCTGGCAGTGGTAGTGGTGGCAGCGAGTCCTTGCTGGACCGCGAGTCTTGGCTGGACCGCGAGCCCTTGCTGGGCCGCGAGCCCTTGCTGGGCTGCGAGGCATTGCTGGGCTTTTCCTCGGCCCTCTCCTCGTCCTCCTGCTGCCGTGCTTCCTGGCCAGCCTGTCCGATCCACGCCAAAAGATCCACGCCGGCCCTCCGCGGCCACCAGACCATGCGGAAATACCACGGAATCAGTCCAGCAGCGGTGGTCAGCAAGCCGAGCAACGGCGACAAGTAAAAGGCATACGGCTGCTGCCTGGCCTCCTCCGCTTTGGACGGCGGCACAAAGGGGAACACAGTGATGTACAGGCAGAAGAGCACAAACAGCGCATTGAACAGGTGCACGGAGCGGAACGACCTCCCCGGATGTCGCGGCGCAGTGAACCTCAAGACGAAGGCGCCAAGGGCCGCTAGGCCGTAGAACAGCCAGGTACTCCATTGGACGAAATCCACCAAAAGATCGAACACTTGGCCGGGCGGGGGCGCCAGGAGGTAGAGCAGGGTGAGGGCGTACGTGGCCGCGAGCGCATTGACGGGCGTGCCGAGCCTGCGGTGGTTCCCGCATAGCATCCACCGGCGCGCGCCAGGCACAAAGCCCACTTGGGTGACGGAGTCTAGAAGCCTGGCGATCCCGTAGGTCTGCGAGCATATGGCGCCGAGCACAGATAGGCCAATGGCCGCCGGGAGCACCGTGCGGCCGACCAGGGGCCCGAATACCCTGGAGGTGAACTCCGCGGCGAGAATTTCCCCCGACCCCACGGCGACGTCCATCGGCACAACGATGAAAAACGAGAGATTCGCCAGCACATACAGGATGCCCACAAGGGTGACAGACCCACCGATGGCCCAGGGGAGGTTGCGTTCGGGGCGGCGCAGCTCCCCCAGCGAGTACACTAGGTTGGTGAACCCGTCGTATGCCCAGAACACCTTGGTCAATGCCCCCGAGTACGCGTGCACGTCGCCGGATGTGCCCGCAAAGGCCGCCCGCCAGACGCCCTGCCCCCCGACCACGCCCCGCACACTGCCGGCGGCCGCAGCCACGCCACCGCCGACAATGCACATCAGCACGGCGATTTTCAGCGCCGTCAGCAGGTTGATCAGCCTCAAGGCCCATTTGGCCGAGCCCATATTAAGCGCCGTGACCGCGCTAATGCACAGCAGCCCCATGGCGCGTGCCCGCCACCCGGACTCGTCCTTAACTCCCGCGGCGTACAGCCAGTATTTGCCGACCACCGGGCCATTGGCCGCAATGGCGCCTGGCCGGATACACACGCACATGGACCAGGCGAACAGGTACGAGAGCAACGCGTGGGGTCGCGGGAATGCATGCGCGAGGAACCGCATGGTGCCGCCGTTTTGCCGGTACATCAGCCCGAGCTCGATGAATGCCGAGGCGCCGCCGAGGGAGATGATGCAGCCGAGGGACCAGAGAACGAGGGACATGCCTGGCGAGCCGACGAGCCGCAGGATGGACGCTGGCGTGGAGAAGATCCCAGAGCCGATCATCAGGCTGACGCCCATGGCGCCCGCCGAGACGATGCCGATGTTCTTTGGACTGGACATGCGGGTTTTAGTCTTTTTTATTGCCAGTGGACAGTGCGTCGATATAGCGAAGGGGTTTGAAGAGCTGGCAGATTCGATGTCTGTGCGGGAGGAAGCAAAAGAAGAGAAAGACTGGCTCTGGCTCTGGCTCTGGCTCTGCGGCGTTGGCGATAGATAGGCCGCATGCCGCCGCGGGTAGCTTTTGCTACACATCTATACAACATATACATGCCCTGGCCTGGCTGGACGGCCTGGCTGGACGGCCCGGCCGATACTCAATATTCAATTTAATATGGCCAGGGCGAGGCCCCCATCCAGGCCAGTCCAGTCTAACTAAAAAGCAAAAGCAAAGCCCATTTCTTTTTCCTTTCTCAGCACACCTCGGCGAAGCCCCAGCGGCTACGGTCAGCCACGTTCGCGCGGGCATCCTCCGCCGCCTGCCCATCCAGATCCCACATCCTCACAACACCATCGTCCGCACACGACGCCAGCTGCGTAATCTGCGGATGCCAAGCAACGCACCCGGCGTCCCTCTGGTGCCCCCTCAGCACCGCCCTGCGCCTCGACGAGTTGCCGCCAGCGCCGTCCAGCTCCCAAACAACCACGGCGCCATTCGCCGACCCGGCACCGACATATCTGCCGCAGCCGCTGGCCGCGGCCCCGGCGCCGAACCCGCGGCACTCGAACTCGGGGGCGCGCAGCTCGGCCACCATTGCGGAGCCAATCCGCTGGGCGTTATGCACGTGCACGCGCCCGTCGTTGCACGGCGCGAACAGCCGCGTGCCCGATGGGTCGAGCGCGAGCGACGCGAGGCCGCGCGCGGTTTCCGCCGACGACTCGGCCAATGGCCGTGCGGCGTGCGGGCGGGCGCCGCGCACCATGCGGATATCCCAGAGCCGCACGGCGGCCGACGCGGCGCTGGCCGAGGCCAGCAGGTGGTCGCGGTGGCGGAGGAACCGCAGCCCCGTGACGCTGCCCGCGGCACCCGAGCGCTGCGGCCTGTGCAGTGGCAGCAGCGCGCCGGGCGCATGCGCCTGCAGAATCGACGCCACCGGGCGGTGGACATGGGTGCCGCCGGCCGCCAATGTGCGATTGCACCGCAGGTCCCAGAGCAGCACGGCGCCGTCGCGCGCGCCAGACGCGAAGCACTGCGGCTGCAGCCAGTCGACCGCACGCACGGTTTTGGTGTGGCCGCGGAATTCGGCGCAGAGCGTTGCGCGCTCGGCGTCCCACAGGCGGCAGGTGTCGTCGGCTGCGGCCGTCAGCAGGGAGCGGCCGTCGGGGTTCCAGGCGCCGTCGAATACCGCGTGGTCGTGTGCCCGCCACCTGCGCAGGATCGCCATGGCGACGTTGCGCGTGGTGTCGAAGAGGCTCAGGCTGCCGCCCTCGTCGACCACCGCCAGCCGACTGCCCGACGGGTTGTACCGGCACGCCAAGGGCAGCTGCCGTCCGGCGCTAGCGCCGCCGCTGAGGTCGCCGTTGTCTGTGTGGAATTGCCGGTCGCTGGCGGATACCAGCGCCCCGAGCTGTCCGATCACCGAGATGCCGCGCGGGTCCACATGCGTGTGCTGCCGCCGGCGCATAGCCGCGTGCAGCGGGACCGGCGTGAAATAGGACGCTGCGTGCTGCATCTGTGATTTTTTCAATGATCCCGATGGTGCCGGTGCCGGCGCCTGTGCGCCTGTGCTGCTGGTGGCTGGCCGCTTGCTGGCCGCTTGTGCCTCGCTGATGCTGTTCTCTGCTGCCCGCCGCTTGCTGCGCCGCTGCTGCGCTGCCTGCAGGGAGGCGAAAAGCGTTGGTTGCCGCGTAATGCTGCCGCTGCTGCTCCTCCTGCTATTGCCAGTATTGTTTCTGCTGCTGCTGCTGCTGCCGCTGCTGCTCGACGCCGTGTTGTTTGTGCGCAGTGTTATGTCATTGAGCGCCATTTCCCCTGTTCTATCTTGTAAGCTTTTGGTTTTATTTGGTTTTATTTCGAATTGGTGGATTCGGATTTGAATCAAAAAAAGCGTATTGGAAGACGAATGGCTGGGATAAAATAAAAATAAAAAAGTTAAAAGTTAAAAGTTAAAACTAAAAACCAAAAACCAAAAACTGAAAACTGAAAACTGAAAACTGAAAACTGAAAACTGAAAACTGAAAACTGAAACCTGAAAACTAAAAAAAGGAGGGGCAAAAAATCTCACCCTGAAAAAGAATGAATGCCAGAAGGATAATAACACTGCGCAAAATTCTGCCGCCACGAAAAATAGAGAGAAAAAAAAAAAAGTTAAACGCGCAAAATCATTTTTTTCTCTACTTTTTATTTACGCGTTGCATATCCAACGCGTACATTCTCCACTCTATTCCCAAACCAAAAAAAATTATATTCATTTCTTTTCCTTTCCTTTCCTTTCCTTTCCTTTCTTTTCTATCCAAACAGCATATTGAGGTCGTCCAGCCTCTGCTGCCGCGAATGCGTCCCCATGCTGATAGCCAGCTCCTCACCCTCCTCAGCCTCACCCGGGTTCCGATTCCTCGTGCTATCCATCAGCGAAATATCCACGATCCTCGCCTTCCTTCTCTGCAACTTCATGATCTTCTCCTCAATACTGTCCTTAATAAAGTACCTCGTCACCGTAATCGGGCTCTTCTGCCCCAGCCGGTGAATTCGATCAATCGCCTGCTGCTCCACACTGGGGTTCCAAAATGCATCCATCAAAAACACATGCGAAGCATACGCCAGGTTCAGGCCAACGCCGCCCGCCCGCAGGGAAAGCAGAATCACTTCCACCCCAGGGTCACTCTTAAATGCACGCAGGCTGGTTTCGCGCGCACTCCGGGTCATCTTACCGTCCAGCCGCACAAACCGGATCCCGCGCTGCCGCAGGAGCGGCTCCAAAAGATCAAGCATTGTGGTCCACTGCGAGAACACCACGCATTTTTCGCGGATCCCACGGTTCGCATGGAGCTCAGCCTTGCGCGCCTGCACCAGGGGGTGGTCCTGGTCAACCCCGAAATGCGCATCGCTGATCCATCGCCGGCTGCGGATCTTCTCTATATCCTGCATCAGCGTCGTTGCCTTTGTGCTGCTATCCTGCTCGCGACATAGCCGGTTAAGCTCATTGTACTCGCTGCCCTCGGCCGCCTCCGCCAGGTGCTGCTCACGCTGCTGCAGCTGCTGCTGATCCATGGTCGCTGCACCCACCCGATGTCCGCTCTGCGCATCGTTAAACACCACCGATGCTGGCAGCCATACGATATCGCTCTGCCCGACCATATCCCCACAAAGCACGCACTCCGTCATCGCGTTGGTCCCGCCTACGCCGAACAGCGCCAGCTGGCATTGGTGGCAACCAATGTGCCCGCACCGTGTGACGACTGGCCCCGGAAGGTCGGCTGCCTCGAATCGGTTGCGCTGCAGGGATATGCCCGCTGGAAGCGCCCGCTCGCCGCAGAAATCGCACGGGACGAGGTCACCCATGACCAGGGACCGCTTAGCCCACTGCTCAAAAAACTCTGACTGCGCTGTTAGATGCTGCTGTTGCTGCTGCTGCTGGCTGTTTCCGGATATGCTGGCATCACCCATGACCATGTCGCACAGGTCAACGGCAGAGACAGAGTGCAGGTCGCTAGTGGAGGGCTTGGCCTCAGGCTTGATAGTCTCTGACCTGGACTCGCCCTTGAGTTTAGGCTTGGACTCTGGCTTTGGCTTGACCTTTAGCTTGGGTTCAGCTTTTGGCTTGATCTTGGCCTCAGCTTTTGGCTCGATTTTGGCCTCAGCCTTGGCCTTGGCGCTGACCTTGGGCTCAGCCTTGGCGTCGGAATCGCTGCTCTCCTCAGACACCACCACAGCGCCAGCACCAGAACCAGCAGCAGCACCAGTCGTACCAGATCCAGATCCAGACGCAATCCCCGCGTCGGCACCAAGCACCCTAGCCTCCTTCCACTTATCCTCAGACCACAGCCTTGGGTGCGTGCACAGCTGCCTTAGCCTCAGGATGATCTTCAAAATATTCATATAGTTCTTCATCAGCGTGCCACTCCTCGACATATTCTCAAACTTGGCCTTTGCAATATCCTCCGCCATCTGATACAGCTGCCGCTCTCCGCCAGACAACTCCAACCACCGGATAACCTCGAATTTCGGCGGCAACTCGATCATCGTGCGCTTGGTCTTGGAGTCAATCTGCTGCTTCATCCGCCGCAAGCAAATACTCTGCATCAGCCGCTGGACGCGTTGCGCCCCAGCATTTCCCTCGCCCATTTTGCACGCTGTCATGCCCTCGGTTGTGTCGGCGTCGATGTACTCGCGGATGTTGTCGTGGAAGGGCGCCCCAATGTATGTCAGCCACACTTTCCAGTTATCCAGCGGTTGCACGTGCAGAAACCGCAGCTGGCTGAACAGGTCGTCAAGCCGGTTCTGGATCGGCGTCCCCGTCAAACACCATCTTCGGCTGGCAGTCAGCGCACAGGCCGCCTGGCTAGCCACCGTTCGCCTCTCCTTGATCGCATGCGCCTCATCCAGTACCACCCGATGCCAATGCACAGCCTGCAACGGCGACACATAAGGATCCTCGGGGACACAATACACCTTCGTACTAGACTCCCCCTCCGAACTGCTCTCGAACGTCGCCCTCCCCGCATCCAAACCCTGCCCCGAATCCACGCAGATCAGCTGCCGTCTCTCCTTCGTAAGCTCGCTCTGCAGCACATTGTAAGTTGTCAGGACTATGTCGTACTGGCAGAGCTTTTTGGGATCGCGCACGCGCGTCGGCCCGTGGTACGCTTGGACTGTTAAGGTGCACGGCCGCACGTGTGTGGCCACCTGTTCCTCCCAGTTGCCCATCGTTGATAGGGGGCAAACGATCAGCGTGCCGCCGGCGTACCATCCGTGGTGGTTGGCCGCGAAAATACGCTCGCACAGGTCCTTGTTCCGCGTCTTCTTGTTTTCAAACTCTGGCGGCGGCGTCATCGGACGGCCACCAGACGCCATGGGCGCCCCGTAGTCACTCTGCCCGTCGTCCGAGTCGCTGCTGCTGCTGCTGCTGCTGCTAGTGTTGCTGTTTTTATCCAGCCTGGCCGTTGCCAGAGATCTCGTTGAAGTGGCAGACGAATCAGCTCTGTCGCTGTGATTCTTGGAGGCTGCGGGTGTGCTCAATGGGTCGTCCGTCAGGTGGTCCGAATCACTGCTGATGTCCTGCGAAAGTCTAGGCTTCTTGGCTGCTGGCAGATTTGTAAAATAGTCGCTGTCGTCGTCGCCGCTATTGATGACCACGCTGACATCGCCGGCAGGCTCCTCAATCACACTGTGTTTGCCCTTGTCCACGCGCATCGGAGACCCTGCGCGCCCTTTGTCTTGAACTATGCGGCCGATCAGCGGCCGCAGACGGCCCCTCACGGTTCTCCGATCGCGTCCCCTATCACCCTCAAAACCAGCACCAGCACCAGCACCGCTGTCACTGCCACTGCCACTGCCACTGCTGTTGACAAATTTTAGCCGAGTGCCGCGTCGCCAAGCGGGCTTACACTTCAGCACCAGCGATATAATCGACAGCGTCTTACCCAGCCCCATATCGTCGGCCAGAATCCCGCCCAAAAAGGAAGCCGGCCGCATATCACTCGTAATATTAACCAGCGCATGTTTGTACTCTCCAGGATGGTGCTCCAGCGGCAGCCAGAGTTTCGGAAACCCCAGCATATCTCTCGCGCCAGGCTCCTCAATGTCCACGCCCTCCGTCTCGCGGTGCATCATGAAGAACAGCGCCTGCTTCTGGTGCCTGCGCAATGTAGTGGTGATCTGCGGCGGCGGGTCAATCTCGGGCAGATCGAGAAGCGTGACAAAAGTTGATTTAATATCGGCCAACCGCATCTTGTTATCCTCGGGTGTGTCTTCAAACTTATCCACGTGCATGCTCTGTGGCAACAGCTGTCCGGGTTGCTTGGGCTTTGGTCGCGGTATGAAATCTCCTCTGGACCCGTCGCCCCTCCTGGTCTGCGGCTTGAGGCTCATATTTGTGAAGACGCTCGGTATGTGTGAGTCTGAATTCGTGTCGATGGCCAAAAGGCCGTCGTCAGTCCTCGTCGGGTGCCTGGCTACGTAGGCCATCCCCCTGGTCAGCACATTGCTATCCTGGTTGAGTTCCCGTAGGGCCGACTGGGACTCCTCTGAGGATTGGTCCAGGTACAGGCCGGATCTCTCGAGAATCCGGACCACCTCCCGGGAAATGTTGCGGTCAGCGTAGAACGAGAGCATCATGGGCGAGACGTATTTCCCCTTCAGCGGGCCGATAGTCGTCGCCGCTACTTTGATGTCCCCGTCGGAAAGCAGCGCGTGGATCGTCGTTGTCATTGAGTTCTCCAGAGTGCCGATCAACCTCTCCCTGCTATCCAGCAGCTGCACCTCCTTTGTGGAACCGGTTCGGTTCCGCAGGGTTGTCGGTATGTACATGGCGGTGCCCTCGTGGAAGTACGTCGAGGCCGTAGATATCACCGCCACGGCGCGCAGCTGCCCGATCATATGAAGCTGCGACTGCGAGTCCAACGGCGCAGAGGCTAGCGGCGAAGGTGTTGGGGCAGGCGACTGAACCAGGCTGGGCTGGTGTCCCAGAGCTGGGCTTTGGGAATAACGCGAACTCGCCATTGTTGGCGTCGCACCCGTGCTCATAGCATAGGGCGGGAACCGGCTGGCGAGCGACGGTGCCTGGTACCCGGAATACACATTGGGAGGCTGGGACCGCACTCTCGAATACGGCGTGTCCCCGGACACTGCGCCGCTGACATTGGAGTAGAGCGACATAAGCCTGTTGCTAGAAGTAGTGACCCCGGGCGTCGGCCGTATGGCGGGCACCGGCGGGCCCGGCAGAATCGGCGCAAACCTCTGAACATACGATAATTTCCCCTGGCCTGCCACCTGTGGGCTGTCCTCGATGTCGATTACAACTGCATCGGAATTCAACGGCCTGTGGCTGCGCTCTCGCGCGGGTGGCGTTTCGGCAACATCCGTGATCTCCTGCACATCTGCTGGCAAGTGCAGTCGTTTGCGGCCAGGAAGTTTGTCACCAATTTGCAAGTCTGGATCCCTCTGCCACTGTTCCGACTCGAGCTCGGGCCTGGGCTGGAGCTCAGGCTCAGGCGAGCTGGTTATTATTACGTTGTCGGCTATGGTCGGCATTTTTGAATTCGCTGCGGAGACATTGCTGTGGCTGCGGCTTGGTGGTATGCGTGTGGCTTCGAGGCCCAGCTCGGCGGCCACTGACTCGTTGTCGTCATCCTCGAAGGTCAAGTCAATAAGAGTCATGAAAAGGGCTTTATTTTGTGGAATTTGAATTTGAAATTAGAAAAGAGAATGAAGTATAAATGTTTAATTTTAAAGCGCACGCAAGAAAAAAGAACAAGATAAAAAGGGTAAAAGGAGAAAAAATAAAACCAATAAAACCTCATTTTTTTGAGTGTGCATTTTTTTTATTAACGAAAAAAAAAAAAAAAGCTGCGCGATCTCGACAGGCAAAACAATACTTTAAAAAAGCATAACAAGGAAAGAGGAAACATTTAAATGCTGAGCATGCGCACGATATCGCCCAGATTTCCAGAAGAGCCATCGCCGACCTGCAGTGTGCCCAAGCGGCGAGCCGGGCATTTGACGGAGACGCTTTGTCTGCCAGACTGCATCGCACCCTTTTTCATTTTGGTGTGGAAGTCAGACTGCACCTCAGCATCCAGTGTCATCTCGCCAGCACCAGGATCATGAAGGCCACAGCTATCGACCAAGCCAAGCAGAATAGCTGGCGGCCCATGCTTGACATCATATCTGATAGTAATAGGCATGGTAATCTCGACAACACCCCTAGCAGGCACATTGATATTGCTCAGGCGGCCGCCGCCCAGGGCAAACTTGGTTTCGGGCCAAAAGACCGCCGAACTGATATCATCCACAACAAGATTGAAGAAATTATCGTTGTGCACGCGGTACGTTAGCTCAATCTGGAACTGCATCTTGGATCCGAGCAGTTTGAACTTGCCTGAACGGTCCGGCGAGTTCACAGAGTGGAGTGCCACGGCAGGGGACCGCGGCAACAAAAAGTATGCCGTCAGGGAGCAGCCCAGGAGGAGTACTGCGGCGATCAACGCGTACAGCGAATACTTTACAATGCGCTTGACTCTCTGCGCGTGGATCATCTCGACGAGCTCATCATCGGCGTCATCCACGACCAGCTGTCCGAATCCAGCCTCATATGGAGGTGATGTGTATTTCTCGCTCAACGCCGATGGATGCGCCAGCGGCGACAGCATTCTGGAGCTGGTATCAGCCGCATGCATCTGCGGCGACCTCCTGCTGGACGCAAAGCTGTCGGTGTTTCCCGGGCGGCGTCCAAAGGAGGGCGCGCGCGGGATTGAGCGCACGGAATAGTTGTTCCGGCGAATTGAGCTGTGCGATCCGTAGGCGTCCATGCTATGATCGGTGGATCTGCCTGGGTGGCCGAGTGTGGATCGGCGCTGTGCAAAATTGTAGTAGCTGTTGCTGCCGTTATTCTCGCCGAGATTGAGCGGCCGCCTGGGGTGTCTGCCCATTTGTGGCGAGGCGCGGCTGTGGCTGTGCAGATTGCCGCGAGCTCCGACGTAGCTGCGTGTGCGGTTTCGATCGCCCGCGTACATATCGTACAGACCGCTGTACGAGTTTAGCGACTCATCGGCCTTGTAGGGTGGCGTTGATTTGTTGTTTGTCATTCTCTTATAATGTAAAATATGATGTTTTTGGTTTGTTTGGAAGAATACGGCAACCAAGCAAGCTAGAAGGCGAGAAGCAAAAAGAAAGGAAGAAAGAAAGACCTGGTGAATTGGCAATTTGTATTTAAGAAGATGCTCACAACTGCAGATATGCCGATGTATTGTCTTGGCCTCAATACAGAGTGAAGAAAAATTAAACCTGCCACATGCTCCAAAGACAACAAATATATTGGCAATATTCTTAAACATTATTTTTAAGATTTTGACAACTACTGCATTTTTTTCTCCGCTTTTTTTCTTACAAGAAATAATTTTGACAGTTACATTATCGTCCAGACGAGCCCTTCTTGTCCACGCGCGACAGACAATTTAAGATGCATGGCCTTTTTTCTATTATTTATTGAACTTTTAAAAAAATTCAATACTTAACATTTTTTTGCCGAGAACATTTGTAACCACACGCACACGCAGAAACATATATAAGAAAGTAAAATGTATGGGACCCATGTGGCGCAGTTATTCCAAGTTGCTTTAAAAATGTTTCTCGTGTGCGGGGTAAAAGACATGCACGCAAGCGAAGTTGAGCGAACATTCGACGCGCGTGTGCAACACGCGTGCGCAACGCGCCTTTTTCAAAATTGCAATTATATTTCTGGTTAGCCTGATCATACGCTAAATCTAGCTAATTTCTTAATTGTCAATTTTTCTCCTTCATATTTGATTTCTTGCGATCGAGTTTTTTTTTTTTCTTCTCATTGTCAAAAAACCAGCACAGCGGGCGTGTACATTTCTCTCACTCTTTTTTTTATTTGCTTACTCGAGTATACTTGAACCTTCTATATTACTTTCTTATATACACTTTAAATAATGGACACGAAAAGCGAAGAGCAGGTGCAAATTCGGCTGGTTGCCAAGCAGCAAAAGTATGCGGTTCCCGAGGCGCCGATCGTTGTCCCGCAGCAGCTCCAGCGCTACGGTCTATCTGAGATTGTAAACCATCTTTTGGGCAACGAAAGGCCCATTCCCTTTGACTTTCTCGTAGACGGACAGTTCCTGCGCGACAGTATCTCCGGGTACCTAAAGGAAAAGAGCCTGTCGGCCGAAAACATCCTGACGCTTGAGTATGTCGAGTCGATGCTGCCGCCGACAGAGATTGCGTCGTACAGTCATGATGATTGGATTAGCTCTGTGGTTGCTGCGTCCAGGGATAAGTTTATTGTTGGGTCCTACGATGGTATCGTGCGCCTGTGGAATGCGCAGAGCGAGTGCGTGGACACACTGGTGGGCCATGATTCTGCGGTCAAGTGCGTGGCGGCAGCTACTGCCGGTGGGGCGAAGACCAGAGTGGAGTTTATCTCTGGGTCGCAGGACCGGACGGCTATTGCCTGGGGCATGAAGAACGGTGCGCGGAAGGCCCTGTATGCGGCCCGCGGACACACGGACAGCATCGAGGCTGTGTCGATCAATCCATCGAACACGCACTTTGTCACGGCTTCGACAGACTCGACGATCCGGTTCTGGAGCCTCGCAGCACCCAAGCAGTCGGAGGACGCCATACTGGATGACGCCGAGACGGCACCTCTTGCCAAGAAGAGGAAGAGCGCCAACGCGCAGTTCATGACAAAGGCGGCTATCGGTACTCTGACCGGTCACGTCGGTGCGGTTACCAGCGTGTGCTTTAACAAGGACCAGGAGTCGCAGATTTTCTCTGGCGGCTGGGACCACTCTGTGCGCACATGGGACGTGGCCTCGGGCGTCAACATGGCGACTAACCTGTGCGATAAGGTTGTCCTGGATATTGACTACTCGGTGCATTCGCGGCTTATCGCCACCGGCCACGCCGATCGGTCGATCAGGCTGTGGGACCCGCGGTCCGACGACAACACGGTGGTCAAGCTGCGCCTTACCAGCCACAAGGGCTTTGTTTCGAGCGTCGCGTGGGCGCCCAACTCGGCGTACATGCTGGCATCGGCGTCGCACGATAGCACCATTAAGGTGTGGGATATTCGCAGCCGCACACCACTGTACACCGTGTACCCGTCCAGCGACAAGGACAAGGGAAAGAAGCTGCTGGCGCTTGACTGGCACGAGTCCTTGCTGCTTGCTGGTGGCGAGAGCGGATCGCTCAGGATCCATTCGGTCAACAGCCAGTACGAGGACGCTGCGCAAACGCTGGTCCAGGCTGAGGACTGATCTGCTGATTTAATTGTTTTCTCATTTTTAGAAATAAAGATCTAGGTTGGAGGAGCTGCAAAAAAAAGACTCACAAATACAAATAAACTAAAAAATGAACAGTATTGATGTTTTGGCGTGTTTTTCAGTTGCGTAGCTTTAAAGACTTTTACAAAAACAATACTCGCAAAAGAAAAAGGCATTGTCGATGATGGCGATATGCGCTTAGTTGGTAATGCCATGTGGTGCGCCGCAAAGGCGCAAGTGGCCAAAATAAAGTGCAAATAGAAAAGTGCAAATAGAAAAGTGCAAATAGAAAAGTGCAAATAGAAAAGTGTAAATAAAAAACCGCCCTACATTTTTTTTAATTAACAAGTGGTCCAAGTAAAACAAATAAAGGGCGAAATCGAAGGGGAAAAAAAAAACCAAAGTTGTGTTGCTATCAATTAAAATTAGGCAAGACCAAATAAGATGTGCAATCAATTCGCAGAGTTTTGAAAATAGAAAGAGGATCGGCACCCTCCTTTCAGAGCTTGGTCCAAATAATAAAAAGTTAATCATTCACGGCCACCAAACATTGAAAGAGACACCCCAGCCCGTCGCCGCTGTCTAAGTTCTTCTTGAGTCAATATCATCGCTTGGCATTGAGGTGTCGGCAGACAGAGGGCTGATCCCCCGTCTCCTTTCCACTCCACGCCACAACCCATCGTCCTGCAAGTTCATGGCAAAAAAGTGGCAGCGACAGGATAATCACATGTGCGCGGCGCCTGCCTTGCTGCCTCTTTCTGCGAGTGAAGCGACCTGGCACATGGCTATGGCACCATTTGAAGCCCAGGCCCTTTATATCTTGACACTGCTCTCTAGGGGCAAACAAACCAAGCAGCACCATCGCACAAAGATATTGGTTGGGAAAAAGAGACAAAAAGGGCTCCAAAACAGCTTTTGGTTCTTGCCAAACATGTAAACAGGCTGTACTGGCGAGGTCAACAAACAACAAAAACAAGCGGTCAATCTCCAGAACATGCGGGAAACACACGCGCATACATGTAGCACACACTCAACCTTGGGCGTAAGTATTTTGAACATCCACTCTTCCTTCTTCAACCCCCGCAATTAATAGATTCGGGTTGTTTGGGTTTGCTTGTTGGGCTACAAATGCAGTCCGAACCCAGCAAAGGGCCGAAAGACCAAAAATAAAATATTAAACAAGCCAATGCGCACCTGCAAGACCTATAGTGCTGGGCGCAGGAACAGATTGGCTGCAACGTGGCCCTTTTTCTTTCTTTCTTTCTTTTTTTCCCACTCTTTCTCCTCACTCTCTCCCCCGCCCCGCCCACTCACTCTCGCCTGAATTCCTTCAACAAACCTTCAATTAACCCCTCTTATACGCTTCCTCCTTCACCCCCTCTCTCCCCGCCTCCAACCTCTCTTTTTTATTTCGCAAATTTGCTGGTTATTTGAACTTTTTTATATATTTTTTCGAGTTTCTCTCTTTCTTTTCGTTCTTTAATTTGAAATTACAACTCTTTTATTGCCACCACTACTATTGTCAACTGCTTACAGAAAAAAGCAGTCCTTTCTTTTCGGCACGCAAGGAAAAAAACTGACAAGCGACTATTGTCTCCTTTTTTTTTACTCCTCAATATTGTTTTCTTTTTTCTTTCTGGTTATTTTTTCTTAAATTTTTTGTCACTGTCACACCAGACTTTGATTATTGCTCACACCACATTATCACCACCTCCATCTTCTGTGTATCTTGTTTTTTTTACTTTTCTCTCTTTCTCTCTTGTTTATTTTTTAGTTCTAGATTAGCATTGAAATCAACGTCAATTTTTATTCTCTCTTTTTTGTTTTTTTTTCCCCTTCAATTCTCTTTCTTTTTTGGTCTTGAACAGCTTTTGCAACCTGCTTTTCACCCACTCTCAAAAGTCTGTTCTTTGGCCCAACATTCACTCCGCTCGCACTACTCCTAGTCAGACGGGTGATCTTGTCAGCACAACGACACCGCCAAAAACAGCAACAACAACAGCAGCAGCAGCAGCAGCAGCAACTCCTGACGGCCCAAAAAGTCTGACGTAAAAAAATCACACTCCCCCTCCCCCGCACTGGCCAATTCGACAAGCTGTCCAAGGCTCTAGCATAATTTTTTTTGCTTTTCTTTCTCTTCATATTTTTTACCCGGTCATTTTCATAATCGTTTTGAGCAATGCAACAGGCTGTGCCGCACAACAAGTACAGCGTGCCTGACAAGCGAATGGTCGTCCGTCCGAACAAGACCCCCCACACCAGCCCAAACATTGTCGGCGTCCATTACCGCGTCGGCAAGCGAATTGGCGAGGGCAGCTTTGGTGTCATTTACGAAGGTAAGTTTGTGCATATTTATATGTGTGTAGTGCCACGGCTGCACCCGCATGAGCTCGCTTCTTGCGTTGCGTCATCATTATAAATAGCATCACACATTGACTCCCTTTGTCTGCTCAATCAGCACTGCGCATATTCTAATTCTATTTCTTTGTTTCTCTTGCATCTGTTTTGCCCCGTGTAGGCACCAACTTGATAACCAACAAGCTCGTGGCTATCAAGTTTGTAAGTATCACCACTAGATCTTCCGTGTTTTTGATGATGACATGGCTGAACAATAACATAGTGTGTGGCGCTCCTCTTTTCTTGGCGCATTTTTGATTTAGTATTTATTGGTAGTGTCCCTTTTGCCTTTGTCGCCCATGCTGTCTATACGCAAACGTGGGTCTGTACTCCTTGTACTCTGGGAGGGGAGCTACCTGCAGCCCGACCAAAAAGCATACCCTTGTACTTCCGAATCTTCTTCTTGTTCTTTGTCCCCTTCTCTCACCCACCCCCCAATCTCATGCGCACTCACTCGCTCGGCGGGCGTGTTGTTGTCATCTTTGGGTGCAGCCGCCCTCACTTGCTGCCAATAACCGCCATTTTGACGCTCCATTCAGGCTGCGAACGAGAGGGACAAAAAATGAGCGAGAGCAACACCCTGGGCTTGTCACTTTCTTATCTTGCTTGTACCACTTGTTTTTTGTGTATGCTCTGCTGTTATTGTTATTAGTTTCTTATTATCTTCTTTTGTTATTTTCGCACTCACTCTTTTTTCTTTCATCAGCCAGCCGTCGTGAATCTGGCCAGTATCGAGATACATCAATCTGCCATGTTGTTCTTTGCCTCTTTAAAGGGGGGGGGAAGAATAAACAAACATTTGCTGTGCTTTGGGTACAACCACGCCTTGCTTATTCAAATTCCGCTTTCCCGCCCCTTTCCTCGTGCTTGTTCTAGAGGGCGCGATGCAATCACAAAGGCGGGCACAATGCCCACCCAAGAGCAATAAAGATATTCATATGCGCATATACAAGGCGATTTGCTCTGTTCCCAAAAACAATAATTGTTACTAAGCACCTTTGTTTTTGCCGCTGGCATTGATTTCGCTAAATCTGCGCTTGCAAAATCCTGTCACTGTAGGAGCCGCGAAAAAGCGAGGCGCCCCAGCTGCGCGATGAGTACCGCAGCTACCGGATCCTCACCGGCCAAGAGGGAATTCCCAACGTGCACTACTTCGGGCAGGAGGGCCTGTACAACGTCCTCTGCATAGACCTCCTCGGCCCCAGCCTGGAGGATCTCTTTGACATGTGCAGGAGGCGCTTTTCCGTAAAGACGGTGTCGATGCTGGCCAAGAACATGCTCTTGCGCATCCAGACGGTCCATGAGCACAATCTGATCTACCGCGACATCAAGCCCGACAACTTTTTGATCGGTTGCCCCAACACCCCCACAGCGAACCGCGTGTTCATGGTCGACTTTGGCATGGCCAAGCAGTACCGCGACCCCAGGACCCACCAGCACATCCCATACAGAGAGCGCAAGAGCCTCAGCGGCACGGCGCGCTACATGAGCATCAACACGCACTTGGGCCGCGAGCAGTCCCGGCGCGATGACCTCGAAGCGCTGGGCCACGTGTTCATGTACTTTTTGCGCGGGAGCCTCCCATGGCAGGGCCTCAAGGCGGCGACCAACAAGCAGAAGTACGAGAAGATCGGCGAACGCAAGCAGCACACGCCGGTGCGCGAGCTCTGCGAGGGATTCCCGTCCGAATTTGCCACGTACCTGAACACGGTGCGGAAATACGCCTTTGAGGAGACCCCCGACTACAACTACCTGCGCGGCCTGTTCGACGCTGTGCTGGCCAGCATTGGCGAGGAGGACGATGATGTGTACGACTGGAATCTGCTCAACGGTGGCTTCGGCTACGCCGCCAGCTCCGCCACGGTGTCGGCTGCCGCGCGCCAGAATGCCCAGCATGGCCGCGTCTCGGGCGCCTACAAGGTCGAGACCCAGAACCACGTCAGCAACCAGGCGCTGCGCAGCTACGACAATGTCGGCCACCGGCAGTCGACGGCCAACATGGACAACTCGGCTGTGAACACCCCCGGGAGGTATTCGCGCGACCAGCTTTCGCCCGCCGATGCCAAGGCGCCCAACAATATGTCCGGCGCGCTGGCCGCCAATGCCGACGCTCAGCAGCTGGCCAAGGGCAACGGACTTGTTCACCACTCGGCGGATGCCGCCAATGTCCACTCCCAGGCGAATCTCAACGGTGGAAACCATGCACATGAGAAGCAGGGCCTCATGTTCAAGATAAAGTCTGCATTCGGCTGCTGCTCATCCAGCAGTGCCTAGGGCTTGCAAAGCCCCCACATGCACACGCCCATCTTTTCCCTCTCCTTTCTCTCCCTCCAACACCCACACCCACACCCACACCCACACCCACACCCCTTCCTCCTTTTTTAAAACAGCCTTCACAATAAAGAAGGACTGACATGCTAAAGCTTTTTTCTTTTTATTGTCTCTTCTCTGTGTTGTGTGTTTTGCTTTTTTTCTATATTTTTTATATTTCTGCCATGTCTTTTTTCCTAATGTTTACTCTTGTCTCTCTTTATATCGTTTGTCTGTTTTTATATTTTTACAAAAACACAAGAAAATAGCCACACAAGATCAGAAAAAAATAAAAAAAGGGTTTCTCGAAACATTATTTTTTAATTTTGCGTATCACGTGAGATTATCCTTTAATTGTGTACGGATGCGTGTTCGGGCGGTTCGCCGGGGTCGTGGCTGGCGCGCTTAGTCGTCAATACAAAAACACACTTTGGCTTGCTTTTATTATTTAACCGACTCGTTTTTTTTCCTCACTTCCATTATCCAACAAATTCATTTACATTTATATTAAGGCCTTTTCTGGTTACGAAAAAAGAGGAATAGATATGGCGCCAGCAACTACTTTCGACGACAGTCTTCTGACAGACATGTTCACCATTGTTCCACGCCTGGACCGCCCATCAACATACAAGGACCACCAATACCAGGGTTCGACTGACCAGTGGAGCACGGACCTGGCTAGAACCACCACTCTCTACGTCGGCAACCTCTCTTTCTACACAACAGAGGAACAACTCTACGAGATATTCTCAAAAGCCGGCGAAATCAAGCGCATCATCATGGGACTTTCGCGCAACAACAAAACCCCCTGCGGATTTTGTTTTGTCGAATACTATACGCATGAAAACGCCCTGGAGTGCATGAAGTATGTTAATGGAACCAAGTTGGATGATCGTATTATTAGGACGGATTTGGATCCTGGATTTAAGGAGGGTAGGCAGTTTGGTAGGGGGAGGTCTGGTGGACAGGTTAGGGATGAGTATAGGCAGGAGTATGATGAGGGGAGAGGTGGCTGGGGCCATCTTAGGGCGAAGCAGGAGGAGGATAGGAGGGTGCAGCAGGAGGAGAATTATGAGGCTATTGCAACTGTGCCTGCGGGTGCCGAACTTCAGATTAATAATAGGCTGGGAGGGGCTGGAAGACCGTCGTCGCGTGGCGAGGGCAATTTCAGGGACAACTGAGATTGGTGTCTTGTGTTTTTGTGTCTGAATCAGATTGAAGTTGGACTTGGACTTGGACTTGTTAGCGCTGCCAGGAGGTTTTTTCATCTTCCATTTATTCGCTCACTTTCAATACTTTTAATAAAAAAATTTTCACTCACATATTTGTAGCCGTCAAAATTAAAAAAATAAATTAATCACTTGTCTTTTTGCTTTGCTTATTTTTTACACATTTTGTAATGGTTGGTAGAAGCATAAAGTATTATAAATTTGCGCGTTGTTGCCACACACACGCATGAACAAAGCCTCTGAGCATTTATTTTATTTTCTTATTTGTTGCGACTTTAAAATGCAGCCAGTAAATACAGCACATGCAAAAAAAATCATAGAACTTGGATGTATAAAGGTGGGCGGCATGTTTAAGGGAAACATATGTTTGAAGTCATTGGACACTTGACCCTTGACTTAGAAGCTTTGACATACTCGAGGTAAAAATTTTTTTATAAAATATATGAATAGGTGCGGCTGTGATTGTATGTTGTGTATTTAGCTGCACACAGGCTATTTTTTTGCATTTCTTCTTTTTCTTCCTATTTTTCTCATTGTTGTCATTTTACGACATATTATTCAACATATACGTAGTTCCCATCGCGGCACTCTGTTAATAATCGTTTTTGTTATTTCCTTGTTATTCAAAATTTTATATTACTTATATATCTTTGTCGGTTAGCGCATATCAATCGCAGGTTGCATAACCTCACATTTTATTATTTTTTTCTAGACTACCAAACATAAACACGTTATTATTATTTTTACACTAATGGGCAGCACATCCAAACTGCCAGGCGGGTTTTTAAATATTCCTCCAACGCCCACAGCTTCCTATTCAGAGCTTCGTCAAAATACCCAAAGTAACCAAAACCACAGCTACAGCCAAAACCATTATAACAGTCACAGTGCGTCTAATTTGCACCACCACTCACACCCACACCACAGCCACCATGATGCGCGGCGGAATACCAGCTACATTAAATCCAGTATTTTTGTGCCCCAAGAGTGGGAAGTGAAAAACAAAAACAACGGAGTCGTTGCCTTGATAACCAATGTGTTTAAAGAACTGAGCAACATATTCACTCAACCCCAAGGCTTTCCCAGCCACCCATCCCAAATGCCGGCCATTCTCAGGGACAACGGCCAGCCGAATTTTCCGCAGCAACCCCCTTTTAACCCCTCTCATAGCTTTCATCCGGGGACACAATCGGTCATTATATCTAACGACAACCATGGTATGTTTTCGCATTCCATGTCGCGGATGAACTTTCACCGCGGCCATGCTCGTATTAGCAGCGAGTCTGTATCCATGACATGTCCTCGATGCAAGGAGAATATCAATACGCTTGTTAAGCAGCGCCCGGGCGCACTTCACATATTGGCCACTGCCGGCGCCATGGCACTGGGTTTGGCGTGCAATGCCCAGGCGTTACTCCCACTGGCAATGCTGCCTATGCAGTTAAAGTCTCTGCATCCGGCTGTTCATTATTGCCCAATATGCAACTACAAGATGGGTAAAAATGTGAGGTTGACCGTGCCAATGGTGTGAGCATATGTGAGGACAAGGACATAATGTTTAAGGTGACAGACAATTCAAAGTATGTGTATGTGCGCAAAAAAAACATGTAAGTATTTTCGGCAATTGAAATCTGCGTGATTTGCATGTATTGGGTATCCCAACCAATATCGGGTTGAGTGTCCATTTTTAACCAACCGGCTCACCCGACTATTCTTAGTTCTACCTGCATATTCTGATATTAATTTATTATTACACTATACACTGTCACACCCACGAATGCATGCCACCGTGCCGCAAGCAATTTTTTGTCGATTGACATTGGCAGGAGCTCCTCAACACATGTGGACACAAGCCGAGCGCGGTTGGGTGGACTGGCGCAAGCTCCCCATCCCGAGACTAACATGCAAAAAATGCAACATCCATGAGCCCCACACCCCTGCGTGCATCGAAAATGGGGTGAGTAATTAATTGTCTTCTCTTTTGCTCTGATGTAAGGCATGGGTAATTTTATTTTGAAAAGACAAAAAGGCAGTAAACCTATTTCCCAACATCGTGTTTGATTTTCAGACAAGCAAGAAGTAAAAGCTGCCAAGAATAAAAATAAATTAAATTACTGACTGACTGACTGACTGACTGGCAGAATGACAAGGGTTTGAGGTGTTTTTTTAAACAAAGGGTTGCTTTTTTTTGATTGTGCAAAGGGTACATTGCCAACGCGCATGATTTTTATTTTAAAAATAAGCACGCAATCATGGTGGAATGCAGTTGAGATTTTAGAAAGCTTACATCCGAGCTCTTTTAAAGTCTTTTACCGGTTAAGTCTGCAATCCAATCTTTGCGGGTATACTTCTCTTTATTAGTTTAGTTGTTTTTAAATAATTTTCTTGCTTTTTTCTTCTCTTTACGTTTTTCAAATATTATTATTGATTTTTTATTTGTATGCTATTTTCGATATATCGACACTAACAATAACAACCAGTCACACGCATACACATATATTCACGCATCAACGCGCAGTTCGACACTTTTACCCAGCGGGCTTTGAGTACCAGACATTCAAACCCCCCTCTCCCTCATTCAATTTTGGGGTTTTGCATACTGCGCTCTATTTTGACAGCTTGACGCTGTATACCACTATATGAACGACCCTGGGCAGGCTGGAGCACACCAGCCAAACACAATAAAGTCAAGCGTGTTTGTCCCACAAAACTGGAACTTTCAGAACAACACGAATGGGTTAATCAATCTCATACAGGGCGTAGTCCGAGCAATTGACCGCAATCTCGCGCCCGAGCGACCTCCACACTCCATGCAGGCAAAGTCTGGGATGCACTCAATGGCGACACACGGCAGCCATGGCCAGCACAATGGACACGGTGGGCATAATAATGGACGTGGTGGGCATAATAATGGCCACGGCAGCCACTATGGCCACGGGAATCGCTTTGAGGACGGAGGCCAAATGAACCAAAGTTTCCGTGCACATGGCCAAGGCCAAATGAACCAAAGTAGTCATGGACACGGCCACAGTCATAGTCACAGCCAGGGGCACAATCCTCAGCGCGTTTCAAACATGTCCAGAGTGAGCATTATCGACGACAGGGCCTCGATATTCAGCCGCAGATGGGACGCGTTACCACAAGGATCACGCGCAGTTATTGGCGAGAATTCAGTGTTAACAAATTGCCCGCGATGCCGGGACAGGGTCATGACTGTAGTGCGGAGACAAATAGGAGGTAAAAACGTGGCAGCCACAGCGGTCATGTCTATTGTTGGCATCCTGGTCAATGCCCCTGCTGCGCTGTTACCGCTAGCACTTACGGTTTTGGAGCTAAACTCACTAAAACGCAAAGTGCATTACTGTCCAAACTGCAACTACAAAATGGGCAAGCATGTTACTATTAGTATTCCGTCAGGGCAATTAACTGACAAGCATTCTTCCTTCTAAAAATAAGGCGCACCTTGATGGTGTATTGTGATGGGTTTTTTGGCCTGTTCAAAACTGCGCGCTTCTTTATACATCCCTTCCTCCAAAAACTTCCCCATTTTGTTATTTTTCGTAATTTATTTTATTAAAATCTATTTACACAACTACAAACATGCGTCATTGTTGGATGCACGTTATCATCGTTATATTATTAACTATTTGACATACAAAAAGACAATCAAGTGCGCTTACTTTTAGCCATTTAAAACCCCTGTCATGTTTCGTAATCCGAAAATTGTATTTAATTAGCTATTATCAATGAATCAATACAAAATTGAATTTGACAATTACGTGGTTTGAGATATTTGTGCCCACTATCATTTGTCGACAATGTGGCATTCACTACAATTGTCGGTCATTTACTGGTCAGATGCCTGGCCACATGCGCCAATTAATTGTGTTTTTCGCGCTCGTAAAAAAAGCAGTAAGCAAAAAATACCGCAAGTGACAAACACAAATGAACAAAATACAGCAAAGAAAAGCAATGCAGTAGAATAAAGGACAATGGCCTCAGAAGAGTGTAGATAGCAGCCGCAAGGTATTAAATTGTCAAGAAAAACGGGATCATTTTGCATACATTTGGCCACATTCGGTTTTCACACATTGCAATATAAATGTTTATTTGGCCATGCAGTTTGTACACCTTTTATAATTCCGTGCAACTTTTTATATATGCATTTATTTTTTATTCAATGTACTCGGTGTGCTCGATAACACTTGTGTCATATCGACTCGTATCTAGATGCGTAATATCCGCCTTCCATTTTGTATGCAGACATGGGAAACATTTACTCGTCATAGCTACGTTAGGCATAGATGATCTAGATACACATAAATTGCCCACGCATGTGCTTTGAATTTGTAACGTTCATATTTAGACAACGTAAATGAATTATGCAGACAGATGATCTCAATTTAATTTTAAAAGCCTGTTGAGATTGAGATAAATTAAAAACGGTTTGTTTGAGTACAAACAAAATTCCACCCTCTTTCCACGGTTTCCTTTGAGGCGGAGACCCAAAGTATATTGTTAGGGGGGGACGCTTAATGATCAACATATTCAAATATCCAATTGTATTTTGTTTTGTTTTGTCCCCACACACACTCATTCACAAATGCAGAACATATGCGGCCAATATGTAAATTAATTCGATTTTAAAAACAAAATATTTTAATTGTGTAAATAGAAAATCTAAATATGCGGCGGACTAAAGATGCCCTTCCCCTAAATATCAGTTGGTTTTTTATGTGAATGTATTGGAAATGAAGTGCCTGGGTAACCAAAATTGCACCCTAAACCTACGTTTTTTATATAATTTTTCTCGAATATTAGTTTCAAAATGCGATTACTACAAAACAAGCAAACTGGTCCCACGCTTTAAACATGCATATTCTCATGTGCTCATTGAAAAATTATTGTCTGATTTTTGACGAATATGTATGTGTATGTATGCATGTGTGGATTTCCACTTTATTTTTGTCATGGGGAAAGGGGAGTAGTATGAGACATTGCGAGCACAATTACGAGCTCGTGTCTGTACATTGTAATAGCAAAAAAAGTGTTACATGCCTGTTGGAAAATAACCAATGGACAATCTCTGCAAAGGAGGCAACACACAACAAAATGACCCTGTGTGCCTTATTCTACTTTCCAAACATGTCGTTTGAAAAATATATAAAAAGATGCTGTTTTGCCATCATTTCAAATTATTTTCAAATTATCCACACAAATCCACTTGAAGTACTCTTCTACTCCACCACTCAACCACATATCTCCCCCACTACTACCGAGCTTTTTCAACCAGCAACAATGATCAACAACGATGGTGAAGGTGTTAACCGCGGCTGCTCTTGCGAAGAGAATTGCACTTGCGGCGACGATTGCAAATGCAATAATGCCTAATTTGTATGGTCGCTGAAATCAGATTGACTCCCATCCATATTCTTTCTGTCGGTTTCGCGTTGGCTCTTTCCAGTTCCCCTTATATCCTACATTTCTCATATCAACAGATTTATATACTTTTATCACCATCACTCCAGCCAGGCTTTTTGAAGAAAGATTACAAATATGGATGGGCGTCTCTCTAAATCTCTGTCAATCGTTGCAACCAAGCATGCAGTATTTTAGTTCTTATTTCAAAGTTTCAATTTGGGGTTTCAGTTGTTTTTCTCCAATATAAATATTAAACATAAAATCTTGCAAAAAAACCCCATTTAAGCGTTACATTTGTTGGTCAGCGAAATATCGACAGAAATTAGACGACTGTTTTCGGCGGTAATGTCAGAATGCTCTGCCCATCCGTACAACATGACAACTACATTGTCTTCAGTATTTGCACTCGCACGAATACCCGCAAGCGCACCACCGCGCAGGAGCACTGCTGAAGCCAAATTAGTCTCACCCACACGATGCTTAGTAAGCAAGACGCCGTTCACCCAGACATAGGCAGTGACCCTGCCGCTGATATTAAGGAAAACAGGCTCAACAATACCGTCTTCTCCGCTCTGCTCGGTCGGCGGAAGCAGCTGCCAGCGCAACCAATGCACGCCTGCGTCCACATTGACCTTGACCCGCGTGGACCAGCCATCCTGCATGAGCGGGTACTCGACAGCAGCTGCCCAGCCCGACGTTGCCTTTTCGTCTGGAAAACCCGACGAGTTGTACGAGTTGGGCAAGAGAGTCACATCAACACCGCAAATCTCCCATTTGGTGCGCAGCTGCTCGGTGCGGTGGTCATGCGAGTGGTCGTGGATCTCAGAGTCATCGTGGTCCTCACCAATCAGGTTGAATCCATGCCAGTAGGCAGCAATGATGCCGCGCGGCACACGAGCATCGTTGAGCCCGTCAGATTGAGTTCCAAGACCGTAAGATTCGACCGCAATCATAACCTCGTTCAGCGCGCCCTCCTCTTCCTCCTCTGTCGGAGCACTGCTGCCGCTTGTGGCGTTGGGCGGCTGTGAGATGCGCATTGCGCTTGTCACGTCGTACGTGTGCGTGCCGCCCCATCTATCGGGTCCGCACGACGCTCCAGGGTTCTTCAGTGCCTCCTTCCACGCCGAAAAAGTACCGCGAGGCGAGTTTTGCTCGTGGAAGGTTTCGTGGCCAGACATGCTCACGCCGTTAACCCAGACGGTACAGCGGTGGCGGGCGTTGATTTGCAGCAAAAGTTTGGGCGATGTGATGTGCTGGGGCTTAAGACGAACTTGGCATCTGTACAGCACGTGGCTGGCGCTAAAGCCAATGTCAATAGCGTTGTAGGCAAACATGCCCAGGTCTCTCTGCCACGACATCAGGTTGATTTCGTCCATCGTCTCAAGATCGGCCATTGTCGGCAGCAGCTTCCACGGCAGGGTCTCCCAGTTGGTCGTGCGCTTCTCAAAGCCATTAACAGATGAAAGAACGCTGGTGCTTGAATCATTCTGGCTACTAAGATCCACGGCAAACTGCCAGAGGAACGGGTGTCCACCATACACCGCATCCGTTTCGGCAGCTGGCAGAACCGTAAGTGCACCCGCGCTTGCCTGCGGCTGCCGCGGGGATATAACGGATACGCCCTGGAATGCGCTGGAACAGGATAGCGCAAGCTCGATGTGGTCACCAGCAGACTGGAGCACAATGCCATCCGCACCCCATGCCGCCGCTGTCTGCGCGCCCAATGCCTTTGTGCTGCGGTCATAGCTGCAGTAATCGACAACCAGGGTGTCCAGCGCCTGCTGAGTGAGCAGCACAATATGCACGGACACGCCACTAGGACTGATGACCGTAGCAACGCCAGGACCCGACTTGGGAATGACAAAGCTGAACTTTTGACCCTTAGCGTGCTCAACATCGACGACCTCGACCTCAGCATGTCCGCTAACCCTGCACTCCTTGTGGAAAAAGAACTGGCCGCTCTGCACGCTCTCCTCGGCGCACACCCACACCTCCGACCGCTGGTCGAGGACAATGCGCGCGTATATTTCCTTGGACGCAGTAACGAGCAGGAGAGGGTCGCTATCGGCGGCAGCCTCGGTGCCGACAAAAATATTAGACACAAATATGCCGCGCTTACGAGGGCCCAGGGTGCCGGTGAGCGCAAAGCTGGTGCCCTTGTTCAGTGTCGGGGCGTCTGCCAACGTAAACATAAAGGCAAGCTCCGAGTCCTCGGGGTTTGTCGCAGTCAAAGCCGGGAGAGAGCTCCCGTCAACGTACGTCACGATTCCCAGCTGGCGGCTGCTCTCAGATTTGCCCGAGGATCCTGCTGTGGTGTCATTGCTGCTCGCTCCCTCAGCGTACTCCCATTGCCTGCGCACGCGAACAGCGCTTGGGGGCAGCTTGTTAAAGCTAACGCCGCGCACAGCTGGGAGGGCAGTGCGCATGATCCATGGCCGTGAGTTGACAAAGTCCGACGCTGCGCCTTGAAGCTCAAAGGCGCGCGCAATGTGCAACACAAGCCGTGCCGCACGGGCATCAGTCGACAGTGCGCCGTCCTCAGAGACAGCGGCGTATTTGTTGGAAGTCTCGGGGAAGGCTGTCAGTGAAGGGCTTGCAAAGTTTCCCCAGTTGGCAAGACCGAAAAATCCAGGCAGCGAAAGTGCTGAAAGCCCCTGGCTCAGCGCAGCCTCGATCTGCTCGCTGAACGAACTTCCGCCCTCGGTCGGCTTGTAGAGCTCCAGCGCCAGCATTGGCGCGTTGTCGCCGCGAGTAATGCGAGCCACGCTGTCAATTTCAACAGGGGTGCTTGTGATGTCGCGCACTGTGAAACCCACGAGATCGGTGCAGTAGACGCTGCCGATGATGCGATAGGACTGCAGCTTCTTCTCGACCCGAGCCCACGTTTTGGCAGCAAACGACGAAAAGTCAGCGGGCCACTGGTGGTTGTTGGTGACCAAGGGCGTACGAATCACTCGCTCGCGCGCCATACGCGCCAACAGCCGCGTCTCGTCCTGCAGGGCCAGCGGAAGGCCCAGTGGTCCGCGTGCCTCCAGCTTGTTTTCCAGCTGCACTAGAACGACGCAGCCGCGGCCGCGCACGTTCTTGGTGACGACCTCGTGGCTGACAATCATAGAGATGATGTGGTCGTACCACTCGGCCTCGGCGGCAGCAAAGCGGTTGTCCCAGACCTTGACGCCAGAGCGCAGCAGATGGCGCAGACGAATGTGGTCGCGCTGGATCAGCCAGAAGGGATACCCGCCGCCCTGTACATCGTCACCAATGAAGGGGCCGAGGCAGGCAATCACTAAGATGCCCATTTCCTCACAGAGCGTCAGCAGTTGGTGCACGTCGCGGGTGCCCGTGAAGTCGTACTTGCCCTTGCTTGGCGAGTGGAAGCCCCAGTGGAAGCGGATGCGCACAGCGTTAAATCCCACAGCCTTGTACTGCTGTAGGACGCGGCGCCAGGCCTTCTTCGCCTGATCAACCCGCTCACTGGCTGACAGCTGCTGCTTGTCTGCGCAGTCCGCCGGAAGAACCACGCGCCAGTAGTCGAAGTCCGCGGCCAGCACCCACATTGGGCGGCCGTTAATGTAGAAGCAGCGGTGGTCGTATGAGAGCGCCGATCCATACAGACCAACGTCATATTTCGTGCTGTCCGTCGTTACCGCTTGCGAGAGCAGCGCGCCGCTGCCATCAACAACCTCGTCGTCGATGTCACAGTGTCTATGCGCATCCTGGACGATCTCGTCAAACTCACCGGCCTCACTGTCGCTGTCGCTGTCGTGGACTTGAGTTTCGCCAGCAGTCAGTAAGTTTTTCTTCTGTGCTTGGTCCTGAGCCAAAGTCTTCTTGGCGCTTGGGGTATCGTCGGCAGCGGCGGTGGCGGCATCAGTTGAAGGCTGAGCCGATTCTTTGATTCTGACAACCAGGTTACCGTGCGCGCCAGAGGAGTAGTGGTAGCGCAATCGCATGGCGGCCAACCCAACGGTGATTGCGCAGACGGAAAAAATAAACAGTAGCTTGTTAGACGACACTATGATGTATATCGCGGCGCACCCAAGGGGCACAAGCACTATGGCGGACTCGAGGATAATTCCAGCCATTTTTATTATACTTGTAAGTATAAGTATGTATGCGTGTATGCGTCGAGCGCCTAGTATATGAATTTGAAGCAGGTGAATTACACGCAAGAGATAGAAAACACGCAAAAAAAAGTAAAAGCGAGAGAAAGAGAAGTGGCAGAAGTGAAGGATGATACACTCGCAAGAAAAATAATAGCCAAGACCCCGCACCCTACACGCTTATTTTTTTGGCCTCGTTTTGTATCAAAAATAATTGCAGCGTGTTGCTGAAACCGGACGTGCGGAGTTTCCTTCTGGTCTCATAGAACCTGTGAAGTCCGTGAAATCTGAGAACCCCCGAAAAACCCGAGCGCGGTCCGATCATCCTAGCTCTCTGCTCCTCTATTCTATTCGAGAAAAACGTGCTCTTTGCCAAAGCCAATACGAAGTGACACCGCTTGATGCTCTTTTTTCCTAACTCAGCTGCAAATTACCCTGTTAGCTGCGCAATGTCATACTAAAGATGGCTGGGGTGGTGGTTGTGGCCCAGGAACAAGCAAATGTACGCCAAATGAGCATTATTCATATCAATTGTTAAATGCACTGCGTCGCGCCTCTTCAGCTGGGCAGATGATGCGGGTAGACACGAGTTGAGTTTTGATAAACCTCTTGGTTTCCCACTTTTTGCCTGTCACTGTGTGAAATATCGTTTTTATCTTTTTCCTCTCGTATTTTCCAATATTTTTTATCTAAGCTGGCCCAGTACAAACAAATACACTTTCTGATTCGCAATACCAGTTTGCCACATATCATATCCTGAAAACCCCGACCAGTTCAACAGATCGTCCAGTTTGCTTGCACTATAGCACACTTTTATTTGCTGAAGAGCAACATACATTCGCAATGTCCGAGCGGAGCGTAGTCATAGTTGGAGGCGGGCTTGTTGGGTCGCTGGCAGCCTGCTATTTTGCCAAGCGTGGATGGAAGGTTGACCTGTATGAGAAGCGCCCAGGTACGTGTTATGGCAGCATCAGCATCAGCATCAGCATCAGCATCAGCATTGGCATTGGCATTGGCATTGGCATCAGCAGAAATATTGCTAATATCTCCTCCTCTGTTGGTTAGAGCAATGCGCGCAGTTGCGCACGACATGCCAACATTCCTGCACTGTTCTTCTGCAAATTTTTTTATCTCCATACGCACACATTTACAAGCACACGAATTGTTGACTCTCGTTTTCTTATACATGTAGATATCCGCCTTCCAGAGAACAATAATCTCGTCGAGCACCGCTCCATAAATCTGGCCATTTCCGAGCGTGGGTTTTCAGCACTACGGCGTCTAGACCCCAAACTAGAGTCCTATGTGAAATCGCTAGTCATTCCAATGCATGGGCGCATGATTCATGCGCTTAATGGCAAGCAAACCAGCCAGGCCTACGACGAAGTCTCCAAACAACACATCAACTCGGTTGGGCGCAGTACCCTGATCAATGTTCTCCTCGATACTGCATCCAACTATGACCTGGTGACGCTGCATTTCAACTACAACTTTGTGCAGGCCGATCTGGACTCTGGCCGAGTGGTTGTGCGGGACAATGACGGACAGAACAAGGAGGTTACGTGTGACCTGGTGGTTGGTGCCGATGGAGCATACAGCAAGGTGCGGCAGCGCATGATGGGAAAGGTCATGATGAACTACTCCCAGACGTATATCGAGCACGGGTACTGCGAGTTCTCCATGCCGCCGACAGATAGTGGTGATTATGCCATTGACCCAAATCACCTGCACATATGGCCGCGCGGCTCCTTTATGCTCATCGCACTGCCCAATTTGGACAAATCCTTCACCTGCACGCTGTTCATGCCCTGGAAGCAGTTCGACCAGATCAAAAGCAGCAAGGACGTCGTTGCGTTCTTCAGCAAGTATTTTCCCGACGCCCTGCAGCTCATGGGCCCAGATAACGTGTGCGCAGAATACACAGCCAACCCCAAGGGCTTTCTAATGTACATCAAGTGCACGCCGCATACGTACAAGGGCCGCACAGTCATCTTGGGCGACTCTGCACACGCGATGGTGCCGTTTTACGGACAGGGCATGAACTGCGGCTTCGAAGACGTCGAGACGCTGGATTCAATTATGCTCAGTATTCTGCAAGAGTCGGGGAACGAATCGGAGCGCACATCGGAGCTCTCCGATGACCAGCTGGTTCGCGCACTGGACGAGTACTCGGCTGTACGCTCGGCGGACAGCGGGGCCATTGTGGATCTGGCGCTGGATAACTACGTCGAGATGCGCGCAAAGGTCGTTGACTATGCGTACCTGTTCCGAAAGAGACTCGAGGCCATGCTGCATAGGATTTTCCCCAGGCACGTTATTCCATTGTACACTATGGTCAGCTTCACGTCTATTCCGTACTCGGCTGTCGTCAGACAATGGAATCGCCAAACTGTGTGGCTTCGCTGGTCTATCTGGGCCATATATGTTGCGGCTGCGATTGGCGTGGGCGCCATGTCTGCACGTATCCTGGGTCTGCGCGCGGCGCCCCTCGCCGAGATTGCGCGCATGCTTTCGCACAGAAAGTAAAAAAAACCAGGGCGGCAAGTAGCACATTAAGTGCTATGCTTTAACATTATTTTTCAACATTACATACCCTATACCCTTCTCTTTCTCTGCACAAGAGCTGGTTGATCTCGGGTTTTCACCTTTCAATGTGTAATAAAGATATAATTACGAATACGGAGAAACACACAAACACAATTCAATAGACACGGTATGACGGGTAGTACTCGCCAGGTCCCTCGGTATACTGCTCAGGAGACAGCTTGTACGTGTATGCGGTTCCAGGAACCGGAGGCATATTGGCAGCCGAGTAGATCGGGCCCTTAACCTTCTGCAGCGCCTCCACGACGTCCTTCACTTCAACAGCCGGCACAGTCGCAGCCTGTCGTTCTGCGCCTCCCTCAGCTGTAGCCGTAGCAGCGGGCGCTGCAATCTTCTCTGCCACACTGGGGCCCAAAAGCAGACGTCCAATATCTGACTGCGTGTACACCTCGGTCTGTGGGTAGTTGCGGCGCACGTCGCGCTTGTAGTAGTAGTTGTTGGAGATTGCAGAGGCCGGAACCACTGGCTTCTTGTATTCCGGCTGCGATGCGGGCGCTGGCGAGCGGAAGGTCGTTGTGGGGATCAGGGACTCCTTGTAGTCCGACAGCCACACCTTTTTGCCGACGTTGTTCCAAAACTTTTTGAGCATTGTGAAGTTTGATTCGCCTTGCGATTGGGGAATATAAAAGAGTAAAGAAATACGAATTGGAATTGTCAATTAAAGAGTAAGAATTGTAATTGAGCCAAATGCCAAATTGCCGCCCAGTTGCACTCAAAAAACCAAAAAAACGCATCTTATCGCTTTTAGATTGCGGCTCGGCTCGCTTGTACAGCCAAAAATAACAATGAAATAAAATGCAAGTTGCTTTCCTCTCTTCCTACTACACTTAACAATACCAAAGTGGCATCCTTTTTCGATTAGCTGTCTGAGTAATCAGCGAGCTAAGCAAAACGGGTGGGTGATGACTTGTAATTTGTAAACAAAAAAGGGTAAATTTTGTAAAGGGAATTCTTGTTAGAAAAGTGGCCCTAAGGGCGAAATAAAATAGAAAAAGAGGAAAAGGCTAATTTTGATACCATCTTATTAGCGGTTGCTACCACCACGCTGACCACCACGGCCGCCGCGACCACCGCGTCCGCCGCGCGCACCGCCTCGGCTGCTACCGCCCCGGCTGCTGCCGCCATTGTTCCTCTGACCGCCAGTGTTTCCGCCTTCATTTCTGTTCTGACCCTGGTTATTGTTGCTGCGCTGGCCGTCTCTGTTGCTGCGCTGCTGGTTCGAGCGGCCTTCTCGGTCGCCCTGTTGCCTGTTCTCGTTGTCACCGCCCTGCTGGCGGTCGCCAAGCGTCTGGCCGCCGTTGATCTTGAGCTCGAACACGCGCTCGTTAATGTCGGCAAACGAGTTGGCCTTGTTCGAGAGAACAAGCGCCGTCTGCTGCAGGCGCGACGAGGCCTCAAAGTTGGCCATGTTGAAGACCAGCACGCCGCTGACCTCGTCCAGGGAGGCCTGGATCTCGCTGCGGTACACCATGCGCGCAAGCAGCGCATAGACCTTGTTCTTGGGCATGCCGAACATAGCAGACAGATCCTCCACGCCGACAGACTCGAACTGGGTCGAGTAGGTGAACAGATAGGTGCGCAGGGCCTCGATCTGGATCTTGGTGGCCAGCATCTCTTTGATCTCCTCGCAGTCGGGGAGCAACGACCAGATCTTGATGTTGTGGATGTAGTCGCGGGCAGCCTCCCAGTCGCCAGCGGCAAGGGCCTTGGCAGCAGCCATGATATGATCGCGGGTGTTCTCAGGAGGGCCCAAGAACACCTGGCGCTCATTGATGACGAGCATGCGGCGGAAGACGCGGCTGATGGGCGTGCGGCGGGCCTCGGGGTTGGCGTTGGCGGAGGCCATGAACGGGATCTCGAGGAGCATCGACGACGTCAGGAACACGCACTCCAAAAGCTCTAAGTTGATGTTGATGTGGAACGGCAGCTGGCGCTGGCGCTGGAGCTGCTCCTCCTTCGGGGACAGCTGCTGCGTGCGCTGCTGGCCAACGCCCTGGGCCAAGAGTTCGCGCTGGCGGGTCGAGGACTCGAGCTCTGTGGTGTGCTCGAGCGACTCCTGGATCTTCCCAAGCCTGAAGGCGGCCAGGCCAAGCTGCGCCAGCGCGCGGTTGTACAGGACCTGCGTGTTGACGTCGGCCTGGTGCACGTTCTCCTGGAGGTGGGACATCAGCATCAAGTCGCGCGCGACGTAGTAACGCTTGTGCAGGGCGTGGTTGAAAATGTGCATCAGCATGGCACGGGTGCGCAGCAGTGGCTCGGCGTGGAGGTACAGGTAGGCGCACAGATTGTGGATGATGGCCTCCATGTCGCCAGCAAGCGAGACGGGGACAATCTTGGAGTCGTCCTTGGCAGGCAGCTTGGCAACGGCAGCCTCGACGTGCAGGTTGACCTGGTCGGTGCGGTAGTACAGGTGCTCGATGCGGCGGAGCACGATACGGCATACGCTCTCCTGGATGTTGCAGCGCTCAAAGTACTGCTGGGCACGCACAATGCTCGTGTATAGTGGCACGGTGTCGCGCATGCGACCGACATACTCGGGGGTGTGCGGGTCGATACTCTGCAGCGACTTTGTAAATTCGTCGTCCAGGCGGTCGATGAAGGAGATGATCGAGCCGCGCAGGGTGATGGTCTCGTTATTATAATTGACGTCCTCCTCGGTGTCGTGCACATCGCCGTCCTCGGAAATAGTAATCTGGCGGTTGTTCTCAAGGGTGGATAGCAGGTTATCGAGGTTGGCGCGCGCCTTGTTCCAAAGCTCGGGAGACATGAAACCGGCGGAGGGAACGTTGTCGAACTGAGCCGAGATGAGCGCCATCAGGACCTTGCACTTCTGCAGGGGGTTGCCAGCGACCGCCAGCAGTTTCTCAAGCTTTTCAATTGAAACAGTCTTGTCGGTGCTCTTGCGACCACGAGTGCTGGTGACCTCGAGCAAGAACTTGTTGAGGGTCTCGGGGCTGTATTCAGGGCCCTGAGCAGCCTTGCCGCCCTTACCAACGGCAGTAAAGCCGTCGTCCTCCTTGTCGTCATCCGAATCGTGGGCAGCTGACGACTGCACGGCCTTTTGGACTCTCTCCTTCTTCACCTTCTTGTTGGCGCCCTCGTCCTTGGTCGGGGTCTTCTTGAGCCAGCGGGAGAAGCCAACGCTGGGACCGCTCTCATCCTCCGACTCGGACTCGGACTCGGACTCGGATCCCCAATCGGACTCGCTGCCAGACTCAGAGTCAGCATCGGAGTCCAAGTCGGCAGCCACGGGCGCGCGGGGTCTGGCGGCAGCAGCAGGAGCCGCCCGCTCATCCTCACTGTCGGAGCTGTCATTGTCGGATACAGCCTGGGATGCAGCCTGAGACGCGACGTTAGACTTGGACTCGACCTCGTCGTCAGACGCGGTGGGGTTGGCCCGCTCCTCGGCGACCTGAGCAGAAAAGTCCTTGTACTTGCGCAGGCGCTGCTTGAGCTGGTTGAAGCCGCGGGCCTCGGTGGTGCTGAGCTTGCTGAGACTGGCCTTGTCCTTGTTACCTTCTTCCAGCGAGGTCTCGATCAGGGCCAGGGCGCGGATGAACACGCGGGGCATGCTCTCGCCCTTGAGAATACCAGAAAGCTTCTTCGCAACAACCTTGACCTTGTCAAAGTCACCCGAGACCGCCTGCCATTTGCTGTCGCGCGCAGATTGTATGATCGATTTGGACAGAGCGAGGAGCTCCTCAGTCTGCTTCTGCCTGGGGGTCTTCACCACACGCTTGACGTCCTCATCGTCCGAATCCTCGGTGAAGCGCGAAAAGCGGCTGCCACCAGCGGGGGCGGCGGTGGTAGTCTGCTTCTGCGGGGACTCGTTGTCGGAGCTGTCGGAAGCCGACGAGTTGCTGAAATCTGACTCTGACTCTGAATCTGTGTCGTTGCTACGGAAAAAGCGCGACATGGTTGCTGATTTAAGTTGGAAAGAGTGTATCCTTTTCGAATCACTCTATTAATTTAGTGTCTTTAGTTGTGGATTGTCTGCTGGCGCTGATAAATGCGTTGACGACTGTAAGCTGAAAAAACCCGTTTGCGCGTGTGTGTATTTTGTTGATTGTAGTCCGTTTAAAACTAGAATCTAGAAAAAATAATAGAGCCTATAGATTCAGATAAAAGAATATAAAATACGGACAGGGGAAGTTTTGAGTCAACTGAAATGATTCGAAAAAAGGCAGGTAAAATGAGCTGGAAAAAGGTCTTGTGTTCTTAAGGTGCAGGTACTTACAACTCTGTCCTTTACGCTCGAAAAGAATAAAAGGAAAACGCCCTGCGCAATTGAAAATATAATATAAAGAGCAAAAAGAGAATGGTGAATTCAAAAAGAAAAAAAGCTCAGGGTAGTGAATATTGGGGCTTTGCGAAATAATGATTAAAAAAGGTGCAGTTGGGTGGGCAATTGGCACTTTCAAATTTGCAAGTACACTACTCTGCTGGCAGTTCATGCAGCCTAAAGCCTGAGAACCAATGCCATATTCAAAGCCAAAACCCCAAAAAATTAATGCTGGCATGAAAAATGTGGCCCAAGAAAATACGCGTTGAAAATTTTTTCGCTTGCTCGAACAAAAAGTAGAAAACTACAGCTGTAGGTGACTTTGTCTTTTTCTCTTTTTAGCCAATGATTGCAGTATAACGTGACCACTAATTTGATCAACTATGATTAGAATCAACATGTCGTTCACCCCCAAAATAATAAGCACGTGGCCATTGACGTGCATGCAAGGCCAACCTCACTTTGGTGATGACAAAATGGGACAAAAATGATTAATTAGACAAAATCGAAAAAAAAGCAAACCAAGCTATAGACCAAAATCGCTGAGCACAACTCGCTTAGTAGCCGCCATAGCCGCCCTGCTGGTATCCACCCTGCTGGTATCCGCCCTGCTGGTATCCGCTCTGGTTGCCAGGGTTGAAGCTGTCAAAGCCGCTGGCCTCGCCGCCGGCCACAGCCTTGTAAGTGTGGGTTCCGTAGTCAGGAAACTTGATATCGGCAATCATAGAGGCGTCCTTGGTGGCCTGCTCAATGGCAAGATCGCGGGAGACGCCAGACTGGAAGTTGTGGCTGCTCTTCTCAAAGTACTTGACAGCCTGGGTGGCGGCAAAGGCGACAAGCAGCTTCTTGATGAAGCCATGGTTCACCTTCTTGCCCTCGTTCTGGGCTTTGGTCTGGTACCAATTGAGCGCGGCCCATGCAGCAGCACCACCTACAAATAAGCACAATGTGCAAAGTAAAAAAGAGAATGGAATGGCCAAATGGATGCAAATAATAATTAGTACAGGTGAATTTGCGAGCACTATTGCATATGTGCGGACAAGTGCAGATGCAGTATAGTCGGAAAGCTGAATGTAAAAGTTCTAGATATTCTGGAAAGTGCCAACGAGGAGACAGATTGCAGGCAAAATGACATTCATGCCTGCCGCGCACACATAAAATAAAATGAACGAGTAAAGAGCGCGCCCCCTGCAAGCTGACCAAAATAGACAGCAGCAGCGCAAGCAAAAGCAAAACCCAAGTCAAGAAAATAAGCGAAAATAAAGCATGACAACCACAAGATAATGCGTTGCGGTGCGGTGCCAAGAAAAATAAAGTTGGCAAGCGCTCGTACGCTCGCTCATAATAAAATAAAACAAAACGGTTTATGATACTTACCAAGAAGCTGATGGCTAGTCTTGGACTTGCCGCCGGCGTTGCCTCCGCCAAAGCCAAACATGCCGCGAGAGCCCTCCTCGTTAAACTCGCCGTCCTGGCCGACAAGGTTCTGGAACTCCTCAAATCCCGCCATGTCGAATCCCTCGAGGTCGCGAGCGCTGTTCTGGTTCACGTGGACATTGCTCAACGCAGCAGGGTCAATGCTGCCGCCTGAAAGCTGCCGGGTAATATCCTCGACAGACATGTTTTCGTCAAAGTCGAAGGGGTTGGCATCGCCGGTCCTGCCTCCCTGCTGGTACCCCTGGTTGTATCCACCCTGTTGCTGCTGGTAGCCCTGGTCATAGCCTTGGTTGTAGCCACCCTGCTGCTGCTGGTAGCCCTGGTCATAGCCTTGGTTGTAGCCGCCCTGCTGCTGTGGGTAGCCCTGGTTGTAGTTGTCCTGGTTGTTGTAATAAGACATGGTTTAAAGAATGGAAGAAGGCTTGTTATTATTAAAGTGCAAAACAATCAAAGGTGTTGAAAGAAGAAGAAAAACGTAAAGAAATCCGTACGAGGAGGCATCACATCACAGGCAGACTTTATATACGCGTTTGCCAAAATGGAAGTAAAAGAAAATACGAAATGATTGCACAAAGTGCAGAAAATACCTGGGCGAATGCCCGCCCCTAAACCTACCGCCCCCTTGCGTTTAGCACCTGCCCACCTCATCCGGTCACTTGATTTCCAGAATGGAAGAAGCGGTGTACCGCATCTAAAAATACATTATTCCAGTCACATCTCTTGAGGGAGCCCTCATTGTTTTTGTTGAGATAATTGGTTCATTATTTTTGTCATTATGCTTTGCAAAAACAGCAGCAACAGACAAAAGCAAAAAGAGTCAGCCGTGTCTTGGCACACCTCCTTTTCCTCATTGCTGCCAGGCGGGTGGCCAATTGCAGCACTTTCCCTCATTTTGCCACTATAGTTGAGGAATATAGAACATTCGCATTGGGCAAATAGTAAAAATAAAGACGAGTTCTCAACTTTGCAAGTTAAGGGTATAAGATGCACTGTAGAAAAATCAGGCTCGAATGCTGCAGATTTGGAGAACGCAAAACATGCGGACTTGGCGAGAATCGGCTTGTCAATGCGCCAACTATCCAGCCGCGATTTTTACTACTCCGGTTTTCCAGCCAGTCTGCAAATGTTGGCACGCGCCCACTCGTAAACTACAAAATTTAATCCGTGAATCGGGAACGCGCGGATGAGGCTGACGGAGATTCCTCGGTAAAACCCGGTGCTCCCCACCTTGCTGTAGATACTGCGCACACACTGCCACGCGCTCTTGTACTCCTGAGTGCCCTTGGGTTTGAGAACCTGTGACTGCATGGTTGATTTGACAAGGTCAACTGGGAAAATGAGCAGCCATGACACTACACCGCATGTGCCGCCCGCCAGCATGTGCGTCAAGGGGCCAGTCGTGTCGGATCCAGTGAGCCTGCGCAGTGTCTCCTTGACTGTCTCGTACGATGCAAAGTATATCGCTGTTCCACTCGAGTCGCGCACTATAATGCAAAGAATACTTTTAGTTTTATATTGTAATTCGCCATACATGCACACAACCGGACGTTTGGCAATCGAACACACACACACACACTGGTACCCATGGCGCTGTCAGTCAGCTGCAGCATGCCAACAGTAACATTGGTATCGACTTACGAACGTGTAGGCCAATTCCGTAATAAAGCCCAGAAACACCCTTGTGGCGGATAATTTCGCGGCAAACAGACAGGTTGGACCCAGCCCAGCGAGGCGCAGCGGAAACCCGCCTAGACACATGCGACGACGATGAGATGGCTGCGTTCGTGCTTCCAGAAGCCATTCCGACATCTTTGTTCAAAAGGTTCGCTAGCTGCATCTGCACTTTTATCAGCTCCAGCGGACAACACAACACGGATATGATTGCACCTGAAATGCTGCCAGACACTCCAGCGCTCAGCGCGACTGATCCGACTGTTTTGCGTTGAAAGTTGGTCATTCCCAGCGAGTGATTGCGGTCTTTGTAAGGGTCGTGTTTTCGCAGCCATTGCTTTGTATGTTCGAAAACTGAAAATGACATGGATTTGGCCGCAGATGCGGTAATCAACGGCGGGAGCAGCCCTCGGTACAGACCGCCAATACCCTCCTCGGCAATTGATCGTCGGGCGCAGGCCACCAGCGACGGGTAATGATATGTTTGCATTCTAGTTTTGAGCGAGTCAAATGGGTATCCAGCCAGCATGCCGGTCACCGCCGCCGTTATGGCTGAAGCAAGAGTGCGGTTCTCGTATAATACCATTCGCCATCGTGCCAGATCAGGTGAGGTTACTAATGGAGGTGCGATGCTGATATCTGTTTGTAGTATCGAATGTGTACCGAGACGCTGGCTGCTGCTGTTGATGTTGCTGTTGCTATCACTGGGACTGTGCCTTTGATAACCAACTGTCGATGTTTCATCTTGGTCACTCGGTGTGTTCGCCACTGGCCTATCAGCCGGCACCTCCTGATTGCTGCTCGGTATTTCGTCGGGGTGACTCATGTGTACACTAATGGCAAAGTGCCTTATGCTAATCCCAGATCACTGCTCTAGTTAGGCTTGGCTGATAAGGACTTCTGCGATTTTGAAAGTTTGTCAAAAACCGCTTGGCAAAAGTGCAATTTTGAAAGCAAGAGTGTAAGAAACAGGCACGCACCGGTAGTCACGGAGAGGCTGTGTAAGCTTGGTCGGTGGGAGGCTGCCTTTATAAAGATCGCGCTGGTTTGTAAAAATCGGGGGAGATAAACGAATAAATGTAATGCGTAGGCAGGGGAGGACCAAGCGAGTGATGATATCCTTATGTGCTGAGTCCTGCTGGCACGAATTTGTAAGAATGTGAAGCGAGTATAAAATACAGCGGTTGAAATTCAACCGTAAAGCGAATATAAAAAGAAGGTATTTAGCAAAGTTTCTGAAATATAGAGAAAAATAAGTTGAAAAAAGAAGGAAAAGGAAAAGCAGCAGCGGACTTCACACAGACCACGTCTAAAAACTTTTTTCTCCGGATTTTTTATTTGTTTGTCCTGCAGAGCGGATATTCACAAAAACCTCAATCCCAATATAAACCTCAACTCCTCCCTTTCTGTGTTCTGTTCTGCTCACCTCAGCTCTGTTTTGTAGGCTGCTCTAAATAACGTCTGGCCGACATTTCTCCCCCACACAATCGACAGATAGCCATTGACTTTTCTTGCAGTCACCGATGCACGGATACATTGTTGAACTGGTTGGCCCAACTTGAATCTTTTATTTGAAAAAGGAAAATATCAACCCGAGCGGCAAATTAAACCAGCCGCATTTAGCCGAGGACAAGGGCATACACAATGACAACGACGTTGACGGCAATGAGAGGAATCCGCATGAGCGTCCGCACCGCTGAAATGAGGTTGATCAATTTGGCCTTTACAGACTCTGTGTCGCCATAGAGTTCTGCGCTGTTTCGCGCCCATCCAACTACAAGTGCGTGCGTGTGAACAAGCAATAATAAAATTGTAAAATTTTAGTGGGTTTTGCCTGTCTGTATTTTGTGCTTAGCTAAGGGGTCCTTCAAATGGGGATTGAACTGGTCATTGCGAGCGACGCTTACTTCTTGCCAGAAACCGCTCCTCATTCAAGATGGCGACTGCATTGAGGAGCAGAATTACTATGTAGAAAAGTGTGCCAAAGCCAAACATTTTCTAGTTCTGTTAACTTGCGAATGTGTTGCGTCCGCAGGAAGAAGAAGAAGAAAAAGTGTAGAATAATACAACGACAAGTAATGCAAATATGAATCGAGGTTTTGGAAAATGCAGAACAGAACCTGAACCTTGGGATTTTTGAACTCGCGCTCGTACCAAAATTCGATGTGTCATGCAAAGTCGGCTCGCGACTCGATTACAAAATGAGAGTCATACACTACACTATAGGAAAAGAATGAGGCTGCAAATATACTACAAGCCGACATCCTTCCTCTATATGGATTGGCTACCAATCTAACGTGTTTAGAAACTAGTGGCAATAGACTACTATGGTTGACGATATTAATCAGTTTGCTGCCCCTTTTGAAGAGAAGAAGCAGGGGAAGATAGATTCTTACGCACACGCTTAGTCTTGGGCTTTTGTTTGAGCAAAGTCTTGGGAGTCGCTGTAAACCCGGCTTCAGCCAACTCTGACAATGCCTTTTTGTGCAAGAAACGAGGAGGACAATTGCCTGTAAGCAGGGCATTGGGGATAATGCGAAAGTTCAACACTGCAGCCATGTCACGATTCCACTTCCGTCTGCCTGATGGCACTTTTTTTCGCCATTTTAAGCTTGGTTTTGTCGGCCCTGAAGGGTTTCAGACACTCCCACATTGTGCACTGGAGCAAGCGGTGTCATAAATTTTGGGAAAGCTTCTCTACCATTAGAGTTATATTAACGCCTGTTGCGGCTACCTACTGCTGCTGTTTCTGCTGTTGCTGTACCGCTCCCAATTTAGCTCAGCCAGCTCATCCCGCAGCTGCTGCTTAATTTTGAGGGAAATTTTGCTCTTAGACCAGCCCTTTTCCTCCCCTATCCACCAGATGAAATCAGCAGACTGTGGGCAAATAGGCATCCGCTAGTTGAGACTCTGCTGCACACTATTAATAATAGATGTGGCATCGGCCGCAGTTTTAATTGCAACAGAAACAGCAGTGGCTGCTGCTGCGACAGACCCAGTGGCTGAAATGGTTGCAGCTGCGACGGAATTGTATGAATATAACTGTATTGTTAAGCGTCACACTTAACTCACAACAAAAGCACCATTTAAACGCAAACGTTAAATACTCCCCAGCATTTTCAAAAATCCAGAATTTCTGATACTTTAGGCTAAAAAACTGGGAAAACGGTTTTTTTGAAAATCCCCCGCTTAAAAAAATCTGGACTTTCGCTATAAATGTCTGGAAATTCTAAAAAATACATTTCCGCTAGTGTATATAAGAAGTCAGCTGCCAAAGGGTTAAGAGAAATGTTAATTCAAATATATTCTCTCGCTTATTACACCCTATATAAATATATTTTATTATTTTTTAATGAATATTTTTATCTTACATTCAGTTTATAAATTTAAACGATTTTTAATTATAATTTCTGACAGACTAATGTTGAGCAACCTGATGATATGGAAGTGGATGTTGATGAAGACCCGTTTCACGATCCTTAACCTCAACATGCCAATTAACAGGGCATAGATGGCACCATGCAGGATCAAATCAGGGGACATAATAATGCCACCCTGATATACACCCCTATTCCATAATGTATATGGTTGGACGTGCATATGCGAATATCATAGTCTTGACACGTCAAGACACCAGCCTGTCTGCAGAAGTACCAGTTTTTGCCAACGGAGTGTACAATTGGTGAAGTGCACAATAAAAGCAACAAGACATATGTATAAGATGATGTCGGCCTCAATTACACTTTTGATTCCATTGATAATAAAACCATAAATTAACACCCCATCTTTCTAACACTACCACAGTAGTGCTCCCCTACTACCCCCTCTTATTATAACACTAATGTCACCATTATAAACAATTCTATTGTATAATAGTGGAGATATTATACCCGCGTAATTGTTTTAAAAATTGGATTATGCACTATTTTATCAAATAACCTCGTTTTTTCACTGACATATGTGTTACAAGTGGTAATTACAGACAAAATATGTTTATTTCTTCACAGGGAGAACAAGGGACGAAATATTCCATATCATCCCTTTTATTCGTTCTTCTATGTGGTAAATATAAAACAAATAAACATTAGTTCCTTTGCTGTTAATACTTAGAACAGCTAAAGTTTTGACCAAGCCATTGTATTTTTTATCAAACTCTGGTTGTAATATATGCCAGAAAATTATTTAATCTATCAACATGCAGACGGGAGCTTGTTTCACGATTCTCGATCTCAACACCCACTTCCATATCCTCGGGCTGCGCAACAACAATTTTACTATGTTTACTAAATAAATATTTTATTGAGACTACGAATAACACTAAGGAAACCCACTTTGTGAAATCGCAACGTGCGTACAATATCAAAAAAATGAGATTATATGCGCCAGCGCTGTCACGTGATGTATTTTAATTTTGGCATCACTTTTTTTTGATGATCAGCAACCAGCCAAAATACAAAGATGGCTGAAATCACAGCAGCAGTGTGGGTTCTCCCTTTTCTCTTTTTTCAGATAATACTTTTTTAATCAACCGCCAACACGCATACTTTCAGGTAAGTAAATTTACACATATGTTTGAATTTTTATACTAATTATTTTTGGCTTGTCAACTTGCCTCTCGATTATATGAATACAAGCGAGCGGGCGTACTAGTGGGCTGATTGGCTGGGCTGACACTGGTTGCAAATTTATTTTTTATTTTTTATTTTCCAATAAATGAGCGTACCATTTTTTCAAAACCAAATTCCGAAAAACGAAAAAAGGAAAAATAATGGACAGCAGGTTGCTGCAGCTCACAGGAGGCAATAGGGTGCGACCTAAATAATTGCCATCTCCAGAGATTGACACAACGTATTATGTAGCGAGTTAGGAGTATGTATTGGATTTTAGCCACACTTTTATAATAGCATGCATACTCTGCCTCAATGGTTGGTGTGGTTGGAAAATATCTATGGTGAATTCTCTAAGGTGTATTACGCCTCACGTGTTTTTTATTTTATTTTTACGTTGAGCGGCGATATCGAAAACAGGCCATTTACGTATTTAAAATTTTGTCGGGAGAAATTTGAGGCGAGAAAAGCGCAAAAATGTTCAAATGGCGGGGTTTCTTACTGCTTGAGCAACAAGCAAAGAGAAGCGCGCTCGGACAGCCCGGATTTTCCGATATGCGGAAAGTGCGGGGAGAAGAGGACTACTTGCCAATGGCCGAATAGCTGGAATTTGATTTCAAGCATTTTTAGTCAAAACAAACATCATCCGATATTTACTTAAACTATACTGCAAAATGCCCAGAGTATAAAAAGTAAAGCGACGCCGCTCTAGTGTTCCAAACACATTCAAATATTATTTCAAACGTTATTCCAACTGCCAAACATTTCCTTCACTTCTTCAACAATAGCAGCCCGCCACTTCATACAAAATGTCAAATAATACCAGCACAGCCATGGAGGCGGCCAAAGTGCTGCTCCAGCAATTTGTGACAGAGATGAAGACCATCGGAAATCAGGACCGTTTAATTCCAGCCGGATACACGCCAACATGGGCCGAGCGTACATGGTTTTCCCTCTTCCAGGGCCAAAACGAGGCAATAGTATTTGGTATCATATCGTTCATCATTCACCAGGCATTCTACTACGGCCGATACCTCCCGTACTGCATCTTTGACCGCATGCCATCGATGGTCAAGTACAAGCTCCAGCCAGACAAGCACATCACCGACGCACAGTGGTGGAAATGCGTCAACAGCCTGCTCGCCAGCCAGATCTTTGTGCAGCTCCCAATGATGATGTTCTTCCTGCCAGCTGCCAAAATGGTCGGATTTGACTGCGCCGCGCCGTTCCCGGAGTGGCAGAGGGTGGTCTTTCAGGTGTGCGTTTTCTTTATTTTCGAAGATTTCTACCATTACTGGGCGCACCGGCTGTTCCACTATGGCGTGTTTTACAAGAGGATTCACAAGGTGCATCATGAGCACACAGCACCATTTGGAATTGCCGCCGAGTATGCGCACCCTATAGAGACCGCTGTTTTGGGGCAGGGGACCATTGCTGGACCGCTGCTGTTCAATTTCTTTATCGAGCAGGTGCACATCACTACAATGCTGATCTGGATCGCTGCAAGGTTGTGCCAAACCGTCGAGGCGCACTGCGGTTACGACTTCCCGTGGTCGATGAGCCACTGGTTGCCGTTCTGGGCCGGCGCGTCACACCACGACTACCATCACATGGCCTTTGTTGACAACTTTGCATCCACTTTCCGCTGGTGGGACAGCCTCTTTGGCACTGATCGGCGATACCAGGCGTATGAAGCGCAACGGACCAGGAAGGTCAAGGCCGAGTGAAATGACAGCCACTTTTGTTTTTGCTTGGCAGTCCACAGCAAGGCAACATTTTTAAATATTTTTTTGTATAATTGACAATGTTTGGAAAAGAGACGATTATAACAAAAAATCAGACGTCGTAGTTCGAGGCGCTGACGTTGCCGCCACGGCCGGTCCAGTTGGTGTGGATGTAGGTGCCAGGTGTGGCCTCGAGCTCGTAGGTGTGGGCGCCAAAGTAGTCACGCTGGGCCTGCAGCATGTTGGCAGGCAAGCGGGCGGTGCGGTAGCCGTCGTAGAAGGACAGGGCGGTGCTGAGCGCGGGGACAGGGATACCGATCAGAGTGGCGGTGCTGATGGCATTGCGCCAGCCGGCCTGGGCGTTGGCAGTGGCCTTCTGGAAGAAAGGGTCGAAAAGCAGGCTCTCCAGATCCTTGTTGTTGTCAAAGGCGCTCTTAATGTCGCCGAGGAAGGCTGAGCGGATGATGCAGCCCCCGCGCCACATGAGGGCAATAGAGCCGTAGTTAAGGTTCCACTTGAACTGCTCCGAGGTCTCGCGCATGAGCATAAAGCCCTGTGCGTACGAGATGATTTTGGAGGCATACATGGCCTGCTCAAAGGCCTTGATCAGCTGGGCCTTATCGCCGGTGTAGGTGCTGTTGGAGGGACCAGCCAGAATCTTCGAGGCGCGCACGCGCTCGTCCTTGATCGACGACAGGCAGCGGGCAAAGACAGCCTCACCGATAAGGGTGACAGGCATACCGTAGTCCAGAGCGGCAATAGCGGTCCACTTTCCGGTTCCCTTCTGGCCAGCAGCATCGCGGATCTTCTCGAGCAGGGGCTCGCCGTCAGTGTCCTTGTAACGCAGGATGTCGGTGGAGATCTCAATAAGGAACGAGTCCAGAACGCCCTTGTTCCACTGAGCAAAGATATCGCCCTGCTCGTCGTTGGTGAGACCAACGCCGTTGCGGAAGACGTGGTAGACCTCGGAAATCAGCTGCATGTCTCCGTACTCAATGCCGTTGTGAACCATCTTGACAAAGTGTCCAGCACCGCCTTCGCCGACCCAGTCGCAGCACGCGGCACCGTCGGGGGCCTTGGCAGCGATGGCCTGGAAGATGGGCTTGAGATGGGGCCAGGCCTCCTTGTTGCCTCCGGGCATGAGGCTGGGGCCGTAGCGGGCGCCTTCCTCGCCGCCAGAAACACCACAGCCAACAAAGAGGATATTTTTGGCGGTCAGCGACTCGTAGCGACGCTGGGTATCGGGGTAATGAGAGTTGCCGCCGTCGATGATGATATCGCCCTCCTCGAGGTGGGGCAGCAAAGTATCAATAAACTTGTCGACGGCATCGCCGGCCTTGACAAGAAGCATGATCTTGCGGGGGCGCTTCAGCGTAGCGACAAACTCCTCGATAGAGTGGGCGCCAATGACCTCAGTGCCCTTGGCCTCGTTGGCCAGGAACTCATCGACCTTGGAGACAGTGCGGTTGAAGGCGCAAACCTTGAAACCGTGGTCGTTGATGTTAAGGATCAGGTTCTGACCCTACAGATGCGCGTGGTTTTAGAAAAAGCGGGGGGAAAAGTTTAAAGTTAGAATTGGATCGTGCGTGCGTGCATTGGGACGAGGGGGTGGCAAAAAGGGGGAGTCAACGGATAAACAATTTGCCACGATAGTGCGCTGCTTTATTCTCTTGAGAGCAAAATAAAGGAAGAAGGTGAGTGGTTTTGGTTGCCGGCACTTGAGAGAACAGCCAAGTGGATTTAGGAGAGGCGAGGTTTTAAAGCGAGCACGATACTTACCATGACAGCAAGGCCGATAAGGCCGAAATCAGCAACAGCAGAAGACATGACTGGGTGTTTACAAAAGTGAGATAATTAAGTGTAATATAATAAAAATATTTTACAGAGCAAATAAAAAGAAGAGGAGAGAAAGGCGAGCAAGCACAGAACAATGCCTATTTATTCACTACTGCTTCATATCTGAAGAATCAAAGTTTCTCATTTCCAGCTGTTCGCCTCTCTGACGAACCTAATCTGATTAATTACCTCGGTTGCAGCCGTGCAGCCTTCTCCGTACAGCAATCAACATCATCGTGTCGTGTGCGCTGCCTGCTGTACAAGTTTAGAACCATTGCTGTATGGCTTCGCTACCACCCATTTATTAATTTTAAAACACCCCCTATCCTGCTGACGATACAAAAATGCAAGCGTGGACATTGTAATCGCTGCCAAAAGTTTTGTGCTCGCCGCCCTAATCCCAGCATACAAACAAGCACCTCCGGCTGAGAGGTATATCCCCTGTTATCTTCGTCGGTGTTATTTGACCCAATGGAAAAGCCTGGATCACACACCTGCCATCCTAAAAAGTGTATGTTTTCCGCATGGGCGGAAGATCTCTGTCCGTGTTTGGAATACATAAATTGTTTAGAATGGCGTTTTTGTTTTGAAATGGCACAGGCAAGTGAAGTGCAAATAATAACTAAAAAAATTATATTGTCTAGACCAACAACTGGCATGATCAAAAATCACAATTTAATTGTTGCATGCGCATGCGCTTTCAACCAACATCACAGAAACGTGATGAGCACGGTCTTTTTTTTTGCAAGACCACAAAGCTCATGTTTCTGTGAAGCCAGCAATGTCAAATGCGCGATTTCAAGATATCGAAATTTTTAGAGCTGCTCGCCCAAAACAATCACCAGATTTTCAACGATGATGACTCAAATTGGTTGTTTTTATAGAAAAAAGGGATGATCGATTGACACCCGACACGTATACAAAAAATAAGAATGTAAAGTTGATTAGGCAGAGAGCTTCTCGCGCAGAATCTTGCGCAGCTTGACAGCGTCCGCGTTGAACTTTCGGATGCCGTCGCTCAGCTTCTCAGTGGCCATCTGGTCCTCGTTCAGGGCCCAGCGGAAGCTGACCTCGTCGAAGGAGACCTTCTCGAGGGCGTTGGCAGAAGCGGCAACCTCGGGCGAGAGCTTGCGAGGCAGATCGACTGTCTCCTTCTGCAGCTCGCCAAGCAGCTGGGGCGAGATGGTCAGGTAGTCGCAGCCGGCAAGCTCCTTGATCTCACCAGTGTTGCGGAACGACGCGCCCATGACAATGGTGTTGTAGCCGTGCTGCTTGTAGTAGTTGTAGATGGTCGAGACGCTCTCAACGCCGGGATCTTCGTGCGAAGCGTAGTTCTTGCCGGTGCTCTCCTTGTACCAGTCAAGAATGCGACCTACAAAGGGTGAGATGAGGGTGACACCGGCCTCAGCAGCGGCAACGGCCTGGGCAAATGAGAAGAGCAGGGTCAGGTTGCAGTGGATGCCGTGCTTGGTCTCAAGCTCGCGGGCGGCCTGGATGCCCTCCCAGGTGGAGGCAATCTTGATGAGGACACGCTCCTTGTCAATGCCGACAGACTTGTAGAGCTCAATGATCTCGAGTGCCTTGCGCACGTTGGTATCCTTGTCAAACGAGAACTGCGCGTCGACCTCGGTGGAGACGCGGCCAGGAACGATCGCCAATATCTTGGAGCCAAAGTTGACAAGCAGCTTGTCAAAGGCCTTTTCAACCTGGTCGTCAACGGTGGAAGCCTGAGTCTTGGCCCACTCGATGGCCTCATCGATAAGGTGGGCGTACTGGGCCTTACCGGAGGCGGCGAGAATCAGTGAGGGGTTGGTTGTGGCATCAGTGGGCTTGTATTGGGCGATGGAGTCAAAGTCGCCGGTATCGGCGACGACAGTGGTGTACTGCTTAAGCTGGTCGAGAACGGTGGAAGACATGCTGTGGAAAAAATGTGGGTTGAATAGTGATATGGGTTTCGGAGAAATGAAAAGAAAAAGTTAGATGAAGAGAGGTAAATGCAATGGTGCCGGCAAAGCTTGCTTTTTATACGAGGGCGTGCAGGCGAGTGAAGCGGGCTTGCATTACTGGTCGCCCTGGATGGCGTGTGCTTTTATTGAAGGAAATGCAATTGGGACGAGGGGACGTGGGAGGCTTTCCAATCACAGCATCGCACCGAGTGATTGGCCTGCGAGCGGCTCGAGAAAACGTGGAAATTATGCGTCATTGAAACTGGGTTGATCAAGCAATTATCATTCTCGGTAATCCGCGCAAGTGGAATGCTCGCAACTGCTTTTAACAAAATGTGAATGTGGGCATGTAAACACAATCTCAAAGGCTACTCTGCAGATTGGGGATTTGTTACAGTGCAGTTTATTGTGTTTTTCAAACATGATGCTGCAAATAAAGATTGCACTCAGGAGAACAAAGGTAGTGCATTAACTATTTTTGACAAAGGTAGGACAAAGGCAGCACACATATGAAACATTCATAAGCATTTAGCAACAAATTACTCTCTAACCAAACGAATATTGCTTTCTGCGCTGCTTACTGCTTTCCAGTACTTTTTTGTCATCGCTGATTAAGGATGGCGAAAAAGTCCCATCAGGCAAACGAAAGTGGAATCGTGACATGTCCGCAGTGCTGAACTTTTGCATCATTATCAATGACCTGCTTACAGGCGAGCAGTCCCCTTGTTTGTTTCCTCGAAAAGGCACCGCTCGAGTTGGCCGAACCCAAGTCTACTACAGCCACACCCAAGTTTTTATCCAAAACTTTGCCTAAGCCAAAGTCCAAGCTTCTCTTTGCAATGGGCGGCACAATAATTAATATATTCAACTATAGTGGATTGTTAACTCTAGTTTCTAAGCACGTTCTGGGTTGTTATGCAACCTGGATGAGAAATATGTCGATTTGCAGGATATTTTAATTTTTAGATGTTGGTAGTCTCATTATTTTCTTCAGTTTAGGATATAATATTAATATATTAAACGACATCTTATAGCTTTGACCAAATACGATACAGTTTACCACTAATGACAGTAGTTTTCAAAACTATGAAGCAACAGGCACCAAGGAAGAGACTCGACGATCCCCAAATGGTAATTGCCATGAACGAACCCGTTGGGCGATCAAACTTTTGGTATATTGCACCCTGCGACGGATTGCCAATGAGGATACCAATGGAGCACCATGCGTTCATAATGCCCATAGCTGTGGCAACCGCCTGCGTTCCAAAGAACTCCGTGAGCAGTGGTGGAGTAATAGAAATGTAGCTTGCAGAAATGAAGCCAAAGATAACTGCAAGTACGATATAAGCAACCATGCTCTTAACCGCTAACATAACGACTAAAATGAGGGTAGAACATATCAAATACGAAAAAATGACGAGGTTGATGGGGCCAATGGCCATGGCTACAAATGCCGCTACAATTCGGCCCACGGTGCTGCCAGCATTCATGTAGATAATTAGGTTAGTCGACGCCTGCTTGGTCTGTCCAAGCGCCAGTGCCGCCGTCGGGAGGCAGTACCAAATTACAAATGATCCAAGATTAATACATAACCCAGCCACGCCAGCGGCTGTCAACTGCTTATCCTTGGCAATGGCCACAAAGTTTACGCCGCCCTTGGGAATCGGTACGCGTCGTTTGTATAAGAGGCTTGCTGTTCCGCTGATACACAATATTATTAAGGCAAGAACCCGGAGAGCCCACTCGTATCCAATTGTATCCAGCAGTTTTTGTGTGATTGCGGTGAAAACCATACCACCAGCACCACAACCAGCAACAGTAATGGCGGTTGCCAATGGCCGGGTCTTGTCATGCCACTGCGCAGAAAGAGAAATAGATGGTGAGTATAAAAGCGCAGTGCCAATTCCAAACACAATACCTTGCGTCGAAACAACTTGCCAGAGAACATTGGTAAAAGACGTAAGTAAAATAGCAAGACTGCAGATGATTGCGTCAGCCAGAGATACCAAGCGGAAGCCAAACCTGTCAGTCAGTGGACCTGTGGCAATTGCTCCAACAAGCATAAAAAAGGTAATTGACGTACCAACCCAAGCAATATTTGCGGCGGACTCGTTGGGGTAGAGGAAGTTGATGTAATATGTGGAGAAAACGCCAAAGCTGTTGGCAATGCCAATGGTGCACATCATGTTTAGTGAGGCACATGCAACAATGACCCAAGCGTAAGCACAGCCAGCAGGGGCGTACTCTTCAATGTCAGTTATAGTTGGTGGCTTGGACAGATAATCCGGAGTGTCTTTGTCAAGCAATTGTATTTCTACAGACTTTTTCTCTAGATCAATATTGAAGGAGTTTGAGCGTGTGGTGCTCTGAGAACCTGCGGCATTATTAACTTGTGCCAGCATGAGTATTAGAAATAGGCTTTAAAATATTAATTATATAAGGTTTAAAATATTGAGTATTAAATTTATTGTAAATTTGTGGCTAAATGTATAAATATTGGTAGCATAAGTAAAATTAAAACGGGAGTTTATTGATGAATTGTCTGATGAATGCACAAAAAATTTAACGCCAGGGGGCTTGCCTTAAATAAGGTTAAGTGGGACAATGGTTGTTCCGTTTGAAGCACTACTCATTAAAAATGGATTGGTCGGTACTATTTTTGCTTTGTATTCTCCCTGGGTTTATGGCGGGGGGAACTCGTATCTGAAAATGTGGTGCAAGGCGCCACTTGGAAATAAAAAATTATTAATCAAGACTATGCATGGAATTTACAATGCAGAATTTGAAACAAAGAATTAGATGCATGTAGAGTATTCATCCGATCTACACTAAAATTGAAAAGCAGCGGCGAATAATTTTTTTCTGGAACTATACAATGATGGAGAACTCCCTGTAGAAAAAAGTATTGTACCATCCCACTATGTTGGGGGATCATGAGATCCGCTGATTTGAAACATGCTTTATTTTGTACACAGGGTTTTTGTTTGAATTGTAAAATACACAGCATCTTTTATTTTTAGATTCTCAAATGTATTATTTTAAATCTCATCAGTGTGTACTGAGTTTTAATCTACATGTTATTTAGCCTTAATTTTTACAAGTTTATTATTTTTTTACATTAATCGGTATTCAAATCAATACGTTTCAAATGGTCATTTTTTGTTAATGTCGTTTTGCTTGGGTTAATATTCAAAACCCAGTATAAAATATTTACAAAAAAATATGAACTTTCAATATATTATAACATGGTTTTACTGTTTTTTGGCCACACTTTTTTATGCCAATTTTTTTAATATTAAAAATGGAAACAACAGTCTAAAGTTTAGACCAAATACGGTAAGCGCTACCGCAAACAATAAGATATTTCAAGAGCACATACGTAGAGGCGGCTAGAAAAAGACTCAGTGATCCCCAAATGGTAATTGCCATGAATGAGCCCGTTGGGCGATCAAACTTTTGGTATATTGCACCCTGCGACGGATTGCCAATGAGGATACCAATGGAGCACCATGCGTTCATAATGCCCATAGCTGTGGCAACCGCCTGCGTTCCAAAGAACTCCGTGAGCAGTGGTGGAGTAATAGAAATGTAGCTTGCAGAAATGGCGCCAAAGATAACTGCAAGCACGATATAAGCAACCATGCTCTTAACCGCCAACATAACAACCAGGATGAGGATAGAACATACTAAATATGACGAGATGACGAGGTTGATTGGTCCAAGGGCCATGGCCGCGTAAGCGGCGATAATCCGGCCCACGGTGCTGCCAGCATTCATGTAGAGAATCAGATTGTTTGACGCCTGTTTAGTCTGACCGAGCGCTAGTGCCGCCGTCGGGAGGTAGTACCACAGCATGAATAGTCCGACGTTGACAAAGAAACCGGCCAAGCCGACCATAATTAGCCGCTTATCCCTAGCGATAGCCATGAAGTTCACACCACCCTTGGGAACAGATACTCGCCGCTTGTAGAAAAGACTGGCAGTTCCGCTGATGCACAGCAATATCAGGGCAAGGACACGAAGTGCCCACTTGTAGTCAATCGCATCCAGCAGTTTTTGTGTGATTGCGGTGAAAAGCATGCCACCAGCACCGCTTCCAGCAACAGTAATGGCAGTCGCCAATGGCCGGGTCTTGTCGTGCCACTGGGAAGGAAGCGAGCTTGAAGGCGAGAAAATGCAAGCGGCGCCAATGCCAAACATAATACCTTGTGTCAGAACAACCTGCCAGAGTGCGTTGGTAAAAGAGGCGAGAAGAAGTGCGAGGCTGCAAATGACAGCGCCGGTCAGAGACACCGAGCGGAAGCCAAACTTGTCGGTCAATGGGCCCGTGGTGATAGAGCCAATGAGCATGAAGAAAGTCATTGTTGTGCTGACCCAGGCGATGTTTCCAGCAGATACATTGGGGTAGAGGAAGTTGATGTAATATGTGGAGAAAACGCCAAAGCTGTTGGCAATGCCAATGGTGCACATCATGTTTAGTGAGGCACATGCAACAATAACCCAGGCGTATGTGCAGCCGGCAGGAGCATACTCTTCGACAATGTTTAAGGCAGATAGCTTGGACAAGGGGCCCGAGGCGTTGTCGTCGAGTGTTAATGTGTTAATGAGGCTATTTTCTAGACATCCTTTGCTGTAGGTAATCTCCATTATCTGGGCGGAACCTTTTTTGTCTATCTCGTCGCCTCCGGAATACATACTCATGGTGAAAAATTTAAAATATAGTAATAGTTATGTCGTAAAGTTAAAATTATATATATATATACAAACGGGTGTGAAAATGTTCAGGCAGAAATAGTAAAATTGATATGAATGTTTTTGATAAAATTTGAGCTTCTCAACCCCTTTAATACTTTTTGCAGATGTCGGTGATGGGCAAAAAAATGTTTGTGTTGCGATAGAAGACTTGTAAATTTGTAAACGTGCATATCATGGTTGGGGAAGCCAAACTCGGAGGAAATGACATGCATTTAGGTCCGTGGGACTGCGCATGCCTCTGCAAATCGAGATGATCAGTAAGATCGGCTACACCAAAAAAGGGTATAAAATTGATGATAATGGTTCTCAAGCAACTCTACAAAGAAATATTTTAAATCGAAAATGCAATTGTCTTTTGGTGATAGGGTTATCTGAAAGATATAAATGAGTGGTATTTTTTTGAAAGTAAAAAAACTCCGATTTACCAAGAAAATATGCGGACATGGTGGGCTTTACAAATTTGTTGTATTGTTACCTTTGTGGTATCAAGCGCTTTAGCGGATATGTAACTCAGAGCATTAAATACTGCCTTCAAGCTGCTTCAAGTTGTATCGCCAATAATGCGGGCAAAAACGCAATAAAAAGATTGGGGATAATCGGACACTGGTAATTTTTAAAAGAACGGTTATGCAAATATGTGTACAGACACACATTGGACAGGTCGATTGGGCGGCTCCTAGAATATTTCGTAATAAGGGGATGTATTCAGGTCCACAATAAAGTCCATGATAGGCAAGGTAGTGCGGTAGACATTCGGTATTACTCATTTATCATTGTTTTGTCATTTGTATTACTTGTTTGATTATCTCAATATATTTATTTTTCTCACTGGGCGGGTCGATTGGGTACACAGTATACTGATAAAAACAGGACCAGCGGCATTAAAACCTTTTGTTTTGATGACCGAATTCGATTGAAAGAAAGCGCGGTACCAGATGATACAATGTGGCTTTTTCCAAGGGCATGCTTTTCAGAAATATTATGTTTTTTGTTGTGGTGCTCTCAATTCGGATAAAATATTTCCTTACTCGGTAAAAAAAACAATGTTTCATGTTCAATTGGGCTTCTTATTGCCGCAGCAATCCCGTATCTTTCATCTGAATTTGTTCAATGAATAAACATGAATTTCGAAATAGGTGTTAAGAAACGAAATAATGATTAGGTTTAATTTTTTTGGTAAGGAACTTGGTAACTGATATCAAACAATTTTTGGTTTTAATTTTGTAACCGCTCAGATCAAACCGTTAAAAGCTTGTTGAACTTTTGGGTCAGATTTATTATTTCCCACCCCCTCATCCGTCACAATCTGATTGCAATTAGTCAGACTGGGCAGGTGGAAAGTGTGAACATGACGAATTGGCTCAATCGGATTTGTCATTAAATTATTTAGGCCATACAGAGCCTGGATCTCGGGAATTCTTCCCCCGATAACAAATTCGAAACCGACATGACAAAGTTTCTGACAATAGAAAAAAGAAGCAGTCCAATATAATACTTTTTCTTTCTTTCTTTCTTTTTTTGCTCTACTTTATTTTTGAAACCTTTTAATTTTTCTTACGATATACACATAAAACGATCATACAGACATGACACCAGCACAAGTGAACAGTGTGGACTTTGCGACACGGACGTCCGATATTGGCGCCAATGTTGATGTGGCAGCGTCGCAGTTTGACACAATTGAGTCAGCTTTAGAGGCAATTCGTAAGTATACCTGACAAAAACCCAAGCAAAAAGCTACTCTTATCTTGAGCGGCTGTGGATTAAAGAAAAGGTGATTTGCATGTGATTGATGACAAAAAAACTAAATCCACTGCTTGATGAATAAAAAAACAGGATCCGGCCAAGGAGTGGTGGTAATGGATAACGAGGACCGCGAGAACGAGGGGGATCTGATATTCGCTGCAGAAAAAGCCACACCATCCCTACTGGCATTTACGATCCGGTACAGCAGCGGGTACATCTGCGTAGGGATGGATCCCGACCGACTAGATGAGCTCGACCTTCCACTGATGGTCAAGAACAACACGGATCCGCTGCGCACACAGTACACTGTGACGGTGGATGCAGCCCTGGGGATCACAACGGGTATTTCAGCGCACGATCGCAGCAGAACGATCCAGGTTCTGGGAGACTTTACGAATAAGGATCCGTTGTCTTTGAGACGGCCCGGGCATGTGCTGCCGCTGAGGGCGCGGAAGGGCGGCGTGGTTGAGAGAGGCGGGCATACGGAAGCGGCGGTGGATTTGACTAGACTGGCAGGTATGAATCCGGCTGGTGTGCTGTGTGAGCTGATGAACGATGATGGAACGATGAAGCGGAGGGGTGACTGCATGGCGTTTGCCAGGGAGCACGGGCTAAAGATCATTACGATCAACGACCTGGTCGCATACCGCAAGACACATGGCGTCTAGAAGAGAAACAACTGTGACTAGTTTCATATATTAATGAGGTTTATTTGTTGAGAGAAAATCAAATGCTATTCCCCACAAGCAAGAACAAACGATGGATCGAGCGGTGCATATGTGGACCGAGCATGTGCGATAAAAAATGCGAGGCATGATTGATATTTGACTTACTATGAGCACGCATTATTCCAAACCCGTTCTTGTTCGGTCGGTCCAGAGCATCCAGGCGGCAGACCTGCTGCCGGCCAACGCAGGGCGGGCGTCGCGGGTGCACGCGCTGATCAACGCACTAGGGCTGAAGGACAGCGTGCAGATTGAGGCGGCGCGGGCGGCTACGGACGAAGAGCTGTGCATGTTCCACTCGGCAGAGTACGTGCGCGCCGTATGCTACGGTGAATCAGACAGTAGTGACGATGACAATGACGATGACAATGGGGATGGCAAAGCTGGCAGCGATGAGAGCGACTTTGGACTTGTGCATGGCTGCAGCAGGTTTGTCGGTATGGCCTCGCACGTGCGCTACGCAGCAGGCGGCACCCTGGTGGCTGCCGAAGCGCTAATCACAGGGCGCACGCGCACCGCATTGCACTGGGAGGGCGGGCGACACCACGGACGGCGCGCACGGGCCGCCGGGTTCTGCTACATCAACGACGCAGTCTTGGGCATCCTGCGGCTGCAACAACGGTTTAGCCGCATTCTCTACATTGACCTGGATCTGCACCACGGTGACGGCGTGCAGCTGGCGTTCGAGCATAGTGCTAGGGTGACAACGCTCTCATTGCACCATGCCTCGCGCGGGTTCTACCCGGGCACCGGGCTTGCGTGCGTTGAGGGCCGTGGCCGCGGACAGCGCAGAAGCATTAATGTGAATCTGCAGCCTGGCGCCAGAGATGGGACGTTTACTGGGGCGTATTCTGCGGTTGGCGAGCTGGTCGTGGAGCGGTTTGCGCCGGACGCCGTGGTGCTGCAGTGCGGGTGCGATGGGCTGGCCGGCGATCCGCACAAGGTGTTTAATCTGACGACCGACGCCTACGCTGAGTGCCTCAGGGTGGCTATGGCGTGGGCAAGGCCCTTGCTGGTGTTGGGTGGCGGGGGGTACAGCCACTCGGACTGCGCCAGGTGCTGGGCGCGGCTCACTGCGGTGGCATGCGGCAGAGGTAGTGATGTGCCGGCGGACGTGCCTGAGCATGAGTTTTTGGGCGAGTACGGACCCGGGTTTGAAATGGCGGTCGATGCGATGCGCGTGGCTGACGAGAACTCGGCTGAATCGGTGCGCGCCATCGTGGACGCAATCGCCGGGCAGCTCGGATGAGCCGAGTCGAACGTGTTTAGTAAGGGGGGGGAGAGAGATCGATGATCCAAATGCGCGTAGAGAAAAAAAGCGTGTCTGCACTTTTATTCTCTAGTTTATTTTTTATTTGTTTGTTGCATTCAGGCTGTGATTCCACAATTACCAATTATAAGCACTACAATTCATTTGGTCACTCACTCACACAATTCAATTTATTTTAATGCTCACATCACCCAGCGTTCGCGCCAGCCGGCGCCGACAGGCCGAAGGCACTGTGGACGACGCGCGCAAAAAGCAGGCGACCGGGGCACGGCGGCCGGCGTGGCTAGCGCCCCTCGAGCAGCAGCAGCAGACGGGGCAGCATGCGGCGGAACACATTGACGCAGACGACAGCGATGACAGCGAGTCGGCACAATCGTCGGTGCTGCTGCAGGGCGACAGGCACGCAGTGTACGCTTCAGGCGCGCTTCCCGACGAGGCAGCGGCGCTGGTTGCGGCGGCGCGAGCGTGCGGCGCAGCGGTGGCCAGCGGCGCGTCGGAGCACTTTGCGTTTGTGGCGACAGCGGCCGAGTGCGTCGTGTGGTCGCTGGCGCGGTCGGCGCTGGGCAGCGGCGTGCACCGGCTGGAGATGCCGGGCGGCGGCAGCGGCGAGGCGCCGGTGGTGGTGCTGATTGGCGGCGGCGCGGGCGACGTCGGCGTGCTGGCGTGCAGCGGCGGCGGGCGGCTGCGGCTGTGGGCGCGCGTGGTGTTTGGGCTCGGCGGCGCCGCGCGGTTCCGCTCGGCCGACCTCGGCGACGGGCTGCGCGGCGACGTGTGCGAGCGCGCGCTGCTAGTGCACAGCGACCTGGCCGTGGTGGCCACGCGCCGCGGGCGGCTGTTCCAGGTGGCGCTGGGCGGCGGCGAGCTGCACGCGCGCCAGCTCAGCCGCAGCCGCAGTGCGGAGGCTGGCGGGTCGCTGCTGGGCGCGGTCGCGGCGCTGCTGGGCGGCGGCTCGGGCGGCTCGGGCGGCTCGGGCGGCGATGTGCTCGTGGGGCTGGCGGCCGGCGCGCGCACGGAGCTGCGGCAGTCGCGCGAGGTGCTGCTGCTGACGCGCACGCGGCTGGTCAAGTGGGTCGTGTCGCGCGCGCACGGCGACCGGCTGTTGTTCTCGGCCGACGTCGCGCGCACGCTGCGCCAGGCCGCCGCGGCGCGCTTTGGCGCCGACGCCGACGTCGAGCTTCTGGACGTCGCGGCGACGCACGCCGGCGACGTCTGCGTGCTGGTTGCGCTGCACACGGCGCGCCGCTCGATGGCCGCGCTCGCGCTGCTAAGCGCCCCGCACGTGTCGGCCGAGCCGGCCGTGGCTGCGCTGTGGCCGCTGGCTACTGCGCTCGACACCAGCTCGCTGCGCCTGGCGCTGCCGGCCGGCGGCCCGGCGCTGTTCGTCGTGGCGCCGCGCGCTGTGGTCGTGGGCGTGCTGCCGCCGGCCGCCGGCGCCGCGCGCCTGGCGCTCGAGGCCGCAGTGTCCTTCCGCGGCGCCGTTCTGGGCTTCGGCGCCGGCGCGGACGCTGCGCTGGCGCTGGTGTGCGCCGGCGCCGGCGCCGGCGTGCTGCGCGTGGCGGTGGACGTGGCGTTCAGGCAGGCGGACGTCGATGCGGCGCCCGCGCGGGAGGATGCCGAGGCCGACGAGCTGCCCGGCGAGCAGTGGCCCCGGCCGGCCACTTGCGCCGGCTCGTCGGCCGACTCGCTGGCGGCGCAGACGCGCGCGTTCACAGCGCAGCTCGAGCAGGCGGTGTTTTTCGGCAGCGACTCCAGCCCGCTGGCGTTCGCCATTGCGTCGTCGGCGCCGGGCGAGGACGCTGCGCTGCAGGCGGCGGCGTTGCACGTGTCGCAGTCGGTCCTCGACGGGTCGTCGCGGCTCGTGGCCGACCGCCTGGACCTGGGCGCGCTCCTGCGCGAGCGCCTCCGCCGCGCGCACGCCGTCATGCGCGTGCTGGCGGCCAACGGGCTGGCGGCCAAGGTGTCTGCCGCGGCGCGCGCCCAGCTGTGCGCAGCGGCCGAGCAGCTCGCTGCGGCGTCGGCGCTGTGGGCGCACCAGAACACCGCGTGGGCGCACCAGAGCGGCGCCGCGGCGCGCGAGGGCTCCGCCGCGGCGCAGCTGCTGCCCAACGCCGCCGCCGCCTTCCTTGAGGCGCGCGGGCTGCGTGCGCGCGACGCGCTGCGCGAGCTGCTGCGGCACCACACGGCGGCGCTGGGCGCGCTGCTGGCGTTTGTGCACGGCCGCGAGCCGGTGCTGCGGCGCGCGCTGGAGGTCAGCGAGCGCGGCGCCAGCGAGAGCCGCCTGGTCGCCTACGAGGCGTCGCGCATCGTGGCGGCCGCGCTGCACGCCGCGCTGCGCTACCGCTTTGCACACGCCGAGCTGTACGCCGTGCCCGCCGACCTGGCGCCCGAGCACTGGACGGCTGCGGCGCCCGTCGTGGACCTGCTGGAGGGCCGCCTGGAGGCCACGTACGCGCTGTGCCGCGACCTCAGCGCGCGCCACTGCGCCGCCATCTACGAGCGCATCGAGAAGGCCGCGCTGCCCGGAGACGACGCCGCCGACGGCTCGCGCCTGTCGGTGTTTGACGACGCCGTCAGCGCCAGCTTCACCGGCGAGGCCGAGTCGGACACGGAGGCGGGGGCGGAGCCCGATGACCTCGCCAGCGACGACGACCCCTACGCGTCGCCCGCGGCGCTGCTGCGCGACTGCGTCAACCTCATGGGCCCGCTGGCCAACCTGTGCTTCCGCGCCTTCCTCGACCGCATCGCGTCCCTGCGGCATGCGCAGTCGCCCGGCGCCGACGCCGTGTGCCGCCGCTATGACGTTGTGCGCCCGCGCTTCCTGCTGAGCCTGGTGCCCCTGGCGCGCGCGCCCGTGGCCTTCCGCCTGGCCGAAGAGTACTGCGACTTGGCAACGCTGGTCGCCCTGGTCTTTGCCACCGATGCCGCCAATGCCGCCGAGCACTTGCGCAACTACGTCGGCCAGTTCGGCGCTGCCTTTGGGCGCACGCTGCTGGCCTACTACGAGCGCCGCAGGGCCTGGGCCAGCCTGCTGTACACGCAGGACAGCGCCTTCGATGCATGGCTCAAGGAGTACATTGACGAGCGCGAGCAGGAGGTGCCCCACGGCCCGATGGCGCAGATCGGCTGGATCCACGACGTCAAGGTCAGCGACTTTGGCGCCGCTGCTGGTAAGCTTGCGCGCGCCGCCCTAGACTCCGACGAGGTGTCGCAGACCCGCACGCTGCTCAGCCTGAGCAAGCTGGCCTTTGTCATTGCTGACGCTGCGAGCAGCGACCGGTCCGACTCTGGCACCGGCGACCAGCTGGCCTCTGAGGCGCGCACCCGCCTAGAGGATGCCCTGGAGCTGTGCGAGGTGCAGGAGTCCCTGCAGGGGTTCTTTGCCCAGGTGGCCGCCGTCGCTTTGCCTCTGGGCGCTGAGGACGCCATTGAGCGGTCCGCGCTGGATGCCGCCATGCGGACGACAACGCCGGAGCTGCGCCACGAACGCCCTGCGCTGTACACCGCCTACTGCGACCTCCTCGGCCGCTCACTGGGCGGCCGCACGCTCGACATCGAGGATATCCTGGACTTACTGACCTTCCCCGATAACATCACCGTTGACTCGGACCTTATGCGCGACCGTCACTGCTTGGCCGTGGATATTCTTAGCCGCACTAACCATACGATCTCCGCTTCAGCTCGGAACGCTGCTTTGCGCACTATCTGGCGCCGCGTCTTTATATCCGATAACTGGGCTGCGCTTCAGCCTGTTTTGTCCGCGCCTAATGTTCCTGATAAGCTGTTACGCTCTAACCTGCGTGCTACCGAGCTTTACCATATTCTTCGTTCGTGTTTGGCTGTTCGGGAGCTGCCTTACCCGGACTGCTTTATTTCGCCCACTGAGGCTTTTGCCCTGGACGAGGACCTTGAGCATTTCGACGATAACAAGAATATTGTTGCTGCGGATAATGGGCCCCCATCGCCTTCTACTTCCCGGGTCTTGTTGTTGTCGGGTGATTATATTGTTGAGAATAATCGCTTGCAAGGGGCGGTTGAGCATGGGTTGTCGAGATACTTTGAGGAGATTATGCGGATGGTTGCGGATGAGTCGAGCACGCCAAAGAGCCAATTCTCGAGAACTGGCTCGAGTTCAGAGTCGGTTGATAGAAGCATGGATGAGGCTAGTGAACCTGCCGAGGCTGAAGTGGATGGGGACGATGTCCAGGACGTTAACATGGATTCTGACTGAATCAACAAAATCATTATTACTATTATTATTGTTATTACACATTTATTATCTCAATTTAAAGTTTTAAAATTAAAATAATTTTATAATATCAGCTTGATGCTGCGCACAGACCGGGGCGGGCAATTCTTAAAAGTCTCCTCCTCCCAAGATCGTCTGGGTTTTGGCGGCTGTGGCGTCGGACCGCCAAAAACAATATTAAAAAGACGGAAATCACAAGCGGGGGGTAGCTAACTGCACATTTTTGCATTTTTGCGGTGCTTGGATGCTTCTACACGTGACGCATGATTTTGTTTTAATTAGCAGGCGTGATTATTGGCTGTTGTTTGAATGGCTTGCGAAGAGCGCTGCAGCGTACCATCACACGCTTGCAATTTATTTCTTTTTGTTCCCGCGCTTTTGCTGCTTTGCCAGCGCACAGCCAATCGCATCGTTTGCAGCCAGGCAGGGGACGAAAAAAGTAAGCAAAGTGACACACACACACATTCTCATTTCTTTTTTGCAGCGATTTTCCTTGCATTTCGGCCAGCTTCCATCACATAACATATAATTTCCCCCTTCTTTTTTCTCTCTTTTTCCCCATCGCATTTTTCTTTCAATTTTGAAAATTTCCAGCGCCAAAAAGGAACAGAACGCCAAAACAGCAAAAAACAATAAAAAAAAAAGTTCCCAAATTGCCACTGCCAGAGCCACTATCCGCGCTCCTTTTCCATTGCTTTTTTATTGCACTTTATTTATTGTCTTTCATTTCAATCGAGCACGTACTTTTTTTCGGCTCTTTGCTCACTGCCCCCCCCCTCATCTTCCCTCCTGCTCTGCCACTCAGCACCTCGCAAGCACACACGCAGGAGAAAAAAGGCACCATCCTGCCCTCTGCGCTCTCCCCCTATTAGCCGCTCGCCTGTTCGTCCGACTGTCACACCACTGCCCATCCCATCTGCCTTTTTTTGCTTTATTTTATTTTCTCTGGTAACTTAACTGCCAGAGCCACAAACAGCAACAGCAACATCGGTACCGGATTTCTTGCTGCATAACCTGTCCCTTCTCTCACTTTTCCCAGAGCCATCGCCGCATTGTTTTTTTTGCGTCTCTTCTGACACGAGACGGTCTTTTTTCATTCACCAACACATACTTTTTTTTTGCTTGTGGGCCAAAGCATAGCAAACGTAAGTGCCAAACATACCCACTCATTTCTTGCTTGACTCTCACAAAATAAAAAATACTCGAGAGATTCGCTGTCGCGAATCAGTAGCAGCTCTCATTAAGCTCAATTTACTCTCAAAACACACATACACACGTATAGGCATTCATTCCGTCCTTTTTTGGTACTAACCGTGCGATATGCAAATACAGCCCTTGCCGGAATCCACACCCACACCCACACCCACACCAATGCCAACAGCAACAGCAACAGCAACAGCAACAGCAACAGCAACAGCAACAGCAGCAGCAGCAACATCGTCGGCAGCGTCAGCATCGGCGGGGATTGCGCCGGGCACGCCGGGCGCGACTGCTGCTGGCGCCACACATGCCATCCAGGACAATGTATTGACAAAGGACAAGCTGCGCCAGATACTGATGGTGATCCAGGCCTTGCGTAGCAAAGGTGCGACTGAGCAGAACAACGCAGAGTACGCCAAACTGATGCACATAATGCGCGTGGTCAACGCTCAGCAGCAACAGCAGCAAATCCAGCAGCAACAGCGGCAAATCCAGCAGCAACAGCAACAGCAGCCACCCGCAGATACCAGTGCTAATGGGATTGATAATGCCAATGCTAGCACGGAATCACAGCCACAGACGTCTTTATCAGCCAATTCTGAAAACTGCGCCGTTTCTGCGCTAGGCGAAGCCATCCCGGCCGTGTTAGCGTCCAGCAACACTGGCCCAGCAAAGCCAAACTCCGCCTCCGCCTCTGTGTCAATGTCAGCTTCTGGACCATTCCCAGATATCGCGCCAAGACCGATAGTAGCAGCAGCAGCAGCAGCAGCAGCAGCGGCTACATCACCCCAGCCACACACCCAGCAGAGCCAAACTCAAAGTCAGCAGCAGCCACTGGCCCTAAACGCTTTGTCAAAGCCACCCCAGTTCACGCCCGACGACATTGCCCGCCTGCGCAAGCAGATCCAGGCATTCCGCCTGGTGGCAAAGAACATGCCCCTGCCGCCGTTGCTGCGCCAGGAGCTGTGGGCGAGCAGCCTATCAGATGAAGAGAAGCGCCTGCTGGACGCGCCTCCACCCAGCATAAATACAGCAGCCGGAAACACGGTCGAGTCCGTGCACCAAGCCATCCACCAGAACTTTGATTCTAGCGGAGCCTCGACGCCCGTGTCTGCAGCCACAAACGGAACGAGGACGACCTCGGCCAATATTCCGGGCATCGGTCAGGTCAAGGTGCAGCTGGTTCTTCCGCCGCTGCCACAGAGCATTGGCTTTGTGTCGCCGCACCTTCTGCTCAGAGACAAGCTGGCCGCGGCCGGCAATCAGGCGGCGCGGCTGCAGCGCCTGCTGGTGCCGAGTATCACACCCAGTGGCATTGACGTGCGCGCTATGGCCCGCGAGCGCGAGCAGCGGCGCGACGCGCGCATCGAGTACCGCATCAAGGAGCTGGCTGCGCTGCCTGCCACAGTCAGCGACGAGGGCCTGGACGTGGGCCTGGCGCCCGGGTCTGTGTACGAGCGCCCAGGCCTGCTGAGTCGGGCCGAGTCCAGCGCGCGCATCAAGGCGCTTATCGAGCTCAAGGCCCTGGGCCTGCGGCACAAGCAGCGCGCGCTGCGCAACGAAGTTGTGCGCAGTATCACTCGCGCTTCGCAGCTAGGCGTTGCTGGCGACCGGTCGGCGCTGCGGCGCATGAAGAAGCAGTCATTGCGCGAGGCGCGCCTGACCGAGAAAATGGAGCGCCAGCAACGCATGGACCGCGAGCGCCGCGAGCAGGACCAGCACAAGCAGCAGCTAGCAGCCATCACTGAGCACGGCGCCGGGCTTGTTGCGTGGCACAAGGTGCAGCAGCAGCGCATGGCCAAGCTCGGCCGCACCGTGCTGACCTTCCACGGGGCGGCTGAGCGCGAGGAGCAGAAGCGCATCGAGCGCGTGGCGCGCGAGCGCATCCAGGCGCTCAAGGCCGGTGACGAGGAGGCGTACCTGAAGCTGGTCGACAAGGAGAAGGACACGCGCATTTCGCACCTGCTCGGCCAGACCAACCAGTACCTCAACACGCTTATCGAGGCCGTGCACCGCCAGCAGCAGTCGGTCGTCTCACATGATGGCCCGGCCGCTGGAGGCGAGGCCGTGCCGTCGTGGCTGTCCGAGAACGCCGAGCTCGACGCCGACGAGGCCAGCGCTGAGCAGTCCCGCGACTACTACTCGGTCGCGCACCGTATCCTCGAGCCGATCAAGGAGCAGCCGAGCATCCTGGTCGGTGGCTCGCTCAAGGACTACCAGCTGCACGGCCTCGAGTGGATGGTGTCGCTGTACAACAACCGGCTTAACGGCATCCTGGCCGATGAGATGGGGCTGGGCAAGACCATCCAGACGATTTCGCTGGTCACGTACCTGATTGAGAAGAAGCTGCAGAACGGGCCGTTTTTGATTATCGTGCCACTGTCGACGATCACCAACTGGATCCTCGAGTTCGAAAAATGGGCGCCGAGCGTGCGTGTGATCGGATACAAGGGCAATCCGACGCAGCGGCGTGTCCTGCTTGAGCGCATCAAGCGGCAGGACTTCCAGGTGCTGCTGACGACCTATGACTACATTATCAAGGACCGCCCCCTCCTGTCCAAGATCAACTGGATCCACATGATCATCGACGAGGGCCATCGCATGAAGAACACAAAGTCCAAGCTGGCGGCCACGCTGACTACGTTCTATAAGACGCGCTACCGCCTGATCCTGACGGGAACGCCGCTGCAAAACAATCTTCCCGAGTTGTGGGCACTGCTCAACTTTGTGCTGCCCACAGTGTTCGCCTCAGCGGACAGCTTTGACGACTGGTTCAACGCGCCGTTTTCCAGCGCCGGTGCGCAGGACCGCATTGCGCTCAACGAGGAGGAGGAGCTGCTGATCATCAAGCGCCTGCACAAGGTGCTGCGCCCATTCCTGCTCCGGCGCCTCAAGAAGGACGTCGAGGTCGACCTGCCCGACAAGGTCCAGCACGTCATCAGATGCAGCATGTCAGCTGTGCAGACCCGGCTGTACCACCAGATGCTCCGCTTCGGCACACTCTTCCGCGGCGTCACGGTTGACGACAACGGCGTCTCGCGCGCCAACAAGGCGAGCTTTAGCAACACGCTCATGCAGCTGCGCAAGATTTGCAACCATCCGTACGTTTTTGAGCAGGTTGAGTCGCGCATCAACCCGCTGGGAATCAACAACAGCCTGCTCTACCGCTCGGCCGGAAAGTTTGAGCTGCTGGACCGCGTGCTGTCGAAGCTGCTGGCGACAGGCCACAAGGTGTTGATCTTCTTCCAGATGACCAAAATCATGACGATCATGCAGGACTTTTTGGACTGGCGCGGCATAGCGAGCCTGCGCCTTGATGGATCGACGTCCGACGAGGACCGCCGCGAGTACATGCACACGTTCAACAAGCCCGACTCGCCGTACAAAGTGTTCATGCTGAGCACGCGCGCTGGTGGCCAGGGCCTCAACTTGCAGACCGCCGACACGGTCGTCATCTTTGACTCGGACTGGAACCCGTCGGCTGACGCGCAGGCGATGGACCGTGCGCATCGCATTGGGCAGAAGAACGAAGTGCGCATCCTGCGTCTGATCTCCCGTGGTACCGTCGAGGAGGATGTCTTGGCGCGCGCAGAGTACAAGCGCGACCTCGACGGCAAGGTCATTCAGGCAGGCAAGTTCGACAACAAGACATCCTCCGAGGAGCGCGAGCGCCTCTTGCGGTCGCTGCTCAGGGCCAAGGAGGCCGAGGCGGAGGAGATGGCTGACGCCGAGGCCGAGACGAACCCGGACGACGAGCTGAACGAGATGATTGCGCGCAGTGACGAGGAGCGCATAATCTTTGCGCGCATGGACATGGAGCGCAGGGAGCGCGAGCTGGCCGAATGGCGCGAAGCTGGCCACGCCACCAGCCCGCCCCCCGAGCGCCTGATCACCGACAGCGAGCTGCCCGAAGAATACCTTCAAGATTATGACCCGGCTGAGGAGAAGCGCAAGGCCGAAGAGGAGGCCACGCGCGACAAGTCGCGCAACACGCGCCGCGTGTACTACGACGACGGGCTGTCCGAGGAGCAGTGGCTCGACGCGCTGGAGGACGACAACGCCGACATTGACGATATTGTCAACCAGAAGCGCGAGCGTGCTGAGCGCAAGCGCAAGCGCATTGAAGAGCGGCTTCTGCAGCAGCACCTGAGCGGCCAGCAGGCCGAGGCCAGTGCCAACGGCAGTGCCGCTGGCGACGGTGGCGGTGACTATGGCGAGGGTGGAAATGATGAGGATAGTGACAGCGATGCAAATGTTGATGCCGATGCGGACGACGACGATGACAGCGACAGAGAGCATGGGAGAGTCCGAAGCAGTGGCAACGCCGCTCGCTCCAAGGACACTCGCGATGCGGCGGCTCTGAGCACGCCGCGCAAGCGAGGCCGGCCCCGTCTCAGCGCCAACGGCGCGGCGCCAACGACCAAGCCACCTAGCAACGACGGCGGCTCTGTTGCTGGTCGGCGCAAGAGGCCACGGTTGGCTGGCGCCGATCTTGACGACGACGATGCGGTGTCGGCAGCGGCATCGGTTGTGGGTGCCATGACGCCCACGAATACCCCTGCTCGCAAGGCACGGCGCAAGACTGGCGCTGCTGACATGCTTTCTTCCGCGGAGCGCACGCGAATGGACGAAATATTCGAAGCCTCGTTTGCAGCGGTCGAGGCGTGTGTCGACGAGTACGGGCGGCGGCGTTGCGACCTGTTCTTGGAGCTGCCCAGCCGGCGCGACTACCCTGACTACTACGTCATCATCCGACAGCCGATCGCGATGAAAAACATCCGCCGCAACGTGAAGGCGCACAAGTATGCGCAGGTGGCGGACTTCCACCGCGACTGGAAGCTGATGTTCGACAACGCACGCACCTACAACGAGGAGGGGTCGATGGTCTATGATGATGCATGCCAGATGCAGCGGGCGCTGGAGGACAAGCTGAACGAGATGACCGGCGAAAACTACCACAGTCCGGTTGGGACCCAATCGCCCTTGAACCCAACGTTTGCCGCTGCCATTCAGCAGCAGCTAGCGGTAACATCGACATCAGAATCTGCACTTTCTGGCGCTCCGATCTCCACCATTCTGTCGGGTCCCATGCCAGACAATGGGATTGTTGTTCGCCATGCTGCAGCACACTCTACCGCAGAGCCGTCACCAGCAGCCCTCCCGCACCATGATCACCATCATTACCAAACCCAGCACCATGTTCAGCACCAGCAACATTTGCATGGCGCACCTCACCACGAGTCGTTTGCAGCCAACATGAGCCGCCACACAGTGAATGACAGCTATGACGAGGACATTGACGAGGATCTGTAGTTGACTGTCGCTTGAAAATTGAAGTTTGTGTTTAGGTTTTGGAACAAAACATTATTTTCTTTTAGTTGTGTTTCACAGACTGAAGATATAGAAGTGGATGTTGAGGTCGAGAATCGCGAAACAGGTTTCCACCTGCGTGCCGATTGATAGGACACTAATTGGATCATGCAGGCGTAAATTAGGGAGGCATTACATTGATGCCTAAACATGCTCCCCATTTTGCAATGCACACGCATGAGCGTACACGCACGAAAACCACAACATTGACTTGCCAAGATACCAGCCTGCTCACAGAAGATCCAGTTCTCACCAACGGAGCGCACAATTGCCAATGTGCACAACAAAGGTGACGAGACACATATAAGATGAGGCCGGCCCTAGTAGCATTTTAGAAACATCGGTAATAAAACCTTTTATAAAATCATCCCTACATTTCTAACACTAGATAACTAGTGCTCCTCACACCCCCCTCTTATTATAACAGTTGTCTACCCTGTCTTTGCTGGGATTGGCAAAAGTAAATATTTCATAAAACTGGTTTCATTTTTCGCCTGCAGTCAAAAAAATTATGTCTGGCCAATTAATATTTTGTTTACTATTTTTACGCAGCAGGGTTAACTACTGGTATCATCGGACCAACTGTGATATAAATATTTTTTTAATCAGTTAACACAACGCTCTAAAAAATAAACAAAAACGTCGCGCGACATGCAACCCAAAGAAAATATGGACAACGAAAATCCATATGCAATATTTACCCACAGTTAATTGGGATTGACAATCATTGATTACCAAAATTCTTACTCTTTTGGCTAACGTAAACAAAAAAACAGAAAACAGAAAATAAAAAACAGCATCAGAACAACTGCATTTTTTTGTGTTGCTCCGTTTACGTTCCAGCTTTCTTTAATTCATTTACACTAATTTTTCACTCTTTCACTAAATTCAACCAACCTAATTAACTTATTTATATATTGCCAATTCAATTGCCCCTCTCATTTTTTTGCAATGTGCTCGTTAGGCATGTCAGCCATGAGTTCGGGATACAGCAGCTCACAGTCGTACAATAGCCGGTCAACAGTTCTCGAGGTAAGCATGGTGTCCAACACTGAATTTGGTTTTATTATTGATAGAAAACAAATACGAAAATGCATCGCGACTAATTCAAATACTTTTGCAATTGCTGCATGTAGTCCCACTCATCAGATAACGATAGTGACGCGCCTGATTTCTCTACAGCTGGGAGCATGGTTGGCCATATTATAAAAAAAGAGTGGAAGAGACGGGTGAGATACGAAGAGCTTAGCAACTAGCTGAACGGCCTCATAAAAAATATGAATATGGAATAATTGGAGGCTATTCTGGGGCAGTTGGACGACTATAACGAGTATATGAAGAAAACCACCAGCCATTTCAACATCCAGCGCCAAACACTTAATCTTATTCGGGACAAGCTGATACACGACGACGGCAGCTCTGAGGTGGCCAGCAAGCTGGGAATGGTTAAGCGGTTTTCCGAAGTGCTCAAGATGATGAGTAGCACGGATTTTAGCGACTTACCGTTGGAAAAGCCCAATAATAAGCCGTTTTTTGTGAATCACAAGTGTGTGGAAAACAACCAAAACATTTTTAATCCTCAAGGCGTGTACATACTATTCGCAAAACGAGATAGATTACAGCACCGTCCATATTCTGGTAGAGGCGACTGTGGGGTCATTTCGTGGCAACCTTCCCCTGGAGGTGCTGGGGCAGATAGCTGAGAACATTACCAAAATGTGGAATGCTCAGCCGACACGGCTTTTATCCCCGTTATCTTATTGCGTGAAACATGGCTTGATATGCTCATCTTTGCGCGCGGCAGTATTTACTACATGAGACATGGCGCATTTTTGGGGATAGTAACCTGCGTGCTTTACACAGAGGTAATCACATTGAATGCTTTCACAAGCTGTGGTTTGTCATGAAACAGTCCTTGAGCAAATTCGACCACTTTGTCGACGCCGTCAAAACACCCCGGTAACTTGAGTTTAGTGGCAGCAAGCAGGCTGCTACGGTCGAACGAGCAGATGGCCTCACACCCACTGCGGTCAGCATCGGCGACATAATCAAAAAAGAGGTGGGCCTCCAAGGCCGCGCCTCATACGTGGTCAGAACTAAATTCGGCGAAAATGAAGCTGTGCTCAAGCTGTCGTGGACACACGTCGATCGCCACCCTGAGGGTGGCGTGTATGAGGTGCTAGAAGCGGGCAACGTTGGGGAGTGCCGACAGTCTATAGCAGCGGCATACTGTGCAGCGACATTTTGAGATACTGGCTCGAGTACCTAATCATGGAGGACTGCGGTGAGTCGAGCAGATCACATTTTGAATATCAAGGGGAAAGGTTAACCATTCTTTTCCGTTTAGCACGTTAAACTCTTTGCGTAGTGACTGGACTATTGCTATTCGACATATTTGTGCGTGCTTAGTCCAGGCCAAGAGGGCAGGCGTGCTCCATTGCAACATTTCCCCGGAAAACATTACTTGGCGCGAAAAGGACACATTTGTCATAGGCTGGGGATGCGCAAGGATTCTGCCCGACATACCGGAGGCTGTGTTGAAGCGTGTTGGCGAGTCGTGGGACATTGTCATTGACGAGCTGTTGTATACTGAAAGCAAATGCAATCAGGGTACGGGCACGGAATGCTTCAAAAGCGTTCGGGTGCTAGATGGGCATGTTAAGCGCAGAACTTTAGACGACATTGAGTCTCTGCTCTACATCATGCTAACTGGCTTTTTATACATCGGTCCAAAAAGAATCAACATGCGGGCGCCGATATACCAGGGAATCTTTGCAGGACTATCAGCATTGGCAAAAGTCGGAATGGTGTCTATCGACAATAGCTACCCTGGGTGCCTTGGCGTCAATGATTCCTGCTTTAACACTGTCCTTAATCTGTTGAATCCACTTTGCAAGCTCCTATTTTACAATGATGGTTTTTTTATTGGTGGGAAGTTTTTGAGCCGCTACGAGGATGTACGTACCATTAGCGACAATCAAATATTGTCTCTTTATGGCGCTGCGGACAATGAGGACAAGAACAACGACAATGTGGACGATATTGATGACGACGGAGACGATGGCGACAAAGCAAATTGTGACGGGGACAATGGCGGTGATGAGGACGATAATGATGGGCACAACAATAATGATGATTGTGCCAGTTCAAAGCTCACTGTTGCGTCCGTTGTCAAACCAACAGCTCAGTCTGCAACTACAACAACAGGCACCACAAAGCCCGCCGCTTGCGAAACCCCAGCAGCCACTGCAGATTCGACGAGTGAATCTCTGATGGAACAGCTGCCGACCCAACCCCGTCTTGTGAATCTTCGCCAACGCATTCTTCCGAGCGACTACCACTACCGGCTTTAAATATCAATATTGTGGCTAACAAGTACATTGTCAATGGATTGTCTAAGCGCAAGTGCCAGCCAAACAAGAATGGCGCTTTGGGCACGGCACCCATGGTGGGGAAGCTGCGCAAGCTGCGAAAGGGTGTCTATAATGCATTCTGGAATGTAGATACCAGATGCTCGCTGACTTCATTTTTTTAAAAAAAACTCGGCATGTCAAAATGCCAAATTTATGTTTTTAAACCCCGCAATATTTTATGCTGGTTTTGTTTGAATCATATTATTTCAATGTCAATACGCTTTCCATACAATATTGATTAAAAAGGTGCTGAAACTAAAAATAGTTTTGTTTTAGCATTTGTGTGCTTCTTCAACCATTGGCGTTGGCATGCCACACCAAGCATCGTGGTCAGAGACTTGGCCATTAAATATCTATAAAAGAATACAAATTTGCCTTTGCAACTAGCTTAGAACCCCCTATTTTATAACTATTTAGCTTTACACATACGCCAGCATCCGATTATTCTTATGAGTTTGCGGCGGCTCAAGTTCTGTCTAATGTTCTTTTTAGCTATCATAATGAGATGAACGAGCTTTTAAAAAAGAGTTTGTGTATATTTTAGTCTAACAAGACTTGATGAGCAGAGCAACTGAATATATATTCTTATTTTTTACTTAATTCGATCCGCAATAATATTCAACTTTCATCAGCAGTTTGTTTGCAATTAGATCGACATTTCAAACATCAACCAATTACACCTAAATATGCTAAAAATATTTTGCCTAATGTTACCTATTATTGAAGAGCTATGAATTCACCGAGTTTATGGTGTAGGCTTTCTCGACGAGGTGGGCAAACAAGCTAGTCTTGTCTGCCAGCAGGTTTCCCGGTGTGTCATACTCGGCGACCTTACCACCATCAATGACCAAAATCATGTCGCTGTCGACAATTGTGTTGAGCCTGTGTGCAATAGTCAGCACGGTGCAGTCCTTAAATTCCTTGCGAATGGACTCCTGGATGATCGAATCGGTCGAGTTGTCAATTGAAGCTGTGGCTTCGTCAAGCACAAGCACTTTGGCGCGCTTGAGCAGTGCACGCGCAAGGCAGACGAGCTGGCGCTGACCAACGCTAAAGTTATCACCGCCATGCGCGACCATAAATTCGAGTGCTTCGTCCTTGGCACGCACAACGTCAGCCAGGTGCGCGTGCTCGAGTGCGCACCAGATCTCCTGATCCGAGTGGCTGTTGAAGGGATCAAGGTTCTCGCGAACCGTGCCGGCAAACAGCACAGGGTCCTGCGGAATGATCGACAGTTTGCTGCGCACGTCGTACAGACCGTACTGGGAAATATCCTCACCATCGATCAAAATCTGGCCGCCTGCGGCTTCGATGACCCGGAACAGTGCCAGAGTCAGCGAAGATTTGCCAGCGCCTGTGCGGCCCACAATGCCGACCTTCTGCTTGGGAAGTACGCGGAACGACAAGTTGCGGAGCACCAGGTCAAGTCCTTCGCGGTACCTGGTCGAATAGTTTTTAAACTCAACCATGCCTTGCTCGGGCCAGGACCGGCTCAGACTGCAATTCTGGACGAACTCTGGTGCCTCTGCTGGCAGTTGTGAGTATTTGCGTATACGCTCAACTGATATAAGCGAGAATTCTAGCATGGTTGTAGAACGCACACATGTGTTTAGAACTCCAACCATGGAGAACACATATGTTAAAGACAAGCCAGCACTACTGCCCCTGACGTTCCCAAAAGCACATTGTGCCAATACCAACATCACCATTGTCAAAAACGCGATTGCTGCACTGATAATGTCGAGTCTGACGGCGAGCCAACGATTGGCGCACAAAAACGTCCACCACGCGATTGAATAAGTCTCCATGCGCCTAGAAAATTTGCACTCAAACCTTGTCTGGCAGCTGTACGCCCTGATTGATGTGGCGCCACCAACGGCCTCCTCGGCGGCAGTTATGCCAGAATTTCTCATCTCATTGACACTGTATCGAGCGACGCGCGTTATTGGCATAAACCTACTCTGCAAATTAATGTACACGAGCGACAGGGGCACAAAAAATATCAGCATCATTGGCGCTGATATCACGACTAGGAATAGCGCGACCAACACCTGCACCATTGCCTTAATGCCTGCCTCCGCTGCAGCCGGGACATTATCGTCCGTCAGCGTCTGGTCGCTGCCAAACAAGCCAAGGATGCGGCCTAACGGCGTGGAATCAAAAAACGACATTGGCGATCTTAGCACGCTGTGCAGCATGCGCTTGTGTGTGGTCCTAGATGCTGCCAATGAGCAGCGCAGCCAAAGAATCAATGCTGAGGCAGCCATCGACAAGGCACCAGCAGTACCGAGCAAGCCGTATATTGCCAAATGGTATATGGGGTTTGCACTGCGCCTTTGCAAAACACCCCTGCTGTCGCGAGTATTATCGTCGTTAATGTCGGCCCAGCGAGTTAACCAGATATTGCTGCTCGCGCTGAGCACTAGTGTCAACAGCACAGTTGCGACAAGGGCGCCCAGATTTGCGCGGCCACAGCAGTCCAAGTAGAACCATATTGTTACACAACTAACACTGCCCACATGCCGGTTCTCACGCTTGATGATACCATAGCTTGGGTTGGGCTCCAGAATTGCGGTGCCAACCTCGTCTGCATCTACAGCTGGCGTTTGCTGCAACGCCAGCGTTTCATCAACAGATAGGCTGCTGTCGGAGGCACTGCGACTAAAGTACTGGCTGGCAGCCGGGTCGCGCGTAGCTGACTCCTCCATAAAAACACGCCCATCAAGCAAAGAATACACCCGGTCTGCACAGTCCAATATGTGTGCAGTTGCGTTGGTGACCAGGATGCGCGCGCGCGTATTAAGCAGGCTCTGCGGGCCCAGCACATGAGTGAATATGTGCTTGCCCACATGCGCGTCGATGGCAGCCAGCGGGTCGTCCAGAATGTAGATATCAGCTCGCGAGTACACAGCACGCGCCAGCGATACTCGCGCCTTCTGGCCGCCCGACAGGTTGATGCCCTTTTCGCCAATCTCAGTCATGTCGCCACCCGACATCATCTCGAGATCGGGGCCCAGCGCGCAGGCGTCGATGACCCTGTCGTAAAACTCTTGCTCAAATCGGCTGCCAAACAAAATGTTGTCGCGCAGGGTCGCGTTCATGATCCAAGGCTGCTGTGGCACGTATGCAACGCTACCGCTGATGGCCACGCTGCCGGCGCTTTTGACCATTTCACCGAGAATCGCCGACGCCAGCGATGACTTGCCCGAGCCGACTCTGCCAATCACCGCTACAAGCTCGCTGCGCTTGCATTCAATGTCGACATTGCTGAGCACAGGAACACAGTCGCCGTCTATCCACTTGAACGTGGCGCCGCTCATCCGGACCGCAACATCCACGTCTCGCAATTCGGCGGTTGCACGCCTACAATAAGCTTCCGAGTAGGCACCTGTACCTTTGCAGCCGCTGCCTGCGGTTCTCGCGTTATTGGTGCCGCTCACAGGCACAACCTCAGTGCTTAGTGCCAGATCCTGCAAGCGGCCAAACGACCGAGCCGCGCTAACCAATATGGCAATAACCGTTGGGCTCTCTGTAACAGGCTCCTGGAGTAACAAGAACAACATCATTGAGACGAATATGAGCTGCGAAGTCAGCGGGCCACGCGAGACGCCGTCAAAGCACTCGTACGTGGCAAACGTGGCCAGGCTAATCAGCACTGTTGCCAGCGAAGAGGTGAGCGACATGACGCTCTTCCACAAGCCGACGTCGTGTAAGGCTGCCAGCTCCAAGGTGTCACGTACACGGCTGATCTTGGCAGCAAACGCTGCCTGCCATGAGTAAAGCTTGATGCCCTTGATGTTGGCCAATGTCTCGTTGACAGCGCGCATTCGTTGATCGCGACTGTCGGCCAGCGTCTTGATCTGCTTGCCGAGCAAACCCGCGAGCAGAACGCTCAGGTGAGTATTGGCGACCAGCAGTGCCACGCCACCAAACGCGCTGTACCCCAATGTGCGGTACAACGCACACATCACAATGGCCACGCGCAAGGGGTACTCCCAAATACAATGTACGTAGTTGACTGCCGTCGCTAATTTTTCTGCGTCCACACTCAAGTACGAGACAATCTCGCCCGTCGTATGCCGCAACCTGGATTCGTTTGACTGGCGCAGAATCTTCCGATATACTAGCCCCGATAGCACGCGCACCAGCCACAAGTACGGCTGCATCAGCTTGTGCCAGTACATCTGGTAGGTGACGGTACGCACCAGTCCCAAAATGCCCATTCCCAGTGCCAGGACCAGACCGTCGTCCAGTGTGACATTTTCGACCGAGCGATACTGGTGGAAAAACACAATGACGCGCTTCAGCAGCAGCGGCTGCAACAGTTGTGCCATAGTTGAAAATGCCAGGTACAAGCCCGAGACAAGTAAATCGTGCGAAATGCCGTTGACCAAGAGCCACAGCAGCCGTGGCTGTTGCGTGCCTGCCCGGCATTCAAAGTCCCAGGCAGCGAAAAACCCGTCGCACGCTGCATTGCCGGCCAGCTTTTTGGGCAATCCCAGCATTTCTGCCTCGCCGCCATTGCGTCCGTTGCATGCGCGTTCGTACGACTCGTCGATTAGCGGCGTCATCCACGCAAACGTCCATCGCGAGAATATATTGGCATGCTGACGCTCTCTGCGCCCGCATCTGGTATTGTTGTTGTCACGGTGGTCGCCGCTGTCATTCTCTCGGTCATCCTGCGGTATATAAATGGGCTGGTGCCGCCGGGTCGGCTGGCCAGTATCCAGTTCGGCCCAGAATGCGAACGCTGCGGCAAACACAAATACCACATGCGGCAATAGCGCGGTGTCATGCAAGTTGCCAAAACTGTCGAGCTTAGTCTTGCTTCTGAGTACTAGCAGCGAGAGGGCCAGCGACACGGGCCAGTACACAAGCAGCACATCCGAAGACACTGAGCTGCGTCCGCTGTGAATGCAATGGAGCAATAGAGCGCTCAGCGACGAGATCAGCTGCAGAACACCGGCCAGCATTCCTAGAAGCGACATCGGCAGCGATTCGGGGCTTGGATATTGCTCGGATTGGCATTGCTGGACCGCCAGTATTGTGGAGCACAGGATTGCCGTACTAGCTGCAGTCAGCTTTGCTGATACTGCTCGCCATCTGCGCATTTGTAAGCGTGGAGGCGATGTTTGGCGGTGTAATTGATGCGACCGAGTTGTGCAGATGAGCGACGCAGCCGCATGAAAGGCAATTGATACGGCAGCCGGCTACTCGAGAGAAAGTTAAACTTTTTGAGATATTTTTAGTTTGTTTACATAAGCGAGAGCGTGCTAAATTGACAGTAAATCAAATATTTGTTTCGCGTAAAATACCCTTGTACATTATCAAAACGTACCCATGCAGATGTCAGACCGGCGACCATCAGTGAACTATCAGAGCCCGTTGACATGACTGTATAATTCCGAGTTTAATTATTTTTATATTAATGTTATGTCGAGTAATATGAGAGCGAGTGAGTAGAAATAAAATAGCGATCCGGAACAGGACGCGCACAGCTTTAAACTAGATCGTTTAGACATCCTAAGCAATCACGCGACGCTGGGAATATGCCCCTACGCACATTAATTAAACGTAGAAAAAAACACGGGTTTTTATTCTCTTCTACGTTCACACCACAACAATAATGAATCACCAAAATCGCTCAAGCAACAATAGGTGGGTGTGGGATAGGAGGAAAGTGTGGAAAATGTGGGGAAGGCTGCAATCAGATATGCATTTTTCATTTGTTGGCTTTATCTAATGGCAAACGAAAATTTTCCATACTATTTTGCGCATCAGATAGGTGTTCTAAACAGAATAACGGTATGTTTCCATTCGGATTTGCTCAATATAAAATAATTGCAGTTGAGTTATGAAAAAGGGGGAAATATCTATACACTTTTTCCATCACCATCAATTTGAAATTTTTACTTTCTGTCCAACCGGAGCCATGCTTCTCATCCTTCAAACCTGGATGTGGATGTATGCTTTCTGGCCCTTCTTTGGCGTGCATATGAATGGAGAAAATCGTACACACTGATTTTTTCGTAGCCTGCCAGCACATATACCACAAGCTCATTTTTGTGTTGGTCGTCGAGTTCTTTCTATTTCTCTTTGTCTCATCTTAGTCTCATTTCTTGTTTGCTCGTCTTTATATTTTAGTTCAATAGGTTTGTCACCAAAACCAGCAAGGTTTGCTTCATAATTCCAGCAAACACATTTACAAGAAAATATGTGAGGGGAAGCAAAATCCAGCCGGCTGTTTGGCGAGCCGGCAGATAAATTCATTAAATAAATAAACAAAAAACCAGGCGATCAATGTACAGTCGCCGTAAACGTGTGGCCCGTGCTACCTACTTGTCGGCGCCTGGCTGAGGGCGGGACTTGGCGGCGGAAGCGGCGCAGCCTGTCTTCTTGTAATGCGGCCCACCACAGGCGGAGCACTTGACCTTGCGCTTTCTCTTGCCGCTAGTTGTGGCAGCAGGAATTGGAGGCTTACGAGTGGCACACCGGCCCTGCAAATTCGGCGCTTTGACGGCTACACTGGTGCGGTCTTTCTTGGAAGCTTCGGAAGCATTCTCATGGGCGCGCTTGAGTCCTCGTTTTGCCGCATTAAAAAGCACTCTCCTTTGATTGGTATACGTACGGGTTTCGGGCGGCCTGGCTGACGTTTGACCACGTTTGGGAGGAGACCATCATCAACTATATCATTGCCCCACGCTGGCGGAGATATTTTCTTGCCATACCCGCTGATTAGCGACAACAAAAGGTAAGAGGGGTGCACGAACTGGGTCACAAACTGGGTCACAAGCTGCCGCCTGACTTCTGGATGCCACAGCTTACCGTTGTTATCCTGCGCCTGTGAGGTGGAGCTGTCCTTGTAGTAGTGAATGATGCTGTGAGCTGCGTGCTCACAGAGAAATGCATACTCTTTAAACGTGTGATAAGTGCACGTCTTCTGTTAAAGATCAACGCTGTAGCTTAACGTCTGCTTTGCTCCGGGTTGTTTGATATAATAATCCGTCTTGGTGAGGGGCCAAATCTCGTATTTACGACGGGATTCCAGGAGAGCATCAAATATCTTGCATCGTTGTCGGGCTAGGTAAAACTGGCTATAAAATTCGGAGTTGCTAAAAGTTAAAATAAAAAGTTAATCAAGTTATCTTTCTAAAAAATAATATTTTAATTTATTCTATTGACAACTGAAAGTAGTAATTTCAAGCTTTATGGGGGCGGAAATTCGGAGCTAGAGACGCACATCAAAGAAGGGCCAGAAAGCATACATGCGGGTTTGAAGGATGAGAAGCACGGCTCTGGTTGGACAGAGAAAGTAAAAGTTTCAAATCGATGGGGATGAAAAAATGTACAATTGATACTTTCTCTTTTTGATATTTTTTTTTAAAAAAATAAATGACCCACCCTTCTCTTCTTTTCCCTACTCTCAATAAACTACTATTTGTTTTTATAGATACACCAATCTTAAGTCTTATTTTCAGCTTACAACTCAACCAGCTACAATCGTTTGAACATGTCCTGCTTCAGCTATCTGCCTTTTTTAGTTATCAACCAAATCTTAGGTAAGGTCATTCATATTAACGAATTAAATATCGAAACGTGGGAGAATTGTTTGCAACTACTAAGTGTTAGCAGCACATGGAGAAAAGCGGCGATAGACTTGGTTTATTCCAGCAGTATAGTGGATGGTCCCCCATGTTATATCAGAACTACGAATGGACATTCGAAAGACGCCATCACCAAATATAAGCTGCTCAATTCAAACATCAGTCTTATCAAGGCCACTGGAAACACTCATCTGGTTAGGAATTTGAACTTTACTATTCAGAACCCCCAGCATCTCCACTATCTAATTAGAGAAGCAAGTTCGATATTTTCATTTGGGATATTTGACTGGAGCAGCGTACGTACAATTGACATTGTTGACTGGTCGCAATTTAGTTATTGTAGTGAATATGAGCCTCAGTCTGATTACGAGCAGGATGGTATTTGTTTTGCTGAACAGCTTGCAAAATATATGCCCAATGTAAAAGCGCTAAAGTCATCCACAGATGAAACAGGCCTATTGTTTACTATTAGCAGCAAGCTATGTCAATTGTATTCACATAACCTAAAACAATTTAAACTTCGAAACTCAAATTTGCTTGTGGAATCTGTCTGCTTTACCTAACTGACAACGCTTGATCTCTATATGAGCTCTGTTCAATTTGTGCCTCAGATTTGCAGTCAGAGCTTGCAGAGCTTGACATTAAGAGATATTCCAATGACATTTGAATGGAACCAACTGACAAAAACAAAGATGGCAGACAACATTGTATTTTACGATTGGTGATGGAGAAATTACTAACTCGACTCGGTTGGAGTTCCTAGCTCTCAAATTTTTAAGTACTACTGTTCCAACGCTCGATAACTTGGCACAAATTATGAATCCCGAGAGATATACCAGTGGCCAACCACTACTATGGGGCTGCATTTAAATGTTCAGGAAATTTCTGATTGGTTATATCGCCCACCTGGTATACAAGAATAAGGCGCTAGCCTAGCCGCGTATATAAAACAACAAATACCCAACATTACTCATTTGAAGTTGGGCGACAAACCCTCTTACAAAGACGCTCCTTTTTATAGTGACTTGGTCAATTATTATGTCAATCAGCTTGTCTCTGCTGATTTTTATCACCCGCAAACGTTTACTGCACTGCAGTTTTCACCCGAACTGACACACTTGACAATCAATGCCAGAACCGTTAAATTGCCGAATATTCCGAGAATATGTGCCGGGTCGCTTAGATATTTAAAACTCGTCAATCTCTTTCCCAATTTCGCCTGGAACTTGATGAGAGATGATGCTTTGTCTGGAACTTTGAACTTCAAAAATCTGGAAAGTCTGCATGTCAATTACAAGGATATTAAAAAGGATGATTATTTGGAATATCAGCAGTTCACTGAAAGCCAAAAAAATCAGCACGATGCGTCAGATATTATATGCCCACTTTTACAAGTAGTGACAATTGATACAGTTACAATCAATAGGCTTCAAAAGATAATGTGCTTTGGTCCCAATCAATGGCCATGCCTAAAATATTTAGATATACAATGGACGGGCTTTGATATTACCCAAATTAAAGGGAAAATAAGTGTAGATAGCGATGAGTATATGCAAGCGACTTCCTTATTTGCTAAAAATGTGCTCGAAAAAATGCCCAATATTATTGACATAAACATAAAATCGTCAAATGATTGTAACGAGTATATAAGACACTTTGTGAGCAATATTTTCAACGGTTATACCCACCAGCTGAATGTCTACAACTGCAACATTCCAGTTATACTTGCTGCCAAATCATTTTCACCCGAGCTTAGGAACTTGGGAATGACTATTGACAACAATAACAATTTGCCACTGCCCAAAATAAATGCAGCAAGCATTGAATATGTTGAAATAACAGGTAATCTGGACAAATTCACTTGGGATAGCTTTGCAAACAACAATGATCCAAGAAATATTGTTTTCAACAACCTATTTTACCTAAAGCTCAAACATACTGATGATTATGTCTCTAGTACACCTGCAAATGGAATTAAGAACAACTCAACACCTTTCAACTAATTATTAACTTTGCACATGCCTAAAGTGCGTAACCTGACGTTGCTTGGAATACGCAACAATAACAAAATGACAAACGCGTCGATTAAAGCTAAAAATTTTTGGAATTTGGCTGTCGGTTGTTCATCAAAAGCACTAAAATTGTTCAGCAATTTGGATGATAAACCGATATCAAGCTGTAAAATCAGCGTGGCGCTAGATACTAAAGATGAAATGGATGATTTTTACAAAACGACAAATAGGTACTTTAAAAGTTTAAATAATATTAACCATGCACAACTTAAAGTGAATATAAATATGGATAGATGGAACCCACAGCAAATAGCATGGCCAAGTCTCAATGGTCTAAGAATTGAACAATTAATAAAGCTTGACACGCTTGCAGAGCTGCTCGCCAAATTGCCGAACTTGACTCATCTCACGTTGAATAACATACTTTATGATACAAAATCCAACCTCAGACCCAACCAAGTGATGCCAATTTCCAATAGCGTTTTTAACTTGTTTGTGTCTGGTGCAATAGCAACAGACTCTCAACAGTTGAGCGAACATGCCATTAAACATCTCGTTTTGGCAATGCCATCTTTGAAAAAGGTTGTTCTACCACAATATCAATTTAACGACGCGCTGTTTGTTAACGATTACGGGGATAAATATACTCATTTAACAAACATTGAATTTGAATTTACGGACGATGAATATGATGATGATTATGAGTAAGAGTAATTTATTGATGACCATTTTGACTGCAATATATCTTGAAGCAATATAAATCAACCATTCAGATTAGATATTGGCAGGTTATATTATAATAATTTTAATAAGCAACTTTAATGGTTTAGTCAATACATTTTTATATACCCATTTGAAACATTGGCAAACCACAGCCAAGTGTGTTTTTTGTTTTTGCTCAGCATATGCCGTTCTCTCAAAAGCATTCGAGATTGGGCAAAGTTAGTTCTGGGCGCAGCCACAATTGCAAAATGAAAATTCTTATTTTTAATTGACATTGGTTAGTTTGTCTTGTGGTTTGATGGTTCGTGGCATATTTAGCATCCGCGTGCGTAAACTTTCAACTATCAATATGTCGTGTGTGAATCACCAAACAATTAAAACCGTTTTTCATGTGGTAAGACGGCGTAGGATTGACGTTGTAGTGAACGGTACTATTGAGTATCTATTGATGATATAATTGAGACACCAACTGAATACTTTTTCTGGTTGATTCTTGGTCTGTCGGCTTGGTATTTAAACCAGTTTAGGACAAGTGAGTGTGGCTGTATTGCTAGTTGTGAACACCAACATACAAAGCCGACATACAATAGAAATCACCTTTGATGTCAATTGGCATGCAATACACTGGTGTAAATGAATTTTGGAATTTCCAGACATTTATAGCGAAAGTCCATATTTTTAAGCGGGGGAGTTTCAAACCCCGTTTTTCATGCAAAAAGGCATCGTCAGAGTTGGCCGAACCAGAGTCTACAGCGACACCCGAGACTTTGCTCAAGCCAAAGCCCAAGCCCAAGCCTGTGCGCAAGAATCCATCTTCCTTTGCTTCTTCTCTTCAAAATAAGCAACAAACTGGATAATATCTTCAGCCATAATGGTCCATTGCCACTAGTTTCTAAACACTTTTTAGGTTGCTATTCAATCTGAGTTGGAAGGATGATTTGCGGGATATTTATAGTCTCATTCTTTTCTTTTAGTGTAAGGATCATTTACATTGATGGTCAATCCTGCTACGTAACACGCAGTCTATGAAAAATAAGTGCGCATAGCGAAATTGAAAATGTGAATTCCCCCTTTTCTTTATTGTTCTTTTTCATTCAAAAATTTTGTCTTTTTATTTCACTTTTGACATTCCTCAATTCCATACGTTTCATCTGTTTGCCGCTAGCATTGGAGTATGTTCGAAAAGTCGCTCACCGATTTAATTCAGGGACTACGAGCCAACAAGCGGAATGAGGGCGAGTACATCCAAACCTCACTCGCTGAAATTCAAAATGAGGTGCAGCTGAGCGACATGCACTACAAGAGCGCGGCCATAGACAAGCTCAACTATCTGCATATGCTGGGGTACGATATGAACTGGGCAAATTTCAACGTGGTTGAGGTTATGGCCTCTTCGCGCTTCAGCGAGAAACGCACCGGATACTTAGCAGCAGCACAATCGTTCCACCAAGAGACAGACGTTCTCATGCTGACAACCAACTTGATTCGCAAGGACTTGGCGTCGTCAAACGTAATGGAGGTCAGTATTGCTCTGGATGGCCTGGCGCAAATCGTTACACCCGAGCTGGCCATGGATCTTTTCGACGACGTAATGGCGATTGTGAACCACTCGCGACCATACATCCGCAAGAAGGCGCTTGTATGTCTGTACAAGCTAGTCCTGAAACATCCCGAAGGACTGCACGATTTTGTTCCGAGGCTGAAAGAAACGCTGGATGATCCTGATCCGTCAGTCATGTCCTCGGCGGTCAGCGTTATTTGCGAGCTGGCGCGCACCAACCCGCGCAATTATCTACCGCTGGCGCCGAAACTGTACCAGCTGCTCAACTCCTCGACCAATAACTGGATGCTGATCAAGATTGTCAAACTGTTCTCTTCCCTGACACCCATCGAGCCGAGATTGGCCAAAAAGCTCCACGGACCGCTGTCACAGCTGGTGGGCACGACTTCAGCCATGTCTCTTCTCTACGAGTGCATTCACACAGCGGTTGTCGGGGATATCATTGGAGTCCCAGTGCCAGTGATTGATAGCGCGGGGCGCGAGATCGATTTTGCCGAACTGTGCGCGCGCAAACTCGAGCTGTTTTTCGAATCCAAGGACCACAACTTACGCTATGTTGGACTAGTCACTTTGGCACACCTGCAGGTCAAGCGGCCTGATCTGGTGTGCCAGCACTACGATACCGTGCTCAACTGTCTAGACGACCCTGACCTTAGCATCAGAATGCGAGCGATCGAAGTCATATCAGGAATGACCACGCGCAAGACACTGCCAAAGACTGTCAAGCGGCTCATGTCTCAGCTCATTCTGTCAGAAACAATATCCTTGATGCCCGAAAATACGGTTGACAGCAGCGACTATACGGCAGACAATGGTGCAAGCATGCCCAAGTTTGACTCTGTAGGCACCAGTCTCATCAGCGCACAAGGATCCATTGTGTCGTCCAAAAGAGCGGCGAACAAGGGCCCTGATCCAGCAAACAGCCCCGAGTACAGGATGGAGGCTATCAAAGCCATACTCGACATGTGCAGTCGCCAGTCTTACGCCAACATGACCAACTTTGAGTGGTACGTTGCTACGCTTGTCGACCTCGTATACGTTTCCGGCGTGGATGTCGGGCAGATGATTGGCGAGAAGCTGCTGGATGTCACAGTTCGTGTTCGGCAAGTTCGCGAATTTAGCGTCAAGATGGTGCGACGCCTGCTGTCGGACCATCAACTTGTGGACTATGTCTCAGCAGAATCCTCGAATTCTAAGGTGTTGTGCACTGCAGCCTACATCCTTGGTGAGTATTGCACTCTGTTGCCCGCGAGCTCGGATGACGTCGAGCTGCTGCTTCCCTCCAGCCTTGGCAGGCTGGGCGGTGAGCAGCAGGCGACATTTATTCAGGCAGCGATGAAGGCGTATACGAACTGGCTGCAGGACGCGGCCGGATATTGGAACGGCGAAATCTGGGAGCTCATTCGTTCGGTCACATCGTCGACCATGCTTGTGCTATCACAACTGGCGCTCATGGGCTCCGGGAGTTCTCAAACCAGAGACGGCCACATGTCTTCCAATACTGATGCGCTGGTGGCAGCCATGCCGTTACAAATGAGCGGGCGCCTACGCCAGTTTATCGAGATCACAAAGGCGGTTTCAATGGCCACATCCAGCCCAAGCGACAGTGCACCCGAGATCTGCTCTGAGCTGCACGAGCTGTTTACGACATACGAGCTTAACCCCGTGTCTGCAGCTGCACAGGGCAAGGTCCCTATCCCCGAGGCCCTGGATCTGGACTCCCTAATAGGCGAAGCCATTCCCGACACAACTTGGATAGTCATGCCGCCATCTCCGCAGCCAGCGGCGCCCCCACACAGGCGCTCATCCAACCAAGGCAAGGGTACAACAGCTCCCAGAGATCGCGAGAACGACCTGTACTATCTGGGCGGCGGGAGCGATAGCAGGCCGTGCGACTTGATTGATCTTCCTGACGTGGATGACATTCCAGTGATGACCTTAGATCTTGGCGACCACATTTCTTCAAAGCCGCGCAAGGGCGAGAAAAAGAGCAAGAAGAGCAAGAAGCACCGCAAGAGCCGCGTTAGGTCTCCATCACCGCCACCCGTTTTGGTAGACATTGCCGACGACGAGGACATGCCTGGGGATGCTCCAAATGGCAAGCAACTACGATCAACCGAGCCGTCGCTTTCTCCTAGAGAAAACGATTTGGCCGGGAAAAGCTTTTCAGCACAACGGGAGGGTGCAACGGGCAGCTCGTAGCCTTGTATTCTCTAATCATCCTGCACAAATTAACACAACACAATAACAACTGCGATCATGTCGATATGCGTGGCTTATTTTTAGCAACAGTCGATTATTATTAATTTCCCAATGCTACTGTGCCTGAACGCATACTCGCCGACTCCATATTATTTGCATTGTTGTTACTGCCTCTGCCCGTCGACATTTGTTGTCTCGATTTCGCCTGCGTGACCATCATTTTATATTGTTTATTTGTTTACTGTGTCAAGGACAAGAATAACGACAAGAATTAATTGCGAATGAAAACATGATATTGACACCTGCCTGCCTTTCTCCCATGTTGTATTTGCGCTCATTTATTTGTTTTTATTTTCTGCTCACAGCTTTTGTTCGAGCAGCAGCAGCAGCTACACACACATACACACAGACAGACATATTTTTTGTTTACTTGTTCCACTTGTCGACTTGTTTTCATCACTCCCTAAATATTTACATCTACTCATTTTTTATTACCAGCCAATTAGCTAGCAAAAGGCCCTTAGCAAATAAATTACTTTTTTGGATATGGCCATGGGCTTGAATAAGAAAAATCAGCAAGCGCCCGTCGCCGATGCATCATCGCCATCACCAGCATTAGCGACACCAACAGCAACTGCGTCGGCTCCGTCTGTGTCACTGGGATGGCGATTCCCCCAGCGCGCGGATCCAATGTCGCTCGCAAAACCAAGTGGTCACCACATTATCCATGCCAACATGAAGGATGGTATCGATAAGCTCAACGAGTACCTGCGCAACGAGACTGAGCACAACTCGGGCAAGCCAGCGCACAACGATGGGTTAAGTACAGCGGGAAGACTTTCGCCACTCCACTCCACGGTCTCTGATTATCATGGTTTGCGCGCAGCGCCGCAGCTCAGGAGAAAGGTTGGGAGCGTAACTAATTACTCATGGCACTCTTTGACGCAGCTGGATGGCGATCAGGGGCTACGGCAAATGCGCGCTGCATCGAATGGGAGTCGAACAGTCAGAGCGAATGACATGCTTGGGTTCCCGGACGGTGCTGAAGAAAATGTAGCTGATACATGTCCGGGTCATCTCATTGCATCGCCGCCAACAAGGCGGCAGATCTCGGGCGACAGTGCCCACCGGGATATTGGGGTGTTTGGCAGCACCAGCACTGATGAGATCGTTATTCTGGCCGCTCAATCGCCGCCAATAAACTTTTGTCATAGTCCGGCATACATGCGCAACTCTAGCAGAATGCACGGTTCTACAACAGAGAACACGGATGCAAACACGATTACCGACCTGTACATTGACGACTCTGGTGCGGAAAGCATGCATGATTCGGCCCATGGAGGAAGGAACCGTAGACGGTGCAGTAACACCGGCAGTAATTGCGATAGTACAAGCAAACTTTGTATAGCGAGTGGTTTGGCGATATTGCCGTTGGCCACAGGAAATTCCCTATCAGATGCAGACATATTGGATGCTGCGTCAGTTCCACTCCCCAAAACACCCAGCACCTTTTACAGCGGCAGCAGCGGCGACAATAGAAGCAGGAGCAGTAGCATCAACGACTCCACTTCAAGCTCTGAAAACGGAAAGTGTTGCAGGAGGATAGGCATGCAGCATGAACTGCCTCAGCGGCTCATCTGCTGTTTGCAGGACGAGTTTTCGAGCAGTGTGCAGAACCAGGAGCTCAGAACAACAAACCTGCTGCAAGAAGCCGAAGACCGGTTTAAACATTTATTGGCCGACCAGGATATGCATTTTTCTCAGAAATTAGCCGAGCAGCAGCAGATGCACTCTCGGGATCTTAGCCAGCGCGAGCAAGCCTTGCAGCAGCCAATAGAACTTCTTCGTCGCGAGTTGGCTAGCGTCAGCGCCGAGCGTGATGAGCTGCATGCCATGCTTGATGACTATGTTATGACATCAAGCAAGCTGATTGAGCACAAGGACGCTGAAAACAGCGGCCTCAGCCATGAATTGGGGAAAATGGCGGTGGAGCGTCAGCGGTTGCATAAAAAGATTCAAGAGTACGATGCACATGTCCGGGCATTGTCAAACGAGCGTTCAGAGGCACAGGAGCGCGTTGACGCATTGGCCGCTGAAAACCTGAAGCTGGAGAATCAAAACAGCAATCTTGGCAGCGATGTAATGGTCGCTGAGGAGCGCAATGCAAGGATCAGGGAGCTGGCAGAGGCAACACTGGCCCAGGCTAACGCCGAAATTTCCCGACTACAGCAGGAGTCCGAGCGCGCATACTTAGAAGTAGCAGCGCTGCGTTCAAGTGCAGCCAAGACCGACACTAGAGCCAGGTCGCTTCAGATTCAGCTCGACTCTACAAAGCGGCAAAACGAGGAGCTATTGTCACTGTGTGAGCGCTTGGAAACATCAATCTAAGTCTGTACTCTTCGCATTTCTCCATTTTTATAACATGTATTGCAGTTACAATTGCGCTGCTGCGTTTTTTCTAAAAATAATTGTTTACGAAATTTATTAAACACGCAAACCCTCACAACAGAGAGGAAATAAAAAATGTTTGTCGAAAAAGTATTAAATAAATGCTAGCAAGCTGGCTAGAAACTTAAAAGTAGACATTGGCGCTTTGACGCTTAGAACATGGCAACACCAGCCATGAGCGCAAGCGCAAGCATGGATCCAGCGACCGAGGAGGCAGAGCTGGTGGACGACTGCTCGTGGACGTAGCTTCCGCTCATGCTCTCATAATCGAGGTCGCCGAGGTCGCTCAGATCCTCGCTGCTGGTGCCAAGGTTGTGGTTGAAAACGCTCTGGCTGTGGATGGCAGCGGCCTGCGACGCCTTGTTATCAGCAACATGGTGTGAGTTCACTGCATTCAGTGAAGCCTGAGCAGCGCTAAGCGAAGCTATGGCTTCGGCCTGAACTGAGTTGAGAGTCTGTGAGGGGAAGGGGATAGAATTGGCGGCGGCGGCAACGGTGGCGACAGCGGCAAGAACAAAGGTCTTCATTATAAATGGCAGGATGTTGGATTGAGTTTGAATGACTTGGGAAGCTTGGGTACGGGAAATGGCGCTGGTGATAATTAGCAATAAGAATGCAATGTATATTAGTGGGAATATCGAGAAAATTACGAGAAAAGAAAGAGAAAGTACTTGGAAAAGATGTCTGGTGTTGAAGGGTGTTGCAAATTTAACGGTTGCGGCGGCAAAGGGGGAAAGGTAGGAAAATAGAGAGAGGGAGTGTGTAGTCAGTTAAAGTATTACCAATTTGTGCTAAACGCAGTTGAGCTCGATGTCCCGCGCTTGTATTTTATGAGCTGGCTCAACATTTGCTTCACTGTTGCTACCTTCACTTTATCCCTCCCTCCCTCCCTCCATTGCTTCCTTTTATCTGAGCTGTATTATCAAATTCACTCTCCATCGTCCTTTGTGAAAGCGCCTTGTTCTGATTTTACTTCGCCACTATGACACTTATGTTTTGTCCTTTGTCAACACAAGCTGGCCACAAAAAAAGCGAATATCATAGAAGCCTTTGTTGTGCGCATGGATTTTATTTCATTGTCCGTTGTATTTGTTTTATTTGCTGCATTTGATTGTTTGTTGGCAGAAAAATCTCGCACATCCTTTGCTGGCCGTGCGTGTATTTAATTTAATACACGGCTCATTTAACATCCCAATTCAATAGTAAAGTAAAATACGTGTTAATTTGTAAATGTTTCCCAAATATCACCGGAAACCATATTTTATTGAGTTCAATTTTGGCATGTTTCTCGCAAAAGGATATGGTCTGTTTTATTATATTGATACGGCAGCGCATTCCAAGACATTTTAAAGACTAATATCCAGTTCTGGCCCGCATCATGCATTCTCCGCCGTTATCCGAATTGGCCAGGTTATTGTGTCGCAAAACCTTCTGTCAGCCTTTTAAATAAATCCATGCAATACGAATTGTTTTCAACAATAATGTTGCGTTTCTGGAACGCTTTGCTTCGTCCCGTGTTTATGTATTAATTTTTTTGGATGAATGGTCTGAGAAATAACAGTATTAGCACGTGTAATAAATAAGGATCTTTACCAAGGCTTGGCTGTCATTTTGATATACAGATTCCTGGAAACGAAGGGCTTTTCAAAACAAAACAAAACACATATAAAGCCCCCAAGTGGCGCTGTATTGAACTGAATGTTCTTTTTTGGTTTAATAAATTCACCAAGCACTCGATAATTGTAACACATAATATTTGGAGACAAGCTGGCAACTAAACCAGTTGTGCATTTGAAGAGACTGTGATTAATGTATCAGTGATATAACTGATCAAGCAATTTAGCTCAGGAACTGCGCATTGCGGAAGGAAACAGAATGCTCAACAAGAAACAGATGCGGTTCATTATTTTGAGCTTGTTGTTTTATTCGTAGTGGCTTTGAAGGTTTTTATATAACTGTGGATGTGGAGCAACTCTCTTCGTTGCGTTACCGTGCCCCCACTCTTTCTTTTTCCTCGCAGACTCATTATTTGTTGGTATATCTTTGATTTCCCATCTTTTGCATTTGCATTTGCACACTCGCATACACGCACACACGCTTCACCCCCCCCCCCCCCCACATCAGCGTTTTTTCTTTAAAATACTAACTCAGAATACTAACATTGTTCACATTAAGAATATTTTTGCGCGTCGTGTCTGACTGCCAAGGCATGGGTGAGCACACCGGCGGCCGTCCTGAAAGACAAACTAGCTGGCGCGCTGGCCTGCAAACTGTTAGTGACGGCAGAAGTGGCCGCGATTTCAGTAACCCTGATGTTGCAATGAATGTCAGACAAGTCATCACAACGAGCAGTGATGGATCAGCTTCCTCTAGCAGGCAGAATCAAACACGTTCATGTTATTTTGCTGACTCTTCTACCAGGCTGAATGAGGAGTACGACACTGACAGTGGCAGCAGCAGCAACAGCAGCAGCAGCAGTAACCTGTCCTACGTGTCGCACAATATTCCTAACAATATGCGCAACTCTTTGGACAGTGATAACAGCAGCCTTTCACTCCAGAGCCATCGCGAAAATCCCTACCAGCAAGGGCTCCGGCGCGAGCTTCAAAGTCTCCAAGAAAATAACAGGGTGCTGCGTGTCGAGTTGGCTGCACAAAATGTAAAGTTGGAGTTGTCTGCCAGTGTCATGGCACACATTGAAAACTCGCTTGCGTGCTCGATCTGCATGGACGCGTTTACGCATCCGCACTCGCTCGCTTGTGGCCACACCTTCTGCCAGGAGTGCCTGCTATCGTGGCTTCTTCGAAACAAGAAGTGTCCCGTGTGTCGGGTTCCAGTCATTAAGCAACCAGCAGTGGCCTATGTAGTACAAGATATCACCGCCTGTCTCAACACACGTGCCGTAGAGGGAGTGCTAACCACGCCCTCCATCGAAAGCAATGTGAGAGAGGGAGCGCCAACCACGTCCTCCATCAGAAGTGACGCCAGAGCCAGCAATCCATGGGTGCGCGTGTTTCCTCCTAGACTAGCAAGTGACAATGGTATAAGACCGAACTCACCGTTTATTGTCCCTGCTTCTTGGGAACGGATTCCCACGGCTAGTCTAGTCCCTTGTTTGGCCGAATTGCTGGGCATAATGGGCCAGCAACGAGCCTTGATTTCTCAGCTTCGTCATTTTGCAACTAGCCCGCGGCCAGGCGTATCTCGCCACCATACGGACTTGGTTTACGAGCAAATTAGTACGTCTGAACGGCAGATCGCTCTGACTAACCAATTGCTTACGGTAGCACGCAACTACTTTAGATCTACCGCGCAGCCTGCAACAGCTCGTACACAGCCTGCTGGTGTGGCCCAGAGCCCGGCCACAGGTGCCCCTCACAGGGCTCCTGAGCAAACAGCAGCTGGCTCACAGCCAGCAGCAGCCCACCCACAGCCTGCGACATCCCGTTTGCAGCTCCCAGGAGTTCATCCACAGCTCCCAGAAGCTCGTCAACAGCCTGCTGGTATGGCCCAGAGCCCGACCACAGGTGCCCCTCACAGGGCTCCTGATCAAACAGCCCATAATCAAACTGAGAATGAAGCCCCAAGCGAACCGAGCCAGCAGGGTCCACGCTCAAGTATATCCTTTATATATACACTGAACTTTGAGGAGCTCCGAGACATGCTATTCAGGAACGCTTCTGAGCACGGATTTAGCGCTGAGAGAACTGCCCGCATGTTAGATCAGTTGAGGCAAAGGTTTTCTGATACGAATGTTTACCCTCTATTTCCAAGAACGTTTAACCACAGTGATGTGAATGCGATGAGCTCTTCCCAGACACCCCGCAGCCCTGATCAGACTAGCCGTACTGAGATCCAAGAAACTGAAGCAACGCCCACTCGCCCCAATCACAGCGAGCCACAGCCAAGAGCGGAAGAGACTCGGCCCGCAACGCACGAGCTGCGTAGAGGCTACATGGATGCGCGGGTTTGGAATCAGCGCGCGGAAGATTCAAGGGTTCGGATTTCTCGTTCTTTTCCCCCAGTGCGTCGTGAAAATGAGGAGATTCCCCCTTGGAGAACCAGATCGGTGTTCCCGAGCGAGGACGATTAGTTTTTTGTGTAACGACTTGAAATTTTTATTTTTGATTGATCGGCTGTATTTTCATTTTTTAGTATTGAATGTCCATCACAGCAGTTTGGTTTTCCCTTTCTTTTTTGCTTTGTTTATTTTTTGTAATATTTTTCCATTCCATTTTTCCATTTTTCCATTTCGCATTTTCTGCATTTCTTTTCCGACTTTAATTCTAGGCTTTAAGAAACAGACTATCGGTATATTCTTATTCAACCTCGTTTATATTCAAACAAAACATTTCCATTATAAAGGCCCAGATTTTGCCAACAACAAAAGGTACTTTATTCTTACATTTTGACTACTTAGTCCACTGCAAAAAAACACCAACCTTTTGCAGCTTTCAATTTCTAATATTGTATTGCACATTTGCATTTCACACATTTTATACTAGTTCTCATTACAGAATGGACCGCGATTCCGAGGCGGAGACAGTTCTTGCGGATGATGACTGGCTCAACACATCGACAGACAACGCCCATGGGCGTCGCAGCCGGCGACAGCACCAGCCCGCCACCGAAAGAGAGACCTTTGAGTCATTCAACGAGGAAGAGCTATTTTCGCCAAGCGGCTCGCTGAGCAGCCTACATGAGTTTAGTGAAAACGACAGCGACAGTGCGACTTCTGAAAACAGTGCTCGGAGCAACAACGACTGCGATAGAAGTGGACCTATTATTAGAAACGGCCTGACAAACTCTGTGCGCGACCGTCTGGGCAGCAATGGATCAGCTCATGCTGTCGATGCAGCTGTCTCTTCGGCGATACATACTGAGAGCGAGGTGGACGTGGATGGCGATGATGGACGCGGTGCGGCATATCTGGGAAATGTGCGAAAACCGTCGACCTTGCGGGAAGCAAGCCCCCTGTTGTCTCTGTCGACTTGGCAGATGCACCGGGGCCGCAAGGTTATTGCCGACGACGACGATGATGAAGACGAAGTTGGTGACGGTGCTGTCGCTGCTGCTGCCGCTGCTGCTGCTGATGCTGCCAGTGAAGACGACGCTGATATAGAGGATGGTCCCAGCAGCAAGGGCCGGCGAAAAAGGCTTAAATCCGAGCCAGGGTCGCGCAGACATCTACCTGCCAATCCTAATATTGGCACTTTGGGGCAGCAGAGCTCAAGGTCCGCTTCTCCACAACGAATGGCAAATCATAATGAGTTGATGGAGACTTCACAGCGCAAGCACAGGCCCAGCAAGCGGCGAAAGCCCCGATACGACGAACCCGATTATATTGACAGCAACGGCTCCCCCCAGCTGGTTTATTTTGCCTCCAAGGGTGATGTCGAGACGTGCCGCAAACTGCTCCTACGCGGTGCCTCGATTAACAGCGCCGACACACACGGCTGGACAGCACTCCATGAGGCCTCCAAACACAGCCATATCGGGATACTCGACCTGCTTTTAAAGCCCCCGACGCGCGCACGCCAGCACTCAGAAATCGAGCCCGGAAGCGATGGCAGCACCGCCTCGGACCCTTCAGAGTCCCGGCTTGTGAGGCAGCTGCGCTCGCCACTTCCCAATATGAATGCAACCACGCTCCACTCCCGACTGACACCCTTGCACCAGGCTGTGGTGAATGAGGATCTGCAAGCGGTGCGCTTGCTGCTAGACAATGGTGCGAGCACCAGTATCTCGAACTCACGTCAGCTGACACCTTTAGACACGTGCTCCGATGAGAAAATCGCACGGCTGCTTACCGACAGGGCAAAGACACAACGTTTGATTTCATCACGCGACAAAGCTGGTCAGACAAAGCTTCATCGCGCGTGCAATGCGGGGGACTTGGAGCAGACCATCAGCTTGGTTAGCCAAGGCGCCGACATCAACATGAAAGACAACGCCGGCTGGACGCCGCTCCATGAGGCTGCGCTCGAGGGACACAATTCAGTGGTGGTTGCTCTGCTGCGGCGCGGGGCCGACCATTCAGCGAAGGGCTTTGGTGGCGACACGCCCTTGCACGACGCCTGCGCCAATGGCCACTACGACGTTGTGCGCAGCCTACTAGTGGTGGGCGCCGATCCGCAGCTCAAAAACAGCAAAGGGATTACGGCAGAGGATATGGCGCTGGAGGAGGAGCAGGACGAAGTGCTGCAGCTGATTGAGCAGTATCGTCGTGGGCGGCCGCGAATATCCCAGCGGCCATCTCAGACGAACATCAACGCTGTAGTGGCGGGCAAGGCTATTGATTTGGGCAAGGGCAAAAGGCGCGTTGTTGACAGGCCCCTGCCACCAAAGCGCTCTATTAAGGGCAATTCAAGAAGGGCCGGCAGCAGCAGTAGCGATTCTGGCTCTGGTGGTTCTGACGATGGTGTTGTTGCCTCTTCCAAAGACTCGGCCCGTGTGGTCGCCAAACCGCCGCCAATTAAGTCCAAAAAGAGCATCACCAAGGGTGGCAGCGGCAGCCAGGAACGCCGCTCCCAGTCTGTGCAATCTCGGCGGTCAGCTAGCCCCGACGCCAACGCGTCGAGTACTCAGAAGCGGGAGTTGCTTGCACTCAAGCGGCTTCGCAAGGAGGCGGAGAAGCCGCTGGTGAACTACTATTTCACGTCTAACACCTCGAAACTGTCGCGGGATGAGCGCAAGCTGCAAGTGCTGATGGGTACAATCGAGCGCATGGAGAAGAGGAAACCGAAGGAGAAGGAGAAGCAGCGCCAGTCATTGGGGAATATCGGCGCTGCATCGGTACATAATATTGCGGCAATAGCAGCAGACGATACAGTGCTTTCAGCCGGCCACGACATGGGTACGCGCGAGGATGCCAATGGCGCAAGTGGTGCGAACGACGGGGATGACTGCGTACGTGGCCGCCAGTCATCAAGGAGCATATCACCAAGACGCAGGCGCGGCCGCCCACCAAAGAAGCGCATCATTGATGACGATGATGATGACAGAGACGTGGATGACGATGTTGCGTGCTCGCCTCAAAAGCAGCAGCCTGCTTGGCAGGGCAGCGCCAAGCGGCCCCGAAACGCAATTGAGACGATAGAGCCACTTGCAGACAGCGGTAATAGACCGCATGGGCGGCGCTCGGTCATCACCATTGACGGCACTGGCAGCAAGACAAGGGGTGCTGTGCAAGGCACCATTCAGCCCGATTCCATGGTGGTGACCAGTGTGACGCCAACAGTCAATATTAAAACCGAACCTGTTGGCGCCGCGCCTTCAATATCAAACTCAAAACAGCAGCAACAGCAGCCTGCTGTGACTACAAATGGCACCAGAGGAGAGATACAGCCGCGCAGTCGGTCGTCCAGCTCGCATCGAGATAAGTCGGCGAAGCATCGCTCGGAAGGCGGTCGGACGATTGTCGAGGACCCAACGGCTGCTGGGCTTCGGCGAGCAGATAATATCACGCCAGAATCTATCGCTGCGCAAGCGATACGGTATTTGCCCCTGTATACCATCCAGCTGCATTGTGATCCACCAACTTCCAAGCTAGACTACTTTGTTGTGGACTTGCAAATTCGCCTGCTCCTGGGCATGCCCATCGATACGCCGAGCGGCATGGGTTCTGGCGTCAACAATGAAGACAACGACAGCGACAGTGTCGACGAGCCCGATGCCAACCCCTTGTTTGAGGTGTACCCACATATCTATCGGCAGCGCATCACTGACTCTCAAAAGGAGCATCTGTGGGAGCCGCTGGCAGGCATGTTTGTGTCCAACCTGCAATTCATTCATGAGACGACGAAGGCTGGAGATCACGCTGTCTCGTCAAAGACTTTTAATGACCTACCCTGCTCTAGTGAGTCCAGCGTCGACAGCGAGTTGGTCAGCCAATTTACGCTGCACGAGAAGAAGAAATTTGTGGCGCTCAGTCTGTATTTTGTCAAGCTTGACGAGATTGTGGAGCTGGTTCGCCGAGATTACCCGAAAATCAGCCAGCAACTGATCACCATATCTCTTGATCTCAGTACCATGGGCATTGCCGAGATGGCGCTGCCGTTGCCGAGGGGACAGCCGCCCAAGCTGGCGGTCAAAGCGGTCAGGCGAAGCGAGACCCAGATCGAGCGTCCGGCGTGGAACGGGCCCCAAAATATGGTTCCTCTCAAGTACGCACTGAAGCTGCACTATCGCAACAGCCTGACGTTCGACAGCAGCAATTCTGGCGCCCAGACTGGGGAATCGGGCACATCATGACGTAAATATATTTTTTATTTGCCACCCTATGGATCATGCTTGGTGATCTAGGCATTGATGCTTTTTATGCGCAGCTCTTATCTTTGTTTTTGCTGATTATCATAGCACAAACCGGCATTTTGCAGCAACATATTTTGAGTTCAGCATCGTATAAATGGTGGTGGTATCGGACGCGCAAATTTTTTGTGGGATTAAAAAGTACACGTTTATTAAAAGTTTTCACTTCAAAAAATTATATACGCCGATATTCATCAATTCATACTAAAAATGACGCCTCAGATTACTCGCATCTCGCTCAAGGATTATGTTCCCAAGGGACATGCCACTCTATCGGACTTTGTAATCGAACAGGTGCCGACTCCGACGAAGGATCAACTCAAGGATGGCCAAATCATTTTGCACCCGCTCTATCTGTCTGTTGATCCCTACCAGCGCGGCCGTCTCTCGGGCGCCAAGGGAAGCTACGTCGAAAGCTACGTAAAGGGCGACACGATCACCAACTTTCTTGTTGGCAAGGTGACTGCGTCAGCCAGCAAGGATCTTCAGGAGGGAGACTTTGTGCTGGACAACCATGGCAAGTGGCAAACCGAATACATTGTCGATGCCAAGGATGTCTCCAAGGCACCCAAGCTCGACGGCATTTCCCCTGAGGATTTTGTCGGCGTTCTCAGCATGCCGGCATTCACTGCCTACTATGGAGCTGTCGTTTTGGCCAAGCCCAAGGCCGGTGAGACTATCCTTGTCTCGTCGGCATCTGGAGCCGTCGGCCAGATGGTCGTTCAGCTGGCCAAGGCCAAGGGACTGCGTGTTGTGGGTGTTGCGGGATCCGATGACAAGGTTGAATATGTCAAGAGAATTGGCGCCGACGCCGCGTTCAACTACAAGACATGCGGCAACTTTGTGGACGCGATCAAGCAGGCTGCGCCCCAGGGCATCGACATCTACTTTGACAATGTCGGCGGCGAGTTTTTGGATGCCGCGCTGGCAAACATCAAAGACCATGCACGCATCGTTATTTGTGGGGCAATCTCTCAGTATAACATTTCGTCGCCTGAAGAGGCTTACGCAATAAAGAATCTGACTAATATTCTTATCAGAAAGGCGTCGATTACTGGCTTTATCATTCTCGAGCACTTCAACACGCCGGATCATGAGAACTTTGTCAAGGAGGTGACCAAGTTGCACAAGGAGGGCAAGATTAAGTACAGAACGACCGAAACAAAGGGCCTTGAGAACGCTCCGCAAGCCCTGTTGGATTTGTTTTCGGGGAAGAACTTTGGCAAGAGCATCGTCAAAGCCTAAAATAAATTATTAATGATTTATTTGGTTATTTTCAAGTGACATTTAAAATTTTCAGCCACATATCAGCTAGGATGCGGATTCATCATACAAAATGTGTGTGCTGTGCAATTACATTCCGCTAATGGAATAATTTTGCTAATGTCTCAAAATATATATATTCTCACCAAAAAATCCCGCACATCGACAAGCTGTCAAAATGCTGCGAAAATAGTATTTCAACTCGGTTTTCTAAATCCCACTTGGAACAAAATAAACAACATAGGAATTTATGCATACGTGTATTTAATTGCATTAGCTTTATGTCTTTGTTTTCTTCTCTCAGCTTTCATCTGCTATCCATATCGGCTGCATAGCTGCTACAATTGGAAATGGAATTTGATTTGGTGTCCCCAACACAAAAAAACAGAGCGAGCAGCATTGCATGCCATGGCCGCAGCACTGCCGCAGTCACAAGTTGTGGACTCTTGTGATGTTTTTATCTATATTGCCGTATCAAATGAAGTCTCGCTACCACCAATACCCAAGTTTCTTTGATGCATTGACTTATAGCAATATATACATTAAAAATGCAAACCCAGTATTTTTATTTTAGATACAAATATGTCGATACGGCGAACCTTTATCTTTTGCACAAGTATAAAAGTCCTGTTGAAGACGCGTAGTATAAAAAATCACTTAATTTGACTTCCAATTACAAGACTATTATTACAATTACGCCCGTATTTAATTCATTTTTATTGTATACCTATGACTACGCCATCCACCGAAAAAGATAAACGAACGAGTGCCACACCCATTCTCAGCTGGAGCAACCTTGATTATGACGTCAAGACCAAGCAGCATGGAGTGCGACGGATTCTGCATGGCCTCAGCGGCAATATCTATTCCGGCGAACTAGTTGCCATCATGGGCTCGTCTGGAGCAGGCAAAACCACACTCCTCAACATTCTCTCGGGCCGTGTCCAAGGCGGCCGCTTGTACGGCGACATCCAGTTCAACGGCGCCAAGCGCAATCCGCACACTTTCAAGCGACTCTTGGCTTTTGTTGAACAAGACGATCTCATGTTCCCGCAGCTGACTGTTGAAGAGACGCTAATTGCGTCGGCTGAGCTGCGACTATCCAACAAAAAGTACTCCAAGGAGGAAAAATGTGAGCGTGTATCCGCGGTTATGCGCCAGCTGCGACTTACGCATATCAGGGACACTGCCATTGGTGGATATGGAACCCGCGGTGTTTCAGGGGGCGAGCGCAAGCGTGTGAGTATCGGCTCAGAGCTTGTCACGGATCCGTCCATTTTGGTTCTGGATGAGCCGTCATCGGGACTTGACTCGTCGTCGGCCGAAATGGTTGTTAGCCTGACCAAGGAAATGTCCAGGGAGCGCGACCTCTGCACACTGATGACCATCCATCAGTCCAGTGCCGAGATGGTGGCCAAGTTTGACAAGCTCATTATTTTGGCGCAGGGCAAACTGGTGTACATGGGACCAGCTTTTCAGGCGCTGCCGTACTTTGAGAACCTTGGGTTCCCGTCGACCAACTCCAACCCGGCTAATTTTTTTATTGACCTGACCACCGTTGACTTTTCGTCGGACGAGGCCATGCGCAAGAGCGAGCAGCACATCCAAACGCTGTCAGATTCGTTTATCAAATTCCGTGCTAGCGGCGGGCAGCTGCCATTGTCAGACTTTAAGAACTCTTATGCATCGATAGCCACTGCAAGAAACCTGAAGTCTGAGTCTGAGCACAGCAACCTCAATATTAACATTGACATCACGCAGGAGGAGGCCAGCTTAGTTCTGTATGAGCCACCGCCAATGAATGACTGGCTGAGCGAGTTTTGGATTCTGCTCAAGCGCGACTGGACTCTGCTGAAGCGGCACCGATCCATGATATACGGTCTACTGGCACAGTGCATTGCATCGACGATATTTATTGGCTTTGTCTTTTTCCAGATGAAAACCGACCAGGCATCCATCCAGAACCGCGTCGGAGTGTTGTTTATGTTTGCCCTTCTGTGTACGTTCCCCGTTATTTTCCCTGTTGTGTCAATCATTATGACTGGCCGCAGTGTGCTGTTGCGCGAGCGCTCCTCTGGCACCTACCGCATGACGAGCTATTTCTTTGCCAGATCGCTGAGCTTTTTCCCGCTGGTCTTTGTGCCGTACATCTTCACCTATATCGGCATCTACTTCCTTGTGCACTTTCAGTACGATGCAGCCAAATTTTTTATTGGCATGGCCAACATGTTTGCCATTCTGTTCACCTCCATTGGGTTTTCTTTTGGGCTCGCGATGATTGTGAAGAGCATGGAGGTTGCTTTCATTATTGCGCCCGTCACCATCTCCAACCTCATGCTGTTTGCTGGCAACCTGTCCAACGCCAAGGCCATTACCCCTGTTCTGAGCTGGATCAAATACGTGTGTATGTATTACTACTCGTACTCCGCATTTATGCAAAACGAATTCAATGGTTTGGAGTTTTCATGCACCTCGGATGACACTGCTTGTTACAAGACGGGCGAGTCCGTGATAGAATCGTACGGCCTGAACGAGCAAGCGATCTGGCTGTGCATTGTGATAAACTTGGCAATTGGTATAGGGCATTATGTCATCGCCTATGTGTTCACACGCTGGCTGGCAAAACCGCGGTACCTGTGGATTTGAGCATTGCTTTTTAATTTTTTAATTGACTTGTTTTGGTAAATGCACTCATACTATTCGTTTGAACGAGTAGACATCACACAATCAGCCAGTTTAAACCCCCTGAACTTTGCTCTTTGCAAGCCCGTCCTATAACCTGGCCGAACGCAGGTGAAGGGTTTGCACTATGCGAACTCCTCCTGCCCAACTCAATCATGGCATGAGCACCTTTTTGGCTGATTTGCATTTAATCATTTTGAAAACCCTTCCTTGTTATATTTCCATATTTTACGTCATTAAAATTTACAATGGCAGACGGTTTGCGGCGCGTGTTTATTGATTACTGTGGAGCAAATAAGCAGACAAACAACAGAGCAAAATTTCAGCGGGATTTTGTGCAGCAGCTCCACGTATTGCGACTGGTAAGGCGAGGAAGATACATGTAACCGACTTGAAATACAACTTTTTGCATAAAAAGCACCGTGGTTGAATTACTGAATAGCTATTACAAACACACGTGCGTTTGTTTGTGTGTTGATTTACTCTCTACCAACTAGCAACTGACACGATGTCATAGTGCGTACGAGTGTGCAAAGTCGCTCCCTGAACTCGGACCACTTTTGACCACACTGGCCCGATCACGCGTGGTGGCGCAAAATGGACAGATGTGCCGGGCGGTCGTTGGAACAGCCATGGAGTATAGCAAAGTGCTGTGCCAGGGCGTGTACTCGAACCAAAAGTAAGTGTGCTGTTGATTCCATTGACCATGGCCAACAATGTTTACATTTTGATTATATCATTCGACTCATACCAGCAGATGTTGCATCTGGTTTTAGGGCGTCGGCATGGCTGTCGCAGTTAGTTAAATCTATGCTGGGCAATCCGGGGCAAACAGATACTACACTTTGGCTGCAAAACATGGCTGTATCCAGCGATTATGTCAACACACAGCGGTTTATCCTGCGGCACATGGTGCAGATGGTGAGACATGAAAGCACAAAGTGGGACAGGGCAAAATGCTGTCAGTTGTGGAGGGAGGCATTCTCGCTGTGCAGCAGTGATGAAGACAGTGTGTCCGAGCTTGTCGCCGAGCTCATTCCTGGTCTGGATAAAACCGGATGGGCGGTTTTGGAAGGACACGAATTGGTTGCGTCATACGGCGTTATATTGCTTGTCAGAATGCCATTGGAAATGTCGCTAGAGTAGGTATAAAATGGGTGTTAAGTCGAAATGCTACTTGTACATTGTACATTGCAATGTATTTTTGTTGTACATGCGCCAACATTTAAATGTGGATGTTATCTGACAATGTTACTGCATATATGCTCTTAGACTATGGGGACGGATGTCTAGGATACGCGCTCAATTAGTAAGTAACAAAATAAATTTGTGCTTGTTTTTTTGCCATTTGGTTTGGATACCATCTGCTTGACACCTGTCATATGGAGAGCAATATCTAAAAATATACATTTGTGGACATTCAAGGATCTAACAACGCTACTGCTTTATATTGTGTAGGTGTTTTACATATTGTCAGAGCCCTGCACTAAGGGTCTACTGACAGACAGTACAGCATGTAGCGTGCTTGCAGGAGACAGTCAGCTGCCAAAGTTACTACACAGGATTTTCGCTACTGACTCGCTAGCCAGCCAATTTGTGCAGGACATCTCGAAGTTGGTGTTGGCAACAAGAGACACCCGAGTGGTTGACATGTGGAAGCGGGTTTGCCGCAAAAACCTCGACGCCATGCAAGCAAACAAAGCAGAGGCAAGTTGCAAGTAGCAAATAGCAACATAATGATTGGTAAATACGTGTGAATTGTATTTCAGCGCATATGAGCTAATAGTTCACATCATTTTGACTATTGTGTAGATGTTTGGCGGTCATTCGGGTGGTCATATTGTCGAATTGTTTGGATCCATGACAATGGAGCCCGCACATTTGAAAGGGCAGTGGGATTGTGTGTTGGGTGCCAGGCATGCTTTGCCCGTCGAGCGAATCTCGCTGTGGCTGGGCGTTGTTGCTGTGGCGAGCGATGACTTTTCTTTTGCAGTTCTTGACTGGCATTTTGGAGCAAAATCGATGGAAAGGCTAGGAATTGCCAATGATCACAATATAAAGTCAATACCGACACGGCAGGTAAGCTATTATCTCTCTTATTTTTGCTCTTGCCACATGTCGTTTTGTTGGAGCCATTCCATCTTTCCCCAGGCCTTATGGCTAAATAAGATGATCGACTTTATTTTCAATTAGCTTTTTCTTCCACACTAATACAACGAAACGATTAACGAAATGTAGGAATCCAGCTACACCAGCTTCGTCATTGGGCGAGAAATAGCGCTAGAAGTTGCAGCATTCGCATGGGCGCCGTTGAGCCGCCCGGCCGTGGCTAAGAGCAGCGTACTGGCAGAGTGGGCGCTGCGCAGTAGCCCGGCCCAGCAGCAGCAGTAGAGAAAGTTACAAATTGTGAGCTTTAATATGCCTGTTTTCATTTGGAAATAAAGTGATAACCTGTACGCAGTAAAGAAATTTTCTCGCCAAATAGTACACTTGCGAGCAGCGCAGGCAGAGAGACAGGGAGAGAGAAACAAAAGGCTCAGAGCGGGGATATCGCAGAATTGGGGCAAAGACAAATGAAGGTAAAATCAAGAAGCAAAGAAACATCAGTATAACCCGCCATAATGCCGCCCAAAACGAGCGCTGGGCCGCTTGGGAATGGAACAGCCGATCACGCTAAATGAAATAATTATTTTGTTTTGCAGTGTGCCAAAGAGAGCAAAGCAAAGCAGAGAACAACAATAATAATAATAATAATAATAGAAGAGTATTGAATTAATCGCGCCTTTTTTATTTGCACGCGTGAGCAGGCGGCACTTAGCGCGCACATGCCCACCCTTTTTCCAGTTTATTTTGGCGATTTCCATTTGCAGAGGTGGATGGCCTTTTGACAGCAGAAGCAGGGCGAGAAGCAGGACAGAAGGCACGGGTTTTTCTGCTTAATTTATTTTAGTATCACTGCAATATCAGAGCGTGTCTGTCGCATATCAGTAAAAAAGGAGGGAAAACAGCCTTTAAGCAAGCACCAGAATAAAAAGAGATTTAGGCACGCAAGCATACGCGCTCTGGCCAAGGCACATAATGAAGTAAAGGAAGAGTGGTGCTTGTTTATTTGCGGGAAAAGGCAAACAATGCGGCCTGAGACAAAAAATATACGAAAAAAGCACTCAAAATACACACACAAGCGAGCAGCCACTGCCTGAGCAATAAGCAATAATTGCCAAGGGAAATAAAAGAGGTTGCAAACAGACACTGTCACGTAAAACCTCACCCCCTCTCGCACACCAATACTATTTTCTGTGCATTTGGTTGTTTGGCTATCATCACTCTGCATTTCAATCATTTGGAAATGTCTGAAAATTCAAATCGCACAATTGCAGGCAGCCGGCGCCTGGCCATTGGCTGGATTGCAATGTCCAAACTCGATTTTTAAAAATCGACTTTACGCGCCTCCCCTCTCCTTTTTTCCATTCTGTCCATTCTCAAACCCACACAAGGCAGGTCTTTTTGTCATAAGATTCGCTTAATGCCGCGCGCCTTGCTTGTATGCTCGCTTGCTTTTGTGAGCTTGCAGTTAGCCAGCGCAGGGAAATGAGAGCGCGTTTCGCGCTTTCCCACTCGCCCAACCCCCCTTTTTTACCATCGGACAAAAGGCAGCACTTTTTTCTTCGTTGCTGCTGCTGCTGCTGCTGCTGCGCCGCCCTCTATCCACACGATAAATACTCGACCAAATAGCCGCCGCCCTATGCTTTTTGCCATTTGCTTTTTTTCTTCCAGACTCTCCATCGTCCACTTTCTTCCTTTGCTTTCGTACTAATATAAAATAATCTTTTTCACATCTTTTTTAACACACTCACCTAAACACACCTTTTTCATCACAAAAATGGCCCGTGATAATAAGCTCGCTGCCCCTGGTGTCCCCGTCATCCCTAAGTCCGCTAAATCTTCCAAGGTTGCCAAAAACACTAAGCATTCCAAGGTTGTCAAAAACACTAAGGGCTCCAAGAGCGCCAAGGGTACCGCCGGCATTGTCAAGAAGATGTCTCCCTACAACAAGTTCATGAAGGTCCATCTGCCCCTGTTCAAGGCAAAGAACCCGGGTCTCTCCCACAAGGAGGCATTTGTTGGCGTTGCTAAGGAGTGGGCCAAAGCTCCCGAGAACCCCAAGAGCGTCACTGCCAACTAAATAAACCAGTGGTCCAATCTGTACGCTGACCTTGCGTTTATTTTTGTTGCTTGCGAGGGAGCAGAATGGCGTGGTGACGTAGTGCTTTATTTATTTTGTTTTTGCACAGACACGTTCTCGAAACCATAGGGGCAGGATCCGCTGCTGACATGAAGCACTCTTTTCTTTTTTGAGCGCAGCTTTTTTGTTTTCAGAGTCCAAATTGCTTTTTGATACGTGCGCGTGTGCTCCTAGCGCCCTCTGCTGCCTATTCCGCTACTCTCGCTTGCTTTTGCTTTTCTTACTACCAGCAACCTTTCTTTCATTCGTTCTTTAATCAATCATTGTATTTAACCAAAAAAACCACTGCTTCGCGAAGAGCGTCTTTGTCCAGTGTTTAGCTTGGCTTGTGTCAGGCTAAAATCGGCGTGTGCTGAAAACATATATTTTGTTTTGCTTGGCTGAGCACACATCTCTGAAAAATAAGCAGCTCTAGCGCAAACTGACGTGCCCAAATCAGCAGCAAAAAAACGGCAATAAGCGGAGGCGAGTAAAAAAAAAATAAAAGGCATCGGATTCGGATCAGTCTCACATTATCCGAATCGATGCTGTTTTTGTGCTTTGCCTTAATTCATTGATATCGACAGGCACGCGTAAATCTGGCTGCAAATGAGTTAGATAAAAAAGTCCGATTTTTTATTTGCAAAGGTCGCTTCAATTCCTCTCGCTCGCTCGGTCCTTTCTCGTCTTCTCTGCTTTTGCTGTCATTCAAAGCCCACCATTCACTTATTTCACCCGCAATTCGGACAACGCGTATTGGCCAAACAACACAAACTCAAACTCAAACTCAAACACTACAATGATATCTGCCCGGTCACGCCTTTTGGTTCGGACACTTGCGCGGCATGCAAAGCAGAACTCTGCGTGGTCCAAACGATACAGCAGCTCTTCAGCCACAACGATTGCCAGCGCCGATAGACGGCCAATCAAAACACATCGTGAAGCAGCCTTTGCAACACTCGGAGTGCAGGCATACCCGCGATACACAGCGGTTGAAGCGGGCATATCCGTAGTCAGTGCGCAGCAGGTGCACGAGCGGTGGGACGTAGTCCTGGCAGACGGGGAGAAGGATGAGTCGGTGCGGGTGTGTGTGCAGGGGCGGATCCGCAGCAAGCGCGAAGCCGGGCGACGGCTGGTGTTTTACGACATTGAGCAAGAGGGCGGGCGACACGTCGTACAGGCAGTCGTGTCGGAGCAAAGATGCAAAAACAAAGAATCCTCAGTGTCATTTTCTGACTCTAACCGCATTTTGCTTGCCGGCGACATTGTGCGGGTGTCGGGGTTTGTCGGCAAGACCCGGCTTGGCGAGACAAGCGTGTTTGCCACGTGCAATCCCGAGCTGCTGGCGCCGTGCCTGCACACAATCCCAACACGGTCGAGGCTGGAGGACACGCAGAAGCGATTCCGCAACCGGCATCTTGATCTGCTTGTCAACCCACACGCGCGCAAGGCGCTAGAGACGCGTGCACGGGTTTTGCGCTTTATACGAGGATTTCTCGATTCGCGCGGATTTGTTGAGGTCGAGACACCCGTTCTGTCAGCTAATGTCGGTGGAGCAGCGGCGCGGCCATTTGTGACTCGAGCAGTGGCACTGGGCGATAACACACCGTTGTTTCTGCGCATAGCGCCAGAGCTATATCTTAAGCAGCTGGTTGTCGGCGGATTTGACCGCGTGTACGAGCTCGGCAAGCAGTTCCGCAACGAGGGCATTGACGCCGACCACAATCCTGAGTTCACAACATGCGAGTTTTACCAGGCGTACGCGACGGTTGAAGATCTGATGACGATGACCGAAGACGTGCTGCGCGAGATGAGCATGGAGGTGACTGGATCTCCAAAGGTCAATGTAGGTCGAGACGACGGATCTGGTTTTGAACTTGATTTTAGCCAGCCGTTCCGCCGCATCCATGTGACGGACACACTGTATGAAATGATCCCCGAGCTTCCGAACGATCTCGATAGCCCTGCTGCACTCGCCAAACTTGTCGAGATTGCCTCTAAGCGTGGCATTGCAGCGCCCCGCCCGCACACTGTGCCGCGGTTGCTCGACCGGTTCATCGGGCATATTATCGAGCCACAATGCGAACAACCGACATTTCTCACTGGCCACCCGGGCGTCATGAGCCCGCTGGCCAAAAGTGCCGACGCAGCTGGGCGCACATCGGCGCGCTTCGAGCTGTTTGCGAATGGCCGCGAACTGGTCAATGCATACGAAGAGCTCAACGATCCGAACGAGCAGCGGCGCAAGTTTGCAGCGCAGGCACGCGAGCGGAACGACTTGGGAGATGAGGAGGTGCCTGCACCCGATGCTGCATTTTGCGACGCGCTCGAGTTTGGGTTGCCGCCAACTGGAGGATGGGGCATGGGCGTTGATCGCGTGGTAGCGCTGCTGGCGGGCGTGAGGCATCTGCGTGAAACTGTGTCGTTCGCATTGCTAAAGCCAGGGAAACAATAAGATGAGGGGGAAAATGGAGCCAACTTTGCTTGTCGTCCCGGCCAAGCTTGCTTCTTATTTCCGCAGCATTATTCAAACATTTTTCAATGCATCTTTAGACTTGTCTTTTCATTTCAAAGTACAAAGTACAAAGTACAAAGTGCAATACATTTTTTGTCGGTTTTATGTTTTTGAGAAAAAAATGTTGCCACATAACAAAAATTGATTTTAATAAAGAAGTATCAGGTATTTATTAATAAAATGTTTGAACTCAATTTTTCAGCTTCAAATGTGCAATTTTCTGCGTCTTCCGAAGCAAATGTGCTTTATTTGTTTCCCTATTATTCTTTTTTGCATTTTTTTGATTTTTTTACTTGCCACATATATTTCTTACACTTTACATTTTAAAGCACTTCAACTCACATTTATTCAGTTAGTCGGCTATCCATCGTCTGAATATGACTTATTTTGGCCAGCTTCCGTTTGTCATTCTCAACCACATCCTACGCATAGCCATCGACACTGAAGAGCGCACCCTCAATGTTTGGGCAGACAACTTACCGTTGTTGGGCGTCTGTCACGAGTGGAGAGAAGTTGCTATGGGACTGGTTTATTGCTGTGCTATACTGGAGGGATCTAGCGAACTCAGCAATGGTTTTGTTGAGCCCTCTGAAGATAAAACCGGTGAAAACAAGCTTATACACACCAACATTGGGTTGATAAAGGACACTGGAAACACGCATTTGGTAAAAACGTTGTTCTTTAAAGCAAACAAATATCAGTATTGTCAATCGCTGGTTGACAACGTGCATTCAATATTCTCATTTGAAAAGTGCGACTGGAATGGAGTCAGTGAGATTGTAACTAATGGTTGGTTGGAAGCATCTGACGATGATGGCGATGAGTCTCACTCTAATATTGCGCAACAATTTGTCGAACTGATTGCGGAAAACATGCCGAATGTTAGCAAATTGGATACTTGGACATCTGATAAAGATGGTCTAAGATATTCAATAGTCAATATGCTGTATACATACTATTCATGCAGCCTTTGGCATATTTCGGTTAACCAACAGCTTTTACTTGCAGAATCGGTCTGTTTTAGGCAACTAGCAACGCTTGATGTCGATTTTCATTTGTTGCAAACTATACCGCAGATTTGTCGTCACCATTTACAAAGCCTAACATTGAGAAACATACCTAAAACATTTACCTGGCACAGACTGGCAAACTTTGGAGAAACAAATGGTATTGTGTTTCCAAACTTGCTCAGCTTGAAAATGGAGTATTCGCATGGATTGGATATAAACAGTATTGATCTTTTGAACAAGGCATCTTTCCCAGCACTCGAATGTTTAGATATTAATGTTCCAAAGCTTGATATGCTAAAATATATTTTTGATTGTGAGAACGAGGATCATCAGTTCCCAAATGTTGTCAAGCTTTGCATAGATGTGAATGAGTTTTCTGGCAATGTATTTGAGATCGCAAATAAAAATCAAAGTGACGTTTTAGCAGCACGTTTCAAACAATACATCCCCAAAGTAACTCACATAAAATTGGGCTCAGCTGTGTCTGGTAATGCAGAGGATCCCTTTTACAATGCATTGGCCAATTTATATTTTGATCAGCTTGTCCGCATTGAATTTGGCCATCCGACAACTTTCGCAGCATCACAATTTTCACGCGAATTAACACATTTAACGCTAAACGCGGGCTCTAATACTCTGCAGAAACTTCCTAGCTTATTTGCAGAGTCGCTAAAATACTTAAAGCTCACAAATCTTGATTTTTCGTTTACATGGGACATGCTTCAAGATGAACCAATGTCCAACACACTAAATTTTAGAATGCTGGAATATATGCATGTATATTTCAAACAGAATATTGAGGAAGTTGTTTCAGACCATCAACAATTTATAAATACTCAGAAAACGCAGCATTCTAAAATAACTGTTGTTTGCCCAAGGCTGAAAATGTTGAGAATTAATAATGCGAGCATAAATACGCTTCAAAATATATTGTGTTGTGGCGCCAGCCAGTGGTACAATGTGAGGGATATGGGAATCCGGTTCAATATGAGCGGCTTCGAGCTAATTCAGAATGTTATAAATGTTGGCGACTATATGAATGCAATTTCTGTATTTGCTCGGTACATACTTGAGAAGATGCCACATATAAATGCTTTAGACGTGTTCTCATTTAGTAACGGCGAAGATAATATCAATTATTTGTGCAGTATCCTTTCCAACAGCTACGCATATCAGGTAAATAGCTTTAACAGCAACATTCCAATTAAGTTTACTGCCAATGAATATTCACCCAAGCTTAGAAGTCTAAATATAAATGTTGACAAGGCTAATACTGCACTATTACCCAAAATAAATGCAGCAAATATCGAAGATATTAATTTACAAGGTAATTTGGACTGCTTTTCTTGGACAAATTTTACAAACAAGGCAGTTTCAAATGTTATTATATTTGGAAATTTAAAGGACATAATAGCAAATCATACAGACTTAGAATTGACAAGAACTGTAGAGAATGATGATGCATTGGAATTGGTCATTCGTAAACATCCACTTATTTTAAACATGCCCAAATTAAGAAATATAGTACTAGTTAATATTAATGATAACAGCAAACTATATAATGCCACAATTGAGTTTAAACATATTCACAACCTTGATATAGATGGCTCTTATAAAACATTGTATTTGTTTAAAGATTCGAAAGCGGGGATAATTGATTCTTGCAATATTCATTTAAAATTAAAGAATGGTGACGATGAGAATGATTTTTACAAGACGACAAACAAGTTTTTTGGAGATGCAATCAAATTTAAGCATGTAGAGCTCAGCCTGATGGTTGATTTGCCTAAATGGAACACAGAACTAATTTCATGGACCAATGTCAACAATTTAAATATTTGCTTGCCGATACATTTTGACACACTTTTAAATTTGTTTGCAAAGGTTCCAAGATTAAGCGTACTCATAGTCAACGACATTTTGTGTGGCGAAGTTCCTGAGACAATACTTGATCAAGTAGAGCCCATTTGTGCCAATGTTAGCGAATTGCATTTGATTGGCGGAGTAATTGCAGAATCTGAAAATATGGAGAGCAATTGTATTAAGTACTTGCTATTGTCACTGCAGTTATTGAAGACAGTTCCTTGGATGAGAGTGGGTTTTAATTCTGACGCGTTTGTCGAACAGTATAAAAATGAATATCCCCACGTATTAGATATTGAGTTTATATAATATATTTGTTTTACAGCGGCTTATCGGGTGTGCCAATAAGAAAGGGCGCAAGGTCTTTGGGTATTTCAGTGGGAAAGGGCGGGAATTTGTCCTTGAAGTGGTTGCTGAATAAAAGTTCGAGTGGCTCGACCTTACCTGGGCAGTTTTATGGCCGCTTGGCAGTCCACAATGGTAATTTAGACTGGCTTATAGGTATCAGTTTAGATAGTACTATAGTTGCGCGTGTATTCGGCTCACTGGTTGATAAATTATATTAGATCCCTGCCATCAAACGTGACGTGGAGCATTAAAAAACCCGACAAACTGGTTGTTTTTGAACCGCACAACGCGCACAAATGGTACTACGCTATCAGAACTTTTGGTTTTCTTTTACAACTACTTTTTTGAAATGGTAAAATAGTAAGGAAATAAATAAGGGTACAACACACACAATCTCTTTAAAAAAGAAAGTGCAAAAAAGTGAGAAGAGTGGGATTCGAACCCACGCCTACGAGTAGACCACGACCTGAACGTGGCGCCTTAGACCAACTCGGCCATCTTCCCATTCACTAATGAACTAGTTCACTCGCTGTTGGAGGTATAGTGTTCCAAATAGTCTCACAGTAAAAATCTACATTAAACGGTTATCAATTGGACTACGCGAAGTATTTTTGATGTTGCCATGCACTGCTATTCCAGTCAATTCATTTGATCTTATTAAAATGGTCAACAATGTAATTAATTGGTTTTTTCAAATAGACAAGGCACTAGGTAATGATTGATAGTACTTGAAACTAAAAAAAAAGTATTACATGCTAGAACAGCGAGCCAACAATGGCAACCACAGCAAACGCCGAGGCGGAAATTCCAAAACTAGCGGCACCAGAAGACACCTTCGACTTACGGTTTCCATCTGATGCCCCGTCCAACCCAACGTCACTTTCGTCGCTGAGCTCCTCACTATAGCTGCCAGAATGTCTGGAGATATGCGGGGACGTACCACTGGTGCCGCTGGGCTTAGGTAGGGGCGAAGAGACCAAAATTGTGGGCAGGGCGCTGGAGGTAGGTGTGCCTAATTCAATTGTGGAAATGCTTGGTGGCAATGTTGCGCTGTTAATGGCAAGGAGACCCTCGAGGCCGGCAGGGATAGAGGCGGGCTGGGGCGCGGAGGCTGGTTTCAGGGGTGCGGGCTGGGTGATGGGGTTGTTCGGGTCAATGGGCGCTGGCGCCTGTGTGGGTGCTGGGGCTTGCTGGGGCGGAACTGGAAGCTGGGTAAGGATATCAAAGGAGAAACCCGGGGGGAGCTGCTGCGCGCAGACCGTGGCAGCAGCGATAGCGGCAAACGTAAGTGCAATTTTGGTCATGGCTGATGAGTTGTAAGAGAAAAAACAAGGAAGAAGTAGGAGGGGACTGTATAGGGCGTAGGTGAATAGAAAACTAACGGAGTAAAAAGTACTGTGTGTGTGGAAAAGAAAAAAGGTGTAGCTGAAGAAAGATAACGTGGAATGAAAGAGTAAAAAAACCTTGTGAGAAAAGAAAAAGAAAGGTAAAGTGAGTTGTTGATATGTCAGCACATTTAACAAAATGCGCGCATGTTAACTTGGACCTATCAGTGAATAAATTTCCTGAGAAAATATTTGTTGATTTGAATATTCCTGGACAATGTAACGTGTCATGTCATGTTTTCATTATTTAATGTTTTTTGTTTTTTGTTTTCAGATATCTTTTCTTTACTTTGTTCGTCATCTTCGACGCCTCCTCCAGATATGCTCAGCCACTTTTAATATAAACGAAACAAAAAGTATGAGAAATTGCAATAAATAAAATATTTTCAAAATATGTTTTCCCTCTTTTTGCATACTCGACAATACGAAATATTGGGTTGTTAAACCAGACAATATATTAAAGCTTATTGTCGTGATGGCCAGATGTAACGCTGAGCCTCCCTACATTTTTATATATTCTATATATTTGTCATTTGTTTTATTTTTATTTTTGTAGTTGATAGTTGGCAGGTAGGGCAGGGTGAAACATAATGAAAAAGGGGGATATGCTACGTCATTCATCACCGAGCTAATATAGTTTAAAAAATGTTTTTTGTAAATAGTATATCTGTCAATTCACAGAACCCGCGCGGCGTATTGTTCATCTAACACAATACAAAGAAAATGAATTTTTTTATTGAATGCGTAAAAATCAAATATGAAAAATTCTAATTTGATAATGTAAAACGAAGCAGAAAACGTATAAACAAAAGTATAAAATAGTACGAAAATCAAGCTGGTTATTCTTTTTCGGCCTGCGAGGAAGCAGAAACAGCAGGCCTGCCAGATCCATTGGGCACAACAACCACGGGTATTGAGCTGTGGTGCAAGACATATTCTGCTACGCTTCCCATTAGGAACCGTTTGACAGAGCCACGGCCGTGGGTGCCCATGACGATCATGGCGGGCTTTTTGATATTCGTGCTGGCAACAAGCACCTCCTTGGGGTTGCCAATAAGACAAATTCCCTTGACAACAAAGCCGTCTCTCTGTAGTCTCTCGGCGTATGGGGACAGGATCTTGCGGCAGCGCTCCTTAGCATCATCGTCAATTTGGGACACGGGGTCGGACACAACGACCGCGGAAGATCCCACAGGGCGGCCTATGGGGCGCCCTAGCGGCACAGCCCTACTACTGCTAGCATTGCTGGCAGCAGCCAATTTCCAAGACTTGGACTCGGGCTGGACGTTGACCAGCACAACCAGGTCTTTCCTCCGGCGCAAAAGGCGGTCGGCGGCCCAGGTAACGATAGTGTCGCTGTTGGCGCTCTCATCGATGGCAATGACTATAGCGCGGTCAAAGTCTGAGTACTCGACGTCGTCCTTGTGGATGGGCACCACGGTTTTGTGGCGTTCAATTTTGGGAGCGCTGCGCGAGAGCAGCATTGAAAGGTCGTCGTCATCCTCCTCCATGACAGCGTCAACCACGGGGTCCTTGCCCGGAATATCGAATGGCTTTGGGAGCATTTAGAAAAGAAAAAAGAAAAAGTGTGCACCGATTAACAAAGATTGCAGGAATAAAGGGAATTGAAAAAAGGGGTTGGAAAGACAAAAGGCTAAACAATAGAAAAGAAAAAAAGACATGCTTGGCTTTTATTAGTGTAGAAAATCCGCGCGAGCTATGCAAAGGGAAAAATTGCCTCCTTTTGGCTCCAAATCTCGGCCAATCTTTTCACGCATGAGGTAATAACATCAGTGATCCAGGCGAAATTCGCTGATCAAGCGATGTGGGCTAGGCAAGATTCAATATCAAAGGTTCAGCCTCCTTTTTGTATTTTACTGCACGTGCAATTTGAGGTCGAGAAAGTGGCGGGAGCAAAATGTGCTTGAAAATTTTAATTTCCAGAGATGCCGGAATGCATGCCACATCGCATGAGCGCTCATTTATTTGCAACATGTCCGATGCGAACATGTGAGAGGGAGGATATCGCCATGTATCTATACCTATTTGCTAAATATAAACCATCCGCCTTTTAATTAATTAAATGCTCAAAAATAATTTATACATGCATTTGACATGTCTATTCAAATGTCAATTGATTTGTGCGCTTAAAAATCTATACATGTATTAGCAAGATATCGGTGTGCTCTTGGCGAGTAGAAAAGTGAGCGCGGTGAAGAAACAGGGAGGAAAAACAGCCGCTGTTTTATACTTTTTATTCGCTTACATTTAGAGAAAGATACTTTCTTTTTCGCTTTCTGGGCTTTAATTAAACCATGACAAAAAATAAATAGTATAAAATTCAGTGTGAGATTTGGGGAGGCGCGATGGCGCGAAACAATCAAGCGATTGCGCGATCGCAGGGGATATGGATGAGGGGATGGGGTATGACTTTAAGCATTCCCTAGTTGTTTTGCACTTTATTCATAAACCTTCAAGCAAGCGGCAACAAGGCTAAGATGTGGGTAGAATGGCTTATTGTTGGTTTTCTACGCACTCCAAATCCAACTTTCCCAGGGTAGATATGAATTCGGGGATCAGCAAACATGGTGCGTATTGGATAATCTCACTTTGTCTAGGCGAAGGTAAAACTAATCACAGCCAACTGACCAAAGCGTGAAATTAGTGTGCGGGGGCAAGAGAGACTGTTCAGGAACACGTTGCAAGTAAAATGGCTTTGTCGTGTTAAACAATACGAATAGCTGTTATTGGCGCCAACAAGCTCCGAGAATAAGTCAATTTATTTGCGGAGGTGAATCAATGTTGGGATTGTAGCCATGTCCATCACTTTGTCGCACATCTCTGCTCTAGTCAGGTAACATTGCCGAGTAGAGGTAGAGCTGCGCGCAATGCCAAATACGCTTATCTATTTGCGGGAAATATGTTTTGGCGTGTCAGAATTGGAGATTTGCAGAGTAAGTTTTTACTTATTTATTTAGGCCACAGGAAAAAAGTGGTCAGTGGAAAAAACGATCGCCCTTGCTGCGTGACCAATTACAGGTAGTTTGGCTGTGCAGAAAAAACTGTATTAGTCAGAAAAAAAGCCTGGGATTGGCCGCAAATTTCCCATTGGAGGAGTACAGGCGGGATGATAAGAAAGCTCGGAAGAGGGCAAAATAAAAAACTAACTGCCCCTTGAAGAAGCTTCAATCACACGCTTTTTCCCAGCCGAAACTCCAGGCAATTTAGCAGCTGACTCGCCCGCTTTGAGTCTTTTTTAAAAAGAGGAGAAAATCGGGGTTGGGGATTCTGGGTGCTTTTTTTTAGCTTTAGCGCATGCGGTTGAACTATTTTTTTTGAAGCTTGGCAAAGAGTGCGAGAGAGCAGTTTTGCTTCGTTTATTTTTTGCTTTTGCTTTTCTTTCCCCCTTACTGAAACTACTTATAGCTGCTACTTTTTCTCTCTCAATTTTTTGGTGTAACTTTTGGATCCAGCTCACTTTTTCATTATTTGTCCTGCCGCCCTTTCACCACCTTTTTTGAATTGCAATTGCAATTGAATTTTATTTTTATTTTCAAACCTTTATTCATTATTGTACTCTGATTTTTAAGTGTTTCCTGAATTCGTTTTATAAAGGGATTTTTGCAAAGGAATTTTTTAAAATTCTCATTTTTGACACAAATTTACGCACAGATACCTCTTCCCACAAAATTTAATCCATAAATGTCGGATTACAGTGCGTGGAACCAACTATTCCGCCTGAACCCCGATACACCACAGACCCCCATGCTCAGCAACCAAGAGCTCCAGGACGAGCTGGCACTGTGGAGCAATGCCCAGTTCCAGCTTGAGCCCATGGCCGAGGAGCAGCTGCAGCACAACAAGCCCAGCACATCGCCATCGGTCTGCTCTCCAGAGGAGTTCAAAATGGCCAGCTTGCCCAACACATCGGCGCCCCACCAGCACCTTTCGTGGGACTTTATGATGGGCACGAGCACCGCCGAGCTGCTTAACGCTATTGCCTTGGCGCCGCCGCCCTCTGTCCACCAGCAGTCGTGGCCTGCCCTCGGGCAGCAATCTCAGCAGCAGCACCAGCAAACGCCGGTGGTTATCAACGGAGTGCCGATGGTTCCGCTGGTGCCCTTGGCTCAGCAGTATCAGCAATCACAGCAGCAGGCAAAGCCGTCACTTGTTGCTGCTCCTAGCGCTGTGGCACCTATTGTGTCCAAGGTGCCCACTCTTGCTCCCGCCCCTTCATCTTTTACATCATCATCCTCCACTTCATCATCCTCCCAATTCCGCCACCCTACTATTATGCCCAAGGGCGGCGTTGCGCTGCCATTAGATACATATGCCGCCATCACCAACACATCTGGGGCTGCCGCTGCAGTAGCGGCGACTCCACAGAAGCAGCAGCCTGCACCGCAGCGTCGCGCATTTGTGAAGACAAAGCGGGAGGCATCTTTGTCAGTTGCGCCAGAGACCTCGGGCAACGCCGACGACGCGCAGTCCGATGACGAGCAAGACAACGATGATAGCAGCCAGCAGCAGTTTGACTCTGAGGGCCGGGTGGTTGCGGCCAGCGAGGACAAGCGGCGGCGCAACACAGCAGCGTCGGCGCGGTTTCGCATCAAGAAGAAGCTCAAGGAGCAGGCTCTTGAGCGCACGGCTCGCGAGATGGCGAACAAGGCCGAGGCGCTGGAGAAGCGTGTGAATGAGCTGGAGACAGAAACGCGCTGGCTCAAGTCTTTGATAACAGAGAAAGATCCCAATGTGCTGAAGAGTCTGCACTGCCCTTGCCACCATCCCAACGGGCTGGACGTTTCAGCGACGCCGTTGCCAGCGAGCGCACCACAGACGTCGTTTTCGTACCATCATCACCACCAGCACCAGCACCAGCATCTGAACATTGCGCCGAATCCGGCGGGCCCTTTGGACCAGTCGCAGCAGGAGTTCAAGAAGCCGCGGGTGTAGAGGAGACGAGAGGATATTGCGATTCTTGTTTAATTAAAATGGTGAAAAATTAGACTTTTGAAATTAACACTGCGAGTATTTTTCCCTCTTTCTTTTCTCTCAGGCGTTGGAATTTGTTGATTTGCGGCACAGCACAGCACAGAACATATTGCCTTTTTCGTTGTGTAAACGTGGGGGTCGCATGCAGCCAGACATTTTGTTCTGGATTTTTTTGGGGGGTGGGGGGGGGGAGGATGAAGCGACGGAGCAAGACGGAAAGTGCGGATAAGCGTGGAAAAGCTGAAAGAAAGGAAACGATGGTTTTGTTTTTTGGCGGTGCAGGCAGCGGGCAGCAAAAGTGCTTGTGCGGAACACCACCGCCGCTGCTTTCGCTCTCTTGTGGCAAATGAAATGGCGGGAAGGCCGGGTTGAGCACAAGAAAAAATCAAAAAATTTCGAGGGTGAGCTAACCTACTGATAAGCAAAGCAAGGGTTATTTTTAATTGTTCAACCTAAACCAACTGTGATTTTTTCTTGCCTTTTTCATTCCTTTCCATTCCTTTCCTTTCCTTCTCTTCTTATCTAGTGATTTTCTTCTGTTTTTATTTATTCAAGCCTCTTTTTTCTTTTGTCGACTCAACCATGTTCAACCTTACACGTCGTGCTTTCACCAACGCACAGGTAAAGTGTTTATATTGTTTCCACTCTCTTTTTAAGCCACAGCACAGAGCGAGGCTATCTAATTCAAGTAGCCATATGAAAAAGGGTGTGGGGCGTGGGGTGTGGGGGCTTTGACTAATATACAAAAGCCATTTTTCTCCTCGTGAATTCACGCTTCTGTTTACTATTTCGGTAGGTTTCTGGCGTTATCGCCGCGCGCACCATGGCGTCTGCGGCTTCCGGACAGCAGTCGGCCATCGGGCAATACAGCAGCCCTAAGAACGCCAACGGCAACTACGAGGTGACGCTGATTCCGGGCGACGGTATCGGACCTGAGATCTCCAAGTCCGTTGAGCGCATTTTCAGTGCGGCTCAGGTGCCCATCGAGTGGGAGTCTGTCGACGTGACACCTATCCTGCGCGACGGCAAGACGGTGATTCCCGACGAGGCTCTTAACTCCATCCTGCGCACCAAGATTGCGCTCAAGGGTCCCCTGGCCACGCCCATTGGCAAGGGCCACGTTTCCCTGAACCTCACACTGCGTCGTACATTCAACCTGTATGCTAACGTGCGGCCGTGCAAGTCTGTGCCGGGATTCGCCACGAATTACGACAACGTGGACACTGTGCTGATTCGTGAGAACACTGAGGGAGAGTATTCGGGTATCGAGCACGAGGTTGTTAATGGCGTTATGCAGAGCATTAAGCTTATTACCAGACCGGCTTCGGAGCGCGTAGCGAGGTTTGCGTTTGCTCACGCGATTGCCACTGGGCGTAACCATGTCACGGTTGTGCATAAGGCTAATATCATGAAGCTTTCCGACGGGCTTTTCCTGCAGGCTTGCCAGGAGGTTGCTCGGGAGTTCCCCCAGGTGGAGTTTGACGAGATCTTGCTGGATCGCGCTTGCCTTCAGATTGTCCAGGACCCCAGCCACTACCGCAACACCGTTATGGTGATGCCCAACCTGTATGGAGATATCTTGTCGGATATGTGCGCCGGCCTTATCGGCGGACTTGGGCTTACACCCTCGGGCAACATTGGACGCGATGCTTCGATCTTTGAGAGCGTTCACGGTACGGGACCGGATATCGCCGGCTTGGATAAGGCCAACCCTACGGCCCTTCTACTTTCGTCCTGCATGATGCTGAGACACATGAACTTGAACTCATTTGCCAACCGTATTGAGGATGCCGCACTCAAGACTATTGCCGAGGGCAAGGCTATTACTGCTGATTTGGGCGGTAAGGCATCGAACACGCAGTTCACCGATGCTATTATTGCCAAGCTTTAAAGCGGAAAAATAAAGGTTTTAAAGTTGAAGTTGAATAGATAGATAGATATAGTACTATATTATATATATGTTTCTTATTGATTAGTCGGATTTGGGGCCCTTGTTTGGTTGAAGTGTTTCTTTTGGCTTTGCCAAGGTCATTGGCGCTGTTGTGGAAGTGGGCTGTGCGTCGTTGTCGTTGTCGTTGTCGTTGTCGTTGTCGTTGTCGTTGTTGTTGTCGTTGTTGTCGTTGTCGTCGTCGCTCCAGTTGTCATTGTCCCAGTCCTTGTCCTTGTCTTTGCCATGAGCACTGGTATTGGGATTAGAGCGGGTTGCTGCAGTCGTTGGGGGAGCACTCCGACGCGGCAGGTCACCAATACCAGTACCGGCAACCGCAGCACCGCCAGCCGTATTGGATCTCTGGGGCGACACAACCCCATCCTCCCCATCATAATCGTCATCACCAGCAGCAGCAGCATCAAACAAAACCTCCGTATCCCTCGACTCCATCTCATACTCCTCCTGGTCCGCAACTCTTCTTCTCTCCGTCGGCCGTTCCGGCATATAGTTCCTAATAGCTATCGGCAGCATCTCCCTCCGCACACAGGCAGCCCTCCCGCCCACAGCCATAACCACCGCCGAACCCCCCACGGTGGCCCACCACAAAACCATCCCCGGCACCCTTCCACTATGCCAAACAACCAACCCCAAATGAATAATGAAAAACGTCAATGTGAAATCAATACATAGCCGGGACCTTTCTACAAGATACAGGAGGGGAATTATGTTTATTGCGCTGGTGAGGAAAAATGCCAGGGATATGGTCCAGCCACTGACTGTGTCGCCGCGGAGAAGTGCGCTGTCGAAGAGGAGCGCGGGGGTGAGCTGGAGCGGGGTGAGGATGGTGGAGAAGAGGAGGAGGAGACTGAAGATTGTGTAGGCGAAACATTGGAGCGTCGTTATTTGTGCGAGAATTAAAAGCGGGTCCCAGGTGGACGCGGCCCTGAAGGACGACGAGCTGCTCATTTGTGCTAAATGAGAAAATAAAGGGAGAAAATGAACAAAAATCGTCAATTGCAGAAAAGAAGAAAATAATAATGCATTTTTTTAATTTCCAATCCATTTCGTCAGCCAACGGCGGATTGATTTCCCCTTCTACCAATCAGCCTGGTTGACACGCACAGTGTGATCGTCAGACGCACTCGCCAGCAGCCAGCTGCAGCACTTGTCGGCGCCCCCCGTCAGCGCCAGCGGGCTCCAGGCCAGGCGGTTGACCACGTCCGTGTGCGCCATGTCGCGCGGCACCTCGTTAGGCGTCCACTTGCTCGGCACCGCGCCGGGCGCCAGGCCGGCCCCGGCAGACGAGGCCGACCTCAGCACGAAGACACGGCCGGACTCCAGCGCCACAGCCAGAACGTACTCGCCACCAACCCGCCTTGGCACAAAGTCCACCGCCGTGACAGGCTCCGGGAACGCCAGCACCACGGGCACGGCCTCCTCCACCAGCCCAGCCATGGCCCACAGCTTGACGGTCTTGTCGCGCGACGCCGTGGCAAAAAAGCCGCCCTCAGGCGCCCATGCGGCGTCCCAGATGATCCGCAGGTGCGCCTTTTTGCGCAGCGCGCTCAGCACAAAGCCGCCCTCATCGCGCGCGCGGTGGTGCAGCGCCCATGAGCGGTCGCGGCTGACGCTCAGCAGCCAGCGGCCGCAGCCGCTGAACCTCAGGCGGGTGACCGTCAGCGAGTGCGCCGCAAGCACCGCCGGCTGCGTCCACCCCGAATCAACGTCGTACAGCCGCACGCTGGCGTGCTTCTCCGCGGTCGCACGGCACGCGGTGGCCACCCAGCGGCCGCCGCCCGGCGCGCACGCCACGGCGTAGATCTCGTAGGCGTGCGCGTACAGCTTGTCTGCCTCCGGCCACAGCGTCACCCGCATCAGGTCCTCCTCCAAGGGCGCGCCCGCGCGCACGCTGGCCAGCGCCTGGGCCGCCACGTCGGTGTGCGTCTGCCGCACGGCATACGTGTCGTTGGCGGCCACCACGGCGTCGCCGCCAGCGCCCACGACGGCCTTGTTCGACAGCCCCAGCACAGGCAGCGACGCGCCCAGGGGCAAGTCGCCCGCGTCCGCGAGCTCGTGGCCTGTGAGCGCAGCCCAGGCCTGGGCAAAGTGCTGCGTGGCGCGGAACACCCTCACGACCTTCTCCTCGGCGCCCGAGACGTACTCCGTGGCGGTGCGGAACTGGGCGCAGCGCAGGTCGTAGCCGTGGATCTGCGGCCGCGCCACCTCGAACCAGGACCCCAAGTCCCCGCTGCCGTGGGCGAAGAGCCGCGTTGTCTGGTCGCTGGATGCAGAGAGGATGCCGTGGCCGCAGGGCGTCCAGCACACGTCGCGCGCGGCGCCAAAGTGCCCCGAGGGCGCCGCCAGGGGCGCCCAGCGGCCGCCGGGGCCTGCGGGCGCCAGCTGCCAGCGGTGCAGCGAGCCCTGGTACCCATGCGCCAGCACGCCTGTGGTGCCCAGTGCGCGGGCGCCGAGGAACCCGATGCTGCCGCCGACCTCGCCCAGTCGCGCAGCCGAGGACCAGACGCCGGCCTCGGCATCCGGCGCCCAGAGCATCGCCGACCCATCGCCGGACGCAGTCAGCAGGTGGCCGGGCGCCACCCAGGCAACCGAATGCACCCAGCCATCGTGGCCCACCAGGACGGAGTCCAGGGAAATGCTGCGCGCTTGGTGCGGCGCTGTGCCCAGGCCGTATGCCTTGGTGGCCAGTTGCGCGGCAATATCGGCGCTGCCGAGATTTGCCGAGCATGCGTCGAGCACCGCCTGCATGCTATCGCCGGCCTCGCCCTTCTCGGCTGCCGGGCTGATGCGCCATAGCCGGACGTATCGGTCCTGGGACGCCGATGCCAGAACCACGTCGCCCCGCGCCCAGTGGCCGATGGCGCTGTTGCCGCGGTGCTCTGTGCTCACCCGGTGGAACGCCAGCGCCGTCACCCAGTCGTCGTGGCCGCCGAGTACCGCCTGCTCCACGAACTCCCCTGTGGGCGCGCGCACGTACATGTGCACGCGGCTGTCTGTGTTCCCCGTGGCCAGCACCAGTGCGTTGTCCCCGGGCATCACTGCCAGAGCCACGGCCAAAGCCCCGGCCTTGATGACCTGCAGCATGCGCCCGTCCTCCGCCCACACCCGCACTGTCCCATCTGTCGCCGCCGTCACCACCACCAGGCCATTGTCTATCTGCACGCCGTCTATGGCAATGATTGCGCTCTCGTGCCCTTCCAGCTTGACGCTTTCCCAGGTGGGTGGTTTATCGCCTGTGGTTGTTTTCTGGTTCTGGTTTTGCTGCTCCTGCTCCTGCCCCTGCCCCTGCTGCTGCTTCCAGATTCGCCCAGTGGTATCGACGGAGCCGCTGAGAATAATTGGTACTGGGGTGCCTTCTGCTGTGCGCACAAAGCGGACAGTGTTTATACGCTTGCTGTGGCCTTGGAGCGCTTGGTGGTGGGTGTTGGGCTGGTGCACGGAGACGTACGTGTTCATTGCGTAGGCTATCATGTCTGAGTCGAGAGTGTCCAGGGCGTGCGGAGTGCGGCTGCACGCTGCAGAAATGAACTTTGATTGAAAAGATATAGACGTCATCTCCTCCCCCCTTCTTCTGCCTGTAAAGTATATATGAGTTGATCCGGTGGGTGAAATAAATGAATGAATGAATGAATTAATGAATAAATAAACAAACAAACAAACAAACAAACGGATTATAGTTGTTGATATTTTTGTTTTTTTGAATGAAAATTGAATATTATTTTCGAACGAATTAAATGATAAATTAGAAAACACAGAACGCGTACCAATCAACACCACTTGTGGGGACCAATTATGGACCTATGAGCCTGGGTGGGTTAGGTGTTTTTGCTTCTGTTTTTTTTTGTAATTTAAACTGTATGGGTTTTGCAACTCGTTTTCCATAGTTTAAATTTTTTTTAGAAAACTCCCAACCTCACCGCCTGTAAAATAAGTTTTCGTTATAGGAAGCATGCAGCCAGGTTCTGCAACAGAGCCCATCTTTGGCAAGGTGGCGCAGTAGACAACCAGTCTTAATCATTAACTTTAGTTCATATTTTTTTTTACTTGTTTAATATTTTGCTCAATGTATCTATTTTCTCTTTCTCTCTCTTTGCGGTTGTTAAATGATGATACCAAGTTGAAACTAGTATTTTTGCAGGATTGACCGTAACCAAAATAATGGTTGACGGGCAACACCTATGAGCAAATAAATCCTGACAGCGTACCGTGAAAAATTAGCAAACTTAAAATCCATCTCCCCCCTTTTTTTACTCTTGTGCAACATGTACTTGTTTGATATGTTTGTAATTTCGGGTCGATAAATAATAATGTTCACAATTTAAAACACCATTCTTAATATATGTGTGGAACCAGGCACTATCCCCTATTCAGCATAGTATCTCGGTAATCTTTCAAAGCTGCGCGTGAAAGTACCCCCTCCCCCACCACTACTACCACCACTACTACCACCACCAGCAATAAAAAGAAGGTTTATTGAATATTCTTGATTTTTTTGTTTATGACCCACAGTTCAGGATTGTTGGGTAGAAATTATCTGCAAACGTCTCTCTTTTACCCATGGAAGAAGAAAAAACAGAATTATTTGGTATAATTTCCGGCTGTCTTGTCAAAATAGCAAAGTCTATTTTTTTTATACTCTATTCCTTAATAAAAACATTTATAATCACATACAAATTTATCAAATGGTGGTCGATTTCATTTCGGCAAACGCCAGTGTCACAATCGGTACATTTGTGTCAATGGCCTGCCTTGTGGCAATGCTCAGCGTTAAACCCACCCAGCGAAAATCCGAGCCCGTGCTTCCGCTGATTGCATTAAGCATTGTCAACGGGACTCTTTTTGTAACCCAAAGCTCATCCACCAGCCCAGTTATTTTCACCGCTTCCCTGTCTGCTACAGTTTCCCTCATTGCGTACTCAACATTCTATCATTATCTGGATATCACGGCCACCATCAGCGGCAGCGATATGCTTGCCTGCCTCCATATGGCCAGAGTCTACCGGCTTATCCAGTCACCGCTAATAATGTCCCTGCCGGCAACTGCGGCCAGCGCAGCCATTCACTTTTGTCTTGCATGGAATGCACTGGATTCGCAGCAAAAACATAAACTCGTGCATCATTTCAGGAGCGTACTTGCGCTTGATGGGTTTATTCTTGCCAGGCTTGCGCGCAGCCGTGAGCTTGCCCTCAGTGGTTTGTACACTAACAGGTTTGAAAATGAGTTTTATGAGCACAGCAGAAATGCAGTATTCAACTCGATGCAGAGAGGTAAGAACATTATTTTAAAAAAAGCACGCTTGATTTTTATGTTTTTAAATACTTGTAATATTGTTTTTAAATATGCCATTTTATATTATCAGTTTTTTTGTTGCACAGATAGGTTTTTTGTCCTTCGCGGACCCTTCCTGGCCGAGTGGAAAAGTATTGTCAGGATGGTTTTTGCCGACACCTTTGTTGGAATTGCATATCACTGGCGCCGACTCCTGTTTGTCAGCATTATTGCGAACATTGGCAGCCCAGGCGCAATCGATTACCCGAGCCTGGCTGTGTTGCTTGTTGTCTTGCAGCTTCTGTCCCTCACTACCTTTGCCAGAAAATATTCATCGGCTACAGGGCATCTGATAAACAAAAAAGTGCGTTTTCTGCTCTATGTAAAAACGCTAGAGTTCTTTATGGCGTCGCATTGCGATGTTCCCAACACTTGGGGGTTCGATAGTAGGATCTGGGACATCTCATCAGGAATCAGCAGTCTCAGCAGCATACTCAGCTCGACGATTTCCCAGTCGTTTACTATTTGGATTATCTACTGAGAAATTGGCTGGCACGTTCTCATTCCCATCCTCATAACCCTCACTCACCAGCTACTCTCTCACTTGGTCAACAAAAAGCTTATGAGTTTGGAGAGACTGAACCAAGAGACCAATATTCCCAAATTCCAGGAATCCTTCTACACCATAGTTAACAATATCCGCGCGATTAAGTTCCACGCCTGAGAAAACTTCATAGATGTAAGGTCGTAGTCTGATTTGCCAAGGTACACACCGCCGATGTTCTGGTATGTGGCAAGTTACGGCATCAACCTTGTCGGATCTGCGACTTCTCAGATCGCCGCAGCACTGACAATTATCCTTTTCGGCAACGCATCCGATAAATCAGTATCATACGCCAATATTGTGCTGCTGGTGGACTCGATTAGTTCTCTGACGTACTTTGCTGGGACAATAACCTATGCCGGGGGGAACATTCGTCTCGGTTAAAAAAGGCGTGTATTTTATACAGACACTTGCCGATGCTCAGCATACAAACTTTATTATGCACATGCCAAATACCTCTAAGGACAGCGTTGCGGTGGAGCTCAACAATTGTATATTAAGCTGGGGGCGACAACAAGCTTGCATTGGATCCGACCACGCTGTGCACCAAGGCCGACGAGTTTGTAACGATAATCGGACGCATTGGAGGTGGCAAGTCGTCACTCATTTCGGGGACTGTGCGGCGAGATGCCTGTGGTCGGCGGACATGGTCGCGTGTATGGCAAGATTGGCTACGTTGGCCAGAAGCCATACATTATGAACGTCACCTTCCGCGAGAATGTGCTCATGGGCGCTGAGTACGACGAGAAGTGGATGCATCAGGTGCTTGAAGTCTGCGCTCTGTCCGAGGATGTCGAGCAGGTTGCAGCTGGTGATATGTCAGAAATTGGCCACAATGGTACTAACCTGTCCGGCGATCAAAAGGTGCAACTGGCACTAGCAAGGTAAGTATTGAAATATTTACAGCAAAACGTGTACCATACATGCAACATAAGCAATGTAAAAAAAAGTACATTTTTGTTAATTATTCTGTGTGCTCTATTTTGTTTTGAATAGGTATCATCTTATAGGGCACTGTACCTGAAGGCAGACGCTTACATTTTTGACGACTTGCTTGTGACTGTCGATGCGCGGGTCGAGCGTCTCATCGTCGAGCGTGTTTTGGCATCAGGCGGCATCATTGGCGACAAGACGCGCATTCTGGCTACCCACGCCGAGAATCCGGTGCCACTAAGCAGCAAGGACATTAAGCTTACTGAGGGGCATGCCGAGATTGCCGAGCAGCAGCCGGTTGAGCTTGTGTCTGCTGTCAACACAGAGGAGCACATTTCTGCATTGTCGACAAAGCCAGATATTTCTATTGAAGCTGAATTGTCTGGCAGTGATGGCGACAAAGACAACGACGACGACAAGGGCAAATCCGGAGAGTTTACCATTCACCCTGGGTTGGAAGCTCCACCATTTAAATTGACACAGTTGTGGAAATTTTTGGAGCTCAGCGGATACATGCCTGTTGCCATTGTAGTCTTGATTCAGTTCACCAACGTCTACGCGATCTATTACGTCAAAAGCCTATACACTGAGCTCATGGTCGATAATAACCCAGACACTATATGCCAGTCTATGAGCAAGTACCTGATTGTCAACGCGCTCACAGGAATCGGCCGCATGCAGCTGGGGTCTTTGGAAAATTGGATCAGAGACAGGGTTTTGACAAAGCCCCCTTTGAATATAATGCGCCGCCAGATTATCGGCGTCATTCTCTCGCTGCCACTCACACTGGTCGAAAGTCTCTCTCACTTTCAGCTTATCCGCATGTTCATAGACGACCGAATTATGATCACCAGTTACCTTCTGCAGACCCTATATAACCGTTTATTGTTCAATGGTATCTCGACTGCGTCCTCTATACTCCACGTTATCAAGACATCTCCAATGATGTTGCTTCTGTGCTTGCCGCTGGTTGGCGTAGCCACCATGTCGCAGGTATTTTCCAAAACACTGAGCCAAACTATGCGCAAGCTAGAAGAAAAGTATTTTTGTGGTTATTCCGCTAAATTCGACGAACTGTTGCCTCATAACAGGACTCTGCTTCGGATTCACAGGCGTGCAGATTATTACCTGGACCGCTTTAGAACCGCCATGGCCGCCCAGATATACTACAACTACGCCTGCAACATACTGAGTGGCTCACGCGAGATAATGTCCACAATCTGCGTCGAGCTCATTAATAGCAGCGCGCTGCTCTTCAATATTTAACGGCGCCTGTACACCAATATTCCCGTGCTTGCTGGAGAGGTCGACGTGACTATTTCGCTGTCACTGAATGTGTCCCACCAAGTATTTTCGCTAATTCATATGTTCAGCAGATTTAAGGAGGAAGTTCGAGCACATTTGTGCTACTACATTTATATAGAACAGTTGGAGCACGAGGCACCGACAGTCATCGAGAATGCAAGGCCAGAACCCGGTTGGCCGCAGAGTGGAATGGTTGAGTTCCGTAATTACAGCATGCGCTACCGCTCAGAGTTGGGTCCTGTTTTCAAGGGGCTCGGCCTTTCAGCACGAGGCGGCGAGAAGATTAGCATTGTTGGGCGCATGGGTGCAGACAAGAGCTCACTCGCATACGCGCTGATGCACTTGGTCGAGCCAGCCAGCGGCTAGATTATGATTGACGGCATTATCATTTCGACCACTGGGCTTCACAACCTGCGATCGCGCATTGCCATCATTCTGCATGACCCGGCGCTGTTCAAGGGTACCATTCACGACAACCTTGATCCAGCCAACGAGTACACTGACAACGAGGTCTGGGCTGCGATTAGTGAAGTCCAAATCAGCGACGTTCTTGATATTCCAACAGAGAAGTACGACAAACCCCCGAATGGTGAGTATTCCGACAAGGGGCCGTGGGTCGGGGTTGTCGGACTAAAAAGTGGGTGAAAGAGGATGTAATTAACTTTAGCGTCGGGCAGCGGCAGCTCATCAGTCTTTGCAGAGCACCCCTTTGGCGGCGCAAGATTGTCGTTTTGGACGAAGCGACAGCCAATGTGGATTCCAAGACCGACCAGACCATGCAGGATGACATTCGCCGTGAGTTCAAGGACTGAATTGTGTTGACCATTGCGCACAGCCTAGGCACTGTTATGGACAGCGACCGCATCCTGGTGATGGACCACGGCCAGATGGCAGAGTTTGACACGCCTGACAACCTGCTTACTGACAAGAACAGCCATTTATCGCAGTTGGTCGAGAGCATGAATATAAACCAGGGCAATTGACTTGTTTTTCAACAAACAAATGGGATTTTTACGGATCCAAATTCATTTGCTGATAAACTTTATCTCTCAGTGTATTTTTTGGTAGTAAAATCCCGGCTTTTTACATATTTTTGGTTGAGCATGAACCGCCATCAGGTTATCAGTCTGAAATTAGTCTGCGGTTGGCTCAGCAAGGCGTTAATTTGATTTGTACTTTTTGGCGGCCGAGGTGCACGTGTAGCGCAAGTTTAATTTGATACGCAGCATAGAATGCGGCTAAACCACAAATGTTTACTATCAATATATTATCAATGGTCCGATCTGAGTATCTTAGCACTCTTGCGGAGATTACTTTGTCTAATCGTATCGATATATAAAATTGTTACTTCTTGCCCCCTTTTTTTGTCTCACTCTCTCCTCAAATGGCACACATCACATTCACGGATTTCAATTTTTTATTACTTTTGCAATGGATTTAAGGAAATCCGTGTTTGGTGTTTTTTTTTAAAGTGACAGTGTATCTTGCAGGAAAGCGGTAACAAAACGCATAGCGGGGTTCATCCTTTACAGAAAGTATCTTTCGAGCATATGTTACCTCCCCCTATCGCCGGTCTTTCTTTAGTTAAAAACCCATCAGATTGCAGTAAGCAAATATGACGAAAGTATTGTGCTAAAGGCATTTTATTATTTTTCGTCACAATAGGCGCATATTTACAATTGCACGCCTGCCATTCTATCATGCCACAGATCAGTACATTTTTATTGCCAGCATGCTTTTATATTGGCAAGATAGTACAACTCACTTGATGCGTTTTGTTTATTTTTTGGCTTGCATGCCTAGAAAAAGATGCAAAAATTGAACAATGCAAAGTGGCGCTACAAAAGTTGTTCTGCAAAATGAGAGCATGCTTTATTCTATTTTTCTTCTCTCGCCGGAACCCCCCCACACACAATTATGTGTCCCTTTTTGGCAAATCAAAGAGGAGCAAATAATGGAAACGGCTTTCGGAGTTGTGCTGCAAAATCCGAGCCTTTTCCTCTGTGCTTATTGTCCAAACCCACCAACAATTTTCCTTTTTGCGCTGCCCCCTATTATTTTTAGCGTGCAGGATGGGGGTGGGTATTCTACACACTCAATTAACAGTATTGTTTACCTCCCCCTCCCACTTTTATCACTCCTGGCCCACTCGCCCGCTTCTTTTCTGTACGTTTTTCAATGAGAGAAATATGACGACGACAGGCTGACAACTTTAGTTTCAAAGTTGGTGTGAAAACCGCTAAAATATATAGCATGTTTATAAGGGGTCCCCCATCCTTACGTTTTTCTATTTTTTTTGTCACTTTCATTTTAAGGCACCATTATTCTCTTTGCTTTTCACCTCTTTTATTGCTTTTACACCCATTAGATATATCCCTTCACTATTACCTATTATCACCACCACCGCCACCACAACAATAATAATAAAAGACAAGTCCCAGCACCTTGGTCTCAGCTTATATTAAACTATACTTGCTATCGGCGTGTTGATTTCTTGTGCCCCTGGAAAAAAAAAACTATTTTGGGTTTTATTTTATTTTCTTACCCCCAGTCCTACGTGTCAGTGTTTTGTAAATACACACGGATTAGTAATCGTGCTACGCAGCAGAAAACAAAGTGCATAACAAAAAACGCCAAGGCTACTCTAAACAGCCACTTTCACCCTGCTTGCCTCTATATCGATCATTTTTTTGCATTCGACACTCGACACTTTTTTTATCATTCAACCACACACGAGCAACGGTCACAATAAATCCCAGCAACATAGTAAATATTGTAATTTTTAGTCGTGTGCAGCGACATCAGTGCCCATCACACTAATTTTTCGCACTCTTTTATTTTTATTCATTCGTCTTGGCATTGAAGTCACAAAACCTCTTTATCATTCTATAGAAAAATCAAAATTTCTCATTTATATTTTCTCTTACTCTTTCTTGTTCTAGAAAATTTTAGGTACATTCTGGTTTCGCCCAAACACTGAAGTCACTTTAATACGCCTCCTTTTCACATTCCTTTCCCCTTTCCCCTTTATTACATTAAAGTCTCGACATCCATCGACAGCTACTTCACACTCACATTCACACTCACTCACGCATTCGCCTCCTATTTATCTTCTCGCCCCCTCTTGTTCCTATTCTTTTTTTCTTTCGTCCCACTCTTTTCTTCTTGCTTTTGCTTTTGGCTACTATCAAATATCTTTATTTAGTACATATATCACTATTATCAAATTATACCAACGCTTTTTATTATACATATTCTTTTACTCCTCTTTTCATAAACATTTACATAAGATACCCACGGCAATGAGCTGTTCAGATTTAGACTCTTTGCATTACAGCCCGCAGATGGATACCGAGATATCCGCAGTATTTGCCGCCGAAAACGACACACACACCTTACAATCCATCACCGAAAGCCCGTTCCCCGAAGATGTTCCCCTGCTGAGGTCCTGCGAGAACTGCCGACGCAAGAAGCGCAAGTGCAGCGGCCACAAAACCACATGCACACGGTGCAAGGCCCAGGGAGAACACTGCGTCTACCGTCCGACCGCCCGGTTCTTTAAACCAGCACGCAAGTCGGCAGAGATTAAGGCGGCGACTCACTGTAAAAAGCAACGCTCATCTGCCTTTGGCCAGGCGTATTCGGGACACCAGGGTGGTGTGCGGCGCAGTCGCGGGTCATTGGATGTTGCCAATAGGAGTTCAGCCGAGCAGCGGCCTCGGGCTATGTCTGCCATTTCCGCGCTGAAGAAAATACAGACCGAGAGGCAGAGTGGCTCATTGTTGGCACCGGGTGAGCTAGTGGTTGCCATGGAATGTGGCGATGTGAGCGCATCACCCTCGCCCGCAATAGGTTATAGCCAGATGTTGCCGGCGGCGTTTGATAGATTGGCACCGGTTGATTTGATGAGTGGCGGAGAGGACTCTGGCTTGGTGGCTGACGGGCTGTCATACATGGGTGGTTTGGCGGCTGCAATGCCCTCAGCGACAGCAGCCAATGACATGCCGGCGAGCTGCTCCTACACAATGAACTTGCCTATATCAATGTCGCCGACACATATGATGCTGAATGGACAGGATTTTGATTTTAATTCAGTTTCTTCTGCCATGATGCTCACCGGCCCCACATCCACACTCCTGATGTCGCCCACCTCGGTCAACCAGCACCAGTTCATATATCAGAACAACTATGCTGCGGCCGCTGCCATGGTCCAGTCGCCAGCCATGTACGGTGACGACGAGCACAGCCAGATGACGCTTGTCTCAGCCTTTAACAGAAATCAACAGACGACCGCTGCATTCTTGGCTGCAGCTGCGTCTGCTGCCAGCGGCACCGTTACATCGCCTGCGCAGCTGACTATATCTGTGCCCTCGCACATGTACTCGCCACCCTTGTCCACGTCATCATTTTGCACAGGAATGCCGAGCACGCCGCCGTTGGCCGAGTCTGTTTTGTCTTCATATTTGGTCGCTATGCCGGCCCAGCAGTCGCAGGGTTTTGAAATGTGGCCCCCCGCGACCAGCGCGTTTGGCTCTTTGAATGCCGGCCAAACGACAGCATCCATGTTGGCGTCGCCATTGATCGCCAACATGTCTGATGCCTTGGGGAATGGTGTCAACATTGGTCTGGACTTTCTTCTGCCTTCGGCAAAATCAAACTATTCTGAGTGGTCCACTTAGAAACATTATTTTTCTTTCTTTTTCCGCTTGTAAAATTGTACATGTTTATTTTCATTATTTTGTATGGGTGCTGCATGAAATGTTTATTTCCCCGATTACTAAAGGCGGTAAATGCTCGGAGTATTTTGCTTGAAACATATCCTTTTTTCAGAAAAATCAATAAAAGACTTTGCGATTTTCTTCGCGCCAGACAGGATTACCTGTGTTTATCTTTTATTGGGCGTTTCATCATCAAAAATCAACCAGGAATAGAAACCCCCAGCTTTTTTTTGTTATTCGGGCACACGCGCGGTATTTACTCGGCAAAATATATTTGCGTGTGTGAAATGGTCACAAAACTCGGCAAATCCAACGGGAGCGTAGAAAAACAAATGAAACTCGGATTTGCACGCAATTTTTATTACTGGAAAGCCTCATTGTTCCTCATATGCATATCATAGTGTTGTCGCGAGTAGATTTATTTATTTATTTTCAGTCATGTGAAAAAATTGTCAAAACTATTCGTTGCAAGGAAATATCAAGTTCGTTGATTTCTCATGATATTGGAAACATTTATTTTGTTCCAATTACTAATCATGAAAAAAATTCACAGTTGGTCGAATACTGTACTTTTTTTAGCACAAATATCGATGTTTATAATTGACCAAAAAATGATAATTGGGAATACCAATTACAATTACATACAATTAACATAATACATTTGAGTGCCCCCACGTGGTTAATGGCAAGACAAGGGAGTGCTTTGCTGATTTTCCCTTTTCTAAATATATATACTTATTTCCAACATGAGGATGTTTTTATCTTGTCGCACTTATTCTCATTACTAATTGTCTGATGCGAATAAACAATGAACAATGAACAATAAATAGAAAAATCAGCAATATCCATGATTGCTTGATACAGTTTTTCTAGAAACCTATTCTTTTTTATTCGAATGTGTATGCAATTGCTGGATTGTTTTCTCGATATCAAATGACTTGTCTTTCCTTTGAATCGTCCGTCGCTATATAAAGAACAGTTGCTCATGCAGTAAAAATATAAATATAAAATAATCTCGATTAATTTACATTTTATGTGCATTGTTCATCAAGGGAAGGTGCGAACAGAAGAAAAATAATAATAAAAACACGGATCCGAAATGCGCTTCCGACACTCACACGCAATTCAACAATGCATAAGCACATTCATGGCATGCAGGACGCACAGCTAAACACCCCCAAAAAATTGATGTTTATTTCAAAACAGGACGCACAGCGCCAAATAGATTTATACACAGTTGAAATAAAAAATTGGCTTTTTTTATGGAGACGAAAACGTAAATGCTGTCGAATATGCTGTGACGAATAGTGGGCTGATCGATTGGCTTTGCGACGCTGAGTCCTTGTCGCCACCGCCATCATTGACGTCAAGGAACACGTCAGACGTGGGCAACAGCGCAGTGCTGTCAGAGGCGGGTTTGGTCGAGGAATGAAGGCGACGAGGCATTCGAATGACACGTGGCGACTGGCCCACAACGACGCACTGGTGGGGCGAGTTGCCGAGAGAGTGCTCTGCCAGAATCTGCGACATAAGCGGCTCCAAGTCGACCACCGGCCCCTCTGACTCAAAATGGTAGTCAAAGGCACGGGTTTTGCCCGATGGCGTCAACGGGTTCCAACCTGATACAGACACAGACACAGGCGAAGAAGATGCAGGAATTGATGCAGGAGTGGTTGTGAGAATTGGTGCAGAAATGGGTGCAGCGGTAGTAGATGATGCAGCGGCAGCAGAAGATGCAGACAAGGAGGCATCATAAGACGGAGACACATCAGAAGACGATGCAGCGGTAGCTAGGGGCGCAGCAGCAACAGCAGAAGACGCAACAGCAACAATAGATGTAGCGGCAGCTGAGGATGCAGCGGTAGCAGTGCTAGTCAGATTCTCGTGTTTCTGTTTCTGCAAATACTCATTCCGCTGCATCTGCAGTGCCCGGCACAAATCCTCGAGCTTGTGGCTCTTCATCATGGCTGTGCGCGCATAGTCCATCATCGATGTCTTAATGTTGGACAGATCCTCAACATCGGCCATCAGCTCCTTGATACGAACAGTGTCCATCTCCTGCCTATCCTTATTACAGCCAACCAGCGTTTCCAATAACAGGACACAGTGCTCAAGCCGTTGCTTGGCGACCATGCCCTGTTGCTTATACAAGGCGATTTCAGTCTTCAGCCTGTGCACCTCGGCACACCGTGTGTCTGCGCTCTCAGTAAGTTTGTGAATTGCCTCTGCGTTGGCCAAGTCACGATTTTCGGCTATGATGAACTTTTCTTGCCACAAATGTGCCTCCAGCTTCAGCACCTTTTCAACTGATGCAAAGTGCTCTTCGCGCAGAGCGTACTGGCGCTGAAGCCCCTGGAGAAGCATATGCACGTCCGATGGCACTGGTAGGCGACTCGCCAGATGCCGGATCTCGTTGACCATGTATGCGTCGCGCTGTGCTATTTGGCTGTGTGCCATGTGTATTTCCTGCTGCTGTGCTGACACCAGATACTGGAGCCGCATGATGTTGTAATCCCGCTCTATAACCATTGCTTGCAGCCTCGCGTTTTCTCTGACCATTTCGTTGTAGCTCATCTGCCTCTGCTGTCCTCTAGAGCTCTCGGGTGATACATTCCGCGCCCTGTCCTTTGCGGCCAATTCGTCGATTAGCTCATCATCCTGCCCAATAACGCCCGCGTCACTGCCTATCGTAGGATCGATACTCGCCTCGTCTAAGCTTTAGAAAATAAAAAGAGAAATATTTCTTCGAGATTAATAACAGGCGCTCGGTATATCCACAAAAAGCAAAAAAAACAGAGCAACTAAAGCACTGTCAGAGCATTTAAGTTAATGCCAAACGAGTGGATGCAATATAATTACCTGCCAGACCATAGTCCTCTTTCAGCGCTTGAACAATCTCATGCAAGACGTTTTCCGACAGCGAGACAATTTCCGACACAATGCACTCGTCGTCGTTCGTTGCCCTGGGCACATAGCCACTGGGGACCGGGCGATTCTTATCACTCACGCTGCATGCATTGGGGTTGGCTTGTTCAGTGCGTGTATCCAATACCACCGTTTCCACAGAGGGGCTCTTCTGAGAACTCTTGGACTTTGCGGCCGCTTTCTTTGCCTGCTGTCTGTTCTTCGAGTGCTTGCTTCTGGTCATGATGTGTAGATGTTTTTATGATACTAAATGTACAAATAATGTGTGTGGGAGTGGAATAGGGAGAAATGGGAAGGAGGGGCAACAAAGTGGCTCTTGGTCACGAATGGTATGATTGAATGAAGTGAGTTTTTGGAAAATGCAGAGAAAAAAGGTATGAATGAAGAAAATAAGAAAAGAGAAGAGAAAGGAGAAAGGAGGTTTTAAAGCAGAGAATAACTAGGACTTTAACCGACACACCGACAAAAACGAGCTAATGGCGGCAGTAGAGAGGCCTTTTCAGCGGCTGTGCGCACATTGAAATACTTTCCAATTACTAAAAGTAAAAAGAAAAAAGTAAAGTAAAGTAAAAAAAGAAGAGAAATAGGACACAATCTCTTTCAGCAATGGCCAGTCAATGGGTAAAAAGTTTGCTAATCTTGGCCCCGCATAATTATTTTTTCTTTGTTTTTTCTTCATTTTCATTTTCGCTCTACCGATCTTTTTTCCCAAGCCACTCGATGAGCCGCCAAGGCTAAAGAGCATTCGCTTAGCGCTCACAGTTATCAGTTGTATCATATTTAATATAAGGAAGAAGCCACCTAGGAAATTGTATATGTTCGAGAGAAAGAGAAAGAGAGAAATGAATGAATATTTTTATAAAAAAATAAAAAGCAAAGAAAAAAGGCGCTATGAATGTGTCGTGTCCGTCACAGCTCCATACTGGATGCATTGATTTCGTCGACGTTGGTAGAAAAGTTCAGAGGTGCCCCTTCGGTGTCATCGCTGCCGTAAGTCTCAATGAATCCCTTGGAGACGTGTAGGTTGGATTTGCAGCTGGTTATAGAATTACTCCGCTGGTGTGAGCTAGAGCCAGTGCTGGAACTTCTCCGACCGCTTTCCATTTCACAGTTATCGTCGCTACTATTGTCATCGTCATCATCGCTATTCAGCGAGTTGTCAGAGTCCATAATGTCATCAGTGTCCCGGTGCACGTACTGGCCTTCGAGGTGGTAGTGCTGCTGGCGCATCTTCTGGAACCGCTCGTGCTTGGCTTTATCGGCTTCGCTCATGCCTTCGGTCTCGGAGCACTCTTCTTCGCTGTCCGACGCCCAATCTGACGGTGCAATAACCTGTGCCCGCTTGGGCGACGACACCACCGAGGACGACCGCGATGAGATCTCTGAGGCCAGCTTAAGGTCCTCCATCTCTTGCAAATCGGCGTCGAGCTCGGGGTTGTATCTGATGTAGGGCGTCTTGGGTTCATCCACCTTCATCTTGGAATCCTTCTGCTCCTCTGTAATTCTGATGTTCTCCTCGTCCCAGCGCAAACTAGTATAAAATAACAACAGGAAAACATTGAGCATAAATGTTAGTGAAGACATACGCGCGGTACAGTTTAAACTCACCGAATGACACTGCAATTGCCAGTGTGAATAGCTGGTAACCATGAGAAAACTAGAAGCGGCAGAAAACGACACTTACTGTGTGCCTCTCTCGAGGGAATCTGAGGGTTTCTTGAGAATTCCTTTCGGCTTCGAATCGCCATACGGGATTTGTGTGAAGCTATCGCGGTTGTTGCTTTGGTTGTCCATGGCTGTTTGTCGAGTAATTAGATGAGGATTACGATTTGGATAGAGTGCAAATTTGGGGGAAAATAAAGACAAGCAAAGTATAAAAAATAATTCGATGGTGAGAAAGTGAGAAAGTGAAAACGAAATTTCATGTCAAATGTAGTTTCCGCTGCTGCGACTGAGCCGCGGGAACTTTTATGCTTTTAAATCCTTGCACACCCTCACCCCTCATCCCCAACCACAATGTGACTTCAAGCTGCAAAGCACACGCAGCACAAGAAGTACAACAACGCAGCGGCAGCAGTCTAAGGGGCACAAGAAAAGGCGTGGAATAATAATTTACACATGACAAGACAAAAAACATTATTTTATTTTATGTGAAAAAACGTAAGGGTAAAATAAATGTGCAATGCTTGAGCACAAAATGGGAGGGTGTCGCGATTAGGCGGCCTCAGCAGCAGCGGGGGCGGCGGCAGCAGCCTCCTCAGCGGCGGCCTGGTTAGCAGCGGCAACAGGCTTCTCCTCAGCAGCAGCAACAGGCTTCTCCTCAGCGGCAACAGGCTTCTCCTCCTCGACGGGCTTGGCGGCAAACACGGACTTGGTGGCCAATGCCTTCACGCTAGCCTCCAGCTTGGGCTTGCTGGCACCCAAGATCTCGAGGTCCGAGTGCTCCTGGCCGTTAACAAGGAACTTGAAGGTGGGCATGGCAGTGATGTTGAACCGCTGGGCAATCTCACCAACCTCATCGACATCGACAGTCAGGAAGATGGTGTCATCGGGAACATTGGCGCCGTTAGACTCCACGCGGGTCTTCTGGGCGATGGCGAGCTTATCAAAGGCCGGTGAGATAAGTCTGCAGGGTCCGCACCAGACGGCCTTGAAGTCGACGACGACCTTGGGGTACTGCTTGACGAGGGTGTTGAACTGCTCAACGCTTTTAATATGGGTGGACATTGTGGATTTGTGAAATTTAAATGGAAAAAAAGATGTATGGAAGGTGTGCAAAAAGTATGAAAAAATATACAGAGAAGAGAAAAGTAAATTTTTTTGGGAATTGTTGTTGATACGAGTTAGCTTTGTTCTCCACATTGAACAGATTTTAGCTGCCAGCGCAGCTTGGTTCAAGGCTGGTATCTAAAAAAGCCTGTCTCACATTTTTCTTCAAAATCGTGCAGATTTGTCATCGGGGAAGCTCAAAGAGAAGCGTTTGATAGATTTCAGAAAATGTCGCGACTTTTCATTGACAAAAAGCGGCGGATTAGGTGATGGCACAGCCTGAAAATAATGCGCCGAATTAGTAATTAATTCGCCGTAGCGTGATCGCAACCAACATTCTGAGAGGTTCTACATTTCGTGCGCAGCAAATTTATGAAATAAAAGGTAGATATACAGGCTGAATTTGTAATGTCTACGACGTAAAGCTATCCATGGATCTCTCTAGCTCGTGCTTGTTGGTGCCGACAACTTCATCAACCACCTTGCCATGGTCAAGGAACTTGAAAGTGGGCATCGACTTGATCTTGTATTCTTTAGCAATATCGGTGGCATTGTCAATATCGACCGAGAGGAAGGTAACATTGGAATGCTCGTTCGAGAAATTTTCAAAGACGTGGTCCATGGCCTTGCACGATCCACACCAGTGGGCGGTAAAGTCGACCGCGACCTTGGGACTCTGCTCCAGGATTCTGTCGAACTGGCTCTTATCAGTGACGACAGTTACGGTCATGTTTATTAATGTCTTGCGAGGGATTTTTTTTAAATAATAATGATTCTCAAAGCGAAATAAGCAGTAGTTGTGGTGGCGGCCATATTTCTGCTCAGGATTGAGTTGGGTATTTGTACTCGGAAGAAAAAGAGCGGCGAAATGCATGTGTAACAGAGCAAGCTGGGATCAAATACATAGGGAGAAACTTGAATGTATTACGATATAGTTGCACAAGTTTAAATCCAACATATAATGTCCTCATTTGCATTGGAATGTCACACACATATTGGGCCCCGCAATCCCTGCCATAGCAACCCATACACACAGAAAAGCCACCATCGTACAAAACAATATGCATCGGATCGGCGTGATTTTTTATTATTTAAAACCACACCACTCTTTTGTTTACCCTAAACATACTTTATATTTGCTTATCGAGAATTAAACATGGACGTTCAGATTTTCATTGATCTTCAAGATAGGCTCGACCAGGAGACGTCGCTGTTTGAAGAAGTCAGAGAGGCAGTCAAAGAGTTAAACAAGACATGCCGCCTCGCCTCGGCCAAGTTGGCCAAGGCGCACGCCGTGCCGCAGAGTCAGACCCATGAAATCACAGAGGCCATCACCCCACAGTTTGCGGCGATCAAAAAGAACATCAGCGCGCTGGCCAAACTGATTCGGCCGGCGGCGTTTTACAAATACCATGACATGTGGTCCAACGCCGTAAACACCGCCTGCTCTCTGGTCATTTTTGCCGTGTACCTGGCCGACGCGCGGCTCGCTAGCCCCGAGGACATTGAAAAGTACCTTGGCCAAAAAGTCAACGTGACCAATGGCGAGATAACCGAGTTTGTCATTACCATCGAGGAGTACCTGCACGGCGTCATATCGCTGTTCAGCGAGCTATCGCGCCTGGCTGTCAATTCGGTCATTGTCAACGATGTAAAGAGACCTCAGGCCATTTCGACGTTCGCATCGGAGCTGTATTCGGGATTCCAGCTGCTAAACCTGAAGAATGACTCGCTGCGCCGCAGGTTTGACTCGATCAAATACGATATTAAGAAGATTGAGGAGGTCCAATACGATCTGCGCGTGCGCGGTCTGACCGCATAAATTGCAATTATGTTCGTATTTCAAAAAAATATAAGTTTCAGCGAGCAAACTGCGCGAAAGCTGCGCTAGTAATAAATTGTATGTATTTTCATAATGGTTGCAGTTGCTTGCGTAAAAGCTTCAGATTGAAGAACCGCTCGACAAGCTTGTGATCCGACGCTGTGAGCAAAGGCTGCTGCTGATCCGGGTCCGGTTTCGAATCAGAATCCGACATTTGGCCCTTGTAAAGTGTTTCAAGCGAGCGTGTGGCCTCTCCCCAGCTATCGAAGGATTCCAGCGCGCGGAACAGCAGCGATGCCGCCGAGTGCGAGGCATCTTGCTCTCCGCAGTAGCGACCCGCGGGCATGGCCGTGGTCTGACTCAAAAAGGCAGGCGCCGGCAAGTGAGGGTTGTGGTAGACAAGCATTTCATACATCTGCCACGCTTGTGACACCGACCTTCTGGCTGTCTCCTTGTCGGCAAAAAATTCGCAGCACATGCGTATTATGCTGTAAGGGTTGAGGATCGCAGGCAAGTCGCCGCCCCAGCTCATGACCACGTTGAGTGCCAGACCGGGCGCGTGTTCGAGCGAGCCGCGGATCAGCCGTTGACTCTGGTCCCGCGCATCCATCCGCCGATTAAATACAGTCCGCTGCTTCACATACGCAGACTGGAGCTCAAGCATGCTTATGTTGGCACAAAGCCAGTTTCTGTTCCATTCGTCAGACGTCAGTCCGTTGCCCGCCCGCTGCAATTTCTCTGTTATTGGCTCGATCATTGCGCTATGGTATTTCTGCGCGATAAACCGCGGCCACTGCGTCTGGCAGAGTGTCGTTAGTTGCGCTGGCGTCAGATCAACGGCTGCGTGCTTGTCAGCCGACTCCTGAGCAAACAGCACGCTATCGGGGAGTCCCTTTGCATACCGTGCGTTGACAGCCAGGCATTCAGATCGCAGCAGGTATTGTGCTAGTAGCGGGCGCTGTGCCATCACGTTCTGCGGCGTGGTCCACCCAAGATGGCCCGCAGCGATTAAAAGCTTGCTGTTGTATCGCGGGTTGAGCGACAGGCGCGGATCCTCCAAAAGCTCTAGCAGAAGCGACCACGGATTAAATGTAACGCCCTGGCGAGAGTGCAGCATCTCCATGTGCGCCCTGTAAAGATTGGATGCAAATGGGACTAGGCGCGGAATGGTTTTGGCGCTGCGCTCAGTGCTGCTGTACATGGCGTGACTGTTGCCGTACAGGGGACCGACGCGCAGTTTGTAACTTGGCGGCTGTTCGTCATTGTCTTGGTCGTTGCGATATAGCCAGCTTGGCTGCTCCTGTTGCCCGCTCCGCCACGATACCTTGGGGATGTTCGCCAGTTCCTTGTGGTTCTCGTGATAGCGGCGGCGACGGCATCGGCACAAACAGCTGCCCGCACTGCGAACTTTCCCGAATGGAGTCTGGCCGGCCACACTAAACATTCGGGTCGACGCAGAAAAAATAAATAAATAAATAAAATTTGGTTTAAGAAAAAAACGAAAACCACGATAAACAAAAAAATAAAGCGTGTGCAACGAGCGAGATAGAAAACATTCGATTTCAATTTTTCTATCTCAAACGGGTGAGGGGAGGAATTTTTTCATTTGGCTGCAAGTACTTTCGCTGCCCCACATTTTGCACGCATTAAAATTGACCTTCTTCAAAGTGTGTATATCTATTAAGTCCGTTTATCTATCTATTTTTTTAAGCACACGCACACATACACGCACACAATACACTTTTATTACACCCATGTCGCTCGACCCTCAAACGGTGCCGTTTCTGCGTTCGTGCGAGCGCTGTCGCCATAAAAAGCGCAAGTGCTCTGGAGACCGCCCTTCATGTACCTGGTGCACTAGCCACAATATCCCTTGCCGCTACCGACGCACAATGCGATTCAAGAAACAGCTCGAGGTGCAGCCAGAATCCTCGCTCGACACACTGTCGACGCCGGTTATGTTCTCGAATGTGAAGCCCAGTGTCTCTGACCCGGCAGCCATCTCGTCGCAGCTAACAACAGCAGCGGCCACACAGGGTCCAATCAGCACAGGCAATCTTGGCAATGCCGCTGCCGGCGATCTATTCTCTGCCGACGCCCTGGCGCGGCTGCTCTCGGTTGATATGGTGCCCTCATCGAACCCACCGCCGGCTAACTTGCTTCAGATGGTCAATTCATACATGACCCCGCTGGCTGGCTCCGCCACTCCGCTGTCCGGCCCCGAGTGGTCGGCAATGACCAACACCGAGGCCAACATGCTGGCAAATCTCGGCGATATGGCAGCCTTGGCCCACCTGAACTCAGCATACGAGTGGATGCCCGTGGGGTTCACCGATCCGCTAATGGATAGCGGCAGCATCGGCAGCATGTCCCAGGACTTTTTAAGCGACGAGCTCATACCTCCCTTTGGTGCCGACAGAAACAGCACGGGCACCCAAGAGCCGAACACATACGCGCTTACACCGGATATAGCCAGCTTCCCCATGTCGCCGACCGTGCCGCGGCCGGGGCCTCTTTTGGAATCATTGTCTTCGCAGACCCTTCACAGCAATATAAGCCATCCGGGGCCCTCACTGCCCAGTGTTGCGGCTGCGCCTTCTGCAGCACCCGTGTCAGGCAGTTCCAACTTTTTCCGGTTGCCAGCGTCGCCCATCGATTATATTCGCACGAATTTTGGGCCGCCTCAGCCGCGCTCCCCGGTGACCGGAGTGGCTGAAATAGTTCCAGGGATGCTCTCTGGCATTGACCGATCATCGCCACTGTCATCTCCGGTAAGCACATATGCCCCGCCATCTGGTCCCTTGAGTATACCGGCTTTTGCCAGTACTAGTTCCAATCAGCAGCAGCAGCAGAGCCACCGCCAGATAAAACCAAAGCCGCAAAAGACTTATGAACGCAAGGCCATTTCAAACAAGCCGCGTGGCGCCATGGAGAGACCGGGCCCTTCAATTTCTCTCGCAAACGATGAAATCGTTGTGCCGCCAATCTTGGAGGAGTACGTCGCATCAATACCCGGCAAGCCGTCGCCGGTCGTTATATACAAGATTATGCGCGAGACGTTTAGAGCACCGCGAATGGGCATGGTGTCGATGAACCTTGAGATGTTGTGGCACATGCTGCACAAGGGCGTGCTCCCGCGAATTGTGTTCTACGGGCATATCTCCAGCACTATTCGTTGCAGCGTGGCCGACCTTGACATCAAGGCAATGGTCCCGTCGCACATTGACGAGTCCTGCTACGAACTGGCGCTGAACGAGGTTCCGAAAATCAAAGATTGCTCGGCAATCTGGGGTGCAGTCGGCCTGTGCATGGTCACTCGATACGAGTTTCAGTCGTCCAGGTACAAGGAGATGGCTGTGCACGTGGATATGGCGCTGGACGTTATGCACCGTATTCAGTTTGTCGGTCACAGCTACCCGTGGCACGGCGTGGCAGCAGCCGACAAAGAGAGCTTTGGGTTTCAGTATCTGCTGGCGATCTACTGGAAATGTTTCTTGTGGAAGCTCATGTCGCTGATGCTAATCGAGACCAACGTGTCGTTTGTCAACGGGCTCGAGGGACTGCCGGAATACTCGTCAAAGACGTACGACCTGTACACGTCCGACCTGCCGTACGACGTGGATCTGATGGAGATGATCCCACCCAACTCGTGGTTCGGCGCCAACTCCGAGTGCCGGCCCAATATTCGGTTCCGCGGGCCCAGCGACGCCGAGTTTATGAGAAATCGGCCCGAGGGCTCACCTTGCTTCAACCGGGCAACTATGAGCGGATCGTACATGCAGCAGCTGCTAGTCGTATTTGCGAGATTCTTTGTGCTACAGGACCAGGCGCGGTGCGGCAAGATCGAGATCGGACAACTTCTGAAGGGCCTGTGGGTGTACAAGGAGCGCATGCGCATGTGGCGCTACTCGCTGCCACCAGAGCTGATATTGGACAGCAAGATGGTGGACGGCTACCTCGCTGTCATCCGGCCAGATTCGTCGGCAACGCCGCGTGAGATTGACCTGCGAGCATCGCGGCTCAAGGACATCATTATGCTGCTGCTCACATACCACACTTTTATTGTCCGGGCCAACCGCTTTGTGATGAAGATGATGCTGGGCGAGCCGTTGGATGTGCCGGCACCGGACGTCACCACAATGAGCTTTGGGATTCGCGATCTCTACGACTCCAAGTCGTCGCCAGGCACTGTGACCGAGGCCTTGGGCCACATGAATATGTACTTCCACGGGTGTCGCATCCAAGCAATAAAGTCCGCCAACGCGCTGTGCAGTATCATCCAGGCAGCGTACTCATGCCGGTTCAACTTTTACACGCTCGGGTCGCCAATCATATTCACCATATTCGAGCTGCTGGTGGTGTACATAAGCTTTTTGCGCAACTGCGACCCCATGATCAACTGGCGCTCAAAGGCGCGGCTGTCAAACGTCTTCAACATTCTGCGCATGTTGAGGCACTGGGCGCCAGCACTGCACATGTTTGTCTCTGGTATAAAGGCTCTGAGCGACCCGACGCTGTGCCTGGAGGAGCCGTACAACTTTAACGTGTTAAAGCATGATGTTATGGATCCGTCGATGCTTGACATGGCTGACTCGCCCGTGGACTCTAATGCGGTGACCGACGACGAGGACGACGGGACGCTGCCGCCCAAGCGCCGCCGCGTGGTTCGGCTGCCACAGGCGCTCGAGACCATCAAGGATGCGCGCACCAACATTCTGAACTCAATAGCCCCGCCCGGAATCAAGCTGTCGACGGATGTCAAGCGCGACGAGACGCTGAGTTATCGGGCTGCCGATCCAATCCCCGAGTTTCCCAATCCGTTCCCGCCGAAGCACATCATAACACTGATCATCAAGGATCTGGGGCTCAGTCTTACCGAGTTCTTGGCACCGGCATACCCAATTTTGCTGCTCAAGCTGATTCCTTCCGGTCGCGCAGATACTTCGAAGATGCAGCTGTTTGGAGGCGTTGGCAGGGGCGGAATCAACGCCGCACAAGACGGCAGCGACCATCCGTCGTCGTCTCCAGCCGACGAGTCGGCGACTTAGGTAGGGAGTGGCAGCGCAGCACAGTGCATTAATTTCCGAGAAACTCATATCCAAAGTCAATCGAATGGCAGAACCACATTGTTTTATTTTATTTTTCAGTCAATTTAAGCATGCGGACTTCCGCACAATCAATATTTATGACCCCGTCTTCTCAAAAAAATAAGTTTAGTTGTTCTGGGCCTTTTCAAGCTTTGGTTTAGCTTGCCTCTCCTGTGCCGTTATTTGTCCTTTTCCCAATATGGAAAATATTTACCCCAGGATAAAATACCGTCGATTACCTCTAATATTTTGTGTTGGAGGTCCTTTTAGGATGCCGCCACTCCTTTATTCATATTGGCTTCTCTTTGCTGCAGCCAACGCACAGACAGACACGGCCACCACCAATCGTCGGTCTTATCTTTATTTGCACACAAACTGATTCTACTGATGTACCCTTTTTCCTCTTCTGCTTTTTTTTCTTTTTCCCCCACCACTTTATCCCTTTATTTGAAGCACTTACCTTACTATGTTTAGCGTACCTTATCTCACGTCTTGTAACCACTGCAGAGAGAAGAAGCGCAAGTGCAACGGCAAGAGGCCCACTTGCTCGCTGTGCCAAGCGCATGGAGTGCCGTGCGAGTATCGCCGGTCACGGCGCTTCCGCAAGCGGACTCAGGGCGCAGAAAACCTCCCTGTACACAATATCATGCCCGTGCTCAAGCCTGGGCAGCAGCAGCAAGGCGGATACCAATCTAGCGCAGTATCCAGCACGTGCCCAACGCCGCTGGCCAACTCTACAAACATGGCTGGTATGTCGGCGTCGGTCGGCAACTCGGGCGTGTCCAATCCCTTTGTGCCGCACACGTCGCAGCCGCAAGGCAATCCGGCACAGCTGTCCGACACATTGTCGACCGCGGACAACGCCCTGACTCGCCTGCTTTCCGGCGACATGTACCCGCTGGCGCAACAGCTACCGCAGCCTATTCTGCAGGGCATGAACAATTTTATGTCTCCATTTTCGAATCCGCGCAGCCAGGCCCTCCCGGAGTGGGTGAGCCAGCAAAAGCCAGGCGCTGCAATGATCTCCAATCTTGAGAGCCTGGCCAATGCGTATCAGGAGTCGCCCCTGGTTCCCATGCAGGGCGTGAGCAGCCCCGATGGTACCCTGTTTGGCAACCTCACCTCACAGATTATGTACGGCGGCAACATTTTCCAGCAACTCCCGGTGTACCCACATACGCCGTTTGGGCAGCCGCAGCAGCCACTCATGCACCCAGTCGGCATTCCCAGCAGCCACAGCTCCAACTCATTTGCCATAACCAGCATGATCACGCCAAGCCCAGGATTGAACTCGGTATCTGCCGCGGGCAACATAGGCACCCCCATTGTCGCGAGCCAGCCAGGCGCGCAGCACTTGGCCTTTGGCGACGTGTCAAGTTTTTCGTACGCCGGCCGAAACATGAACAACGGCAGCCAGGCACAGCGGTCTTCGTCTATTATGAGCGCTTCCCAGGACTCTAACATGAGCCGCGTGGCCAGTCCTAGCGGATCCGCCCAGCGCATGCACGCGCTCCGCCACAACGTCCGCAGCCCAAGCGTCGGCGCGTTATCCGACACCTCCACGTCCGGAGATGGCGTGCCGCTGGCCGCCGAGGCAGCGCGCAGGGGCGACATGCAGTCGCTTGGCAACATTTCCACACCGGCGCTCTCGCCTGGATTTTCGGCGCAGCCCAGCAGAAAGGGATTTTCTCAACCACAGCATCGGCAGAAGTTAGGTGCAGCTGTGCCCTCCTCGTCAATGGGCCCGCCATCAGCGTCGAACCCATGCAAATCCCATCCGGAAGGGTTCGTGCCAGAGATCATTCGGATTTACGCGCGCGAGTTCCCCGCAGACCTGTCGCCCGATGTCCTTCTCGAAGTGATGCGCGGGATCTACAGCAGCTCGCGCACGTCGCTAGTCAACATTGACATTGAGCTTTCGTGGTACATGATACTCAAGGGGATTATCCCGCGGATCATGCTGTTCGCGTACATTTCCAGCATGGCTCGCGGCCAAGTCATCGATCCGAAGCTCATGCCCCAACTGCCGGCGAACTTTGACGAGATCTGCTACGAGTACGCAGTAAAAGACATCCCTATCGCGATGGCCAGCCCGTCGCTGTGGAGCGCATTGAGCCTGTACTTGATCGGCAGGTACGAGTTTCAGTCATCGCGCTACGATTTGATGCTGCAGCATTACGAGATGGCCGCCGAGATCTTGTCCAAGACCACATTCCACGGCTATGCATTCCCCTGGAATGATGCGCCCGAGCAGCTGAAGCGTACGTTCGAGTATGACTACTACGTGTACACATTCTGGGTCGGATTCCAGTGGCACCTTGTCAGCTGCTTTAACCTTGACCGACCGTTCAACCTCAGCATTGACCCAAGTGCGCTTCCACAGCCCACCAGCAATAACGGGTACTTTGCCGCCGATCTGCCGTGCGAGTTTGATCTGCTGACTTTGCTGCCAGCCAACAGCTGGCCGCGGTTGACGGAGTCGGAGAATCTGAGCGAAGTGTGGTTCCGCGGTTCCAACGACCCCGAGTACTGCGGCTGGCAACCAACCGAGTGGAAGAAGATAGTTCCGAACTACAAGATCACTGTCTATCTCCAGCGGATGCTGCCCCTGGGCGCACACATGTACCGGCTGCAGTGCGAATTCTGCGAGGGGAAGCGGTCACTGGCCAACTTTTTGCAGCAACTGCAGGCGCAGCAGGAGGTGCTGAAGCGCTGGATGTACTCGCTGCCCAAGGAGTTTGAGATTACACAGGAGAAGGTGAGCCGACTGACAAAGGCCACAGCGAACCAGCCGACGCTCGCCGAGGACGCCAACCTGATCATGGACTTTAAGGAGCTGGTCATGACATATGGGTTGTACAATACGTTTTTGATCCGCGCCAACCGCGTGGCATTGCTGGGGATGCTCCAGGAGAGCCTGGAGTCGCCGGCGACATCCATGCATATGCGCATGTTTGGGCTGCGCGACTACGTTGAGGCTGTTGAGCAGGGCGTTGATCCGGCCGACTTTAACACGGACGAGTTTGGTATGTGGAAGAAGAACCTGATATTCCACAAGTGCCGCATGCAGTGCTTCGAGTCGATCGACATACTGTGCAACGTTGTGCAGCTCAGCTTTATGCTCCGACTTAACCTGTTCTCCTACGGCACGACGTATGTGGCCATTGCCGGCGAAGTGCTCAATGTGCTCGTCGGTCAGCTGGGCATCAAGGACAAGGCGGCCATGTGGAAGACCAAGACGCGTCTCGGGCATGTCCTTTGCCTGCTCCGCTCGCTGCAGCACTGGGCGCCGGCCATATACATGTTTGTGTCGGGTATTCAGGCGCTCTCCGATCCCACGCTCGTGCTGGAGGTCGACGAGGCAAAGTTACAAGACATTATCAAAAGGCAAAATCTCGACGAGCAGCAGCAACAACCGAACATTGGCGGCATCCTCGGGGCATCCTGCGCTCCCGATTCCAGTGCTGTCGGCGGCCACAGCTCGTCTGGGGATGGCAGCGTCTCACAGTTCTCTAATCCGTATCCACCTAACCACATCATTAACCTCATTGTCGACGATTTGGACAGCAGCTTGGCCACGTTCTTGGCCCCGGCGTACCCGATGCTGCTGCTCAAGATCATCGCTTCCAATGTATAAATTTGAACCGTGTTTATGTTTTTTCCATTTCATTTATTTCTCTTTTCTTTTCTTTTAAAATAGCCTAAAACAAACAATTATTTCTAATTATACATTCTTATTTTCGCCATCAAATACCTCTCGCGCAAAGTTGTTGACGCTGGCAAAGGCCTGCTGCGCGGCATCAGTAAAGTCCAGTAAGACAAAGGCATGGGGCATATTGTCGTAGGCCTCCAGCCTCACGATATTTTCTGCGTGCAGCTTGGTCTTTTCAGCAAACTCGCTAATATCATCGTGAAGAAGCTCGTTGCGGCCCATCTGGATGAGCATCGGCGGCATATCGCTGAGGTCGCCAAAGATGGGCGATACCAATGGGCACCTGAGCTCTTCCAGCATCTCTTGCGAAAAGCGCCTTCCCGCAGCGTAAAACATGCGAGTTGGATGGAATGGGTCTTCCAATGGGAACGAGGGCAAGTAGTCGAGGCTCATTTTTGTATCCCACGAGGCGCCCGAGCACGTCGAGTCGACCCACGGGGATATGAGAACAACGCCGGCGGGCCTGGGCAGATGCATGTCGCGCAGGATAATCAGCAGTGCAACAGCCAGAGCGCCACCCGCACTGTCACCAGAAAGAATAATGTTCTCCGGCTTGAACCCACGGCGCAAGATATCCATATATGACAAAAAGCAGTCGTGCAGTTGGCTTGGGAAGCAGCTGCGTGGGGCCAAGCGGTAATTGGGGGAGAATACGCGCAGGCCCGACACCGAGCTCGTGTGCGCGTAAACGTAGATATGCGTCAGGCTGCGCTCGCCCACACAGTAGGCGCCGCCGTGGAAGTGGAAAAATATGCGCTCGTTGGGGTACAGCGGCTCGGGGACCATCAGCTTGGGCTGCTTATGCATGCCGGCTGGGACCTTGCATGCGTTGCACAGGCTGACCTGAGAGCCAACCACTATCTGGCATGAGATCGTGCGCGGCTGGCCCTTCTGGGCGCTAATCCGGTCGTCATCTGCCATGGCGTTGAGCTTGTCGCCCGAGATTCCATACTGCGGCAGCTCGTATACGGTGCAGAGCTCAGCATCGACTATGATGTCGTACTCTTCGTTGTGCCCAATGCTTGGCGACAGCGGGCGCGCAGGAAGGTTGTTCATGTCGATGTAGTCGGCAATGTATGCAAAGTCTATTTTCTCCGACAGCTTGTTGGGCGTGTCGTGGGGCAACGATTCGGACAGATAGCGGTGCAGGATGTTTGTGATAACATGGAACCGTAAATCCCAGGCCTTGACGACGGGTCCGTACCAGTAATACTTGGCCACGGTAGTTATCACACATGATGAGATAAAGTATATGTTCTGCAGCCGACCTATCACGCCATCGCTAGTCTTTAGGCGTAGAGGCAGCGAGATGTACTCTTGTTTCACAGACGCCATATTTTTTTTGGGTGAGCTTTAAATTTTTTTTTGGAAAAATGTTAACAATTGTGGATAGAACAATCGGTCAGTCAAACATGAAATTTTCTTTCTAAACAACAATAAGCCAAAATTAGGGAGATAGGGCTCATTGCACAGCATATATTCACTCGCTTAGCGAAGAAAGAGTGCAATTGCATATATCAACATTACTTTTATTCTCATTTATAATGGTAGTATAGCGCTGTATGCACATACTGCTTGGCAATAATGTGCTAAATTTTGTATTGTTTGTTACAATTTAAAATCATAGTATCTGTGGCTGTGGCGTCTTCTTTTTTAACCTCATTTTTTAAACCTGGCAATCTATAATGTGGGAGTAATGTGGAGTTTCTCTTGCTGATCAGACAATTCCAGAAAAAATGTAAACGAAATTAAACTAAAGAAAATTAAGATGAGCGGAGCGGGTTTAAGAAAATTAATTCTTGTTCAATCTTGCATCAACCAAAAATAAAACGAAAATTAAAGTGTTTTGCGGAATTTTTTTTATCTGTCATTAATTTTTTCCTCTACGTTTTACATACAATAAACTTGAATTCAGTCATTCTTTATCTGTTTTATTATTTTATTATCAGGAGTGTTATAGCATGTACAGGCTCAAAGCAAAGGGCGCGGTCTTAGCGTCCTCCACTCTCAGATCCCTGAGGAACAGCAGCCCCAGCATCGGCAACACCACCCAGCATGCAGGATCACAATGCCGCTGCTTATCAGAACTGTACTTCCGCTCAATGGTCAAACAAGGGAAACCCTTGCCCGGCGGGACCACTACCGGCGAAACCAACACAAAAGACCAACAGCCGGCAACCAAACAGCACACAACACCGCATATCTCGTCGATCCCGGCGCTCAAAACAAAGCCCCTCAAAACTGCTCACACACCGGAACACACCGACGCATTGCTGCCTCACAACACACACACCGGGAAGTACGTTCCGGAAATCACAGTGGCTGAATCAAAGTCGTTGCTAAGCGCACAGGAAATGGCAGAGACGTACACGTATGAGCTGCACGAGAACGAGTGGGGCAGGGATGAGACGTGGTTGCGGTTCAGTCAGCTGCCCCGAGGGTCTCACGATTACCTGCGCAACATTGATATTAACCGCACACTGGCGTTGATCAGGGGATCGGACAGGAGATCGCGACGTGATGGGGGCGGCGCGCCGACGTCGAAGACGATGAGCCGGATGCTTGCCGTCTATGGAGCCGCAAGCGAGGCCGGGATTAATCCCGACCACTACACATTTCAGGAAATGATAGCGATCAATGTTGATTTGCTCGATTTTAGGCATGCGCGAGAGTGGCTGGCCAGGATGCTGGCCAAGGGCATACAGCCGACCATCAGGCCCTATCGCGCCCTGCTTAAAGGGTATAGCCGGGTGCCCGGCGAGATTGACAATGCTCGGCAGCTATGGCAGGAGATCAAACAGCAGTTGAGTGCCGGCCAGATTTCATCAAACAGCTCCGAGTCGGGAACCAGTGCCAACCTCGATATCAAAACGTACACGTGCATTATTGGCGCCGAGTGCAAGGTGGGCAACTTTGCGCAGGCCCTGAGCTTGGTGGACGAGATGAGTGCGGCCGGTATGGAGCCGGATATCGCCGTGCGCAACGTTATTCTCGACGGAATTGCCAACCACAGCGGCATGGACGCAGCGCTGGAGGAGGTTGGGCATATGGAAAGCGCCGGGTTGAAGCCCGACGGGTACACGTACAATATCCTTCTTAACACGGCAGTCAGAGAGGGCCGCAACGAGCAGACCAGAGAGCTTCTGTCTGCAGCCGCCGCTGCCGGGTTCATCCCCTCCATCCAGGTCGTGCAAATGCTGCCGTTCGAGCCGGTGGAGATTGTCGACATTATGGCTGAGGGCAGCGCACTTGACCGCATCCGCGTGTACAACACCTTGATCAAGGCGTCCATGCGACGCAACAACTTCAACCAGGTTCTGCAGCTCATCGGGCACCTGCGAAAGCATAACGTCCAAGCCAACGTGGTCACCTATGGCATGCTTCTCGACGCCCTAAACAAGGCCGGACGCCTGGAGCAGGCAAAATCCATGTTTAAGGAAATCGTTAATAGCAGAAAGGTCCAGCCAGACCTGCATGTCTTCAGCACCATGGTAGATGCCTGCGGACGCAGCGGCGATATCGACGGGATGTTCTGGTTCAAGAGCAAAATGTCTGCTTACGGTGTTCCTCCGGCAGAGTTTGTATACAATAGTGTTTTCTCGGCGCTCGCCCGTTGGCGCAAGGACGACTTATCCGTGATTATGGCGACCGTCGACGAGCTCGTGCGCATCAGGCCGCCGGTCAGGCCGACCATCCGCACGCTCAACTCGATTTTTGCGGCATTCGCCGGGCACGCGCGCACGGCGGGCCTCGATGCATCGGAGACTGCGTTTCTGCGCACATGGTATGCCAACACAAGCAGCAAGTACTATGTAGTCAAGGACTCGTACCTGTACGCGTTGGCCCTCGAGGCATTCACGGCTACAAAGTCCCTGGATGACGCGCTGACGGTGTATTCGGATATGGTGAGGCACTCCGAGATGGACATGTCGGTGGTTCATACTTTTGCGCAGACGCCCGGGCATATGCTTGGCCTGATGCGACTGGCTATTGAGCAGCTTGACTTTGAAGTTGTGCTGAGGCTGTGGCGGGACTGGAGGCCGCTAGGTATGCCCGAATCTGACGCTGTTGTCCCACTGGTTCTTTTCGCTTGTGATCAGATGGGCCACCCGGGCACGGCGCAGGACATCATGCGCGGCCTGCTCACTACTCCCGAAGCCAGTCTGGCAGCAACAGCGGCAGCTGGTTCAGGCAGATTTTACCCGCGGATGGTCAACGAATCGACACTGGCCCTGTACATTGGTATTGTCATCAAGCACGGCATCAAGGACGATATTATTCCGACAATGGAGTTGTGGAGAACCTCTGTCCTGGCCCCTTCGCTTCCAGAGGCTGCAAGCGCGGGGTCGTTGGAAGACGTGCGCTGGCGGCTGGATGGGTCGGACTTGAGGCGCAGGCTGTCTGAAGAAACCGTCACCAATATTATCAGGCTGCTGTGGCAGCACAACTCTGCGGAGGCCAGTGATGCTACAGACAAGATTCTGGCATATGTTGACAAAAATTTCCCTGAAGCCATGCCGGTCTAAACAACTGTTCCGTTATTATTATTATTTTTCGTTTATGTTGTAGATATAAAATATGTTATTATGACAAGATTTTTTTAAGAGACATTATTGGGATTAGCTAAAAAAAGTTGAAGAGAAGAAAGATACAAGAAAAAAATTTAAAAAAAAGTTGAAGAGTTTTGAGCGCCACAAGGTGGTAGAGGGGGGCAGACTCTGTCTTATATGGAGGAATATATGTATGTTTGTTTATTGATTTAGGCGGCATAGTTTGACATCTGTTGCAGGAACCCCATGCTCTGGGTCGGCAGGTGGTTGATGGTGGTGTACGCGACCAGGGCAAAGCCGGCACACACAACGCCGTTGACAATGTACTTCTCCCACGACTCGAGCATGTACAGACCGGTGGTGACCTCGTACTGGTAGTTGAGCTTTTTCAACGACTGAAAGACCATGGCTAGAATAAAAAAATATTTTTATAGAGAGGGGGGAGAGGTTAATATAAAAAATATTTGGTTAATTGAAAGATTAGATGAGGAAAAAGAATTTTAAACAAATTGAGAAAAAAGAAAAAGAAAAGGAAGTGCGGGAATTTCTATATATTTTTTCTATTTTTGGGGAAATAATTTTTTATTTGGTCTATTTTTCTTACTGTGCGACACATCATGTGTTTGTGCGCGCACAAAGCAAAGCATAGCAAAAAAAGAGAAAAATGCACTGCCAATCCATCATCAAGCTAAACAGACCGACAGTCCGATGCAGCACAAAATAACCTTGGATTGATCTATAAATCAAACGATCAGCCCAGTACTTACCAGCTACCAAAGCGTCAGATGCCAAAACCGCGCGCTCCAATCTTCCACGCTCGTCACCAGCACCCCCTCTACCACCAAATCACCAATATTAATATCCAAACAAATAAAATAAAAAAGTTAAGGGAAAATGAATTGAGGTGAGCTTTTTTTCATATAAATTATCCAATAAAGTTATTATTCATCTTGAATAATAACGAAGAGCGTTGATTTTCGCATGTATACTCGTGATGGCCATGCCAACGAGGAAGACGAGACAGACAACGACTATGATGTTGAAGATCATAATTTCGCTGCTATCCAAGATGTAGATGCCGGTAATTATCTTGTACCTGTAGTACAGCAAGCGTATATTTTCGAGGAGGGTCTTGGGGCTGGATATTGCAATGTCTTGGCTGTTTCTCATCGGCTTCGACATGGTCTTTGTCTTGAAAGTGTATGTTGACGACATTTTGGTGAAAAAAGTGTAAACTTTTTTATATAATATAAATATACAAGAAATGCTTAAGTGAAGAGTGTTTAAAAAGAAATAAAGCAAGAAAGAGCGAAAGACAGTGGCATTCTGGTTTTTGTCTCCACCCCCATTATCAATGACCATGTTATTTTTACTCGTGTGGAGATGAAAATTCAAAAGTCAGCAAAAAAAAGAACAAAAAAGAACCAGCCACCTTATATTAATGTATCAATACGCTAAAATGAAAAGACATTCTAGACCCTACTTGCTACCAACCATCACTTTCGTATCCCAAAAACCCCTCAACTCATCAAAAAGTCTAGCAATGCATCTGATCCTTTTGCTCTCAGCAGGCTGCTGACCAGGCGATCCGCTCGCACACCCGCAGAGCCCATCTCAGGATCGCCACCGCTATCAACCGCGCTGTGCTGCAGAAAAGAAGCAGGCTCGGCCACGGGTTCGACGGACCGGCGGAGTTTCTTCACGGGCGCATCCAGGGACATCATCCTCGGAGAAGGAGCCGGCCCAACACTAGAGGTGTCGCCGAGAGAGGAGGAGCGGCGTTTCCGCTTACTGCCCCGGCTGCCAGAATTGCCGCTCCCATTGGCCAAGCCGTTGATGTGCGTGTCATTGGGGGAATTCTTTTCGTGTTCAGCCATGCCCTCGAATATGCGGCGCACAGCCGCTTCCAAGTCCGAGTCCGTCAGGCGGTGGTCCTCGAGCAGCCGCCTGCGTCGCCTGTGGGTCTGCTGGGGGCCCTCTGGCGATAAGCCCGCGGCAGCGTTACTTTTCGGCACGCATGCGGTCAAGCGATCCGGCATCCCCGTGGTGACCGCCTGCGAATCCGAATCAACGTCCACCGTGGTGACTGCCTGCGAATCCGAATCAGTGTCCACCGTGGTGACTGCCTGCGGGGCCGAATCAGTGTCCACCGTGGTGGCCGTCTGCAGCACCAGATCCACAACACCCGAGGTGCCGCAGGCGGTACTGTCCAGCCGCACGCCCGGCGACACCGTCTCCCTGCCAGTGGCCTCCCCAGGCGCTATCAGCGGAGTCAGCATCTGGCCGGCTATGCAGGCCAATATGGCAAACTTATTCTCACCCTCGGGCTCCTCCTCTCGGCGGCCGCCCACCACCCCCTTGCATGCCCGCTGCAAAACGGATCGCTCTGCGGTGCTCATGACAAAGCGAGCGACGTCCTGCTGAAGTGCCACAATGGCCTGCAGCCAATCCGTGACAGAGTCCGGGCTTGGGTCATCTTGTGGCACGATGCTCTGCGCGGGGGCAACCCGACAAGGCCTGGCGTTCTTCGAAAACTCTCTGCGGATGCGGCTCGACCGGATGCGGTACTTGACCTTCGGGTCAAAAAGCTCCTCCTCGGCACACGGCGGGTCATCGTCGACGACATCCACGATGGCGCCATTGCGCGTGTCGTCGGGGCATGCTGCCAGATCAACGATGCGCTCCTTGCGGAATTTGTGGTGCTGGTGGCGGCCCAGGGCGTGGTCCGCATGGTTGGGGCACATCCACCGTCTGCGCGGCGGCGGCGCGGCCGAAAGCGGCGGGCTGAGGCAGTCCCAGTGCCAGCTGAGCGGGCAATAGTCGCAGCGCACCACGGGGCCGTGCAGAGCCGAAAGCCCGCACCTGTAGCACATAATGGTCTCGCCCTGGTCGTCCACCAGCCGGGCAAAATCCCTGCCGCCGGCCGCCCCGTCCTTCACGCGCACAGGCTTGTCCTTGCGCGTGTTGATGAACGTGCCGTCGATGTCGGCCTCGATCCCGTCGAACTGCCGCCGGATGTCCTCGGGCACTGCGAACACGCGCGGGTTCTCGAACTCCATCCCGGAGAGCAGCGGATAGAAGATGTTCTTCGCGTGCGCTCGCGACTTGCGCTTGCGCGAGACGAGGTGGGCGCATTGGCGGCAGTACCAGTGGTCCAGCTGCCTCACGGCCTCGGGCGTCATTGGCGGGTTGACGCAGAGAAAATGGAATACGCGCGGGCACATTTCGCAGCAGATGAATTCGCCCGGCTGCCCGCAGGCATCGCACATGTCGTGTGTGCCGTCGTCCGCTGGTGTCTGCCCATTTTTGCCGCTGCCGTTGGCATTTGTTCGCCGCCCGGCGCAGCTACAACAGCAGAATAAGAACAATGGAGGGCTCTCACTGTATTAGTATCAGAGTTGGGGGGGGGAGGGGGGTCGAGAGGGGCTTAATGTGCATGCGTGTGTCGCCCTCAGAGGCCAAAAGAAAGGTGCTTGCTTAGGCATGCCTCCCTTCAACTTTTTTATAAAAGAAGCGCGTTACCTTGTGGATCGAGTGGCAGTGCTGCCACTGGCACTTGTGTTTACACAGGTCACGGCTCTGGAATTCCGCTTCACCGGCGGCGCGCAAGCCAGCAACTGGCTCTTTGACAAACCCCCTAATGGCCTGAATCCCCCAGCCACCGACAGCGTCAGATCCTCAGGCAGTCGCGAACTGCCGTTGCCACTTTCCAAAGCCTCACCCAATCCAATAAACCCATTGGCTAAAGCCAATGCCTCCGAGGCTCTCCCCTCTGTCGTGTGTCCCTCTTCGCCCTCGCATAGTCTGCGTATGTACTCGACCGATTGCCTGTACTCATCTGTCGTTAGATCGCTCCCGATAGCCATTGTGCGTTCGATAGACTCGTAAAACACAACAACAAAAAAGCAGCGGGGGGGGGGGGGGGGTACGTTTTCAAAAGAGAAAAGTGGACTCGTCAGGGAGTCGTTTTCGTGTTTCTCGGTTGTTTCTTTTTTTCTTGTTTGTGGCAAGGCCGAGCTGCGAGCCTTGTATGGAGTCTGTGTGTGTGCGCGCGCGATGCCTTTATTGTCCAGGCAGAGGCCTCTGCTGGCTTGTTTACAAGCAAAAAAACAAAAATAATGACGCGAGGATAATACAATAATAAAAAGAAAAATGTAACAAACCAACGATGCACGAAAAAAAGTTTAAAAAGAGGCAAGATAAAGGGATACGAAAAAAAGAGTGAGCGGGTGAGCGAGGGGGAGGGGAAGGGAGAGAAAGAGAATGGCGCATTTGAGGGCCTCAACGCTTGAGGTTATTTATTTTTTATCAAAAAAGGGAAAGCCAGCCAGCCCCATTGTGAATCGGATGTTCTTCACGTGACGAATTAGCCTGTGCAAATCACCCAGCCTTGCCAGATAATCAGGGGATTTGATTTTGATTATTTTTTCTGTATTTTTTTGCTTTTGCCAAAAAAAAACCCGCTGATTTTTTTTTGCATGTTGAAGTGGTTTGTTGCTGGTTGTCACTCTTTTCAATTCTTTATTTGTTATTTTCCCTTTCTTCGATCCGCTTTTACACACATATATTTATTTCATCTTTTTTGTCCACACAAAAACACACATACACACACCTTTTAGTTTAATTTCTTTTTAAAAATGGGTCACGGTCGCAAGAAGAAGAGAACGCACGTTGTGCCGTCGCAAGAGGAGATGGAGAAGGTGCCAAAGACGCTTGTAGTCAAATCCGGACTAGTCGGTCGCGCAGTCAGCGCTCTTGTCAGCGATGTCCGGCACGTAATGGAACCCAACACAGCGAGCAAGCTGAAGGAGCGCAAGAACAACAAGATCAAGGACTACGTCGCTGTCAGCGGCCAGCTCGGACTCACCCACCTACTCCTATTCTCGCAAACCGAAACCGGAACAAACCTCCGCATTGGCCGCGTCCCTCGCGGACCCACGCTGTACTTCCGCGTTAACGCATACTCCCTGGCCAAGGACTGCCTGCGCCTGCAGAAAACCCCGCATTCATCCGAGGCCGAGTACAAGACGCCGCCGCTGATCATCCTTAATAACTTTGGCGGCGAGGATAAGGGCAAGGAGCTGAAGCTTATGACCGCGATGCTGCAGAATATGTTCCCCTCCATTAACCCCTCCACTCTGCATTTGGCAGAGGCCCGGCGTGTGGTTTTGTTCAACTACAATGAGGAGACTGGTATGGTGGACTTTAGGCATTACACCATTGTGGTCAAGCCCGTAGGCGTCACCAAGGGTGTGAAGCGCGTGATCATGGCCAAGAACCTGCCCTCAATGGCTGGCTTCGATGATATCAGCGAGTATGTTTTGCGCGAGGCCTTTGCCTCCGAGAGCGACGTCGAGGATGGGCCCGAGAACTCCGTCACTTTGCCCCAGGACTACGTTGGTCGCGGCAACAAGAAGGACGACCAGCGCGCGGTCCGGCTGCTGGAACTTGGCCCGCGCATGGAGCTGCGGCTGATGAAGGTCGAGGGCGGGCTGGGCGATGGCGATGTGCTGTACCATAATTACTTGCACAAGACCAAGGCCGAGATGGAGAAGGATCTGCGGATGAGACAGATCAAGCTGACGCGCCAGGCGAGGCGCAGGCAGGAGCAGGAGGCCAATGTCGAGCGCAAGAAGAAGGAGAGTGGAAAGGATGATAAGGAGGAGGCCCATGGGTATGGCGATGATGATGAGGAGGAGGATGAGGAGGTGGAGATGGAGGGCGAGGAGGCGGTGGAGAGGGCTGTCAAGAGGGGCCGCTCTGGTGCTGATGACTTTGGTGCCGATAACTACGCCCCGGAGGAGTCTAGCGGCGCCGAGGACAGCAAGGACGAGGACAATGAGGCCGAGGACAGTGATGTTGAGATGGACGAGGGCAAGCCAGCCAAGCGGGCAAGGACCTCATCGTCGTCCTCATCGAAGGACACGTTCTCTAGGGTAGGATCGAAGAGAGATGCCAGCAGAGGAAGGTCCCAGAGAGACTCGTCCAGCAGGGGAGGATCAAAGAGAGATGCATCCAGCAGGGGAGGTTTCAAGAGAGATTCGTCCAGCAGGGGAGGAGCGAAGAGAGACTCGTCCAGCAGGGGAGGGTCGAAGAGAGACTCGTCCAGCAGGGGAGGATCAAAGAGAGACTCGTCCAGCAGAGGCAGGGGCGCAAAGTCCGGCGGCAAGCGGAGATAAACAACCATATTCCTTTTTTCGAAAAATAAACATTTCATATATTGAATTTGAACATAAAAAATCTTATTGAAATTATAATAATATTACACCTGTTGCTACTGTTGCTGTTGCTGCTGCTGGTTTTGTTGTTGCGGACTCTGTTGTTGCGGGTTCTGTTGTTGCGGGTTCTGCTCCGCATCGGTGGCATTCATCAGCGGGAGCTCAAACCTCGGATGTGCATCATTGCAGTTCGGGCCCAAGGGGCAAAACCCAAATCGATAATTCTGACAAATCAACTTCCTCACATGCTTACTCCTACAGCCCGCCCCATGCTTACAAAACCCCCTAGCATACCACGGGCACTCCTTAATCCTAGCCTCTGGATTAATATGCTGATACGAGCACTCCTCACCCGTATTGCACCTTCCGAAATTAGTGAAAAACGTGCACTCTGGCATTTTCTTCAAATTATACTCATGCAAGAACTCACAAACATCTCCCTTTTTGCATAGCCCGCGGAGCCAATGTTTGCAAACCACTGTGCGGTTCTCCATCTGCATGCGCTCGCTTTGTTCGCGCGTTAGGTGTCGGTATTTGCAGTTGTTGCCTTTCCAGCAGTGTCCCATGAGAAAGTAGTTGCAGATGCCGGTTTTCCCATCGTTGAAGCTTGGGAGTTTTTGCGTTGGTGGTGTGGGGTCGATGTTTAGTTTGAGCTCGGTTTTTATGAACGTTTCGAAATCAAAAGCTATTGAATCTGCGGAGGCTCGCGTGTCGAGCGCAGAGAGAGGGGCGGTGCTTGGGTTGAGCGACATTTGAAAAATGTGAATGAGGTTTTATTTTTATTTTTAAAAAGAGTGGGTAATAATTAGTAATATAAATGAAAAAGAAAAAAGATGAAATGAATTCACAGTCTAGCTGTAAACGTTTTCTTATTATTTCTCTGCTTCAGCGATGACTATATGTGCACATGGATTTTTAGATCGTGATTTAATCAGACCCTATTTTTCTTGTTTCCATTCGCTCCCTGGTAATAATCAACCGCACATAAAATAAGCTCGAAATGCGGGAAATTTTTTTTAACACTATGAGGGATGATAGATGATGCAAATAATGATAACCTTTATCTTTTTCCTTTTATTTAATTTTTTTTACTCATAACTTTCAACAACTAAAAAAAAATGTCTAGCAATTCGGAGTGCACAGGGGACAGCTGCCCTGTTGATTTTTCATCAAAGAAGAGCGCAACAACATGTCCGGTCGACCACTCCTCCATGAGCGCAACCAACGTAGCCACCACAGCGCTATCAAGTGAAAGCGAGGCAGTATGCCCTGTGGACCACAACAACCGCAAAACCATGGAGATTTTCCTTCCCACCAGCACGATCAAAGAGGACCGTGACGAGGAGGAGAAGAAGGCAAAGGGGAACCAGGGTGTGTTGGTGAACCCGGATAACCAAATGCCGATGGTTCCCGAACAGCAGGCGCACGGGGGGCAGAGACAGACGTTGTCGACGCAACGCGTGGTATCATCGATTCCGCGCGCCGACCGGTACGCTGGGCCCTCGGAATGTCCCTCGGTCTCTGCCTCTTCAGATGAGACTGTGAATGCAAAGGACAATGCCCCGAAGGGCAGCAATTGGGTGTACCCTTCAGAGCAGATGTTTTTCAACGCTATGCGGCGCAAAAATTGGGACCCGAAGGAGGCCGATATGCACTCGGTGGTGCCGATCCATAACGCTGTGAATGAGAAATGCTGGATGCAGATCTTAGAGTGGGAGAAGGTGCATCGGACGGAGTGTTCGACGCCGATGCTGTTGAAGTTCGAAGGGAGGTCTGGCGATTTGTCGCCGAGGGCGAAGTGGAAATCTTGGATCGGGTATCAGCGTCCGTTTGATCGTCATGATTGGACCGTGGATCGGTGCGGCACCCCTGTGAGGTATATTATCGACTTTTATGAGGGCAAGAAAGATCCGAAGAACCCGCTGAAGCCGTCATTTTACCTTGATGTGCGCCCGGCTATGACCGTACAGGGCACATGGGACCGCGCACGTCGGTTCCTGGGACTGTAAGTTCATTTTATTTAACAAAAGAGATGTTACAATACATTTAAAGTTTTTTACATTGATGTTTCTTGCCGCAAACAAAAAACTTTTTTTTTTTGTTTTTGGATCTAATCTATCAGCTGCGCTGTTCGGTCGCCAACGCCCCAGCGATGAGCGCGGTGCAGCACATGTCGGCGCACCTCGACGGCTTTAGCGCGCGAACGGCCCCTTGTGCAGTGATGCCAGTTGGCCAGCACCAGATCACACATGTCCGTGACCACCCACAGGGGCACCATCAAGCTCAACGCCATATCGTCTAGCTCAACACCGTGCAAGACCATATCCACATACACTCGCTGCATAACAAGCGCCGCACCCACCAGGTCGCGACGCTCCTTGACAACACCATCATGGCAGACATCAGCCTCTGCCAAAGTGGAAAGCCGCGCCAGAACAATCGTGTATGAGCCCACATCCAGCACAACACCATGAAGCCGAGCCACGCGCAGCACCTCTTGTGCGCAGCCCGAGCCCGCAGTGTTGTTTGGTTGGAGGGATGCGCGCAGGACAGAGTTGAACATGGAAGTGAAGTACGACGAGCTAAGCAGCCCATTCGTGGATCCCAATGCTACTACCGCCTGACAAGAGCTGCGGAACATTGAAAGCGCGCGCCCGGCATTACCCGCGTGGGCATGGCCCAACGCGATTTTGGCCAGCGCCCTCACATTGCCGGCACCGGTGCCCCCCCTCAGCGCTTCCTCTTCGGCACCACCCAAATCGCCCCTATCTACCATCTGCGCGACCTTGCGTGTCACCAACCGCTGCACTGTACCGATGCTCTTCCCATCTCGCTCCGAAACCACAGATTCCCTGGTCCAATCCTTGCCCTGCATCACCGGGACCATCAGCGCGTCGGTGATCTCGTTGGGCGCCGGCAAGGGAACCGCCTGGATCGAGTAATCAGCCCGCGTCAGCCGCATCTCCCCCGCCTGCATCTGCGCATACACCCACCGAGCAAACTCAAAGTCCCCGCGCCGCACGTATGCGTGCAGGATGATCGTCAGCGCGTGGACGTTTGGCAGCAGGTTGCGGCTGAGAAAGGGCTGCAGCCAGGGGAGCATTTCCCGAGGCAGCTGGGTTTCTGGTGGAAGCGAGGACATGTCGATTTCGAGCTGCTTGGCCAAGTGGCCTGCTGTCACTAACCCGCCATTGGTGTTATTGCCTGATAGCTTGTCCACTGTGCGTTGGGCCTCAAGTCTGAACGGACACTGCGTTTGGGCGTACAAAACAGAATCGAAGCGAAGCCACGTTCCCTCTCTCCTTATCCCACTGTTGTTGTTGCTGCTGTTTCTGAACCTCCAGCGAGTTTCGCGCTCCTGGACTATCTGCAGCCTGCGTATTGCTGTCAAAACCGCCCTCCCCGCCGCCGCGCCCATCCCGGTATCCGCCACCTGAGCGCCCAAATAAACCACATCATCGTACCGTCCATGCCGCAGAACCGCTGGGATCATCCACTCGAGGACACATCGTGGGATAGTGGATATAGGGTATCGGCTCTGCTTGAGGGCGCGCATGCACACGTATGCGCGTATATGGCTGGTGTCCGGGGATTCGTCTAGGAGGAGCGCGTGGATGATGGATGATGCTCTTGTGAATGAGGGAGCGTCCTGTTTGAGTATCCGCTGGAGTTGATTGATGGCCCGTGACCGCTGATTCTGGCTGATGCTGGTGTGGATCATTTGCGCTGTTGCGACCGTGGGGGATTCTAATAATGCTGGTGCTGACTCTGGTGTTGGTGTTGATTCTGGTGGTGGTGGTGGTGGTGGTGGTGGTATCCGCTGGTTTTGTGGGTTTGTGCACAGGAATCGTTTCTGCTGGTTGGCGGGAATCACTGGCATCAATAGTATCGGCGGGATCTTATCTCTGGTGTTTAGCCGCGCCGCAGCTTTCCATGTGCAAATCGATGAGCCTGGCCTGTTGTTGCACCACCAGTGCGCGACAAACTGCTTCCATTGTTGTTGGTGTTGGTGGTGGTGGTGGTGTCGCATTCCCCTCCCCTCCCCTCCCACTTGAAATTGGGGGGTTTATCCTCTTGTGGTTTGTTGTGTGTCTGTATCGCCACCTGCTGTCTATCTCATTCACACCCAAGCGTGGTTGTTGTTGATGTTGTTGATGTTGTTGTATTATCGAGTTGAAGCCACCCTTGAACTTTTACGCGCTCCCCACTTCCACAATTATTAATAAGAATCTAGTAATGAATTGAATTTAACAGAGAAAAAATGAGTTTAGACGAGGAGCCAAGGTTTTGAAACACCACTCATGCATAAAAAAGATGCTTTTATTGGAAGTATTCAAGCTTGTCCAGGTTTTGTATGCGCTTTCTTCGGATCTTTTAAATTTTAGGAAATCTATGGTTTAATTTTTTGATCTTTCTTCTTCAGCGCTTGCTGCCCTTGGGTCCGCCCTTGGCGCGGCGCCCGCCGCTGGGGCGCGGCTTATCGGCGAGGTTGCTGCTTCCAGTAATGAACTTGATCAGATCATCAATGGGCAAAAGACCCTTGGCGTTACCAGCCTGAGGAGCCGCTGCCGCCTCTGCGCCAGCCTGCTGCTGCTCCTGCTGAGATCCGCGATCCATCTGCATCAGGCCACCCAAAGTCGCCGCCTGGCTCAGCTTCTCCCTCGCTGCCTTGGTCAACTTGGCAGTGCGCACAGCATTGAACGTGAGCTCCGCCAGCCACTCCGCAGTCTCCTTGCTCCTGGGGTCCTCATCGCCGAAGCGCGCGCTGAAGAACTTGTGCGCATCCCTTTCGACCTGCACCGCCGCCTTAAAGTCACCAGTCAGCGCCAGTGCCTTGGCCAGTGCGTGCTGGGCGTTGGCAACGAGGACGCTGTCGGGGCCGTGCAGCTTGAGGCGAATCTCCAGAGCCGACCGGATAAACACCAGGGCGTCGTCAAAGAGCCGCAGGGACTGCAGCATGACGCCAATGTTGTTGTGCGCGGTGGCCAGGTCCGGGTGGTCGGCGCTGTTGACCAGGCCCCAGAGATCGACGGCGTGGCGCATAAGCCGCAGCGCCAGCAGCGTATTTCCGCGCGCGTGCTCGTACAGTGCCAGGTTGAGGTAGTTGTGGATGGTCAGCGGGTTGTCCAAACCGACAGTGCGCTCGGAGATCACCACGGCCTTGGCCATATACTCCGCGGCCAGCTCGTGCTCGCCCGCGTCGTAGTGCGCCAAGGATACGACCGCGTAGCAGCGAGCGGACTCTGAGTGGAGGAAGCCAAAGGTCTGCTCGTGCAGCGCCAGCGACTCCAGCAGAAGCTCCAAGCCGAGCGTCCGCTGGCCCTGCTCCAGCGACATGCGGCCGGCCTCGAAGGCCTCATCAGCGAACGACGAATTGTGCGTCGACACCTTGGTCTTGGCCACGAAGTTCAGCACGTCGTCGGCCTCCACCACCAGCTGCCGCGCCATGGCAGCGTCGATGAGCTCGCGCACCTGCCGCTTGGCCACCTTGGTCAGCTTCCCGTGGCCCAGCCCCAGGCTTGCCAGAACCTCCGCCTGCACGGCGCTCTCCTGCGGCTTCTCAAAGTGGTACTGGCGCAGGGCGAGCTGCGCACCCACCTTGAGCGTCGCCTCGCGCAGCAGAATGCGCTCGCTGCCGCTGACCAGGGTCTCGACAAAGTCCGCGGCCAGATCAAACCGGAACCGCAGCGCCACCTGCGCGCGGATCTCCTCTGCCAGCACGCTTGGCGTCAGCTCGCGAAGCTCCCGCACGGCGTGGGCCTCGGCGGACAGAAGCTGCGTCGGGTCTGTGCACCTGTGCGTACCCACAAGGCCGTTGGCCACCAGCGCAAACACCTCGCCGTGCAGATGCGCCGGCGTGGCGCGGAACAACCGCCGCACTACGTGCTTGGTCGCGCGCGAGATCATCTCGAAGATCACCAGCCGCCGCACGTTGCGCACAATCTCGATGTCGCCGGGCAGCAGGGCGGCAATTTGCCCGAGGTACCGCATGTTGATGCCGCGCTGGTGCATAGCTGTGACCAGTGCGTCGCCGCTCAGCGGCGAGGTCGTGTAGGACGCCAGCTCGTGCGCGAATGCTGGAACGCCGACTTCGCGCAGGAACTTGGACGCGCTGCGCACCGCCGCATGCATCGGCGGCTCAGCCGAGCCGCCCGATTCAGAGCCCTTTTTCTGGATATGCGTGAATGCGTCGGGGGTGAACTCGAGGCTAAAGTCAAAGTCAGCCATTGCATCCTCAGGCTTCTTGGCCTCGGCGGTTTCAGTCCCAGGCTCGCCCTCCTCGGGCTTCTTGGCGTCCTCGCCCTTGCCAGCCTCCTCGCTGCGCTTGGCCTTCTCGGCGGCGTACTCCTGGACGGCCTTGCGCACGCTGGTCTCCCAGAAGATGTCCAGAAGCTCAGGGCGCAGCAGCACCAGCTTGTGCGGATACACGGGCAGCGACGATCCCTCCCGCGCCTCAGTGCACTCGGCCTCTAAGAACTCGACGTCCACAGGGGACATGCGGTAGAGATCCAGCATGTACTTGCGCCCGTCAGTTCCCGTCAAGCCCTTGACGTCCGACGACGTATACAGCGAGAACTCGGTGCCCTCAGCGTCAGCCACCACATGTTCGCCAAAGTGCAGCGCCTTAGCCACGGGCGCAAGTAGCTGGTGGAATTCAGCGTCAGCCCCGACGGTCACACCGTTGTCGACACTGCCGTAGACGATCTGCGTGGTGTCCTGGCGGCGGAAAATGCCAGGCACGACAGACTGCGCAACCACGCGCAGCCCACGGTAGTCGACGACCACGCTGCCCAGCGTATGCAGGCCCTCGGTGTCCAGCTGGTTGAGCAGCCGGACTCCCGTGATGTCCTTGCCTGTGGCCACATGCGCAGCGGCATCGCCGCCGAGCTCCGTGAACATGTCGCGGCCGTCGAATCCTTTGCTGTAGAAGATGTTGTCATGCAGGAACATGTGCTGGTCCTTGGGCTCGGTCGGGTTCAGCGGCAGCATCTCGCCGTCCACCACACCCATTGCGCCCACAACCACAGCTCCAGCAAACTCCGAGTACCACTTGTGCAGCTGCCGGTCGCGCAGCACGCGCTCGGACAAGTTGCTGCGCGGCATCTCGCGGATGCTCTGCAGCTCCTCGTTCCAGTCGCGCAGCGAGTCGGTGCCCTGAGCGCCCAGCCGCAGGCACACCTCCTGCGGGTGGCCCAGGTCGTAGGCCCCAGGCACACGGTTTGCAGCGCCGCGCACCAGCCACGGCGATGCCGCCTGCTCGGCCGACACAAACGGTAGCACCTCAACCGTCTCGCGCCTGGCCACCTCCCTCTGCAGCTCGTCGAGTCCGCGCCCAAATCGAGCCGACAGCCGCCTAAGCAGGGTGATCAGCGAATGCGCCTGGTAAAAGTCGCTCTCGCGGACGCCCGCCTGTCCGGCCCTGGCCTCGCCAAAGGGCTCTGGGTTGAAGCGGACAAGGCTGGACGAGTTGACGTAAAACCCGGTGCGCGACGCCGTGATATGGTAGCTCTGGTTCTCGATCGTCGTCACCAGGAGGTAAAGCAGATCGCCCTTGAGCTGCCGGTACCGCGGCACGGGGTTCCATCCACTCAGGATAATCTGCTTGATGCACTGTGGGAGCCCAAGTCCAGCGATCGCCTCCTCGGCAGATATGACATTGAAGGAGGGCACCTTGCCAAGCTCGTAGCCCTTAAACGCGTGCTCGATGGGCTTGCTCTTCACTGATGCCTCGCCCTCGACCTCCTGCTGGTCCTCCTCCCCAGATGCAGCGGCCTGCTTGCCTCCGGCACCGCCGTCGTTCTTTTTCTTGCCACCCTTTCCGGCTTTGTTTGTCTGCGTGGGCTTTGCTGCCTCTTCGGAGTCAGATTCGTCATTGATATCATCCGATCCGCCCTTCGGATGCTTGATGGTGCTGAAGATCGAAGCGCCGGCGTCCAACCCAGCGATGTTCGGGTTCGCCGTGGTCGGGCCAACGAGGAGATCACGCAGACGGGTGACGTGGAGCCGCGCCTCGCGCTCTGTGTACTGATCCTCGACCAGCCCCAACTGACACTCCTTCTCCAGACCCTCAATTTCTCCGAGCTCAACAAAATCATTAAGCCGTTGTCCGTCGAGTGTCAGGTAGAAGCACGAGTATTCGATTGTGCCCGCTGTCTCGCTGACCACTTGCTTGAGATCCTGGATCGTCTCCTGGGAGGTTGCAATAATCGGAACTACGACTCCATTGGGCGCCTTGATCTTCAACTGGTATGGAACCTCCTCTAAACCCATGATAAACAATTACAAGCAGGTTTAGTGCAAAGGTGTAAAGGTAGTGTTTTTTCACAGGTGTGTTGGCTACATTTGAATTTATGAATTTCGTTTAAGGGGAAATACTTTACCCGGCGAATGCTCTTCATTGTCGTTGGCCTCGGCCTCGAGATCAATGTTCTCCTCCTGTGAAGACGCTACCTCGGAGACAGCCACTCCATTAGTAGTGGCTGCTGGCTGGTTCTGAGAAACCTCGCTGGTAGCGTTCTCGTTGGTCTTTGGCGCAGTTGACATGATGGCGATTAAAGATCAAATATAAAATAGATAAGAGTGAATGGATGTATACGTGCGAAAGAAGAAGTCGTTAAACTGAAAAATGATTCTAGAACAGAGAAACTAAAAAAGATAAGCAAAGGAGGTGTGTATGCGTGCGCGTGGGAGGGAGTGGACAAGGGGGCAAGGGAAATAATGAAAATTTTTGAATACTCGAGTGCTCTCACATCTTTTTTTCCCTGGCCAATCGATCAATCAATCAGCCACCACTGCCGCAACGCTGCCTCTGCCACTCCTGTTGCCGCATTTTTTATTTCCTATTAAAGCTGCTTGTACCATCTGTTCTAAGATTTTGCGCTGTGGGTGGCAAGCAAAAAAAGCCGATTACCGTCATCTCATTTTCAATTTCAATTGCAGATTTTTATTATCTGGATGTGATGATGAAAAAATATCATTGGACGATGGACCAAAACACATATAAAATATTTATAATATTTCTCTGCTGTCAATAGCTCTGGTGCTTCGTGTACAATTTCTAAAATGTTCAAGAAAGGATTAATTACCAAAACATTCATATTGGAACCCGCTGTGCCATGCAAAGAGCCGGTTTCCTTGGCCGCATAGAGCTGCTCACATGGATTGTGTTCTCGGATTTTCCCATATATTTATACCAAAATGAATTTTGAAGGCACAGAGTGCAAATTTCTATATAACTTCATATTTTTTTTAAAAAAAAAAGTTGGATGCTGCTGCCGCCGCCTTGTAAGATTCGGTGCACTCGGACTATTCAGCATGTCGATAATATTTATTCTGTATTTGTCCTTTTTTTGCTCATACTCCCAGGTGGGTGCAGGATCATTTAATTAAATATGTTTGAGTCAAAAGGAGATATGACTCATTGCTCAAGCGACAAATATTGGGAAAACAACCAGCACCTTCATTTGCTTACATTTTGGAATAAAAAGAGCAAAAGGAAAAAGGGAAGCTAGTCTTTATGCGGCCTCCATTAAAAAGGCAAAGTCTCAATATCAACTGGGGAAATATTGGGGAGGGGGAAGGAATAAACAGTTTTGCATTTTATTTGCTAAAAAGTATGAAGGCCCGAAAAATGCATATTTATCTCCTTGGCATGGAAAAATTCAGGCATTTTATTATATAATACGCCCAATCCCACTTTTTCTTAGCCCAAATTATCATTTTTATATCACAAATAGTGTTTATAGGCACTTCAAGCACAGCCCATTTGTTTTATACAAGTGTAACTTATCACGTCGTCAAATTCTAAAAACCACTGTCATTCTAAAATCGACAAATATGTTCAAAAGGAGCCGAAAAGAACAGAAATAAATTAAAGAGTTCGTCGAGAATGAAATTGTGCCACCTAGCTTAAACGCTACCAAGGCACCTAACGAGAAAAATCCAAAATATTGAGGTGACGGATAATGAAAAGTTTATAATTGGAAAGGATGAAGCTCCTATTACCTCTTTGATGGTTTATTTACGCACAATCGGCTATGAAAAAGATAATCTTGAATATTAGGATGGCCATAGACAGTCTAAGACCATATATAGCTAAAAATGCAAACCAAACATTTTCTACTTTGTTTAAAAACATTGACACACAAAAAAGATACAGCAGACATGAAAATAGTATTTTTATTTTTATTTTATCTTTTTCAGCTTATCCTTAAACTAATTTGCTTCCATTCGCTTGTCTAAAATTATCATTGGATAGAGAAACATTTACATTCATATAATATTTATATAAAATGGTTACAAGTTGATTGTGGTGGGAGAATAATTTTTTAAACGATATATCAAAAATTAAAAAATATATTTATAAAAACATTAAAACTATATAATAAATGGTTTGTATATAATAGACCTTCTGTATATTTTAAACTGAAAACTCTCATGAGGGTCTAACTGCTCTTATACGCTTGGGCATTGAATGTGCTAAATTTTGTATAGTAGTAGTTGGAATAATTGCCCAATAAATTTGTGCTCGCTCGAATAGTTTACCAATGTTTTTCGGATGACTGTCATAGTTGCAAAGATGGGGTTTCAGCAGACTCCAAAGGGTTTTGAAAGGATTGAGGTTGGAATATTGTGATGGCCATGGCAAGACGTTGCTATCGTGACTTTGTAGCCAGTTGCCAGTTCCACGGGCTGTGTGCTTAGGGCCATTGTCCTGCTGAAAGATGGCACTAACTACATTTGGGAGATTGATACTTTCCAAAGTGGGCACCAAATTTCTGCCCAGTATTTGAAAGTACATGGCACTATTCATATTGCCTTTAAGACGAGCCAAGGGAACTGGGCCATTAGCGTGGAAAGCGCCCCACACCACCAAAAAGCCACCACCATATTTCATAGTAGACTGAATATATTTGGCCTTCATCTCGTTGTTGTTTCCCTTGGTTGCAAACCTTCTATTCCTAGTATCAAAGCACTTAATATTGGACTCTTCTCTCCAAAAAACCTGCTCGCAATCGAATTCGGTCCACTCGTGTTATTTTTCCCATCTGCACCGCAACTTTTGGTTGTTTTTGGTGACAAATGATTTTTGCCTCACAACACGAGAATAATGCCGAATGTGAACAAGATATTTCTGAATAGTCTGCCGATTTAGTTGAAGCCCTCTCTCCTCTGACCGCTTTTTGGTAAGTGTAGCAATGTTGATCCCTTATGTGTGATGGAAAAATCTTTGAATAAAGATTTCGTCATCCTTGGTCAAAATTGTAGGACGACCCCTCTTGGGCCTTTCGCTGTAGATACAGTGCCAACTAAAATACGTTCTAATTGTGCTTGGATTAATGTGTATTATGTTGCTTATTTTTGTAGAAGCGAAGCCGTTGCGAGACATTGACTTAATTATGTTGGCCTTGTCGCGAGTAATGATTATGACTTAAAATTATATAATTATAAAAAATTGGCATAATTATTATAAATGCACAAATATACCTTTGGTAATACAAAATGAAATAAAAATGATGTAGCTATTGTCGTGCTCTATAAAAATGTGGGTCTAAATTGATATATTCAAATCTTCCAAATTACTTAAGGAACTGAAAAAGGGGGCAGCGCTGTGTGGGCAGTGCTGTAAACAGCATGGTGTTCCTTGATGTTAGCCAGCAATAACAGAAATGTGTATAGTGGCCATGAGGGCAATCTTGATTCTTGAAAAGGGAAGATAGTGACTTGAAATGTGTGTTGGGCACCACAGCTATAATATAAATTTTTATTTGGCATCAATAGGCTGCTTTTAAGCCTGGTGTTCAATTTTAAAGTTTAGGCTTCTTATGTAACAAAATTTAAAAATTCTATAAAATATACGAACATGCATATATTCTAAAAAGTCCATCTTTAATATTAATTTGTACAAAAACAAACTAGCAAGCAACCGTGCAACTTACACTGCTATTTTAAGTTGGACCAGGGTGTATTAATAATAAAACAGATGTTATTTGGGCCATCAGGGTAAAAGATATGCCAAGTACAAAAGTTGATGGCCCAAAAAAATTGACAGTTTTCATGTTGTTGCACAGACCGAAGATATAGAAATGGATTTTGAGGTTGTGAATCGCAAAACAAGTTTCGATCTGCATACTGATTGACAGGGTACTAATTGGATTATGCAGGCGTAAATTAGGAAGGCATTACATTGATGCCCAGATACGCTCCCCATTTTGCAATGCACACGCATGAGCGCACACACGCGAAAACCACAACATTGACTTGCCAAGATACCGGTCTGCTCGCAGAAGATCCAGTTTTCACCAACGGAGCGCACAATTGAAAATGTGCACAACAAAGGCGACAAGGCACATATATAAGATGAGGCCGGCCCTAGTAGTATTTTAGAAACATTAGTAATAAAACCTTTTATAAACTCACCCCTACTTTTCTAACACTAGATAACTAGTGCTTCTCACACCCCCTCTTATTATAACACGTCTAAAATACAAACAGTCTGTGTACCATTTTGCTAGCCAGTGCTTATTTAATTATACACAATAACTATTCACACAGGTGAGATGCACATGCTGCCCATAGTACTTTTGTATTTTTTTGCAAGCACAGAAAGTCCGTCATATATATTTTAAATATGTTCTACAAACTTAAACTCAATAAACTACCTTATAAGCTCATTTGTTAACTATTGTATTTCTACAATTGCTCCCAAGCAATGTTTGCCACGTGTGGATGCAAGTCCTTGTACTCCTCGACAAACGACATGTGATCAAAGTCCTCATACATCGAAAGCTTGACTTTCTTTAATGATGGAGCAGCCAATATCAAGTATTTGATACTGTCAAATTTTGCTTCTTTGCAATCATGATCGACTGAGGCATGCAAGTATAACTCGTTGATGTTGGTAGATATTGGTTCGACCTGGTCAAGCCTGGGCTCAAAGGCCTTGTCAAAGAGAATACCATACACTTCTAGTTTGGTCAGTTTGGGCACTCTGGCCAGCATATCCACAACTGTGCCAAGCTTAAGCACATCGCGTATCTCCAAAATATGAAGGCTGGTCCATTCAATGCGCCGCGAATCCCATTTTTGCAAACACACGTCTGTGTCCATATTTATAGTGATAATCAGCTCTGCGTGGCTTATTTTGGTTGAGCTTCCAAAAAATGCGTTTGTTGCCTCGTAGAACGCATCCAAATCAGCATCAGAATTTAGCCTTATATCAACCGTGCATCCGTCAATACATGCCTTGCTTGTATTGCCCAATAAATTAAGCACGCTATGAGATCCATAAATATATGCATGCTTCAAGTGCCTGAACTCGATAGAAGCGTTTAAAAGCCCAAAGTGGTTACCAATTCCGTTAAGAGCAATGCTATTTAGTTTGGGCATGTGCAACGCAAAATATTCTTTGCTGCTTGTTTCAGAATCATTTTTGTCTGCTAGCGCGGGTTCATCTTCCATGTAGGAGTGGTGCACAGTCAATTTTTTTAAGTTGCTGAAAGTAATACTCGCTGAATCACCACTATTGCTTGCAAAGCTCTTCCATGAAACGCCGCTTATGACTCCTGTCAGTTCAATTGACTCAATATTTGCCACGTTGATTTTTGGCAGGGCCTGTTTTCCATTTATGTCCAAATTGACACTCAGGTGCCTAAGCTTGGGCGAAAACGCATTGGCTGTCCACACAATTGGAAAATCGGAATCGTAGCTTATTAGCTGGTGAGCGTAGCCGTTGGAAACAATGCTGCAAAATTGCTTTAAATGCTTGTCGCTGTTGTCGAACAACAGCATTCTTAAGTTATTGGCGTTGGGCATTGTCTTGACCATGTATTCTGCAAACATGGATGTAGCTTGCATATATTCATCGCTGTCGATGATATCCAAAACTTTGGAAATGTCGTATTTCTGGAACCATATGTCTACACTCCTGACACAGGGCCACTGGTCAGAGCCGCATCCCATTATTTTTTGGAGTCTGGGGACCATGGCATTCCTAATCCACAGATTCTTCAGTCTGGGGCAAAAAACATTGACTGTACCCTGTTTTTTCTGCTGCACCTTCTGGCTGCTTATAAATTGCTGGCATTCCAAAGCAATGTACTCGTCTTTATTATTCTCCTCGTTTTCAATATCATTGCTGTACTCGCTTTCACTATCCTCCTCGTTCTCAATACTCTCGCTGTATTCGATGTTCAAAGATTCCAAGCGCTTAAAGCATATATTCTCAGCTGTCGAATCGTTCTTTAGTATTTTCTCCCATGCAAATGTGGGATGTGCATTGTCCAAGTTCAAGTATTCCAGTGTTTCAAAAAACACGTTTGGAAGGCTCTGCAAGGTATTCAACTCGAGATTCAGCGACAAGTGCACGAGCTCGCAGGAAAACTGTGTTGCAGTAAAAGTCATAGGGGAGGGGATGCTGACGTGAACAAGCTGGTCAATGTAAAGACTAACCAACTCATCGTAAAATGTGATATTGTTATTACAATCATAATGACCTATCCTTAACCTAGTCACGCTTGGAATATGCTGATTTATACTGACTGCCAGATTTTTGCTGCGCTGCATCGAGATATTGAAATCATCATCTAAATGGCCCTTAAATTCATTGACGTCAATGTAAAGCTGTGTAACGTGTGGGCACTTTAACACCTTGAAATCCATAAATTCTTTTAGCATCCCAAATGTCGGGACTGTGACGCTCAACTCCTGGAGAGCTGGGAACTGCAATTCACTCGAACTCCCAATGCTTTGCACATCAGGACTTCTATAGAATTCAAAATCCAATTTCCGCAGGCTGGAAAATACAATGGTTTGCGCCTGCTTGGTATTTGCCAGCTTGCTCCAAGAAAACAAACTAGTGACATCTCTTAGCACCAGCGTCTGCAACTTCTGGCAGCACACGTGTGGAATGCACTGCATATGTTTTATATCGATATTGAGCGTTGTGAGCTGGGTAAAATTGGCTGACTCTACTGACTCGGCAAGCGTAAATGATTGATAGCTGCGAAAATACTTTAAATTGCGCGAATACATTTGTGACAATAGACTAGTCATATCAAATATGGGGCCATTATCGTACATCACATTGTCCAAACTATCCACACCTGGCATGTACTTTGCCATTTGCCGAGCAAATTCATTGGCATCATCCATAATATCAGACTGAGATTCGCTGCCAATGTCGTTATTGCTATTGCCCTGGTGGCCGCTGATGTTGAGTGTGCTGACTCTGCTCCAGTCACTCGTTTCAAACGAGAATATTGAATTTGCTTCGGCGAGCAGGGAGCGATAACATTCAAAATGACTAACCTTGATGGTCACAGTTTTTACCAGGTGCGTGTTTCCAGTAGCCTTGAGCAGCCCAATGTTGGTATTAACGAGCTTGTCTTCGACAGCGGTGTCATGCGAGTGCTCAACAAAACAAAAATTGTGTTCTCCAGACCCATCAAGTATGGCATTACAATAGACCAAGCCAGTGGCCACTTCTCTCCACCCGCGGCAGACGCCCAGCAGCGGCAATCCGTCTGCCCACGTGTCGATATTGTATCCGCTGGTGTTAATGGCTACACGTAGAATGCGGTTGAGGATGACAAATGGAAGCTGGCTGAAGCAAGGCATAGCGAAATAAATAATATTGATAGCAATGTTGTTGTTGTTTAAAGCGGCTCAACTTGTTCTAAAATTACTCTAATATTTTAAATAGTAATTGCTAAATTGAAAAATGGAAAAATGGAAGAGAAGAGAAAGAAACAAATGCTCACATTGCACATAAAAACAATTGGCAGCGGCTGCGCTAAAAAATGGCAGGGCAAGCAAATAAAGCAAACTTGGCGTGCGTGTGTCTGCTTTATTAAAAATAAAAACCAATTGAAAAATACGTTCATTCAAAGCTTTCTTTTGGGAATTAAATGCGCAAAAAAGCAAAGCAATATCATTGCCTTGCTGCTTTGCTGCTTTGCTGCTCTGCTGCTCTGTTGCTCTGCTGCTCTGTTGCTCTGCTGCTCTGTTGCTCTGCTGCTCTGTTGCTCTGCTGCTCTGTTGCTCTGCTGCTCTGTTGCTCTGCTGCTCTGTTGCTCTATTGCTCTATTGCTCTGTACAATAGTTTTTCTTGTTAGCCGTGTGTTCAGCTACTAAAGCAAAAGTGGCAAAATAATCGAGAAGCACACGCTGCTGATATTTTATTCTAAAGTGACAGTGGGAATTTTGTCGTCAATTAATTGCTCGCAAAATGTGCACACATTTCATGTTTGATATGCAAATAATTGTAATAAATGCAAACAAAATACAAAACAGCGCGCTCATCGAATGGACATGCGCAGATATATACAACTAAAGCTGTCGATCGGTCTACTTTTTGGCCAGCACTGCGTGTGGCGCCAATACCCGCTGGTCTCAATGCTGCTGCAAAAGCAAGACGCTCCCAGATAGCCTTGAGAATTGGCTGTCGTGCGGAGCAGTCACTACAAGCAGCTCGGATTCTCCGCTTCCAGACGCAACCAGTATGCTGTGTCCCAGGCGCGCACGGCCCATGTAGTTTGCCGCATAAAAGCACTCGGGTCGCTCGAGCCCCACGCGCCAGCAATGCACCCTGCCGTCCTCGGTGTGGCCAAAGGGCTCGCCGATCCACAGGTCGGTTGCCGTCGAAGCCAGGGCACGGCCGAAATGGCCAGGACTCTGCGTGCCGCGCAGGGTGCTGAGCAGCCCGACGGGGTTATTGGCATCTTTCCCATTTACACCAGTTGCGTCGGCCGGATTCCACAGGGCCGGGTCGAACACGCGCACTTGGCCGGCCTGCCAGCCGCGTGCGGGCTTCTCTGGGCCAATCAGACCACCCTGAGCCAGCTCTGAGCTGTGCTCCGAGGGCGTTCCAAAAAGCACCAGCCTTGAACCATTTGTCTGCCACACGTGCATCTGGCTGCCGAGCTGCGTGCTGCCCTTGGACGCGGCAAAGTGAAGGCCGCGGAACTCTGGTGGCGACCCCTTTGGGTCCGCTGCGTTTACAGAAAATGCATATATCGAGCCGGCCAGCGTATGGTTTGCGCCTGTGTCTGGGTCCGCCTGGGCGTGGCCCGGCGCGCCCACCAGCAGCAGCGTGGTATTTGTCTCGCTCAGGTGCACGGCACGGGCCGAAAACCCAAACCACTCAAATGGCTGGCGCTGCGGAGACACCAGCGTAAAGTCCGGCGGGCCCATCTGGCCGCTGCCCTGGCCCGCGCGCGGCCCCGAGATGTACCCAGACATGCGGCCCGCATGCGTCTCATAGGGCACGTCAGAATGGTAGGGCGCGCCGATAAGCAGATCGACAAACCCGTCGTTGTTGACGTCCTCACCAAACAGAAACCCGCCGATGCGCTGCTGCGAGAAGGGGCTGTCCGTGTACTCTGAAAGCTGTGTGGCTGTCAGCGTAAAGTCTGGCACCGAGGACAGGCCGGCGCCCTGGTGGCCGAGATACACGTCAACGCGGCCCAGCAGCGAGCCTGCCGGGTCCGGCCCGTATGCGGTGCTGCCCACGGCCAGATCGGCAATGCCGTCGGCATTGTAATCGATGACTGCGAGCGCCGACCCAAACGCGAGAAAGCGCGTGCTGGCACTGAATGGCGGCAAGAGAACCTGGGGATCCGCGTCGTCAATGTTCTGCTGCGAGAACGCGTAGCTGATGTCCAGCTTGTTGAGCACAAACACTGCGCCGGCGCTGCTGTTGCCGTTGCTGTTTGCGTAGTAGGGTGCGCTAATAGCCACGCTGGCGTGCCCGCTGCCGCTAAAGTCGCCGGTCGCCACTGCGGTGCCAAACCCAGAGTACGCGCTAGTCGAGTAGAGCTGCTTGATCAGCGGGAAGAGTGTAGAGAGCTCAGCACACGCTTCAAAGGCGGCTGGCCGGCTGTCTTGAGATAACAGGCGCTGGTGTTTGGGAGCAAAGGCATGCTGCCTGTTTGTATGTGAATTACCACGAACAGTGCCATTTACCTTGCTGTTTTGTGCTGGCTTTGGCGGCAGCGCCGGGAAGCGCAGGCTGCTGGCGCTCACTATCCACGGCTTGCTGTCGCCAACTGCCGCAATGCTGTCGCCGACACTCTGCATCCACTGCTCGCGCGGCCACATCTCGTCGAGCAGCGCCTGCGCTGGTGACTTGCCGCCAAACGCACGCGTACGGTTTGGCCGCGGCTGCGGCTGGCGGCGGTCGCTGACCAGGCACCTTTTTGAAAAGTCGCCATGGCCGAACCAGTCGACCAGCGCATGCCAGCAGTCGGCAGTCCCGGCTGCCATGGCAGACAGGCCGCCAATATAGTAGTCGACAATGCGCTCCGTCAGCATCGGCGCCCTCGACGCGTACGACGGAAACATGCCCATTCCAAAGCGCTTGACCGCCTCCATGGCATAGAACTGCCGGGTAATGCACACCTTCATTCGCCACTGCGCCACCTGTAGGCCCATCTCGCTGTAGATGGCAAGCACGTCGTCCACGGGGACCAACCACTTGTCCAGAATGTAGCGCAGGCCGTCCATGTGCGCCATGGCAAAGTCGCCGCCGACATCCAGCACGTCGTGCGCCCGGGAGTACTCGCCGCCAAAGGTCGAGTTGGCCAGGGCCACCATGAAGCCGTCGCGCAGGCCCCCGAGGCTGTGCCACTGCTCGTCAGCCACCTGGTGCGACGCAATGCCAAAGAGAAATGCAACCAGCTGCTCAGCCTGCGCGCTGTATGGCTGCGAGTACGTGCGCAGGAGGTACGCAACACCAACCTCGAGGAATGGCGTCCAGTGGGCCGCCTCCGCCGGTTCATCCATCGACATGCAGCCGTAGCCCCAGTCTGGAAACGCCACGCCCGCCTGCAGAGAGGACACTTGCCTGTCAAGGATCGAGCGGTACTTTGCTACGGCACCATTATTGGACGCACCCTGCGGCGAGACAAACCACTGCCGCGCCCGCTCGGCCACTTCGTTGTGCACTGCTGGCCCGCAGCCCTGGCCGTCGCCAGCCATGCACAGTGCCACGACAGATGCTGCCACTAGGCAGCGCGCCCATCGCCGGTGCGCAGTGTTGATCATGTAGCGGAGTGAGGGCTAGATGTTGTGTGTTTAATGGTAAAAAGACAAGCGCGCTCAAAAGCCTAAAGGTTCATGTGTGTGTAAGAATGCAAATAATAAAAATAAATCCATAGCGAGGCGGTTGACTATCGAAAAAAGATAAAATGTCCATAGGTACATGCGCGCTTGCAGACTTATTCGGCCGAGAATGCGTGTTAAATGAAATGCAATCAAGGCCCAGGGCACAGCAGTGATGACAACGCATGTAAAATTGTTATGTAAGTATTTGCTAATTAGAGTTGTAATACAAGAAGTTAGTTACTAAGCTATTAAAACTCAATTCAATGCATCTGTGGTCCAGAGGTATGATTGCCGCCTGCCACGCGGTAGACCCGGGTTCGATTCCCGGCGGATGCATATTTTGCCATTTTCAATATGTTTGCACTTTTTGTAGCTGGCCATAATTGATTTACATTTTACTTATTTACTGCGTGAAACGGGTGGCGTGTTCTCGAGTGCGTTTTTTTTACTGACTTCGTATTTATTTATTCGACATATTCGATGGCGACGCCAGACTACTACACGGTGCTTAAAGTGCCTAACACAGCATCGCACGACGAAATCAAACGCGCGTACTATGCTCTCAGCCGAATAGTACATCCTGACAAAAAGACGAGCATTGTCAATAACAATTACAATAGCAATAGCAATAGTTCCAAGGAATGCGGTCAATTGGATGTCGAGTTTCATCAGTTGAGTGTGGCTTGGGAAATATTGGGTGATGCAGCGCGGCGCAAGGCATATGACCAGCGGGTAAAGGCCGTCCAGAATCGAGCTCTCGGGGTTGTGCAGGACGAAATTGATTTGGACGACATGGACTTTGACGAGGACTCTGGTACATACTCGTTTCCTTGTCGCTGTAGTGGGCGGTACTCCATTGCGGAGAGCGATTTGGAAGCAGGGAGGGAGATTGCCCCGTGTGTGGATTGTTCGTTAAAAATCAAGGTGCTGTACGAGGCCGCCGATGACAATGATGAGTAAATGCCATATTTACAACCCTTTCAATTCTTGCTTCATTCGTGGCATTTTTATTGCTTTTATTTTTTGGCTCTACATATATACATTTTGCTATTCCTGTTTATTTTTATGGTCCATTTATTAAAAGTACTCGTCAAAACAGCAAGGGCGAAGACTGTATTGAGCGCTGTGCTGCTGGCAATTGTGACTTTGGAGTACGCGGTCGATGCGGCTATATACAATAGTTGGAAACACGCGGACGACCGTGTGGTGGGACTCCCGTACAAGGCTGGCGAGAAGCCGTTGCATGAAAGCTACTCTGGACATATAACTGTGCGCACGTGGACGCCCGAGGGCGGGGCATCTAAGGACAGCGGGAGCGCAAAGCTATTTTACTGGTACTTCCCCGCCATTGCGTCTAAAGTGGAGGAGCCGCCCTTGCTCTTGTGGATTCAGGGCGGCCCTGGGTCGAGCTCGATGATTGGGCTGTTGACTGAGATGGGGCCGCTGGCACTCACTGATGACGGCGAGTTTACCAGACGAAATGTAACTTGGGCTAACCACTATGACCTGTTGGTGGTAGACCAGCCCGCGGGCACGGGATTCAGCTCGGTCAGCCCGCGAGCAAACTTGACTCTTGATGACCTGTTCCCAATTGCAAATGTGATGCCCAAGAGCGTAGTGGACTCGTGGAAAGCTGAATACCCGGGCAACGTGAACGATTACAAGTTTATCAAGTCGCCGATGACCATAGAGTTCATTGTCGCCGAGGCCCAGGATATGCTGCGCAAGCTGATGCACCCATTGGTCAAGCTTTCGAGCAAAACCACTCCCTTTGGGGAAATGTTTACCAATGTGCTCAAAGCCCGGCAGTCCGAAATACCCGATATGTTGAGGTATATCAGGCGATCAATCAGATTCCACGAGCACACGGGCCCTGATCAAGTTGGGAGCTTCAGTCTTCCAAAAGATGGCGGCAGCGATGACAACAGTGACGACCCATTCTTGGTGAACAGTGGCTATGCCGAAGAACGCGAAAACAAAACTGTTTGGGAAAAGATTGGGCTGACCAGCGATGAGTCCGGCGACTTTGTTAACGGCTATGCAACCAACATGCGGGCAGTTGGCAAGGACATGTGGACGTTTATGCAGATATTTTTTGAACAGAGGCCAGCCCTGCGCAAGCGAGATTTTTATGTATTTAGCGAGTCGTATGGCGGCAAGTATGTACCAGCAATCGCCACGTACATTGACCAGCAGAACGTTAAGGTTGGCAAGGACAGCCTACAAGCAGTTAATTTGCGCGGTGTGTCTATCGGAAATAGCTTGGTGCACCCGGTGCTGCAAATTCTGGCGCATGGCAGCATTGGGTTTGCTTGGGGGTTGCTTGATGTGGAACAGGCAGATACAATGGACCTGCTGGCATTCAAGGCCATCAACCACACGCTCAACGGGGACCTCGAGGCTGGAAACGAAATCAGGCTGTTAATGTTTGACTACTTCCGAAACATCACAGGTGGCGTCAACTGGTACGACATACGCCAGCGCAACCACAGCTACAAGCGCATGTATTTGGACCAAGGGCTCAATAACCCGGTTGTGCGCGAGGCATTGAACACCAAGGACATTGCATATGGCGTCGATCATGGAGTGTATTATTATTTGTCTGGCGATATAATGCGCACAACCGCACCGCTGTTTCCAACCCTTCTAAACAAGTACTCGGTGCACCTGAACCAGGGTCAGTTTGACTTTCGGGATGGCGTGGCAGGCAACACGCTATGGATCAATGGTCTGAAGTGGCCGGATAGATCCAAGTTTTCTTTGGCTGACCGACAGCAATGGTGGCTAGAAAAGGAGCTTGTAGGGTACACCCGCAGTGGCGGCAAGCTAAGCCATTGGGTCATTCTGAACGCTGGCCATATGTCGCCAGGTGATCAGCCTGAGGCTTGCCTGGATATGGTCAGGCGCATTGTTTTGCTGTAGCATTCTGTTATTCTGTGCTTATTGAGCATAATCAATAAATCAGTATTAATTTGTAGAACAAGATATGTCAAAGTTAGCTGGGGTGATGGTAGCTGTAACAGGGTGATGCTATTCGTGAAACTTGGCCATCTTCAACACCAGAAGATAAATTTTGTGGTATACAATTGCATTTGAGCCTTGCAGTAAACCAAGTTGCAACTATTGTGCCAGTAATAATGACTATTTTACAATTTTAATATAAAAATAAACACCATCTGGACAGCACCGCACACACATGATTTTTGAGAAAATCTGTTTGCTCAATGCGCAGCCATGCTACCAATAATGCAAGTGTAGTGTATACTGAATGCACTGTCCAACATTCATAAATTCATAATAAACGCAATTGATAGCTGTTATTTGAGCAGCCGCGCGATTCGGACATTGAAAAGGCTAACCAGATTTAATTTAAAAATATATTTTGTTGCAAAATGATAACAAGCAAAAAGAGGCGTTTATCAGCTATTAGAAAACATGTCCTATTCACTCCAATTTGCTCTCCCCATTATAGCATTCTTGTAATGTTTTTTAAAAAGAAATATTAGCTGTCATCTTGTTAAACCATATATTCTGCGACAAGGCGTCACAAGAGGGGCCACTCATGTTCTCCTTGGTAATTGTGATGTCCTTGCGACATGTGCTCCCTCATTAAAAAGTTAAATGGTTGTGCCAATGTCTGAAAGTGGATATCATAATTTTAATATAAAAACAGAAAAATAATCGAACAAGTCAAACAAGCCGTTTTATTTAGGTTAGTTTGAGGCGTATTTTACCTTTGTTTACCGTTAAAAGACAAATATCAGTTTTTTCAACTCCAACCCAACCATTTTATACTGTCTAATTTTGTTTTGCGCCACCACATCTGTTGGAATAATGGGGAGATATAGATATTATGGCTAAACCTGTCTTGTTTTTTAATTACCGGAATTTATTGTTTTCAATGCACAGAGCCATTGCACATATTTTAATGGAAAATGTGTCAAAAAGGACGTGACCACCGAGAATCATAATATTTTGCATATAACATGCCTTTTTGGAAGATAGCGTTTTTTGTTATCTTTGTTGTCTCTGTCGCTTTTAAATATTATTGTTATTTTGCCAATTCATATACTCTTAATATATCAGCACATTTGTTTTGTTTATATTTGCTTTAATTTGTGCTACATTGCTGTATTGTGCACATTATATCAAGCTAACTTGTTAGGCCCAAGAATGGAGCACGAAGGCGACAAGCTGTATGCCTTTTTGAGTTCTATTGAGCTGCTGGAATACTATAATGCATTTTGCCGTGAGGGATTCGAGTGTCTAGAATCGGTAGGTGTAAGAATAAATTCATTTTAAAAAAGTGTTATACTTTGTTTGCGGCGCGCATGCGTATAAACCATTTTTTAGCAAAATTTAACTGCACTTTTAAATTGTAGATAGTCGAAATTCAAGAGTCTGATTTCGAAGAGCTCGGTGTGAAACGTGGTCACAGAAGGGTAAGCTTTCTTAATTATAATTGCGGCATTATTACATTTTTATTTTACACTTTATTTTAAGTCAACGCTGCTAAGTGGCCGTATATTTCGCTGTTAATGTGTGTAGCTTATCCGGCGAAAAGCACTGGAGCTGTTGAATCCGATGCGGCTCCAGCAAGAGCTGCCGCCACCAATGCCCGCCCACCAGACAGGTAAGTTGACAAAGTATAAAATGCAAATTTCAATAAAAATAATAAAAATAATGCCTGTATTAAGTCTAATGAACCATTTTAATAAACAAATATGTATTAGACCAGCCATCTGCGGAGCCAGCACCATCGCCATCCGTAGAGGGCGTAGAGACATCGACAGCATATCTGCATAGGCAACACTCACATAATTCCCAGGAGCATTCCCAGCAACAACAGCAAGAATGGTTTCAAGGAGGGATGCAGTTAAGTTCTGTGCACCAGGAGGCCTCAGGCCGGCCTTATACCCACTTTTCGCACTTTTTGCACTATCCACACTACTATCACCATCAACAGAGCTACTCGCCAAAAGTTAGACAGCAGCGATCATATTCTCGACAGTCACAACATAATACGCGCTTCAAGTATTTAAATTCCCAAAGACATCATGATCCGCTTCTAAAGCTCGCTCCCGACGCGCCCACACAACATGTACCACTATTTCCAACCCATGCATCATGCACCACAGTAACACCAGCTACATTTCAGCAATCATCGGTGTCTACACAAATGAGAGTCAGGACGACGGCTACAATGCCCATATATCAAGGACACGTCCAAACACAGCACCTTCCGGGCTCTGTTCGCTATTCACAGACCCCCGTATCAGCCACCGATGTAAGCAATTTAGCCCAGAAAATTCTACCACCCATTTTATCGATATCAGCGCCGTATCGAAATACAACACTGCCAGCTGAAAATGCAATGCATTCGCCAAGGGCGTTGCAAAGGCAACGAGGTCAATCAACGTCTTCAGTTACAGCCAGTACACCAATTCTGCATCGTGATTTGCACAGGAAACATAGGACACCTTACTCTCGCCAATCTGCCGAAATACAGCCTCCCAGGCCCACCGATATCCACAGGCCACCACGTCGCACCTATCGCCGACATCCAAAGAAGGATATAAGCGCACCAGATAAATGGAAATCGGCTTACCAGCTATTTCGAGATGACGTGAACCGCGAGCTACTTGGGAAAAATATACCGTTTTCCAAGATGTCCAAGCTCCACAGTAAGCTATGGACCGAGTTGAGCAATGAAAAACGCACGATGTACTTCGACCTTTCGAAACAAGGCAAGGACAAGTACCTTCTGAAAATGAAGGTTTATGAGAAAACACCCGAATTCAAGCAGTACGAGGAGTATCTTGAGAATTTTTACAGACAAGATTCCACGGGTAAGTATTTTATCCAAGCTCAATACGCTCGATCCCAGCGAACATAATGATGCTTACTTAAACAAACCATGTCTTTTTTATTTAATCTTTTACAAAATTTCTAGTTAATCGCGTTGGTCGCCCAAAGGGCGCGCGGGCTTTAAAGAACAAGGATAGGGGCAAGGCCAAGGACAGGCATGCTAGTAGTCATACATCGGAAGAATATGAGGGCAAACACAATTTATGTTATGGTACCGCACGGCATAGTGCATCGCCAAAACCGTTGCTGTTATCCTAAGAGGGTCCGTCTGCGTAGAACCGCTTTCATTAGAGATTAAGTTGGGTTGGTCTGGGTATTACCTGCGGACAGATTTGATTATTTTTGATTTTCGCAAATTGATCTGCGATCGAATATTTTTCTGTGACGCTGGCTGCGCAGCCGAACAGCCGAAATCGCAGATGGCGGCTGTACTGGCAGACGGGTTGCTATTGTTGTTTTATGGGCATTTTGTTTTATCAAAATTCAAAATTCTTTTTTATTTCTTTCTTCTACCACATTCACATTCACATTCACATTCACACCCACTAGTACAAAAAAACTAGTCCATAACTCAAATGAACAGAGAAGTGTGGGCAGAGGCAGCGACAACTGTGCTGGCCACACTAGAAAGCGCGCTTCTAGGAGTAGGCGCTGGCCCAGTGGATATGGGCGCTTCAGCGGGCAGCAATCGTAGCACAACAAACAGTAGGAAGCACAATCGGCGGACAACCAGCGACACAATGTCTGATATCGAAACACCTGGCTCGCCAGTAAAGCGGCGACGCGAAAGCGTAGACGGCACATACACCGAAGGCGAGTCAACAAAGCCGACCGTAAAAAGTCGCAAGATATCTTCTGCGCTGTCCCGCCAGTTTGCCCGCAGCTTGTCGGTGAGCAACGGCAGTGCAGTCGAGACTCCAGGTGGCTACACGAGCATTGTGGCGATGGATGACGGAATTGCCATAGAGACCAGCCAGGTGTCGCCGCACGCGCTTTCGGCGGTATCGTCATCATCGTCCCTGTCGTCAAATTCGCAGTGGCCTCCGGAGGGCTCAAACTGTATAGGAAGGAGCGACACGCCAGCTGGGGATGTGCTAGTGGACCGTGTTTATGTGCACCCGTCCGCAAGCAGATCGCTGAAGGCGCGGGAGAAAGTTGGCGAGTCTCCCGATGATTCTCGGGTGAAATGGGCACATGTCCCGTCGCGGTGCAGCATGGATATGGACAGTAGCGACAGCGCATCAGTTTCCATTGGGGCAGGGCATGTACTCTGCGGAGGCATCGGCAACTTTCATCATGGCGTTGGTGATAAGGAAGTGTTTGTTGAGCTACTGGTGCCAGCGCAGCAAGAATACGCATTCGTTGACGAATCGGTGAATGTGGCTGTTCAGCGCTGGGCGGTGGAACAGTCTCATATAGTCAACGAGCCACCGGCCATTTTAACTGAAATTCTGGAGCGTAACATATTGCGGCTGAAAGAGCTTATCTCTGCGGTTATGGACCAAATGGCGGGTGATTGCAAGCGCGGACCGGTGTTAGGCGAGCATATGCGGCAGTTTTACCGCGCTGGATGCGAGATTGCAAGTATTGGTGAGTGGTTGTATCAGCGGCATTTCCAGCTGTTACCGGCGCTTTTCCCCGCGCTTAGTCAGGCGCTACCCCAGCTACAGGGGCTAATACGCGTGGCCCGAATTGTTGAAGATATGTACGGGCTGCTTCAATGGACACCCGAATTCAGCTCGTCTCTCAGCGAGATGTCTGCCGAGTACGAGGAGCTGGTGCACGCCAAGCGAGCTCTATATGGCGATGTGATTTCCCAGGACGGACTGCAGTGGAAGGCCATGGGTCTTCCGGTTGATTCTATGCTACTGTTGCGCGTGAAGCAGTGGGTAGAGTCAGTCAGCGTGATGTGCTTGACACACATCGCCCGTATATGCGAGCGGCGAGCCAAATCTGTGTCAGCATACGACAAAGAAGAGCTGTCTATGGATTCACTCATGATGTGCAGCAACCAGGTTCTGCATTCGGCAGCGCTCTGTGCCAATATGTGTGGCGGTGGCTTCCCCAACCTCGCGCCACTTGCCCTGTACATTGCCGCGGAATGCACAACATGGGCGTGTAACAAAATCAGATCATCCCCAGCTACAGCACCGCCCGACACATGCCGCTATCGAGGAAAGCAGCTGGCTACCCGGGCAATGCGACTGATACAAGCTGGCGAAGGAATTCTGAAGCAGCTTTCGTATGTCAAGGCGCTTTTGCTTACTCCGGACCGCTCTTTGTTTGGCGTGTGCCTGCCGCCAGGCCATGGAGGTAGCACCTCTTTGACCGCTCTGCAGTCGCTCGCGTCGTCGCTCGTCGAGGTCAGCTGGTACCTAGCAGAGGCACTCGCCGCCTTCCGTGCTGATGGCCAGATGTCAAATCCTTCAGGCGTCCTGCAACTCTATGCTGAATTCGTTGCGAAATTTGCCAAACGCGTAGTTGACTTTGGAGGCACAAGCGACTGTAAAGTTGATAACAGCGAAGTGCACGAGACCCTTCGCCGCATCCAAAATTATGTGCACATGCTGATACCGGCCTGAGATAAAAATATAGTTGTTTTTCAAAATGTAAATAGATTTTTTGACAAAAAAGTGCATCCGCCGGGAATCGAACCCGGGTCTACCGCGTGGCAGGCGGCAATCATACCTCTGGACCACAGATGCATTGAATTGAGTTTTAATAGCTTAGTAGCTAACTTCTGATAAAGCTATTATTGGAAAAATATAGAATCTTAATAAAATAGGGTAACAAATCTTATTAAAATTTTAAAGTCGAAAATTATGTTTGAAATACTTGCAATATGGCCGCCTCCAAGCCAAAAATACTACTCTACAGGAATTAAAGTGTACAACACATTGTTCAATTTTTGAAAGTAAAACGTAAACATTCAAAGATCACCGTGCTTTGGCGCAAGACCCATGCGCTCTCTGGCCAGATCCGTGATTGTGTAGACCTGCTGCTCGAATGTGAGGTTTGTGTTATCAATGACCACTGCGTCCTTGGCAATCCGTAGCGGCGAGTGCTCTCGGTTAATGTCCGCATAATCGCGAGCCTCGAGCTCCCGGGCGATCTTCTCGACTGACGGGTATGCAGCCGGTGCTGAGCCTGAATCAGACGATCCCTTTGCAGCCTGCAAGGCATTGGCCTCCTTCATTTGGTTGTTCATCTCGTCCCAGCGGCGGATTGCCCGCGCCATGGCCGATGCATCGAGGTATATTTTTAGCTCTGCATTCGGGAAAATGGTCGTGCCGATGTCCCTACCGTCCATGACCACGCCCCCAGGAACGCCCTCCGCATTTTTTGACAGCGCATTGGTCGATATGGACTCTGCATTTTCTACCAGCTGTCTTTGAATATGCAAAACGGCCTCTCTAATGCTGCGGTCGCTGGCCACCTTCGCCACCAGCTGGTTGACCTCTGGTGCTCTGATCTCCTTTGACACGTCCTCGTTGTCCAACAGAACCTGCACTTCGGGAACCGCCAGTCTGCCCAGGTTCGGCGCTGGGTGCGATGTGCTGGGTCGAACTCTAATGTCAACTGTGGCCTTGTTTATCAACGCGGCCAGATCACCGGCACTCTCATTGATGTCTATGTTGTTGCGCAGCGCCAGAAGAGTCGCACAGCGGTATATGGATCCAGAGTCAATATAGCCAAGACCTAGCTCTTGGGCGACTGCTCGCGCAGTGCTGCTTTTCCCCGATGCTGCTGGTCCGTCGATGGCTATGGTGAAGTCTCTCCGCGCTAGCAGCTGGTGTCGCAGAGAACCAAATAGACTGCGGCTGGCGATTCTTGCTCGGCTGAAAAGCATTTCTGGTATAATTTAAACAGGGTGGGTCAAATCGACAAAAAATAAAAGGAAAATATAAAAATGATTTTGACAAGGGTTTAGGAATACCAAAAGCAAAAATTTAAAGCAGGTTTGATATCGCTGGATGCACAAGGAAAATGAGGTATAAAAAAGATCACGCACGTGATTTGTGTTTCTTTTTCTTTTTGTTGAGAAAACTACACAAAGGGATTGTTTCAGACAGCCATAAATTCAAGCACCCTTCTTGCTTTTCTTTCTTTCTCCTGTCTGATTTCAATACATCTTTTTGTTGTTTGTATTGTCTGAGCCAATTCACCCTATTTTCGAAGCATGTCGCAGGAAGGTATGGACATTGTCCGGAATCTCGTGGCTGTTGTGTCTCGCACGTTCTACAGGGACGAGTACGTTATTGCCCTCGACTACCTTAACCGCCACGAAATCGCGCGTCACGACGTGCTGAGCAAATACCTGCATGTGTCGCCGAAAGAGGTCTTTAGGATATACGGCGACCTGGAGAAGCACAAGCTTGTTGGACGAACGTCTCGGCGGGACGATCCAGGAGAGAATGCACGGTTCTCGCGCGGAGGCACAAAGGCGTACTTTTTCCTTGACTACAGGCGGTTTGTCGACGTTGTCAAGTGGCGTATGTGGACGCTGCAGGAAAAGGTCAAGGAGAAGGTGCAGAAGGAGCGGCAGAACCTGGGGTACGAGTGCGCAGGGTGCTCCAAGAAGTTCACCACCATGGATGTGCTGTCGCTGGTCGACATGTTCACCGGCACGTTCAAGTGCGATTACTGCAGCAACGAGCTGATTGACAACACTGAGTCGGACATTGCGCTGATGTCACAAAAGGAGCTGTCGCGCTTTATGGAGAAATTCAAGACCATTATTGAGCTGCTCAAGCAGACCGATAGCATTACCTTGCCGCCGCCGACACCAATGAATGAGGTCCCGGTGCCCAACCTCGACGGCACCCCGGGCGACGAGGCCGCGGGCAAGGGCAAGCCGGGGCCAGGCAGAGAGCTCAACGTCTCGCGCGACACAGGAATCACAAGCGGAAATACGGTGATTGAATTTGGCCCCGACCTGACGCCCAAGGAGGCTGCGCGCCTGCGCGAGGGCGAGCTAGCACGCAAGATGCGTCAGAACCAGCTGCCTGCGTGGCATATCTGGTCTACAGTCTCCGGCGTGCAGATGGTTGAGGCGCAGAAGATTACGCTTGAGGCCGAGTTGAAGCACATGCGCTACGTTGAGAAGCAGAACCTGCGTGCGGCCCGCTGGGATAAGCGAGAAAAGGAGCGAGCACGAGCAGCGATTAGAGAGATTGACGAAAGGATGCGCGCCATGGCTGACGGCCAGGGCGGCACGAGCGAGCTGCGCGAGGAGCAGGTCGAGGCCAAGCGCGAGGCCTTCTACTTGGGGTTCTACAAGACTTTGGCCAAGCGTGTTGGCATCGAGGTGCCGCGCGACCCGAGGGAGCACTACCAGCAGCTCATCGACCAACTAGCAAACGACGAGATGCTGGACAAGGCCGAGAAAGAGAAGCGGCGGCTCGAGATGGAACGCATTGAGAAGGAGCGCAAGGAGGCTGCAGCAGTTGCTGCGGCCGCCCAGAGCGCGGATCGCAGCCAGGGTGGTGCTTTGCGATACCGCGGCAAGTTCAACTCAACGTACTCTAAGTTTAGCCGGGGAGGGCACCGGCCTGCCAGGCGCACCACACACCGGTTGTTTGAATTTGTCGATTCAGCCGACCAGGTTGACGCTGATGCGACCAAGGACAAAGAAGACGACAATGTTGATGCTGCTTCTGCCTCTGCTGCTGATGGAGGGAGGAAAGAGGGTGGTGTTGAGGGTGATGATGATGATGGCGAAGGTGATGGTGACAATGGCGACGATGGTGACAATGGCGACAGTGGCGACAATGGGGACAAAGGTGATAAAAGTGACAAAGTGCACGAGGCAGAGCTGGCCGCTGATAACGCCAAGTCCCAGGAGACCGGCGAAAATGGCAGTGGCATCGAGGATCATGATGACAGCGATGTTCCCGATCCGTACTTGGAGGGCATCTACGCGTTGTCGCGGAGCAAGCGCCGCAAGCTTGGCCTAGACGATGCCGTGGTGGCGGATCTGGTGGACTGCGACACAGATAGCATCGTGATCGAGTCGCAGGACGATATCCCTCCCGTCGATGTGCTTGTGTGTGGCAAGCCTAAGCCAATTGCGCTGATAACGCGCGAGGACGAGGGTGCTATGTCTCTGGACGAGTACACCGAGTACTGGAATGCATGGCACCGGATATGATTACGTGGCTACAACGCAAGCACAATCACAGACTGTGCTTTCAAGAGACATCGGTGCCTTTCCGGGCTGTGCGGTGCAAACCATATTTAAATGTAATTAGCAGTTGAGACCGAAATTGAAAACGGGGACTGCCAGCGAGAGGGAGCAAAACGAATGTCATCATCACACGCGACGTCATCACTGCTGTGCCCTGGGCCTTGATTGCATTTCATTTAACACGCATTCTCGGCCGAATAAGTCTGCAAGCGCGCATGTACCTATGGACATTTTATCTTTTTTCGATAGTCAACCGCCTCGCTATGGATTTATTTTTATTATTTGCATTCTTACACACACATGAACCTTTAGGCTTTTGAGCGCGCTTGTCTTTTTACCATTAAACACACAACATCTAGCCCTCACTCCGCTACATGATCAACACTGCGCACCGGCGATGGGCGCGCTGCCTAGTGGCAGCATCTGTCGTGGCACTGTGCATGGCTGGCGACGGCCAGGGCTGCGGGCCAGCAGTGCACAACGAAGTGGCCGAGCGGGCGCGGCAGTGGTTTGTCTCGCCGCAGGGTGCGTCCAATAATGGTGCCGTAGCAAAGTACCGCTCGATCCTTGACAGGCAAGTGTCCTCTCTGCAGGCGGGCGTGGCGTTTCCAGACTGGGGCTACGGCTGCATGTCGATGGATGAACCGGCGGAGGCGGCCCACTGGACGCCATTCCTCGAGGTTGGTGTTGCGTACCTCCTGCGCACGTACTCGCAGCCATACAGCGCGCAGGCTGAGCAGCTGGTTGCATTTCTCTTTGGCATTGCGTCGCACCAGGTGGCTGACGAGCAGTGGCACAGCCTCGGGGGCCTGCGCGACGGCTTCATGGTGGCCCTGGCCAACTCGACCTTTGGCGGCGAGTACTCCCGGGCGCACGACGTGCTGGATGTCGGCGGCGACTTTGCCATGGCGCACATGGACGGCCTGCGCTACATTCTGGACAAGTGGTTGGTCCCCGTGGACGACGTGCTTGCCATCTACAGCGAGATGGGCCTACAGGTGGCGCAGTGGCGAATGAAGGTGTGCATTACCCGGCAGTTCTATGCCATGGAGGCGGTCAAGCGCTTTGGAATGGGCATGTTTCCGTCGTACGCGTCGAGGGCGCCGATGCTGACGGAGCGCATTGTCGACTACTATATTGGCGGCCTGTCTGCCATGGCAGCCGGGACTGCCGACTGCTGGCATGCGCTGGTCGACTGGTTCGGCCATGGCGACTTTTCAAAAAGGTGCCTGGTCAGCGACCGCCGCCAGCCGCAGCCGCGGCCAAACCGTACGCGTGCGTTTGGCGGCAAGTCACCAGCGCAGGCGCTGCTCGACGAGATGTGGCCGCGCGAGCAGTGGATGCAGAGTGTCGGCGACAGCATTGCGGCAGTTGGCGACAGCAAGCCGTGGATAGTGAGCGCCAGCAGCCTGCGCTTCCCGGCGCTGCCGCCAAAGCCAGCACAAAACAGCAAGGTAAATGGCACTGTTCGTGGTAATTCACATACAAACAGGCAGCATGCCTTTGCTCCCAAACACCAGCGCCTGTTATCTCAAGACAGCCGGCCAGCCGCCTTTGAAGCGTGTGCTGAGCTCTCTACACTCTTCCCGCTGATCAAGCAGCTCTACTCGACTAGCGCGTACTCTGGGTTTGGCACCGCAGTGGCGACCGGCGACTTTAGCGGCAGCGGGCACGCCAGCGTGGCTATTAGCGCACCCTACTACGCAAACAGCAACGGCAACAGCAGCGCCGGCGCAGTGTTTGTGCTCAACAAGCTGGACATCAGCTACGCGTTCTCGCAGCAGAACATTGACGACGCGGATCCCCAGGTTCTCTTGCCGCCATTCAGTGCCAGCACGCGCTTTCTCGCGTTTGGGTCGGCGCTCGCAGTCATCGATTACAATGCCGACGGCATTGCCGATCTGGCCGTGGGCAGCACCGCATACGGGCCGGACCCGGCAGGCTCGCTGCTGGGCCGCGTTGACGTGTATCTCGGCCACCAGGGCGCCGGCCTGTCCTCGGTGCCAGACTTTACGCTGACAGCCACACAGCTTTCAGAGTACACGGACAGCCCCTTCTCGCAGCAGCGCATCGGCGGGTTTCTGTTTGGTGAGGACGTCAACAACGACGGGTTTGTCGATCTGCTTATCGGCGCGCCCTACCATTCTGACGTGCCCTATGAGACGCATGCGGGCCGCATGTCTGGGTACATCTCGGGGCCGCGCGCGGGCCAGGGCAGCGGCCAGATGGGCCCGCCGGACTTTACGCTGGTGTCTCCGCAGCGCCAGCCATTTGAGTGGTTTGGGTTTTCGGCCCGTGCCGTGCACCTGAGCGAGACAAATACCACGCTGCTGCTGGTGGGCGCGCCGGGCCACGCCCAGGCGGACCCAGACACAGGCGCAAACCATACGCTGGCCGGCTCGATATATGCATTTTCTGTAAACGCAGCGGACCCAAAGGGGTCGCCACCAGAGTTCCGCGGCCTTCACTTTGCCGCGTCCAAGGGCAGCACGCAGCTCGGCAGCCAGATGCACGTGTGGCAGACAAATGGTTCAAGGCTGGTGCTTTTTGGAACGCCCTCGGAGCACAGCTCAGAGCTGGCTCAGGGTGGTCTGATTGGCCCAGAGAAGCCCGCACGCGGCTGGCAGGCCGGCCAAGTGCGCGTGTTCGACCCGGCCCTGTGGAATCCGGCCGACGCAACTGGTGTAAATGGGAAAGATGCCAATAACCCCGTCGGGCTGCTCAGCACCCTGCGCGGCACGCAGAGTCCTGGCCATTTCGGCCGTGCCCTGGCTTCGACGGCAACCGACCTGTGGATCGGCGAGCCCTTTGGCCACACCGAGGACGGCAGGGTGCATTGCTGGCGCGTGGGGCTCGAGCGACCCGAGTGCTTTTATGCGGCAAACTACATGGGCCGTGCGCGCCTGGGACACAGCATACTGGTTGCGTCTGGAAGCGGAGAATCCGAGCTGCTTGTAGTGACTGCTCCGCACGACAGCCAATTCTCAAGGCTATCTGGGAGCGTCTTGCTTTTGCAGCAGCATTGAGACCAGCGGGTATTGGCGCCACACGCAGTGCTGGCCAAAAAGTAGACCGATCGACAGCTTTAGTTGTATATATCTGCGCATGTCCATTCGATGAGCGCGCTGTTTTGTATTTTGTTTGCATTTATTACAATTATTTGCATATCAAACATGAAATGTGTGCACATTTTGCGAGCAATTAATTGACGACAAAATTCCCACTGTCACTTTAGAATAAAATATCAGCAGCGTGTGCTTCTCGATTATTTTGCCACTTTTGCTTTAGTAGCTGAACACACGGCTAACAAGAAAAACTATTGTACAGAGCAATAGAGCAATAGAGCAACAGAGCAGCAGAGCAACAGAGCAGCAGAGCAACAGAGCAGCAGAGCAACAGAGCAGCAGAGCAACAGAGCAGCAGAGCAACAGAGCAGCAGAGCAACAGAGCAGCAGAGCAGCAAAGCAGCAAAGCAGCAAGGCAATGATATTGCTTTGCTTTTTTGCGCATTTAATTCCCAAAAGAAAGCTTTGAATGAACGTATTTTTCAATTGGTTTTTATTTTTAATAAAGCAGACACACGCACGCCAAGTTTGCTTTATTTGCTTGCCCTGCCATTTTTTAGCGCAGCCGCTGCCAATTGTTTTTATGTGCAATGTGAGCATTTGTTTCTTTCTCTTCTCTTCCATTTTTCCATTTTTCAATTTAGCAATTACTATTTAAAATATTAGAGTAATTTTAGAACAAGTTGAGCCGCTTTAAACAACAACAACATTGCTATCAATATTATTTATTTCGCTATGCCTTGCTTCAGCCAGCTTCCATTTGTCATCCTCAACCGCATTCTACGTGTAGCCATTAACACCAGCGGATACAATATCGACACGTGGGCAGACGGATTGCCGCTGCTGGGCGTCTGCCGCGGGTGGAGAGAAGTGGCCACTGGCTTGGTCTATTGTAATGCCATACTTGATGGGTCTGGAGAACACAATTTTTGTTTTGTTGAGCACTCGCATGACACCGCTGTCGAAGACAAGCTCGTTAATACCAACATTGGGCTGCTCAAGGCTACTGGAAACACGCACCTGGTAAAAACTGTGACCATCAAGGTTAGTCATTTTGAATGTTATCGCTCCCTGCTCGCCGAAGCAAATTCAATATTCTCGTTTGAAACGAGTGACTGGAGCAGAGTCAGCACACTCAACATCAGCGGCCACCAGGGCAATAGCAATAACGACATTGGCAGCGAATCTCAGTCTGATATTATGGATGATGCCAATGAATTTGCTCGGCAAATGGCAAAGTACATGCCAGGTGTGGATAGTTTGGACAATGTGATGTACGATAATGGCCCCATATTTGATATGACTAGTCTATTGTCACAAATGTATTCGCGCAATTTAAAGTATTTTCGCAGCTATCAATCATTTACGCTTGCCGAGTCAGTAGAGTCAGCCAATTTTACCCAGCTCACAACGCTCAATATCGATATAAAACATATGCAGTGCATTCCACACGTGTGCTGCCAGAAGTTGCAGACGCTGGTGCTAAGAGATGTCACTAGTTTGTTTTCTTGGAGCAAGCTGGCAAATACCAAGCAGGCGCAAACCATTGTATTTTCCAGCCTGCGGAAATTGGATTTTGAATTCTATAGAAGTCCTGATGTGCAAAGCATTGGGAGTTCGAGTGAATTGCAGTTCCCAGCTCTCCAGGAGTTGAGCGTCACAGTCCCGACATTTGGGATGCTAAAAGAATTTATGGATTTCAAGGTGTTAAAGTGCCCACACGTTACACAGCTTTACATTGACGTCAATGAATTTAAGGGCCATTTAGATGATGATTTCAATATCTCGATGCAGCGCAGCAAAAATCTGGCAGTCAGTATAAATCAGCATATTCCAAGCGTGACTAGGTTAAGGATAGGTCATTATGATTGTAATAACAATATCACATTTTACGATGAGTTGGTTAGTCTTTACATTGACCAGCTTGTTCACGTCAGCATCCCCTCCCCTATGACTTTTACTGCAACACAGTTTTCCTGCGAGCTCGTGCACTTGTCGCTGAATCTCGAGTTGAATACCTTGCAGAGCCTTCCAAACGTGTTTTTTGAAACACTGGAATACTTGAACTTGGACAATGCACATCCCACATTTGCATGGGAGAAAATACTAAAGAACGATTCGACAGCTGAGAATATATGCTTTAAGCGCTTGGAATCTTTGAACATCGAATACAGCGAGAGTATTGAGAACGAGGAGGATAGTGAAAGCGAGTACAGCAATGATATTGAAAACGAGGAGAATAATAAAGACGAGTACATTGCTTTGGAATGCCAGCAATTTATAAGCAGCCAGAAGGTGCAGCAGAAAAAACAGGGTACAGTCAATGTTTTTTGCCCCAGACTGAAGAATCTGTGGATTAGGAATGCCATGGTCCCCAGACTCCAAAAAATAATGGGATGCGGCTCTGACCAGTGGCCCTGTGTCAGGAGTGTAGACATATGGTTCCAGAAATACGACATTTCCAAAGTTTTGGATATCATCGACAGCGATGAATATATGCAAGCTACATCCATGTTTGCAGAATACATGGTCAAGACAATGCCCAACGCCAATAACTTAAGAATGCTGTTGTTCGACAACAGCGACAAGCATTTAAAGCAATTTTGCAGCATTGTTTCCAACGGCTACGCTCACCAGCTAATAAGCTACGATTCCGATTTTCCAATTGTGTGGACAGCCAATGCGTTTTCGCCCAAGCTTAGGCACCTGAGTGTCAATTTGGACATAAATGGAAAACAGGCCCTGCCAAAAATCAACGTGGCAAATATTGAGTCAATTGAACTGACAGGAGTCATAAGCGGCGTTTCATGGAAGAGCTTTGCAAGCAATAGTGGTGATTCAGCGAGTATTACTTTCAGCAACTTAAAAAAATTGACTGTGCACCACTCCTACATGGAAGATGAACCCGCGCTAGCAGACAAAAATGATTCTGAAACAAGCAGCAAAGAATATTTTGCGTTGCACATGCCCAAACTAAATAGCATTGCTCTTAACGGAATTGGTAACCACTTTGGGCTTTTAAACGCTTCTATCGAGTTCAGGCACTTGAAGCATGCATATATTTATGGATCTCATAGCGTGCTTAATTTATTGGGCAATACAAGCAAGGCATGTATTGACGGATGCACGGTTGATATAAGGCTAAATTCTGATGCTGATTTGGATGCGTTCTACGAGGCAACAAACGCATTTTTTGGAAGCTCAACCAAAATAAGCCACGCAGAGCTGATTATCACTATAAATATGGACACAGACGTGTGTTTGCAAAAATGGGATTCGCGGCGCATTGAATGGACCAGCCTTCATATTTTGGAGATACGCGATGTGCTTAAGCTTGGCACAGTTGTGGATATGCTGGCCAGAGTGCCCAAACTGACCAAACTAGAAGTGTATGGTATTCTCTTTGACAAGGCCTTTGAGCCCAGGCTTGACCAGGTCGAACCAATATCTACCAACATCAACGAGTTATACTTGCATGCCTCAGTCGATCATGATTGCAAAGAAGCAAAATTTGACAGTATCAAATACTTGATATTGGCTGCTCCATCATTAAAGAAAGTCAAGCTTTCGATGTATGAGGACTTTGATCACATGTCGTTTGTCGAGGAGTACAAGGACTTGCATCCACACGTGGCAAACATTGCTTGGGAGCAATTGTAGAAATACAATAGTTAACAAATGAGCTTATAAGGTAGTTTATTGAGTTTAAGTTTGTAGAACATATTTAAAATATATATGACGGACTTTCTGTGCTTGCAAAAAAATACAAAAGTACTATGGGCAGCATGTGCATCTCACCTGTGTGAATAGTTATTGTGTATAATTAAATAAGCACTGGCTAGCAAAATGGTACACAGACTGTTTGTATTTTAGACGTATCTATGTCTGGAGGTCTACAATATTTCCAGTTGTTAATAAGCTACAATACTTTTCACTTTTTTAATTGGTAAATATATGTCATTTTCATTTTTAGTGATTAATACATATGGTAAACTAACAATAGATCCTCCGAATAGTGCAGTTGTTTTATCACTGTTTTTATCATTATTATCCATAAATAATGATTTGATATTCTGACCATCACTACCTACATTTTTCTTTTTGAAAGGAAGTGTAAAAATTGGTTTAGCCTTTCCCCAAAAATTATTGCACATTATTAGTTATAAAGTTTGATTTCTTCATACTTGTAGCCGAGTTCGAGTAGATAATACATCAATGAGGTAATAGAAGCGGTTTCCTTTCCAACTATAAACCCATCATCAGATAACTTAAAATCGCTGTTTGATATTTCCTTCTTGTCAGTTGTCTTGCCCACGAGTCTGGCCAAACCGCTTGTACTTCTTGCAAATGATTATGTTATTTTTCTGGAGGTTTTGATTATTTTTACCCATGTTTGCCAACTATAGTATGCCTGTAGTTGTAGTATTCGACGACGCAGTAAGTTAAGCTTGCATAAAAACAAAAGGTCTGTACTTGAAATGCTTAAAGTGCTTCAAAATTTCAAACTTCTTATAAAGTATTAGAGAAACAAAGTAAATGGGTTGGATTGCCAAAATGTATGAAATGTGCGGTATTTTAAATGAATTGGCATTGGAAGATTTGTCATCCTATTGAGAGGCGATGTATCGTCCAAGTTTTGATGGTACGCTTAATAAAAAGCAAAAAAAATGGTGCTGACTGCCTTTTAAAATTTTCCATTGAATTTTTTTGTAGTCCCATCCTCAAGGCTTAAATTTTTATAAGATAGTTCAGCACTCGACTGTCTGTATGAGCAAAAAAATTCCGACAAAACAGTTTGTCCTTGCGGGCATGCCAAATATTTCAAGTGCATTGCACCCTACTAGGCATTGAGGGCGTGTTCAGCACATAGTAAACAATGCGATATTCATGCTCTGGTCATGCAAATAAAATTGATGTTTACATAAAAACTATACAAATAATTTATTGTAGTTGTACGAGCTCTGCCTTAAGAAAAGACGTAACACCGCACGCTATTTAAAAAAATCTTTCTTGTTTAAATCGCCCCACTTTTCATCGTAAATGACATCATGCACCTCTACACTTTGTAAAAAGGGAAAGCCATTAGTTCACACACCTCGCTTATGTTTTAAAAGCGGTTACACGCTATGCAAATGAGTTTATCACTTTCCTTCACTCGGGAGCGGCATTACTTGGTTGAGGTCAATGTCAATATCTATACCAGGAAGTCAAATGTGCAAAGGAAGTGATTCATTTGAGCACAATATTTTCAATTTGGTGTGTTTGACAAACGTTTGTGTGGCTTTGCTTGGTTACCGTCTGTTGGGAGGGGCTCAAACCAGCTTGCGTCGGAGGAGTGGAGAAGTGCTGGCGTGGTCATCAACGCGTAGTTGTAGTTTCCGTCCTAAATGGTGTAATAGTATTTCATTTTCTAAATAAAACGTATTAATATAGCAAACATTTGTCGGCACGCAGCATATTTAAATCAATAATATTATATATATACTTGCCCTTTGCATTGTGTTAAAATATTAATAGATGAAATATGAAATGTAATTAGAATAGAAAAGTGATGGGTTAAAAAATAACACCACCACTGCAGCCAGTCCATATTATTTATCTATTAGGGCGCACATTCAAAAGTCTATTTATGGGCGCAAAACTCAATACGCACCGTGTCTACGAGCATTGCTCCCACTGCACAACCAGGTTTTTGATAGACCGAATCCAGCCATTAAAGCAGTTTTTGGCCACAGAATCAATCACCGACTTGCGCTTCGAGGACAGGCACTCAAAAATCGGTCCAGAAAATCCAACGTTTGCTCCAACCCAGTGCTCATCAATAGCGCCGCGCACATAGCCGTTGGCCAGCGACCGCAGGACAGCCATGCGCTGGAGGGCTTCCTTGCGCAATTTCATAAAGGCCTGGCGCACAGCTCTGGCTGAGGGAGCCCGCTGGCTTTCGAGCGCATAACAAGCGGTAATGGCGTACGTGTAGATTTCAGTTGCTGTGGTTATGTCCCGGAGAAGCGTTGAGGAGATAGCCTCCAGGGTCGTGACCTCCTGGGATGCGATGTCCTGGGAGAGGCCCTGGCGGATTGTGGCAAGAAGGTCATCCAACTGATTATTGAATGATTGCTGACTGTCGGAGGCACGGGTATAGAGCGTAGCAATCTGGTTGATACCGCACGCAAGCATTTTGTCCTGGGCAGAGAGCAGGTCGCCTGCCTCGCTAACCGTCAACAATAGGCTGCGGGCCTTAGTCTCGAGCGCTTCTGTGTCGGCCGTGACAATGTGGTGAATAATCTGGGGGATCAGTGAATACATTTGGATCCACTGAGTGCCTGGCAGCGGTGTGGGTCTCGTGAGAACCTCCAGGTTATACGGAATCAGGTCCTGCGGAGCCAATAGAGACATGGCCTTAATGTCGCGGTTGTCGTGAAGTTTGGCCAGGGACTCCTCCGTATGCTCAATTGAAACCACATCGGCCTCCGTCCACTTGGCTAACACATCGTCCGCGCAGCCGGGCTCAAACCCTTCGCCGCGTAGCGCACACCTATGCGTGCACTCACGCTGGACAGAGTGACGAAGATTACTTCCAAATTCAATGAAATCCAAGACGTTGGAATACGTACCCTGCATGTAGGCCGCATCCAGATGCTCGGTCACCTTCATGTGCACGCGGTCGTAGAAGCCGACACCAGTATAGCACAGGTCGAGGTCCGGTGTAAAACATCCGAGGGCCATGCCCTGACCGTTTATGAGATAACTGTGGGTGTCCAGTTGAATGCTCTTGACGTTCAGCGAGTCAAAGAGGGCGCGGGCGCGGTCGTAGCACGAGAGCAGCAGGTACAAGCGGATGGCATAGATTTTGAGAATGAAGCCATCGTCGTTCTGCTTGATTCCTGCCTCGAGAACACACAGGACAGCGAATAAGCTGGAGGCCAGCTGCCCGCGGTCGGCGCTGGCGGAGAAGGACAGGTATGCCGCCTGGATTAGACGCTGGCTGGCTAGGAGGACGGCGTCAGTGCAGGACGCTTGCTTGCGCTCGGCGGCCTTTGAGTTGAGACCGTGGGAAAGCAGCTGGTCCGTGCCCTCAGCCCATGACTCAACGCTGGTGTCGCCACTGAGAGCCTGCAGTAGGTAGCGAATTTTCTCCAGAGTCACCCATGCCTGCGCCTGGTCTTCTCCCTGGCTCGTGGCGCTGCGGGCAGCATGCAAACGAGAGACCACCTGGGCGCGGTGATAATCCAAAGCGTGCAACGAGTCTGTATCTTTCACTTGCTTGACAAAGTATTGTGTGATGTCCGCAAAGCAGATGGCCTTTGACTGGAACTGGTCTATGTACTTCCACATTTGTTCGCCCAGCGGCCCCACAGTCTTGTCAGCCAGCACTTGGTGTCCGGCTGCATAGAGCCCAGAAACAAGTTCAACCAAGGCCAGCTCGGCGCCGCGTGCCCGGCCGCGGATCTGCGCCCATTTCTGGACGGTCTCACGGAAAGAAGTTATCAGCAACTCGCCTTCGCTCTCGCCTTCAGATATCTGCCCAATAGTGGCCTCGGCGCAAAGCTTGTAGTCGGCCCAATTATCCTTAGCATTGAGCGCCCGCACAGCAGCCTCCACAGCCTTATCGTTTGTGTCTGTCTTCAAAAGCAGACTGATACGTTGCGTGACCAGATCAGGGTCGTTGCTGATCTTTTCTGCCAGCGGACTATCAGAGGACAGCACAGCCAGCATATCTGCGTGCTTGCTCTGTATGTCAAGGACTTCGAGGTATATGCGCAATTCCTCGGTCGTCGTCAGCCTTCCCTGTTCCAGGGACTTCTCAGCCATGCGCTCAGCCAGAGCCAGTTGCATCTGCCTGGTCTTCTCGTCCTCCTTTGAGAACTTTGTCAACAGCACCAGGCTGACAACCACCCACCACATGTACTTATCGTCCTTGGTCAGCTTTAACAGGCTGACTGCCGCCTGGTGCTGCTCCTTGTACATACCATTGCTCGCGGCTACCATAAAAAGCTTGGCGCAGATTGCTTTATCGTTGGGAAAAAATTCTTGCGCACCGGTGTAAACCGCCGCTTCCTCCTGCGCGTGCCCCAATAGGCGGAATGTCATCGGCAGGCATTGCAGTACATGGGGGTTCTTCAGCGCACCGGCAGTGTTAAGCACCTTCTGTCCTAGAGTCATCGCTGAGTGTGTGTCGCCGGTTCTCGCCAGCGCTAGACTCATCAGCGCCTGGCCACTGAGATGGTTCGGGTTCTTTCGCAGTAAATTCATGCTCTCCTTGAGCGCGGCCTTATAGTCGCGCCGATCCAGTGCTTCTATTATAAATAAATGCGGTATTTGGAAGGGAAAAAGGTGGGCAATTTGAGTCGCATTAATGTGTGCGTGCAGATTTAGGTGTGCAAATTGACTAAGCAGCATTCGGGCTTCGGCGACGAGTGATAAGTACCGTAAATTGGTCTCAGCTGGCGTTGCTCCATGTTCAAAAGGCTGCAGACAAGGCTGAATTAGTGGCTGTAACGTGAGTGTTTATTTGAATTTAAAAGAAAACGAAAAGTTGAAAAGATGAAAAGAAAAAGTTGCACCCAAAGTTTGTGCAAACAGCGACATGGCCTTGGGGGTTTCCGATTTTTGTTGGTTGTGGGGAAGGCAAAATTTTGGCTTTTCGAAGAAAAAAAGTTAAATACACGTGGAAAACCCAAATGTTACTCAAGGTTCAAAAAGGTTGATGACTTGCAAAATCTGCGCTTTTTTATGGCCCAGGCTCGTTTTAAAAGTCCAGTTGCTTGCGTCATACATCCAATACCTTTATTTTTATACAATACACGTACCGTTTTTAAAATGTCTGAGCAGCAGCAGCAGCAGCAGCAACAGCAACAGCAACAGCAACAGCAACAGCAACAGCAACAGCAACAGCAACAGCAACAGCAACAGCAACAGCAACAGCAACAGCAGCAGCAACACCAACAGCAACACCAACAGCAGGTCACGAAAAAGTCGCCGACTGACTTTCTCAACATTATCCTAGGGCAGCGCGTGTTTGTGCGTTTGAACTCAGGAATTGATTACAAGGGTGTGTTGGCGTGCCTGGACGGATACATGAACATTGCCTTGGAGCAAACCGAGGAGTATGTGGATGGAGAGTTGCGCAACCGCTACGGAGACGCCTTTATTCGCGGCAACAACGTTCTGTACATTAGCACTGCCTGAATATGAGTGCAAAAAATTTTCACTTACAAAGGGAGCTTTAGTAGCCAAGCTTTTTTTGGGATTATTTTGTAACTTAGCCTTTGACACGGATATAATTGTATCAGGGCTCATTTTGGTGCAGCTGTCTCAATATTTTCACTTTAGCTTCTTTTTTATATCAAATTACAAAATTTTTACTATTTTTTATTCTTGCTCACACGACTACAAATATACGCATTTACACTTTTACACTTATACAACTATGGATTCCGAGCTAGTTCAGAACTTTTGTGCGGTGACGGGCGCCGAGCCCGATGTGGCGGCGGGATACCTTCAGGTTAGTCATGCGTTGCAACGTGGATTCGTTTTGAAATTCAATCGATACGCCTTTTCAAAGCGAAAAGCGCTAATTTGAAACTTTTTTATCTTCACACGTTCGAACGTCCTGTATTCTCTTTGCCAAATATTAGGTTTCAGACAACAATGTCGAGCAAGCAGTTTCGTTGTACTTTGAGAATGGCGGTCAACCTTTGCATGGAAACACCAGCACGGCACCTGCAGCGCCAGAGGAGGCAGCTGCAGACGCAGGTGCAGCAGCGGACACAAACAGATTCATAGATGATGAGGTGAGGGCACCCATTGCCGCACGGCGAGATGTTCTTGTCGACGGCTATGGCGGGCACGGCATCAGCAGCAGCATGTACGGCGGGTACGCGCACAGCAACTCGCGCGGCACTACTAGGTCGATATTCAACCAGGCCGGGGCTGTTGGCCGCGTGCCATTCCGAGACTTTGCGCAAGAGGCAGCTGAAATAGCAGGCGATGACTCTACCTCAGCTGCATCGGCGACATCGCGGCGCAGCCGGCTAGCCGAGCTGTTCAAGCCGCCCTTTGAAATCATGCATATGGGTGACTTTAGTTCGGCGCGGCTGGCGGCGCGGGAGACTGGCAAATGGGTGATGGTCAATATTCAGGACGTGTCGGACTTCCGGTGTCAAGCTCTCAACCGCGACATCTGGCGCCAGCAGCTTGTCAAGGACGTGGTCGCCCGAGATTTTGTATTTTTCCAAACTTCACTCGAGACGCCTGAAGGCGCAAGGCTGACGAACATGTACGCCGCTCACTCGTTCCCCTTCATTGGCGTCATTGACCCCAAGACGGGCGAGATGAAGCGCACGTTTACGCGTTTCGAGAATGTTACGGATACTCTCGAGGACATATCAAACTTTGTCATGGACTACCCGCTGCCATTGCGGCAGGAGCCGTCAGCAGCAAGTGGAAGTAGCGCGGCGAGTGCGCGCGGGTTTGGTACAATCCACAATATGACGGAGGAGGAGCAGCTTGCCGCTGCCATTGCTGCCAGCGAGTTGGAAAGCAGCGACGCACAGCCCCAGCTTAATTCCGGCAGTCGCGCGATCCACATTGGATCGGACTCAGAGGCAGATTCTGACTACGACGTCTCCGACAGTTACAGCGAGATTCACACAATCTCGAGCGGATCCGAAGACTACGATGACGATGAGGTTGACGACGACGACCACGACGATATGGATGTCGATTCCGTGTCGGCGGCACACGAGCGCATGGCCACGCAGCACGCGACAACTGTGGCGGCTCCAGTGCAGCAGGCTGTTGACATGGGCCCGGGTGCCTGGTACAGAGCTCTGCCAAATATTGTGCCGGTAGAGCCTGATCTCGGCCCCTCAGTCACCCGCATCCAGCTGCGGTTCCCTAATGGACAGCGTGTGGTCAGACGGTTTGCAAAGTCTAGCAAAGTTTCGTCTATTTTCCAGTTTTTGAAGACTGCGATTCCTGAAGCCGCCGCTGAAGTGCCTGAGGTTTTGTTCATGGGCAACCGGTTGGCCGACATTGTTGAGCAGACAATTGAGGAGGCCAAGCTGGTTAACGCATCGATTGTTGTTGATGTTTAAATTTTTTATGGAGCAATGGTCTTTATTTAAACAAAGCATTTTTTGAATTGAGATTCTGCCCCTCTTTGTTTAAAAAAAATTACTGACTTTGCTGACTTTTTTTTATTTGTTTACGTTTCCAGCCAAAGGCAGAGACAAAGGGACAGACAGACAGACAAACTTTGGCAGCAAAAAAATGATTATCCCAGTTTTGCCTTTTTCAGCTTTATACTGACATTTAGAAAGACGGAAGGAGTGACACTCTTTCTAATACCTTACGCTACATCTGCTGCTACGGCACATTGTAATTATTTTGTTTCCCGCAACATTTTCTCCTTTGCAAAAGCTCAAAAAAACAAATTATTGAAAACACGACACTTTGGGTTCACTCTCTTCTTCCTCGTAATTTTTCTTATTTGTTTAACTTTTTTGCACTTTTCATTTTCTCCAACTTGTATTGTCTTTTTGATATTTAATTTTATTATTTATTCGTTTATCAGCCTTGCGCATCAGACATAAAAGCAAAAGTCTTCGTTTTGTTTGTTTATTTACATTTAAAAACAATATTCTGCATCTGACTTGAATTTGAATCTTCTCAAAAGAAATGGTAAGAATAAGAATAATAAGAGCAGCAGCGACAGCAACATCGTATGTGGGTGTTTGTGGTTATGTTTGTACTTTAAAACTCAGCCCCGCCAGCCCACCTCCATGGAATGTATCATTTAATATAGCATACAGCTGCATTCAGACAAACTTTACTAATTCACACAAAAAAATCACCAACCACTTAGTCGAGCTCCCAGAACCCAAACGACCTCTTCACAAAGCAAGAGAAAATCGGCCGCGGCTCCTTTGGCGAGGTTTTCAGAGGGTAAGTGTAGCAGAATTAATGAGTGGATGTTTTATTCCGCACTATACCGTCTTTGTGTACAATAAACTAAACTCTGTGGGATGCATGATGGGGTCATCACACATATTCTCTCACCCTACTATATCGATCCAACTGCGCGCGCAAGATTGTAGAATTGATAACCGCACGAAGCGACAGGTGGCAATTAAAATCATTGACCTTGAGAGCGCCGAAGACGAGATTGAGGACATTCAGCAGGAGATTTTCATTCTGTCGCAGCTGGACAACCCGTCGGTGACAAAGTACTATGGCTCTTATCTGGACGGGTCCAAGCTGTGGATTGTTATGGAGTATTGCGGCGGTGGTTCATGCGCCGACCTGATGAAGCCTGGGCGTGTCAGCGAGACCTACATTGCAATCATCCTACGCGAAATGCTCCTGGGTCTGAACTATCTGCACCACGAGAACAAGATTCACCGCGACATCAAGGCCGCCAATATCTTGCTAACCAGCCAGGGTAACGTGAAGCTCGCCGACTTTGGCGTCTCTGGACAGATCACAGCGACCCTGACGCGCAAAAACACATTTGTTGGAACACCTTTCTGGATGGCGCCTGAGGTGATCAAACAGTCCGGCTACGACTACAAGGCGGATATCTGGTCGCTCGGTATCACGGCCATTGAGCTTGCCAAAGGACAGCCGCCCCATGCCGAGCTGCATCCGATGAAGGTCCTCTTTGTCATTCCAAAGAACGAGCCGCCAGAGCTGGGCGCTGAGTTTAGCAAGACTTTCCAAGAGTTTGTCAGCCTTTGCCTGAAAAAGGACGCCACGCAGAGACCAACGGCCGATCAGCTTCTTAAGCACAAGTTCGTTCGGTCGGCTAAGCGCACAGAGCATCTGACTGATTTGATTAAGCGGTGGCAGAATTGGAAGAAGACCGTGCCAGAGTCCCGCCCCAAGGCTGAGTCTGCGGGTGCAAATGGCGATAATGAGGAGCAGGTAATCTGGGACTTTGACTCGGTTCGTCAGTCGCTGCCAGCAGTGCCACAAAAGACCGCCCAGCAGCAGCAACAGCAGCAGCAGCAGCAGCAGCGTCACAATATGCATATGCCGTCTGCATCCTCGATTTCTGTTAGTGTTGCGTCGTCGTCATCAGTCGGATCCAACAACATGTCGGCACTGCCGGCCCCGCCGCCCATTGGCGCCGCCCATGGAAACCGCTCGCGCAGCGGCAGCACGGCATCTAACTCCGGCGGTATGGGTGTCTCGGGCAGCCGCGTGCCCAGCGGATTTGGCTCCAACATCCCGCCGCCCAGCCCCAGCATGCAGCCGCGCCACTTGAACAACGCCAGCCCCGTGAACCTCGGCCAGCGCTCTAACTTGGGACCTGGCTTTGCATCCGGCACCCCGCCTTCTCAGCAGCAGCTTCCTGGCAGCCGCCCATCATCATCCCATCAGTCCAAGATGGCTGTCCACAACCCCCAACCGCTACGCACCTCTGCTTCTGCTTCTGCCAACGTCAGCAGGCAAAACACTCCCGAGGATCTATACCACAATGTGCTTATGCCCACTCTGGTGCGCTTGGAAAAACTTACCAGCAACACTCAGGCTAAGGCTGCATACTGCACGCTGGCCGAGACTATTCGCCGCCTTGAGCACGAGATTCCGGGAATTGCTGATGTCTTTTCGAAGGAGCTGACCTTGTCGGTGAACAAGTTCTACCAGGCCTGGCGCGAGTGATGCGCCGGATGGACTGCAACTCTGTGCAAAAAAAGTACAACTAATTGGCATTTTTCTATTATTTATACTCGTCATTTTTTCTTGCACGTATGTCAAATCGACGTCAATGGGTATTTTATTTATTTATTATTGTCATGAAAAAGCAACTATAATCGCGGCATATCGAAAGTTGTGATATTTTGCTTGTGAAATATTGTAATGATATTGCCAAAAATAGAATCGTCCGTCTCAAGGTTGGAGGGCTGTAGTTAGCGTTCTTTCGAGAGTTACTTGGTATCATCCTCGATGACAGGATACGGGTAGTCCCGGCAAAGACGGACATCGGCTTGAGCGGTTTGCAAAGTCATGTTGGTGATCGTGCGCTGCATTATTACTTGAATACAAAAAATAAGAAAATAATTATAAAAGTATTGGTGTTTAAAATTGACTAAAAAGTGAAAAACAGGGCTGCGTATGATAGAGTAAAGAGTAACTTTTTTAAAGCAGTAAGAAAAGGAGGCAGAGTTTTTTTTGTTGATGCGCCAATTTACTGTGCTTTTATAGTGGCGGTGGTTGTCATTTCTCTTTTTACGTAAACCAAAATTTCCATATATGAACGAAAACAGTGCGCATGCATTCAAGCGTTCAAATACTACGCGTGACTAATTCAGAGTAATAAATGAACCTTTGAATAATGCGGTTGATTTTTCTTCTTTTTCAACAAGCAGTGACTCCCAATACAATGACTGCCAAAAATGAAACTCAAAAACAAAACAACGGCATCTTTGTGTGAGAATCATAGACGCTTGGATGAACCAAAGCAACGAAAAAAGGGGGCCATGCATCAGTCAGCATGCAATTAGCTTATTTTGCACTGGTGGCATTGGTATCTAATTTTGTGAGTGTGTGCGTGTGCAGTAGCATCCTCACATTTAAATGCATCGGCACGCAGCTGTTTACCCTGCAATCTGCATCTCGCTATTACATACTTGCTCGTGTGCGCTAAGGGGTAGGTCTAAAGCGCCGAATTAAAAGCTAATAATAAACCATATGAGCATTGTTGTTTGCCATTTTAGGCATATCAGTATCCGAAATGACTGGTCTTGGTACACGCAAACAAAATGCCCGCAAAGATGACAGTATTAACAGCAGCCTTTGCAAATATAAAACATTACTTTTGGCGCCCACAATAAATGAAAATTCTATGCACGCATCATTCTTCCAAGCTCCTCCACCCATGTACAATGTCTTTGGCCAGTATGTTAATTGCACTATGAACAAAAAGTATCATTAACTTTTATTGCAAACATTGTGTGCGTGTGTCATTGCAAAAGTGCGCCGTATATTTTTTTGATGGCATGTAGAACTTGGTACAAAACTAAGTAAAGAAAAAACATCAAGGTCAAAAGTTGGCTGCATCAGCAACTACAACACTTGCACTGCTCTCAGTTGCAGAGATATGGCTGCAGCAAGGGCATTTATTCGGCTGCGGGTACGGCTCTGACAGTGGTGTAAACGCAGGCCTCATATCTTCTTCAGTGGGAAGGCCTGGTAAAATGGCCTCATTTATACCGTCCTCAGGGTGAGCAGTAGAGTCGTAGACCAGGGTTTCGAATTTGCCCCAGTATATCTTGTTCTTGCTGACCATATACTTGGCAATATTGTACAATGGGGTCTTCAGGGGATCGACCTTGACTATCTCGAGTGTGCCCTTCTTCAGGTAATACAGCGCAGTTTCCGTGTCATCCTCAGGTGTGTTGTAATGCGCCCTGATATCCTCAACTGTATCGACGAATGTGTAAATGGAAGTGATGTCCTGGATGTAGTCCACATAGACACCTTTGTTTTTGAAATAGACCGAGAACTGGTGTGGCATGGCTTTTCTGGTTGAACAAGTACTGTAGGCAGAAAGTAGAAAATATAAAATAGAAGGAAAATTCAAGTTATTTTGTTATTTTGCTAAACATCAACAAAGCAAAAAAGCGAATGGAGCGTGTTTCCGGATTCTGTAATGGATTATGCGCTTCAAGGAACCTGAAATCACGCTTAGAAATGACAAAGCGCTTGCGAGCATGATACAAACGCACTTTCGCATTCTGCTGCAATTTGTTGATGAGAAGAAAAAAACAGACGCACAGTGTATGTTTCAAAGATTTGGCGATAGAGTAAAATAAAATAATATTTTTTGGATTCGAAATAACTGACTGAAGTAAAGCAGATCCAGCCTAGTCATCGCGTCTCTTGTTTTTGCGGTTTCCTGTTCTCTTGACAGTGTTTGGGTTCCTGCGGTTGCGGCAGACCATGGGCATGCCGCGGGCATCAGTATGGACGCCAAAGCCCTTGTGGCCAACCAGGGCATTTCCCAAAAGAAGACCCGGGATGAAATCCGGATCCGTCAGCGAATTGGAGCCGCCCAGACCGGCGTTCGACTTCAATTCCATGCGCTCCTTGTAAGTCATCGCCCGCACATACGCGCGATCGTCACTACGGGTGATAATGTCACGCTGGGTGTGCTGGCCACCACGGGCCTTAGGCATAGAGTAGATGGTACCGCGCAGGTTGTACTGGTAGTTGGACTTGAGGTGTACCTGCAGGCGGCCGTTCGCGCCGGTGGTGACGGAGCAACGCTTAAGCGTCGCGTGGCCGCACGACGTGCAAAACTGCTTGTTCATGTCGCCAGTGAGGTGGAAGCATGCGTGGCAGCGCAGCACCCAGGTGCGCAAGCGGCTGACTGACACTCCGTCGGGGGTGACCAGGTGGATGCCCATCTTGAGCATGACGTTCTGCATGGCAAAATCGGACGTCACACAGGCCACCTTGATAACGCGCTTGGGCTGTTCCACGTGCGTCTCCTTCATGCCCATGGCGGTGGACGCCAGATGCTGCTTGACGTTCTTGGGTGTAATCCAGCCGCCGTTGAAAAACTCGTCAACGTGCTCGACGCGCTTTTTGCTCTTTGGGCCGGCAACCTGCCAGCCATCGTCCGTATCGGCGCCGTTGTTGCTGTCCTGGTTGTTGTCGCTGGCGCCAAAGTTGTCGTCAAACCCATCCTCATCAGACTCCTCGTCTGAGCCAACATCAAACTCGTCGTTGGCAACGCTCTGGAGCACTTCGGAACCAGCATCGGCGGCGACAGCGCCTTCCCCGGCGGTCTCTGTCTGCTGAGTGGGCTCAATGGCATCGATGCTCTCGAAGATCTCAGGGGTTTCTGTCTGCTCGTTGGTCTCAGCGATATCTGCAGTAGTCGCAGCATCAATATTCAGCTGCTCCATGCTCTGCTGAATCTCAGCCTCGGCAAGCTTCATAGGCTGCTCGACATGTGGCTCGCCAGCCTGCTCGCCCGCAACAATCTCGTCATCGTGGCCGGGTTCGTTGCTACCAGCAATCTCAGCTGACTCCAGCATCTTGCGATCCGAAATGTTTGGCTGGTCGCCAACGGGCTCCAGCCTCAAGTGGCGCATGCCGTTGGCCTTCTTCTCCAGCATGAATGCCAAGGCGATAACCCTGAGATCAGCCAGAGCCAAAGTGGAAAAGTCTCCGGTCTTCTTGGCAAAGTCGCAGACGGCCTGCATGCTCTCGGCATCGGGAGTCAGAATATCAACGCCAAACTTCAGCTCAAGCGCCTCAAACCGGTCCTTGGAAGCCCTGCTGCGGAGCTCTCGGACAACATCCGGGGCGGTGACAAACTTGGTTGCAATGTGATCTAGCGGCAGGCCCTTGACAAAGGGGTTGGTGTCGACGACCAGGGTGACTACAGGCTTGCCGTCGTTTTGGTCCACTCCAATGAACTTGCTCTTCTTCTTCTTCTTCTTCTTTTTCTTTTGCGTGGTGTCGACGGTGGCAGACTCGGCCGGCGCTGTCTCTTGTGTGATATCACCAGCCTGAGAGCTCTGCTCCTGCTCCTGCTGCTCCTGCTGTTCGGGCACAAGGAACGCTGTGGTATCTATAACGGCTGTATCAGCCGTGTTTATCGCTGCAGCTTCTGACATTGCAAGCGCTTTTTGGGATTATACAAGTATTGAAATTAGAGTAGAGGTCGATTCAAACAAGGCTGTCAAACAAAAAAAGGGAGAAATGTAAAATCTACACTTTATTTCTGGGAAACAATTTTTTTTGCCTGCTTTTTTTTCTCGACACACTTCCAGTGATTATAATCTCGATCCAACAAATTAAATCCAACAATCCCAAAATGCCGACGATACCAATCAAGCGCACAACACACGCTGCAAAGACTCCAGTCGTCATCCAAAATAATGAACCGTATGTCAAACATCATTTTCTCTACTATATTTTCCCCCGGGCTCTCGACTCTATTACACATACATATATAACAAAATAACAAGTAGTCACTATGGCTGGGTCAACATGGGTACTGTGGTGGAAGGACGCACAGGGCACAGCATCATTGGGCCTGCTCCAAGAGCGGCTTTTGCGCGGCCTGCGCGCCACACTCAAGGGAAGATGGAGCATGGACACGCGGCTATTCCACTCGCAGCACAACTTTGTCGAGCTCCAAGGGCTTAAAGTATCGAGCGACACCGAAACAACACGTACCGAGGCACGCGGCACAGCCTCGGACCAATCCATGTACCTTGTGGCTCGCGGCCAGGGCGCACAAAGGAGGCAGTTTTTCGTAATGGCCAGCAACCGCGTTGTGGTCGAGGCAGAGCCGGAGATGGAGTCCGTCGTTCTGCGGCTCAAGAACCTGTGGACGCCGCGGCAATCTGCGCGCATCGAAGGTTACAGCTACGAGGGCGACGATTGGGTTATTCGCACGGGGAACCTAATGGTGGGAACGAGTTACAAGGGGCTGGTTATTGAAATCAATTACTTGCCGTGCTCAAATCCCGAACAAACCAGGGGGCTGATGCGCGAACTTCTCGTTATGATTTTGCCGCCAGACGCACAGGTAGACACCAACAACGGCGTTGACTATCGCAGGGCATCGCTGGATCCTTGCCGGATGACCGATCGCCACACCGCATACCAATACGTCCATCTATTCACGCAGAGCAGCCTTCTTTAGCTTTTTTCTTTTTTCTTTTGTTTTGTTTGAGTGCATGCGGAGGTTCGGGCTGGTCATATTAGCCTCCATTAGTCCATATTAGCACATGAAGTTTCCATATTTAGAAATTTCGGCTTTTCATTATCAGCAACATTAGCACCTCCCCCAAAAAAGGCATAACCACCACGTTTAACTTTGTATGTGAACCTCCAAACATAAATGCCATGCCGTGTCGCCGGCGGTGCGGTTGTGATCAAGTGAGATGAATGCTGCCGAAATCAGTGCTTGTCTAAGCAATGTTTTTCATTTATATTTTCGGATAAAGAGGCTGAAACAAAACAAGACATGAGGCACATTGGATATGTTGTGTCGCTGTTTGCTGTTAGAGTTTTCAGTACTATTTTTTTGTTGAGCGATTTTTCAAGAAAGGAAGACATTAATAGCAAGCAAAAAATATTGATTAGATATTTCCTCTTTTGGTCATTATCATAAAAACATTACATATTTGGAAATTACATCCTACCAAATAGAGTCTGGTTTGACAAAATAAATTTTATGGATGTACGGATTGTGTGTGTTGCAACCTAAACTTTGGTAACACTTTGAGTGAACTGACAAAATTTTTAGAGTGTAGTGATGAATCAAGCATAATTTTTTGAACAGTCAAAATGTGAAGAACACTCGCGGCGACAAACAACAATAATAACTTTTTCTGATACCGTGTGACAGTGAAATACTACTGCCAATTTTCAGTATTGGGTTTCTCTTTTCCCTCTTTTATCTCACTTTTTCTTGTCCAAATATTAGACGGAATTTTTTATTGCGTATTTTTATTTTGACATATTTTATACTGTATATCATCAACTTAGAAGGGAGCAGATTTATTACAAAACAAAAGCGCCACGGTTCCGAACGCTAATTTTAACGCGCGGACAATACTGTTGAAATAACAATGCCGTCCCAAATTGCCGAAGCTGAGTCGTCGACATCGAGCGTGCACTACCGCGCACCGTTGAACTCGTCGGCACATCAAACCAACCAGGGCGACTTTGCCGATTTGTCCGAAGGCAGCAGCTTCAGGGGAAAACCTTCTATCGGCAGCAAAGAGGCGACCGAGAATCATCAGCCAAAGTTGCAGCGAAAGCTTAAAGGCCGACAAATGGGCATGATCGCTATCGGTGGCACCATCGGCACGGGTCTGTTCATCGGTAGCGGCTCCACGCTGGCGTCGGCTGGACCCGCAGGATCTCTGGTTGCGTTTCTGTTTATAGGCTCTATGGTGTTTTTCATCTGCACGTCGTTGGGCGAGATGTCGACATTTATCCCGACATCCGACCCATTTAATCACTTTGGAGCGCGGTTCCTGGATCCGGCCTTGGGGTTTGCCTTTGGGTGGAACTACTGGTACTCGTGGATGTTGACAGTGGGGTCTGAGCTAGTAGCTTGCGGTATGATTGTGCAGTTCTGGCTTCCAAACCTGACGGGCGTCATCTGGAGCCTTATCGTGCTGGTCGTGATTTTCCTCCTCAATGCAATCTCGGTCAAGGGCTACGGCGAGTCTGAGTTTTGGATGGCCGCGCTCAAGGTGCTGACAGTGTTTATCTTCATTATCGTTGGAATTCTCACAATCACTGGTGTTACTGGCGGCGATTTTATCGGCGCGCGCAACTGGCACGTCGAAGGTGCGCCCTTCAAGGACCATATTGTGGGCATCCTCAAGGCGTGCATTGTCGCGGCGTTCTCATTCCAGGGCACAGAGATCGTTGGCGTCACTGTCGGCGAGAGCGCTAACCCGCGGCGCGATGTTCCACGGGCAATCCGCTCAGTGTTCTGGCGCATCCTATTTTTCTACATCTCGTCGGTTTTGATTATCGGTTTGATCATTCCCAACAACGACGAGAACCTGGTCAACGCAGTTGGTGTCAGTGACATTGCCATTTCCCCCTTTACCCTGGTGTTCCAGAAGGCTGGTGCTGACTGGGCTGCCCACATTATGAACGCCGTTGTGCTTGTCACTATTCTGTCGGCCGGAAATTCGGGCTTGTACGCCAGCACGCGCGTGCTGTGGGTGTTGGCCAACGAGGGCAAGGCGCCGCGGTTGTTCCGCATGATCACCAAGAATGGCGTGCCCCTGTGGGCTCTTGTGTTTACTACGCTGTGGTCAACCATTATTTTCTGCATCTCGCTTGCAGGCAACCAGAAGGTGTACTTGTTCCTCATCAACCTGTCGGGTCTCTCGGGGATGGGCTTCTGGGTTGGTATTGCCCTGTGCCACTGGCGCTTCCGCCGTGCATATGTTGCCCAGGGCTATGACCTTGATGATCTGCCATACATGGCCTCATTGTTCCCCTTTGGTCCCATCTACGCATGCTGCCTGCTCATCATCATTATTATCGGCCAGGGTTACGGCACCATCTGGCCCACGTTTGATGCACTGTCGTTCGTCTCCACATACCTGGCGATTCCGCTGTTCTTGATCTTTTGGCTTGGATGGAAGTATTACAAGAAGACGAAGTGGGTCAAGCTCATGGACATTGATCTGGTCTCAGGAACGCTGATTGAGCTGGAGCGTGCCGGTGATGTTGAGATTTTCCCTGCCGACGGCCCGGGCGTCTGGAAGAGGTACTTCCGTTGGATCCACCGCAAGTCAGCGTAGGTAGTGCGCAATATTAAATATACCAACCCATATTTTATTTTCTTCATATTATGAATAGCGCGTATGTAAGAAAAAAGAGTGCGCCTGGACAGATTGCATCGATTTTAAACTTTTCATTTTATATGCTCGCTCGTCCATTGTTGAATCTCAAGCCCTTTGCGGATCAATTATAAAACACACACACACATTTAACATGTCGGCGCTGAAGGGAATTCTCAATCTGACGCGCACGCAGTTCACCAACGAAAAGACCATCAATTGGTTTCCCGGGCACATGGCCAAAGGCATCAAGCAGATGCAGGACCAAATGCGCACCGTCGACCTCATAGTCGAGACCCGCGATGCCCGCATTCCGCTTTCCTCCATCAATTCGCAGTTTGAGAAGATAATCTGCGGCAAGCCCCGCCTTGTGGTTTACAACAAGGCTGATTTGGCACCCCTTAACATCCAGAACATCGTGAGCCGCGAGATGGCAAAGCGCAACCAGCGCGCTATCTTTACCGACACCACCGTCAACAACACTGTCCGGCAGATTCTGAATGCTGCTACGGATATCGCTCGCAGCGACCCGGTCAAATACCCGCAGTTTTCAGTCATGGTCGTGGGAATGCCGAATGTTGGCAAATCATCCTTGATCAATGCGCTGCGCAGAGTCGGAATTAACAAGGGCAAGGCTGCGAGCACCGGCGCAAAACCTGGCGTCACCAGAGCTATGAGCAGCAAGATCAAAGTGCTGGAGTCACCGGTCGTGTATCTGCTGGATACTCCGGGCGTAATGATGCCCCATATCCCCGATCCGCTGACCGCAATTAAGGTCGCACTTTCAGGTAAGAATTGGAAAGAAAAATCCAAGACAACCGGTGCAACGGTGCAATTGAACATGTCCCTCGAATGCTGCTAAAAGATAGAAATAACCCACGCCAGTATTAATTTGTTAACGCTCATATTTATAATTTGTCATTGAACATCATTTGCATTGTATTTTTATTTTTATTTGTAGGTGGAATAAAGGACAACATTGCCGACGAGAGCGTGCTTGCAGACTACCTGCTCTTCCGACTCAACCGCATGGATCATTTGGAGTAAGTTGTATTTTTTCATTATTTTCATTATGATCATCACAGTTTCCGAAATTATGCCCAAAAGCAACATTTGTATCTAATCCAGCATCAGATAAGCCATCAAATTAATTAACACTATAGCTATTGCGCGGTGCTTGGGATCGACGAGCCCACGGATGACGTGAATACTCTAGTCGAGCAGCTGGCCAAAAAGATCGGCGCTCTGCGGCATGGCGGCGAAATTGACGTGGACAAAACGCTGCATTACTTCCTCCGGACATACCGCCAGGGTCTGTTTGGCCGGTTGTGTCTGGACGACCTCGACGAGAAATCCATTGCCAATCATTTCAAAGCCAATCTGGAAGAGCCGCCGCTGAGCAAGAACCAGGGGAAGAAGGCCAAGCGCGCTGCCCAGCGCCAAAGGTCGCTCGACAAGGCCCGAAGCAAAAACTTGATTTGAATATTATAGAATAATTAAATCCGTGTTTGTTGTCCATATTCCCTTTTCTGTATTGCCAAATGCAAGACCACGGGGCGAAATGCATCAATATAACAGACCGGGCACATTGTGTGTTTATGTGTGTGTTTGGCGCCTAATCCGAATGATGTCTATTAGTTTGAGAATGATGTTGCTGTTTTTTTCTGGTCCAGTGATACTTGCTCGCGCTGGACTCCTTCTTTCCCCTTCCATTCCTTGGCCTTTCTTTTCCTTTCCCTTCCTTTTCATTCGTTTGTTCGTTTGGTTTTTTATTACTTTTTTGTTGCCAGCCCTAATACTGTTTTTTAATTCATCTCATAATAATAACTTGTGCTAGCTCTACACTTCCATAATGGCAGATACCACCATCACCCCCGCTGCGACTGAGGTCGGCAAGGCCCAGCACTTCACTGACAGCCAGAGCCAGCTCATTGCCAAGCTGCGCAAGCAGCTGCCCAGCATTGTCCGCGAGGCCGAGGAAGCGTCTGAATTACCCGTCAGCTCCTCAATATGGGGTGTCCCCCTTGTTCCGACACCCGAGGCTGCTGCGGACTCGCACGATCTGCGCATCGATGTCATTTTGAACAAGTTTATCAAGGCCCGCAACAATGACGTAGAACTTGCCGCCAATATGCTGAAGAGCACTTTGATGTGGCGCGCCGAGTTCCGCGTTGACAGAATCTTGGAGGAGGAGTTTCCTGAGGACGTTTTCGGCCAGGTTGGCTATGTCTACGGTCATGACGGCGAAGGCCGGCCAGTCACGTACAACACATATGGCAACTTGGACAATGCTCTAGTGTTTGGCGACCTGATCCGCTTCCTGAGATGGCGGGTGCAGCTGCATGAGCGTGGCATGCGCAAGCTCGACTTTGTCGACGTTGCTGATATGGTCCAGGTACATGACTACGACGGTGTGGGACTTTTCAGCTACGACAAGGATGCCAAGGCGGCATCAAGGGCAACAATCCAGCTGATGTCGGACAATTATCCAGAGACCCTGGCAGTCAAGATCTTCGCTAATGTTCCTGGCTGGGGTGAAACCATTTTCAACATTGTTTGTCTCTGGCTGTCAGAAGATACTAAGCAAAAGTTTGTTGTGGTGAGCAAGGCCAACACTCCCAGGGTTCTTGCTGAGCGCATTGGCCTTGATAATATTCCCGCAAAATTTGTTGCCGGCAAGTCCGAGTCACTGGTAGATGAGGTCAACTCTGCTCCTGAGCCTCAGACTGCGCATGAAAATCCCGCTGAAAATCAACCGGAGCCCACTGATGCCATCACTGATGCTGATAGTAAGCAGACGCACCAGCTGCCGCCTGGTGATACAGAGCGCACTTCCTTATCAGCCCCTTCACCACTCCCTTCTCCGCCGCAGCCTGCTGTCACGCCTGCTCCGGCTTCGCCGTCTTCAAGCCCCGAGGATCTCAAAGACATGACTGCTGGCATGCGCATTGATGACAAGACTGAAAACCAGAAGCCCGAAGCCACAGCTGCACCAATGCCATAGGTCATTGGTTCCCTGGGTGTTAAACTGCAGTCTATTATTGTTATTTTAATCCAAATTTTAAGATACTATTGAGCGCTATGATCATACTAAAAACTTATACGTTCATTTAATTAAATTGTTTCCATGACCGCATCTATATACCTGCCAAGTGTTTGTCTTCGTATCAAAATTAATATTGATGGCTATACATTTGCTATGTGCAATAAGTTTGTATTAAATCAAAATAAGTTGTGCAATCATGCGAAAGCCATAAGGTGCACAGTTTTCAAATAGCAATAAAGGTCTTGTCAACCGATTTCGCAAAGCTGTGCATTTTGATCAATATTCAATATTAGAATATTAGAATATTTGTTATACGCATTGCGCCATTGGATGCCCAGTGCACACGTTTCTGCCACTCCAGCTCAGTATCGATTTGAGCCAGTCTTTGATCCGGGTGATCGCCGCATCGATTTTGGGGGTTGTAGATTCAATACTGATTTAATTTTTTGTCATGAACAATTCGCACAATGGAAAGCCACTTCAAAATTTTTTTGGGTTTTCTTTTTTCTTTTTCAAAAGTATTTTTTTTCATTTTATTTTTTGCTTCAATTCATATATTTATGCATATTTGTGCATTTCGCTCTACAGTCTTGTTTTCTACTACTTGAGGCCAATGGCCAAGCTCACGGACCTTCCGTACGAGCTGCTGACCCAGCTTCTAATTATCTCAGCCAACGAGTCATTAGTGACCGTATGTCGCTGGACATACATCTGTCTCCGGAAAACAACCCCGCGAATATGCTACAAGTTTGTGCGACAAAAGGGCATGTGGGAAAAAACGCAGGTAATTGCCAGTGCCCTTCCGTACAAGTTTCTCAGCGTCGAATTGCTAGATCAGATCATTAAAAATGAAGCGGAACTCGTGCCAAAGCACAATGGGAAGCACAAAAGACTGAAGTCGGACAACCTTGGCGATTTAAAAATACCCAACAGATTGTTTCACTTTGACCCTGATGGCAAGATGCCGGTGAATATCAATTTGTCCAAAAAGCAAAAGCGCGCGAATATACAAAACGACAGCAACCAAGTGCGGTTTGATATTGTCAAGTGTTTGTTGTCAATGAAGTTGTCGGTCAAAGGTGCGCGTGGAAATACAGGGCTTTTGTTATCCGCTAAGGCTGGGAACTTGACCTTGGTGAGGATGCTGTTGAAGCGAGGTGCGGATCCTCAGGTCGGCCGTGACAACAAGGCGCTGTTGATGGCTGTGGTATACGGCCATCTTCCTGTAATTAGGCGCTTGGTCAAGACCGGCGCACCGCTCACACCACTGGCTCTAAGATATGCTGTGCAAAAAAAGCACTACAAGATTGTTGCCTGGCTGATGAAGAGAGGTGTAGTGCCAGACATGATGACGATAAAGCTGTTAGACAAATTGTAGATAATATTTTTCTCTTTTTTTAAACTTTGTTAAAGTAAACAAAAAACATAGAAATATGCCATTCACTTGCGCCGCAACTTGCGCCGGTCACTAATGCGCAGCTGGTTGGCAAGCCTCGTCCTTAATGCATGCGATATTCCAACAAACTGGATCCCGCTGCGGTAAAATCAAGAGGCTTTACAGTCTTTGTCAGGGCAATCCCGAATTTTGTGGACAAACTGCCGACAATACTTGCACTGGATACTGCTCTCAGAAGCATAGGGCGAGGGAAACACAATGGGTGATATGTCGGGTTCGGGCATCAGGCGTAGTGAGTGTTCAGATGGCGATGGCGATGGCGACGGGCTGTGGTGCGAACTTTCGTAGTGGTCCGATTGCATTTCTTCTTCGGACATGTATTTCTCGCGTTGTCGCTTTGTTGACGTCCGGGTTACAGCCGGTATTTCGCGAGCCTCCGGGCTCTTCTCAGCCCACTTCATTATTTTGCGGCCTGTCGTGGGAAAACCTTTTTGCTCGAGCTGGATTGCGCATGGGTAAGATGCAGTTACCGGACAACTCGCGGCTCGTAAACTGGACAGGCTAGCGGCGAAATTCTGAAAAATGCATGTGCTACTCTGTGTCCATATTCCGCATATGTGCGGCAGTTCTTATGCATTATCCTCAGCAAATCGCTGCTCACCTCAAAAGGGTTAATGGCTTCATGCGCTTGCTCAATGAAGCATGCCTGGACTTCCTTCCATCTGCCACAAGCCTTTGCCAGTGCCCACTGCCGCTGCGTGACCAATTCGAGCGGCAGGTGGTCCTGGAGTCTCGCTGCTAGCTTGTTGTCACTCCAGCCATTGGCCGATTGGCCCTCATTCTTGTAGAGATCAAGCCAAAGCTCTGAGGAGTCACCAGACTTGAAACGTGTTACCAAAGCGATTGCGTCTTCATCAGAATCATTGTTATTATCAGACATGGTGTCAATCATTGACTGCTTTGGTGACGCTGGTCTCCCGTGAGTTACAGATATGTGCGACTCTGATATAGCGTTGTCTGTAAAATTACCCTTGCCATTGGCGAGTATGGTATTGGCACATTGGTCCTGAACTGACGCTGTTGCAGGTGTTGTTGACACCGAGTGAATGGCTGTTGCCACGTTGGAATCGGAATGGGTTTTATTTGTCTGGATTTGGAAAGCAGCACCGTGCGCAGCCTCGAGTGGCGGAGTGCACATGTACGGGTGCAAATATTGACCAGTGGATATGGGCATATAGTAGTACTGGGCAGGCTGATTCTGTCTGTAGAGCTGACTTGTTAACACAGATAGCGTTGCTGTGGCTGCAGGGTATGGCAGAATACCGCCAGGGATGCTGCCATCTGGATTGAAGTCACCTGGAATAGCCCCACCAGGATGGACAGGCATTGCATTATGTGACTGAAGGGTTGATACGCTGGAGAGGTGGCCGGCATAGTACTGCTGATTGTTATGCAGGTATGCTGCAGAAACTGGCAGCTGGGCTGAGGAGCTGCGCTGTTGATTGTAATGGACAACCGCTGCTACTGACACTGCTGCTGCGTCTACTTGAGACATAACATCCATAGCTCTCACATCGTTGCTGTCTGTGTTGTAAATTTTGTAGCCCATTTTAACATTCTCCAACTGCTGGGTCATTAGATAGTGAGGTTCGTATTAATTTTATTTGACGTGTGATGTTATAATTGTAGCAGGGGGTATGTGTGTGTGTGTGAGGGGGAGAGGAAGAGAGAGAATCGAACGAGTGCATGGAAAATTATATTTGGTTGTGTTATAATAAGAGGGTGGTGATTTGGGTGAAGCACTAGTCGCCTAGTGTTAGAAGTATGTTTGGTTGATTTATAAAGGTTTTTATTACCAATGGAATCAAAAGTAGAACTAGGGCTGGCCTCATCTTATATATGTATCTTGTCTTTATTGTGCACTTCACCAATTGTGCATTCTGTTGGTAAGAACTGGTTTTTCTGTAGACAGACTGGTGTCTTGGCGTGTCAAGGCTACGATCTTCGCATATGCATGTTCAAGCATATGCATTATGGAAATAAGGTGTATATCAGGGTGTCGTTATTGTGTCCCCTGATTTGATCCTACATGGTACCACCATCTATGCCCTGTTAATCGGCATGTCGAGGCTAATAATCATGAAACGAGTCTTCATCAACATCTACTTCCATATAATCAGGCTGCTCAACGGTTGTATGTTTTGTTTTACTTTTTTCATTGTATGCGTAGGCAAGGAAGGAAAGAAAAATAGTAACCAGAATCGGCAAACAAAATTGAAAAGGGCGCAGCACATGCTTTTATTTTTTGATCATAGAAGTTGGTGATTAATCATTGGCTCTGCGTGTAGCGGATAGCAATGACAACATCTGAAAGAAAGCGTGCAAATCAGCTGCGAAATGACATTTTAGTTTTTGGCATGATTGAGGAACTGAACTTTTTAGCTCCCTTATTTTCACTTTCACTTTTTTTTTTTAATTTTGACTACTGCCTGTCGTTAGTCATAAATACGCTTTTACTAATATATATACAGTCCGAGACGGCCAACAATGGACAAAATTAAATCAACCAGCTTCCAGCGTCTGAGCACGAATATCGGCATTGATATCGGCGGCTCTCTTGTGAAAAGTAAGCCAAAAATATACAAGCTGTTTGCAAACAAAAGCACATGCTATCAAATAATATAGCCAGTTTGGCCGGGGTGCAAATGTAAACAATGCCTCCTTCCCCCCTCCCCTTATTTTACAACTAACTGCTTCACATGCCTAATCAAAAGCCAAGATACACACTCATTTTTTTCAACAAACAAATGGTATTTATAAGATTGATTTTTTAGTTGTACTGGTCGACGACGTGGCGGGGGTTGGCCATGATGAGGGCTCGGAGAATACAACCAAAGAAGGAAACAGTGATCAGCATCCATTTGAGGCATATATTCGAGCTCAGGTACCACAGGCGCAAGAGGAGGTGAAACTTCCGGCTGGCTGGCAAGCGCGGGTAATCGAATGCGGCAACACTGCGAATATGGACAGTGCTCAGCAAAAGGGCGCAGCGGCTTTGCGTGTCCTTGTATTTCCGACTAGCGATCTTGAACAAGTAATCGACAAGATAGTCCTGTCACATGGAGAAGTGACTCAGAGGACGAAGATTTACATTGCGGCAACCGGCGGTGGTGCGCACAAATTCCAAAGCAAACTTGCGGACAAGCTGCACGTAGAAATGGACATGGTCAATGAGCTCAAGGCTGTGGCGGGCGGCTGGCGGTTTGATGTCTTGCAGAGCGGCGCAAGCAATGGTAAAGTGGAATATCCGGCGCTTATCTGCAACGTTGGCACGGGCGTGTCTCTGATAAGTGTCGACGAGCAGGGCGAGTTTGAGCGGGTCAGTGGAAGTGGGCTCGGGGGTGCGACCTTCTGGGGCTTGGTCAAGCGGCTGACAAAATACACCAATTTTGACAGTGCCGTGATGGCCGCACATACAAGTGGCGATGCAGGCAGCGCGGATACGCTGGTTGGCGACATTTACGGTATAGAGACGAGCAAGGAGATCGGTATGCCGCCCGACCTGGTCGCTGGCTTCTTGGGCAAGCTGGACTCGCCTAATCTTTCAGACGCCGACATTGTCGCCGCGTTGCTTCGCATGATCACCAACAATCTCGGACAACTAGCAGTATTCCAGGCCCGGCTGACAGGCGCTCAATCGGTATGGTTTACAGGCGGATTTTTCCAGAGTGGATCAGCAAATAGCCAGGGTGCAATGGGCGATGCGTCGGGGATTATACAAGATGCTGTAGCGAGGGCCGTGATGTTTTGGTCTGCTGGGAAAGTGCAGTCGCTTTTCCCGCAAAACACATCAATACTAGGTGCTTTGGGTGCTGTGATTGCGCTTGACAAAGAATAGGTTTTTTTTTCCGCCTGGGCTTATTTTAATGTCACAACACACGCGTGCTGTAATATTTAATTTTATATTTGTGAATTCTATTTGCGCTGTATTTGCGACTAATAAACAGCAGCAGCATTTGCAAATGCAGATCAGTAATGCCACTGATAGTAAAAAAAAGTTTATGAGAATGTTCTGTTGATAGACGAAATTAAATGCAAGCGTCTTTTTATGTGGCACATTCTATAGAAGCAACTTCACCAACGCCTTTAAAAAACAATAAAATAGCCCATATTTTTATTTTTGGCTGCACTGTGTGGATGCTGCAATGTTTTTGAATTGCACAAAATAAAAAACCCGCGACATGAAAATATATTTTTCAATTTAAGCAAACGAAATGCAATCAACGCATTCAATTGATTTATTGCACTGTATATGCCTGACATATGCAAATGTGATCAATATGTTGTTTGTCCTATTTGCCCACGCAAATGTGCATGTGTAATATCCGCGAACAGGCCACCCACTGATTCGTTTTCTGTCGGGCAATTTATCTTTTTTGTTTGTTGCATCCTTGTGACAGCAAATAAAATATAATCAAAAAAGTGAATAAGATGCAGCGAGACACGAGGTCGCTGCCAACAAAAGCGTGTTTTTTTGCAGGAAAGGGCCGACAACGGAGTATACCTGGCCAATGACCGCTGATGACGGGAAATAAAAAGGTATGACCTGCAGTTCTCTAATGGATCATCTGTGAGAAAAAAATTGAGTAAAAAACACCAGTATTGGCAGTGGCGCTATGTGGCATTCTGGGAATTTTCCTTCTAATCAAATAAATAAAAATAAAAAAGCACAATCGATGGAAAAGCTATTCCAATTTGCATACCATTTGTACACGTGTAGTATATCTGTGGGCTAGGAAAAAGGTCAGCATCGTTCCACTTTTCAATTTTATTGCCAAAAGACGGGGGGGGGGGGGGAGGAGCAGTGTTGAGATTTTGAGAGTGGGGAGATTCTGTATGGAACAAGTTATTTCCGGAAAATAAGATATGCATGCAGTATTCTATACTGCCAAATGGCTTCCAAGTTCAGAATGAAAAATAAAAAACAACACGTGGCGGTTTTGGCCTTTAGTGCTTCCAAACGTGGAGAAATCTTTAAGAAGCGTACAGCCCAGATAATATGTACACAAGAAGAAAAACAGTCACCTTGATGGGCGGGAGGAGGGGGACAGTGGACCAGCGCAGTTTGATGCAATATCAGATTGTATGCATACTTGTATTGTCGGTCGTCCTCAAAACCCGCTCGAAGCCATCCCCTTTCATCCAATCAATCTTGCCATGCTGGTTCTAAATTAATACTTTTTTCGTTCACGGAAAAAATTGAAAAATTGAAAAGAAAATGACACTCTTTTCCCCCGTTCTTTTTATTATTCTGGCTCTGGCTCTGGCTCTGGCTCTGGCTGTGCTGGCTCAGGGATGCCTGTTTTCTGCATTTCCAAAAATGGGCTGTGAAAAAATTGAAGAAAAACGCGGACCAAAAGCAGCATGCCCGAAAAGCATTGGCCACCACCATATGATAAACAAAGTCCACTGCATTATTTTTTCACAAGATTAGCTCATGATAGAGCATATTTACACAAGGTATTATTTCCTTAGGAACGTGAAAATAATATATTTTAAGCTTGTGACTCGTAGTTTTTTTGTTGAAATACCAAAAATGGACGCACGTTCCGCCAATAAAACAAAAGTCTAGAAACAGGGAAGGACAAAAATCCTCTAGCTTGCTAAACAAAAAAACAGAAGGGAAGAAAATGTATTTTTATAATCCGCATGCCTGCAGTCACTAACCACCCCCTTCTGCCGCTTCCCCTCTTGGTTGCGAACCCCCCCCCTTCTGTATCCCCTCTTTTTCAAGTATTTTTTGTCTCTCTTTACTTGCTTCAAGACACAGGCAGCGTGAAGTGCTGGTGGTGAGGATGAAATTGATGCAGATGAATGTGGATGCCAACTTTTATTTTTCGTATAAAAGCGCCGTTCTGGCCACCACAAAAAACACCCTTGCCAGTTTCTCTTACCAACCTACCTCGCTTTTTCAACCACCACCATTTCCAAAGCACCTTTTATAAAAAAAAACAGCTGTGTTCTACACATATCCATTCCAATCTAATCTAGTCTCAAACGTCAAAAGATTGAATAACAAATAACTTTCAAAATGTATAGCATGTTCAAGACCACATCCAAGCTCAGCCAGCAGTCGCCCTTAAAGTTTGCTAAGCGCAGCTTCCTCGCTCATACTCCGCGTGTATCCAGCATGGGCTCTGTCACGAGCTCCTTCGAGCATATTCCCGTTGACACCTTTGTCGGTGACATCACGTTTAACGAGGACATTGCTATCGAGAAGATCCACGAAAAGGCCATTGCTGCTGACTCCATGCATGCCGCTGCTAACTTTGGCGATCACCGTGTTGTTCCTGCTGCTTCGTCTAGTTACCAAACTATCCACATCGTTGGCCACTAAGTTATATTTTTTATGGAAACCCATTGGCGAAACAGAGAGCTCATTTTTCCCCATCCAAAAATGAAATGACTTTACCTACGTCGCCGTTGTATCAATAATCCACCACCACTACCACCACCATTCATTTAATTTTTTCACAAGCTTCTTTAAACACGTTTAATAAAATATACCTCGTTTTGTTTCGCATTTTGAGTGCATGGAAACAACTTGTATTATCGACTCTTTTGTGTTTAAAGTATATGTTCTGCGAGATGCCTTGTACTGCTTTCATGAACGAGACGGCACAGCTTGGGAGGTAGGTATGAGGAGAGATAATTGTAAAACACAAAATTATTATTTTAAAAAAACCAGCACTGGAAGGTAATTGTTTCTATACGCCTATTAGTCGGTAGTCGCCATGGACTCAACCTTCTCGTTAAACAGCTTCTTGGCGCGAGTCCACACGGGCGCAGACGTGTGGGTGGGCAGCTGCAGCAGGGTGGGCAGCAGGTCCTCGGAGAACTGGTTCGAGGACTCACGGGGGAGCATAGTGGGCAGATGGTCAATAGAGCACAGCTGCAGGGGCTTGGCGTTTGTCGACGGAATGTCCAGCAGGGCGTTGTCAAAGGTAGTGTTGACGTTGTAGATGGGGATAGGGTTGAACGGGTTAGTCGTGTCGCAGCTGACATCAACGATAACCGACAGCTGGCGCTCAGCGTCAATCTGCTGCTGGGTGACGAACGGCGGAATCTGCGACGACAGGTAGATGCAGTTGACAAAAATGTCAACGTCCATGATCTCCTGGAACGGGCCACCCTTGGCGGTCTCGGCCATATCCCACTTGATGATGTTCTCCTCGGGAATACCCGCCTTGCGCGCATACGACACAGCGCCGCTACCGCAACGACCCATGGCACCCATGACCATGATCTTGGGCATCTTGCCAATCTTGGCCAGCTTCTCCTTGGTCTCAGCAATCAAAACATCCTCGTTAGGGTAGGGTGTGATAACCGGGTACTTCTCGCCGGAATTCAGCTGCTGGTGGCACCAGGCATCGATACCCACGGCCGAGCCAGTGAACCCAGCATAGAAGCCAAAGGCAGCCACACGACGACCACTCTCGTCGTTCAGGAACTCCAGATCGTACAGAAGACCGTTGCCCTCAACAAACCGCGAAAGCACATCCTTCCAGCCGCCCTGGCGCTTGTAGCAGTGAGCGAACATGATGTGCGTGTGAGGGAGCGACGTAGTGTCGTTCTCGGGCAGCTCCTTCAGGCCAGTGATAATGGCATCTTGGGGAGCCGCGCGCCAGCTGTCGCCAGCCACCAGACGGCATCCGACCGCAGTGTACTCAGCGTCGGCGAAAATCCGCTCCTTGGACTCCTCAACTGTGATCTCAAAGTTGCCCGTGGCAAGCAGTTTCTTGCACACCTCGGGAGAGAGCGCGGCGCGGTGCTCCATGGGCTTGGTTTCCTCGCGGAGCCACAAGTGGGTGGTGGTAGTAGCGGTAGTTCCAGACATGGCTTTTGTTTTATAAAATGAATGTTATCAGAAAAAAATTTACAAGAAAGAAGAGGGGCGATTTTTTTTATTCAAAACGTGGTTGACAAAGAAACCTTGCCAACATTGGCTTTTGGCACGCTTTATACACTTTGCCCGAGGCAAAATAAAATAAAATAAAATAAAGGGAGGGCTTTTGGGGCCGAGATTTGCGCGACAAAAAAAGGGAGTGGGACGCAAAGTAATGCGTCAGCGCAAGCAACAATATGAATCATCATGCAAATTCTGAGCAGGGACGCACTCATAAGGGATCAGGGGGTAGGAAGAAGGGTTAGAAAACTGCCCAAAAAATAAGAGGGAAAAATGGAATCTGTGCTTCACGGCTGTGACTCAATATTTCTTCCATCAGCTACTGTGTAATCTTAACAGGTTGAAGGCGTCAAGATACTTTTTTTTATTAAAAAGAAATCTCTTTGGTCTGCATAATGTGCTTGGCGACGGTTCCATTTTAAGCTGTTTTTGTGTCCGGTCAGATCACGTCTGCCCATCCCGCAACCGGCGATAGCAAGCAGGATCGCTTATTTGTTAAAACAAATATTTTGGCGTTTATTATTCACTGTGATTTCGCATTCATCTACTGCTTCCAAAAAACGTTCTTTTTCTCAAATCAACCATTCCAAGAACGCACACAATGGACATTGTCATGGACGACAAAGCAACACAGCCGACAGGAGAGTCCAAAAAGCGGCCCAGAATAAACGGCTCGGTGAAGAAGCGCAAGCCAATGCGGGCATCCACATCCAGATCCGACATTTACGTGACTCGCGAGCGGCGCAAGTTCAACGGCCAGCTGAACCGTGCGAGGAAGCTGCTGTTAGATCGGCATTTCCCATCAATTACCATCCACGGGCTCGGCGCTGCCATCCAGCAGGCGATCATGCTGGCAAACGCTGTCAAGGCCAGTCTGGGAGATCAGGCTACCATGGAAGTCACATCCGACACCGTGACACTGTTCGACGAGGTGATTCCCGAGGATGATGACGCCGATACTGTCACTCAAGCGCGGCAAAACTCTGCTATTCATATTAAAGTGGCGCTGATTGACGACATTGTCAGCTTGATCAATCCCAAGCGGAAGTAAAAATGGTTTATTTTGTGAGGATTCTTGTCAATATAAAAAATGTATATCTAAGCTTGTAGCGTTATTGTGATAAGATCGCTACTCATTATTCCATTTTCTAAAACTGCGTGTCTGTGGCCTTTTCCTCAGCCTTAAGCTCCTGGGTGGCTTGGGCAAAGTCTTCGAGCAGCTCTTTTGTCTTGCCCGACTCGAGAGTTTGCCTGGCAATCGCAGCACCTTCTTTCATCGATGCAGCAACACCAGCTACGTACAGCAAAAACCCAGTGTTGACTAGAACAAAGTCACGAATTGGGATGTCCTTTTTCTTCAGCTCGTTGCTCAACAACCGCCGTAGCGTGGCATTGTTCTCTTCAAGCGTGGACCCAGCAGCCGTCGACAACGGGTGGGCGGCAACTCCAAAGTCGCTTGGATGGACCGTGTAGTTCTTGATTTCGCCGTCGGCCTGGATGTGCCACACATGCGTCAAACCAGCAATGCTGACTTCGTCGAGATCCTCGTCGCCGCACACAACAGCGTAGTTGCGACGGCCGAGAATCCTCAGCGCCTCGGCCATAACTGGGCCCAGTTGCTTTGAGTAGATGCCGATGACCGCGCGATCAGGAACCACCGGGTTGGTCAACGGGCCCAGCACATTGAATGGCGTCGGGAACCCCAGCTCGCGGCGGGACTTTGCCAAGTAGCGCATCGACGGATGGAACGTGCTGGCAAACAAAAAGCAAAAGTTGTGCTTGTCCAGGAGACCGGCCACGTCAGAGGGCGCGACAGTGTTTAGATCACAGCCCATGCTCTCGAGCAAATCTGCAGAGCCGCAGTTAGACGACGACGCGCGGCTGCCGTGCTTGGCCATCTTTAAACCTGCGGCGGCGGCCACCAGCGAGGACGTGGTCGAGATGTTGAATGTGTTCCATCCGTCGCCGCCGGTACCAACAATGTCGGCCAGGATGCCAAACCCTGGTCTGGTCTTCGTCTCTGTCTCTATCGAGGGGATGAGCGCGCTGCCGAGCATTTCCTTGGCCAGGGCTGCAATCATACTGGGGTCTCTGTCGACTCCACGCAGCCGCAGTGCTGTCAGAAAGCCGCCAATCTGAGCATCGCTGGCCTCACCGCGCATTATCGAGCGCAAGCCATCGGCTGCGTGCTCGGGCGTAAAGCCAGTTGGCTCGAGAATAAGGTGTTTCAGTATATCCCGCAGGTGCTGTCTACTGTTTGGGCCGTCCATGCTGTTTATAATTTAGTGAAGGGCGATGGTAGGTATGAACGAAAATACAATAATGAAAGAAAAAGAAAAAAGAAAAAGGTGTAAAACACGAAGAATTAAAGGCTAGCGCTACCACCCACATTTTATGATCGATCGTGAATCATCTTATTTTGTAATCTAAAGATGAATCGATCAGTGAGATCGGTGACAGAATTAAGCCATATTTTCGAAACCGCTGTCCACATACCACGAACCTATTGCTTGGAGGATACCGGCAAATATTGAATATGCTTCATTACTAACAATGACTAGCGGTATGCGCTTCGGGAATTACTTACACCATGGGTTGTTTATTTTGTCTTAGTCCACCGCTACAGTTTTTGATTCGTATTGCATCATGTATTTGCTCCAACTCAGCTTTACATTTCATTTGGTAATGGTGCTGTCAATACCAAATTAGATTGAATTAGCAACAACATTGAAGTACTAATTATTGGGTGAAATATAATGAAAATGCAATATTTAATTATATGTTTCCTGCATTCTGTCGGTTATATTTTTTAGACAAATATGTAAACGAGAGAGTCAATTTTTTTGCCGCACTCATTGGCATAATTCTACATGTATGTGAATCAATTTTTTATTTATGGTTTTCACCCATTTAATCGGCCAACTTGCCACTATTGCCGTTATAAATCTATCGGAGCTAGATGCAGTCAGGCATTAGCACATCATTTCTAATTACATTTTGTTCACACAATGACACACAGGAGATAGCCATTTTCTCTCACATTTTAGTGCATAATGTTTATAATATGCACATTTGCACAAATAATAACTGCTCTAATATATTTTCTTCTACTCATCCAGCCAATCGGATGTGGAATTTTTAATTAAAATATTTTAATAAATCAAAAAGCAACTTTAAAATCTCCACTTTCTCCTCAACCCAATCCATCAATTCCTCTGTTTCTCAAATGTTTTCTAAGCATTTTAAACCCATTTTTCTTTTATATTACAAATTTATTTCACCACGTCGCTGGATCATGAAGGCCATCTGTATTCCGCAGTTAAAAAAGTAACCAGAGCGGGCTAATGTAACTCAAAAGAAAGCAAAAATTCTAGCGTAAGTGGAAGCATCGGCTGTAGCAAAAAACAACCAAGTCATCTAACAAGGAGACAAATACACACTTCAGTTTAACAAAAGACAGCGTTTATTGTTGGAGGCAAATAAACTTCTATTAAATTATTAATAAAAATTTTGAACATACTTGGCTATACTGAAATACCTTAAATATTATGCCACTTGTGGTGAGTTGCAAACTATAAAAAAAGCAGATTATGAGGAGAAAATAGCGTTTGGATTACTTTCCAAAATGAGAAATGTATCTAATGAAAGCGTTATTTTTAGCCATTTATTTAAAAAATATAAATAGGTGTCCAAAAATAAATTTTACTTTAAATGTACCTATTGTTAGTCATTATGTTTACTATTTTAAGCCTTTTGAATAAGAATAATGCGTCCAAAAACAATATTGTATAGGTTATATTATTGCTCACCATTAAATATTCAAGTCGACTAAATATTCACACACTCGATTGTGGTGCCGACGTTGCTTAACGTATTATATATTTTTTGCAAGAATAGCAAATGTATCACATTTTATTTTTGTTATGCAAACTTAAACTCAATAAACTACCTTATAAACTCACTTGTTAACTAATGTATTTCTACAATTGCTCCCAAGCAATGTTTGCCACATGTGGATGCAAGTCCTTGTACTCCTCGACAAACGACATGTGATCAAAGTCCTCATACATCGAAAGCTTGAATTTTTTTAATGATGGAACAGCCAATATCAAGTACTTGATACTGTCAAATTCTGCTCCTTTGCGATTACCATCGATTGAGGTATGCAAGTATAGCTCGTTGATGTTGGTAGATATTGGTTCGACCTGGTCAAGCCTGGGCTCAAAGGCCTCGTCAAAGGGAATACCATACACTTCTAGTTTGGTCAGTTTGGGCACTCTGGCCAGCATATCCACAACTGCAACAAGCTTAAACGAATTGTATACCGTCAACATATGAAGGTTAGTCCATTCAATGCGCCGCGAATCCCATTTTTGCAAACACACGTCTGTGCCCATATTTATAGTGAGGCTCGGCTCTCCGTGGCTTATTTTGGTTGAGCTTCCAAAAAATGCGTTTGTTGCCTCATAGAACGCGTTCGAGTTGGCATCATAATTTAGACTTATATAAACCATGCATCCATCAATACGTGCCTTGCCTGTATTTCCCAATAAATTAAGCATGTTGTGCGATCCATGAATATATGCATTCTTCAAGCGTCCGAACTCGATAGAAGCGTTCAAAAGCCCAAAGTTGTTACCAATTCTATGAAGAGTAATGTGATTTAATTTGGGCATGTGCAACGCAAAATATTCTTTGCTGCTCGTTTCGGAATTATTTTTGTCTGCTAGCGCGGGTTCATCTTCCATGTTGGAGTGGCCCACAGTCAATTCTTTCAAGTTGCTGAAAGTAATACTCGCCGAATCACCACTATTGCTTGCAAAGCTCTTCCATGAAGCGCCGCTAATGTCCCCTTTCAGTTCAATTGACTCAATATTTGCCGCATTGATTTTTGGCAGGGCCTGTTTTCCATTTATGTCCAAATTGACACTCAGGTGCCTAAGCTCGGGCGAAAACGCATTAGCTGTCCACACAACTGGAATATCGCAATCGTATATCATTAGCTGGTGAGCGTAGCCGTTGGAAAGAACGCTGCAAAATTGCTTTAAATGCTTGTCGCTGTCGCCGGACAACTCCATGCCCAATTTATTGACGTTGGGCATTGCCTTGACCATGTATTCTGCAAACACGGATGTAGCTTGCATATATTCATCGCTGTCGATGATATCCAAAACATTGGAAATGTCGTATTTCTGGAACCATATGTCTACACTCCTGACACAAGGCCACTGGCCAGAGCCGCATCTCATTATTTTTTGGAGTCTGGGGATCGTGGCATTACTAATCCACAGATTCTCCAGTCTGGGGCACAAAGCATTGAGTGTACTCTGTTTTTTCTGCTGCTCCTTCTGGCTGCTTATAAATTGCTGGCATTCCAAAGCAATGTACTCGCTTTCACTATTCTCCTCGCCCTCAATACTGTTGCTGTATTCGTCTTCACTATTCTCCTCGCTTTCAATACCATTACTGTACTCGCTTTCACTATCCCCCTCGTTCTCAATACTCTCGCTGTATTTGATGTTCAAGTATCTCAAGCGCTTAAAGTATATATCATCAGCTGTCGAATCGTTTTTTAGCATTTTCTCCCATGCAAATGTGGGATGTACATTGATCAAGTCCAAGTATTCCAGTGTTTCAAAAAGCACGTTTGGAAGGCTCTGCAAAGTATTCAACTCGAGATTCAGCGACAAGTGCACGAGCTCGCAGGAAAACTGTGTTGCAGTGAATGTTATTGGGAAAGAGATGTTGACGTGAACAAGCTGGTCAATGTAAAGGCTAACCAACTCATCGTAAAATAGGATCTTGCTATTACAAGAATAACGACCTATACTTAACTCAGTCACATTGGGAATATGCTGCTTTATACTGGCTGCCAGATTTTTGCTGCGCTGCATTGGGATATTGAAATCATCATCTAAATGGTCCTTAAATTCATTGACGTCAATGTAAAGCTGTGTAACATGTGGGCACTTTAACACCTTGAAATCCATAAATTCTTCCAGCATGTCAAATGTCAAGACTGTGACTCTCAGCTTCTGGAGAGCTGGGAACTGCAATTCACTCGAACTCCCAATGCTTTGCACATCAAAACTTTTATACAATTCAAACTCCAATTTGCGCAGGCTGGAAAACACAATGGTTTCCGCCTGCTTGGTATTTGCCAGCTTGCTCCAAGAAAACACACTAGTGACATTTCTTAGCACCAGCGTCTGCAACTTCTGGCAGCACACGTGTGGGATGTACTGCATATGGTTCATATTGATATTGAGCGTTGTGAGCTGGGTAAACTCCGCTGACTCTGCTGACTCGGCAAGTGTAAATGGTTGATTGCTGCAAAAATACTTTAAATTGCGCGAATACATTTGTGACAATAGACCGGTCATATCAAATATAGGGGCATTATCATGATACGTCATATTGTCCAAACTATCCACACCTGGCATGCACTTTCCCATTTGCCGAGCAAATTCATTGGCATCATCCATAATATCAGACTGAGATTCGCTGCCAATGTCGTTATTGATATTGAACTGGTAGCCGCTGATGTTGAGTGCGCTGACTCTGCTCCAGTCACTCGTTTCAAACGAGAATATTGAATTTGCTTCGGCGATCAGGGAGCGATAATATTCAAAATGATCAATATTGATGGTCACAGTTTTTACCAGGTGCGTGTTTCCAGTAGCCTTGAGCAGCCCAATATTGGTATTAACGAGCTTGTCTTCGACAGCAGTGTCGTGCGAGTGCTCAACAAAACCAAGACTGTGTTTTCTAGACCCATCAAGTATGGCATTACAATAGGCCAAGCCAGTGGCCACTTCTCTCCACCCGCGGCAGACGCCCAGCAGCGGCAATCTGTCTGCCCACGCGTTGATATTGTGTCCGCCGGTGTCAATGGCTACACGTAGAATGCGGTTGAGGATGACAAATGGAAGCTGGCTGAAGCAAGGCATAGCGAAAGAAATAATATTGATAGCAATGTTGCTGTTGTTTAAAGCGGCTAAACTTGTTCTAAAATTACTCTAATATTTTAAATAGTAATTGCTAAAATGATAAATTAAAAATGGAAGAGAAGAAAGAGTAAAGGACAAATGCTAATTTTATACATAAAACAATTGGCGGCGGCTGCGCTAAAAAATGACAGGACAGAAACAAATAAAGCAAACTTGGCATGCGTGTGTTGTCGTGCTCTATAAAAATGTGGGTCCAAATCGATATATTCAAGTCTTAAAAATTACTTAACTGAAAAAGGGGGCAGCGCTGTGTGGGCAGCGCTGTGTGGACAGCGCTGTAAACATCATGGTGTTCCTTGATGTCAGCCAGCAATAACAGAAATGTGTATAGTGGTCATGAGGGCGATCTTGATTCTTGAAAAGGGAAGATAGTGGCTTGAAATGTGTGTTGGGCACCACAGTGTTGACTTTATTAAAAATAAAAATAAATTGAAAAATACATCTATTCAAAGCTTTCATTTGGGAATTAAATGGGAAAAAAGCAAAGCAATATCATTGCTTTGTTGCTTTGTTGCTTTGTACAATAGTTTTTCTTGTTAGCTGTGTGTTCAGCTACCAAAACAAAAGGTGCTAAAAGAACCAAAAACAAGTATGTTGGTATTTGGAGAAACAACAATTGAGTTGCAGGCATCAGGACCAGCTACTAGGTGCACAGCTCTAAGAAGCGTTTACATTGTATAAGCTGAGTATGAGGGTAAATAGCTGCGAGGAGCGGCTGGGGAGGGCTGGCTTTGGCCTTTAAAATATAATAAGTAACCAATAAGTAACGAATAAAATAAAATTAAGCACAACAATATGGGCGTCAAACACCGCGCAGAAACGAGTGATAATGTAAGCAATAAATAGACTTTTAAGCGTGAATAACACAGCAACTTATATTTAATAAAAAAGCAGCGAGAATATAGGTAATGCACATATATAAACAGCAACGCAATGCGTGAGAGAGTGAAAAAATATTTTGGAAAAGTTTAATAATGGTTTAGAGGAGGCCAACATCAGTTACAATGCTATAAAGGAATATAATCCAGACCGTCGAAGTACTGGCATGGTTGCGAGCAAAGTAAGACGCTAAAAAAATTAAAGTAGAGTGCGGCAACGTTACTGTAATAATGTCAACAATTGAGAACCAACAGCAATATACGAATGCAGAGCTCACAAAAATTAACTGAGCGATAATGCATCCAAATTTGCGGCATATAGTTGCCAGCATTACACCTTTCTTCTTTTGTGATACAGTTTTATAAATAAAATAATTGCACGTAAATAAATACTAGAGTATTTACAATGCTCGAGTACACAATTTTATTATAATAAAAAAGGCAGGCAGTAAGTAAAAATAAAAAATGAATGGCTAAAAATACAAATAACAGATATTCACTGAACTGGAAAAGTAAATAGATGTAAAGAAAAATGCAGAGCTTGGAGTAAAACAAGCCAAAATTTAAAAATTGAAATCAAATATATTTATTTGACACTATCAATCCTTGCTTTTAGTAGTAAGTAAACTTTTTGAATTTTGTAAACCCTGTGTATCCAGGGCAAAGCCTTTAAGCAGTTTTTTTGTCTTGCCCGACTCGAGAGTTTGCCTGGCAATCGCAGCACCTTCTTTCATCGATGCAGCAACACCAGCTACGTACAGCAAAAACCCAGTGTTGACTAGAACAAAGTCACGAATTGGGATTTCCTTTTTCTTCAGCTCGTTGCTCAGCAACCGCCGTAGCGTGGCATTGTTCTCTTCAAGCGTGGACCCAGCAGCCGTCGACAACGGGTGGGCGGCAACTCCAAAGTCGCTTGGATGGACCGTGTAGTTCTTGATTTCGCCGTCGGCCTGGATGTGCCACACATGCGTCAAACCAGCAATGCTGACTTCGTCGAGATCCTCGTCGCCGCACACAACAGCGTAGTTGCGACGGCCGAGAATCCTCAGCGCCTCGGCCATGACTGGGCCCAGTTGCTTTGAGTAGATGCCAATGACCGCGCGATCAGGAACCACCGGGTTGGTTAACGGGCCCAGCACATTGAATGGCGTCGGGAACCCCAGCTCGCGGCGGGACTTTGCCAAGTAGCGCATCGACGGATGGAACGTGCTGGCAAACAAAAAGCAAAAGTTGTGCTTGTCCAGGAGACCGGCCACGTCAGAGGGCGCGACAGTGTTTAGATCACAGCCCATGCTCTCGAGCAAATCTGCAGAGCCGCAGTTAGACGACGACGCGCGGCTGCCGTGCTTGGCCATCTTTAAACCTGCGGCGGCGGCCACCAGCGAGGACGTGGTCGAGATGTTGAATGTGTTCCATCCGTCGCCGCCGGTACCAACAATGTCGGCCAGGATGCCAAACCCTGGTCTGGTCTTCGTCTCTGTCTCTATCGAGGGGATGAGCGCGCTGCCGAGCATTTCCTTGGCCAGGGCTGCAATCATACTGGGGTCTCTGTCGACTCCACGCAGCCGCAGTGCTGTCAGAAAGCCGCCAATCTGAGCATCGCTGGCCTCACCGCGCATTATCGAGCGCAAGCCGTCGGCTGCGTGCTTGGGCATAAAGCCTGCTGGCTCCAAAACGAGCTGCCTGAAAACATTCTCAAAATGTTTGGTTTTGTCAGTGTCTGTTAAAGTCATAAAAAATAAATGTGTTATAGTTAAAATAATTTTTAATATGACGAGTAATGACAAATATAAATACAAATAGAGTAGTGCTTTAAATAGTTATTATAATATGAAGCAAATCAATCAAACATACATTCGTCTATTTTTAATTAGCAATAAAATGCAGATCATTTGATTATGAATTGCAAGACGCCACATCGATTGGTAATTTTTCTCACAAGTACGACGTAGCTTGGTTGTCTATTATTATTTTCTTTCTTCATGGAAGGCGCAATAAATTAAATAATTCCCTCAATATACTAATTTAATATAATATAGCATTTTTACAACTAATACATGTTTACAATTAATACGTGTTTTTCTGCCTGCTTGCTTGCGTCTGCAGCAATCTATGGTGTGCAAATGTCTGGACATGTGGGTGTGCTTGTTGAATTTACAATGATATGTATCCAAATTACTGCATATATACTAGTCTGGAACATAAAATACTTGTTTTACAATGTCATGGGATAGCAAAAAACGTACATAATTCCAAAATATTAGTTATGAACATAATTAACTACTTAGTATTTTTTACTTGGAATTGGTTGTGTACGAAAAAATACGCTGATTACTATTTATTTGCAACTTTAACCGAAATGTTGTGAGTAGTGGATTGGAAATAACTGCTTTTACATACGCCTGCATTTTCATTTTTTATTACTTACTGGCAGTAAGGCCGTTAAGACAACAAAAAACATTGTCATGGGAACAAAAAAACACATAAACAAACAAACGCTATCATCAAACTTGAAATTTTTTTAAAAATTTGCTGACTCGTACCAGGTATATAAGCCGCCAACAACAGCACCAATACAAAATTTTTACATTATCATTATCAGCATCTCTTTTCATCACAATTACAACAAATCAAACTACCAATTTAATACACTAACAATGGTTTCTGTATCGACTATCCTCATGGCTACTATCGTTGCACCCATGGCAATGGCTCAGTACTTTGGCGGCGGCGCCGCTTACGGATCGCAGTCTATTTCTTCTGGATCATATTACAATAGCGCCACCACTAGCTATGCCACTCCCGGCTACGGGGCCATTGGCTACGGTGGATATGGTGGCTATAGTTCCGGCTATGGTGGATATGGCGGCTATGGCTCCGGCTACGGTGGATATGGTGGATATGGTGGCTATGGCTCCGGCTACGGTGGATACGGCGGTTATGGTGCCAGCTATGGTGGCCTTGGGTACCTTGGCGCTGGCGCCGGCTACGGCTACGGCCGCGGAGTGGCCATCACTGGTGCCTCCACCGGTGGTGCCGCGATCATCGGCCCCTCCGGCTCAATCATTGTCGGTCCCCAGTCCGCAGGCGGCATCTACCTCTAAGCAAATCAAACTACATTAAATTTGTATTCTTACTACAAATAAATTATTAATTATTAAATAACGCATAAAAAGATAAATAGAGATAAAGTATGTAAAATAGTGATCTTGTCTATTGCGGCTTTATTGGCTCCCAGGATATGCCTTCGCCAGTGTCAGCAAACGGATCATCGTATATTTCTAAAAGTTCCGGCTTGTGGCCATTATTTGGTTGGATCTTTATGGATGAATCGGGGGTCATTGCAGCCGCATCATATGCCGATACAGCCGGAGCAAATGGATTCAAGCACTTGGCTGTGGATGCGCCATCATTTGGCACCAAGTGTTTGCGCACTAGCAGTCCATCCTTGTCCCACCAAGCCTGTGTGTCCGAGCTCGGCGGAGGCATCTTGGGTTTGGAATCCACATTGATCTTTTCATTCTCCGGCACAACCGCCCAATCAATCAACTTCTCATCCGCTGCCGCAGAAGCCACTGAATTCCCGCCGGCGTGTCGGCGCGCATACAGTCTGCGAGTAATTAGGCGTTTGAGAGTCTTATCCACCGACACAACGTCAAACTTCATCCTCGCCATCACAGGCTTATGGTCGGAAAAGCGAATTTCATCCCTGTAGTACCTCAGACACTCAATACCCTTGCCCTTGTACATAATGCGGTCAGTCCACGACGGCACGCGCATCTTCTCGCTCGTATCGTACGTGTCCGTGCCACAATCGTACTTGTAGGTGGGCAAGAACTCGATCTGTGCCTCTGCGTACTCCCTGAACACCTTCCCAGCAGCCATCTGCATACCCAGCTGGTCGTACATCATGAGGCTCTGTACCTGCTGCTGAGAAATAAGCCTCCGCGCCTGGTCCGACGGCAAATCCACGCGGTAGTTCAGGTCACCGAGCCAGAAGGAGTGATCGTGGTCGTCGATGTGCTTGCCGCGGCGGAATCGCGCGCCTGTGCGGATACTGTGGAAATCTGCATTGCGCTCGGCCACGTTGGTTGTGCCGGCGGCCAGGTGCGCAGCCACAATGCATATGCTGGTGTCGTCGAGCATCATATGCATGGCCACGCAGCCCTTATTCCCAGTCATTCCAGCCATGCCTGTTTTGCACTTGACCATCTGCAGGCCATGGATTCGCGGGAGCAGGGTTTCGTGTGCAAAAAAGAGCAAGGAGACACCAACCAGTTGCTCCGAAGACACCAATGCGTATTCGCCGGAAGCATGCCGCCCAAAGGCCTTGCGGTACTGCGCGTTGATTTCTGCTGAGAGAACCTGCTCCCACACGCGGCGATTGGTTGTGTCAGCCGCAATGACCGACTGTACGTCCAGGTTGACAACCTCCTGGAAGCCAATGGCAATAAAGTCCGGGCGCACGTCGCCCTCCATGGCCAGCCACGACCCCAACGGCTCGCCGCAGTACGGGTTGCCGTGTAGGTTGTAGGTGCACAGCATCACATGGATCGAATCTCTGCGGCTGACCCTAGCCAGCTCGCGCTCGAGCTCGGCAGCAACCACAGACTCGTAGGGGTCGTGCAGAAGTACCGGCCGGCAGACCAGCGCCGAGTCGCCGGAGCCCAGAAGCGTATCAATGGTGTTCTGCTTACCCTTGTCTTGGAAGTTGTTCTGCATCAGGCGGCTGATCGATTTTGACGCGTCACTGAGGAACCCGGCCCAGCCCGACTTCCCACTTGTTGTAACGTCGGACTTGAGCGCGCCCGTGCCCGCGTACAGCCGCGAAATGGAGTTCCCATTAGCCGCCCACAGCCGGCCCAGGCCCTCAAGTACTGAATCGGCTGTAGTCGACGTAACCACACGCGTCTGGCTAAGAAACTCCCCAACGATGGTGCGCGAAATCACACTCTGCACGACGTTTGTGCGGTCCAGGCAGTCAATGCAGTTGGTGCGTACAACACCACGCTGCATTGACAGAATACTGTTGCTGTCGTTGGCGACGAGGTAGAACTGGTGGCTTCCGAGCGTCGAGCTGATCTGGTGCAACAGCATGTTAACGCGCTCAAAGCGGCCGCCCTTGACCTCGCCATTGTAATCAAAGGCCGCGTAGTCAATGAGCAATTTTGGCAGCGCCATGGAATCGATCATCGCGCGGTAGAATGCCCCCAGGTCAGACTCCGACGACCCCGCGGGGTCCGCCACCAGCACCCCTGTAAATTCACCCTGCAATGGGCTCTGCTTGAGCAGATTGACGGCCAACACGCGCTTGTAGCGTGCCAGGAGGTCGGCAAAGTGGCGCTTGGTCGCTGGTAGAGTGGCTGTTGCCGATCGCGTGATGTGCACGCGATGTGAGCCGATCTGGAAGCCCTCCTGGGTCCAGAAAACCGGAATGCTGCCGCGGACCTGCACGTGGGAGAACATCCATGTGGGCGTAGTAATAATGATCTCGGTTTCAACCTCGTTGGCCACGCCGCCCTCGTCGTCGACGCCGCGCGTGAGGAACCGCATGCCCGAGCGCATCGAGCTGCTGCGCGATATCAGGAATACTCCGGCGCGGGCGGATGCCGACCGGCCGTTGCCCGCAGGGTACTGGCCGGCGTAGTGCACCTCTACGGCGCCCTCAATAAGAGACACCGCAAACCCAGCGCTGTCGAATGTCCGCCGCTCAGCGGACCCGCACATATGAATGCGGTAGTCCGTGAGCACCTGCAGTAGGGTGTTGTTCCACTGGAACTTTGGATCCGGGTCGAAAATACCAGGCTCGTTGGCGGAGATCTCGCACATCCTCTGTGACTGCAGCGACCGCGTGAGATCAAACGCCGGCGAAAAGTAGAATGCACCGTTGCCCAGAAACCCGCACATGGATGCGCATGGGTTGGACACCCCATAGACATCGTTATCGCCTGGCCCCACGTCGTCATACATGGCCCCGGGCATCCTGCGGTACGCCAGCGCGTCATACAACGTGTCTGTCAAAGACAAGGCCATCACCTGGGTCACGCGAAATACTGGCCTGCATCCCATCTTCTCGTTGTTCCCATATAGGTCACAGAGCGGCTGCGCCTGCGTTATAAGAAATATGTATGTGTCGCCCTGGTAGTCCAGAATTCCCGCGCTCCCGTAAATTGGCTCAATATCCAGCGGCGAGTAGTACCGGAGCACCTTCTCTACCGAGTGCATGTTGATACTGATGCGCACGTCGCCAGTGCTGTCGGTGCTCGTTGAGTTTCTGGCTACACCGACTGACATGAATTCGCCGTTGGGGTCGGATATCGCGTGGACGGGCACCAGCGCTATTGCCCGCGGTTGACTTCGAACATATAAGAAAAACCGCTTTGCTTCCATGGCCGTTTTTTTTAAATTGTTGAATTTTTGTATGCGATTGAAATTAAAGGCGCGAATGCAAAGTACAAATAAAACAATGCATCCACAAGAAAAAAGAAGAGTAAAAATAATGAAAAGTGACGTTTTTAAAATGCTCTTTGAATTTATTTATTTATTTTGAATTCCACATTGCACGTGTTCTCTTATTTTTGCGTTCAGGAAACCAAAACCGGAACAGGAATCTCAATCCGGGATTTCAATCACATTCTTATTTTTAATTTTTTTGGGTGTGGCTGTTTCAGAAATTAGATGTTACTGCCATCAAACCAAAAAAAGATCAATTAGTAAAATTAAAGGGATTGTTGCTGAATTGGGCACTGCTCACTTTGCAAACAAGTTAATCTCATTATTTGTAATGCTCCATTTTAAAGCGAGAAAAAAGTATGAGATGGTGCACAAAAGAACGGGAGAAAACCCTCTGTGTAACGCGCAATTGTCAGGCCCAAGGTACATGACAGCATAGACGCATGTAATATCACAATGTTGTGATATTACATGCAAGCAGGAATTTTATGTGAGCTTCTTTAGCTTTCTTATATTTTAAATTGAGTATATTCAAATGAACAGCAAAATATTTACAGCGAAGGATATATATAATATTGTCAGTGGCTGAGCTTAGCGACAAAGCCTCTCGCATCAACCATTAATCTACATACAAATGCTCAGTGGAGAGATCTTAATCACTTATTTTTAAAACAACAATATTTGCGGCTGTGTCCAACATATGGAATATACACATAAATAAATGAAATTGATATAAAAGTATTATTAAGCTATTTTGAAAACATACGTTACGAGGGATTGCGTGATGTGGCAGCTGCCAGCCCGCTCGACACAAACTGCTCAGCAGTCTGATACGTGTCGATGCTGCTATTGCCTAAATTAATCGACCTTGACGAATTACTCGGAGCAAACTCGCCATAACTAAAATTGGGCGGGCGCGGAAACCCCAATGGCACTGCCGGAATTTCAGTGGCATCCATGCGAGTAACACCGGTGTCTGTACCGGGCGCTATGTATGTGCCGCCAGTGCCCATCGAGCTGCGATTCGACATTATCGGATACCCATTTAGGCTTGGACCATTATTGGATGACGGGAATGTGGGCACCGAGATGTTTAGATCACCGGGTCGCGGGTAGTTTGGGCTGGCCAGGCCGACGTGGACAACGTGATTGACGCTAAACGACTGTGGCCGGTTCTTTTTGGCCTGGGACACTGGCGTGGCTGTTTTTTCTCGCGTGCCCCCAAATGGTGCAACGACCAGGCGCTTGAAAAATCCCAAAGCCTCGTTTTCGCTGCTGCTGCTGCTGCTACTGCCGCTGCTGCTGAGAGCGATTGCGCTGGTGTTGTCGCCAGCTAGAGTGAACGCACCTATGAGCCGATCCAGCAGGGCTTTTCCGCGGGAATTGTTCTGGATTTTTCCCAAATCGCCCATAGACAGGTTTACGTTGTCGTCCATTGCTGTGCGCGTCCCCTGGTGTTTGTGCGACAATTGTGCAAGGCCTGCATTTGCCGCTGGCCCCCGCGAGTCCGAAATATTACTCATCCGGCTGACATTTACGCTGCCAATCGCTGGCGGGGCCTCGAGGCTTCCACGCATAGACATGCCGCCAAGCAGCGAGGCATGCGGCGATCTTATGGCAGCCCTTGACGGCGCCCGGACATTATCTATGCTCGTGGTCTTTGATTCCGGCAGCACCGACCATTGCGCAGGCAAGGACGCAGGCAAACTGTCCATGACGCACATCAACGGGAAAGTTCCCTCGCACCCGGTGGTCAAATTCTTGCCGACCACCCATCCATCGTCAAAGGCCATTTGCAGCGTAACAATGTCGCCCTTTTGTAGCGAAATCTCATCGTCACGGCGGGCAAAAAAGTGCCTGACAACTTGGCGCGGCTTACCCACCGTGGTGATAAAGCAGTCGACAAAATCGGCTGCGGCCTTTTCCGATGCACCCTCGCCGGTCTGCGATGCCAGGGTGGTGTCGTCACGCCCGGTACCAAAGAAGCCGCGCTTGGATGAGGCACCGCCACTGCTGCTGCCACGGATACTGTGGCCCATGACAATGGCTGCTATAAGCATGAGGAGGAAGATACCGACGGTTATGCTGAGTACGATTGCCACTATGCGGAACACCCGCTCCTGGCGCGACTGCTTTGCTAGCTCGGCTATTAGGCCTCTGTTGGACTCACGGTCAATGTTTGGCGTGGCCAAATCGTGCTTATCCTTGAGCTCGGTCGAGTCGGTCATAGTCGTGGTGGCGGGGGTTACGGTCACGCCGACTGAAGCGCATGTGTCTACGTAGTCGGAGGCAAAATTGCAGTACTTGCACCAGTCTTCAACCCGCTGGAACCCTATTATTTGTTTTATTTTGCGCAAGCAAGCAATTCGGATAAAAGTAAATAAAAGTTAGTAATGTTTTTTTATAAAACGGTTTTAGTGCTTAATGTCGACAACGTTGGACCTTCTTGGAAGTGGGGGAAGGCTATCAACAAACGATTCAAGAAAATCGAGGGACGCTCACAACAACGATGCAGTAAAATCACAAATGTCCTACTCCCCCCAAGCGCAAATGCGATAAGCACGCACGCTAAAACAATAAGCGGGTCTTCTCAAAAATAATCGCAGTAAACGCGCATACACACAAAAAAATTAGACAAATAAACTTACCACACGTTCTAAGCTCATTATCATCGCCATCAATGCATCGTCCCTCCGCGCCATTATACGCACTGGACTGGCACTTTGTGCGCAATGAAGCCAGCGAGGACTCGCGAATAATACCCTTGTCAGCCTGACACAGTGTATTATTGGTGATAATCGTATGCAAGCTGTCGACCCACGAGTTACAAGTGCCCTGGCAAAGCGGTGTAGGTGCATCCGGCCGAACACCAATATTTGAAGAAGCAACCACCTCTGCCAGCTGGAACATCGGATCTCTGTCGGCAGCTCTACGTTTCTTTTTGCTTCCGCCGTAGCAGTCTCTGACATTGTCCTCGCTAAAAAGCAAGTCCGCGCAAATCATACTGCGGTGGTACCGCACAACCGCCATGCCGTGGTCAGTGTTAAATCCACCGAGATTGTCCAGCCCAGGACACCGAAAAACTGACTGAAACTCATCAAGGTTGGCCTGGCCGTTAATATAGTCGCTCAGCGCCTTGTCGAATGCGCCAATATCGTCTTTTGGATACCATGAAAATCGGCTGGTGGCATTGGTGCTGATATACTCGCGGGAGAATCCTGGGCATCCTTGTGACTGCTTAAGCGAAATGCACGCTGCAGATATACTGGACATGTGTGCCAACATGGCAAGGGAAAGAGCCAATAAAAGCCGATGTGTTAAGGCAAGCATATTGATGAGTTGGTATGTGCGTGTATGTGAAAGTGAGTTGTTGAGACGTATTTGTAAACGAGAAAATGTTGTAGGTGTCAACTAAACAGGCGCGTGGTAAAAAAGAAACGCGAGCAAGAAAAATGGGCAAATTCGTTAAATAAAATGGAAATTTGGTGGCCACAGATACTTAAAGAGAAAAATGTACAAGAAAGGTGATAAATGAGCTGTAGTGCGGGTGCGAACAACCAGCCAGAAAATGGAGATATTATTATGTGAGTGAATGAGAATATCAACGATAAACTGTTTTAGAATGCTTTGAAATAACAAAAGAACAATGCTTGCATAAATTTTAAAAAAATTGTCCCGAGTGGTGAGCTAAAATAAAACCAAATGTATAGTGAGTGCGAAAAAAGGACCAGATTTAAGAATTGAGTGTAAATAAAGTTGATTAAAAGAGCCGTGTATTTCTGAATCAAGGTGTAGAACAATGGCCTCTAGAGCTGCTTAGAGCGTTAAGAGAAGTGAAGATAAAAAACCAACCCCTATTTTAGTGAACGTGAAAATACAGTTTAAGAAATAAAATTGTTGAAAAAATAGGCAGGGAAAATGGAAAACGGAAATTGATAAATATTAAACTCGGGTGGCGACGGTAACCATTTAAAGGAACAAGGCCATATCGAGGGATACTAGAACTAAAGATCAAGGACATATTTTTTAGTCACCGAGTATAGTGCATATCTGACTTTGATATTCGGTCTGAATGCGGACGTTTTTTCAAAATGGTCTTGACGATTGTTTGTTTGCTATTAAAAATTTGTTATTTTTATTTTAGGGAAGCAGTATAGTGCTGTTTTGCAACACATGTTTTGGTAATTCCGCTAAATAAAAAGCCGAGAGTAACTAAATAATAGAAAACGTTTTTTGTTTAAATGTACAGGCTGCGTCTTATTAGCCAAGGTGGCTTAACGCAAAGAGTTGTTTTGAATTTTAAGTTTACACTGGCTATTGTCAATAGTAAGGCTGTTATCAAGGTTTTTTTGGCTGAGTAGTAATGCCAATCACCAACAAAAACATGAATTCAAGGCTGGCAACTGTTTTACATTTTATTTTTCTGTTGTTATTATTATTGTGATTGGGACATATCACCTACTGCGCCGGCCAACGCTTTATTTTGTATTTACATTTTTTATCCCCTATCAAAATTTTTAACATAATCATAAACAAAAAAGGTTACAACGTCATGTTTTTTGTGCGGTCTCAAAACAAGCACTGTAGTCAATGATGTAATGTAGTGTTATATTTAATGTAAGGATAATCGAGAAATGTAAAATAATATACTGTCATGAGCAACCGTTAACTCATTATTTTGAATGGATGTGCCTCAGTGTTGAAGACGTAGTCGTCAAGAGAGTAGTAGTTGACAGGCGAGAACAACAGATACAGATACTTCAGTGTCTCTGCCAAAAAGAAAGACTCCATAGAGTCAGTCAGCATCTCATTGCGCTTGGTCGATGTGACATCGTGGTATGCCGAATACGCTGAGCTCGTTTTGGTCCATTTTTCAATGTCCAAGAATATCTGCCATCCCCACTCCTTGTAGATCTTATCGCCGGTAATGCGATACATAATCATCAGGCTCTCGACGGTCTCCGGCCGCAGTATATAACTCCTGTCGTTGCCGAAATAAAAGCCGTCGCCCTGCTCGGCAATCGTTGCGGTGTCGAGATCCACCGTGGCAAAGTCATCAGTGCCTTTGCCCGTAAGACCCTTGCCGCTTTCGTCCCTAAACAACACGTACTCAGCGCTGAGACCAGTCTTTGTTTTGTTGTACATCTGGAAGCAGGTGTATGTCAGCTTCTTGGCCAACTCCAGGTCGTCAGGGCGGTCCAAAGTCTTGCTCCCTAGTGCGAGCATTCCAGGTACAAAGCACGTGAGATGCTGGAACTTTGGGCTGAACCGAGTGGCCGACGAATCCAGATCACCGACGTAGTACATGTCGGGGTCAAAAACCGACTTCTTAACCATCTTCTCCTTCATCGCGTCAATGGACTCCTCGTACATGCGCGAATACTGGCTGTGGGTTCCGCGACTGTATATATGCTGCTTGAGCATGTACTCGTACCAGCTGTCGCCCATCCCGCCAAAGGTGATCTGGCCACTGTTCATCTTGCCAGTTCCAATGTCAATCCAAATCGGATATAAGCCCCTGTGCGGCTTCTCGGCCTTGTCCAGAATGTCAACCACGCGCTGTGCGGTCTTGTGGTAGATGGGATTCCCAGTGAGCTCTGAGAGCTTCCAGTACTCGAGCTGCACAGTGCCAGCCTCTGCAATACACACGCGGTTGGAGGGAGCGGCCCGGCCGGCATTGACGTCTACTCGGGAATATGGAATACCGGTCGATGAGTTGAATGCTGGCAGCAGCGCGTCGCCCACCTGCTTTGCCTTCTCGAGCAATCTCCGGTCGAGGCTCATCTCGTAGGCAGACAGCAGGCCGGCCAGCGACCGGATGATCATCTCAAAAAACGGCGTCGTGAATCCATCCTGCGCATGCGAGAAATCCACGCCGGCAACATGCGTGACTGCCTGCCTAAACTCCTCGTACAACTCCATTATATGCAAGGTATCCAGAGAGTCGATCAAAGTGACACCCCAGCCGCCCCACTTGTCGTTACTCATGTTGCTCACAGGCTGCAGTTCATCGTGGCCAAACGCATACTTGCTGTATCCATCCCAGGCGTGCTTCATCGCGGCCCGTACAGCCTGTCGCCGCACTTTGTCTGTGTCCCCTGTGTCGTTGTTTTTGTCGACCTTGGACTTGATTGTCACTTGCGGGCCGCGCAGGAGGTCGAATGGGTCGACTACTTCTATAATGATGCGCGAGGCCATGGCCCCACAGATTGTCAGTGCCAACAAACTAAATACCACCCGGCTCGTGCGGTCCAGTCGGTACCATTTGGCCGCCAGGCGTCGCCACAGCGAGCGCTTGCCGTACAATAGCGGCTGGCTGTCGCGCATCTCCGAGGAATGTCTAGAGCTGTATGCCATGACCAAAAAAACTAAAGAAAGAATATTAAAAATAAGGAAGACCAGATGAATTAAACAGGACTGTGTGGAAACTTGAAACAAAACCCGGGCTCGCCAATGACCACGTTGTGTGGTATCAATGACCGTAGAAAAATATATCAGCGTCGATTGATCAGTATTCGCGGGAATGTAGAGAATGGGCCAAATATTGATTTTAAAAAAGTACAATACGAAACGATATATATAACAAAAATAACAAAAATAAGACGGAGGGAAGGACAGTAGTTCAAAATGGAATCCCTTCCACCATTTATGTGATTTTCCGAGAGAACAATTCAGGCATTGTAAAGCGTCGCCATAATAAGTATATAAGCGAACATACACAGCAATATGACCAAAACGACACCACGCGCGCTATGGCCAAGGTCTCAAAAAGGAAAGCACAGCTTTGTCAAAATATATTCACGTGGTTTATTTGCTTTTATTGCGTACACATGATGGCGGCCATTCAAGCGCCCTTCAATTGTATATTTCGCAGCCACAATGCGCACCATCAAGCAATTTGTTTTTCATGTGTGGTGCCTTGAGATACAATATGCACGCACGAACAATGCATGCCTCATTGCTGATAAGTTTCCAGATGAAGTCATCGTTCGTCGAATAATGGTGGGCTGAATCTCAAGATTTCAAAACCGAAGTATCTTTCTCCCTCCCTGTTGTTTTTTTACCCAATAGGCTGGCCAGTTAGTAAGTGGGGAGGGTAAAAAAATATAGTACACATTGAATTGTACGAAACTCACGAACGTGGGAGCCGAATGTCATCGCAGTGAGGTAAGGAAGCGCACGCGGCGGCAGGCTAAGCGCTTCCTCCTGTCACAAGACCAATATATAGCAATTAGTGCAGTTGAAAATAACAAGTAAACTCCGGTAGGCGTTTGATTATTTTTTAAAGTAAAGCAAAAAATAGACGAAATGCACTTGTGTTGCAAGCAGATAAATATATGTTCAAACAGATTATAAACTTTTTTGGGTTTGACGAGGCGCGCAATGGGGATACACAAAAACAAGAACCAGTCTACTTTCCGCGGCTGTAGCGCTGCTTGCCAAAGTTGGCGAATGGCACATAGCGGTGCTTGACCATATGCTCGATCTGGCGCCTCATGGTGATGACAAACAAGAAGACCCAATAGAAAAGCAGAATGGGCCAGTAAACAGGGACGTCCAGGAACGCAAAAAACGAGCAGACTAGCGAAATCAATACAGCCTTGGTCGAGTTGTACCAAAACTTGAACTCGGGCAGACGGCGAATAAAAGGCCTGAACTCGTCGTCATTCCTCGTCGGGAGCAGACCGGGTCCAGACTCATCGGCGGCCTCGGCCTCCTCGATCTCCTCTGCCATTTCAGGGTCGATTTTCGGTGTTAGGAACGCCAAGAACAGATTGAGCATGTATATGCCGAGCGCGTAACAGATAATAAACCATCCCTGTGCTAAAACTATTCGAAGCATGAACGCCAGCAGTAGTGTGCCAAAAAGAGTCCACCGCGCGCCAGTGTGTGGCGTGCTTCTGTCCAAGAGGGTCTGGTAATTCTACATTGTCAAAGTGGGAGTTCAAATTGGGAGTGCAGCACGTTTAGCAAGTTGTATGGAGAAAAAACTAGAGCTGGAATGTATTTACAGCCGAAATGCTCCTGACTGTCGCCTTTTTCGAACACAGGAAATAGACAGAGACTTACAACTAAGATATTCCCAAAGAAACCGTTGGCGCGGGAGCTCAATGCCTGCGAGCCAGCAAAGGAATCGTCCATCATCTTGCTTGTGAATTAGACTGGAGTTGGAATGTGTGTATATATAACCCGGAATGAATAAGGTACCACTCGCGCAAAAAAAGAAATGAACGATAATATAAAACAGATAATTGCAGTCCAAATTGTAAGAAAAAGGAAGTGGAAATATCGAATTAACAGCTGCACGACGCCTTTAATTGTAAAGCAAAAAAGCACTAAAGACATGGAATCCACAATGGCGCTAAATGCGCCTTTGCATCGAAACCTTTGCCACTTAAATTTTGGCGCTTTGTCATGCCAAGCTTGGCAGCTTGAAAGCGGGCGAATGGCGTTGTGACATCAACTCAATACACGTGGCAAGGCTAAAAGGATTAATCGGACGCGACTATAGCTACTGCCAGCTCGGCTCGGCTTTTGCATTGATGAACCGTGGCAAAACTCCCTCGCTTCCAAAATGCAGCACTTTGGAAACAAGGAAATAGACCGTTTTGAAAAAAACAGGGTGATCGGTTTTATTTTTTTTGCCTTTTCTTTGTCTTTAAATATTCAAATTTACAACATAATATTCTAACTAGATAAATAAAGGTAAATGCACGCACACACGCACCGGTGTTTTGATCGCAGACGCACTTTATCTTATTGGTACACTCAACAAACTACAAACCACAAACGACACAGCACATTGCAAGCTAAATTCGAAAATTATTGCTATATTTTTGTGCGCTGCTTTTGCGTGTAGATGTCCAGCCTCGAGGATAAAACTGCAAAGATTGCACTCAACGACACTGACGCTACCCCGGCCCCGGCCCCAGCCCCGACCAAGGTGAGCAAGCCGAAGAAGGCTAAGCCCGGAAACGCAGCCACTCCTCAGGCCGACCGCCCCGAGTTCATTGAGCACCGCAACCGCATCTTTGACGAGCTGTTCCAGAAACAAAAGGACGAAATTGCCCGTAAGTACAACCTTGACTTGACCTAAAAAATGAGCATGGGAAGAAATAATTTTGATGCTGCTTGCCGAGTTTCGATTTGTGAATCATCAAAACAAAAAAGCAGCAGCATTTAAACGGTATGATTTCCCAGATGCATAGCTGCAGCTTGCACGCAAGCCAACACTCAGAGAGCATATCCTAAATTTTAAATTCTGCAAACTTTCCTGCACTAATACGCTGCCCTTGTAGAGAAGCCGCGTGAGAAGATCACAATCACCCTGCCCGACAACACGGAGCGCGAGGGCACCTCATGGGAGACCACTCCGATGAACATTGCCAACGCCATCTCCAAGTCGCTGGCCAAGCGCCTGGTCATTGCCAAGGTCAACGGCCAGCTGTGGGACACATTGCGCCCCTTAGAGTCGAGCGCCAAGCTCGAGTTGCTTGACTTTGAGACTGAAGAAGGAAAGCAGGTGTTCTGGCACTCCAGCGCCCACGTTCTGGGCGAGGCGTGCGAGCTGCATTTTGGCTGCCACCTTTGCAACGGTCCCCCTGTTGATGACGGTTTCTACTACGATATCGCCGTCCCTGAGGATTTTGGCCGCAGCGTCTCGCAGGCCGATTTTGCTCCCCTGGAGACTCTTGCCAACAAGGCCATCAAGGAGAAGCAGCCCTTTGAGCGCCTCGTGATGACCAAGGAGGACCTGCTGCGCATGTTCTCGTACAACAAGTACAAGGTGCAGCTGATCGACTCCAAGGTTCCCGACAACACGTCGACCACCGTCTACCGCTGCGGCCCGCTCATCGATCTGTGCCGTGGCCCCCATGTGCCCAGCACTGGAAACATTACCTCGTTTGCCGTCATGAAGAACTCGGCGTCATACTTCCTCGGTGATGCCAACAACGACTCGCTGCAGCGCATCTACGGTGTGTCGTTCCCCGACAAGAAGCAGATGACCGAATACAAGCAATTCCTTGAGGAGGCTGCCAAGCGCGACCACCGCAAGATCGGTCAGCAGCAGGAGCTCTTCTTCTTCAATGATCTCAGCCCCGGATCCGCGTTCATGATGCCGCACGGAACACGCATCTACAACAAACTGATAGACTTCATCCGCAACATGTATTGGGATCGCGGCTTTGAGGAGGTCTTGACTCCCAACATGTTCAGCACAAAGCTGTGGAAGCAGTCGGGTCACTGGGACAATTACCAAGAGGCCATGTTCAACTTGGACGTTGACAAGGAGCAGTTTGCACTCAAGCCAATGAACTGCCCCGGCCACTGCCTGATGTTCGGCATACGTGATCGCTCGTACCGCGAGCTGCCCATCCGCTTTGCTGACTTTGGTGTTCTGCACCGTAACGAGGCTTCGGGCGCCCTTTCTGGCCTCACCCGTGTGCGCCGCTTCCAGCAGGATGACGCACACATTTTCTGCACTCAGGACCAGGTCAAGAGCGAGATTATCGATGCTCTTGCCTTCCTCAAGGACGTGTACAGCATATTCGGCTTCACCTTCAAGCTGGCCCTGTCGACTCGCCCGGATAAGTACCTCGGTGAGGTTTCCGTCTGGGACTACGCCGAGAAGCAGCTCGCACTGGCGCTGGATAACTTTGGTTCGCCGTGGACTTTCAAGCACGGAGACGGTGCTTTCTACGGCCCCAAGATCGATATCACCATCAGCGATGCCCTCAAGCGCAACCATCAGTGTGCGACTATCCAGCTTGACTTCCAACTGCCGCAGAGATTCAAACTGCAGTTCCGCGCGCCCAACACCGAGGGTGAGGAGACGGCTGCCACTGACCTTGAGCTGGGCGCCGACTACCAGCGCCCCGTCATCATTCACCGTGCTATTCTGGGCTCGATCGAGCGCATCATGGGTATTCTGATTGAGAACTTTGCCGGCAAGTGGCCCCTGTGGCTGTCGCCGCGCCAGGTAATTGTCGTCCCAGTCACCGGTGTCGTGTTCGAGTACGCGCAGGCCGTGAAGCAGAGACTGCACAAGGCTGGCTTCTATGCCGACGTCGACCTGGGAGGCGAGACGTTCAACAAGAAGATCCGCAATGCCGAGATTGCGCAGTACAACTTTATCTGCGTCGTCGGTGCGCAGGAGATGGAGGAGGACAGTGTCAACGTGCGCTGCCGTGATAACGCTGACTCGAAGGCCAAGGGCCAGACCATCCCTGTCAACGAGTTCATCGAGAAGATCACTGCCATCAATTCCGCCAAGTTGCTCGAGGCCAACCTGTAAGAGAGACCTGCTGTTACTGTCATTGTGTTCATTCAAATAAATATTTTATTGTGAAAATATTTTATTACTCGCCCTCGTCCTATCAAATCCGCCCGTTTTTTTAAACATTTGCGCCAAGATTTTGAAAAAATGCGCAGCAAAATTTTATGTTCTGTTTTGAGTCCATCCATCACAACTTTTCTACAATTACAATCCGAGAAATAAATCTTTTTTCCATTACTTTATTTTTCCATTCCATTTTCTCACTTTTCCTCCCTTTCATTTGGGTATTAAAAGTATTGAAAGTATAAAAACTCAAAAAGTACTCATAGACATGGACGCTAACGATCGTGGGCGCGGAAATGGTGGTGGTAGATCTGGCGGCGCAGGAGGAGGAGGAGCCAGCGGCAACACCATCAAGGGTCCGCACTCGGCGCTCACTGACTATCTCCAGGAACTGGGTGTCAGCGAACATTTTCGCGAGAGGCGGCGCGCAGAAGCCGCAGAGCGCGCCCAACAATTGCTGGGGCAGCAAGAGAGGGCCCCCGCAGGCAACACAACTGAACAGAGTGCTGACGCTGCGGTAGCTGCCGATTTGCAAAACGAAGAGAACGCAGCTGTGGAAGCAGACGTGGGCACCAGCAGCAGGCCGATGCGCACCCGAGCGAGGGCCACCACCGCGGTGGCTGTTCCTTCTGCCGAGCCGGCTGTCGAGATGGTCACTCTGGATCTGGAGGAGTCTCCGGCGGTAAATGTGAAGAAGGGCAAGAAGGGCAAGGGCAAGAGAAAGAAGGTCGACGACTCTGACGACGAAGCCGACTACAACGATGGCCTGAACAAAAGCTCAGCGCGCAAAGGTGGTCGCATGAAGTCTTGTGAGATCTGCGGAAAGCGCTTCTTGCTGCGCGGCGAGCACGACGAGACAGAGAAACTCCTCTGCGTGATGTGCCGCAAGTCTGTCGACAAGTCGTTCGGCGAGAAGGGCGCTGTGGCAAAGCGTGCGCACGAGACGCTGGCTTCTGCTGGCCCGGCTAAGCCCCAGAAACGGAAGATGAAGAAGACGGCTGATGGGCTGCTGGAGTACGAACCCGGCCTTCCCTCGCTGCAGGACCTGTGCGTGCGGGCGATTGCCAAGCATCTGGATCAGGTCGACTCGTTTGGTGATATTTCTGCCCAGAGCTTGAACAGGCTCTGTCGGATCATCAGCAAGATGCGCGTTCTGGATGAGAGCACCCTTAGCTTGTTCTTGGGCGCCGAAAAGAACGCGGTAACGCTGTATGACTGTACGAAAATATCGCGCAGCGGCCTTCAGCGCATAGTCAATGAGTGCCCGCAGATTCAGGCGCTCGATCTTGAGTACTGCGGCCGCTTGGATAGCTCTGGCCTGATTGACTTTGGGTCTCGCTTGCCCTTTTTGACATCCTTGCGTATTGAGGGCGCATTCCTGGTCAAAGATAGTGCCTGGGCCATGCTGTTCCGCACATGTGCGCGGCGGCTGACGTCGCTCAAAGTGCGCTTTGTTGGGTTCGGCCCGGTAGCCACACGGGCGCTGGCCATCCACTGCACGCAGCTGGTCGAGCTGCGCATCTCGGAGTGCATTGACTTTGATGATGACTGCCTGGCCATCCTGGCCGTCCCGATTACGGACTACGAGGAGGAGGAGCAGGAGACCGAGCGTGTGTTGCGCCTGTTGAACGAGCGCAGCAAGAAGGGCAAAGCGGCGTCCGTCGGGTCGCCCAAGGACTACACGGGCCCGATACCATCGTGGCAGCCGCTGAGCTGCTTGCAGTCCCTGGATCTGGCGCGTCCGCACAAACCGATGAGCAGCCAAACGACTGCGCGAGTCATCCGCACTGTCGGGTCGCAGCTGCGCGTCCTGGATCTGTCAGGATTCAAGGACATTGATGATAGCTTTTTACTGAATGCTCTGGACGCGAACTGCCAGAACCTGCAGGAGTTGTATTTGAACGAGTGCAATGGAATTTCACCGGCCGCCATGGCCCAGTTTTTTGCCAGCCAGCGTGGAAAGGCCATGGTTGCCAACAAGGGATATAGGCGTGTGGGACTGGAGCGGTGTTACATGCTGACAGACAGCGTTATTCAAGAGCTGGTTCTGCACTCGGGCGCCACACTGACATGGCTGAACATCAACTCTGTCGACGACAATTTGTCCAATTACGGGCTGCTTGCGCTGGCGGGATCCATATACAACCGGACAACAGACCCTGAGTCTGGCACAAGCCAATATGTTTTGGCTGAGCAGACATCTGGGTGCGTGAACCTCGAGGAGCTCGACTTATCGTGGGTGCGATGCACAGCGGATGCTGTTCTCGAGGACGTTTTGGCAACGTGCAAGAAACTGGAGACCATCAAGGCGTATGGATGTCCGGATATCACTGCATTTGCGCCCAAGCGCCCGGGCTTGAGGTACATTGGCCGCGAGTGTGACACTCTGTAGAATATGCGTGAAAATAAACACGGGCTAAAATAAATTTGAAATGAGGCGCTTTTTTCGCTCAGAGCGGCTTTTTTGACATGTGCCGATTTTCGCACAGGCGCGTCCTTTGCTGCACATCGGAGTAGTAATGGAGCCGCCACCCGAAGAATTAATATTCATTTTCTTTTCTTTTTCCTTCATTTAGCTTTATATACTCATATCTCTATATTTCCATTTTTGCTTGTTCTACACCTCTACAACATTACTATTAGCAACACACAAGATGAGCACCCCCAGAGATAAGCATAACTCGCCAGTGCCCTCGACACTTCTTGGCGAAGTGCGCAGCGGCCACGAGCTGGACATCCAAAAGCTCGAGTTATTTTTGAAACAAATCAAACAGGATGTTTTGCCCCCATTATCAGTCAAGCAGTTCAACGTTGGGCAGAGCAACCCGACGTATCTGATTACGGATTCGGCAGGCAAGAATTATGTTTTACGCAAAAAGCCCGCCGGCCAGCTGCTGTCCAAAACGGCCCATGCTGTCGAGCGCGAGTACCGGGTACTGCATGCTCTGGGACAGCACACGCAGGTGCCAGTGCCTAAAGTGTACGCCCTATGCGAGGACACCAGCGTGCTAGGCACGCCGTTCTATCTGATGGAGTTTTTGGAAGGCCGCATTCATTCCGACGTGCGGCTGCCTAGGATTCAGCCGCAGGATCGGGTGTTGTACTGGGACGCGCTAGTCAATGTGCTGGCCAAGCTTCATCAGGTTGATTACCGGCAGATCGGACTGACCGGGTACGGGAAGCCAAGCGGGTACTATGAGCGGCAGATGCGCAGCCTGGCCAGGGTCTCTGCAGCTCAGGCAGCGGTTGTGGACTCGAAGGGTGGGAGTGTCGGCGCATTGCCGCGTCTGGACCATCTCATGCGCTGGTTTGCTGCTAACAAATGTACCGACGAGACCACCATAGTGCATGGCGATTTCAAGATGGACAATGTCGTGTGGCATCCAACTCAGCCAATAATCATTGGTATTCTCGATTGGGAGCTGTCAACGCTGGGAAACCCGCGGACGGACCTAGCCAATATGCTGCAGCCGCTTCTGGTTCCATTTTCTAGCAGTAATGCAGTGCACTCTATTTTAATCGGCTTAAATGGTGCACCTGCGGCAGAGGCCTCGCCCTCGGAGGAGAGACTGCTGCGGAGGTATTGTCGTTTGATGGGCCGCGAGTACCCGCTGGAAGGGTGGGAGTTTGCCAAAGTTTTTGGACTGTTTAGGAACACTGTTATTCAGCAGGGCGTGGCAGCAAGGGTGGCGACTGGCCAGGCCTCCTCTTCTTTTGCGCATTTAGTGGGGAACCTATTTTTGCAGACTATGGCCACGACCATGGGAATTGTCGACAAGCTAGACTCTAAGGCTCGCAAAAGCAAACTTTGAGTCTCTAGGCAGTGTGGGGAATATGTTAAAAAATGAAGCGTCATCATTTCGTTGTCCAGACCTTTGATTCATTTTTTAATATTTGCTGGACAAATGTATTTCTACTATTCAATATTAACTCACACATATGTAATTTAAAGATGGGCAGACCCAGCTTTTAATTCTAAAACAAGACATGTTTTTGCTGAACAATATTTAGAACACAATAAGGCGTGTAGAATCGCATAAAGAGCCTGCTAAACTTTTTTTTCGACTTTTGCCATCCTATTGCGTTATTGTATGCATTATAATGGAAAATAAAGAATAAATGACTTTGGAATTAATAAATTTTGACCTGGCCCTACTTTTTTGTTTCTTCTGTTTGGGTTGATTTATGAAATTCGAACGTAGTTGTTGAGGCAACAAAGAGGATGCATGCAAAAAGGAAATTTTAGACATCTGCTAGGCCACTATTTCACTTGAAAGATCGCCACACATAATAACGCCTGTCTCTGTTTATTGGGTCATATTTCTTTATCAAGCAGCGCAAAAAAAAGTTTGTTCACATCTTGTACTATTGCGACAACCTTTTTTAGTCGCATTGCACTCTTGGTTTTTCTCTTCATCGTTATTTGATTTTTTTGTTATTAAACTTTTTTACCGGTGCTTTAATATTTATTTTTTACATCCTTGTTGCTGATACCGAACTTCAACGCTCATTTTTTGATACACTTTGGCGCTCAAACCCAGGGATTATTCGATCTTCGCAAACCCTGTTACTAAAAATACGCAGCACAAAAAGCAAAAAACGACAAACACCCCTTTTCTTCCATCCAAAATACGAATACCTACACTCTTTCCATACTATAATTTCTTTATATAGCAATTTCTTCGTTTTTCTACGGTCGCTCTCAGAAACCCATCGATACCCGTTCTTTTTGGAAAGAGGGATAACCCAATCGGGCCGGCCAAGCAAAGGAAACAGAAGCAAAAAGGGAACACACTCGATCAACAATTCCTTGGCTCTTTCCCCCTTTCTCTCTTTCTCTTTTTCTTTCTTTCTGAGCTCTAAAATTATTTTAGAGGCAGCAATACCGAAATCGGCTGCTGAGAACATCCTCTGCTGTTATTTAATATTTAGTTTGGCGGCTTTTCCTGCGCTACATTTCTGCTCTTCTTTATCTTACCTTTCGCATTTTATTTTTCATCCCTCCCTCCCTCACTCACTCACTATCCCACTCCCTACATTTCATTACAATCATTCGCTTATTGTACACATACTCAAAAAAATTTGCATACACCACACCCACACATATTCAGACAAAAACAATATACAATTACAATGGGACCAACAGGTACGACATAGTGTGCATGTTCAGTCTCACTTGACCATTTACGCTCACAATTTTTCTCTGCGAGCGCGCAGTCGTTTTTCTTGCCATTGCTTATTTCAATGCAGATAAACTCCAGAGGGTGTGCAAAGTATACCTGCATATGCACCTCTCACACACGCATGTCTAAATGTGTTTGCTGCACTATCACTTAATCCAAAAAATACCAGATACTTATTGTTACTAATCTATTTTATACGTTGCTGTTGTTTCTTTTTCTTTTTTTTGCTATTGTTTTGGACGCCGAAATCACCAATACCTTTTATTGCAATCCGCTCGGAGTAGGCAACTTACAGGTACGTATTGCGCTGATTCGCAATCTGGCGACGCACCACTTGTGTGTAATATGTTTGTTTGTTTTTGCTTTTTTTACCATGGTAATTGTTTCTAACCCTTCTATTGCATTAAATGTGATTCTAAACATCTTTAACCTGTATATAGTACGTATACCGGTGGCGCATCGGACAATGGAGTACGCTCGCACCATGCATTGAGCACAACAGCCCGGCATTTGACGCAGACGGTCTGCGCTGGGTTTTTAAACTATTTAAAGGCCGCGCTCGCAACCCACAGGTACGCTTGCAATTTTTGCTTTTACAATGTATTGCTGTGCTTTGTAAATATTTTATTTGAAAACTTGCCAAATTATTTTACCCATTCTCACTAATTTGGGCATTGATGTTTTTTTTTTAAAAAAATAGGACTTGGCGCTTTACTTGTCGGTCCACGAGTCGACGACAGATCGGTTGCAGCAGCTGAGGAAAAAAGTGGATGTCTCATTTACTCTGGAAAACTTGCGCATGCGGGGACTCGACTACAACAAATATACAACGCCGATTACTGTTTGGGTGGACTCGGCATACAGCACATGGGGCGACGATAAGTTCATTGGGCTAACGGATATGGACTCGTTTATCCAGGATGACATGACATGCCTCGTAGTTCGTTTCCATGTGCGCGAGACCATACACGAAGGCCTGCCGCCCACAGCACAGCCATCCCCGGCGATTGCCGTATACATCCCCGAAAAAATAGCAGCGCCGTTCAACCAGCTACTAAAGTCGGCGCGATTCTCGGATATTCAGTTTGAGCTGCGCGACTCTTCCGCATTGATTCTGTCTCCGGGACCTAATAGCGGTCAGTATTCGCAGCAGGGACTTTTGTCGCCACGCAACAGCGGCGATTTCCAGAACGTGGGCCAGGACGCGCTGCGCATCAACTACAGCATCGACGAGATTCTAATGCACGGGCAACCGAGTCCGCCTAGCAGCTCTCCGGAAGGCGAATCTCGACCTCTGTGTATCACGCCGATGCCGGGAAACTGCTACCCGCGGGCGCTTCCCTACGCACAACGCCCACGAATTGGCACTGCCAAGCCCGATATCCAAACAATTGGGCCGCGGTACCACGCGCACAAGGCAATTCTGATGGAGATCTCCCCTGTTTTTGAGGCCATGTTTAGCAACGGCATGCGCGAAACATACGAAAAGGTTGTCGAAGTTTGGGACGTGACTCCACGGGCATTTGAGCGCATGCTAGAGTTTGCCTACACACATGTCTGTGACCTTGATCCTAAGGCAACCAAGTACGAAGACAGCGTGTCGGCCGAGGAAGTTGTTGAAACGCTCTTGTGCGCCGATCAGTTTGAAGTCAAGGAACTGCGCGAAATATGCTGGCGTAACCTGATGGCACGCCTGTCAACAGACACTGTGTGGGACATCTGGTCGATTGCCACGGACTTGGAGGCGGGAGAACAGCAGCGCTCATGCAAAAATTTTTGCTGTCGGCGCTTTACTGAGCTCTGTCATAGCCCGTCGACGATGTGGGCATCGGCGCATTTGCTGCGCGAAGTTCTTTCGAGCGATACACTGAATGTCGAGTCTGAGGAGCTTTTGTTCGAGACCGTAGTCAAGTGGACAAATTTCCGTGAAGACACCGACATCGATGTGCAATCGCCGAAATTCCCCAATGGCGGCAGATACAGCCCTGGTGTGGGCGCCACGCAAAAGATTGGGACGGGGAGACCAGCATCAGGCGCCAGCAGTGTGCTGTCGGCTGAGTGGCATATTACGAGGACCGGAAAAAATTCCGACGAGGCTGTGCTCAAATGCTACCGCTCGCCATCCAACCTTTCCCTCCTTCCTCCGCGATCACCCTGGGCAAACCTCAATCGCCGTGCGGCCGTTGCCAGCCCGCGTCGAAAACCCGAGCTCACTCGCGAAGGCTACACTAGTGCGCTGGACTCTAACGCTGGTCGACCCAGCTTGCTGGCTGAATCTGCCCCGTCGCCGACATCTGCCATCACACCTTCGCGCCTCTCTGTCGTTTCGGCTACCAGACTGTGCTCTTCGAGGGAGTTTTCCGAGCCGCTATCGGCATTGTCAGCCAATAGTAGCGCCTGGGGAAGCCTGTCTGAGCGCAAGGAGTTTCTTGGCTCCCTCTTGCCCTGCATTCGGTTTCCCATGATGGACAAGAACTTTTTGCTTCGGGTTGTTGAGCGGAATTCGGACATGATGGCTCTGCCTTTAATGAAAGATCTGCTCATCGAGGCGTACCGTTTCCACGCCTTCAACCCTCCTGCACCTCCACCTCCCACCATTCAGCATGCACTGCTGCAGAGACCTCACAGCAGCGCTCACCGCAGGTCATCTGAGGGATATGCCAAAATGGAGTACACTGCGCAGCTGCAGACTGCTCAGCCCCAATATGCCAAAATCATTCTGCCGCTGAATACCAACGATGAGCTTGCTCTCTCCCGCTCGCAGAGACGCAAGCAAGTCCACAAACTAGCCATTCAAAGTGTGAACTTTTCGAACTAATAACATATTTTTATTCAATTTTTAAACGGCAAAAAATTAGAGTAAATAGCTTTGGCTATGTGTAAAATCAGCAGCAGAAATTAACATTGAGCAAAATATGTGCATCCGCCGGGAATCGAACCCGGGTCTACCGCGTGGCAGGCGGCAATCATACCTCTGGACCACAGATGCTTTGATTGAATAATTTTTAAACAACTTAGAAACTGTTCTCTGACTTAAGTAGTAATTGTGCCTATTACAATCCTAGAATATATTTAATTTTAACTGAATTATTGAGTAAAAAATATTTCTTGTTATTGCTACCAATCACCGTTAACATTTAAAATGCTTTGCATTGATAACAGCTATATGCTTTGCAAGTGTTTAGTCGTTGGGCTTTTTTCTGCTGAGACTCTTGTGAACCTTTTTCATTTGGGACCGATAATGTAAAATAATGGGTGTCAAGAACATATGTTGTATATCTAACAACCTATAAAAATATGTGTCCTTGCAACATGTTCTCGTACTATATTTTTTTTTAATATTTTATGAGTGTTATTAAAATATTTACTGGAATTGTCAAGGCTACAATTTTTACCCAAAACCTTTAAAAAACCTTCAAACCATCTTGCAGTTACCAATTTATATGCATGCACTGATTGATTGCATATGGCAGGTTATTGTTAGCATGTATAATTGATTTAAAAAGAGAGTAGTTGGTATTGTTTAAACCAGAACTAAGTTTGGCAATAAAAAACATGCTGCTGAGCAGTCTGATGATATGGAAGTGGATGTTGAAGTTGAGAATCGTGAAACGAGTCTTCATCAACATGCTGATTGACAAGCCATAGATAGCACCATGTAGGATCAAATCAGGGGATATAATAATAACACACTGATATGCCTCCCCCATTTGAAAATGTATATCCATGGATGCGCACATGCAAAGATTATAATATTGACTTGCCAATTATGTATTCCGTTGGCAAGAACTGATTCTTCTGCGAGTAGACCAGTATCTTGGTAAGTCAATGTTGTGGTTTTCGTGTGTGTGCACTCACACGTGTGTATTGCAAAATGGGGAGCATATCTGAGCATTATTACTATGATACAAGGAATTGTGACTTGTCTCCGGCGATTGATTAATGAATCAATCGGTAGTTAATTCCCTACTTGGATATGTGGGAATTCATACGCACACATAAATACTAATGAATATGAACAGTGGAGGCTGTTCATCCCTTAGCTTTCTTTTAGGTCATTTGTTCAATATATATATTTTTAGCATAACAATTACTATGTCTCGCCAATTTACTCCTGTATAGTCCAATTAATTCCCTATCAATCGGCATGCAGATGGAGACTTGTTTCACGATTCTCAAACTCGATATCCACTTCCATATATTCGGGCTGCGCAACACCTATATTCTCGCTGCTTTTTCTATTAAACATAAGTTGCTGTTTTATTCACGCTTAAAAGTCTATTTATTGCTTACATTGTCACCCGTTGCTGCACCGTGCTTGACGCTCATATTGTGACATCAGAAATGGGGGCCGAGTCACGTGACAGCGCAGACGCGTAAAATATGTTTATGATATTTTACGCGTACGGCGAATTCTGAATAGTGAGCTCTTTAGCTCTTCCCGTAGTCTCATTTCTATTAATATATATTATAGCTAGTCCAAATCGCATTACATTTGGTAGCACCTCAAGTTCGAAAACCCGCGCTTCCTCATCAACGACTGACTGACCGACAGACAAACTGGTTAATATATATATATAAAAACAAAAAAAACAAAAAAACAAAAAAAAAAACAGTAACCATGACTGGAATGTCGCCATACGAATCGGCAATGAGATTCAGCCCGACACTGGCACCAGACGAGGACAACGCAGAGAAGGTGGCAATTGCCGTTGGACCCTGGGTGAGAGATACTGAGGAGCACTTTATCCACGCAAAGCTAGACGAGAGTGAGTGGGTATTTGTAGCCTCACACAAGATCCCAACAGACAAGAAAAACGAGTACCGCAGACACTGTACAGAACACAACAAGGACCACCGCGACTGGGGAACGTTCAAGGAGTTCCTGACAACTACATACTCGCGTGCAGTGTCATACTATGACACACTGCACAAATACTACCACCTACAACAGCCTGGGACATTAGAGACCTTAGAGGAGTTTGTGGTGCAATTCAAGTACCTCGCGGAAATTCTGGAATTCAAACTCTCAGACAGGCATGTGACCACGACCTTCCTCATGAAGCTACCACCAATGCTCAACCAGCAGATTCTGAGCGAATCGACAAGCTCGACAGTATACGAGATTGATGCACTGACTTCCCGTGCCAGAGCCTTCCTGCGCATTCATGGCCGTCATGATAATACAGCTATGAATGTGGATGCAATAATGGTGAATGCAGTGCAGACAGAAAGGAGACGCAGTGGCCTGCCGCCATTTGCAAGTGTCTCCAAGCAGTCGGGCTGTACCAAGGAGATGTTTGAGAAGTGGGCTGCCAACAACGTGTGCCTTGGGTGTGGCAGTGATGAACACAAGTGGCATCGCTGCCCTAAGAATACACACCCAAAAGCAAGAAGGGCATGAGTGGATGTGAGTCCTCTGCCCTTATCATCTCTGAAATTGCCGTTTGCCCCCCAAATAAAACCGCTATTAACAGACAAACCTCACCTGAGCCCCAACTGATTTTAAATGCAACTATAGACACCAAAGCCATCCGTGTGCTCATCGACAATGGATCACAAATTACCATCATCAACGAACAGACCCGCGACCGACTTAAACTGAAATCCGAACGACTACAACACAGCCAACCAATACAACTGGCCAATGGCGCACACTACAAGGACTGCACCGAGTCGTGCACAGTAACGCTGCGCCTCCTGAGCAACCTAACAATTACAGTACACTGCCTTGTTCTCCCAGTTTCCGAAGATATAATATTAGGAAATAATTGGCTAAAAAAACACAAGGCCACGATCCACAGCCACCTTGACAAGGTGACATTTGACTATGGCGGGAAAAGCTGGTCCATCCGGGGTAATGCAGAGCCTCGGACCGACGAGGACCAGCTGAAGCCTATGTCAATCAGTGCACTGAAAACTGCACGTGCAAACGACCAAATTGAGGAATGGGGATGGCTACGAATTACATTCCCTGACAACGATACCAATCCAGCAATCCATGTGGCAGCAACCACGACGACACAAGACAGGGCGCTACAGGAGCTACATGCCAGATACACCCAAGTCCTTGATCAGCCGCCCTCCAAACGACCACCACCAGGCGGCCCTGAGATGGAAATCCATGTACATGAGGGCACAGCACCTGTGACCAAGGCACCATACCGCCTGTCACATGCAGAGATGGATGAACTAGACCGACAAGTGACTGACTTACTTGCAAAGGGGTATATCCGCCCGTCATCTTCCCCATGGGGTGCACCAGTCCTCTTTGTCAAGAAAAAGGATGGATCAATGCGCCTGTGTGTTGACTACCGTGGCCTGAACGCAGTGACGATAAAAGATGCATTCCCAATGCCGCGTATAGACGATTTGCTTGACGACACCCGTGGCGCAAAAGTTTTCTCGAAAATCGATTTGGTACAGGCTTACCACCAGGTGCGAATTTGCAATGCAGACATCGCCAAAACTGCCTTCCGCACAAAACAAGGGTCATTTGAATTCACAGTTGTACCTTTCGGGCTGACAAATGCCCCTGCCGTCTTCCAACGTGTCATGAACCATGCGCTGCGCAACCTACTTGGCAAAACGTGCATCGTGTACCTAGACGACATCTTAGTCTTTTCAAAGAATGACGCCGACCATGCAAAAGATCTCGAGGATGTACTCGCCTGCCTCAAGGAGCACAACCTGCACACAAAACCCGAAA